CGAGCTTATCGCTCGATGTACACGCTATCAACGAGATCGAATCCGCGTCCGGTGTACTCGCCAACGTACCCGGCGCGCTCGCCGACCTCCCATGCGCGAGCGAAGGTTCCGTGGTGCACTTCACGACCGTGGACCCAGTACGCACGTCACCAGCCGCAGCGCCCGCGTCGGAAGGCAACGCAATGACCAATGAGTTCGTTGCGTGCCTCTCCGTCGCCAAGAACGGGTGCTAGGCCGGTGTAGCAGCAGGCCCATCGTACCTGCTGCTCCCACTTTGTGAGACGGCGCGTCTGGAGGGCCTTCGAGCTCTACCAGGCCGCCTCCTGTTTCTCTACCACCGCACGCGGCAGATACGTCGAGCTCGTCGCTCGATGTATCCTCCGGTGCCTTCTTTCTGGATGCGCGCGACGCACGCCCGTCTGTGCTGGCCGCCGTCCAGCACGCCCCTACTTGGCGTAGTGACGCACCCGGAGAACATGCCAGTTCTATCGGGTCGTCCGTTTCTCTTTCGACACCGCCTCGCGCTATGCGTACGTCGAGCCCACCGCCCGACGTACACGCAGCCGAATCCCGGGACGCGCGCGACGCACCCTCAAGTGTGTTTGCCGCGACCCCTCAAGTTTCCGTTTCGATGCATACGCATCCACCGTCAGCACCTGCAGTCGATGCAGCGATCAACGAGATCGTTGTATTCACTGTCAGAGAACCTCATGAGGTGCTGAATCCATGCGACGCGCTAGTTTACGAGCTCAGCGGCGTTACGACGCACGACGTGTTCGGTGTGCCATCCAGCACGACCGACATGTCTCCCACTTCGACTTCGACTACATACCGTCGTTCTACAAGTCGCCGCACAGTGGGTACGTCGAGCTACGGCGTACTCAAGGATGTACCCGGCGTGTCATCCGACCCCTTACATGCGACCGAGGCGTACCCCACGACCACGAGGGTGCACCCGGTACGTACGTCACCAGTCGCAACACCCGCGTCGGAAGGCCACACTACGAACAACGAGTTCCTCGTGTGCCTCCCTGACGTCAAGAACGGGGTACTGGACTTGTGCAGCAGCACGACCCAGGACTTGAACGACGCGCGTTCAAGTCCAGCTCCGAGCGAGAAGACTGCGCAGAACGCAGGGAACGTCGAACAAGGAGGCTGCGAGGAGATCAAGAAGGGGAAGAGGAGAAGGGAGGAGGAAGGACGTGAGGCGAGCAGAGAAAACGAGCACGAAGGCTCGAGAACTGCAGGTACGACCTCACCGGACGTCCCTGCATGCCCGCCTCCGCTCCCTGTGCCCGCGTCAGCAGGCGCAGTTGTGACGCACGGACCAGCAAGGTCTCGGCGTCCAGTGGACGCCGCCGCGATGGCGAAGACTCGCGGTTCGACCTCGGCATGGCTATGTCGAGCCCTTACATGTCTGATACCGGCTGCATGTACGAGGACTCGACCTCGTGTGAATTCACGTCGACCGGGCGAGTTGCCGAGCAAGGTACTGACCTCATCGTACTCGATAACGAAGCCGATGTCGTGTTCGACGACGCTGACCTCGGACATCTCACGTCCACCTCAATATCGCGATGTTCATCCTGCAATCAATGCCGCCCGATGTACGCACAGGGACAGGACCTCGTCCGTGCGCCATGTACCCTCGAGTACAGCGGGCGCATTTCAAACATCAACCGCACTCCAAGCATTGGGTACGTCAAGCAGTACTACTGATGGCACGACGTGTGGATGCTACGAAGCAGTGCACCTCTGCTGGTGTACTCTGCGAAGCACCCGGACTAACTCTTACCTCTGCACCATCTGATCGGCAAAGTACGTTAAGCTAGAGCATTTAGATAGGTAGCAGTACATACTTCTTCAACGGCTCTCAATGGGGCATCATAGATACTTCAGACATCTTAAAAGTAAGGTCTTAAGATTGTATAATGCTTGAAGGCAATTTCAGAAGTCTTCAGGGTACTTCATGAAACATCTGACGCATCCCGATGACATAAATCTATGAGATGAGAGGAAAAGCCGGTTAAAGATTGCCAAAGTGTGATTAAGGGAAATGGGTTTTTCCTGATGTGCTCACTCTCGCTATTCCCCCTAACATGTCCTCTATACGCTACCTCCATGGTCGACCTCCCCACATAGCCACGGGCAGCGTGGACTCCACTTCAGACGACAGCCACGTCGTTGCTCACCCTACCAGCCCATCTTCGAAGCATCTGCCTACAATTACGGACCGAGGGATTTGGCCAGGGCATCCGGACGGTAAGTCCCTACAGCATCGCCTGACCGATAGCCTCACTCACCTGTATCGCAGTCGCGCCCTTCTCCTCCCCGCCGTCCTCTGAGGGCGGTGCAACATTATCCTCCCCGGAGCTTGGACCTCTGCACGATAGGGAAGAGACTTCCTACGACTACGACGGCATACAACGTCTGCACGACACCATCCTGCAGTGGCACCTTGCCGAGAAGATATTTGGCGATCTCTTGAACGTTTCGAATTTCCCCCTCATCTACGACCATCACATCCGTCGCCACAACATCTCGCCGCAAGACTGGAAGGAGACACAAACATATCTCCAACAGCATTTGTATATCGTGCGGTGCCTGTCGTAAGTCGCGCAATATCATCACAACGCTCACACTGACTCTTCCTTAGTTTCATTTACAATCCTACCATGGCCACCGTCGACGTCTACTCTCCGACAAGCTTGCATCAAATCGTGACCAATTCGATGGACAAGAACATCGTCAGAATGAGCAAAGTGAACGGCCCTCAAACGATATCGATAGATGGAGCTCGAGGGCTCATCACCGACAACGTAGGGCATACGCCCGACTCCGTCATATCAATATCGACAACTCGACGCCTTCCAAGCGGCGACCTTATATACATCGCGCGCGACACGTCTGTCGGTGAGACCTCGTTCACCCAGGTACTGGAGGACATGCTGGGACAGGTGAGTTGCGATTCCATTTCGTTTCATCTACCATATCATTAACTTACGCTGGCAGATCCATGTGGCAATGGGCAGTGGGCGGGACGATAAGATCGTCCCCCTCCTGTTCACAGGCATCAACATCGAAACTGAGGACTACATCGACCCGGACCCGGAACATTCAGCACCGGACGCCGGCGGGTTCATCAAGGGAGGTGGCGCAGCTAACGATGTTCTGTCCACCGGCTGGAAGCGAGGCGGCGAGGTGCTGATGAAGCGGGCGAAAGCCCAATGGTACATGTTCATTCCAGAGGATCGCGAAGAACTGGGGGGTTGCCTCAAAATATGGCACGAGCGCAAGGACTGGGTCATTTGGAAGTATGGCGTGGTGCGTCTTCTTTATTCATTCTGAGCTGCTGGCTCATCACTCACACTCTGCCAGCCTATCCAGCGTGTATACGAGCCTGGCACACATGCGTTCGATGCGCGTGAATTTGCGCTTGGCCGATACCGGGCAGCGATCGCCAAGATTCGCGCAGCTGCGCACAACCAGCGCATATTAGCCCTCCTCATGGAGGCAGACCAGACGGGCAATGCGGCGGTTTTGAAGGAGCTAAGTCCAGCAGACCTTGCAGACAACATCAACTTCGAAGAGCCTCCGATCCCAGACCCGATCCCAGACTTCATCACAGACGTTGAAGTCGGAGCGCGTCAGAAGGCTCAAGACCATTGGAATCGGCACGGCTATCGTGCGGAGACCAACAACGTCGTCCCACTCAACGACTCACAGGAACGCGCTCAGTATCGCAAGTTCATGGAGAGCCTCAAGCGCGTCCTTGAAGAGGATGAGGCCCCAGGCGACGCCGAAGTCATCGCAGACTTTCGAAAGAGGCAGCGTTTCAGCACGCCGTCTCCACCGCCACCGCCGAAGCCGCCGCAGCCGCCTCGTTTAAAGGTGGAAGATTCGCCCGAGGAGGACGAGCACAGCGAGACCTCTGACGAGCACAGCGGCGGATCGGCCCAGAGCTCCTTCGACGTACCTCGCAGCCTGGCGAAAACTGACGAGTACGCGCTTGCCACGGGTCGTACACTGAGGAGTGAGGCTAGGCCTCCTGGGAGACGTGGGCAACGGTAATTCAAGTTCTTATCTTCGACGACCGTCCGTGACAGCGTCATCCGAGTCTACGTATTACAATCTCTCGTTGTCGTCACTGCCATGTCCTCCATGTTCTGCCATAGCTTTCGTGTCCTGTACCAGTAGTTTTGAATTGTAAATACGGTTCTGTGTTCAGACGAAATTGAATCGGACTTGATGCGCGCGCTATTGAAGACCTAGTGATCAGTATCTTCAGGCGCCTGCGCCGCATACGAGTAGGTACCGTCTGTTCAGTGTTCACGTCACCATACTTCATCTCCAGTATGGCTGGGTCAATCGATGTTGGCCAGTCAATTACTGAACAAGAACAGCACAGTTTGATCATGCTGCTGGAGGCTACACCTAATCTCAATTCGGTCTTGTCGAACTTGCTTGCACGACTGCAAGCCACCCGAGCCACCCGGGACCTTCCCAAGAACGACTTGATCCAGACAGGTATGTGTTACCATGGCATTCTGGGCATACGGCATACTGATGACGAAGGCCCTCGAGAACTATCAGTGAGGCACATGGAGAACACAATGCCCATAGCTTACAGCACGTCGGAGTCCGTGCCTGAACCACGCCAGACTAGGTCTCGAACTCTACTGCTGCGTAACGAAGTACAACAGGGAGACATCGCCTCAGGCTACAATAAACACGGTTAGTCTGGCTCGCTCGTTGTAAGTATGCGCTGTCCAGTTCTGACGAAACTAATTCAACAAGGGAACACTTACACTCACACTGACGTTGCAACAGGCTCCGGTGGTGTAGGGCCTACCAGGCAGCCTCGGTCGCAGCATCGAAAGACGCGAACACCGTATGATCGTGATGACGACAATCCTGACGGGCGGGTTGGGCGGGTTGCTCATCGCAGAAATGTCCTACGTCGGCGGTCCCGCTCGCCTTGCTGGCGTGGAGGTTTCAACTTCTGTCATGCAGGCGCTGCACCTTCGAATCAGGTATGGGATTCAGATCAGCTAAAGGCACCGTCGCAGTCGTCCAAGGCCACGGTTCACAAGTTCTTCACGAAACTCACAAGCAACCTGAGCGAACAAGTTAGCGTGGAGTGTTGTAAGTCGGTGCAAATCGGCACTAGCAGTACAAACTCCGTTTCGATTTACGGTCACCGTTTCACTGGGGACGAGTCGATGAAAACACTTGCCAATCAATGTGCCCTCGCACTCAAAGACAATGCCACCTCCGATGTCGTTGTGATGACAAGGCTCATACAGCTAGCTTTACGCTGTAGCAAGTGCGTACAGGCCTGTATATTTCAGTGACAGATGAACTTACTCACCATATATTACTTTGGCAAGCTTGCGGCGTGCTGATCCCAAGCTCACGAACACTAGCATTTGGCGCGCCGAGCTCAAAACAACGACCAGGGTCGCCAAAAGAACATTCCAAGATTGGGTTTCTATGGGCAGCAAATTTGCCTTTGCAGCAGGAGGCGGTAAGCTTCGTAAAACTGACCTTTCGAACGCGTACTGAACAAGCCTCACCGATCAACCAGGCTCAGTATACATGCTCATTTTGATTGCCACTCAGAACCTCCGAGTTCCATTTGGAGCTGTAGACGGACATTCAGCCCAGGACATAGGCAATATGCTCCGCTGGCCAGACGGTATGTTGATGCTATGTTACTTCTGGGACCAGCTCATCGGTGCAGCAGACTCGCCAGCAGGACGACTAGTGAAGGAGGTAGTCATCCCTTTCATATCTAATCTGCACAAGCACTATCCGACCATGCTGGAGGACGTCTTCGCGGTGAACACGAGCATTGGAAATCTTGACGCGAACGACGCACTTTTTGACAGTCTCAAATCAAAGTAAGTCACTGCCAGTGATCGCAATCTGCATGCACATTCGACGTATTGATTAACTTTTGCAGCACCTTCAGCCTCGTTCCAAGACTGAAGAGCGTGTGGACGTCTTGTGACGAACGCGTTCTGGTACCGGTAACCTCACCAATCTCAACAGCGACAGTCTTGCGACCTGCCTCTCCCATTCAGCAACTATATCAACTGTCTCCACTATCACCGTCCACGTCTCCGCTATCGCCATTGACCCCGCTATCGTCGCCGCTATCATCACCGCACTTGTTCGGGCTCGGGCTCGGGCTCTCAGTATTGCCACCTATCCCTGCTATCCCTGTGATCGTCACGTCTTACGACCCTGCAAAGAAGAACAACGTACGATACCCGGCTCCTCGTGACAAAGTCGAAAACATTGCCTGGACAGAAACAGCACGTTCATGGGCTCGCAAAGCCATTGTGCCGGTCAGTATTGAAGACCTTCAGTATCAGGTATAGTGTTCGATGTTCAAGTTATTCCACCGACATCAACTGATTGATGTACGTTCAATAAAGCTTCAGGAAATGTACAATGCTGGAGAGAGAGTTAGTCAACAACGTTACGTTAGTGTTCCTGTGAACCTCATATCGTGAGTAATGTTAGTCTCCTTCTGTCTGCGTATCAAATCACATTCCCACTGTAGGGATACCCTCAATATACGTGGGCGGGACAATGGATTGATTGCGAGTATCTGCACTTCAATGCCAGAAGCCATGAAGCGGCACTTAATGGATCGTCTTGTCGCCTGCTTCGATTCGGACCCGTTCAAGCCAGTAGACTCAAACTCTGCGAACGGAGGCAGAACGTTCGAGGCAATCCATTTCTCTTGGTACAATCGTCACTGTACAGTTGTACGTACATTTAATTGCTATACCGTCATGTTCTGCTCATCACAAGTCTCATTGCAGGGACACTCTGCGCCGACTGATATACCGCCTGCCTTACTGAGTAGAGCGGGTTGTAATCGGACAAATCACGGTCAGTTCATACCGTACATGTCAAAGGACATGGAAGACCACCAGGGGATCTACCAGTCCCTGAAGAAAACATTTGCAGACGTCTTCAGTTGGGTAGATGAAAAGGTGAGCTACTGTTGGCGTAGTATGTCTTGATGTGAGTGCCTAACTCACATTGTTGTAGCTTCAATCTGTCTTACCAGTCGAATACGAACGCCTTGAAGCTACCGCCGCAATTCTACCCGGCAATAACGCGTCGGTGGTCAATCCGTTCGTAGGGCTAGTGGTCAACTTGAACGTGGTCACTCGCGCGCACAGAGACAGTAAGGACGACAGCGTCTGCCTGGTCTTGCCCATTGGAGATTTTGCAGGCGGTGAGTTATGTCTAGTTGAGGCGGGCATAGTTATTCCGCTGCGACATGGGGATTTCGCGGTTTTTCCTTCCTGCAGATTCACTCATTTTAATCTACACTACACCGGATGTCGTGCGTCCATCGTTTTACACACAGACAAGGAGATGTCGAAGTGGACGGCGGATAATCGCAACGGCTGGTCTGCCAATGATCATTTCAAATGATACATTATTACTGTAGTAGTACTAGGCTAATGAGACGATCCTTACAAGGCAGTATTCTATGAATTGAAGTAGTTTGGAGCAAACTCTGTCAGCCCGGCGTGACCCCGATACAATTCGAACTCATCCAGAACATCGACCAGTCCCGACTCCCATGCCTGCAGTCTCAATCACCGGAAGAATCTCGCGCTGCCACTACCGCCGGTGGAAGCCTTCCCGAACTTCTCTCCAGCGGCGATTCGGACTTGGGGCTCTGCTCACACGGCGTGTTCTTGTTATCTGATGCATGTCCTTGCTGGCTAACGTCCATCTCAGCCGCTAGCTCACTGTTACCATTCGACATTCTCATGGCTACTCGTCAGTCCGCACGCAACGCCGCACGCCAGACGACTACGAAGCCCAAGACTGCGAAGTCTTCTGCCAAGTCAACGTCAGCCTCGAAGAAGTCAGGCGCCACGAAAACATCCTTGCCGCAGGCCGCCACGGGCTCCAAACGTCCCAGGCAAGAGACACCAGTGCCGGATGGCAAGACCTCTCAGGGCGATATCCTGTCGCCGTCCGAGAAGAAGATGTACGACCGACTGAAAGCGAAGATGGAGCAGGCCGAGAAGCAGGCGGCAGCAGACCGCAGGTCGAGTGAGTTTATCGCTCTCATTGATTCAAAAAAAAATGATTCTAACCAATATCAACCGTCATGATTGTAGACACACAGAAGCTGAGTACAGCCATGTTGCTGGCAGAGAATGCATCGGACGGAGATGTTGAGGAACACGTTGAGGAGGAAGGTGCCGACGAGGCGGATGAGGACGAGCAGCCGAGACGCAAGAAGCTGAAGAAGAACGTGGTAATCAATGACAGCGATGACGAAGACCGCGACCAGCTTGTCGATGAGGATGAGGAGGTGCAGGTGAAGTCGAGCGAGCCAGATGAAGCCCCAGACACGCCTCCGCAGCGCGGTGGGTCACTTGCATCTAATGTTTGTCGCTAAGCTAGCTACTAACATAGGTACGCTCTAAGCCAAACCTAAACCCAAGCCCGCATATGGCAAGAACAAGGGAAGGGATGCTGAGAGCGGTGAGAGTGAAAAGGATGACGGTACCCTGCCTACGCTCGACGAAGGCGAGCGTAGCCTTGCTAAGGCCCTCGGTACGCGGGTCTACCATTAATTCTAGTACTGACATACAAGTCAACTTGTTTCATAGGTCATCGATCGCCCGCTGCAAAGCAAAAGGCAACTACCAAGACGTCGCGAACGGCGAAGATTCCTGATGACGACGACAGTGGGTCAGACTACGGCGAACACCGCCGCACCACTCCCACTCCCACTCAGCCTGTCAAGGGCAAGAAGGTCTGGCGTATGGACGCGGTTGTCATTGACTCACCTCGCAAGAAGGTAAAGGTAAGCGTTCACTTCATCTCATCTATTCACCTTAATCTCGCACAAGGTGGTCGACAGGAAGGAAAAGGGCAAGGTGATCGTCCAGAAGAAGAAGCAGAAGAAGAAGGAGATCGACTGGCTGGACACCGACATGGAGTCGGACAGCGACACGGAGAAGGAGGCGGACGACGATGAAGAAGACGACGAGCTGGGCCGCGACGATGACGTATGGCAGGAAGGCAGTGAGGATGAAGAGATGGACGATGATAGTGGGGACGAAGTGATCGTAAGTCACCACCGACACGCGTTCATTACTCTAAACACCACGAATTGCAGGTTGTCAAGGCCCCGAAGAGCAAGAATAGCTATTCCAAAGGCAAGGCGAGTGCTCGCGGTCGCGGCAGTGCGAACAGAGTGAAATCCGAAGGACGTCGTCGTGCACAGGCCAGGGACCTTCCCGAGACCCTTAGGGCGGTCGCCAGTTGCTCACAGATGTATCTTCGACTCCGACTCTCCCTCGAGCATGCGTGGACGTCCGAGAAGATGCAGAACAGCAGCCAGCTGCCTTACAAACACACGCTCATCAAGAGGGCAATAAGGGACGCTCGCTCTCACCGCGCCGAGGATGGGAAGAAGATACCGTACCTCGTGAGCGGCTTCAAGATTCTCCAAACACCTGGGAAGAACCACCTCCGCGGCCAGGTCGCCACCATCGTAAGTATCTTCTTTGAATCACATCATACGATCTGATTCTATCATTGCAGGTGTGGACCGGCGTGTGTCAGTTTCGGAACGACGTCAAGAAGAAGGCGAAAATCGTCGTGGACAGCGCGTATGGCCTGGCCGGCCTCTCGACGCAGCGCAGAGTCGCAGCCGCGACATTTCTCCTCAAATTCAACATGCAGGGGAGGTTCTCAATGCCTAACTTTATCTTCGGCGACATCGACATTGCCTGGCAGGCGAACGACGCTCTTGAGGTCGACACCAAGGTAAGCACTTCGAATCTAAGTGCTCATGTACATTCTTGATGGCACCCAGGCGAGCGTCGTTAACCGCAAGAAACCCTTCCACCACAGAGCGATCTCCGATGTGATCGCTCAGCATTGGTTCCATGGCCACAGGGATTTTGCGTCTGTGGCTGCTAACGATCGGTTCAGCGAGGTTCCCAACAACCTCATTGCTCTTGTCTGCAATGCGGTACGTACTTTGCAGCTATACAAGTGGTTTGATGCTGATCAATATAGATCGAGGCCGCGTTGGTGGACATAGCTACTGGGACTCACAATTTTACGAACAAGATGTATGCGCCGAAGTGAGTTTTTTTTGTGTTGCTTTTGTGTGGCAGTGCTTATCACAGGCACCTTGGTAGGTGGGGCAACATCATGGGTATCCTCGATCAATTCGAGCACAAAGCCCCGGACGCATATGAGTCCATGAAGGCGTTGATCTGGACCAATGTCATGTATGTCGCCTATTGTTGCTGTCAGTCAGGACTAACAACGTAGCAATCAATGATTGTAGGGCGCTGGTTGACGAACAGAAGGCATCGAAGTTGAAGGATCAGGCAGAAGCAGAGGTCGACGTAGGTAGCGATGTTGATGTCGAGGAACAATTCATTGCCTGGAGTGACGTGGAGGTGGTCGAGGTCGCGCCGCCGTCGAAGCAGCCGCCGCCGCCGTCGAAGCAGCCGCCGCCGCCGTCGAAGCCGTCGTCGTCGAACCCGCCGTCGAAGCCGCCGCCGCCGCCGTCGAAGCCGTCGTCGTCGAAGCCATCGTCGAAGCCGTCGTCGTCGAAGCCGCCGCCGTCGAAGCCGTCGTCATCGAAGCCATCATCGTCGAAGACGTCGAAGCCATCGTCATCGAAGCCTGGACCTGGACGTAAGTTCAGGGTCAGTTCACTTAACTATAGATTCTGACAGCATAGGTGCAGCTTCTACAGCTGAGCAGGAATCTGCATCTCAGTTGCAAACATCGGCCGTCCACGAGGATAGCGACGACGGTGAGTTCTACGTCATTATTTTCATACTAGGTTGCACTAATCTTCATCACACCAGAAGAAGCACAGCAAGCTGTAGTCGGTGAAATGTGAACCCCAGTACCTCATGCAAGGCCCATCTCCAAGGTGAGTATTGTGTTGCTATTTTGTAGTGCCTTCCCACAATTCAATTCTTTAGATATCCAATACAACAGTCTATCATCTACGTCAATATGTCAACACTTGGAATGGGATATGAGTATGCGGTGATGTCTTCTGTCTGATCAATTTCACTCTGTGTTTATGCCTGTATGCTGTGTTTGCTGTGTAACTACGTGTAGCTATGTGTAGATGATGAATGATTATCATGCATTACAATGCTCCAATTTGGAATAAAACCCAATGCTTGAAACAAGTACCACAAGATACATGAATGCATGAGAGGCTTAAGAAGTCACCAATGAATTAACAAGTCCATCAAGACGTGAGTTGCTTGGATAGCTTGAGACAATAAAACCAGTCCGCCAAAAAAGCATACTCCTACTTGTCCATGTCCATCAAGCAAAACACTTACCTTGGCTAAGTATTAGCGAATATGTAAGACATGGAAGGCTTATTATACTTGGCAAGCAATGTGAGTTTTTCCTGATGATCATGGTCAGAGCAATGGCTCGTCCTGGTATAATGTCCTCCATCTGGGTGTTGCTTACGTCCACTATTTCCCTGTTTAGGACGAAGGCCACTCCTAGCGAGTTCCTTCCTACCGGGGCCGGTGGGTGGATAACTTTTAGTCTTCGTCCGTACAGGCTATGTATCGTTGCTATGGTCGCGTCGTCTAGGTGAGTCTCTTGTAGTGCTATCACTCCTATCCGTTGACTTCTCATCAGTTGATTGAGAGCATTCCACTTATTGTTCGTGGTTCCGGACATGTTTCCTCGCCCGCTTACATTCAGCGAGCCAATTTTAATCGTGGCTCGCGTTTGTCTACCGCACCTTCTTGGGGGTGCGGTTGGCTCTTCGGGGCTTGTCGCCCCTTCGTTACCGACTGTTGGGATCCGGCCCTCGATCGTCGGCGTGCTGTTGTTGCGTTCGAGGGCAGCCCTACCTCCGTTTCCCTCCGTCGGGTCACTCAGCTCCCGGTGGGTAGGAGGCGCCGTTCGCCGTCTCCGTCGGAGGGGAGGTGTACCATGTGTCTGGGATTCAGCCGTCTGGGTGTTTGTGTTATATTCGTTTGGTGCCGTTGCTATTCTTTCCCGCCGCTACAACGATCCGCGTCGGGCGGAGACTGCTCCTGAGTCTCTCAGGGGACACGCCAGTCCTCGCGTACGATTCATGGCTTTGGCCTCTCGGCCGAGGGTAAGTCTAAGAGTACCCTCGCTAAAAGAGAAGGGTGAGTTTCCGCGCCCGTCAGGCTTTCCTGTCCTGCTTATCGCAGCCAGTAGATTTGGGCCTTCTTGGTCACGGTCGCTCTGGGTCTTGGTTAGTATCATGTGGAGCCTGGCGTCGCCGGCTCCTTGTGAGGTTCTTCGTGCATCTCAGCTGGTCGTACTCAAGCAGGATGCATTCAACATTGCTGGGCAAGGGCAAGAGTGTAGGGTCAATTAGATATACATTGTGGACGTATTATAACCTCGCGCGACGGCGCGCGTATTCGAGGTGGGCAAGATGATCAAGATGTGTTGCGTGGAGACGAGGCGTAGATGGTACATCGAGTGAAGACGGAAAAAAAGGGGGGGAATGGGGGCGTTATGGGCTCGCTGCCTGCAGTTACTTACGACCTGTCGACGCCTTTGCCTTTGCCCTGGTAGCCGCCCCTACCTCCACCACCGTTCCTGCCCCGGTTGCCGCGTCCGCCGCCGCGTCCTCGCACTGCATTTCCACGGACTGGTCCGTCAGCGGCGCCCGGGATGACGTCGTGCCACTTTGGGAGCTTCACGAGCTCGCAGAGGCCGACCGGGTGGTCCGCGGCATGGCAGTACGCGCATCTCATGTCCTCGGTGTACGCCTCAGGCTTACCGGTGGCCGCGCTGCCGAAGTCATAGTCGCTTAGGAGTGTGCGGAACGTCTCCCAGGCGTTGGGGTCCGCGGTCGGTGGGTCGATAAAGAGGCGAACGAGGGGGTCAGGCGTGCCGTCCTGCAGCTTGACCTTGAGGTATTTAGCCTCCGCAGACGCGATGAACTTCTCGTACGCGTCGTCGATGGTGTCGTTTGCCCATATGCCGTCGTCCGCGATGTCCTCTTCCATGACGGCTTGGATGGGGACGCGCAGTTCCGGTTTCCTGAGCTCGCGGCAGAAGACGGCCGTGTACCCGTTTGGCGAGGTCACGCCGAACTTGTGCGGAAGTCTCCATGCGCCTGCGAAGCGCGGGTTCTCGGGATCGAAACGCAGGAAGCCGATCGTACCGTCGGACGTTGGGAGCCAGGCGGTCCCGATCATTTTGTCACGCTGTGCGTCGGTGATGTTGAAGCAGAGGATGGCGAGGGGGTTGTCGTTACGTCGTCTGTCCTTCAGCTTCTTGGTCGAGTTCGCGGCGACGAGCATCTCATCGCTGATGCCGAGGTGCTCATCGAGGATCTCCGTGATGGCCATGAGTCGGGCCCCGGTCTCGGGCTCGTCGGCGCCGCAGCGCGGTATGATGATGACTACCGTCGGGCCTGCGTCCGCGATCTCCTCCCAGGACTCGTACTGCTTGTCCGACATACCGTCGAACTTTTGGTACGCGTGTCTCCACCCGGACAGCGGCCACTCTGTATCAGTGCGTCGAGTTAAGGTATTGGGTACGGCGATCGCTTGGTATTGTCGCGATGTCCTCGCTAGCCCTCCCCGGCGCTGCCCTGCCAGGGATGTCGCTGGTTGCGGCGTCTGCAGCGTGCGTCGGTCATCGATGTACGATGTGGGTTCAAGCACGACTCACCGGCGTCGTTTCGAGCTCGTCCACTGCCATCATTTCTGCAGGGCGGGTCGTGCGTTGTGTTCCGTGGTTACGTGTCGGTGCGCGCGGCGTCGCGTCGTTGACGCGTCCCTGACTCGCTTTCGTAGGCGTGCGAGGCGAGGTTATACCGGTCGCGAAGAAGTCGTTCGGCGTGGCCGTGCGTGTGGGGATGTTGCTCCTGGTGGTGTGCGCTACGCGAGGGAAGGGAGTTCGCGCCCGACTCTCCGGTTGGAGACTTGCCCACGTCACCTCGCGCTCGTAGAAGGCGGGCAGGTCCTCGTCCATGAATCCCGCCACAAAGTCTTCCGTCGCTGGGATGATATCGGGTACGACGTCCAGGCTGGACACGATATCCATGTTTGAGGTCGTCGACTCGTTGTCAGAGTCCTCGCCGTTGCCGCCGACGTCTCCGTCGTCCTCCACGATACTCATGCCGTCCTCGTCGTAGTTTTTGCGCAGGGGATGGAGGGACTCAAGGCCGTAGTCAGCTAGCGGGGGTATGATGATATCCCCGTCACGACGTACATAGGTTCTCATCGTGCGCGCGGGGGCGTCCTGGCGTACGTCCGTGGTAGCCTGCTCCTCGCCATTGCCGACGTCCTCCGACACGCGGCGTCTCTTTCTAGCGTCGCTCGGGGTGCGCGTCCCTCCCTCCGTCTTCTCTTCCCCGGTCGTAGCAGCCGGTCCGACGTGCTTGGTTGGCTTCTTGTTTGCGCGTTTGAGCGCGACGGCCGCCGCTTCCCTGGCTTTGCGGCGCGCCGTGGCCGATTTTCCCTTGACTGGGATGTCGATGGGCTCGGAGGGGGTCGGTGTGTCGTTATTGGTCGCTGGCGCTTGGGCGTCGGCGTCCTGGGCCGGTTGGGTGACGGCCTTAGCGATGATGGGCGGGGCCTCAGTCTTGTCGTCAGTGTCGCCTATCTCGCCCTGGGTCGCGTCAGGCTTCGGCGCATTCATGTCGGGTGCAGGGGAGGTTGTCGACTCCGGTTGCTGGTCCCCAGCTTCGACGCCGCTAGGACTCTTCTCCCTAGCGTCCGGTGAGCTCGTCTTCGGTCGCCACGGGTTGCGGGACGGCGTGGGGTTGGTCGAGTCTGTCGTCAGCTGGGCGGCAGGCGTCAAGGTGGCGTCTGGCTGGCTTCCCGTGAGTTTGGTCTGTGGTTCCTGCATGGTGCGAGATCGAGTGCAGCTACGAACGGTGCGGTGAGGCAGAGGTTTTCGCGAGTGAAGTGTTGTGTAGCTGGTGGTGTCGGTCCTATAGGCTAGGGGGATACCGAGGGTATGCGTTGTACGGGGCGTCACTTTATTTCGCGTCGGTTGGCGTGTTCGCTTTCGAGTCCGAGGGGCGCGCCTTCCCGCATTGTGAAAGTGGGGCTTTCATCGGCGCTGGTATGGCATGGTCGACAGGGATTCACGTTGTCGCTGTGTTCCAACGCGCTCGGTGTAGGCATCGCCTTTCCTTTACGGTGGCGGGCTGCAGGGTCGTGTCATAGCCCTAGCCAATGAGTGGCCACTCATGTCGTTACTGGGCGTGCCTGTGCGTCCGGATCGGTGCTGTGATCCTTCCTGTCGCAGTTGTCGCAAGTTTGCTTTGGGAGGGTTTGTGGGTTTCTCCTAGCTCGGTACATTCCGTAGTTGTCGCCCTTGGAGGCGTGTTGTTGTGGTGGGGGACGGCTCTGCTCGAGGAGTTGCGGCGGTGGCTGGTCGTTTGTGTCGTGGCCGTAGTTTTGGATTCGAGCGCCTAGTGTTGGTTGTGTTGGCTATTTGCGGCTATGGGCGCTCTTCATCGGTCATGATGGCTGTTTATGGTAACAGGCGGCTGTCACCGTCGGCGTCTTTCGTTCTCATCTTCGTGCGTTAGCCTGGGTTTATGATGTCTCGTTTTGGGCCACCGTTGCTGCGCGGCGCTTCGTCTGTTCGGACTAGTTCCGTCTTTGTTTTTCCGATCGGCGTACACTGGCAGGTGTACGTTCGTTTTATTTGGCACCCACGGTCTGCTCATCTCGTGTTTACAATTTTAGTCTAGTGATCTCGTTATTCGCCCCCTATTCCTCCTGTTGGTAGGGTGCGTTAGGGTCGGATCTCCTCTCCGTTATCCGACGAAGTCTACGGTTCTCCTCTAGATGTTTCGCGAGGTGGGTGAGTTCGCGTGGATCCAGGTCGAATTCATACGGGTTCTTCGAGTCGTCCATGAAGATGTGTCGGTGCATGAATGCCCTGTGAGGGCCAGGGTGTCTGGACAGGTGCATGTACGCTGACGTGTGAGCATATTGCTCGAGCTTGCCCATATTTGCCCATGGGATCGGGACTCGGATCTGCGTGTGGTCGCCGCCGTCTTTCAGGCGAAGCGTTATCCAATGCCTCGTGATATTGGTCGCTATCGTTATGCGTCCTGTGCCGACTATTCCGGCGGACGAGCGCATGCTGATCATGTGCCCGCGAGTTAGTTGTCGCGGTGGCTGGTTTCGTATCGCCCATATTGTTCTCAGCTCGCCGTCGTTTCCCTGCTCCGGTTCGTCCTCCACTTGCACTTCGAGGGATCTGAAGGTGTATGCGAGGTGTGGGGCGTATGGGTGGGATCTGGGTGTAGGGCGCGCATGAGCGGCTGCAGGCGTGTGTGTTGTCGTCCTTGTGGTCGTTATGTTGTCGTCGTGTAGAGTGGTTTCTGCTCCACTCTTTTGGTGAAAGGTGAGGAACATAGCGCCTGGGTTGGTGATTCCTGGCATCCTCACCTCTTGGTTATAGGTGGCCTCAAGGCGTTTATTTTGACGTGGCGTCATTCATTCTATGTGTTTTATACGTAAGGTGCTTCTTCAAGGCAGATGTGGCAGACGTTTGACTACCTTTCAGGTCGTTGCTGTAAGGGAGCGTGGATGGGGTGTCAGCGTCCCCTATCTCGCCTGCATCAGGGGTTTTCAGCTTATAATCTGTCACTCGTTTACTTCCGAAGGCTCATTTCTATTCTGAGCTACATCTGTCCATCCGTGATGTTCTTTCCGATCACGGCCACGTGACTCTCGGGGTTCGCCGCTTTCTCGTCTGGGCGTTGAACTTTATTCTGTTTATCTACGGCGGCTAGCCTGACGGCGCTTCTGGTGGGCGCTTAGGCCTCACATTAGCGCTCGCTGCTCATCGTGTCGGGGTGTCTGCTCGTCGTGTAATGGACTGGCTGCACGTTTGAAGCGTGTAGTTTCGCTTAACTCTGGCATTGTGTGCCTAGGGTGCTATGGCCCTTCTTTCGGGTGGTGTTCCCGTTCATCCATCCCCTGTAGGGGGGTGGATTGTAGACAGTTGCTACGGATGTAGGCTTTGCTACTTCCTGAACTTCGGAGCTGGTGTGGCTTCTTAGTCCTTTAAGTGCATGTTGGTTTCGCCTCAGAGAGGTTACTTATCCCCCGGACCACGAAAAGGTCTGCACAGGACTCGTCTGAGCGACGGAGCCCTCCCGAGGGTCTGAGCGACGGAGCCCTCCCGAGGGTCTGAGCGACGGAGCCCTCCCGAGGGTTCTGAGCGACGGAGCCCTCCCGAGGGAGTCGGATGTTAGGGACTTCGCAGGTAAGTGACAGAGTGCGGCATAGATGCCGCTCGACCGTGAAGCCCTCTCAGCGGATGATGAGGGCCTCCGAGCCGGGTCACGTTGGCTGACGATACCGACGCTACGGAGATTGAGGATGGAAAGTAAAGAGGATGCGCACCGCTGCGGCAGACACATGATGGGTGCCCTGACAGGCCGTCGGCGCGCTCGGAGGGCAGGCGTAATCCTGCAGAGATGAATACGCAGGCATGAACGAGCGATAGCAGTTCATTTTGGAGGACGCTCGGAAGCACATGGACCTGCAGGACGAGGGAGATGGTGGCTGGACAGGTCAGGCACGAAGTGCTTCCCCAGATTTCATTGAATGCGAAGCGCTGTGGTCGATGGGCGTGCCAGTGAGCGCAGTCTCGCAGCCGGTTCGGCGTAGAAAGGCGGCTGAGAACGCTGGGGATGCTGTGCCTGAGAAATGAAGGAGGGCGAGGATGGGGGAGAGGCAGAGGCTCTGAGCCGGCGGCGGGATCGCAGGAGCATGTGGGCCCAAACCCCAGCTTCCTAATTGGGCGGGATACCCCTGCCGGGTGGCGGCGCGGGGAGGTGCGAGCAAGAGTGAGAGGCCGAGCGAGTCTCGCAGCTGCCCTCATCTCGTCCCCGCCCCCGCCCGCCCTGGCATCCCCACCCGCCCCGCAGCGCTCGCATCCGAGCCTGCACTATGGCCATTGGAAAATGGATCCCCTTCGGCCCAGCGCAGAGCTCCCCCGCTGCCCCCGTCGTCGTCGCCGCACAACCGCCCGTCATCTCCTCCGCAGACGCGAAGCAGTTTGGTCTTGAGAATGTAAGTCGTTCGTGGCTCTGATACCTGGCGTCTTTAGCTGACCGGGCCTCGTCGGTGTAGTTTGGGAATACTTGGTGAGTTTGTCTCCGCTATTTCTAGACGTTTGTTCCGTCCACGGCCAGCGCGTCCGATGGCTCTATGCACGCCACCATCCACGACCTGTGCATCTCTTGCGCTCAAGCAATCTCTCTGTCGTACTCCCTCCTGCTCGACGTACGAGCGTGGCCTGCTCGTGGCCCTTATCGGCGCTGCTGCGTTTTCGCTCACGCTCGGTTGCACACCTCGCGTACGATCCGGATGTGCACGTCCTTGTCTCGTTCTGCGACCCCGGCGACACGAGTTGCGAAGTCCCCCAACGCAAGCTATCTTGGCATACCCGCGGGGTGCGCCATGAGCCATGCTCGACCGTGTGGCTTGTCTCAGAACTGGGTACCGAATTGCTGCCCCTCTGGTCTCCGCGCTGCGTGTGTGCATGCGCGTCTCCTACACGCTCTAGGATGTGCAAATGCACGTACTGTCCCCCGGACGCGTCGCAGATCCTTGTTCGTCAGAAATCCGTGGGTGTCGGCCTCTCCGGGTATACACCAACGGCGTACCCGGAACGGTCCAATGACGAACGGGGTTCTGTGTCGGGTTGTCTATCGGATAGAGCAGCGGTGGGACTGGAGCACGAGCATAGGATTTGTCAACATCTCTGCAATTCCCGGTTGGCTCTGCGTTGACATCCGTGAAGGCTCCGAGGCGCAACCGAGTACTACGGGCTCGGATGTGTCTGTTCTCTCCTCTGCTGTCTGGCTTGCACAGTGCACCGGGTCTGCATTCTGTGCTACTAGCCCATAGCAGGAGTGTTGCCTATGGACGTTCGTCAGACTCCGTGGTCATCGGACGTGCTGGACATGTATCACTCAAGCAGAAGGAGATAGAAACGCAACGTCCCCATACGCGCAGTAGCGCATACGAACTCTTAGCGTGCGCTCTGCGATTGCTGCCCGAGGACCCAACGTGTCTCGAGTTCGCACCCGGCGTTGTTCATCCCTTTCCGGGCTAACCTTGTAAGTCGAGAATACTGCTGACGCCGTCCTCGCAGCTACGCCAACTCTGTTCTCCAAGCACTCTACTTCTGTGGCCCCTTCCGCGAACTCCTCGAGCAGTACCCCGATCCCTCCGCGCCTGAACTCCCGCTCTTGCCGCCACACCCCCGCCCGCGCCCCTCTCGCCCGCCGCCCAGCCACAACCACCACCACCAAATGCCCGCCGACGACCGGATCGGAAGTACTCCGTCTCCTCGACTGCCTCCCCCCAGCCGGGCTCCTCGCTCACCACGTCGCCCGCGAATGCGTCTGGCGCGTACATGATCCCGTCACACCCGCCGACGCTGCTGTCCGCGCTCCGATCGCTATTCGTGCACATCAGCAAGCACCCCGCGGAGCGTGGCACGGTCGCGCCGCGGGCGTTCATCGACAAGCTGAAGGAGCTCAATGAGGTCTTCCGCGGGTCGATGCACCAGGACGCGCATGAGTTCCTCAACTTCTTGCTGAATAAGATCGTGGAGGAGATGGAGGACGACAGGCGGAATGGAACGGGCGTGTGGCAGGTGAACGGGTACGGGAACGGGAATGGAGAGAAGGCGGCGGGGAATGGGGTGGCGAATGGGAGTGCGGCGGGGAGCACGTTGAACGGGGAAGATCGTGAGTCGCTCGGTATGGCTCGTCTCCGGGGATCCTGACGACTGTCTCCGTCAGTGTCTTCGTCCATCGCGACGCTATCCACCACCGCGGCCGGACCGTCGTCCACCGCCTCCAAGACGTCGCAGCCGTCCACGTCACATTTCCAGGCGACACTCGTGCACCGGCTGTTCGAGGGCGTGCTCACATCCGAGACGCGATGTTTGACGTGCGAGACGGTGTCCTCGCGGGACGAGAGCTTCTTGGACTTGAGCATCGACATCGAGCAGAACTCGAGCGTGACGGCGTGCCTGCGGCAGTTCAGCGCGAGCGAGATGCTTTGCCAGAAGAACAAGTTCTTCTGCGACAGCTGCTGCGACTTGCAGGAGGCGGAGAAGCGGTACGTAGGTTCTCCATCAGACTGCGTGTGTACCTCTGGATTGATGGTGGATTGCGTTGGTGGCAGGATGAAAATCAAGAAGCTGCCTAATATTCTGGCGTTGCACTTGAAGCGGTTCAAGTACCAGGAGGACTTGGGGAAGTACATCAAGCTCGCGTACCGCGTCGCGTTCCCTCTCGAGCTTCGCCTCTTCAATACTGTGGACGACGCTGAAAACCCAGATCGGCTGTACGAATTGTTTGCTATAGTCGTGCATATCGGAAAGTGCGCGTCGTTTCTTCGGATGGCTTGCGACAGGTTGAAGTAATGATATCCTCCACAGCGGGCCACACCATGGTCACTACGTGACGATTATCAAAGCCCACGGGATGTGGCTGCTCTTCGACGATGACAGCGTGGACGTCATCAAAGAATCCGACATTCCGAGGTACTACGGCGAGTCGACGAACGGCTCCGCATACGTCCTCTACTACCAGGCCGTCGACCTCGACATGGCTGCCCTCGGCCTGAAGAACCCCGAGCCGGCGCCCTCAGCGACAGACATGGGTTCCGCCCCCGCAGCGAAGCCCGCCAACTCGGCCACCGTACCGGTGACGGGGTCGAGTGAAGTCGATTTGGGCTCGCCGGCGTTGCCCCCAGGTCTGACGGAAGAAGACTCGTCTGAGCGGAGCGAGTCGAGCTCGCCCCTCCCCGCCACCCCCGCCTCTCAGCCCATACCCCTCACGTCTGGTCAAACAATAAAAGGGCCCTCGGTACCGCCGCTGACGATACCGTCGTCGCAAACCATGTCTGACCCGTCGACGCCCGTGCAGTCCACTTCGTTAGGGAGCAATGGCAGCGGTGGCACTCTGAGCGGATTGTTCAACACACTCCGGCACAGCCGCTCGGAGAAAGGGCCAGACATCCGGAAGAGCTGGCTGAACGTCGATTCGTCTCAGGTACCACCAGTGCCGTCGCTGCCGTCGCCGACCGCGAAGAAGCGCCCGCGCAGGCCGACCACGCAACGAGCGTGGCGAGCACAGCGGAGGGGTATGAGAGCCCGAGCGAGCCGGGTAGCCCGTCGCTACACTATAACAACGCAGCGAACGGCTCGAGCACGAGCACGGGGAAGAGCCCGGAGAAGAAGACGAGTGGCTGGTTCAAGCGGAAGAGCTCCCGCCTCGAGGTGTCGTTCAGCGGGACGACGTCCCCGTCTGCGGGTAAAGACGACGCCGCGTACGTGCGGGCGCAGACTGTCAAGGAGGGTGCGTCGGTCTCCCGCCGGGGGTCCACGTCCGCGGCTGCGTTCGGCTCTGCGTCAGGCCCGTCGAACGTACCCTCGGTATTCAGTGGATCTATGGGAACGTTGTCGATGACTCCTGCGCTTCCGCCAGCGGCCGTCCCAGAATCGCCCGTGCAAGCACGGAATGGGTTACCTGACCACAAGAAGTCCACGCCCGACTTGCCGAAGAGCAAGGTTAGCAGTCATGACGTCGTCCACACTGGCTAGACTCCCGCGGAGACCGTCGACGGCAGGTGCGACGGTTGGTTCGAGCAGTTCGACGTGGACAGACTCCCAAGCTCCGCCGCTTCCACCTCTACCTGGTTCGTCGTATCCTTCACCAGAGCGAGACGATAATGGGGAGCGGCAAAGGACGTTGTCGACTGGTGGTCAGCACGCGCCTTCGTCACCCCGAGCAGATCACTCGCCCAGCTCCCACCCGATGCCACCGCCCGCGACACGCAGACCGAGCACCTCGCCAACAGCTATTGGCTTCTCGACAAGCACGTCTACTGGGAGCACGGTGTCGTACGGGAGCCCTGTCGAGGGCTCGTCGGGGAAGAAGCGAGCAACGCGCAAGCTGAGCTTCTCGGCGCCGATGCTCGGGTTCGGGCGGAAAGACAAAGATAGACATAAGGACCAGCCGCCGCCGAGCTCGTTCGCCGCACGGTGACCCGCCGACGCTACTCGGTGCCGATGTGGACAGTATGTTGTATGTGCGTCGTCAGCATCTAGACCATCTCCCTTCTTGTGCATATCCTTCGGCTTTCGATGCCTGCCGTTCGTCCTATGATTATCGCTTTCCGCATGCTTCCGCCAGTCGTTTGACCCCGCTCCAGTCGTGTACCTTTACATACTTGCCACTTGGTTGTAATCCTCTCGTGCCGCACGTTCACGTTCACGTTCCCTCGCTTCGCGCTATCCAGCCCCATCAACAGTCGTTTTATCTTATGTATCGTCCTGCCGCTGCACCGTTTGAAGGAGTGCGCCTGATACGGTCGAATAGTAGTGAGTCCAGCCACGGTATCTACATCACAATGTACATATAGCAACCTGCACGGCTAGCTAATACCTCAGTGTAAATCATGAAAGCTGTTCGGGTGGCGGGGTTTGCCTGGCTTGTCGAGTCTCGGAGGTCTCGACGACTTGAACGAAGATAAAGTAAGGCTGCCAGTGGCAGCCACCCCCGCCACTTCGGGCCCCTCGCTCCTGGCTTGTTCCTTGCCACTGCCCACCCGGAATGCAAAGGCACTTTTGGCGTTACGAGCACCCATGACTGAGCCGCGCTTTCACCCTGATGCAAGGTACGATTCGGTAGAAGGTGTGTGGTACTAACCTCCTAGTGTGCATCGCCAATACACTAATTTTGACCCTCTAGCGACCGAACGGTCCTGGCAGCAGGAGTTCCGGGGCACTACCGATGTCTTGTACACCACGCTGCAACGCTATATGAGCCAGAATACGCCACGGCCGTACGCACGCTATGCTGCTTTTACTCAGTCCTCGGGCTCCGGGAAATCACGAATGAACGACGAGCTCGCAAAGAAGGTCCTCTATATTCCCGTCAATCTAGGGCCTGTGGGCGGAGACGGTACGTCGATTATCCACATGGTGCTATATGTTCTCATTTGATGCTTCCGGCAGTTTACCCTCCAGCGGACGATCAAGCTTGCTACTGGTTCTCCGAGTATGCGAACACCCCGCAAAGCTGCTCACGCCGCGTGCAAGCGTTTGTCTGTGCTCTCTTTGCAACTGTGCTGGAGCGTTTGAAGCAGATTGAGGAAGATACTGGGACGGCAGTGTCCAATGGTGCTTTCTATATTGGATGAGCGCTGTCTAGCGGGGCTGATAGGGCTCATGAAGTGTCGACAACTACTGCGGAGGACGTCCTGGAGCGCGTGACGCAATTGGCGAGTGAGTTCAGGATGAAGATGAACGATGGCATGCGGTTTGGTCAGCATGTCAACTACCGAGTGGGCTTCTTTGAGTCCGTGGCGGAGAGAGCCAGCAATGTGAGTATGCGTGTATTAGTTTTTTGTGATACATACAGTATGTCTCATACACTCTTTGCCGAAGACGATCAGCGTGCGAAGGCAAGACGGTTCAACGAGTCAGTGCTGTCCATCTTTTGTTATATACATATTGCTGAAGGATGACAGTCGGTCGGCAGGACGAGACAGTCTGGACCATCGCACGCAAGTTGACGGACTACCTCGACCCCGTCAAAGCGTGTCGCGATGAGCCGCTTGTGATACTGTGCTTCGACGAGTATCATACGCTCACCAAGCCCCAGGCAGCCTCCCATGGCTGGTCACCATTCACAGTGCTGAGGAACGTCCTCCACACGATTGTTGACCTCCCAATCTTTACTCTCTTCGTATCTACCGTAAGCAACGTCGAACAGGTTGTCCCGCACATCCAGCAGCAGGGGATGTTCCCACCCATCGTCTTGACCTCATTCGACATCTTAGCCGAACGCTTGCCCGAGTCAGGCTGGACGCTGAAGCGAGTCGCATCCACACACCACATGGTGCATTTGGGCCGACCAATGTGAGTCATACACCATGACGTACTTGCGATGCTCATGGTGTGTTGTAGGTTCGCGGCGATGTATGATGCGGGTCGCCAGTCATACCAGCGAGACATCATTCACCTCGCGAGGATCAAGCTACTGTGCTCGCAAACAGCGCCCGAGTTTCTGTCAAACGTGCAGTCACTGGCGTGCATCGGATCACGCATCCCAATCAAATTCAAGACTAAGACTATTGATGAACCCACTAGTGAAATCATGCTGGTGGCGTCGCACATGCGGATGCTGCTTTACGTTAGCAGCGGTTTTGCGGGCGTGATCACCGACTGTCCATCCGAGCCATTGCTCGCGGAGGCGGCATATACGATCCTGGCTCTTAGACGGCGGTCAGATGCGGCAAAGCGAGTCGGATAGCAATCCCCTTTGCCGACAAAAGGGTCATGCCAAGGTTCTCAGAGCCCATACCCGCCCTCTCGTATCATCTCCACTGGTCCCATCTGGACTGTGGTAGTTCGCGAGGAGAAACGGTCGCCGCTGCCCTGCTGCTTGATGCCCGCGATCGTGCGACTACATTTCCTCTCGCTGCCGACGAACCGCTGCCTGGGATCGACGATATCGGGGACGACTGGGATCTCATGTACGACGGTGCTCAGAAGCGTCGAATCGTCACCGTGCCGCAATTCTTGCGGGCGCTCCTAGCAAAGTCTTGCCACGACATCCTTCCGGCCGAATATGACAGGCCCGAAAAGGCGGACGTTCCACTCGACGCCGCATTCAAGGATTGTTTCATCTACTTCAACCACTTGATACCAGCATCGACGTCGTGAACCAGATGTACCTCCGACTCGCCATGTCACGCGGAGCGGCCTACATCTGCGCGGACAACGAGGACAACATGGCCATCATCATTCCGATTCTATTCGGCACTGTGCTGGTGCAAGAGAAGGTGTCCGCGATCATGGTGCAGGTAATGAACAACAGGCGGTTCACAACGAAGGTGGAGCGTTATCTGTTCGACTTGATGAACCCGTACAGGTGCGGTGTTTTCGACAGCAAGGTAAAAGCCCCGCCTCCGGTCATACGCATGTTCTTCGCACTTGCTTCGCCCGAGTCGTCCGTGACGATCCCCTCGCAACGGCTCACCCCCAACACAGGCGTAGGCAGATATACTGCGTACGATATCTGGTGCGCCGGCGCGCGTGGTTCAACATTCGCGGTGGTCCAGGAAGACGAGGAGGACGTGCTCGCCAGGCTCCTCGAAACACTACGCGAGCACCGCGAGGTCGCGAAGTTGTATGAGGACCCCTGGCATCCAGAGTCAGAGTCAACGGTACATGCTATCCGGACAATGAGCCCAGGTACCTCGACGCATCGTAGCTACTTTGAGCAGTGGTTTGACCTCGAGGATTCCGACGAGGAAATTGAACTTGCAGAGCCGGAGTCCGAGTAGATGATGTCTTGATAGGGCCGCAGTGTATTATATTGGCGTTTGAGATTTTGTAGCTGTAGGTGTATGTACTTTGGTCGTGAGGCGATTTTGAGGGATCGTACATCAGATACCGTGCATGATGTAGAGCTAAGACGAATGCAACTTTTGTGTTGAGCTCGACGATCGCAGGGAGAGTGCGAACTGAGTAGCTGGGATACCGTGATGGGGCGGCGTTCTCCTCCAGGCTGGGTCCTTTGACTCGGGAACATGTCCCGCCGGCACAGAATAATACTAGACACGTTAGTGGGTTGAAGCAAGCCATGTTCTTCCGCAACCTCACTTCGAGTAACCCCGTACACGCTGGCACATACTAAGAAACTGTCCAAATTACCAGCTATATGAATACATTAAGTAGTGATACAACATCCGTTCGCCACCGCACCTTGTCATGCGCGCGACGCGCCGTGCGCAGCCCCGCCCGCCGTGTTGCCCTCACCTCCATCCTGCGGAACGTCGCCCGGCACCGCAGACCGCCGCACAACCGCCGTCCACGCGCGCCTCACGCACCACGCGACCAAGTTGAATATCCTATGACACCCGAATACGAGGTATTGCAAAGTGAACAGCACGCCGGAAAGGAACGACACGACAAGGACCGCGCTCGGCCACTCCGCCCACGCGACGGTGAGGAGGAAGATCATGAGGCACATCGCGGAGACGAGCATGCAGAGCGTCGGCACGCGGCAGTAGAGGCAGAAGAAGAAGTACGTGCCGTACACGTCTTTCGCGATCGTCTGCGAGCGAGGATCAGATCAGACATGCGGGGCGGATACAAGGGTTGGCCGGAGCTTACTTGGAACTTTTGTGCGTCCGCGTTGCTGTAGGAGAACACGAGCAGGGTATCGAGGAAGAGGCCGAGGCCAGCGGAGATAGCACCCAGCGCGACGACCTGCCGCGCGAGCCCGTCTATGGGAAATATAGAGCCTGGCGCGAGGCCGAAGATGGCTGCATCGATACCCGCCAACGCAAGTAGCTGTGTCACCGATTTCCAATAAGTTTATGAAGGCCTCGTCGTGGGACCAAGATGGGCAACTCACAGAAGCGGCGGCGACGTACCACTCCGTCAGGAGGCGCGCGAGCACCTTGTCGAAGCGCTCATGGTTTTGCGTCCGCTCCGCCTCGTAGAGATCGGAGTAGGGTGCGACTCGGTCCAGCATCCTCTCACCCCATGAGAACTGCGGGGACTCTGCCTGTTCGCTGTAGCGCGGGAGGACGTCGGGCGTATGCGCGCTATGCACAAACTCGGGTGTTTCCTCCATCGCGATTGCAGGTTCGTACGTAGATTTATCAGTATCGTCCGCAGGCGGAAAGTACTCGTCCTGTGGTGCGTCTGGGTATGCAGATGCCTCTGAACCGGAGACAGCGTCCTCTTCATCGTCAGTGTTGAGGCTGTAGCCGCGTATTCGTCGTTTGCGCCTCCGAATTCCATTTGGCGGTTTACCTGACGGTTCAGGTGTGAACCCACCAACCGCGGTGACTGAAGGACTTCTTGACGCTGTTCCGCGTCAGCTCGCAGCCTCCTAAGGGGTGGAACCGAAGACGTACATGAATGCTCTGAAGGGGTGTCTTCTCCAGGCTCTGACGGGTATAACTCCTGGGAGGTAAATGTGGGAGCAACGGGTGTTGGTGCATGTAGTCTGACAACGAGGTTGGCATGGTGCTGCTGCCGGCCTCTGACAGTCGGGCCCTTCTTTTGAGGAGTTGGGCACGAGAGACGCACGTCTATCGCTGCCCGGGATTATGGCCGTAAGAAAGAGTATTGCACAGGATGATACCACAAGACTCACTGGAGCCTGGTCGTCCTTGCTTTCCAGCGAGCTCGCCGAGGGAAACGAAGGCAGAGGCGACGAGGTGCTGTTTCTTCCTATGCTTATGGGATTTATGGAGGACTCTGATGTCGATCTTGCTGCGGTGGTTGACGTGGTGGCTGTGACGCGCATGAGATAGGAAACGAGAAACCACTCGCGGCAGTACCCACAGTGTCAACGGAATCTTCGTGTTCGGGTTTTGCCCGTCACAGCCCAGGGCTACTTCATGTGACTGGGCCGATCTACCACGTCGAGACAGACGACCGGCCGCCACGACTTTTCAGGACGGACAAATAGCAAGCCCTGTGTACGGACAACTGTGTGCAAAAGTCAGGAGAGCACTTGGCATGTCATGTCAATGCCAACTGGGAGCGTACTTGTCAAGAACCAAGGACTGTGGGATACATCGACGCATCGCGGACATGACAAGAGGCCATGGTCAGCAAGTCGACTCCGCGATGTAGGAGCCAACATACGTACTCAGATGCATCTTCAGCGACGACGCGCGACGGCATAACAGTCCTGCCCTTCGATACAGGCGCAGGTAAAGCAGACGCGTCGTCGGGCAGAGCTGGAGTTATGTATAGACTGAGGTCGGAGGCGGTGCAGGAGACGTCCTCGGAGCAGGTAGGCGGTGCCGATTGCAAAGTGCGAGCGATGGACAGGCGCTGTGCTCGAGCTGGCGAGACAAACACTGTATGTCCACGCACAACCGCTGGCTGGCTGGAGTAGACCCGACGGAGGGCTTCCGGGCAGCTGTGAAAGACTCTGAGATGCTCATTGTGGGTCTATTCGACACAGGGTATGGCAGGCATTGGGCGCCGGCGCTTATAGCATTATCGGATATATAAGTAATCTGGCATCTAAGTACATAACTCGTCGACCGGATCTGCCACTGCGATGTGTGTACAACTGCACAGGGGCAACATAGAGATGCGTGTATGACAGCGCGGGGGCAACATAGATTCGACCGACATGTATGCTCAATGAGGGCGCCGGGATAGGATCGAAACAGTGTCGACGCAGCAAGCATTTCCCCGCAAGTATGGTGATATAGTCCGCCTTGCGATGCGATGCTGGCACTATCGAGGCCAAGACTTCACAACAACCAGTGTCGGTCTAAAGGAATCCTGTCAGTAAGTGGTCGAGACACCGAGAGTCCACACCGTAGTCAGTTAAGAGGTACTAAAACGCTGCGCACCTCCAATCGCGAAGCTGAGGCCCTGCTAAAGCATGGGAGCATTGTCATGCATGAAAATGCATACCATGCAACCAGCTTTCGCGGCGTCTCCACGCGAGCGAGTGTTGTTCCGAGTCGGATGCGGAAGAGCTGTTTCCTCCCCCACTCTGCAGAGCAAGAGCGGCACAGTAAATCACGCCGAACAGAAGCACATCGAAGACAGTGTGTTCTCGTCGTGTTCTCGGCGCCAAGGGAGCCCAACAACTCTAAATATTTTGGCTTGCTGTCAATCACGCATGTCGCCAGCTTGTTCATTATTCGCACCTCGTTCTCCAGTGACAGCGATGTGCCACCCTCCCCCCAGCCTATACACCAGCACTTTGCACCACCCGCTGCCCGCCACGCAACCAGATAGAAACCCGGGAGCAGCCATACACAAGGTACTGCAGGGAGAACAGCACACCGGAGAGGAACGACAGTGCGAGGACTGCGTCGGGCCACTCTGACCAAGCCACGATGAGGAGAAAGACCGTCAGACACATCGCGGAGATGAGCACGCAGGCAGCCGGGACGCGGCAACGGAGGCAGAAGGAGAAGTAGGTGCCGTCGGCATCTTGTGCAGTGGTCTATGGGTCCAGATGAGATACGGTTGCACAGGAAGTCGGGTGACCAGACTTACTCTGAACCTTTCTCCGTCTATGTTACCGTACGAGAACAGAAGCGCGGTGTTGTGGAATAGGCCTAAGCCAGAGGAAATAGCTCCAAGTGCGACGATACGGCGCGCGAAGCCGTCTACGGGGAAGATGGAGCCAGGCGCGAGGCCGAAGACGGCCGCATCAATACCTCCCAGCGCAATCAACTACAGCACACATAAGACTTAGCAAAGACAAGCATCAAATTTAAAAAACATATACTCACCGAAGCAGCAGTGGCGTACCACTCGTTCCGGAGGCGCGGAAGCACCTCGTTAAAGCGATCCTGCTGTGTCCCGTGAAGCTCGGTATACGGTGTAAGTCGACGTAGCGTCCTCTCGCCCAGTGACGACAAAACGACGCCCAGCGACGACAAAGCGACGCCCAGCGACGAGGAAAATGACGAGATCCTTTCTCTCAACGTTGACACTCTGTCGCCCCAAGTGTTTCGTGCCGCATCCGCGGCAGGGTCGCTCACGTCATACGGAGGGACAAAGAGTGATTGTCTCTACACTTCATGCTCAGAGTCGGGGGTTATGTCCAGCGCGGGATATTCGGAGACAGCCGCAACATCTTCTGCGTTGGCATCGACGTCACAGCCACGTAGTCGTCGGTCTCGCCTACGTAGGCGACGTAGTCGTCGGTTCCCACTCTTGTCACCATTCACTGGAGGGTGATGCAACTGTTCCGGTGAGAGCCCATCGCCCACGTTGTCTGAAGCACCTATTAGAGCTGTTCTACATGAGTTGGCTACCATCCAGCGGCATCGGCAGTGACACAGGAACGCACATGTTAGTTCTATTGAAGTGCCATCGTCAGACTCTGACGGCTATACCTCCTTCACGGGAGAGATGGGAAACGGAGACGTAGGTGCACGCAAAGTGACGATAAGACTAACGTGACGCTGCTGCCGGCCCCCAACAAATCTGATCGTTGGGCTCCAGGGAATCGTGCACGAGAGAGGCACATCGATTTCTGCCCAAGGTGGTGAAAAAGGGGCGCACAAGACAGTAATAGCACTTACTGGGGCTTGTTTCTTCAGCTAGCCCGCCGAGTAAAACGGACTCCGAGGCTATGAGATGCTGTTGTTTCTTCCTGCGCTTATGCGATTTATACAGAATACGAATGTCAAGCTTGCTATGGTGGTTGACATTATGCCTGCAACGCGTTCGCCCAGGCGGTTGGCTGCGGCTTCGAGAAATGTTACTCACAGTCTAAAAGGGGTCTTCGTATTCGGATTTTGGCCATCTCGGCCCAGTGTCAATTCATGTGACTGAACCCCATCTACGTCCAGACAGACGACCGGTCGCCACGACTTTTCTGGAGGAGTGAATGACAGGCCCTCAGTACGAAAGACTAAACAGCAGCCACATAGTCAGGCTCTGAGCGCGAATAAGATCTCGGCGACGTACTTGTCAATAACCATGGACTATGAGCGGGCAATGAGTCGTGCCACAGCGGTCAGTGCCCCCAGTCCGCGACAAGTTCTGGAAAGACTTACTCGGGTATGTCCTCGGTAGTAATGTGAGACGGCATTCTGCCAGTGGTCGTTCTTTCGACGTTTACTGTAAGCGTAGTGAGTGAGATCTTGTGGGAAGAGTCGAGGTTACATAAGTACTTACGGGGAGATGTCCAGAGCAGTGCTCAGACCTGCTCGTCCGCAGGCCTTCGCAGCCAACCGCGCGTCTTGTGCATGTTTAATCAGATGTGACGCTGTGCTCATTTTGGTCATATGTGGCTCTTCTTGACGGGGTCGACTCATCAAGAAGCAGGACCCGGCAGGACAGCATGGTCAGTGTCTCGACAGCGATACGATGCGACGTAACTTTGTGGCGCAGAAGTTACTGCCAGCGCAGTATCATCACGGCAGCAGTATCGCTATATATGTCCCAGAGTCCCTGAGTAGCTATTTCGAGTTGTGACTGAATTGACATGAACAGCAAGCGTAAGAAGACTAGGAGACAACAACAACTTGCAAACTAGGACGCCAAGCGCATCAACGCCACTCGACCGATCGGGAACAAACGCTGAGCGCTTCCCCACCGGGCGGCGGGCGGGTGCGAGAGCCATGACAACGACCACCGGTGCTATCTTGGGTCGTTCTAACATAGCGCGAATATTCTGTGCGATATTCTGTAGGCCGATGGGGGTCGAGGCGGTATGTTGTCGGAAGGAGAGAATGAGATCACGGACGCGTGGGGGCCACATACTATTCCTCATCGGGCAATACTTGTATTGTAGTATTCAACATGGTCACGCAAATACAACACTAGCCCCTAAAACACGTCTTCCTGGCTTACACAAGGGCGAAGACTTTGGCCAGCCGCTTAAATAGGTGAGTGGCACACTGTAGCCTTGTCCCTCCCCAACTCCCCCGCCTCCTTATCCCCCGTCTCCAAGAGCCAGTGCTGGTCACTCAAGATGTTCTCGATGCGTACATCCTTGTTGGGCTCCTTGAATATTCTCCTCAGACGTCGACCCCGTGCCCTTGACCTTGAGAAGGGTGTGGTGGAACTCGGCCTACGCCCCAATAACGACGGCCAAGGACGACCACCAATACGGATGCGCCTTGAAGATGTTGCCAATGACGTGTTGATCATGATATTCTCCTACCTAGACGTCCGGGACGTCGTGGCCCTGCGGCAGGTGAGTAGGGTCGCGGTCGGCGTGGCCCTCACTGCAACTGAGAGCCTTGTTGGACTAGGTCAACAAGTTCTTCCACGACATATCGCATCATTCTATCATCTGGAAACGATTCTTACGACAATCAGACGTACCTATCCCTCCCCTTCCCCCAACTTCACGACACTCACTTCCTCACCTCAGCGGCCTCGAGGCCGAACGTCTTCTCCTGCGCTCCGTTTCTCTACAGCGAACCTGGACGAGCCGCGATCCGAGCTACATTGATTCTTGGGCATTCAACGCCAACTACACCGTCTTTTCCATGGCCACCGTCCCTGGCGGACAGTACCTCATCGCATCCGTCGGCAACTGCATCGGCAACGGCGAACGCTTCACCGACTACTCCCTCGTGATCTACGCGATGGACCACCCTCACGGTGGCGGGCACGCCATCGCGCGCACACGCACCCACACGAAAGCATACCACCTCAAGGCGCGCTACACGACTATCCGCGGCCGCCACTCGATCGCCATCGCCTACGTCCGGCGTGACTGGGGCCGCCGCTCCGAGCGCGAGAACCCGAACCCGAGCGTCGACGTCTCCGAGTTCAGTGGCGACCACGAGATCGATCCGCCCACCCCCATCAAGTACGAATGCGTCGCTCTCGAGGTGCCCCTCGAGTGCCTTGAGCTCCTCAGCGACCCGCGCCTCACACCTGGAACGCCGGAGTGGAAGGCTCATGCAAATGCACAGCCAAAACCATTCCGATACCTCGCCATTATTCGAACGCGGAGCCAGCTGATGTATCCTGACATAGACGAGTTGTTCGGCAAACCGTACCTTGCGGTGTTGAAGAGACCGAACAGTATCGTCTTCCAAAACCTCGAAGGCGGAGCGGCCTCGACGCTGTTTTGCCAGATACCCAACTTACCCAACCAGCCGTTGGTATGTCGACCCTTTGTTACACAATTGAGTAAGTAGTTGACTCAGATAAATAGACGTCAAAAATACTCAACATTCGGCTGGTTTCGATCGACAACGCTGTCCTCGTCGTGCGGAGACTGGACGGCTATGCCCAAAACCCGAAGCGAAAGTCGTTTGCTGAGTTATACCACGCCATTCCGTCAGACGCACCCGCCCCGAACCGCGACCGTCAATGGACCCGCGAGGCCTTCGACAGCGAGGAGTTGGACAACAACGATTACATCGACTGCGCCATCTCCGATCACGGCATACCTACCCGTCTCGACGACTCCGTCCTCCCCCAGCTCTACAGCGCCATCGACAGCATGATCCCGCACCCGATCACGCTCTTCCTCCGCGTGCGCAATCAAGACAAGCTGCACCGCTGGGTGATGTTCCCCGAGAAGCGGGAGCAGGTCCTGCCCCCGAGCCCAGACATGCGCTCCTCGGAGGTGTCGCACTTGACCAAGTACGGCAACTGGCACTACCGCTTTGACCACATCCACGAGACGATCCGGTCCGGGGGCGAGGGCGGGGACCTCCTCTCGCACCGCGCGCTGCCTGGTTCGCTCCGCTCGATCGTCTACGCCGTCCCGCGGTTCGACACCTCGGACACCCCGCCTGTGTGCTCGATCGGCCGCCAGTGGTGCCCGCACAGCCAGAGCCTCGCGGCCGCACAGCCGCTCTTCCAGCAGCAGGCGGAGCACGGCGTACCAGACTCGCCAAACACGTTCGTGTGGGTCGCGCTGCCGAGCAACATTGACTTCGGCGCTGTTAACTCCATGACGTGGGACGAGACCATCGGTAGGCTGTTCGTTGCCAGCAAGTGGAACGAAGAAGTATTCGTCATCGACTTTGCCAAAACGCCCCGCCTCGGTGAGTTCCTGACCTTACGGCTGTTCGTCGGAATTGTGATATTGATGACATCTGTCGCCGTCTCCAGGAAAATCCGGGCAACGCGTGAGCCCCATTCCGTTCGCCATCCAACCTGACCCCAACAAAGTCCACGCCCCAATTCCCGAACCTCGGCCTGAATCTCCTGTTCGTTCCCTACTGGAATGGCTGGCTGCGCGCAACGAAGATAACGATGTCAATATGGAAGACGCATAACAAAACTCACTGCCGACGCTCTCTTGGACTTTGCTATAGACACGCTCTCGCGCTCGTTTGCTCTCGTGCTCGTCCCTGTACTTGCTCTTCTCTCTTCCTCTCCTCTCTCCTTTCCTTGTATCGATACCCCCGAGGACTACGTGTAGCAAATGGCGAATCTGGTGTAGCACTGAGTGACGTATAATGTTGTACATTACCCCCAGCCATCTCCTTCCGTCAGGGAAGTAATTGAAGGTTATATTTCGACTGAACCGCAGCTACTGGCGCTGATTTGTAGAGCTGAGCCGATATAACTGCGCAGATCTGGTCATATTGGATCCGGGTATGTTAGGGTTTGGCGCAACCAGTACTGTCGAACGGGTACGCCGCCTGTCTGGTGCACAGCGTCATTCGACTGATGCATTCTGGAGTATAGCCTTGCATACCTGTTGATCGAGTGGATATTCCTGTCACGGCCAGTGTGCCAGAAATCTTCAGTGTTGGACGGAATCATCGCCGCCATCGACGGCTAGACAAAGAGGACAGCACAGGCCATTCATTTTGGTAGAGGCGTCTCACCGACCGCGCGAGATCCAGGAAGAGCGGTGTAGTCGTACAAGTCCTCTGTGAGGACTTGTCATCGCCACTACGGGAATGAAGGGGAAGTTCGCAGCAGCTCGAGTGCGATGGACGATGGATGCTGACTGAGATGGTGGGTGGCTGCCAAGTGACTGCGGCGTCATATGAATACGACCACCGGCGCTTGATCACTGCACCACTCTCGCATACCGCACACCATGAGCACAGACTCCCCCGCCGCCTCCGAAATCCAGATCAATGTCAAGGGTGCGCCATCCAGACACCCACTCGGGCGTGGCACTGACCTCGCTTGTGCTGCAGGTCCCAGCGAGCTCAAGCTCCAGATAGCCATATCGACAGACAAGACGGTGGCTGATCTCAAGCAGGCCATCGCTGACAAGTCGGATGTCTCTGCAGACCGTCAAAGGCTCATCTACTCAGGTGCGTATCCGACGCACTAGCTTTGCGACACTTTACTGACGCTTGTGCCAAAGGACGAGTATTGAAGGTACGCTGAGCCCTGTAACTAGCCTAATCTGCGAGCAACAGCCGACTGGAACCGCCGTTCACAGGATGAGGATGCGCTTTCCACGTATAAGATCCAGTCATCACATACCATTCACATGGTGAAGGGTGCCGCGCGCAATGGCGCGACATCTTCACAAGGACCTCCGCCGCAGGCATTGCCCCAGATGCAGGCTGGCCAGAATGTACACGACCCCTTGACCCAGCTGAACGGACACATGGGCTATGGCTTGATGGCAGGTCTCAACCCCTTTGCGGAGATGGGGTTGAATCCGAACGATCCCAACATGGTGAGTTCACCTTCTTTGGTCAGTCCAGGCGGAGTGCTACAAGGTGTAGACTGCTCAAGTTTGGTGACGGGGTGGCATCCTGGGGTGCTTGGCCGAATATGTACGCGCGTCACCTCATTTCCAAGATTGAACTGGCAACGCTACATATCCGTCGCTACAAGCGCGATCTTCCTCGCGTCGTGTTGTTGACGATTCTGATAAATTTCGATGTACCCGGACCCCTAGATGCAAGGCATGATGAGCAACCCGCAATTCCTGCAACAAATGTCCAGCGTCATGTCCAACCCCGCAGTCCTCGACCAGATCATCGCCTCCAACCCCCAGCTCGCCAGCATGGCCCCCCAAGTCCGGCAGGTCTTCCAGAGCGAGCAGTTCCGCCAAATGATGTACGTCCCACATCCCCCGCTCACCCCTGCACGTTTAACACCCGCCACCACGCAGCTCGAACCCCGAAAGCCTCCGCATGATGCTCCAGATGTCCTCCATGATGCGTGGCGGAGGCCTCGGCGGCGCTCCCGGTGGCCCAGGTGCCTTCCCCGCACCGGGCCTACCCTCCACCGCGCGCCAGCAGGGCCAAGACACCCAACAGCAGCCCCCCTCCACCGGTGCCAGCACAGGCGCCCCCGACCCCGCAGCAGGCCTTGCAGGGCTCTTCCCCTTCCTGCCGCCTGCCCCAGCCGCGGGGGGGAGCAACCCGACCTCGCCCGGCGGCACCGCACAGGGTGCGGCGGGCGGAGCGGCTCCTGGTGCAGGCATGTTCGATCCTGCGCTGATGCAGCAAATGCTCTCGGCAATGGGCGGTGGGGCGGGCGCGGGTGGGCTGGGAGGCCTTGGAGGCGCAGGTGGACTTGGAGGCGCAGGTGGACTGGAGGGCGCGGGCGGGGCGGATCCGTTCGGGCTCGGCGCCTTTGGCGGGCTCGGCGGGTTCGGCGGCGCACCGGCTGCCCCTACTGACACCCGACCGCCTGAGGAGCGGTTCCAAGTCCAGCTACAGGTGAGCCGCATTGTCGTTGGTGGATAGCGAGTGGGAGCTGACGAGCATGTGCTTCGCAGCAACTGCAGGACATGGGCTTCACGAACGCGCAGCAGAATGTGCGCGCACTCCTTGCAACGGGTGGTAACGTCCATTCGGCGATCGAGTATATACTCGGCGGAGGCGGCTTGTGAGCGTGCCCGGCGCGCGGGATTTGTGGACGGGCTTGAACTCTTCGTAGTGTTGTATGGGCTGTATGTCGCGCTGACGAGCTTGTAGGATGTTGATAGAGAAGACAGGAATTAATTGTAGCGCAATCTAACTCGTGCAGTTATGCGGGATGAGCGGGACGACAACGTCCCGGGGCATCTGGTTCATCATGTATCATTGTCAGATCTTTGCTCAGAGCTCGTTCGTATTCACACAGTACACAAGTGAGCTACCGTATCGAATTATGAAAGACGTACTAGACATGGTGCGCGACCGGTTGAGTGACTGGAAGTGTCATCCTGTGCGTGTGAGGTAGAAAAAGGGATTTTATGTTGTTTTACAGTACTGAGTACACACTAATACAGCCCAGACTTGGCCCAGACCGTCAATATTATGATAGGAAAGACTGAGCTTCATTCTACTCGATACAGAACTTACACTAGCCGATGAGTACAATCTACCAAAGTATCTAACACAGTGGAACAAGTGAACGTACATTCATTCAAACAGGCATGAACCACTCCCAATCATCCGCGTTCCGAACGGAGTCGTTGGAACGCACAAAGTCAACCATAACTTCGGTATCTTCCAGCGCGGCGAACATCGCCTGGTTCACGTTCGAGCAGTCGTCAAAGTGTACCTGCGCCGGACCCACTTTCGCTTCATCTCGAACCTTGAGGGCCTGGCACATGTGTTCCACCCAGGGGCCAGGCTGCCCCGCATCATGGTCTGACCTCCGGCCTAGGCACGCATCGTATATATAGATGTTGGTGAGGTTCGGCAGGTAAAGCCTTTCGGACAGGGCTTCTTCCTCTCCTCCTCCCTCATCCTCGTTTGCGCCTTCAAGCTCGGGAGACAATGTTCGTTCGGCGAGCAGCATCTCCGGGAGACCCGCGATGGCGTACGCACCGGTAACGCTGAGGTACACGAGACTGTCCATCTGCTCCGCCATGTCGAGCCAGGCTTCAGAAGGAACATCCTCGCCCTCGACGTCGAGCGTGCTGACATCCTTGAGCGAAATGCGCTTGCATATCTCGGTCAGGGCCTCCGCGTGGTCATAGCAGTCTTTCAGCACGACATCGAAAGAGCGCGTGCTCCATTCCAAACAGTCAGCGGCTGGTCCGACGAAGCCGCTGACCTCCAAGGCTCCCGGATCCTCGTCCTTCCCAAAGCCTTTGACGTACAATGCACGTGGAGCATCGAGCCCGGAGATCTTGCTAGCTATCGCAGGCACCAAGGTGTCGACCGAGTCGAATGTGTACACTGCCGAAAGCCCCAGGGACGATAGAGCAGGAAGGTCGAGGTGAAGTAAGAGCACCGTACACTCGGATGCCGTCGTGTGAAGATTGAGGGTATGCAGGTGCGGAAGCCGTACATCCGTTAGATTGAGCCATTCGAAAGGCGGTGGCTCCAGGACGTGTCGTTCCAAGGCAACAGTTTCCAGGGATGGGAGCATGCTGAGTACGTCCAAGAAGGCCGACACGTTAGGCCAAGGAAGGTGTGGAATGATGGTGCGGAAGCTGAGATGCTTCAGCGTACTGGCACAAGGCCCGTACAGATTAATGCCATGGAAGGCCCCGCGCACCTCTAGACGCTCCAGACGGGGCGATTTTTCATGGTGGAGCAACGCCGGGAAGTAGATGTAATCATTGTCGAACTGGCCCTCCTCGATCCGCGACTGAACCGGTGACCCGCCGATGACCAATATCTGCAGCAGGGGTGCCGCACCAGCCATCAGCTTGACTGCCTCATGTCGAAGAGGACGCAAGCTAGCAAAGAAAAGGTCGCGGATGCGGGACAGTTGACGGAGCACCAGTTCGAACGACTCCCCGCGCTCTTCCCGCAGGTCCTCCTGGTCAAGGTTGGCGGTGATCTGTAGCGGCAACTTTGCTGAACGATGAAGTAGCTCGGCCATCCACTCAGGGTGCGGGGAGACTGTGAGGCGCGTCCAGAGGGATGGGGAGTGGAGCGCAACCGCACGCCATCGCCGACATACGTGCGATACGACAGCCCAGCATAAGGGACCACAGTCAGTGTCCTTTATGCATCTGTGTCCATTCTTGAAAGACGTGACTTCCGCATCGGCATATCCTGGGTGCCTGAGGAAGATTTCGTGAAGTATTTCTGGAGGAACTCTGGAAACAGAGGGTGTGCGAGCTGAGGCAAGCGACGTCCCTGCGGCGAGTGAGACCATGGTAGACTTGGCTAAATTACTGGTTTCTGCGGCAGCGTCTGTGAGCACTTCGGATGAGGTGCGGCCCACAGGCTCGCTTGTGGGTACGTCTGGGCCCTGTGTGCTAATTAGTCAACTATGTATATGTAGCGTATAATGAGAGTTCTCACATCGACTCCCGCATTTCCTGACTATACACACAAGGGTCCAGTGATGGGAGAGGGAGAATGGGGGTACAGTCAAGTATGCGGTACGGGTGAGATGTGACAGAATGCAATGCGGAGGAGAGGAGAAGAGAGGAGCTGAGAGGGGCGTTCTCGATCACTGCAGAAACGCCATCACGTGACAAACGCGTCGCAATCATATTCGTTGTCCGTACTATATCCCGTCATATTATCTCACATACATGTATACATAAGGACGCGCCGTTCGTCTTCACAACTACTAGAAATTCGGTGGTAGAAGATATCAGAAAGAAAAAAAAACTGAAGAGGCGAGACATTGAGGAGCAACATCACATATTCCAGAACAAGGGAGTGGAACCCTGGTATCGTGACATTGACGGCGGCTCCGAATCCATATCATCGAACAGACTCGAGAAACCATCCCACGGCCAAGTCGACTTCCGACGATCTTCCTGCAAGCCATCGTGCGACACCAGACCTACAACATTGCGGAAGGCATTGACCATTCCCTGGTGCAAGTTGATCCCCGTACGATCCGCAGCTCGTCCAGCTTCCTGCCATGCCGCGCGCGAATAGCAAGGCTCGCCCTGAAGTCTGCTGCGAAGCCGCTCAGTGTGCCGACGCGCAGTGTTTCCTTGTCGCCGAAATGTACGCGGGTGAGCTCGAGACTGCGTAGACTCGGCAGATGCTCTTGGGGCTCCAAGGACTGTCGAACGGTATCGAGCGTATGACGTCTGCGAGCGAGGGCAAGGGGGAGTTTTTCGGCCGCCTCCGAACCACTGACGCTGAGCCGGGTAACGTCGTCCATGCCCTCGAAGATTGCCGACCAGCTCGACTCCGACATGCATGCACCATCAACCACAAGGTGTCGGGCGCCACGCAGAGGTTGCAGGAGTGTCAGGCTCGAAATAATGCGGTCAGAGTCATTGGCAAGGCAATAACGCATCGAAACGTCGAGGCTGAACCGTAGCCCGTCCGACGGAAAGAGCATGTCCTTCGGACCCGTCGCAACGCGGACGTATGTGGGGTATCTGCTGACGTTCAACGTAGCAAGTTCTGCGATGTTCGGGATGTTCTGTGCGATAGCATCGACGAGCAAAGGACCGTAGATGACGGTGACAGTGCTTGATACGTTGAGCTCGGCCAAACCGGGAAGCGCCATCTCCCTGAGCAGCGTGAGGCATTCCCAAGCTTCCGTAGCCATGCGCATCGACTTGAGATGGGGCAGCTGGATCGTGCGCGAGGGTGGCAGAGGTGCATTCAATATCGGAGCTACCAAGTGACGCTGGTACGTGATGGTTTCGAGCGACGGCATCTCTCGAACGGCATCCAGGAATGTGCGAGCGTACGACCTGTTGACGGATTGCGAGAGATCGACGAATAGGTGTTTCAGGGACTGGGAGCACGGGCCTAGAAGGTGCAGACCAACGTCGCTGATGCTGAGCTTCGTGAGGCGCGGAGTGCGCTCGCGGCAAAGAAGGGCAGAGAGGTATGCGCAGTCGTCGTCCGACTGGGAAGAGCTACGGGCCCGTGAAATTGAGATCTTCTCAAGCAGCGGCGCGAGCCGTTCATTAGCTCGAGAATGTGCTCGTTGTGCTGCTGGTTGGGGAGCAAACGCAGGGTACGGATACGAGGTAGCTGGGAAGCACCGACTCGCAGGACTTCGAGTCGCGGAGATCCAGGTCGACGTGGAGCGGGACCGCACCGGATCGTTGCAGAATCTCGGCAGTCCATTCGACGGTTGAAGTGGCTGGGATATGGGTCCAGAGGCGAGGGCACTGCAGGGCGGCTGCACGCCACTGCCTGCAGACGTGGGACACGGTAAGCCAGCAGAAAGACCCACAAGGGCGTCCATCGTCTTTGCAGCTGTGGTAGGGGAAGAAATGGTCCCGAGCTAGGCAACCAGGATGGTTGACGAAGACTTCCTGAAGTAATTCTATCGGAAACGACGAGATGTCGAGGGATCCGGGCTGGCCGGAAGGTAAGCCTCCGACTGGTTCAGTGCATTGTGACGCTCCTCTGGCATCTTCGTCGTGGTATCCGAGCGCTGCGATGTGGGCTCTGAGTGCTGCTGCGAGCGTGTCATCGACGATTGTATCGAAGAAGGACATTGTTCCTTTGTCGACTACCCACGTTCACCATATCAGCCACGACGAGACGTTGGACGAGGGAGTCAACGCGGATGGGCTCACCTCAAGCGTGTGTGTGATAGTGGAAGATGTTGGTGCAGTACGGTGGCAGGCACAGATAGACTGTGAGGATGAGACGCGAAGACAGGGAACGTCGGCCAGCCTTTGTACTACGCGCGAGGGGACATGAAGCATGCCCACGTGCTCGCGTTTAATGTGCCACTGCCACTGCCAGTGGCACTGGCACCGAGCGGATATGTCCGCCATGTGGAATCCGCGACCTTCCGCAAAGCCTACGTCCTCACTTTCCAGTGGCTCTGACGCGGTCGATCGTGAGAGGAGAAGGCGGTGGTGCCACATATGTGTGTGGCATAGTATTGGCAGGCCAACGCGCATAGAGCTCTTGTGACCGTCGTGGCCTCATTTGGAGCGACACCAATAGTAAGACCGTAGGGTACGTACTCCAATTCAATGAAACTGAGCAGGGATCCGTTCAAGGGCCGGGCTAGACCACGGTGCAGCTTTCTGTGGACGTCCCATATGTGTTAGTGACCTACAGGTTCGCTCGTACGCATGGGTGCAGTCTCACCTGCTTCATAGAACACCAAAATTAGTGATCGAGCCCCATGAGAGTTTCACTTTGAAGTTTGAGCTTGAGATATCCGGATGTGTGTGCAAAGTGACTCTGACGGTGCACGAGAGGAGCTCGAGAGTCGAGGAGTCGCGCCTGGCCCTGAGAAAAACGCCATCACGTGGCAAACGCGTCCCAATTCCACTCAGGCTATGTTTAGAATTCGCTAGCCCTTCTCCGTCGCAGACCAAAAAGCGGCAAGCGTCCTTGTTTGCTTGCTAGGGTTTATGAACTCTGAGTTCCTCATCATTGATGCGCAGTGCGCAGAGAAAAAGTTGTCTCTTGTTCTTGTCCCCTGATTTAACGCGGTTATTAATTCATGTATACTGTACCGACGGACCTTAATATTGATGCAGAGAGCAGACAGATACGTAGGCAATTACTACGTGCACAAGAGACAGCTGTAGGTTACGAAATCATAAGCCATAGAAGAAGGGAATAACGGAAGTCTCAATGGTGAGACGTCTTTCAAATCCGATATATGAGTCTCGACTGACCCGCCGCACGATATGACGACACAACACTGCGAAGCGCATCGACCTTCCCTCGTGCAGGTTGACGCAGCGCCTGATTCGCAATTCGTCGAGCTTTTGGCCATGCCGCGCGCGAATGGCAGACTCGCCCTGAGATTCGCCGCGAAGGCACTCAATGTACTGGAGCGCAGGGTCTCCACGTCGCCGAAGCATACACCTTTAGCTCGAGGCAGAGCAGGTTCGGCAGATAGTGCTGCCATCGGGGTTCCAGATACTCTCGATAGGTATCGACAGTATGTCGCCTGCAAGCTAGATAGATAGGGATTCCTCCGCGACGAACGGGCCAGTGACGCCGAGTCGGACGATTTGGTCCATGCCCCCTAAGATGGCGGACCAGCAGGACCTCGACACCTCCGAACCCTCGACGTAGAGGCTTCGGACTGCTTGTAGAGGCCGAAGGAAGGATATGTTCGAAATGACGTCGTCGGCGTCATGGCAATGACACATCGAGATATCGAGGTTCAATGGTTGCATGCCCGTCTTCGACTCAAGATATTGACAGTCGTTCGAGGGCCACTCCCAACGCGCACGAACTGGGGGTATCTGCTGATATACAGCGTAGAGAGGTATCCGATAGTGCAAATCTTCTCGGCAAGCGTGAGGGCGAGCTCCGTCCCGTGGCGACAGGTGTTGGCACTCAACACAGCGAGATGGGTCAAACGGGGTAGCGCCATCTCGTTGAGCAGCATGATGCACTCTAAGGCGTCGGTCGTGAGGTTGATCGATTTGAGGCGAGGCAGCTCGACAGCACGCAAGTGCGAGTGGGGCGGTAGGATGTGCTGCCTCTGAGACAATAGGCATCGTTTGAACGTGATCGTCTCGAGCGAGGGCATTGCGCGTAACGCGTCCAGAAAAACGGGGGCATACGGTCTGATGACGGAGTCGGCAGTGAGTTGAATGAAAATGTGTTTCAATGTCGCAGAGCAGGATCCTTGGATGTGCATTCCGACCTCGTAGATGTTGAGGCTCACAAGGCGCGGAGCGCGCTCACGACGAATGAGGGCGGCGAAGGGCGCAGATTCGTCGTCCTCTGGCCGCGCAAGATCGATGGTCCACGGCAGGCTGATCGACAAGTTTTTGAGCATCGGCGCAGTCCCGCTGAGCAGCTGAATGATGCGTGCACTCAGAGGTTTGGAGGCGGACAGCCGCAGCGTGCGGATACGAGGTAATTGTGTGAGTATCAACTCGCAGGACTTCCCCCTATCACCACGCCCTAGAGGAAAGGATATGTCCAGCGCGACTTCGAGTGGAACAACACCAGATCGCCGCAGCAGCTCGGCAGTCCAGTCCACGTTCAAGGTCGCTGAGATGCGGCGCCACAGTCGGGGGCATTGAAGAGCGGCGGCGCGCCACCGTCTGCAGACATGGGACACGACGATCCAGCGGTACGGCCAGCACGCCATGCCGTAGGCGCATCGATGATACTGGGATAGAGGGATGTCGCTGTGCGTCTGGAGACCCGGATGGTTGACGAAGACCTCCTGGAGCAGTTCCACCGGAGCGACGAGATAGTGACAGGCTCTGACGCGCCCCCGCTGCGTTCATCGGTCCATATTGTATCTGCCGCCAGTAAGCTGGTGCTCGATTGGGCCGCTCGCCACTAGAGGTGAGCTCTCGATACTGGTTTGGCGATCTGACATGGCTGCTCTATGGACAATCTGCGATCAGCCACTCGGAGGACATTCAACTGGGGTAGGCTTACGTACAGAGTATTCGCGGTGGTGAGGGTACAAGAGCAGCTAAATTGTGTGGATGAGACGAAGGAAAGTAGGAAGACTGGACAAAGCCAAGCAGCCTTTGTACCACAAACGAGACGCGCTCACGTGCTCGCGTGCCACTGGGACCATTGAGTGTCAGAATGGAAAGTCAACGCAACTCACCGTTTGCACTGTCATTTTATCAATGCTGGAAGAGATATCAAGCGTGAATATAGTGTAGTGGGTCTATGTCTATGTACAACAATGCTGGGCACGCTAAAGCCGCACCGTGCACAAGCGAAAACCGTTAGCCTACGGCAGCCACTTCTTGCTGGAACGTTCCGCAGGCAGCTCGTCGTTAAGTTTCGCCCTTTTGTTTGATCCCGAACCCAGAGGACCGTCGTTCCCTGGAGGAGAGCGCTTGCCTACAGTTGCCTCGGCGGTGCGAATATGGGCCTTCACGTTCGACGGAATTGGAGGAGGCCGGATGTAAGGTTGTGCAAGCCAGTGTGGCAATATTGGCAGGCCGGTGACCGAATCAACCGTAACAAGCGCCTCCAATGGCTGCCCCTCAACCATTTTCTCATCTCTCTGAGTACACTATTAGAGCGTGCAAGCCAGCCATGATGCAGAAGTGAATGACGAACCTGCATCCGCTCATCTAGTTCCTCGACGATCTCCTCGTACTTCTCCCACGTCGCTAAGTCGGGCTTTACGTGGCGCACACGGTGCAGACGTTCTCGCAGATCTGTTTCGTGTGCGAGCGCGGGCCGGAGGAGCTTGAAAAGATGCCCCTTGACGGATTGCAGAGGCGTCGGCGTTCGCTGCGTTTTGACAATCTCGAGGTATTCGAGGGCGAGGGATGTTGAACGGGGATGAGCGCCGGTCAAGTATGCCGACAGCGGTAGGCCAGATGCCGAAGATGAGCTTGAAGTAGACGTCGCGGATGATGTGGAAGCCGTTGAGCACGCTTCAGTCAAGGGACGTTGAGGGGCTGGTGAGAAGAGAGCAGGGTTGTAGAGATTTCCTTCAGCAGACATTACTGCGTCGGCCCCTGTGGCCGCGAGTAGTCGGTCGACATCACTGTAAAAAAGCACGTTCCCGTTGGCGAAGACCGGTACAGAAACGGCCTCTTTCACAGCACGGATTTTGTCCCAGTCTGCTAAACCCTGTGAAGTAATGAGGCTTCCGTGCGGTCTTATGAGAGGGCAAAGTAAGCACGCACACTGCTGTGACCACGTTGCTCACGGGTTCGCCCGTGACAAGTCAAATTTGTGCGCCAGCACGCTCAAGCATCTTGGCATATTCAACCGTTTTCTCAACAGAAGGGAAGACCCTGAACTTCGCTGTCACAGGGACGGACAGGTTGTGATGAAGAGTATTGACTAGGGAAGATCAGTGACGACAGTACGCCATGTGGTGCAGCGAAAGCACTCACTGAGCGAGTAAATCAAGTCCCAGTCATCTTGTAGATACGACCCATAATGGCCTCTGCGTGCGATGTCCTGCGGGCAGCCGAGATTGATGTCTACGGCATCGCAGTAGGGTTCAAGCAATTTCGCGGACGTCAGCAGCTGATCCGGGTCGTTTGTGCAGAATTGAACGATAAGTGGTCTATCTTCCGGCCCGCCTTCCTCTCCAGTGATTGTGTTGAAGAAGCTCTCCCGTTTGAGTTGGTGTCGTGGATCGGCATACATCTGGGCGCTGTATGAGAGACAGGGAGCGTAGGCTAGATGTGACGAACCTTGGCATTTATCATAGGCGTATAGACCAGCTACCATGGAACATTTGCCAATGAGAGGGCACGCTAAATGCGCCACTGGGATCTGCTCACCTGTGCACCGTATCTTCGAGACAGCCTTCTCCATGCCTAGTAGCATTGCCATGAACAACGTCTTCACAGCGGGGCTCAGGGACGTACCAGCTCACTCTGGTCGACCATGGGTGCAACCACATATTTCGGGCTACCTAGAACCTCGCGATAGAATTCGTAGCCCCCCAGTTTCTTTCGGTCTGACTCTGTCGAAACAGTCATTCTGATAAATCCGAGGACGCCCTGCAGGACTCGTCGTGGTGTGTGGAGAGAAATTGTGGCGGAAGTAGCTCAGGAGAGCAGTGTCAAGCCGGTCCAGTCGTTGTCAAGTTCAGTGGTGGATGCGAGATGGAGGAAGAGTGCAAGCAAGGCTCGGAGCTCGGTTGGCGGCAGAGTGGTAGGATCAAGATCTCGGGCGGCAAGGCAATTTAGAGCCTCCTCCGTCAAGCACGGGGCACAGAGCGTGTTCCCACGCTTAGAGTGGGTTGTAATGGACAGTGACCTACCTATAGTGACGGGCGACTGATGAACGCATTCCTTATTACGCATTTGCCAGTGTCTGCCCCAACCATGGCACAGCGGTGAACGTTCAGAGCTCGGCTTACACTCTTACCGCGTGCAGCGACTTGCAGGCCAGCCAGGAGGTGGGACACCGACGAGCCATGTTTCCTGGATCTTCATCTCGCGCCCAGTCTGCGTATGGGCAGCACTACCCCGAAGGTGCGCTCTCGGTTTTGCAGCAGGCTCGAGTTGGCTTACACCGCCTGTAGCCTCAGGAAGTAATGGCTGGGCACCTGGTCCAGCTCGTCACTACGGTTCAGACTTCGACTCGTCCACGGAGCGCGACTATCCACGTTCTGACCCCTCGTCTTCCCGCACGGGACACGGGCTTCATCCGACTGAACAGGACATTCGACAGGCCGGCTCTATCGTCACCCTCCCTGATCCCATTCCTTCGCTTCCCTACTGGTCTCATAAGCGACACTTGACGTGTGGGAATCCTACCCCTCCACCGCCGTGGGCACCGAGGATTACACCATGGCGCACCACTCCCTCCAAACTCAAAACAGCAAACGCCGCGCTCGTCCTCTGCTTGAATATCGACGTCGACCCTCCAGATGTAGTCAAGACGAGTCCGTGTGCTGTGCTCGAGTGCTGGGTCGACCCTCATACACTCCCTGCCTCGAAGGCTCTTGATGTCATCGGCCTCAACCTCGCGCACCAGTTCGAGGGCCTGAGCGCGAAAATCCCCTTCAAACCCTTACTCGACCCAGCGTATGACGATCTACGCAAGTACTGTCACTCCCTACGCAAGTCCGCGAAAGAGGACGCGATCCTTTTCTATTATAACGGTCACGGTGTCCCCAGACCCACGCCCAGCGGGGAGATGTGGTGCTTCAACAAGGAATACACCCAGTACATCCCCGTATCTCTCCAGGAAGTACAAACTTGGTTGCTCTCCCCTTGCGTCTACATCTGGGACTGTTCCGCGGCGGGGCGACTGCTGCAGACGTTTGTCAAGTTTGCACGGGCGCGCGACGCTGAAACCGAGATGAACCCGAAGCTGTATCCGGAGGGTATGCCTCCATTTTCCGACTGCATTCAACTCGCCGCATGCGCCGCCGATGAGCAGCTACCGTCATGTCCGGAGCTACCGGCCGACCTCTTCACGTCCTGTCTGACATCGCCCATCGACATCGCGCTACGGTGGTTCATCATGTGTAACCAGCTTCCCGGCAGCATAACGGGCGACATGGTCATGCAGTTACCAGGCGACTTGAAGGACCGGCGGACACCATTGGGGGAGCTGAACTGGATCTTCACGGCCATTACTGACACTATCGCTTGGACGACATTTCCTAGGGACGTCTTTACGCGCTTATACCGGTCGGATCTACTTATCGCTTCTCTCTTCCGGAACTTCCTCCTTGCAGAACGGATCATGAAGAATTACCACTGCACGCCTCACACCTACCCACCATTACCCGCGACCAACACGCACCCATTGTGGGCGTCATGGGACTTGGCGGTTGACTCCTGTTTGAGGCAGTTGCCCGAGTTGCTGAAGCATGTGCAGCCAGGTACAACGACGGAAGCGTCTCTGACCACGCGCAGGTCTACAGCGGCACGAGCGCAAGCCGGTGCTCCTACCGCTCCCGTCGATCAGCCATACACTTACATCCACAGTAAGTTCTTCAGCGACCAACTTACGGCGTTCGAAGTCTGGATCTCTCGAGGCGGGTCTGCACTGACCAAGCGCGGTCCGCTGTCGCTCCCCGAGAGCGGTGGCGAGCAGACGGGAGTGTTGGACATTCCCAATGGTGACGCGGCGCATCCTCCAGAGGGTCTCGAGAACGACCACCACCTCGTTCCCCGAAAACCACCGGATCAGTTACCCATCGTCCTTCAGGTCTTGCTCTCACAACCTCATCGTCTCCGCGCGCTCATCCTCCTCTCGCAATTCGTCGACTTGGGACCATGGGCTGTGCACCTCGTCCTCACCATCGGCATCTTCCCATATATCTCTCGTCTCCTTCAGGCTGCGTCGGCGGACTTGCGACCAGTGTTGATTTTCATCTGGGCGCGCATCATCGCCGTTGACCCATCATGCCAAGTCGAACTCTACAACAACCAGGGCTACAAGTATTTCGCGCAGATCCTCGCTGTGCAGGACGAGCAGCCGCATCCAGCAATTCCGAACAGCTCGGAGCACAAGGCGATGTGCGCGTTTATCCTCTCCGCGATAGCTCGTGACTACCCCCACGGACAGAACGCCTGCTGGCGCGCACACGTTTTCGACGCGTGCTACGACCGCCTCACAGACAACGACTTCTTACTACGGCAATGGTCGGCGCTATGCATCGCGCAGATGTGGGATGCCAATGACGAGGTCAAGACGTATGGCGTCGACCGAGGCACGCAAGACAGGTTGATTGGCCTGCTCACGGACGACTCGCCAGAAGTGCGGAGCGCTGCCCTTTACGCGCTCGGGACGTTCTTGGGCGCGTCGGGGTCCCCAGATCTCAACAAGCTCGGCGGTGGGGGTAGCGGTACGCAGACACAACTGGAGGAGCGCATTCACTTCCGCATGGAGGTCGCTGTTGTTACCGGGGCTACCCTGGCTATCAAGGAGGACGCGAGCCCGATGGTCAGGAAGGAACTACTTGTGCTTATCAGCTGTCTCGTCAAGGAGTGGAGAGGATACTTCATTGTCTGCGCGTGGATTTACTGGGAGGAAGAGCGGCGATGGAAGCAGGGCGCGCCCCCGCACGAGGAGGATGTAGCTTCCCAAGCGACTGCGGAGTGGTTGGATGGCTTCGGCGATGAAGACGCTCGGGAGGAGAATCGAGTACTCCTGTCCTCGTTCTTCACCATTTACAGCGTGTTGCTGGAGCTCTCAGCCGACCCTTACGAGGAGGTTGGTATCAACGCGCAAACGACTGTGGACTACATCATCGCGCTCTTACTAGAGTCGCCTTTCAGCCGTCTGGACAGTACTACGCTCAAGGAACCTCCTATCGTTGTTGAGTCGAAGAATGGTACTCGGACTCGAGCACCTTCAATCCAATCGGACAAAAGTCAGCCACCTCCCTCACCTGTTCTTAGCAGGCCGAGTATCACGCGTAGTGATACGATGGGTGGAACGATCTCGAACGGGGTTACCAGCACTCTACGACGTACGTCCTCCTTCGCCAATGCGCTACGAAGTCTTGCGGGCAACATCGCCTTTCCGACTATGGACGACGGCCGCTCGTCGCCGCGCCCGGCATCGACCTCTACTCTGCGCACTGATGTACCTGACGGTGTATCACGCCCTCCTTCGCCGAACCTTAATTACGCACAGTACACGTCCCCGTATTCTCGTCCCTCTACTCCTCCGCCTCCTTCCACGTCCACAAGTCGACTGTCTCCTTACCCTTCGCCAAAGTCTGCCGCGGAACCGCCGTCGCCTCCTATGGACTTCCTCCCATCGGACGTCATGGAGGCGCTCATTGAGGAGGACATGGAACGTCTGCGGGCACGTCGGAGGGTCGCGGCGCATCATAGACATCACCATCCGCATGCAACTGGGCTGGGAGGCGTGGGCAGCCCGGCTGGAAGCACGTTCTCCATGGACTCAAGCGTCATTTTGGGTCTTGGTACGGGTGTCGGCATTCGGGACGTTCTGCCCCTGAAGAGCCGCTTCTATGACTGGTGTTGCGAATACTTCAAGGAGCCGCAAATGAGGGTACGTCGGTCGAAGTATTTGCACCTTCGTATGCTTATTGTCTGCGACTAGCAACCCGAGGCTGACGAGCCTGGAAGTGTTCAATACAACTACCAACTCTGGCGGCAGCAGCGCAATGAACAAGTGCTTTCGACTACACGGGCCCAAGCAGAGATAGCGGGTAAGTTGTTGGTGCGCTATCCGTTGCTAACACTCACGCGGGGTTTGTAGCGTCTTGCAAGTGGGATAGACCGGTCTCGACCATCCAAGTCACTGGTCTGCCACAGCAACTATCCTTCCATTCCTTTGACCCGCACTTGGTGATCGCTAATGAATCCGATGTCATAACGTGCGTGCATTTAATCCCTCCGGAATCGATCAGCGTCACTGACGCTTATGTAGCGTGTGGGATTGGATGCAGCGGAAGCGACTGAACCGTTTCTTCAACGGCAATCCAAAGGGGACGTGTGTGACGTCGTTGCACATCATCAACCAAGAGGTCGGAGGCATCATCCTGACCGCTGCGGGTGCGTTGAGCATTCATTTGCCTCTTTTGCAGTAGCTGATATCTGTACGCGCTAGCTGACGGCGTCGTCCGTTTGTACCGGAATTATGACCCATCACTGAGCAATGGTCCAGTGCAGATGGTTAGCTCGTTCCGTGGAGCCAATGAAGTGCTTCAAGTACAGCGCGGAAGTGGAATGATCACAGACTGGAGGCAGACGGGCGGTACGCTGCTTGTGGGCGGTGACTCGCGGGTCATACGGGTTTGGGACGCCCACACAGAGAGCCAAGTCATGGTGCGTTCGTTGACTCTTTATGATTGAATTATGTTTGAGCCACCGACATGCTACGTAGGATCTGGAGACTAACTCTGATAGTCCTATCACCGCTATGGTGTCCGATTACGGATCCATTAATACGTTCCTGACCAGCTTTGCCGATGGGTCGGTCAAAGTCTTTGACCGGCGTATGGACGAAGAGAACGCCGTTGTGCGCTCGTACCACGATCATACGTCTTGGGTACAAAACGTGAAATGGCATCCAAGTTACGACGGCCAATTCCTCTCGGGCTCGTGAGTTAACCTTTCCAGATACCACCGATTATAGTTTTTGCTGATTACCGTATACCAGTACGGATGGTGAAGTGAAGCTATGGGATATTCGCGGAGATGACACAGCCTTGCAGACCTGGGATCTATGTCCCCAAGGGTTGTCTGCATTTGACGTCCATGAGCAAACAGAAGTATTCGCTGCGTGAGTGATCCAGATCCTGAGGATACGCGATGTTCTCATTTCTTGCATAGGACTTCTTCCCTCGTGCCGTCGAATTGGAGAACCCAGCGAACCGCTGTGCATTCGTTCGTTCGGGCCAGTCCCCTGTCTACGCTGACGACGGGCCTCACCGTACCGCCACCACGAGACCCATATCTTCCATTCGTTAACCGTTCGAGCAGTCTGACCTTCCACCCGAAGGAAATGGTTTATGCTGTTGGTCTTTGGGATGGATCTGGTGCGTCTGACAACACACATTGATGTTGTTCGCATCGCTGACTGTGACTCCAGTGCGTATCATGGGTTGCAAGTTACCGTCGTAGTTTGGTCATAGTTGCTCTATGGACTGAAGAACTCTGCTTTGCTCGTCATCTCGTTTGCACAAGTATTTTATTAATTTTTGCGTACGTCTGTGTGTTGAATACGTCCTCTACTGTAGCATAAGAATAATGCGATCTGAATACGCTGGTTGCAAACGAATGCACGGTTCGTCCCAAGTCAGTCTGCAACGCTGCTCAAGCGCCCATGGCCAACGCGATCACGTGTCTGGCTAGCCACAGTTGAGACGGCGCGGGAGACAAATGTGTTTTCAGACATCACTTCTGCTCACTCTCGCATAAGGCAGTCTGACTTTACTTCAACTTGCCCACGATGACATCCCTTGAAATCGTGACCAAATTTGCGACGGCGGTTCTGTCTTCAACGAATAGTACTCATAGGTGGGAGAACTAGTCTTCAATCTCGCACTACTACGCTCGTGTCCTCATGGTGGCATTTCAGCTCTGCTGACCAGAACACGATATGCCAACGAATATTGCAATATCATGTGTGGTTAACCGACCTCAAAAACATCTCGATGTGGCCGGCTATTCTGGATCTAGCCAATTGACAGCTGTCGAAACCCCTCCCATTTTCAAACTACCCACGGAACTCCTCATACAGATCTTCTCAAATCGTCCCTCAATCCCGACGTTTCAATCGGATAGCTGGGGATGTGGCAGACCCGTGGCTACGTGGTTGCTGAAAATCACACACGTCTGCAAACTCTGGCGAATCGTAGCATCGGGATGCCCCACACTATGGGATATAGTGTTGCTTCCCATGCATCCCGATTGTACCCATGAATTTCTCCTACGTTCTCGGGAAGTCCCCCTCGATATATTCTGGTTCCACAAGGGCGACGCCACGACCATGGAGCTCGTAATCGCCCACCTGCATCATGTCCGGACCCTCCAGATCATGGTTACGGGGGTCCCTAATGACATAGCGGAACAGCTCAACATCCCGGCACCGATTTTGGAAAGGTTCGCGCTCAACTACGCGCAATCCTGCGATAATATTGCCGGCAATTCGCTTTTCCGTGGTGATACGCCTAATTTGCGCGTCCTGCGCCTCAGTCATACCACGCCACGCATGGAGGATATGAGCTTGAGTGCGCTTCAGCACTTGAACATCACCGAGCCGAGCAGGGACCTGCTCGGTCGGGATTTGTCGTGCTCCTAAACATGTTGAGGGAGCACCTGGTCTCAAGACATGTCGAATTTATACCGCCAGATATTCCGAGGACACCGTGACGAATCTCGACGACTACGCAATACGGCGCCATGGGTTGGATAAGGTGCTACTGAAGCACCTTCAAGGCCTCGAGCTCGTCGCGACACTGGACCGCTGTGCTCTCCTGCTGGAGCAGCTTGACCTACCTTCTCTGGGCGTGCTCAACGTTTCGACCTACACACAGGACGGCAACCCGGACCACATCGCCGCGATCGCACAGAGGATCCCTCTTCCGGATAAAATTCAGGCTCTGTGCATCGCACTTCCTGAGTACGGATCCGTTACCAAGATCTTGCGTATGTGGGGAGGCGCGTCCTCTCGAGACTGTACCTTTCAACTGCAGGCTGGTTGTCTTACGGAACCAAGCAGTGTTCTTCCCGCGATACTCGCCCGGTTGCCTCTTCAACACGTCCGCGAACTACAAATCATGGGCGGATTCGTATCCATATCTGTATGGGACATCATCTGCAAGGCGGTACCAGATGTCACCAAATTGACCGTATGGGGGTTGCTCGCCCCACGCCTTCTCCCGCAGGTCCTCGCGCCCGACTGTCCGAAATTGTTCAACGAGGAAGATGATGGAATGTACCTCCCCCATCTGAGTAACGTCTGGCTTAGAGGCGCTTCCTTCGGAATCCCGGAGCCAGGTGGTTGTGTCCGTCACCGGACTGCCTGGGTGGGCTACCTACACGACAAGCTGGTCCGGCGTACCAAGAAATCGGGTCGGGGGATTACGCAACTTACGATCTCGGACTGCTACAGCGTGCTCAGGTCTAATATCGAATTGTTGAAAAGTGCGGTGGATACGGTGGTGTGGGACGGGGTAATGCAGGTTGTACTAGTCGCAGAACCGATGCCATGAGACTAATTCTACTCAGAGTCATACATTCGATTGGCACTACCTGTATTTTATGAGGGTGCTAGGTCGATGATGGATGGATGGAACTTGAAGGTGGCGTTTGATGTCTATGTACGATTACACTGTTATCGACTTCATTACTGTACTCCGGACTCTGGCTGATAGGATTGCGACCAGTTGACAATATTTTAACACCTTGCATTTATACTAAACATCATAGTAGCTCAGCTACGACATACGCGTAGGAACAGTGAGTACGAAGTGCTACCAATGGACCTGTATTCAATAACGTGACATCATCATTGTGACTTCTCGCCGCCACCTATACATTGTGCTTGCACATGTACTGCAAGAAATGGATCCTGCGAGTGTACGCATCGAAAATTGGAACTTAATCGTGCGGATCCTAGTAGGCTCGCGACTGTACCGCGCTCGGGCGCCCAAAGCCACATCAAACGCTCATGGCCAACGCGATCACGTGTACATATAGCCACAGTAGTCACACTTACACAAGTTACAGATGGCCACTGGCACTGACAGCCGCGCGAGCACGGTCGAGCGGCAGACTCGCTGTGCTTTCGGACGACGCCTCTCGTCTCCGTCAAATTCATCAGTCCCAATCCTGTTTCTTCGTCGTCTACGCCAACTATTGAAACACTTCAGCCGCATTCATGAGGGCAGCCATGTCTTATTATGATAGGTGAGCTCCGAGGCAGACAGTCGTCTCAGAACGCCTGCGTTCTCACTATGGTGGCATCTCAGTTCGGTTGGCCAGAATACCAAGCCATCTACGAAGTTTTCAATCGCATCCTCGATTAAGCAACCTCAAGAATATGTTTTCCTCGCTCGATCCTCCAACTCCACCATCAAAAATTCTCCTATCTTCAAGTTACCCTCCGAGCTCCTCATACAGATATTCTTATACCGCCCGTCCATCGTTGAAGACTCGTTTCCCGAAAGGAACCGGAGGTGCGGTGGGCCTATAGTGATTTGGCTATTAGACATCACACATGTCTGCAAACTGTGGCGAGCCGTAGCGATTGGATGCCCCATGCTATGGGGCAATCTGTTCCTTCCCATGCGTCCCGATTGTGCGCAGGAATTCCTCCTACGTTCCCGGAACATACCTCTCGAGATACACTGGTCTCAAGAGCACGGCATTTATGGGTACGACACCATGGCCTCCTCGAAGCTGGCCCTTGCCCACCTCCATCGTCTCCGTGTGCTCCACATCGCCGCCAGCCATGTCCACGATGATATAGCGGACCTGCTCGACTACCCAGCACCAATGCTAGAAAATCTTACGCTCGACTGTCACGACCGCTACTACGATGGGAGGCCCTATCGCTTGCTTTTCCGTGATAATACACCAAATCTGCGCATCCTGTACCTCGATCAAGCCAGGCAACGCATAGAGGATATGCGCATGGATGCACTTCAGCACCTGGACATTAATGACCCCGATAGGGACCTGCTTGGTCAAGAGCTGCCAGTGCTTCTGAACATGTTGAGTGGAACACCTGGTCTGCAGACACTTCACGCCAAAGGCCTAGTAATCAAGGGCTCCGCCAACCACGCGACAGTGCGCCCTGGGTTGAATGTTGTGTGACTAGAACACCTTCGGTCGCTCAAACTCTGTGTATCCCTTGACCGCTGTGCTCTCCTGCTGGAGCACCTTGATCTACCTTCCCTCGGCGAGCTCCACATATCGACACACATTCCCGACAGCATTCCGGACTGCGTAGTCTCGATCGCACCGAAGGTCGCATTCCTGGACAAAATCCAGACTCTGTTCGTTGGATTTACTGAGGCGAAAATCAGCGACCGCATTCTAGGTATATGTGGAGGCACGACCACTCAACCTCACACCTTCAAACTGACGGTCATGCGAATAAACGGCCTATATCGTGTTCTTCCCGCGATACTTGCTCGATTACCTCTTCAAAACGTTCGCGAACTGCAGGTCTGTGGCAGAACCATATTACTTCGTAAATGGGACATGATCTGCAAACCCATACCCGATGTCACCAAGCTGAGCGTAAGGGGGTTGTTCGCTGCTGCCGCTCTCCCAGACGTCATCAAACCCGACGGTCCGCAAATGGTCGATGACAAGGCCGTCGGGATGTATCTCCCGCATCTGAGCGACATCCTACTGGAAGGGGTTTCCTTCAACATTGATTCGGAGCTAGCTCATGGTGGATACGGTGGCTATCACGGGCTTACCTGGGTGACGGATCTGCACGACAAACTGGTGAGGCGTGCCGAAGAAACAGGCCAAGAAATCGCGCAGCTTCGTATCTCGGAGTGCCACAACGTGCAGAGGATCAACGTCGATCTGCTGAAGAGCGCGGTGAATACGGTGATATGGGATGGGGTGGTGAAGGTTGCAGAGGTTGCCAGAGAATATGGTGCCTGGTATGGGTGCTGAGCGCGCTTCAAGTTCAGGACGCCGGGTCGGTAGCTGTCGGTAGACAGTAGTACTTACCGAACATTGTGCTCAGGTCTGCTGGTCGATTTGTTGTTCAAGTGCCGATGTAATTCTCCTCGAGAATCGTATTGTACAGCACATGGGCTGCGATTCATCGCCCGGCTACGACGATATATGTAAGTACCAGCACCGGCCCTACACGGAGTATCGGATTCGTACCGACTCGGGGCGCACTGTGTGACATCATTGCGTGACAGCGCCATCTGACAAGATCGTCACGTCACGGAGTACTTAGCCACCGCAAGTTGCCACCCAACTTTTCGCCGCCCCCACTCAACGCCACCGCCCAGCCACCGCTGCCCGCGACAGACACGTCCCCGACTCGCGACCTCCCGCCCGTCGCTTTTTCGTACAGAGTCCTTCGCTTGCAGCATAGTATTTTTGCCGCACGTAACTGAACAGGATGGTGCGCGCACACATGAAGCAGACGGTGAGCAACTGTCGGGTGCCGGATACGGATCCGTCCTTCAGCCACTTCTGCCACTGCCCTGTGGCTGATCATGCCCATATCCAGCCGGACGAGAAGAAAGAAACACACAAGAAGAAGACACCCGTCAAGAAGAAGGTAGAGACCGGATCATGGCCCTGCAAGATGAACGGCTGCAACAAGGTCTTCGCTCGCGAGGCCGACCTCAAGCGACATCAGCGGACGACAAAGACCCACTCCATGCCTGGCTTGTGAGTTGCTTCGTTATGCGACGTTGACTCTCATGTGATGTCCACTCTTCGTACGCTCCAGTGCATGCCCTCAGTGTGACGCGACGTTCACGAGAGTGAGTATCTTGTATTCTACTCGATGCCGGATCGCTAACTGTCTGGGCAGACCGATGCGCTCCGTCGGCATCAGAAATCACGGTGCGTCATGTTCTACTGGGAGTTCATTCCAAATATTCATAGCCCGCTAGGCATAATGGCATCGTTATGGCCCCAGTTGAGCAGGACAAATTCCATAGCATCGTAGACAACGACGCCGAATCCTGTGGTTCTCGGTCTCGCAGCGTCACGCCTTCGAAGGAAGGCGAAGGCAGTAGCGCGAATGGCTCTCCACCGCAAGCCGTTGCACAACCTGGCACCTCTGGACCTGGCAGTTACTATCGCTCACACACTATGAACCAAAGTGCGCATATACTCGATCCAATCTCGGTGCTGTGTTCGTTGACATAGCTTGCAGGCTACATACCGCCCCGGTCACATTCCGGCATGGTGATGGATCCTCATTATTCACAATCTATTGGCCCACCTACCTCTGCCGCAAGGCTTCACCAGGCTACCTGGTCAGGACCGCCGCCGCCCTGGGCGGAGGCTCCCCCGCCTCCAGGTCATCCTATGTATCACATGCCTCCGCCTGGCTACTATCCTCCCCACTACCGGTATGCTCCTCCTGGGATGCCAATGCCGCCTCACATGCATCCGGGCATGCCTCCGGAGTACATGGGTCACCCACCGTACGGTGCTCCCTACCCTCCACCACACCCAGGCGCTGCACCGCCGCAGCCCAACGGCAGCGCCTCACCGCCACACCGAGAGAAGGACGACGCCGAATCTGAAGACGCTGAGATGGAGGAGGGGTCTTCCCGCGGTTCGCCGGCCATTGATCCGTCGCTCGAGCAGCCTGCCCAAGCCCTGCACCCGAGCTCGATACAAGGTGGCCAGCAGGAGCCTCCATCCGCCGAAGCAAGCGGGGCCTCGTTGGGGATCTCCCACGCCGAGGCTGAGGCAGCCGTTAAGGCCGTCCTGGCCCTGCAGAAAGCCGGGTCGGGCGGACCAGCAGCGCCTGACGCTGAGCCAAAGCAAGCCCAATCGCCAATCGCGTCGCAGCCGGCTGCAAAGCCTGAAGTGTCCGAACAATCAAGCGAACAACAAGCGTCTCCTGTCAGTGCGCCGGACGCCTCTGCTGATGTCGACGTGGATGCTGATGCCGATGGTGAAGCCGATGGTGACGGAGAGGAAGTGAAGAGCGACATGGCCGACGATGCACCCGCAACGAATGCACTGGCTGTACCGCAACAGGGCGAGATCGTGACGGAGGACGGCGTGGCCATGTTAAATCCAGGTGTGTTTTTCCGTGCGCTATTGATAGGCACTCATGTCGCTAACATTCCTACGGTGCGTGGCAGCGGAGCTGTTGACGCAGGTTGGTGGCCGCCCTTCATCTGAGCTGGCTGTTCTGTGTTGACCTGTCTCACAGGAGTCCCTGGCCTCGCCGCCGCCATGATCACAAAGCACGCGTGATGGGTGATATACCGCGATAACATTCGAAGTTCGGGATCATAACTAATTTTTTATGTTGTACTGTACCTTGTGGTTGTGTCATATTCGCTATGCCCGTCTTTACCTTTTCAGCACATACGGATGGTGATGCTGTAATGATAGGACCTCATTCATCCATCGACGGTGAATAGTGACCATTGGTATAAGTGTGCGGCTACAGATATAACGACGGTTGACTCGATATTCTACATGCTAATAATGCTAACGGAAGCACACGACGTTATAGTACAAAGCGCTGTTGAGAGCGTACCACATAACACATGGGATCGTGAAGTCGTCAACGAGACCAAGCTACAAAGTGCCGCTCAGGCGAAGATGTTGACCTTCGGCCACTGGTACTGGGGCCCGACCTGCTGCACACACATCGAGCCGAGCTTGTGGCCCGCCTCAATGCACTCGTCCTGGCTCTTGCCGAGGACGTACGCGCCGAGGAAGCCACCCGCGAACGCGTCGCCCGCACCGTTCGTGTCGACGATCTCCTCGTCCTTGAGCGGGAGGACGCTGTAGACCTTGGGCGAGGCGGTGTCCGCGCCGGACACGACCGTCGTCGCCTTTGGGCCGTGCGTGATGATGACCGTGCGCGGGCGCCCGGGGTTGGACTTGGGCTGTGCGGCGATGGACGCGGCGACGGCGGCGAGGTCCTTCTGCTCGGGGTTGCCCGTCGCGGCGGCCCACGCCTCCGCCTCCGCCTCGTTCCCGATGACGATGTCGACGTAGGGCATGATCTGCTGCATCTGCACCTGGAAGAACTGCGGGATGAACGGCGCGGAGAGGTTCAGCACGAAGACCTGGGGGCACGCGCGGGTCAGCGTTTGGGAGGGGAGCGGGAGAGGTGTGGGGCACCTTGCCGCCCTCGGACGCCTTCTTGCTGAGCTCGAGCGCGGACTCGCTGCCGTGCGTGAGGAAGAAGCCCTCCATGTAGAACACCCTCGCGCTCTCGATGCACGGCGCGACCTCCGGCGAGGCCAGGTGCGCCTTCTCGAACTTCTCCGCCGCGCGCAGCGCGGTCACCAGACTCCTGCGATCAGTGGGCGTGCGGGCGTGAGCGGCGCGCGGGGCGGCTGGGCGGGGGACGTACCGGTCGTGGCCCGTGATGACGACGGCGCATGCGCCGGTGCGCTCGCCCTTCTTGACCAGGTAGCGCTGGTCGAGGCCCTCGCGCTTGTTCGCGGCCTTGAGCTGCTGCGCGAGCTCGTCGTCGCCGACGCAGCCCGTGAAGACGACGGAGCCCGGCGGGAGGACGTACTGGGCGTGGCCGGTGAGAACGGACGATCGCCGGGGATGGGAACGCACGTACCGCCGCTCCTCGCGCTGCGTTTTGGGACGCGCCACCGGCGACGTAGGTTACCTTGTACTTCTCGGGCAGCTCGTCGTAACTGCGGTGAATGCGCGGTCAGCTCCTGCTTCTGGGCTGACGAGCTGCGGGAGAGGGACGGACATGGGGAGGTGCTTGTCCTCCGCGAGGATGGCGTCGTTGGCCTTCAGGGCGTACTTCTGAGGAGCTCCTCGCCGTCGCGGACCTGCATGTCGAGCAGGGGGTTGCCCATGCAGAAGAGCTGGTACGACGCCATGGCTCGAAGACTGGAGGCGGGCGGGGGACGGGGGACGTGGGGGGACGGGACAAGCTAAGGCTTGGAGGAGGTGCAGTGGGAGCGGTGGTGCCACAGTGTGCTCGGTGCACTCATGCGAGAAAGTTTGGGATTATCGAGTCCCATCGGATGGCTATCGCCTCTTCCTCCTCGCTTCGCACCGTCCTTCGACTCATCGCTCGTGTCTTCTTGAAACCTTGGTCATCGCGAACGGGTTGGTACTCGAATGACACTACAGTGACATTGGGACTGCGTCTCAGAAAATACACCTGAACACATGTATATCCGCGGACCCGGTACCGCGAACGTCCCACCACTGGCCATGACCGAAGTCCAGTCCGCCACGTCGCGCGCCGCATGATGGCAGTACGCGTACGTATGCACGAACGCATATTCTTCCTTCTTTATGCTCACGGCTCTCACAGGGCCCATAGGATCTTGGGAATTCATTGCTGCCGCTGCCGCGTACCATACCGTTCATTCGCACAGCAATTATCACCGCCCGAGCTGAAGTTGATTGGTGCATCTACCGTTGCACGCGCGATGTATGGATAGACCCTCCGCGCACACGTGCACCTCAGCTGCACTTCTCGCAGTGCACAGTAAGGGGCGCCCCTTGGTGCACAGTGAGTGCTACCCATTTCTCCACCCGTCAATACCTGTACAGTCATGAGCAGTGAGCAGGTAGAGGGGAATGACTCTGCAGCCCCTCCAGGACACCAGCCTGTCGTGTTCTGTTGCCCGTATGAGTAGAGAGGGACTGTACGAAGGTAAACCATGATGTTGGGCTTCTATAGGTACCGGCATCAACGGAGCGGAACCGCTTCTAGTACCTGTATATGATGCAGGCAGTCTGCGCGCATACAGCGTAGGACGCTGCGCACTTTGCAAGTCGCTCCAGTACGCCCGCCTTGCCTGGGATTGAGTGCGGGCTCACCAGAGACGTGTCGAGTCTGGCCCCGACGAATCCAGTGCCTGCGATGACCCATCTTACGCTGCACCGCCTCCTCTTGGTTCGATGAACAAACAAGGCGCAATCTGGGAGAGAGATCCTCTCCCCGAACGTCACCATGCGTGCCCAATCGATGACCGACCGAGTCTAGGCCCGCAGTGGGCCGTGCTGAAATGCTATCTGTGCCACCGAGAGGCCCGCTTTCTTCGCGAGAGGGAACCATACCGGGGCCACTGCTCGGACGGTTCAGCCCGTGTTTGTACCTTGATAGTATGATGTAAATCGCTATGATGCACGGCATTCGCTGTTGCACGGGGGAGTCGCCGGCCTGAGGGGATGTTCGAGGCGATAGCAGGGACGTAGATATGATGCTTGGACATGTAGCTACAACATACGATCGAACGAGAGTGGCCGATCGGGCAAGTGCTGCAGGACGAGGCGTGTGATTGGACAAGCGCCGTTGGTCATCCTTCCCACTTTGCACGACAGCCCGCTGTCTGCACCCCGAATATTGTTTCCACCGCCGACCCGTTCAACTCGACACCACTCTCTCTACTCCTCGCAAGCCTTCCACTCCAGCCAGGCCCTGCACTCTCCCCGCGGCAGCAACCCCCCAGGCGATAGCACCCACCTAGCGACCTCGGCTGTCTCCTCAATTGACTCGTGGCTTGCACGCACCCTGCTGCCCACGCCCCCTCCGCCCGCTGCCTCTCATTCGTCCTCTAATTTTTTCCACCTCCCCACTCGACCTGCCACTTCCTACCGTCTGGGCCGCGCCGTTCTCGCGTTGCACGCTGCGCCCGCCATCGCATGCTCGGCGTCCTCCGCCCCGCCGCGCAGCACTCGACCAGCGACACCTCGCGAGTTAAATTCAGGACTGTCCTCGGCCTCGGGCCTCTTCACAAAGACCTTGAACCTGCCCGGCCAAAGACCTCTGCAGGCGCGACCGCCCAGCCCCGCTCCTTTTCCCGCCGGAGCGTCGACGTCGTCTCTGGATACAGCCTAAAGCGGCAGCACCGAAGGAACCGCTCGAGCGTCGTAGATCCGTCCTTCTACGCCCCCGACGAACCAGTCCCCGCAGCGCCAGCTCCCCAGCCGTCCGATATGAGGAATTCGGTCGCCCAATCTATGCCCAACACTCGGCGTGTGCCCGTTCGTACGGAGAACCAGGATGGTCCGTGGACGGTCAGTGTCGCCGAGACGCCCCATGAACCCAACTCGTACAGCATATACATTAAGAGTGAGTCTCTGCCCGTCATCGTCCTGTCTCGTGCGCACAAACTCCCCGCACCTTACCCCGCATCTCCCTCTTTGACACACGCCGCGTCTACATTACGACCGGCCTTTACGTCAACTGTCTATGTACTGACCCCTTGACCATTTTCTAGCGCCTACGCATAATATCACCCTCACCCGCGCTGCACAAGAGATCCTCGAGATGCATGGCAAGCTGCGCGAGTCCCATCCCGGCTACAAAATGCCCTCCCTCCCCATCGACGCCGCCGCCATCCCCCAGCCTCCCAAACGCAAATCCGCTTTCCTTAATACCCTCTCGCGCCTCGCTTCCCCGGCATCGAAGGCGGGCCAACGCTCCGCGTCTGGGCGCCACACCTCGGGTACGAGCTCAGCGTCGAGCGCCCTCCCCACCCCGCTCGCGTCGCCCAAAGCCGAGATCAACGACCCGTTCTCGGAGGCGGACGACGAGGACGACCTCCAGCCGCCCATCCCGCCCGCGAACAGCGCGATCACCGCGCTCGCCGCGTACCTGACGTCCGTCGCGAACGACGCCGTCCTGCGCCAGTCCCGCGTCTGGAAGCGCTTCAACAGGGTCCGCACCGACGACCTGCAGAGCGTCCGCACCGAGCGCGCCATCAAGCGCGTTAGGTCCGACATCGCCGCGCACGTCAGCCCTGGCAGCTCGACCGACGTGCGTCAGTCTATCGGCCAGGTCGTCAACGAAGACGAGGCGAAACCAAAGACCAACGGCGTGCATGCGCCCGAGAAGACGTCTGCAGTGCAGGAAGACATCACTGAGGAGGACGAGGGCGCTGCCGAGTCGACCCCTCCCGCTGAAGCGCCAGCCAAAGATACGACGAAGTCTGAGGCGGCCGGCGAAGGTGCCGAGGACGGCGTAGAGACGGAGCAGGACCGCGCCCCGACGCCACGCTCGCCGAAGCCGTCCTCGGCCACCGCCGACAGCTCAGCGGATGGCACCGACGTCGGCGAAGACGCGGAGGTGCCGTCGACGCCGCAGGGGCAGGACGGCCCAGCGCACCGCATCCCGCGCTCGCAGTCCGCCGACCCGATGTCGCGCGCGTCCCGCGTGTACCTCGCCTCGCCGCTCGGGAGCGAGACCGCGTCCTCGCGCACGTCGCAGACGGGCGAGTCCGCGGACGACTCGTCGATCTCGACGACGGGGCGGACGTCCGCGCGGAAGAAGCGCTCGAAGAGCATGGACCCGAACTCGGTCGGCAAGAAGAGCCAGCGGAAGGTGGTCGTCGACGACTTTGAGATGATGCGCGTGCTCGGGAAGGGCTGCGCGGGCAAGGTGCTGCTCGTGCGCCACAAGCCGACGCTGGACGTGTTCGCGCTGAAGGCGATCACGAAGCGGCATGTGCTCGCGCACCAGGAGCTGCAGCATACGTTGACGGAGCAGGCGGTCCTGAAGAGAATGGCCGCGGAGGGCTCTGATCCGTTTGTGGTCAAGCTCTGGTGGAGCTTCCACGATAAGGAGAACCTCTTCTTGGTTATGGTGAGTGGGTGCCGATCGAGATTCGGTTGATCCTTGTTCATGTTGGCTGCAGGACTTCCATCCCGGTGGCGACTTGGCTACGCAATTGGCCCGCTGGGGACGTCTTGGGCGCGATCGCGCGAGGTTCTACGCAGCCGAAATCGTCGAGGGCGTCGAGGGCCTGCACGCCGCCGGTGTGATCTACCGAGACCTGAAGCCCGAGAACATCCTCATCGCCGCCGACGGCCACATCGTTCTCACCGACTTCGGTCTCTCAAAAGAATTCCCGCGCAGGAACTCACCGCTCACCGCGCCGTCCACGCCCTCCGGCTTCCGGGGCGACTTCACTGCGGGCACGCCGACGGCTGCCACCCCGCACTGGATGAAGAGCGAGGCCGGCAAGGACTGGGCGCCCCCCGCGGCGCTCGACACCACGTCGACGTTCTGCGGTACGGCGGAGTACCTCGCGCCGGAGGTCATCCAAGGCCAGCAGTACAGCTACGAGGTTGACTGGTGGAGCTTCGGCACAATGCTATACGAGATGCTGACCGGAATCGTGAGTTCGAGTGCGTGTGGCTCTGTTGGTAGCTGACCAATGCGCCGTGCAGACGCCGTTCTGGGCGAACAACCACTCCGACATGTACTACAGGGTATTGCAGGACGAGCTGCAGTTCCCCGAGGACAGGACGATGGATCAGGACACTAAGAGTCTCATCCGGGGTGTACGTGCTACGGCGCTTGTTCGGATTGTGATTGACGTCCCTTCTCTAGCTGCTGCAACGCAATCCTGCCTTGCGGATGAAGGAACCACGGATCAAGAAGCACCCCTACTTCTCCATGATGTCAGTATTTGTCTAGTCTTCCCCGATGATCTCGTCCCTGATGCGCAGATCCACCTCCAGAGACTGGTCGCATGTGTATTATAAACGCTACATACGTACGCGCCTGTCCGATTCTTTCGTCGTCGCGTGATGCTGATCGTCCTTGACCCCGACAGCCCCCTATATTCCGCCGATCGACCCATCCAACGCCAGCGATACCCAGAACTTCGACGAGACCTTCCTGGACATGGAGCCTGTAATCAAGGACGACGACGAGCAGATTGACACGGACCAGGAAGGCCAGACGGACGCTGAGCGCACCGACGGCGAGGATGGGGCCGTTACGCCCTCGCAGTCGCGGAGTCCCTCGGTGCACCCCGAGGAGGACGGGATCGACGTGTTCGACGGCTACTCGTTCAAGGGCAGGCATTCCATCATCATGGACGAGGAGGATGAGGAGGAAGACGAGGACGAGGACGAAGAGGACGAGGAAGCCTCCGTCACTGGGCCCAGTATCGACAGTGTGCTTCTTGACGAACAGGCTTCTGAGGGAGCTGCTGTCGGTGCAGAGGTCGCAGATCAGACGGCGGCTGCTGCAGCTGAAGTGGCCGAGCCAAAGACACCGGAAGCGCGTCCAGCGATGCTGCCAGAGCCCGCAGCACCTCCGAGTCCTTCGAGGGAACAGGCGACGAAGAAGACCGTCCCTCGGCGCAGTCACGAAGTGCAGATCTCGGAAGCTGCAAAGGCCGAGGCGGCCACTGCCGACGAGGCAAGGGCGGCGAAGGCTGCCTCGAAGCGGCAAAGCGTGCAACGGCAGCGGGGGCGCAGAGAGAAGTCTGGCATCCCGGCCTTGGACCGCGACCTCTCCGACGCACACGACGAGGATACGGAACGCGAAGAGGACGACGACTGGGACTTCGTCGAGGCGGACGTCAACGTCGAGGAGCGCAATGGTGCAAAGGGCACGAGTCTGTTCGCTCGGGGCGTGGTCGACCGGTATAAGCTGGCGGTGTTCCGCAAGTCGACGCCGCGCAGACCTGCCGGTCCCCGGTCTTTCTCTGGCATGTCCACGGAGTCCGACCTTGCCAGTCCGGAGGGCGCGTCTCCTACGCCTTCCGACAAACAAAGGCGGGGGCGCAGTGCGGGGCTTACCTTCCGCAAGCATCCCCGGCAGTTCCTTCGCCAGAGGTCGCCGCCAGCAACGACTCGATCGAGTCCGAGTGGCAAGACACTCAATTCCTCAAACTCGGCGACTCTGTCGGCTGCATCGACGAACTCTACTGGAGGGCTGTTGACTCCGTCACCGTCTGGCGGTAGCACGGTCCCTGGCACCCCGTCATTAAGGTCGAAGGAGTCTGCAATGTCTATGGGGTCCCCGAGTGACTCGTCCGACCCTTCCATGGACGAGGCAAATCACTTGGGCGATCATACGATCCGAGGCAACGCCGCGGTGGATGAGGACAAGCAGAAGAGCAAGGTCTTGAAGAAGTACAAGGAAGCAGGGGAGAAGGTGCTGTCCATCTTCCAATCGCCGCGGGAGCCTCACCGGTAGGACTCTGTTCATATCGAAATCTTCACATGCTGTGCTTCACGCTGCATCTTTCGCTGCTATGCATCTCACCTATCGCTATTATACACCCACAAAGCCTACGTTCTTTCGCTTCTGCTTTCGTGCCCCTGGAAAGGACACACGGTGTTCATACGGATTCTATCGGCCCACTTTCCTTATTGCGGTTATTTTGTGTTATTGTATTTTGGTATCCCGCCTACAGAAACGCAGCAGATTGTTTTCCATAGTATCTACGAGCACTGACCACCACGTACGTACCGTCGCTATAGACCACTCATTAATGCAGTCCGTCAGCAATATCTAGTTAGTCGAACCGACGGCTACCGTGTACTACTTGATTGAGCCCATACCACTTCAGAACGAGTCTTCTAGTCCAATCCGCGCTCTGAATGTTCTGGATATTCTCGACTCTATGGCCGAGTTGAAACGGTACCTGTGGAGGCCAATACGCATACTGTACATCAAGAGTTGCGAGCTCATTGACACGCAGGGTGTGCAGAGAAACACGCTCGCTACCAGTAAGTCACACAGATCCAGTATGCAAAGCGTTTCCGAAGCAATTCTTTGTACGGATGGTTACATCCATTCGGTAGACTGGATACGCTTGCACACCCACCTGGACCACGAAACTTGTCGTATCGACTCGTCCGAATAGGTACAATCATACTTGCTATTAGTGTGCGTCCTTCATCAATGGGACAATGTAGGGTATGATAGATCGCGAATGCAGGAAGTCCTTGGAGTAGACAATGCTCATCGTACATGTCATGACGTGATAACAAGGACCGAGGATCGAAAGGAAAGTACTGTCCAAAGCGCAATAACTGAAAATGGTAGTACTAAAGGAGGAATGTTGAAGTGTCAGCGTGTAGAATAGTCCCAGGCCCTGTAGATCGCATGACGCCTACACATCCCCGCCGCTCAGTAACCTTGACCAGCTTGTGGAGGAGCTGCACCCGGAGGGAGAGTTGATGAGCGCGAGTACCTGTTCTGCGGTGGTGCCTGCGAAGGCGGACGCCGACCCTGCTGTCTTGATACTCTCCGCACACCACCACCAGGCGAAGGGACAGGCCCGTTGTCTGCGAGGCTCACTCCACGGCCCGCCCTTGTCTGTGCTGGCGCAGGCGAGGAAGCTTTGGGTGGCGGTGGCGGCGGCGACTGTTCGGACTCGCTCGGACTGTACGACTGAGCTGGTTCGTCAATATACCCTCCACCAGTCGCTTGGTAGCTATATGGGTTGAAGACCTCGCCTGAGTACTGGTTGACAGCAGGAGCTTGACGAAGGGTGGCACCACTTGCACCGGCTGTGCGTGCTACGCGTTCCTGGAACGCACCGGTCTGTTGCGAATGCGGTTGCGTAGGGTACTGTGATGTCGGTGATTGCACGAAGGGCTGTTGTGCGTAAGTTGGCTGCTGTGGGAACTCGGAGGAGTGGTAGGCTGAATCGTAATCATCCTGATAGTCGTTGTGGGGTGACGGACTGGAGACCAGTTTATGGGAAGATCCAATATCAGAGGTGTTCTCGTCCGTGCTAGAGCGCGACATGCCAGAGGTCGATACAGACGGTGTAGTGGTGGGCAACTGAGGCTGCTTGCTGTTGACAGCGAGAGGAGTGGGAAGCATCAGGAGTTGATTGCTGTCTTTCCTGGGTCGTGAAGGAGGCAAGTTTGAAGGCTCGTACGTCTCGGAATCATATTGCTGCCCATATTGTGGATCAGCCATTGAAGACAGCGACGGGCGCCGACTGTCACCCCTGCGTGACAAAGATGTCAGAAACTGTGAGAAGCGGTCGCTGCAACAACTTACCTCTTCGGCGAATACGAGCGGTAGTCGAAAACCGTGGAGTCTCTCGACTGAGTACCACTCTTCCACCGCCTTTCACGCTCGAACTCCGCCCATCTCTTCATGACGATATGTGTAGAATCGAACTCCCCCTCCTTGTCACCGTGGTTACCACCAGCCTTGTCGCCAGCAATTTGCCTCGTCTGACCCCAGGAGAAGTCGTCGAAGTGCCAGTACGCATAAGCTGGTAGAACACCGTTCCAAATGGGCAAGGAGAAGAGGTAGATGACCATCCAGCCCACATACGCCAGCTTGAACGACGTGATGACGATTAGGACACCGGGCAAACCTAGAATGATGCCGAGCAGGACCAAGGGAATCGTGGTACTGGACGAGTGCGGAATGATGGTATCGATGATGACGTAGAGCGTGAACGAAATGGCAGCTGGAAGGACCAGCGTTCCGACAAGCTCCATACCGACGACGAACTGCATCGAAAAGCAGAAGGTGCCGCACATGTCCCGAACGAGTATAAGCTCAGCAAGATTGTGCACAGTCGAGTTGATCCAGCGACGACGCTGAGACAGGAGGACGCTGAAAGTATCAGGGGCTATTGTCTTGCATACCGCCGAGGCACAGAAGATGTTCTTGCGCTTCGGGAACGTCTTCAGAAGTAGAGTGGTCAGGTACCGATCCTCTCCGAGCAACAGCAGATTCTTCTTGTGCAAAGTGTCGACGATGTTCTCCGAGTAATGCTCAACGATGTCCGGGTTAGCCAAGATGGGCACCCAGTAGCCAGAGTCGCCCTTCGGCGCCTTGATGCGATACATACTGAAACAACCTGGCAGACAGGTGACACTGCCAAACGTAGACTCGAAGGCCTTCGTCATGTGGTGCGAGATGAAGTACTCGAAGACTGTTGTTGGGGTTCAGCTATGATCAACTGGATGATATGGGGAACGCACCTTGGATCATCGTGACCCAGGAATCGGTCTTGTTAGCGATCTTGGTCTCGCCACAAATACCCATGACCTCGTAATCTTGGACCATGCATGCCACCATCCGACTGACGGAGTCCGGGAAGACTTTCGTGTCCGCATCAACGCAAAGCACCATCTCGTACCGGTCCGGACTGACACCGGTGCAGCGCCAGATCGAGTTGAAGAACTCGTACTCGAACGTCGTCATGCGCTCGTCAAACATGACCTTCTGCAGGAACGCCATGAGCACGATCTGCGAGTCACGTTTGCCACGGTTGCCCGGCTTCGCCTCGCCCGCCTCGAGCGGGTTGCCGACCTTCGCGACGAGGATCATCGGGACGCGCTGCTGCTTGCTCCGCTCGATCGTCGCATCGTCGTAGTCGTAGAAGCCCGCGAAGACCTTGGCCATGTTGTGCCGTTTGTGTCCGTCGGCGATGGCGACGTAGGAGTGTGCCTCGACATCGTCCGGAGCAATGACGAACTCTTTCATCATCGTAAGACAGATCTCTGGCGTCGTCATCGTGTTGCCGGCACCTTTGACCATACCGTCGGCAATGACCAGAAGGAGCTTGTGGCTGTTCGGGTAGTCCGTCGTCGCAAGCGAATCCAGCGTCGTCCTCAGACCCTCCGTCGACTCCGAGTAAGCCGTCACCAGGCAGATGGTGTGTCCGAGCGGGAAATTGAAAGGTTCGTAATCCGGAGGCGGCTGCGGCACTACGTTGTGCAGCGGGAATGGGCACGGGTTCTCAGGGAATAACGCACGCGCCCCCTCCGCTGTGAGCGACACAGAGCTCCTCGAGTGACGGTACCCAGGTGTCTCCGGAGGCGTGAGCTTGGTCGTGCTCCTACCTCCGTACAAGCTCACCGTCGTAGACCTCTTGTAGGGTACGGGTTCGAGGATGCCATACGCGGCTGAAGTACGGCTACCGAGAACACCAGGCTTCAGCGCTGTCTCCGCAGGCGTGAAGCGCGACGTGCTGGGCAGGAAATTCTTCCTCTTCGCGCCCTTCGCGACGCCGTTCTTGTGCACATTTGGGCGGTATTCCGCAGGAGCAGGCTTGTAGATGTCGTTCGTCCAGTTTTCGATCTCGAGCATGCGCTGCCGGCGCTGCTGGTGTGTCTCGTTGTTGTAGTTCCCGACCTTCGCGGAGATGAACCAGAAGAAGAATAGCGCGATGGCGAAGCGAATGCCCACGACGCCGATGATGAAAACCAGCGAGACGTAGAGCACGATCTGCGAAGCGACACAGCCGATCGTGTTCGTGTCGATAAATCCTACCATGATAATCTGCTGTAGACACTCTGCAAGCTCCTTCTGGTCCGTGCGCATGAAGTACATCGACAGATCCTTGCCGTTGAATGTGCCATTGGCCTTCTTGAAATCATTGAATATAGACGGGTAGCTGACTTTCGACGAATCGAGCCACTGGAGCAGGTTGAAGTCAAGGACAGTGCTGCATGCGAACGTCAGCGTGCAACACAGACAAGTAGATCAATCCCACTTACGATTCATAGACAACGAGGTTGCGCGAGCCGGCTGCAACTTGGTCCCAAGTGTAGTACACCTGCCCCAGTGGTTTCATGCTAGCAAGTTGGCTCCGGGCTGATGACGCTGTATGGCATGTGGTGTCCGAGCCATAATTCGTCGAGTTCACCGGCAGACTGGTGGTCTGGCCATAGACATTGCATGGGAAGTACCACTCCGGATCGCTGGTACTGCCACTGATCGAGGATCCGCTCGCTTTCGTGATGTAGTTGGAGCAGGAACCACCAGTGTTCTGGAACATCAACGAGATGTCATTGCCGGCCGCTTTCCATCCGCCAACATATAGCGGGTTCGTCTTCCCATCAAAGTTGCCGACAGCAGGATGGTTGAAGTTGGAGAAGTCGTAGTCGTACCCGTGAATGATCACAGAGGCATTCTCCACCGTACCTGAGAGGTAACGGTTATTTGGCGTACCGCACACTGCGCGGGTGAAGCCGAACGTGATGAAACCGACAATCGCCATGAGCGAAGGATGATGCCTAGCAGACCCATCTTCTCTCTCCATGCCCGAATCTGCTCCGGGGTACGAATACCTATATGCATATGGTAAGGGAAAGCTCAACAGATAATGAAGACGGGACATACCAAATAATCGGAGTAGTGGCGGAGGAACTAGGCAAGTAAGAATGAAGCAATACATGAACCATGGGCCCTTGGGACCTGGTCCGAGACTGTCCATACAACTCCTCTTGGGCATTGCATCTGTTGCTACGGGTGCCTTCTTGCGACGTAGTGTCTGACCACGTTTGAACAAAGCGAGACCAGACTCGTGGACGTCCTCTTCCCGTGCAAGAAGAGACTTGCCGCGCCGCAGGTTGCCTCTTTGCGGGATGTTGCCCGTTGCTGTCGATGGTGAGCCGAGACATACGTCGAGACGAGCCATCCAGAACGAGCAATGCAGCACGATGAGCATGTGCGAACGGCCAACAAAAACAGGTGGGCGTCAATTGGCATGCACCGGGAGGTCGGTTTCAAGGCGGGTGCGACAAAGGCGGTGATGGCATTCAGGAGACAAGTCCGGAGACGAATAGAGTTGATGATGTTTTCCAAGTCAGCAAGAACATATTGCATATAAGGGAAGACACGCACTTGAGGGGATAGCACTCCCTCCTCCCTCATCCTCCATCTGCTGGGCGTGGTTCCTGTAATGCCACAGCCGGTGTCCGGGCTCGATCTTCTCCCTGTCCGGCCTCACCAAGCTCTTCTTCCTGCCCACTCCGCTAGCACCCACACCCGCCATGCCGCCCTCCACAAACGCTGCGTCGTCGGACGACTCCGGCGACTGGACCTGGTGATTATTGTAGGCCGTATACGCGCGGCCGCGGGCCTGGTCAATGGGCTCATGGCGGTCACCGGTCTCCTTGCCCTGGAATGATACACCAGAGTAGGAGTCGATGGTGGGCATCGGCGGTGGGCGGTTGCCGTAGTGGGCGCCGTACGGGACGTTCGGAGGCTCATAGTCGGCCGGGGATGGGGACTGGGCGTTGGGTGGACGGGCTGAGCGCGGCGGGCGTTGGCCGCGACGGTCCATGGTGGTGGATGGGCGTAGGACGGCGAGCCGTCAGCGCATGCAAGGCCGGGGGAAGGCAAGGAAGGCGAGCGAGCGAATGCAGGTGTGAGGTAGAACGTGAGAGCCCCGCGAAGAAGGCGAACGCCTCCCTCCTGCCGGCAAATGCGTGCTTACTTACTCACGCCTATTTTAACTCGTAACTATACTAGGCAGTACGGGCGTCTTATCCCGATACACTACAAATTTTCTAAATGACCTATTTACATAATCCGCTTGCATAAATGCTTGTCCTCCTCCAGTGCCTGCTCCAACTGCCATGCACCCCGCCTCGAGTTCATCGGACACACAGACATGACGAAAGTCTCCACGAACGTGTTTGCTAAATAGTCGGCCGGCATCATGCAAAGTTCTCACCCTGAGAGTTGACGACGCAATTCACCTGAAGTCCGAGGGTCCGGCGAGCGTGTACACTAAAGATACTTTTAGACGCGACCGAACAATCTGTTGGCTCATGTCGTTCTGAAACGTTCGCATGTCGGCAGCCGTTGACCACAGCAAGGTAAGAAATGTATATGACTGAAGACTCAACGTGACTTAACTTGGATGAAATTCGTGACTAAACAAACATGGACCCACAGCTAGCCTCCGCTACTGCTTGTCTTATTCGGACGACGATGTAGGTTGCCAACGCGTCTTGCCAACAAATCGGACTCCCTCGTTCTCAGCGACCATCTGCGCATTGCCATGCTCCGATGGGCACAAACTCTGTTACCACAAGCAGCTTCTCCGCCTCGTGTCTTTTCTAAATCCTAATAGGCATCCCTGTTATCCCTGCGTCCAACAAGGTAGAAGAACGCTTCAAGTGGTAGCCCCAGTACATACACTACCCCGTACGCATCGCACAACTCAATCTCGCTACCAAGCCGTTTCGCAGCTTGGTTACGGCTCAGCTACCATGTGGCTCTGTCGCGATCTATAGCTAGTCGTCGCCTATTCCCTGTGTTCTCTCGCCAACGGCGACTATCGAGAAGGAAGTACAAGTGCATAGCGAACGACCCGAGTATCCCCCGCCAACAGTCCGCTTGCGCTGAATCCCTGGCCAATCGCGATCGTCCGTCGTTCAGGATTGTCTGGACGAGTTCGTGACATGGCGGCAGGATGACGGCGTTTACCACCATCGCGTCGTGTATGGCACTTCGCCACATCATGCTTCCTGTTTCCCGAGGGCAAGTAACTGAGACCTAGAAGTCTTCCATCGCCCAACGCGGGGGGTGCTTAGATTCTTACACACAGAGACTGGGTTAATGCATTGCGGTACGTGTGGATGCTGCCAGACTATGATCATCTCCAAGCTTCACTCCATTAGTACTCACAGACCGTTACAAGCAGGAGAACTTTCTCGTGCGCCCACGTAGTGAAGGAGTCTTCCAGTACTACGAGAACCACGAACTAAAATATCCATTCCCCAAGGAAGGGTGACGACGAGTCGACGAGTCATGCACACCACAACCGGCTCGAGCATGCCAGAAGACGAGATCACGGCTCAACGTGTGAGCCCCGTTGAGTACCCTGACACTGCATCTCGCGATGACCAAACGTCTGTCGCGGGAACAGCCTCTCCTCGAACCTTTCCTTCTTCTGCATTCCAGTTGATCCCCATTTCTGGGACGGCAGTAGAAGAGGAGACGTTCGAGCGGTACAGCCCCAACACTTTCTATCCCGTACGCATCGGCGCGCCCTTCTAATCGCACTACCAAGTCGTGTCAAAACTCGGATACGGTCCTTCGGCCACCGCGTGGCTCTGTCGCGATCTGGTGTACGTTGATTACCCGCTGCGTCCCATCGAAATATCATATACTGACCTTATTGCAGAGGCCATGAGATCTCATGCGAGTTTTCGGCCAGACAGTCTGACCGTGCTCACTTCGTCGAACTGCATTTGGTCGAACCAGAGTTCACTATAACTCAGCGGCCATAAGAACACAGTATCACGTTGCTTTCCCCCAACATTTCTTGTGCGAGCCCGGGCCACGCATACAGTTATTGATATGAGTGGAGGAGTCATGGATAGGTCTGGAAGCAAACCCTTTGCTGTGATCACTCACTGGCACGAGCCGTAAAGTCGTTCGTGCGGCACCGACCACGAGCGAGGTCTACGAATGGCATCATAGTCGTTGTCCACAAGGGCAGGCATTTCTACATGCCGTACCCAAAGACGTCGGCTCCGTAAGATGAGATCGGTTTCAGAACCTTCTCACCGAAGAAGAGTGGACGTCGTTGTAGCGCACCGACAGCACAGAGAGGGATCACATCGAGCACCAATGATAAGAATCGGCACATGAGAACGGCAGTATTGCATGTCCAAGGTTTCATGAAGAGCATACATTGATGTCAACGGCGTACGTGTTGCATGACGTGACCCACCGGCCAACCCCACCCTCCGGACCCCGCGTCGATGGTGCACGACTACGTCGCGAAGCTCGAACTGCGCATCTCCATGAAGCAGAACTCGACTTCGGGTCGGTGGAACGCAGAATGGACGGAGAATCCCTGGCGCGGACGCGGCCATCGACGGGGAACCTAAAGCAGAGGACCCGACTGCGACCGTTCACATAGGTATTGCAGGTAGCTGGGTGAGGAGGATGCCGTAGCGCTTTTTGATTGTCACTCGATGGCGTGAAAACTTGTCATCGGGCGAGAACCGTGCTGGAGGAGTACGTCCTTAGCTTGCAGGCGGACGACCGAGCAGGGATGAACCAACCTGGATGCGCGGACTTGGTGATCTTGCCAGAGTCCGTGATTTTCTGCACTGAGGTTGAGTCACAGACGACGAAGCATGATGAAGCAGTCTGACATACCTTCAAAGTGTAAATTCTGTTGCCATTGTCGTCGAGCGTGAACATGAGATGCATGGTGGTCGTCGGAGGCTAAGGCGGGGACTTCTCTAAAATTGCCGGTGATGCAAAATGTGACAATCCGGAAATGGAGATGTCGACGGAAATTAAAGAGATTGGTCAAATATGGATCCGTGTAGGTCCACCGCGCCGAAACTCCGAACCGGGGAGGAGAGCAGGGGAGGGCTTAAATCGAACTATCGGCCTCTGTCTCCATTGTCGGCGGCTTGCGCATGCCAGTCTAGGCTGCAGCGGCCCCATGCGACACAATATTTGCAGTAGGGATAATCCAAGTTTTTTCTGCTGAGCGGGTGGGAGGTGAGTCAGGAGGCCGGCGTTTCGGACTGGCAGCAGGATGACGGGCAGGTGCTGACCAGCACGGCGCGCCCACCCGCCTGCACCCGCTCGATTATGGCGAAGCGACAAACGCCCAGCCACGCCCGCCAAGCGTTCCCGCCCATATATTGCCCGTCCCCGACTGCCCCCACAGCTGCGTACTCCAACCAGTCTCGCCTTGGTGATCGCCCCGCCCCGCTACCGCCGCAGAGATGGTCAAGACTACCGAAATCATCGCGGCCCCCGCGCCCGAGACCGAAATAGGCCCGGTGCGAACCTACACGGAGGAGCAGCAGAGCATGATCAAGGCATTGCGCGAGGTGCGTCCTCCTGTCCTCTTGTCCCACACCCTAACATCCTCACTCCCGCTCGCACGCGCAGTATGCCGATACGCTCCTCCTTCCAGAATCCGACCCGTATCACGAGTGGGAGCTTCGGTGGCTGAACAAGTGGGACACCATCCCGCGCTACATGCGCGCCGCAAAGTGGGACTTCGAAGATGGCAAGAAGCGCATCCAGGGCACGCTCGAATGGAGGCGCGAGTTCAAGCCGGACCTCATCCCGCCAGACGAAGTCAAGATTGAGGCGGAGACGGGCAAGATGTCAGTGCTGCCCATGCCGCACTCTTCCGTGCCCCACCCTGAGCTTATGTGACACTTCCAGCCTCCTCAACGGCTTCGACAACCAAGGCCGGCCCATCATCTACATGCGCCCCGGGCGCGAGAACACCGAGACCTCTCCGCGGCAGCTCCGGCACCTCGTCTGGTGGCTCGAGCGCGCAAAGGACATGATGCCCCCGGGGCAAGACTCGCTCGTCATCGTCGTCGACTACAAGTCGACCACGCTCCGCACGAACCCGTCCATCAGCGTCGCGCGCAAGGTCCTCCACATCCTCCAGCAGCACTACGTCGAGACGCTCGGCCGCGCGCTCGTCGTCAACCTCCCCATGCTCCTCAACTTCTTCTACAAGGGCATCAGTCCCTTCCTCGACCCCGTCACGCGCGACAAGATGCGCTTCAACCCGGACCTGTTCGACCTCATACCGCGCTCGCAGCTGGATGCGGACTTTGGCGGGGACTACGACTGGGAGTTCGAGCCGAAGAGCTATTGGGAGCAGGTCGTCGAGTGAGTGATCGTACCTTTTCAAGATCGGATGTCTGACCGCGGTTGGGGTAGGCACTGCGGGATCGCGCCCGATGGCACTCGAGTGGAGGATAGTGCCCCTGGGTCAGAAGCAGACGAGGCACAGGCCAAGCTCGCAGTGCTACAAATACAAACATCTGCCGCAAAAGGCTCGACTCCTGAGTTGGAACAGCCTCCACACACAGTGGAGGATGCCGATACCCTGTATGCCATACCTGACAAGCCCACGCACTCACGAGGCTCATACCTTGACAGACAGCGAGAAGAGGATGCGAAGGCTATCTCTGAGATTGCAGCTGCAGCGTGACACCGCGATACCCGCGCAAACACCCAATGTTCAGCCTACCGACCAATGTATCATAGGCTATGACTATCATACACTCACTTAACATAATATTAGATGCTAACTGCCTCACTGTAACGCCTCTCCGAGTCTATCATGGTTCATCCTGCTCGCGCGCAGGTGCATTGTTTGAGTATTCTGCGGGACATCATTATAGCCTACACTAACAGACCGCGAAAGAGAGAAGAGACAATAAAAAGAGAGCGGAGTACGTGCAAGGGATGGAGATGGAGCCCAAGGGGTCCTCACAATTGGTGAAGGACAAGGGGCCGACGACGAAGCAATGTATGTATATGCGATGGTATTGATAAAGATGGGGAGTAACATAATGAGAGGGAGCGCGTACATACGCCGCTAAGCGTGAGTTGCATGCGATAAAAAGTCGACAAGGAGAGAGCGATGTAGATCATATCTTACGACACTGAAAGAGCGAGAGAGGCGTTGTATGGAGACACTTGACCGATGGATGATGGTGAATGCAGAGACCAAATATTGAACCCAGAGTCCCTGATCTAGCCCGAGCCACAGAGCCGTCGTCCCTGCCCTGCACCCGGGATGCGGAGCAACCCAAAGAATGAATCAAAATGGTAATATGAAGAGAACCAACGCACGCGCTATGCCTGGCGCGCAGCCGACTTCCAACTCGACGGCGGCAGCGGCGGGGGCACAGGCTCCCGTTTCCCGCTCCTCACAGGCACTGACGGGTCCGTCCTCGTCCTCGGTCTTGGCCCCGGGCGCTGTGGTGTGGTCTGTACGCTGCCCGAGCTCACCGTCCGCGGCGGCATGCCCGGCGGCTGTACGCCGTACGTCGACCCGCGGAACGTCGACGTGCGCTCGCCCGCGGACGGGTCGCCATACGCGCTGCGCGAGCCCCAGCCTTGCCCACGCCCGCCCACACCGAGCTCGCTCCCGGCGACGCTCCCCGCGTACATCGACTGCGCGCTCGACGGGAAGCCGCCCATCATCCCCTGCCACGGCATTTCATGTTCATATTCATCCCATGCCCATACCCATCGGGTTCATCCCGGCATGCCCATGCCGTACCCCATCGGTCATGGATGACATCTGCCGCCGAACGTGCTTGTATGCCCACCGCCGCCATTAAGCATGCTCGTCGCGCCGGTCGATCCGCGCTCCCACTCTTCCTCAGCGGCGGCCATCGCCTGCTGCGCGACCGCCATCTGGTACGCCTGCTTTGCGAACATCATCGCTTGCTGGTGAGCTGCGAGGAACGTCGGGTCTGCGTTTGGCGGGACGGGCGGGAACATGAATGGCTGTGGTGACATCATGCCGCTTGGCTGGTTTGTCCAAGGCATCGGGGAGGACATCATGTTCATGTTCATGTTCATATGGCCTGTCGGGGAGACACCTGTCATGTTATTCATCATGCTCATCCGCGGAGGCATGTTGTCCAACGGACGGTCCTCATCGTCATCATCGTCGGTAGGAGGTCGACCGTTGACGATTTTCCCGAGCTATTCAGATGGCTGAGCACAAGGCATGAGGCGCTCATGGTCAGAAACTCACCTCCAAAGCAGCCTTCGCCTCGCTCCGTCTCCGCTGTCTTCGCCTGCTCTCCGCATTCGCATCTTCCGCACTCTTCTCCCTCTCCTTCTCCTTCGTTTCACGCTCACGGTCGGCAAGGCCCGCCCGTCCCCTCTGGCCCTCCAGCTCCGCAAAAGTCAAACTCGAGCTCTTCCGATGCCCTCTCCGCGCCGCCGCCGCACTCGCACCAGGCCCCGTGCCCTGCGGCCTCTCCTTCTCCCTCGCCCGCTCCCGCGTCGAGAAGCTCAGCTCGCTCCCATCCTGCGGCGTGATCGGTGTCCGGCCGCTGCTCGACTCGCCCGTCGAGCTCGCAGGGCTATAGCCACGGACACCCCCCGCAAACGGCCTCACAGGCGGCATACTCGCCAGCGTGCCCGGGCTTACGTTCCCAACACCATCCCTCGATGCCTCCATCGTCCGCGCACGGGCGCGCTGCTGTGCAGTCGAGATCGCGGGTGGGGCAGCCACCCTCGGGGACGACGCAGACGTAGACGCGCTCGTCTGGGAGGACTCTGACGACGTCGATACGGGCGGGACGAACTGCCGCGGGCGCACAGGCTTTGGCGCGGCTGTCGGCTCTTGATTGTCTGCAGCGTGGGCATCTGCTCCATCGTCTGCGAGCGACGGCGGGCGCGAGATGGAGCAGTGGAATTCGACGACGCGGACGCGGGCGAGGCGCGCCCCGCCTCTGTGGCGGCGCCTGTGCTTGCGAGCAGTCCGCTGCCTGTGAACCCCTTCGAGGGCGGCAAGCCGTGATCGGGGATAAGTGGCTTCTGCAAAATGGAGGGCGAGGAATTCGTGCGCGACTCGGATCGAGGCCGGGACTCGGGGCGGGGTTGCAGGTCTATTGGAGACCGCATCTCTGTGGGAGATTGAGATGTGATGGTTGCTGGTGAAGGTGTGCGCCCTAGCGTCAACCTTGCTTGTGCTGTCGTGAGTGGAGGACTGTTCGATGGCCAGGAAGTGACTGTCGGATCGAGTTGCACCAAAATGAACGTGGGATGCCAGGCTCATCTGCGAGGCCGGGCGGGATGTCACGCTGAACGCAGGAGGGGGAGAGCGTTCGCGGATTGGAGTGGGAACGATAGGCTTCGGGTCGGAGAGGTCCTGAATCTCGTATGCGTTCGAAGTGGAGTACGATCGGCCATTCGGCTTGGTCTTCGTGGGGGAGGACGAAGGCATGGGCAAAGAAGAACAGGGCGACGTGTTTGTGACGATAGCCTCGACTGGTAGGGTCTGACTGCGCGTAGGCTGTACAAGAGGACCTGGTGAGCGTCCTCGGTCAGCGTTAGCCTTCTCTGCCTCATCAGGGTTCGCAAGAGTATTTGAACGACCATTAGAGACGCTCGCTGCTAGTCGCGCTAGGCGGTCATTCAGACTCGGCTTCGCAGCAGCAGAAGACGAAGGAGACGCCTTCTCTCTCTCCGGGTCTTTCGGTGCTTCTTGCGTCTCGGTCACCTTGGCATTCTCCTTGTCGCTTTCCTTGTCGTTGCTTTTGTCTTCTCCGTCTCCACCTCCTTCGGCTCCTGGGAAGCGGGCCTTGGGAGCGAAAGGGGCGACTTGTCCGTTTCCAAAGGCGGTAGACTCGGCGGGGCCAGTCCTGAGATGTCAATGAGAGGCTTGGGCAACATGCGCGCGCGGGACACGTTTGTCGCCGCAGTGGCAGTTGACGTACCGCTTCCCGTCCGCCTGTGGCCGAGAACCCTGCTCGCGAGCGGCGCATCGTCCGAGTCTGTATCAGAGTCCGAATCGGACGTCGAGTCGCTGTCGCTGTCAACCACTTTAGACGGCACTTTACGCGCCACGCCTACATTCAGACGTGATCGCGACAAATTGGCAATTCATGAGACCGAAGAATGCGCTAAATAGGTGAAACCACTGACCACCGTCGTTGCTGTTCGCGTTCTGGGCGGCGTGCATCGCAGAAGCTCGCTGGGCGGCCGCATTTGGCATCAGCGCGGACGTCGATTGCGACGCACGAGCACGGTTGTATAGACTGCCACGATCGCTAGCGTTGCTCTGTGCGGAAGGTGATGCTCTCATCCGAGGTGGGGTGGGCTTCGCGACTTGGCCCAGCTCGGATGCGCTCTTGCCAGCTGAGCGTGGCGTGATGGTGCCCGTCGGCCCACGGCGTTTCGGACGCAGCGTCGACGAGCCCGCAGAGTCGCCGTCCTCGTCCGACTCTGACTCTGATGAGGTTGAGTCTGACGTCGGCGATGTTGGTTTGGGACGACGGAAAGAAGGCGGTGGTGGTGATGGCGATGCCATACCCTGCGTGAAAGACGACGGAGGACGGAGGAAAGGTGATCCGTCCCCACGAAGATCTACAGAGGATGGTGAGGGAGAATTTGCAGCACTGCGCCGCGCCGCCATTTCGCGGAAGGCAGCCACCGATATTCGTTGTGATGAATCCGTGGATGCTAACTTTCCCTCTGGGTCGGACAGGCGGGGTGAGACCTGAGGTAGAAAGTGATGATGGTGGACGCGGAGCCAGATCCGTAGGACTTGGCGAGGCAGGGCGAACGTGCCGGAACGACTTCAGGTTGAAGGACTCATCTGGGCTAACGAGTGAAGCATCCGGCGGAGGAGGCTTTGACTTTTTGCGCTCGCGATGTGCCCAAGAAAACATCCCTTTGGGCTTCTTCACATCAGGCGTCGATGAAATGCGACCCGCATTGTCCAGGCCCTGGCGCGAGCTCCCAGGCTCAGCAGTCGTGGTAGTGGGTAGCGATTGAGTAGACCGTGCAACGTTAGCCCCTCCGTACGAGGCGAACAGATCTGACCTTGAAGGCGGAGGCCCCAACGACTCATGTCCTGACTCTGACTTGGAGCTGGAGAGGCGAAGTTTCGGGAGGACGGACGGTGGGGGGCGTAAGTAGCCATTGTCATCGGTCTGCTGCGATGGCTTGCTCTTTTTGCCTCCGAAGCCCAACATGAGTTTGCTCGACGATGCACCGACGGGGCCGCCGTACAGAGCGTGTCCGTTGCGGGGAGTTGGCTGGCCCGAGGTAGAGGCGAAGTCGGTGTTGACGGACTGGGTGTCGGAGGCAGACGCGTCGATGCTGGCCTTTGCGTCGCTGCGTGCGTCCGGACCTTATGCTTGTCGCGCTTGGAGAAGAGGCCGAAGACAGCCATGGTGGGGATAGAAAAGCAGGAGAGAGCCCGCTGCAAGCGTGGGTGAGGGCCCCGTAGCTGAGGCTGCAGACAGAGTCCGCAACGTTCGCGCAGATGCGAGTCGGAGTCGCGATGACCGCTTTGTGTCACCGTGTTTGGCCCCCTGCCGGCCTGCATGCTCCCCCCAGAGTCCTCCCTCCTCCCCTCGCCTGTCGCTCTGCCCTTGCTGTCGACCATATGCTGCTCGTCGTCGCCACACACGCACTCACCGGGTGCAGCGCGGTCCCTGTCCGCGCTTGTATGTCGCGCCCAGCTCACGGCGCTCGAGCCAACTCGCCGCTGTACGCACGTTCATAAATAGCAGCGATTCCAACTCGGCTGCCGCACTCTATCGCCTCTTGGATTCCCAGGACCACTCGTTTTAGAGTTGGCCAGCAATCCACGCCGTCCGCGCGACAGCCCGTTGCCTCTCATGAACCGTCTTGCCGCCACATTTCTCACTTCTCGGACACTGTTCTCTTCGGGGACTCTACTGTTCGCTGCACGTTGCGAGCCTCGAGGTCACCATCACCCGTTCGTCTCCTATCATACTGCATCCATGTGGTCACTTTCCCCGCTTGGGCGATGCTGTGCCAGAATTGCTTGCTCGGCGGAGTGGGTCAAAAGTCTACTTGGGAATCAGCCCTATTGCGTGATGCTCATCCCAACTCAGTGTCCAGGTGCGTCGGCGCTTCAGCCGAAGAGTCGTCTCATCGCCTTTGCACTGTTCAAGACGATCCAGCTCATCTACAGCCATGAACCGCATAGGCATTGCTTCGATCACGGCGCACCCTGTCTCGCCCCTGCGCAGTTCGAAGCCGAACGTCTTATGAACCTCGCCGTGCTATAAGTAGGACCGGTGTGTCCGCCATCTCTTGCTTCCCCCTCTTGGCCTGCGAATATCACTGCCTCCATGATCCCGGAGGCTTATCCTGTCCGGCTTCCACATGCTCATGCTCTGCGCGCCGTAACGTCGAGCTCTTCACGTCCCGGTTATCCACGAAGTTCGAACGAAGGCTCCGCCCGTCTGGCTCCCTCCACTGGACAGCATCTCTGCGGCGTCTCACTCGATCCGATACGCCCGAGCGTTTTCAACCTTCGTTTACCGGGTTCTCGATATCAGTCATTGGTGGGGATCAGCATCAATGTTCAACTGCGGCTGGTACGGTAATTGTATCTTTGGCACGCAATCACTCGAGTCCCCGACTCTGATTACACCGCAACTCGACTCAGCATTTGAGCAAGAATCAATGCTTGCCGCCGTCTCTTCGCTACGATCTCAGTCGCAGGCACGACACATGACGGGCTGTGGAACGACAAGCTATGGATACTCCTCGGGCACCCACACGCGCGATCACCATCTATGCCGTCCTCTGAACCCTGACAGCTCGTCGTATTGGCTCACGCCCTTCTCATCGAGCTTGCAGGTCACTCACTGCACATGACTTGCTAGTCAGCGCGTCGCTCGCCCAGCATTTTATGCAGGAGACCGCGTCGGGGGGTCGTCTGGTCGGTCTTCGTCACCAGCTCGCCGCCCACCGCGCTCCCCCGCTCAGGACGCGTCCCTACACTATCCACCGTTCCCTGCGCATCTCCCGCCGTCCGTACGACTTATCACGGCTCGGCGCCCGCTTGGCAGGTCACTGGACGGACCTCGAGGAACTCCGCCACGGCCAGGACGGTTCCACCGCGACCCATTTCCGCAAGCCTCTCGTGCAAGCCACTCTTCCTCTCGCACGAGGGGCGTCGTTTTTGTCAGGCTAGAGCACAGCCCCGGACGCCTGTGCGAAGCCGGAACCCTGTTCAGAAACGCAGCCGGATGGACCTTGTTGCTTCGAGAGGGGTTGCCTCGGCGGACGCGGTGCGTTGTATAGTGGCTGTTTGGTTCGATCGATACCTGCTGTTTTGGCGAATGCGATAGCCCTTGGACTGGGTCCTTTGCCGCAATCATACCATCGCAGACGTGTCATTGCTCCTACTACGAGCATGCGTAGTAGAACGGTTGCGTCGCGTCTGTGGCGACGCGTCTCGGACGCGTGCTTATCACGTGCATGCCATTACCGAAGACGCAAGGGTTATCGATCCCATCGACGTCATCGCGTCATCTTATCCCAAACGGCGGAGGACGATGAGGGAACTATATGACCGCACCGGCTATGTCGTCTATCGTCACAGACTCGTTCTGTTGTTACAATAAGATGTGGGATACAAACTTTACGCTACTACTGATAACGATATTCGGGGCGCGGAAGAGTCGACGGGTGCCACCCGTGCCGCAGTGCTGCTTGAGGCTTCCTGACTTATGCATTCGCTGCGGCCTCGGTGATGAGGTTCTATAGATTACGCGTGGTTAGCGACGAATCGAGAAAGGTAAGGAGCTTTGACACTCACCTGGAGAGCACCAGGGTTCGCGCCAACGAGCTCCTTGACCTTCTGGCCGCTCTTGAAGACGGAGAAGGTGGGCATCTAGCGGCGTGTACTGGTCAACATCCCCGGAGAAGCCCGGAAACAGGTCTGCTCTACGTACCGCGCGGATGCCGACCTCCTGGGCGATATCGCCCTGCTCGTCAACGTCGACCTTGTAGAAGTCGGCGCCGGGGAACTGGTCGGCGAGCTTCTCGAAGATGGGCGAGATCTGCTTGCACGGGCCGCACCACGTCGCCCAGAAGTCGAACACGGCGGGCTTGTCGCGGTTGATCTGCGGGATCACGAACGATGGGTCAGTCCGCGCTCGTGCCCAGAGTCGCGCCGGGCTCGCGCAGAGGCACCCCGGGTGAGTAAGCAGCACTCACGATCTCCTGGAACTGCTGGAGGGAGCTGACGACGGTGACGGGCATGGCGGACGTGTACGGCTGTGTTGCGGTGTCGGTGGGGTTGGTGATGGAGGTGAGTGGACACAACGGACTGGACAGGAAGTTTTGAGAGGACGACTGGCTTTATAGGGACCCGGCGCGCGGTGCAGTGGTACACGATCGGATCGCGCCATGCGTCACGTGTGGCTTACAGATGATTGGCTGGTGATCCAGATTCGGTGCGACGCCCGACGCGTCCTCCCGCCCACCGCGCCTGCGCCGCCGGCCTGCTTGGTCATCCCCGCCTGCGCCTCCCTGGCTGTCCCATCAGACGCGTCCTGGTTCGCGAGGCATTGGCGGGGCTTGCAAAGCGCGAAGGCCGCTCACCTCAGCGTATGTGTAAGTGCATGACCGGAACATGTCATCGTCTGTGGTCCCAGATGGCAACTCACGGTGACACCTACGTGCTATTGGGGACACTGTGATTGGCCGTGCTCTTTGCCATGTGCGGTGGCTAGAGCCTTCTAGGTGGTGAATCGTGATGGGAGCGCCCCGCGCTGATTCTACAGCGAATCCAGTCTCGTCCCGCGAGACAGCGCCGCGGCGATGGACCCGCGGAGTACGGTCGCCTTCCGCGCGGCTCTTTTGCTACTTAACTTACCTAGTGCGGGCCGCGGAAGTCAGACAGAGTCCCTTCTTCGTGTCGTGCGTGTCAACGTACATACCTCCGGAGTATGGTCTGTCATATGGCATGTGCGATGTATATATCTCGTGCGTCTTACCCGTTCCCCCACTTCCGACTCGGATGTCTTCCAGATGCTCGATCCCCGACAGCAATCACGCATAGTCAACAACTCATCTTGCGAGTTCGCAACACCTCTACGCGCTCGATGTGATTCCTGACGACGCTATGCACAGATCAGTGAAGATCTAATCAATCCTGGCTGCTCGAATACAGCGCCCCTGCGCCGATAGAGCGGAAGACTCCGAAGCCACAGTCGAGAGAGGGTGTAGTAAGTGCTATGACGCCGACTGTGGACTTGCTTAATGCATGAAAAAAGATAATCTTTACCGTGACCACTTACAGTGCGAGGGCTTCGGAAGGGAGGATCACCCACAAAGGTACTGTCGGAGGATTGGCCTCTCGCCAGTGAACAAGAGAACGAAGAGGAGAGAGAGAGCCACGACAGCAATGTCGATGTAGCAGAGAACATCCCAGCCGTTGCTTAGGTGGCCGTATATCTAAATCATGCGTTAGCGATAGTCTTGGACGTCACTCGGGATCCTCGCCTGTCCACCAATAACAGAACCCGCTGCAGTAACAATAAGCAGTGTCCTCATAATCAGGAAGTACGAAGTTACTTGCCCGCGTTGGCCAGGCCAAACACGATGTTGAGCGTTCCGTAAGTATGCGCGTCTGGAGGTAGAGAAAGAGGTCAATGAGCGTAGAAGATGCACAGTCCAATTTACGCACAGCCCACGCCATCCATGCTACGCGTGACCGCAGCGAGTTCTGTGGTGAGAGGCGCAGCCGTTGCCGCAATGAAGAAATCTGAGGCGCGAGATCAGCGTTCAGGTTGTGAGCGTAACTGCATACACATGAACTCACTCTCCACAGCAAAGGCAACAATAAAGAAAGCGAGGGAAAAGTCGAGCGTGAGCAGCCCGAACCAAGGGATCCACATACGAACAGAACCGTCGCCACCCAGCAGGACCGACTCTATCGCTCTGCTTGCCCGCGAGGGGCGATGCTGAAAAGGGTGAGCACGGGAATACGGTCGCGAGGATCGGAACGTACAAAAAGAGGGGGACGAGCGACGCGAGGTATACTAGGCCAACCTTCGTCGAGTTGAGGTTCCATAGCGCCTGTACACGGAGCGGCAGCGTCACGTCTAGGGCTGCGAACGCAAGCCTGACAGAACAGTCAGCGGAGCCGCCAACCCTAAGCTAGCATACGCACGAGGGGAAGAATGTGCTGAATACACAACTAGTGTCCGCGGTGAGTTGGATAGCTTATACATGACCTGCAGCAGAGACAGTTCCTTGCTCGTCTCTTCCTCTCTACCGGCACCTCCGACGTCGTGCTAGCGATCGCTTCCGTCGCCCCTATCTAACACCTTCTGTATGGACTCTACCTTCTCGGCAGATTTGCAAGACTCAGGCGGTATTCCGAGGAAAGTGAGCTAGTCTGCGGGCCCTGCGCCTTCTCTGCGTCCATGACACTTCAGACTTCGATGTAGTAGTGGTCGAGCAGTTGGGATTGGGTTCTCGTGGACAAGCAGACGTGCGGGAGGTCGAGGACGGTAAAGAGGATAGTGAAAATGAAAGGTGCGCGGTAGCCCCAGCGGGCAAAGAGCGCGCCGCCGACAGGTGGCGCTAGCAGTTGTCTGTATTACGATGTTCATCAGCCTGAGTGCGACGATTCCAATTGTACATCATTCACGCACCCCAATGGAACGCCGATCATGGCGATGCCAGTTGTTCTACAGCCAAATTGAGTCGATTGAGCAGGCGATTTTCAGACACTCACGTCCGATATCCTTCTCGGGGTAGCATCGCAACTGCACCAGAGAGTAAGTGTGAACATGAGGCTCGATTGCAACGCACATGAGGGCGAATCCCGCTACAATGATGACTGCGGATGCGAAGCCTTCAGCAGTCGGCCAATGCACATCATCCAGAACGCAGGCGACTCCATAAGTAGTATTTGGGACGCGACCAAGAGGAGCTGACCGGCGATAAGGACGGCACGTCTTGACCGCAGATGCTCAGAGACCATCGCGATGACCGGAGTGGCTGGGCATCATAGCACTCTGTCAGAACGGCGTCGATGCTGTACATCCGAGTCCATTGCGGCTTACCGATAACTAGGCCTGCAGACTATGCCTCATGGGAATTAGCACAGGGGATGATTGCTGTATATGCGGGCTCACTTACATAGAGGAATAGCAACCATCCGACGAGCTGCGAGACATGGCTGTACCGCAATTCTTCGAGCCGAAAAGGGAAAACGGTGACAACGATATTGTAGTTCAGAGTGTCCAGCGCAAGGCCTTCAACGACGGGAGTTGAGCCGTGTACTAGTAGGTGGAACAAATCATACACAACTCACCCATAGCCACCACTATGAATGCGTCGAACGGAACGTCAAGTTCACTTCGACGCGCAGCATGGGTGACCGATTGACTTGCCGAATGTTACATATCCTGGAGACGACCTCCAGCTCTGCGAGCGGACGAACATCTCTGCAAAAAGTCTTCACGGTTCGATTCGGACGGCGGGCGTGTCTTCCGATTTGGCTTGGACCACGGGAGAGAGTAGGTCTTGACCGGGAACGTAAGATATGTAACTTAGCTGACTGAGCTTCTTTTGATAGAGTTACATTTCGAGCGGGTAGGTCCGCGATGCGCTTCTGATACCATTGGAATGCTGCTGCTGTAGTTGTGCTGCAGTCTACAAATGTCGCCGTGGGCGTTGCCGCCTGGAACCGCTGAGGTCCGATAGGCTCTGAGGGTCCTACCCACGCGATGTAAGTATGTCACCTTCACGAAGTCGCTATCAGCGATGCACCCCACCTATACCATCCTATGTCAACATTCTCCTACGTGCGGCCGAAGATAAGATGGACGCCGGAACCGCATGGCGGAGATGTCATATTTCCGCCAGGCCACCAACAACTGCCTGCTGGCAGTGCCAGTGCCAGTGCACATGCGGCATCGAGCACTTCTATTGTCGTAAGATCTCTTCCGTGTGTCCCGTCAGCGCCCTGGCCATGCTGTCGTGGGGTTGGTTCAATTGGCGAGGAAAGAATGGAACTTACAAACACAGTTTATGATCGGTGAGGCAGGGCCGTTGATATGTTATGTACTTGCCCGTTGTGGCGGCGAACGACGGACGCGTCACGCCGCGTCCGCCGCGTCAAATTCCGCATCAAAATGTTCTACATATATGTATAAGTAAGTAAGGCCCACTGCAGACTGATCGACTGGTACTGGTGAGTACATGAATACCTTCTTAGTGTCTGTCCTACAACGTCAACGCTGCGCTAGGCTCCTCAGGTCAGGATATTCCCGCTGCGGCGTGACAACTCATTTGCGGACAACGACAGTCACGTCCTTTGATGATAGTGGACGCTCATCATCTTCCATTTGAACAGTTCATGATCTGACATTGGGCGCGCGTATTTGGCGCGAAGTTCGAAGATGACCACAGGACCGTATAATACCGGCCGCGCGGGCGAAGTTCACGGAAAACGGCAAGACTCGGCGACCAGATGCGAATCCAGTCACCACTGGAAAGGTGCAGATTGAACTAGTTCCGGTCCATACTGTTGGACATGCCGTGTCGTATCACTTCGAGCGTGCCTTCCCAAAGCTAAGTTACTTATGTCTGTTGCTGTTGTCTGATGCAACCAGTGGCGCTGCGAAGCGCACATACATGGCCGTAAACACCCCGTGTGCCGTCGCTGCCGCGAGATAACCCAACATGGGTGAAATAGGGTATGGGCGACCATATTCAAGTTACCCCGAACCCCCATCTTCTGAGAGTCTGTGCCTTTGGGCTACTTGCTGCTGTTAGCGACTCGGAAAGTGCCCCTACCTCCATCGCAAACATGTCCGCAGAGTTTCAGCACGGTTGGTACATCGGCAACATCTGCGTCAGTATCCTCTACGGTAAGTCGATTCCGTACCTCTCTGAGTTGAAGGCTGCCGTCTTGACACGGACGGGTCATGCTATAGGCATGGAGCTTGTCATCTACGGGGTGTCCATGCGGACGCTTTTCCGGCGCAAAACCCAGCATCGCAGCAAGAAGGACATGTTCTTCGTTGTCTTCAGCACTATCCTCCTTCTTTGCTGTACCATCAACTTGGCGTCGGACTGTTTTTTCGGCGAGGAATGGTGGATCGTTAATGGAGGGTCCGAGCAATGGTTTGCGGACAACGTGTCTGCCTGGTACCAAACTTGGGCTTCAGCCGTAAATGTGCTCGTCCAACTGCTCGCAGACGGTTTTCTGGTGAGTGTATGAGGCATGCCTTGAAGTCGTTGGTTTTCAAGTGTTTGCCTTCACAGATTTACCGTTGCTTCGTCCTCTGGGATAGCTACCTTGTTGTTCCCCTACCATGCCTTGTCTGGCTTGCCTGCCTGGGTCAGCAGTTTTCTCTCGTGCTCCATCATTCATACATACTCACTGTAATACCCAGGCATCGGCATCACCACACTGTACTACTCCGGAAGCCCGGGCGGGGATGACTTCGCAGGTCTTGCGCTGCAGACGAGCACGGCTTACCTCGCATGTACAATGGCAATCAACTTCTCAATGACGGCTCTCATCGTCGCGCGCATCCTCTACTTCGCGCGTACGACCGGACGAATGCTCGCGAACGGCAGCACCCGGCAGTACTTCGGCGTCATCGCCATGGTCGTCGAGTCCGCGGCGCTGTACACCGTCTTTAGCCTCATGTACCTCATCACGTTCGCGATTGGCAGCGACCTCAGCGCGCTCTTCATGAGCTTCTACGCAATGTTCACGGTACGCGCTTGCGAGTCAGGCATTGTTCCGGGAATGTACATCCGGCTGACGGTTGGTGCGGCAGGTCATCTCGCCGCAGCTGATCATTATGCGCGTTGTGACTGGCTCGGCGTGGAGCCGCACGACTCATAACGACTTGGCGACGATCTCCTTCGCAGACCACCCAGTTAGCACGAACGTGACTTCTGGCAGCAGGACCTTGAATAACACCGGGCATATCGCTATGTCGCAGACTTCCTTCCGCGAGGGTTCCGTGGGCGACATGACGTTCGAGACGAAGCATGCAAAGGGCTCCGCATTCGACGTAGTGTGAGGCTCTTCACACCTCCTAGCTCTCGCTGAGGTGTGGTCGATCTGATCGGTGACGAGATGAAGAAATGAAATGCGAGGCATATATCATGGTCTCTTGCTTACTCGTTCTAGCTTTGTAGTATATTAGAAGCTGCTTTACACGACTCAGTCTGACTTCATATTGTAGTGTACCTGAGCTGCCAGATAAAAGTGACATTTGTTTCTGAATCCATTCAAGTAATGCTGCCTGCAGTGTGCACTTCATCAAGAGTGTACTCAAAAACGCGAATCCGGCGAGACGGCTACACTACACATACAATGCCAGGCTAGGTATGTCCGTCGCCCTCCCGTCCCTCACCGCCTTCCATTCTATCCAGTGCTTCCTGATCTCGGCCCTCATCATCTCCCAATCCACACACCGGTATTCTCCAGTCCAGCGCTCCTCAGTCCAGTTGCGCGCAAGCACCGTCGCCGGCTCAAGCGTGATGTCCGCATCGCACAGAACGTATTGTCGAATATGGTTTAGACAATGCTCCGGGTGCTCGGCGTGCATGCCGTGCGCTGGGTGGTGCGCGACGAGCGCATCGAAGAGGTATTGCATGCAGTGTTGCTGATGGGTCATGCCCACGCCGAAGACGCGATGCATGGGCCCGAGTCGCAAGTCGCCGTCACCTACGGTCGAGATCCAGAGCCACTCTTCAGACGACTGTGAGTCGAGGAGGGAATAGTGCACGCTCAGGCTCTTCGACGGACATGCGCGCGGCCCGCTTAGCACCTTTTGCGGGAAAGAGTGGCGGGCGGTCGTCGTCAACGTAGGCTATACCCGGGCAGTGAGAACCTTGAAGTGCGCGAGGATATGAGCTGCCAGTGGGGAACTTACAGTACGAAGATATGGGACGCTCGCGACGACGGGCGAGCTGACGAGCTGTGCGACTAAGCAAGACATCGACATAAACATTCGTGAGTGCCAGGATGATGAGGACGACTACTAGCGCAAGCGGTTTGGAGGGCATCCCGGACTTAGAATGCCTTGGTTCCAAGTGTCAGGGGAGGGGCAAGGCAAGTGTTGCGCCGAGGGCTCCTGTAGGCAGAAATGACCCCAGGAGCACGCTGCCCAATCTATTTACTTCTGAGCAGCGAACTTCCATGATCATGAGCAGTATGATAGAACACGATACTAGTACATGGATGTTCTTCCTATCACGCGTGACTGCACCGTTTTCAAGTTGCCTGAGGGCTTCAAGTTCGGAGGCCGTCCAATCTTCTGATCTGAACACTGAGCGCTGCGTGATGAACCTAAGTCAATTCTCCCAATGACCAAATTCCAACTTAACAAGGTTACTGTAAGCGCTTGGTCCGGGTAGGAAGGATGCGGCGGAGCTACAATCAACTTGGTACGTAACTGATTGCGATCAGATCGGGCACATACCTGACGGACGCTCCCAGAGGCTCGGAATACCCTGCGAACTCCTGTCACGGTGTGCATTGTGCACGTTTGCATTGCGTTTGCACCTGTTTAGCTTCCAATTGTAGTAGCATACGATGCTACTGAATACCTACCACCCCACCCCATTCACGCCCGCTTATCCTGCACACCAACAGGAAGGTAGTACTGCACTGTACGACTAGCTGTGAGTGCCAGCGCATGTTAGCGCGCTATTGTCTGATGTTCCGCCCTGGTGATGTAAGGACTTACTCAAGCAGTTAGTCTGCACAGACAATGAAAGTTCCCCCGCCACAAATCAATATCCTCGAGGTCAAGGAGCCGACCGGTATGTATCAACCTTCACAGTTCGATGTGCAATCCACTCAGGCAGAAATCGCAGATGCAATGATTGATCAAGCGGTCGAGCTCACCGTATTGCTTGAGGCTAAAGGTATGGGACCGTGCATCAAATTCCGACATAGCGTGGTTGGCTCAGCGGTTCTCTCCAGATCAGTCGTGCAAAGTGTGGACAGGCGGGAACCCAGCTGAGCTGCTACCCATTCTCATGCGCTCCATCATCAAGGCGACCTGGTTGTGTGAAGGCGCGGGGGAAACGTACGTTGCGACGGACGAGAACGGAACACTTGTCGGGTACTCGCAATGGATCCCGCCAGGGCGAGACCTCTGGGATTCGTAAGCAGCATAAATTTGCCAGCGGCTATGCAGTCTTACAAAACTGTATGATAGAGAGGACCAACGCCAGTGCGGTTATTATGACTTTATGGAGAGGATGTCGGAGGAGGGCAACAATTATTTCAAACAGTCGGTGAGTTGCTGTGTAAGGCAGCTACTTAACGGATAGATGTACTGACGGGAAGACGTTGTAGTTAGGGAATGAATTCCCGAAGTATCTTGATGATTCCTTCGGCATGCCGCAGGTATGTACATTGGACCCTGACTCTTTTTCGCTCTTCATGTGTTGTTGTCAGTCCCAGTACAAGACACACTTCTGCAACCTCGCCATGGTGCGGCCCGACTACCAGAATAAGGGAATCATGACCGCCATGTTTAGGATGGCGTACGAGAGGGTGTGTTTTTGGAAGGGATGGGTCATTCGCATCAGCTCATTCAGGATCATCAGGCGAAGCAGACCGGGGCGACGCTGGCCTTGTCTGCAGGGGACAAGAATAACGTGCGTTTTCCGCAATAATTTTGCCACCTTCCTCACAATCATACGCAGATTGTGGTGTATGAACACATAGGGATGAAAGTGGTAGGCCACCGGACGTTCCAGTCGCCCTGGGGCGAGTGGTCAAGCTGGGCGTTCGCATGGGAGACGAAAGAGAATTGATTGTGACACTAGCATTTCAGTGACGGTATCCAAGTGGTTTCTGGCGTATGTCACGGTTATGCACAGATAAGACGACCGTCTGTCGGCCGGTCATTCCGGCGCCTTGCTCGCATTGAAATTTGAAGATCTGAAGCTGAAGCTTGAGCTTGAAGCTTGAAATCAGAATCGAAGCATGTAGTACCTCCGAGTCGGTGACATGTGGTGCATCCACATTTCCGGCAGCCGCGAAAGAATCATGATGACGTGCGCGACGTTTTTCTGCCGTCTCTTCTGGTGCGCATGTGGGTATACTTACTTGCGCGCGAACAGCTGGCTGAGCGGGACCCCCACAGGGTTGCTAGGAAGATGCACAAGCACAGTGAAGAGTACGACGGCCTGCTCAACTCAAGCTTAACTCGGAGCTCACTTGAGTTCGAGGACAGTGAGTGCAAAGGTGAGTGTTTGTCTGGGCCTGTGGAGAGACTCGCTCATGACAAACGGCAGGTTCGCAGACGATCACAGGGGCGTACAAGAGCAGCTCGAGGCCTGTGCGGCGCCCGCTCTTGCCATACGTTATTGCCTGCCTTGTATTCGTCGCGCTCACCGACATCGTCTTCCTCGCCTACATTTCCCGTGTCTTCACGACCGAGTATTTGGACGACGCTGACCTACCCCTCGCTTACCCATATATCGGCCTCAAGGAGCTATACGACTTCGGCCACGTCGAGCCCCCGCGCTTCGCGCCGCTTCTCAACAAGCCACGTGTCGTGACCCAAGTGTTCCGCGACGAGCCCGAAAGACCAGGAGGCAGGGGCGAGCACCAGATATGGGACGTGGAAATGGGGCAGATATTTCCCCCCTTTGACAAACATCTGCTAGTCAACGACAAGGTACGTTCTGACAGGTCCTCAGCTCCATCCGATGCTCAACGCATGCCTCTACAGACACGCACAATCATACAGTTCCGCGCGATGGACTTTGGAATGGAGGAGTGCTCGCTCGCATTCCGCTTCCCAGGCACCCAGGACCTCTTCGAGGGCAAGGATCTGCCTGCCGTCAGCAGTGCGACAATACAGCTACAAATATGCCCCCTCGATGTTCCGCGCTTCCTCGACGTACGGGCCGTTTCATGGGCCTCGCGCCCGCAGTGTGCGGGTCCGCCGACAATGTTCACTGCGGCGGTCGGCGCGGAGCACGAGGTGCCAGTACCGCGCTTCCCGTGCGCATGGGGGACGTATCACTCGTTCGAGGTGGCGTGCACAGACGAAGATGGTAGCGGGCGCGAAGACGCGTGTGCAGTTGATGTGTGGTCGAGTCACAACCAAACCTGGGGTGAGTGCGGGAATCACTCGGCCTCGACGTAAGATGCTGATGCGAATTGGTAGGGTTGTATATGTATCAGCACCAGACCATCTAGGATGCACGACGAACTCCGTCCCCGCATGGGTCGAATAGTCGGAATAAATGTATGTTAGCCACTTCCATAAAATGGTGCCCCATTAGCCTACGAACGGTTGCGATCTCAAGAACCCCATATGATGACCATGTACTCAATTCAATAAACGGAAAGTTACGTCTAGCGTTTATTTCTGGAGCGACACTTCTTCTCAGGCCGCGGAGGTAGTTGGGCTAATTGATGGGCTGCAGGAATTATGTCGCTTGAGGATGCGGGCCCAAAAACCGGGTGTGCGTGTTCGGTATCATGGTATCGCTTGCGTTCAGCATGGAGTCGACCTAACCGCAAATGCACCCGGCGCATCATGGGCGTATCTCTTCATTATCGTCCTGGGATATTTGGGGCCTGCTTGTGCATCAGAGGTCTGCGCCAGTAGCCTTCGGACAGGCAATGGAAGCCTACCGGAAGAGTGTAGCGCGCACGCCCAGAGACAGCATCATAGATGCTCCTGCTGAGGCCGTTCCCGGGCTTCGCGGTGTAGCCTCAGACTCCGAACAGAGCACTGGCACCGGGAGGTCAGTGGCTTCCGGTTCTCCTCCATCTGACCGCGTACATGTGATCTCCTGTGACAAACTCATACAGTCTGCAGTATAGTTACTCACAAAAGATTGCAACCCTTTGCCGGCTGGCAAAGTCGTAACCTCGCGAGGCGACTCAATCTTCAGGTGGTGCGTACGCCTGACTCCCAGTGGATAAGTGGTTAATACCTTCGAATGTAACAGGTTGTGCGCGCAGTGGCCCTGGCAATGTTCTCATCGAAGCGCAACGTGGAGGCATTGACAATATGGGCGGCATGCATCCTGCTCATGACCAGTCTCTTCGGAAAGCTGACCTACCTGCACTGGGCCAAACATCTGCCGTCCAGCATCGAGCCCGGTGTTATACGCAAAGGTGCGAGGCGCCTTCCTTGTTCGTCGTACAGTACCGCCTGACAGTGCGGTACCTAGAACTTACGTCTGACATCTGGGACGTCGAGCGAAAGCCAGTGCATCTCCAGTTTGACCACTACAAACTGCAATATGGCCTCGACGCGGAACAGCAGTGGGCTGCGCTTGTCCCGCACGATGGCATCATCCACCTCGCAGACGGTCAGGCTGGCGACACGCGTATTCCGTACACGTTCTCCATGTTCCACCAGCTCCGATGTCTTGACGTCCTCCGCGCGCAGTACCGGCTGCCTCTCGAAGAGCGCGACATGGTGCACGCACGCCACTGCATGAACTACATCCGCCAAATGATACTCTGCCGCGGGGACATGCACCTCGAGACATTCCTTGCGGACAGGTACAGCCACGAAAACGTCGACCGCCGCGGCGTGTACCGGTGCCGGGACTTCCGCGCGGTGTATGATGCGGTGGAGAGGAACCAGCAAGAACATGCGGTTTGGGTGGTCGGGAAGAATTCAACTGTGCATTAATCAAAACTGTATCAGACATAGCCCGTATGCGAACGATGTTGTTACACATACGAGTGGATTTGACTGTACTGTAGGTATCTGATCAAAGTCCAGCACATATCGCGCTACTGCTTTCGATTGAGGCTATGTGTCGCTTCCCTTTCGGAACTCAGTATGAGGATGCATCAGATCGGAGAACCCAACAATCAGGACTCTTACCGTAATGTGACCGCTATTCCATGATTATCACAGAAGCAAGAAGACTGCAGTGTCGGCGCAACTGCGTATGGTTCGCTAGAACTACTCCGTTCTGTCCGGCCACGCAGGTCTGAAGAGCCATGGCAGAAGCAGTGCGGTATCTGTTGGACAGTAAGCGACGATATGAGAAGTCCTGAGGTGGATCCGCCGGGCGCTGATGCACTCAACACTAGTCTGCCTTCTAGGTTTGGGGTCAAGACGCTGCCGTGGGTCTCGAATGGAGGTCGTAGCCTGCGACTTGTAGGCCGGCGTCCTGTGAGTGAAGATGCGATGAATAATACATGGCATGGTACAAATCGCTATAGGATAAGAAGCTTGCATTTCCTGAGCACGCGTGGAGCGAGCTATATTAGTAGGACCGTGACCAGCCACGCCTGTCTAGTCCATACGCCTCCTTCATGATGCAAGTTCATACTCCACCGTTCTTCAAGCTCACACTCGTCCTCCTCCTCTTCGTTGCGCTATCTCATGTAGCAGCATTGGCCGTAACCGAGAAGCGGATCACAGGTTCGCTTTCACTTGGCAATGATTTAGCATGTTGATGACCATTCGGCGGTAGCCCCCGCGGACATGGATGACGATGGTATGAATGACAAGACATGATTTTCGCGCATGACATTGACAGTGGTCTTGTCCAGATTTATACCGTGTGCGCGCACTGATCTAGAGTACACTGGAGTAGTGCTCATGGTTGTAAGATCTATTCTTCCGTAAAATGAGCATAGGCTAACAGCCACACGCGTAGTAGGTTCTACGACACACCGACAGTTTCCAGGAGTGCCACTGGTAGCCATTGACATCACGAGCCATATCCACTGGCAGCCAGCTTGTCGGACGAAGACTAGTAGTAGTTTGCGACTCTGATCAGTATTGCATATATTCAATGCCTCCGTTATCCGCCAACAAACTGCATCAAACGATTAGAATTACCAAGCGATAGCAAGCGCAGGTCTTGACCGGAGACGGGCAGAGGACGTTGGCATCTGAGATATATGTTCCCGGAGCGATGAGTGGCGGGATCGGAGGCAACGCGAGACGACGCACGTAGAGATATCAGTGCACTGTACCAGAAGAACACGGCGAGTGCTTTACAAACGGAGGAGTTATCAACTGGCTGTTGCTGGAGTGAGTTCAGACAAATGTGCGTTTCTATGCCAATGAGCGGACTTGATTCATACCGTCTTGTATTACTCCGACTCGGTACGACTCTGACTCGGTCGTACCAAGGCCTTCATGAAATCCCGACCCCAATCCGCAGCAGACAGTCGTGATGGCCTTCGGCATGTTCTGTCTTGTCCAGGTGAGGGTCGTCCGTGATCGCTGGCAAACGTTCTCTATGCGTACTGCGACCGGTGCAACCTGTGGTGTACCAACTGATACCATCGCCCGCAACATGCTCTCCGGCGATTGTTCAGCGCACGCCCAGCTTCACGCTAGAGTTTAAGACTTACAATATATTACAGCGAACCTGTCCAGCTATGGGTAAGTATCAATTGGACTGGAGAGCCAGTGATCGTGTTGCCACTGTGGCGCCTGGACAGTGGAGATGGGATGTGGCGTCTTCAGGGGGACTCCATTAGCATCACATGCGAACGAGCAGCTATTAAACGTTCGAACAATGGTCATAAATATTGTGTACTTAGCTCCTGCATTCGCATAAGTACAGGACGGACGATCAGAGGATTCTAATTCTGAAGAGCACTCCAGGTCAGTTCATGTCTTCTGCATGTACCTCCGAGTCAGGGAGAATATACTTACCTTGTTTGCCAGTAAGGCCGTAGGACGACATCCGCCATGCCGAACAACCTTGATCCCGACACAATATACGCGGCGCTCTATAGGCGTGACGACGGCCGGTACCATTGGGCGTTCGTCCTCGCACAAGGACCTTTCGATGGCTACAAATTTCACGCCACCAACATTCCTGACCACACAAAGTGGCACTACGAACAGGAGGTTTACACGTTGGACAGGGAGAAGAAGCCTCTCGTCCTGATGGCGAAGTTAGGTGAGTACTGATTGCGGTGGCGTCCCACAAAGCTTGATCATTGGCAAGGCAAACCCGTTAGGACGCAAACCCGCAGACATACCTTATACGCACGTCGAGAATATCCTGCGGGAGGTCCCTATGGAAACGGCACAACCCGACATCCCGCAAACCTTCACATGTCGCATCTGGTTTCGCGAGGGTGTTCGGAGAATGTGTGCCGCGGGACTAATACAGTGCCTGTCTGTCGATGACCTGGAGCGCGAATTGCTGGACATAGCGGACGACCATTCGAACCTTGTAGCGCTGGGGCTACGACCCTGGAAACTGTGTGAGGGTCTTCTCAGCTCACATTGATGCATAGAAGTATTCTTACCGGCAGATGAACAACGTACTGAGCGCGAGAGGATGCCGAGCATGTAGTCCCAGCCCGCTTGTACGCGCCATATTCGTCGCCGAGTCGTCGCTCATCGCCGTGTGCTGAAAATGTGGGGATAGACAGAGATTATCTGCTGGAGGCCTTCAGCCACACAGCTGCCAGGGCGTTTGGTGGACATTAATCACAGAGTCCGCACAGTCAGGTACAAGCCGTACTCAGTGCGCATCCTGAGGTAAGGGCCCTGAGCAACTTCAAGTGAGAGTGCCTCAGCAAAGTAGTCAGGTAGCAGCCGTGACAGTAGCGACATATGATACGTTGGTACATTGACCCAATCGGGCAAGTTGAAGTTTGAACGTACGGTCCACGCGGCGTCCAGGCTTGGGCTTGCAAGCTTGAACGTTACGTTCAACTCAAGACGATGAAACGACTTGGATGGCGTGACATCCGCGCTCCCACTTAGGGGGATAACAGGTACGTCATACGTTGGTGTTTACATTCACGAGATATTGGCGTTTATTGAATGTGTTATAGGTCCTGCAAAGTCCGCCCGAACAATAACACAGATTGTGACAGACCATGTCGTTGTGAGTAGCGTAAAGGCGTTAGCTAGCCTATGCCATGCTGATGTGCTCATGCATATCAAGCCTTCACACGAGCCTGGGAGCTATGGCGACGCATGCCTGTTGTTTTGAGGCTGTCGGCTTACAAGCTTCTCCTCTGGATCGGTCAGAGAATCTACAACAGAGCCTCCGCGTATACTCAGCGCGTTCCATTCGACCTATACATCAAGTATGGGCCCGCCGTGCGCAAGACCGAGGCGGCCGCCACAGATTACGTTGGAAGACACACCACAATCCCCGTGCCTAGAGTACTCGATACCTTTCAGGACTCAAGGGGTGATACCTTGATCGTCATGACGAGGCTCCCCGGCGTACCATTCGGGCTACACTTCGACATCGAAGACCTTACCCTCGCAGAAGCAGCCGCGTTCGAAGCCACGCTCAGGGAATGGCTATCGCAGCTTCGCATGCTTCCCGCGTCCTCGGAAGCGGTCTGCGCTTTTGACGGCTCAGCCTGCCGGGCCATGTCAGTGAAGCAAGACCACGATTTCGGACCTTTCCCGACGCAGCACGAGTTCCACGACTTTCTATACAAACAGGTTCCCCGACGCTTCCACGAGGACCTACGGAAAAAAGCAGCCGCGTCGCACTCGAAGCCCCACCGCATTGTTCTAACGCATGGCGATCTGCATCCCAACAATATCTTGATACATAACGGGCGTCTCTCGGGGGTGATCGACTGGGAATGCGCAGGCTGGTTCCCTGAGTACTGGGAGTACGCCGATGCGGTCGAGAAGCGTCCCAATTATCGGGCTTGGTGCGACGTCTTCCGTCGCATTTTCCCTCAGTATGAGGAGGAGCGCGCGGTCGAAGAGGCGATTCGGAGGGTAGCAAATCCGTGGTGACGATGCCTAGTGAGTGGCCATTTGACTCGATAAAAATATGCTGATCGTTTGGTCACAGTGGTCCTATTGACTTTCCGCACGAATCTGAAGAGTCCGCTGTTCCTCGTGCTCAGTTTCTATCACTGTGATGTAGCACTGTTATGACCATATGGTGGCACGTACATACCCAAGTGTCACGTACCTCATTCACCTTGATTCCATGTGTGGGCATCACGTCGTATGGTAGCTGTGCGGTCGTACTACCCAAGCTTTCAACCACCGCTATATATGTGCATATGACGGTACTGCCTCATCACATTCTGATACATAGTGGCTACGCTGATGTGCCGCCGGTACGCCCGCTATTGGCACACATGTACAGTTTCGTAGTTTGATTGACTCGGAGTAAGCAAGCAGACGTCACATCTCCGATGTAGGCTGTCTATAGACGACTCAAGATTCATGTTACGCCGAATGAATGAGAGATTAGTTGATCAGTGTGCAGTTTGTGGTGGTCCGAGTCGATGCATGTTTTCTTTGCGAGTAGTTGGTTGTGCGGTGGTCCGAGCGCCGTCGGATGATAGGCAAACGCGATCACAGCCGCCAAGCCCTCCCCGATCATCTGTTAGCGCGCTGCGGCGCCACCAGAACACCGTGGGCGGATATGGATATGGCTGCTACGCTCACCACCATCTTCGCCCCCTCGCACATGCTCCACCTCTGACCCCGTCACCCATCTCATATCCGTCCGGATACCCTGCCTATATATGAACAGGAAGGTTTGAGCAGCTGGACTTCACGACTCCTGCTGTATCGTACCCGGTGCCTCTGCCAAGTTCGATCCAACTCCACTCAAATTCGCCCCGGACGTGACGATCCCTGTGCACTGATCATCCGAGTGTTCGAGTGATACCATAGCACCGACATAGCTGGGCTTTGGACGAGGGGTGCTCAGGTGCGTCCATTCATTGCGGCACCGAGACAAGGCGTGACAAGTGCTGTAGCTTAATCCCACATTCTCGCACGACCCATTCTCAGCCATGGCCCCGAACTTTCTGTCCAAGTTCGTCAACAGGTCGCCGTCCAACTCCATCAGCAACCGCAGCCCTGACACCTCGCGGTCTTCTTCGCCCGCTCTCGCGCATAAAGTGCCCCCGTCGATCACCATCGACTCCGCCATCTCCAGTAGCCTCGACCTGACGAACGGACGCCCACGGCGACATACCACCGTAGGCAGCTCCTCGCCCTCGATTGCTGGGAGCACAGAGTCCTTCCCGGATGTCACAGTCGTCCCGCCCTCGCCTCGGAGCGCAAATTACGGCTCTGACCTAGATGGCCGCGACTCTACCCGATCTCCGCCCACGTTGTCAGAAGGCACCGGCCAAGATGAAGGGTCTGGCAGGAACGGCTCCGTGAAACGCGTGCCATCAGCTTCTGACCTGAGATCACCTCTCTCCACGAACACGTACAGTTCCACCACCGCGGTCGACGACACAGGCCTCGCGACGCCCACTCCTGCGACAACGCGCACGACCTTCTCCGACGCCCAAATGTCCGACCGGTCGCTGGCGCCATCCAAGTCCACTGGCAACCTGCGCAAGTCGGCGTCGCGCGAGAACTCGGCGGCCCTGCATGGACGAGCGCAAACACTCATGGACGACCGCTCGCCGGAGAAAGAGAAAGGGCGGGACCGCAGCCGCAGCCGCAGCCCTCGTCTCTCGTTGTCGAAGAAGGCGAGCAAGACCAAGCTGCGCAACCCGGAGTCGCCGCGCTCTCGTAAAATTTCGTCCAAGGGGAGTAAGCATGATCGTGCTGCGTCGGTGCCCTCCCTGCCAGTGATGAATATCCAGACCCCTCCGCCGCTCCCGCCCAGCGTCACGGTCACCGAAGACGGCACGCTCACGACCTCTCCCATCTCTTCGGAGTTTCCGAGCGGCCCACCAAATTCGTCGGTCTCTTCTAGGTACAACGCGGCGGCACCCCTCCCGCCGATCACAGCAAACCTCCTCGTACCGGACAACTCGGATGCGGCGAGCGTGTATAGCGTGGAGAGCACTACGGGTGGGAGGAAGCGTAAGGTGTGGACGAGGAAGGGGCGTAGCGGGAGCGGTAACTCGCAGACGAGCCCCACGTCCAGTGCGCTCTCGCTGAGTCCCAAAAGGAAAGGCACCTCAAGCGGGATTGCAGGCGCAATTGCCGCGTCTGGTTTGGCGATGGGCATGGGCATGACACCCGTGCCTCCTATGGACCTCTCGCAGCTCCCGCCTACGCCAGGGACGTCCTCCACTCTGTCGTCACACGGTCATCGCCCGCGACGCAGTTCGGATATGTCGCGTGGGGGGCCGCGCTCGAGGCAGGCCAGCATCAACAATTATGCTGCGAGCGAGTTCAGTGACAGGGATAGCTATCATTCCGGCGACGATGACCTGCTGGGTGGAGGGAGTGATATGGACGACGACTTAGATCTGGATGCGGATGATATACCGGTGACCGGCTTCGCTGTAGCCAGCAACAAGCGGAACCAGGACTTCCATGAGCTCTTCCCGACTGTGCCGGAAGGCGACTATCTCATAGAAGGTGCGTCTGGGCCTTTCGCATTGTTATCACGGCTTGCTCAGTCTATGAACAGACTATGGGTGCGCGCTGCAGCGGGAGATCTTGATACAAGGCCGTCTATACGTGTCCGAGAACCACCTCTGCTTCCATGCGAATATCTTTGGCTGGATCACCGACGTGAGCGTCTGTCTTCTCCTTCTATGCTGCCTGTGTTAACATCGTGTGTCCTGCTCCTAGCTATGCATCCCAATGTACGACGTGACCGCGCTCGAGAAGCGTATGACCGCGTTCGTCATCCCGAATGCGATCCTGGTCACGACGACGCAGCAGAAGTATACGTTCACGTCCTTCCTCTCGCGCGACAACACATACGACGTGATCTACAACGTCTGGCGCCTCGCGAGGCCGGGCGCGTCCTCAGCACTGCCGTCCCCCCGTGGCTCGCTCGATATACCTGACGGCGCGAGCGACATTGGTGCGAATATCGTGGGCGTGAGCTCGATGGTCGCCGTGAAGCCGAAGGTGTCGATATGTGATTGTGGGCGCAAGGGCGAGCACTTCTCGGAGGTGGCGATGGAGAGCATTCTGCCTGGAACGCCAGAGAAGATTTACAACCTGATGTTTACGAGCGGGTTCATCAAGGACTTCATGACGCAGGACCAGAGTTTGATAGGTAAGCCATTGCCGTGCTAGTTGTCGTGCCATGTCGTCTTGACGCGTTCCGTCGCCCAGACCTCCAGATATCCGACTGGGTACCCGTGACAGAAGGATCAAAGCTGCTCTACCGCCAGATGTCGTACATCAAGCCGCTCAACGGCAGCATCGGGCCCAAGTCCACCAAATGCGAGCTCCGCGACGAGATCGTCAATCTCGACTTTGATGACTACGTGACAATGCTGACGACGACTCGGACACCGGACGTGCCCAGTGGCAGTGTGTTCTCTGTGAAGACGAAGACGTGCATCACTTGGGCGAGCACTGTGTCGACGAAGATTCTGGTCACCACTCAAGTGGAATGGACGGGTCGTAGTTTCATCAAAGGTATGTTCAGCCCATGACTATAGTCGAACTCGAACCGATAAATGCCGTGTAGGCATCATCGAGAGATCGGCGATCGATGGGCAGAAGCAGTACCACAACGACCTAGAGGGCAACATGCGGAAATACATCCACGAACACCAATCCGAGTTCATACCCGAAGGCGTCGACGTGGCCGCCGTTGAGAGCGCCGAGGCGCAAGTCAGCGAATCGCCCCGCCCGAGCCTCGAGCAGCCCTCACTCAGCGAGGTGGAGCGGCGCAAGTCGCGCGAGTACGAGCGGAACCGCCGCGGGATGCAGTGGGCGTACGACACGATCGAGGGTGCGCTCAACGTTGGGAAGCAGAGCGCGTCGGGCGCAATCGAGCTTATCAGGGACGCGTGGGACCAGTCATCGTCGACGACGATCCTGTACTTCGTGATCGCGTTCCTGCTCGTGAGCAACGCGTGGACGCTCTTCATAGTCGGCAAGCGCGAGGAGGTCGGCCGGCGGAAGGAGCTGCGCCGCACGGAGGAGCGCGAGAAGTGGGTGCAGGGCGTCGTGACGACGCTCTGGGAGGATCTGCTCACGACGAAGAGCGTGGCGGGCGGGAGCCCTAGCGGCTGGGCACCGCAGCAGCGCCCGCCGGGGGAGTGGAAGGAGGAGGTGGCTGAGATGCGCGTGGCGCTGGACTCGATTGAGCAGAGGGTGCTGCAAATTAGACTGAGTCTGGACGCGTTAGACTGATATCAACTAGTGACATTCCTTTTTTTTCGCATGGCTCTGGATGGGTTTCTCTGCTGACGATGGTTTCGCTGGATCACTAAAATATCCGTATTTCGCATACGTATATGTAGTATACAGGGGGCTCCAGCCTGACAATGCACATTGCTTTACGAACCACGAATGAAGATATTCTTGTGTCTCATCCGCTACACAGCTGCACAGTATACTACAAGAAAGGGTACATGGGCGAACTAATAAGGACAAATCGCAGCTGTCGGAACTAGACAGACTTCTCAACAGGATCCACATCGTACATGCACGTCAAGCTCAAAAAATGTAGATAAAAAGTCAAGCTACCCCTGCGGGCAAGTAGCACACGATCCACCCGCTCTGCTTCATCCCCTGCATATCGGCAACCATGGTCAAGTCAAGAGCGGACGTCATCGCGCAGTTCAACGAGCGCGTCAACATGTCTGTGAGGAGCTGCAGCAGTGGCTCGACGACCCCAAGAGCGCGAAGGCGGGCACGGGCGTAGGCCTGGAGAGCGGCCACAAAATCATCGAGATCCTGAAGAAAAACCCGGAGAAGGATCCGGAGAAGTATGACGACGTGCGCTTACCCGTTCTGGTCTCTGTGTCCGGGCAGGAACTGACTGTTGCGCGCAGGAGGACATCGAGCATATGAGGAAGTTGTCAGGTCCGTTAATTGCGACACAGCACAGAAGGACTAGACTGACGCGCGAACGCGCCTGCGCGGTGGTCGGGCAGTTACACCGCCAGACACCTCGCGCAGGAGGACAAGCTCAAAGACACGAAGACGACGGAAGAGCTGGAGAATACAAAGAGCACTATCAGGTGCGTCTGAGTAAATGGACTGTACGATATACATCACTCACCTGTGGCATGACGAAGCAGCCTCAAGAACTGGGGCACGTACGTACCAGGCCAGAGATGTGCAGGCTCTGGTTGACAGGTTGGACGATAGGACCCCATCAAGACGCTCGAGGAGGATAAGGGCACTGCCAATGGTCAAAATACAGACAAGATCACCGAGCCGGAAGAGCAGAAGAAAGCCAACGGCACGACGCACGATGAGGAGATCCGAGAGGCACAGGCTGATGGCAACAAAGATGATACTAGCAAGGATACGAAGGAAACAAAAGAAGTCCAAGGCGGCTCCAAGCGCAAGCTCGGCGAGGAAAGCGGCGAGACTGACGCGGTTGCGGAAGCGTCGAAGGAGGAGGGCGGGTACGAGGACGAGGATCCGGGGGCTTCTGATGCTGTGGGAGAGCAGGGAGGGCGCGCCCGAAAGAGGACCAAGAATGCAGAGAAGGGTGCAGCTGGTGAGAAAGTCGACAGTGCGTAGAACAAGTCCTCGCGGGCTGCGAGACATTCGTCAGGCTTCAAGCTTTCAAGCTTGAGCGCTGCGATACCGTGCTTCTTCGTATGATACTAATGGCTATGCGAGAATACGAGTGACATGGGTAGTACACAGGGTGGACCAGTGCCGGATTGGGGTCGGAGGCGTGCGCATGCCCAGTGGAGAGTCTAAGGCTGAGTTTGTGAAAGTGTAATTAAGAGCTCTGAGCCAAACGCGACATGTCACAACGTGACAGACGCGTGGAGACCGGGGGCTCGGCGGATCACCGTGTCGCGCGACGCGACGCGACACGCCCTCGTGACTGACGCGACGCGTTGTTTAATATTTGTTCGCGTCAAACGCGCTTCTCGAATAAATAGCCCGCGCGCGATCACGCCCCCGCTCACTATTCTCCCCCTCATCCGTTGCGCTTTACTCTCCATCTACCTGATTACTCAGTAAAACCTATCAATCTGTCTACGTTATGTCTGACCGGGAACATGGCTTATCTTCCCCGGTGCAACTCGACCGTACCCTCTCGGACTCGAGCATCGAGAAGAGGACCCGTAGGAGATTCACGCCCCAGCAGATCTGTCTGCTCGAGGAGCTCTACCGCGAAACACCCCACCCAACCCGCGAACGACGCGACGCGCTTGCGAAAGAGAATAAACTGTACGTATGCTGCCCACTGCTACTCCGTCAGCGACGCGTGCCCTTGATCTACGCGTCCTCATAGTCTTGATTTGATCAGTTTACTGATTTGTTCTTGCTGCAGGGACACTCGCGCCGTAACCGTCTGGTTCCAAAACAAACGACAGACCGAACGCAGGTCGGCCATAAACGCCTCCCGCAAGCGCGGTCCCAAACGCGACCCGCTCGCCTCCCCCTTCTCCGACGTACGAGGGAAGACCATCCACACAACCCGTTCCTCCAGCCCCGCCTCCGATCTCTCCCACTTGAGCGACGCCCACAGTTACACACACCCAGGCTCACTCACGCCCACCATCTCGCGTAAACGCCGACGTAGCAGCTCCCTCAACACACATGGGCACGCGATCACACGCACGCTCTCCCTCGACCGGATCGCCGCGCGCACGGAGCGCGCACACGCCCCTGAGACAGAACGCGACCCTCACTCCGTGACGCCACCCCGGCGCACTCAGCACGCGTCCCTGCCTTTCCTCCACGCACGGTCCCCGCCCCGCGCGCTCTGGGAGACGATGCCCTCGTCGCCGGTACAGCCCAGATCGCCGGAAATGGCACACTCACCTCTCTTGGACTTCGATTTCGGGCATGGACGGCTGAAGAGGCGGCGCACGCTCGAGTGGGCGTGTGCCCGCGAGCGCGCCGGTGGGGTCGGTGGGCACCACATGGACATGGACGTGATCGGTGAGGGCGAGGACCCACTGGTGCTGGACCTCGGCGGGGACACGGACGTGGAGACGGAGCCGGATGTGCACGAGGCGGTCACGCCGAAAAGCTACCCTCGAAGCGGCGGCGGCGCTAGCATCGCGGGTACGGAGTTGTGGGAGGAGGAGAGGCTTTTGGATGGCGACAAGGAGAATCGGTCGTACCGGTGGGTGAAAGTTCGCAAGGATATCGAGACGAAGATGGTGGGTGCGAAGGAGCCGCGTGCGGAGGAGGGGCGGAAGATGCGGGACGAGGACATGATGGATGCTGCACTGGCCTTGTGCGGCCTTGGTGGACGGATGTGAGCGTGGATGGGAAAGGTCCGTAACTGGAGGGAATCACTGAGGGAGTCTTCGCTTTCGTGGAAAGGAGCTCACTGGTTTTCGTAATTCATTAGGCAACATGGCATGGCATTTACTGTATGTAGATTAGCATAGCAAAATAGCAACAGCAAAAACAACTTGGAAAGCGAACAGAATGACCCAGGCCGATGACCCAGACCTACCCTCGCACCCACCCAATCTTGAACAACTTGTATCCACCCTCGTCCGCCCGCCCAACGCCCTTGCACCTCTCCATATCCTTCATGACCAGCACCCCCAGCTTCCACTCCTCGCCCTCTCTGCCCACTGCCGCATTGGGAAACACCTCCCCAACCGTATCGCTCATGCCTTGGTGGTGTCCCGCGATCCTCAACGGGACGATGAGCCAGAACACCCCTCCCTCGCCGCCACGCTCCGCGTCTGGCTGTACAAGGAGGCGCTCGACACAAGCCTTGATCCAACGTGCGTGCTCCGGATGATAGACCACATCCGCTGCGAAGATGACATTGAACGTGCGCGCGAGCTCGCCTTCGTACACGGGATGTTCCCAATCCAGTGCCCTCACGGCAACAGGCGACGCTGAGTCCTCAGACGACCCCGAGGATACGAAGTTGATGCTGACGTTTGCTCGAAGGTTGTCAAGAACGGAGGAGTGGTAGTCCGTTGCGACGACGGAGAGGTGAGGAGGAGGTGCGGGGCTGGAACGCTGACGCTGAAGGATCTTCGCAGAGACGATGCTAAGCAAACCGGTGCCCGCGCCAAGTTCCAGTATGCGTGGTGGCATTGCGTTCGGGCGAGGCTCGAGCCCGAACGCTTGAGGGTCGGCGCAGAGTCGCTCGGATAGCAGGATCGAACTCGCCCAGCTCTGGAGGCCGACGGACGTGTGGTCCGTGCTGAGGAGGGGAGCATCGTTCAGCTCCACTTCTATGTCCTTCTCCCCTTCACGGTACGGGAAGACGAACTCTCGGGTCAGGGCCTCCTCCTCCTGCTCGCCTGCAAGCGCGCCGAGTATGGCCACGGCGGAGTCGACTAGGAGAGCGCGCGCGTCGGACTCCTCTTCCTCGGGAGGTGCGTACACCCATGTATCCGAGCGTGAGGCAAGCCTGTGAGCCAGCGGATGGCAAAGTCGCGCTCGAAGGCATCGGAGCGGAGAATGTCCGGGTCGGGGGCATCATCGATGCCTGTCTCCACGACATCTTCATCCTCCTCGACATCTTCGGCGGAGGCGTATCCAGAATCCGGTGCGGAGAGATCGTGGATGATGTGCTTGGGGATATGTTTAACGGGAAGTCTCAACGAAAGTGGAGGCGTCGGAGAACGACAGTAGATCGCACGGAGGTTGTCCAGAGCATGTGTGAGCTGCTCAACAGAGCAATTCGCCAACGTCGGAAGTTTTGGCAACAAGCGGTAGGTGGGACCAGACTACCGTGGATCGCCATCCTTCTATTCACGAAAAGTCTATGATTTGAAGTCTATGCGAGACCGTAGTATATGCGTGTACGCCAGAGAGCCAGGAAACAGCTGAGCCTCTAGGGTATCTTCTATGGTCTAGAGTCTAGAGTCTAAACAACCAAGGGTGCGCTGTGGGGGTCCCTTGGTTGCTACTGGGCGAGGATAGGCATGGCGGGCATGGCGATGAGATGGAGGTTCGGAGCAAACGCCTTGCTCAGCAAACTCACACAAGTCTCGTAGATCGGCTATCTCCGATCGAGGCTCCCGAATCCCGATCAAGGATCCCAAGCTGCTGCCTTTTGAGCTCGACTGCGAACATGGCATCTGCACTCACTGTCTCGTACGAACTACATCCTCCGTCTGAGACCCCTGCCGAAGGACTGCAAACGCAAAAGACACATGTTTCCCTGTGTCAGCCGAGAAGAGCGGCAAAGATTACTATGAAAGCCTGAGGAAGGCGGTCGCTGAGGCGAAGAGCGTGCTTGGAGAAGAGCTGACCGCCTGGAGAGATGCGGTCGGGACAAGAGAGCAGACGAAGGAAAGTAAGCTGCCAAAAAAGGACGAGGAGGACGAGGAGGACGAAGAGCAGGAAGAGGTCGGTCATGGACTCGCCGCGTTACATGTCTTACTATTCAACTCACGACCTCCATGTCTTCCAGTAGTCGGATGCCTGATAATGGAGTCAGGAATAATGGCTCACGTGGTATGTGTGCATCGCTAGGAAGAACAGTTCATGTTGATATACCTGGTGTTGGTCGAGAACAACTTGATGTTTCTAAGGCACTACAGGTGACCGCCAAGCTGTGAGGGTGTTGCTTGCAGATGGATGTTAAGCAGCAGTTGAACCAGCTGGACAGTTATACGTGTATACTAGTGTAGGTGACTCTACCGCCCCATACGCTTCTCCTTGCCCCGAGGCCTCTCGTGAACAACCAGCTTGTTGCTGTTCTTGGGACCCTTAGGACCGGTTGCGCGTCCGCACGCCCTTCGATACCCAACCCCAAATCGACCGCGGTTGCTTGTTACCCTTGGACTTTCCACGACCTCCTCCGTGAGGGTGATCACACCTGCGAAAGTATGAGAAAGATCATTGATGAGAACACGCGTGAGCGTACCTGTTCATAGCCATACCACGGACGTGAGGTCTACGGCCCAACCACCTCGCCCGTCCAGCCTTTCCAAGGTTACGGTTTTTCCACAGCGGGTTGCTGACCTTCCAATCGTCGCGGCGCAATCTTGCAGCACCTTCCGCACCTCACCGCTCTGCAGCCGTACGTGCGAGTACTTCCCCGAATCTTCGTGCGTGACGATCTGGCCCCAGGTGCCCGCGGAGCGTACGAGAATCCCCGGCCTGCGGGTCAAGCGAGATGCTGTGGATGATAGTGCCAACGGGGATGAGGCGCAACGGGAGAACATTGCCAGGCTTGACCGCGATCTGGCGCAGCAGGCCCAGCGCGAGCGATGCCGTGGAGGTCGATGAGAGTCGTCCGACAGGTGTTGGGAACCTTGCCACGGAGCTCCTTTGAGTCCACGAATCCAGGGACAAATCCCTGGGGGATGCCCTGCCTGAAGCTCTGCACGACACTGCCCGCGCGCAGGCCCTCGCATGCGAGGATGTAGCTCCAGACCTTGTCTCCGGTCGCATTCGGGTCGCGGTTCTTGATGAGTGCTATGTGCGCGGAACGGTTGGGGTCGTACTCGACGCGGACGACGTCGTGCGGGCCGGGCTCGGTGCGCATGAAGTCGACGAGGCGGATGCGCCGCTTGTGTCCTCCACCGCGCGAGCGGACGGTGATGCACCCATGGCCATTGCGTCCACCCTTTTTGCGCTGGGCGACGGTGAGCATGCGAAGCGGCCTGCCCTTCCATAGATGGGTGCGAGGGGTCGCCTGAGGTGTCGAAGACCCGGCGTGACGGGCTTGTAAGTTTTGTAAAGCGTCTCCGCGCGTGAAAGTGCGGCAGTGACCTCTGATCCCGCCGCCGTGGCATAACTGCGCGGCGCGAAAGCACTCGCCCGCGGAAAGGCTGTGCTCCTGGTCGATGAGGATGCAGCGTTTGTGAGGGACAAAAAGCAAGAGCGAAGCAGGTTAGCCCCGCATCTTGCTGAGAACATCCGGAGAGCCGCCAGCTGGGTTGGCAGTTGGCGGTAGGAGCAGAGCGGTCTTGGGCGCCTCCACACACGCGTTTGTCCCGACTCGCGACCATGGTACGTCGCGTCTCCCCACAACTCTGCACGTCTCGGCTAGCCAAGTCTTCGTCGCTCACCATGGTTCGTCGCAGGCTGCCACTATCTCGACAGGAGCGACAGAGCTCCGGGACATCACAAAAATGGAGCGCATAGGTGCGCGCCACAGTCCTTTTACGTTCGAGGCAGTCTCTGAAAGCAGAGTACTCAGGTGCTCACTCGCACATACGCGGCTTGGGGCTCGACGACAGGTTAGAGCCCCGCGCGAACTCACAGGGCATGGTCGGCCAAGCGAAGGCTCGCAAAGCAGCGGGCATGATTCTCAAAATGGTGCAGGAAGGCAGGATAGCGGGACGCGCCATGCTTTTCGCAGGCCCACCGTCGACTGGGAAGACGGCCATTGCGTTGGGTATCTATTACGTCTATGCTCAGGCGCGTTGTATTTGCTTACGCATTGTGCTTTCACAGGCATGGCACAGACACTAGGAGCAGACGTTCCGTTCACCATGATCGCTGCGAGCGAGGTGTTCTCTCTGTCAATGTCCAAGACGGAAGCCTTGACGCAAGCCCTGCGGCGAAGCATTGGCGTACGCATAAAGGAGGAGACGGAGATAATCGAGGGAGAGGTCGTCGAGATGCAGATTGACCGCAGTCTGACAGGGGTGAGTTTGCTGAATTGCTCGGCGGGCCGGGAGTTGATACATTAAACCTCCAGGCGACTAAAACAGGAAAACTCACGATCAAGACGACCGATATGGAGACGGTGTACGACCTCGGCACGAAGATGATCGACGCATTGTCGAAGGAAAAGGTCACCGCGGGAGATGTCATTGCTATTGATAAGACTTCCGGCAAGGTCTCAAAGCTCGGCCGATCATTTGCCAGGTCGAGGGATTACGATGCTATGGGTGCAGATGTATGTCATCATGCTGTGGGAGAGCTCTGACAAAGGAACACTCACCACGGTCACGCCCAGACACGTTTTGTGCAATGTCCGGAGGGCGAAGTACAGAAACGAAAAGAGGTCGTCCATACAGTCTCGCTGCATGAAATCGATGTCATCAACAGCAGGACACAAGGTTTCCTCGCCCTCTTCGCTGGTGACACGGGTGAGATCAAGCCAGAGCTTCGTGACCAAATTAACACGAAAGTGGCGGAGTGGCGAGAGGAAGGCAAAGCTGAGATCATCCCCGGTGTGAGTCATTTAAACTTATCCGTTCTTCTGTCTTGGCTGGCCATTCACTGACCACGTTCTCTCCACGCAGGTGCTGTTTATTGACGAGGTGCACATGCTCGACATTGAATGTTTCTCATTCCTCAACCGCGCACTGGAAAATGAACTCTCTCCTCTCGTCATCATGGCATCGAACCGGGGAATGGCACGTATACGCGGAACGAAATTCCGCAGCCCGCACGGTCTTCCGGTCGACCTACTCGACCGTGTTCTAATCGTCAGCACATCGTCATACTCGGACGAGGAGACCGCGCAAATCATAAAAATACGGTACGCTTTGATGCCCAGGCTTCTCGAGGCGGGCCGTACTTACCAATCCTTGCACCCGGACTGTTCCAGATGCGAGGAAGAGGATGTGAACCTGGCCGAGGGTGCCTTGATGGTGCTCACAAAAATAGCGGGCGACAATACCCTCCGCTACGCACTCAATCTGATCTCGACAGCGCAGGTCATCGCGCGCAAACGGAAGGCGGCCCTGGTCGAGGTCGATGACGTTCGCAAGGTCTATGGATACTTCATGGATGAGAAACGTAGTGTGCAATGGATGAAGGAACAGCAGGGCCAACTTGTCTTCGAGGAGATTAGAGGGGAACCGAGGGACGATGCCATGGACATAAGCTGATCACTGTAGTTGGCAGTGGATTTTGTACTAGTACTTCTTGGTATGTTATTCGGCTGCTATGTTTGTGCACGACACTGCTGACACGACATATCATATACAGATAGGTTCTGACAGATATGCGCACCCAATGAATGAACTTCGCGCCGTGACCTTGTCTTACATGAATGGTGGTGCTACGGGGTCGTGACCAACTGTGATCGCGGTTCCGTGCCAGTGTCAGCAATGCATCTTCAGAGGTGATCAGCTGAGGCTTGGCTCTGTGGTTAGCCACCGAGGTGTTCGCGGTATCACTAATGACTCACGTTACCACCTTCGTCCTGTCAGGGCCACAATTCTTCAGGTAATTACCTGATGGCAATTGGGCAAACTACAAAAGCCCGTCCTTCGGGGATTCTAGGCGCACGCTTTGTTGCTCTCCAGTCCCCACCTCGATACCCAGCCGTTACGACCAACCCGCAGTCGATCAAACTTCTTGTAACTATCATGGTACCGTAGCTCATGTCATAATAACGTACAGTCAACTTGCTTACCTTCTGCGTAACCTAAAGACTTCAAGTGACACCGCTTCGACTACATCGACCATTGCGAGTAGCCATCGTGAATCTTCCCTCTCTAGTAAATTGAAGGGGAAGTTGCGCAGCATATCTCAGTCTGTGAGTCTATTCCTGAGCACTCGTGAAAGACCGCTTGACATGTTGCTCGATACGTAGCGGTCAGACCTTCATGGAATGCCGCTAATCACGCCGCGTGGCGGTGCTGATCGGAGACTAGCACACTAGTGAGTGGAAGGCCTCTCGCTGCAATGTGCGCAGTTTGACCGAGACTGTCTGCAAGGTCAACTTCTCTCTTGACGAAGGCGACCTTGGGTCGTATGTTCTAGAGCCATCGAGCCAAGGAGACGCTGAAGTAAATAAGTCGACCTGGTGCAATACGACCCATTTGTCTCATCACTTGCGCAGGAGGACAGTGATCTTGAAGGGGATAACACCGCTTGGTCGAGTCGACCGAAGAAACAGAAGAAAAGGCCACAGCCTGCTCCAACAACGCCTTCGAGGCTAGGACGTGATGCAGCAATGGTATGGACGGTGGTCATTCTGGCATCCGCCTACAATTCTGATGTGTCCGCTATCCGCTAGCGTTCCACAAGCACAGGCACAACCCTCTCTAACGCCGCGTCATCCGCGAAACCCCCCAACCGACTCCTGCATTCCAAGTAGCACATGTACCATAGTCTCGAACACCTTCGGGCCGCAGCCCACTTCGTCCTGTTGTCCTCCATGTTGCTTTCCGTCGGACTGAAGCCGCACATAGTGGTTTCTTCTTGATCACCGCCAGCCTCGCGGGTGTATAAATAGCATCTATGCCCCTTCTTTGCCATATCTTCCCGTTCCATAACGAGAACCAGTGCTTTCACGGACAGATAGCCATGGTACCAGAGCATTCCAGCAATAACCCAGTCCGACCTGGGCGGGCGTCGTCCTATAGCTTAATGACGCTCCCTCGAGATGCAGGACGAGTTCTTTGTCAGATAGTACGCTGCAAATACACGAGTCGTCCCGGTATCGCGCTGCGAGTGATAGCCAGATGTCTCGTTCTTGTCCAGACACTATGAAGAGGTCGCTCAACAGGACCCTTTCGTCCAGCCCTGGCAAATGGACTTAGCCAGTCCGTTAATGCGGGGTTTTCTGCCACTGCGCCCCAACTTTGACCCCCTTCTCAAGACCCACCCTACCTTCGCTCTATGTTCGCAGGCACAGGCTCCATGGTGTCAATTTCACATGGCGGAATCTCGCCTCCAAATACAGATGCTGGAGTTGCTGAACCTTACACTCACGGTTCACCGAACGAATGAATGGATGTATCCATTGCTATCAGTCAAGTTTGTGAGGTCTACTACCAAACGAGAGGAGATGAGAGCTTTGAAAGAATGGCAGCACAAGACACACGGTATATCATATAGGAAGAGAAGACAGAGAAGACGACCTAGCCGAATTTCTCTTTCGCCATCTGCATGAACATGTCCATCGTCGCCTTGTCCTTCTGCCTTATCACGTCTGCCCGCTCCCGCGCCGCAGCCATCCGCTCGTCCTTCGGCCCATGGCGCTTCTCCTCGAATTTCCGCCGCGCTGCGTCCCGCCGGGCGATCCTGGGCGAGTTGGAAAACATGCAGTATGGGTCAGTGGCCCACCTCCACACGGACGTAACACAAACACGCACTCGTCCTTGAAGCTACTTCCGCCTCCCATGAGGGTGGATTCGTCGAGCTCCAGGCCCTCGTCCCCGCGTTCCCGGAAGGTGCGGTCGCTCTCCCTCTGCGCACGTTTCTTTTCCAGCATCCCTTCCCGGCCGACCGGTTTGGGCCCAACTACATCTTCGACTCGTTCCTTTGCCTCCTTCCGCTCGCGCTTGCGCTGATGACTGCGCTCTGTAGCTTTGTATTCATCAACCGCCTCCCGCGCTAGGGTCATGTCCGCTGCTGTAGGCAACGTGGGGCCATGTACGCGACTGCTGCCGCTCGCAGCGGTCGCGCGGTGTGTCGCAGCGCCAACTTCGTCTCTTGCAGCCCGGAGGGCGGCAGTATCAGCACCTGATGTCTTGGAAGCGAAGGACCAGCGATATGCCGTCTGACTGCTAGCAGAGGATGCGTCTACGCCACTGTAGAGATGTTTGGGTAGCGTCCCTCTGTTCCACGCCTATCCACGGACCACCACGCTCTTTAGAGATGGGCCATTACTTGTGTGGTGGCGGTTCTCACCTTCACGAACTTGCGGAAATATCTGCTTCAATACTCAGCGACCACCGTGCGATGACAGCAGAACACTCACTTTCGTGCTCTGTCACTCGACAACTCGTCCATATACTGACTTGCGGTGTTCATGATCGTTGTACTCGCACGAAACAGACGTACCTTCTTCTTCTCGTCCTTGAGCCATTCCCGAAACTCGTCATTCTTGAGGAAGTAGTCCGACTCTGAGATGGGTGATGCACCGGCTGGAAGTGTTACCCTGCGCTCTGGAGAGCGCGAGCGCGAACGGTCGCGATCGCTGGGAGGTGTTCGCGAGCGATCCCTGGAGTGCGAGCGCCGCCTGTGAGAAGGCATGTTTAGAAAACGTAGATGTTCAAGTCAGGTTGAAGGTGCTTCATTAAGTCATTCCAGCCACAGTGACACAGCGTCACTGAAGCTGGGCAGGTGACCTGAACTGAACTGCCAACCTCAGTCCGTGGAAGCAGCTAATAAGTACATTACTTAGAAAGAGCACTCTTCATGAACACCTTGGTGCCCGTCAGAGAGATAGGCAATCCTGCGTGGTATTTTTACAATGTTTTCGTGTTACGCTTATCATTGCATAGATGCATACAGAAAACAATGGCAAGACATAACCCCATAATGCGTGCGCGACGTGAGTATCTCCGAGGGACGATAGTAAAGCGGCTCAGATAGTGGTCTCGTAACGAACAGGGGCCATCGTCTGCGGTGCGTTGCCAGAGGTCGAGACGGTGTGTGCGGTGCGGGGCTGGGCGGGGATGCGCTTCAAGCTCACTCGCTCTACCATCGGAAAATCGCTAAATGAGTGCTGAGTATCGCAAAACGTAGGGGTGTGACTTACCGCCCTTCTCCCGTGCAGCAACATGTGCGTCGTGGTTGTGCTTCACCCGTCCAGGAACTCCTGCCTGCACTTGGAGTGCCGGATGTGCTCAACACGGATGTTAACCCGCTTCTCGATGTAGCGGTTGCCGACGACCTTGTTTACAATCACGCCAACAGCGCTGGGGGTGACGTTGTAGATAATCCCTGTCCGACTGCACAGGTGTGTGAATACCAGACTTGCACTGGCGGCACACAAGTACGCACCCGTGGTAGTACTTGTGGGGCATGCCCTTTTGCTGTGCGGCGTTTGCCTTGATGTCGACGATATCACCTACCCGGTAGGTAATGAGGTAGGTCGACAACTTGACGGGGCCATGCTCTGCACGTTCAAAGGCTTAGTTCTTCCCCCACACTCCCACTGCTCTGTGCGTACCCTTGAAGCCCCGCTTGAACATGTCGCGCGTACGCGCCCGGTAACCGAAGGAGTGCGGCATCTTGAGGACTGTGTTCAATCAAGGGTCAGTGCTGGCAGAGGGACAGCGAACGGGCAGGGCACTGACATTAGTCGGTCGTCGTTGGCCCAGTGACTTCTACAGTATCGAGGACGGTGCAGGTCCACGCTCGGCACTCGCCGGGTGGCTGAGTCGGTACTGTGCAGTTGTGGCGGGCGCCAACCTTGCTGTTTACGCCACTTTGGCGCGTACCCGAAGCACGACCGCACGGCAAGCGCCACGCTCCCTCACCGTCTCCTCCGACCTCCTCAAGAAAAATGCCCAGGTAATGTCTACGCCCGCCGTGTCTATGCTACTCGTGTGTTAATTGTACGTGCGCAGGGCCCCGAGGAACCATAGCAAGACGTGAGCTTTCTTTTCTTCAAGATCCACTATGTGGAGGGATGCACCGTGCTGATGAGCCGTGCCCCGTATTCCTGTGATCGCACAGCTACAAGGTCCCCCGTCGTCCGTTCGAGAATGCGCGTCTCGATATGGAGCTGAAGCTCGCCGGCGAGTACGGCCTGCGCAACAAGCGCGAGATCTGGCGTATCGGTCTCATCCTGTCCAAGATTCGTCGTGCGGCCCGTGAGCTGCTCAAGCTCGACCCGAAGGATCCCAAGCGTCTCTTCGAGGGTAACGCCCTTATCCGTCGTCTCGTCCGCATTGGTGTGCTCGACGAGACCCGCATGCGTCTCGATTACGTGTTGTCCCTCAAGATCGAGGACTTCTTGGAGCGTCGGTTGCAGACCCAGGTCTTCAAGGCTGGTCTCGCGAAGAGTATTCACCACGCCCGTGTCTTGATCAGGCAACGGCACATCCGGTGCGTACGCTGCACTCTCTTTATTTGCACTGCTCATGAGTTTTCCAAACAGCGTTGGCAAGCAAATTGTCAACGTGCCCTCCTTCGTCGTCCGTCTCGACTCTCAAAAGCACATCGACTTCGCGCTCACCTCGCCATACGGTGGTGGCCGCCCGGGTCGTGTCAAGCGCAAGCGCGCTGCTGCGGCCGCCAAGAAGGAGGAGGGCGGCGACGAGGAAGAGGAGTAATCAACTCACACCTACGATCTCCTCGGGGCGCTGTCTCACATGGTTGTATGTCTATGAGTGCATGTGCAATATGTTTATGCCTCTGCTACGCTCACGTCCCGTTTTGATTTCTGAGGGCGAAGTCACTTTGAGTTGTTCGTGTCTGGCTGCGGAACGAACCTGAACTTCGCGACCGGGGACTTTCCTCGGCGTCAATGGGCCGGTCTATGATGAACATACAGCTTTTTGACAGCTTTAATATCAAACTCGAACGTACGTACGGTGCCATCACATGCTTTGCGGAGTCGCCACGGGCTGTTCGACCGTTATCTTGGTTTGGCGAGCCAAAACCCACGATCTCCTAATAGTCGGCATATTAGCCGCATGATTGATTGCATACCCGGCGCGAGACGTTTATAACTTGAACGTTCCGCATGATGGTAGTGGGTCCGCCGTGTGTACTCTCCCCTCCCCCTTCAGTGGCTTGACTAACGAAGAGGTCCTCAGACGCGTCTGTGGATTTTGATAGCTATGGCCTCGCTATTCGTAGGCCTGCATGTGTGGCTGGCGTGGTTAGCGTGTGCATTCGTTGCACATGCGGCCGGTCTGGCACCTCAGATCCCCTCGGTCGCCAACTTCACTCCTGCACGGGGTGCATTCGAGCTGCTTCCCAATGTGCAGATCATCGTTGACAGCGCGCATGGTCTGGAAGGCTCGCCGTCCGCGTTCTCATTCGCACAGACTTTCCGAGAAGACCTCATGAGCGTGGCTCACTACGCTAGGATTCCTCTCGTGACAGTCCTCCCGGTCGGCGCAGGAGTGCCTGATATTCCTGTCATTCACGTTGTCATCGACCCGACGCTGCAGTATACACTGTATAATGGGCAGCCAACCCTCGAAGGGTACGACTTTGAGGTGACACCGTACGTATATACCATCAAAGCAGCTGCGCCAGTCGGCGCATGGTGGGGTATGGTCACTCTGTTGCAACAGGTCGCTTCGTCTATGGCCAGTGGCGCGACGAGTATTACTATTCCCGCCGGGACAGGTTCAGACTCACCGGGCTGGGAAGTCAGAGGCTTTATGCTAGATGCCGGAAGGCACTGGTTTGATACCGAGTTCTTGTGTATGTCTTCTCCTGCCATGTTGATTGCTGCCTTGACACTGAAGTAACGCTTGTTAGCGGAACTCTGTATATACGCGTCGTTCTTCAAGCTCAACGAACTCCACCTACATGCGTCTGACAACCTCTGGAATCCAGACTACCTGTACAGCGGGGGAGATGCTTGGAAGGAGCTCTATGCAGCTTTCCGCTTCCAACCGCCTCCTGGATCCCCTGTTGCTGAACTGGTTCCGCGGCTGAACGAGAGCTGGCCACAGAGTGATTTTGTTTCCTTCCAGGAGACCTGTGCAAACCACGGAGTGACCGTCATTCCTGAGATAGACACCCCGGGGCACTCTCTAGCTATCACCCAGTGGAAGCCCGAGCTGATGCTCAATGGGCAACCTGATCTACTCAACCTCTCCTACCCCGAGACGATCCCTACTGTCAAATCAATCTGGCAACAGTTCCTCCCATGGTTCAGCTCACCGGAGGTGTCCATCGGTGCAGACGAGTACGACGCTTCGCTTGGGGACGCCTACGTCTCCTTCGTGAACGAGATGTCCACATTCATCCAGGCCTCCGCGGGCAAACGGATCCGCATCTGGGGCACGAACGAGCCGAGCAACCAGAGCATCCCCACGGACGTCACCATCCAGCACTGGGACTTCCCCGACGCGGACATCCCCGTGCGGCTCCTCGCGGCGGGGTACCGCGTCATCAACTCGGAGCAGGCCTTCCTCTACCTCGACGGGAAGTACTCCGACGGGGGTGTCTATCCATACTCGCTCGACCTCGGCTTGATGTTCGCGGGCGCGCCCGGCGGTGGCGGGTGGGCGCCGAACGTCTTCAGCGCGGCGGACGCGAGCAACAACACGAGTCCGGACGAGCCGGGGCTGAGGGGCGCAATCATGGCGCTGTGGAATGACTGGGGGAACAACGCGACGACGATGCTGGAGGACTATTACCAGCTCGCGCAGAGCCTCGCGGTTCTTGGTGAAAAGACGTGGGCAGGCTCGGGCGTGCGCGACTCGGAGCTCACGCGAGAGCAGTTCGAAGCCGTATACCCAGTCATGAACGCGGCTGCGCCGGGGCAGAACCTCAATCGGGCCGTACAGCCTGAGTATGGCGACGTCGTGTATACGTATTCGGCGCCGTACAACACGCTCTTCACGCCATATACATCCGTGGGGCCGCCGTATACACTGAAGTTCAGCGTCAAGCCCAGCTCCGTTGATCCTGAGACGGGTTTCCTCTTCGCCGGCGAGGACTCCAAGCTCTACGTCGCCAACCTCACCTTCGAAGCGACGGGCCAGCTCTTCCCGCTCGGATACGTGCTCCCGACGGACACGTACACGTCGGTCGAGATTCACGCCACGACGCAGTACACCTACGCTGTCATCAACGGAGATGAGAACAGTCCTCGGTACTGGACCACGGACATGGATATTTGGGCGGAATATATGGAGCTTGCGAATATGTCTTTTGCGGCTCCGGCGCAGCAGATTGGGGGAGAAGGCTTTGCAGGCAGTATTAAGGACGTGCTCCTAACGGTAGGTTAGGAACGCGCCACACCCTGTAATGTTGGGCCAGTAGGTCTGCCGTTGCACAGCAATCTTGAATGTTGTTCACCCCAGCGGGGTCTGCAAGGTTGTCCCTTGCACTTCTGAATAGCTAATTTTAGTGGGCATGGAACACTGCTTGCTGTCTTGAGAGGCACAGCAACCCGAGAGAACCTCCCATCTGGGTGAATAAGTCTGCTTGATAGATACGTACGAACAATCAACAGTGGACGGGTGTTAATCAAGACCGTTACATATATCGCTTGAGCTGAAGCATGTCCACTCTCTCTGCCGCAAGGTTTGAGACGTTTATGGTTCAGTAGAAAGAGACTATCTTGTGGTGGTACTCCTGTGGGATCCCTTACAGTCAGTAATTGGACATTCTCAGATGTACACCTTGTCACTCACCCCTCCGTCCTCCGGCAGCCAGTCTTCGAACTTTTGGAGTAGGTCTACCGGATTCTTTCCGCGTTTTTGCTGGAAGACACCCCCACCACAGTCATATCTGCGTGCACCGTAGAAGTCCCAATGGTCAGCGTATCCGCGCACACATCCAAAAAAGTCACGCCTTACGCAGACAATTTCTTCTTTTCCAGACGAATCTCCCCGCCATACAAGAAATTGCAGATGCGAGGAAAGTCGGGCGCGGCAGGGTAACCAACATCGGACTTGCGTTTCTTCGCTGACTTTGAAGGCCCTGCCTCTGCCTCTGCGGGGCGTTTCTCACCTGCCTGCGCAGAAGATTGACTTGTTCCCAGGGGTTCCCGAAGAGCCATGGCTATGAACTGGGTCTCCGTCAGCACTTGCTTGCCCATCCTCTTTGCGTTTTCGAACGTGCTAGGCGGGCTGCGCGCCCCGACGACGACATAGGATGGTTTCCCGGGCGGCACCGATATAGTTCTACATAGTACCAAGCCATCAAAACATCAGCAGCCACTCTAATCAGTGCAAACACGCACCCGCCGTTGGCACGACATAACTCTTTTGCCTGATCCATAGACATGGCCGCCCATACGCCGCCAAAGTGGAAAGAACGCCCCGAGAGGTTCTTGCTTGTCGGTGGCCTCCATGCCAGTGCAGGAGGCTCTGGCGAGGAGGAGAGTTCAATTACTGAGTCGGCGTCGCCCATGCTGATCTCAGTTGAGAGTGAATAGGTTTCCAGCTGCAGTCACATCCGTCGCCAGCCGTCGCCTCGGTCACGGTCGCGGAGAACGCAGACACGTGATCGTGTCTAGGGCGGCGTTCGCGGGTCGGTGTTTGCCGGAATTTGCCGGGATGGAGTTCACAGTGTGCTTCCCAATGTGGTCAAAAGTTCAGCGCAGGTTCAGACTTGTGTCCCCGAAGGCTGAGTGCAGCTCACCTGCAGAGACTGCTTGTCGAATGAGGTCGGAAGGAAGACGCGGCAAGAAGAATGACGTAGGCGGCTTGATGTGCGGGAAACTCCGCGAGCGCAGCCACCGCGACCATCCCCAGATCTCGAGATCTTGGTTCGCAGCACCATGTCGCAGTGAGTAGTGCTGCGCCTCCCGCCCTTCGCCGTGCACAGCGCATGCCTCTCTCCCTCCTCCCTCCATCTCCTCACCGCAGATGCTGCCAAGTCCCAAGTGGTGGTCTGACGACCGTCCCCACCGCCGTGCCTACGAGCTCCTCCCCACCGCGGAATACGGCGCAAAACCCTATGCCCCCCGCTGGTCGTTCTTGTACCGACGATGCATCCGACTCGCAGCGCTCGCGGCGGCGGGCTTGACTACCATTGCGCTGGTCGTGCTGGTCGTCAGGACGTATCGGGTCGCCCCACCCCCGCCAGTACTCTACCCCGATCCCACTACGCTCCCGCCGGAGCTACTGCCGCCGCTGTACGGCAGATTTCATGAGCTCGAGATGCAGTTGCCACAGCACCAACCAGACTATCCACTCGCGGAAGGGAGGAAGTATTTCCACGTGAATAACACAGCTCTATGTGCGTCGTGTCTTCTGTCTTTCTTCTGCCCTTGCTCACCCGTGTTGATAGTCTCTGGATGGGGAAATGTACAACAAGAACTACTATTACTACACTATTTGACCTATCGCTCTGGTCGCTCGTAAGTATCGCGGTTTGCCCGACGTTTCACTGATCCTCACTTTCTGGCCATAGATTTGTGTTCGATAACTACACATGGAATGACGATGGCAGCCAGTGGTCGTACAACAATGGCAAGATTGTTCCCTCTCAAATACCCCTATCCGTGCAAATTCAAGGTGCGAATTGCTTCTCTACAGCATCCACTGGGAGCAATACTTCCGAACCTGATGCCGAATGTGCAAAGAACAAAGCAGGGAGTGGAGAACTGCTCCGCCGCATGCTCGTGGTCGAAACATTGAGCAAGTTCTCGACCGAAGAATACCTAATGCTTTGTTCTGTGCACATCCGGCGTCTGCTTCGCACGTATAGTCGGCGGTAACCCATTGATGCATCTATTAACATCGCACCAGGCCCTACGGTCGGCGCATCCATACCCAGCGATCCCTACGCGCCCTTGGCAGTCATACGAGACCACTTCCAAAAGGAGTGTCCGAACCCTACCATCATCACGACCGAGGAGGTGATCGGTACTCTGGGCAGCCAGCCCACTGCCGGACAGATCATTGACGCATGGGCGGAGAAGCTGCGTTCGGTGGATGATCCGTGCGTCGAAGTGCCCCGGAGTTCAAAATCCGTCTTCGACATCTTGTAAGCCAGTCGTACTCATTCATAAGTGTATCCTCGCTCATTTTGCTGCAGTGTATTCGGCTCGGCTGATCGCCTCCTCGATGTCTGGCCCGAGTTCTCCGCCTCTCCAATGATCACTCAGTTCGGCTGGTCACCTCTAATAGAACTCGCGTTCGACACGAACCGCGAGACGATCTTGCCCTCCGCTGCGCTCGAGCCGCCGCTCTACTCGCTCCCGTTTACGTCCAACCGCGAGCGGTACACGCCGCTCCCGGGCCTGCTCGCACTGCACATCCGGCGTGGCGACTTTGAGGCCCACTGCAAGCAGCTCGCGCACTACAGCGCGACGTTCACGGGGTACAACGCGTTCCCGGCGCTGCGGGATCGGCTCGACGAGCCGCTGCCTGGCGACGAGGAGACCCGCGTGGAGGCGTACCGCCCGCACTGTTACCCGGACATCAACGAGATCGTTCGGAAGACGGAGGAGGTGCGCGCGTCGGAGGCGGGGCAGGGGTTGAGCCGGGTGTACGTGATGACGAATGGCCCAGCGAAGTGGGTCGATCAGCTGAAGCGGGCGCTGGTGAGGAAGGGTTGGGAGGGCGTCGCGAGCAGCCGGGACGTGGTGGTGAACAAGGAGCAGAAGTATGTCGAGCAAGCGGTGGACATGCTGATCGGCCAGCGGGCGCAGGCGTTTGTCGGAAATGGAGTGAGTGCTGTTCATTTGGGTGCATCGATCGCCTGCTGACGTCGCTGCAGTTCTCGAGCTTGACCGGACAGATAGTCATGCTCAGGACAGCGAATGGGTTTCCCATGGACTCGAATCGATTCTTCTGAGACGACGGCATCTAGCAGATTTACATTTGTACTTTGATACCATATGTGCCGCACTATATACATATATTTTCTCCCATGTCAAGGTGCTTGATGTGTTGATGGCGAGGTCGTGCACACGAGCGGAATATATCGGGCGCCTAAGCGTGCTGCGAGGACGGGACGCGGGAGAGGGAGTGGAGCAGAGGCCATGCCGCCCAGGCTCTTCCAACACACACCCTGGCGACGACGAGCCCTCCATGTTCGGCCAACGCTCTTCGTGGCACTCGCGGGCCTCTGAGGACCACATCCTGCCCACCCCTGTACACGACCGCCACGACCGACATGCCTCGCGTTCCTGCCTCCGCTGGCCACACAACAAGCGCTACACCCGAATAGCCTTCCTTGCCCTCATCGCGCTCTCGGCCGTCGCGCTCTTCCGCACCGCGTTCCAGGAGGCCGAGCAGGAGGAGTACGTCGTCCTCGTCGACGACCCGCCGGAGAACCACATCTTCCCGCCGCTGTACCAGGAGTACCACGAGCGCGAGCTCGCCCTGCCACAGCACAGCGAGCAGGAGGACCCGGACGGCAAGTACATCTTCTTCGCGAACCATGTCCACGGTGCGTCCTCGTCCTGCTCCCGGGTCGCCGCGACGCGCGCTGAGACGGCGGCCAGCCTCGGGGTGGGGGAACGCGATGCAGGAGCTGCTGTTCAACTCGTATTTAGCGTACAACGCGGGCCGGCAGTGCGTAGATGTGTGCCTTCCCGCCGCGGCCTGGCTGACCGTGCGCGCGCGCAGTTTCGTGTTCGACAACTACACATGGAATAGGGATGGCTCCGACTACACGGACTACAACGGCAAGCTCATTCCCTCGCGGATACCCAACACCGCACTGATCAGAGGTGCGTGCTCTCTGGAGTCTGAAGCCAGGGCTTGTTCCCGGCGGTCTCTAACTGCCGGGCGTGTGCGCCGTGGTCACTGGGGGAAGCTCTGCGTTGTGCAGCTGGGAACAAGCCTTGATGGGCATTCGGGATTGCATAGGTGGGACGCGGCTCACTATGACAGCATAGGATCGAGTGTGGGCGACCCTTTCCCGCCCGGAGACAATGCCTCGCTCGCGGTCGTCAAAGAGTACTTTGACAAGGTGTGCCCAGAACCCACGGTCATCAGCAGCGATGAGGTCGGGCGGACGCTCGCTGGCGACGCGTCCGCGCAGACCGTGCTCGAGGCCTGGGTGGCGAAGCTGCGCCAGATGGACGACCACCGGTGCATTGAAATCGAGCGCGACACGCTGCAGATCTTCTCCATATGGTACCCGCCGCATCTCTCTCGTCTGACGTTCCTTTCGCGCTCATGTCCCCGCGCAGGATATTCGGCTCCTCGCGCGTACTCGACATCTACCCCGGGTTTGTGAAGTCGCCCATCATGACCTCCTTCCGCTGGTCCCCCTGATCGAGGCCGCCTTCGCCGCCAACCGGCCCCTCATCGCCCCACCCACCTTCCTCGACCGCTGGCTCCCCTCGCTCCCCTTCTTCCGGCCGTCGAGCCCGTACCCGATGATCTCGGGCCTGCTCGTGCTGCACGTGCGCCGCGGCGACTTCGCGGAGCACTGCGAGCACCTCGCGCGCTGGTCCGCACGCTTCAACGGGTTCAGCTCGTTCCCGGGGCTGCCCGACGCGTTCGAGCCGCCGCCGGGCGCAGGCTGGGGCGAGAACACGCCCGAGAACACGGCGGTGTACATGCGCCGGTGCTTCCCGACGGTCGCGCAGATCGTCGAGAAGGTCACGGCGGTGCGCGAGACGACCGCGGGTCGCGGGCTGCGGAACGTGTACATCATGACGAACGGCGGAAGGAGTGGGTGGACGAGCTGAAGGCGGCGCTGTATGCGATGGGCGGGGTGGAGAGGGTGATGGGGAGCCGGGACGTGCAGCTGAACTGGGAACAAAAGTACATCGCGCAGGCGGTGGACATGCTCATCGGGCAGAGGGCACAGGTGCTCATCGGTAACGGGGTAAGCGGGGTCGGAGGCGGTCGATCCAGTTCGCGAGCTGACCACCTCCGCGTTGCAGTTCTCAAGTCTGACCTCGAACATCGTCATGATGCGCATGGCGAACGGCTTCGCGCCCGAGGGCAACCGCTTCTGGTAGCCCGCGCCCGCGTCTCCCGGCTGTTTTAACCTTACATTGACCGGTCTCCTCTGCATGGCGGACGATGGCTAGGATATGGCTGTTTAATCATAGGAACACTACGTTCGTTGTATTAGTATGCGCTCCTGGCAGGCGTCTCATGCTGAAACCCATAGATACCCAGGTGTATATAATTTGGTACGATTTGGGCACAGCGGTGGCTCACTCGTTTGCCATACATATGTGCGTGGTATACGAGCTCTTGGGCGTCAGGTTGTCGTGCATTGCGGGCATTCATACGTTCGGATCCGATCAGCGTAGTGGCAAATTGTACATGATTATGAGAGGCATCGCGGTAAGTCCGTATGCTTCACCTAGGTGAAAGTGCGCAAGAGATATGCTGTGTATACACAGGTGCAAGATGTGGTGGTACAGATGGAGGGCATGTCAAAATCCGGGATTATGATGAGCGATTAGCAAGGGCACCCAGGGCCGCGCACATCGGCGGCGCCTGGCACCCACACCGACAACGAAACACAAAGTCCTGTCCAGCCCCACGCACCCTCAGCTCCTCACCCGACTCAGCAGCTCGCTCAACTTCCCCGCCGCCAGCCCGTCCCTGAACCCGCTCGCCTCCGCCGCATGCACGCCCGACCCGCGGCCGAGCACGAGCGAGAACCTCCGCGCGTTCCCCTCGCCGACCACATTGGGCCGCGCCGTCACCGGGCTCGTCTGGAGCGCGACCGCGGGGAGGGAGAACCGCTTGTGCCGGCGCGCCGTGTTCTCCTTCCGCGGCGTCGGCGGGAGGCTCGAGCCCGCGCGGCTCGGCGCGTCCGCCGCCGCCACCGACGCGCCGTCGTGCGCGGGCACCTCCAGCACCTGCCCGCCCTGCTCGCGCTCGTCGAGGGCAGACTCGTCCCCCGCGGGCGTGCCGAAGCGCGTCCTGCTCGAGCTGGGCGTCCCGTGCGCGTGCTCCTGGAAGTCCTCTAGTATCTGCACGTAGCTGCGCGGGCGCGCGGTGGGCCGGATGCGTATCGCGGGCACGGCGGGCGCGCCGTCCGGGTCGGGTTCGTCGCCGTCTGCGCCTGCGCCGCCGAAGGTGGACTCGTCCTCGATACGTGTGAGCACGCGCTTCGGGCTCTCGAGCTCGAGGTCGACGGCGAGGAGCGCGGCGGAGGACGACATGCGGTTGTCGCCGAGGATGAGGGAGGGCATGCTCTTCAGCCCGGAGAGCGTGAGGTGGGAGTGCGTCGCGCCCGCACCGATGCTATGGGGAGAGGTGGACCACTTGGACGGGTCGAGGACGGGGAAGACCGTATCGTAGCAGGCGTCACATGCGCGTGCGGGTTTGTGCGAGTCCTTGCTGTCCCTGACGCTGTCGTCCAGTATGAAGAATGTCTGACGCGATTGTGAGTATATGCGGCATCATGTATGAGATACACGAAGTCACCTTGCCGGAGCAGCTCCCACAAACGCATCTGCCACACAGCCTACAATGATGTCTCCTGCGCCGCCAGCCAAACGTCCTCCCACACCTCATGCAGCTCTGCGTCTTCCCGTCCGGTATCCATATAGCCGGCACGAAGTGATCGACGCGACCCCTCTTCGGCTTGACCTCGTTCTCCTCGGGTGCGTACGGCAGTGCTTGGAGCGTGCGCCGAAGATGGTTCGTCGAGGACGAGGACGTGAGGGTCGAGTTCGGCTGCATGACGTTGAGCGAGACGAGGAGCGAGCCCTTCGCGTTCCGGATGGCCGCGCACCAGTCATCTCGCTCCTCCTCGTTCGCTAAGACACGCCAACGCCGCGTTAGATCGCACATTCCACGAGGAAAAACATACCACGCACCAGTATACACAGCGAACGACTGCTGCGGGCTCAAGATCTCCAACCGTCTATCATCACCCACCTCCCTCGCAGGCGGCACCACGACCTCCACGTCCACCAAATCCACATACCCCTTAAACACCCACCGCTCGTCCGTCCCACTGCTCGCGTGCCGCGCCTTCTTCTTCACCGGGCTCGCATTCAGCCTAAACTTCAGCACACTCTCCTTCCGCTTCATCGCCTCCGCCGCGCCGGCCATATCCGCGTCGCTCTTGCTGCGCGTGCGTATCAGCGGCGCGCGCGCAGGCGAGGTTGGCGAGGGCTCGCCGCCCCACCTGTCCGAGAGGCCCTCGCCGTCCGCGCCCGCGAGCCAGAGGAGGCAGTCGGAGAAGAGCAGAAACTCGCGCTCCCGCGTGATGGAGCCCTCGAGCTGCAGGACCGGCGCGCGCTTGAGGAAGGTGCGCCCCGGCGAGATGAGCTTGAAGGGGAGGTTCGCGGTGTTGCGCTGGAGCGCGAGGAGCGCGAGGGTCTGGGCATGCGTGTGCAGGGACGCGTTGAGCGAGGACGTGACTGACAGGGTTCAGAGTCAGCGTGCGCGGGTATGTTGACAAGGATGGGAGGGCCGCTTACTCCTCGAGACGAGCGTGTGCACGGCTGTCAGTTGGGCGTACTCCGGATCCTCGGGGTCTGTGCAGCCGATGAGGTCCTTGAGGAGCAACAGGTACCGCGGACATCTCTGTACGATCGTCAGTAGCCAGTCTCGGAACTTGAGTTTACCACAGCGCGGGTCCGCTTCCTGCTGAGCTATGAAAGCAGCAAACGCAGAGTGGCTGTTTAGCAGCGCTGTATACGACGCGAGGGTGTCGGAGAAAGACGAGACGAACGGCGTGTACAGGGACAGGTAGGGAAAGTGTGAGAGGAGCACGGGAGACAGGGGAGGCGGCGAGTCCTCGGCTTGCGCCGACGAGGAAGTGTCGAGGAAGGTGGAAAGAGAAGTGTGAAAAGAGCGGTGGAGGTTCCAGATGTCGATGAAGTTGGAGAATATGGACGTGAGCTCGTTCCGGTCGAGGAGCTGCTGTGGTGTGTCCAGCGACGCGATAATCGGCGTCAGGAAATGCTACACAACTGTGTCAGCGGCCACACGCTGCGCAGAGCGAGCAGACGCACCGAGTATATGAGCTCCAGCCCGTCCACATACGACCTCTCCGTCTCGTAGAACTCGTTGATGACCTTCCGCCGCTTCGCTTCTCTATGCTCGTCAATCAGACGCATCTGGCTCCGGCGCCGTGCCTTGCGTGCGACGTCGACGGAAGAAGGCCTACGACCCGGGGACCGCGTCGCGTTCCTTATGACGGTGGGTGTGGCCGGGGACGAGGCGGACCCGGGTGCGCTGTCCTCCTCGGGGAGCGAGTCGAAAGAGGCCGTGCTGACCACGGACTGGCGGTGGAGGAGGTTGGGCGCAGAGGGGAGGGAGATGCGGCGGAAAGGGAGGTGCGGGGGGCGCTGGTAACGAAGGTCGGACTGGCTCGAGGAGAGCTCGGAGGACGAGGGGAAGTCGACCATGGCGGCCGACGGGAAGGGCGGGACTGTCGACCGTCAGAGAACTGGGGAAGGTTGTGGCGAGAGGGCGGACATACCTGCGGCCATGGCGGGATGGCGGTCGCGTTGGAGAGCAGCCCGCTCGTCCCTGGGTGGCACTCACCGGCCGTCGAGCGAAGCGCGTCACATCCCCGAGGCCACTCCGGCTGCCCTCTCCCGATATGGCAACTGACCTCGTTCGCCCGGCCAACGGTTAGCTGTATTCAGTCTGTTGGTACATGGCAGATAGGCAGGAGACGCAGGAGAGACGTCGTTCAGCAAGGACCCATCGCGTTCCCGGGGGCGGCGATTTCATCCACAATATACCGGTGTTTATCGGCGGTCCCAAACACAGACATCTGTTCATCTGTCCTCAATACAGCCTTGGCTTACACTGTAATTCGCGGTTCTCGGATCGTCGCAGTAGCCCTTGTCGTAAGCTATCAGGAATCGCTGAGACCGGCAGGCCATTTCATGAAGTTGTTCTGACGCATTTGGAGAAGGGACATCTTCATTCGGACAAGTGAAAATGTCAAAGACTCGTTTGCCCCATTTCGTTGAGTGGTCGGAATTGAAAGGCTCCGTTGCACCGGTAATTCATCATGGCGTCTGCGCTCACCGGCTGGACTGATGGCATCTTCAACATGTCCTACAGTGGCAAGAGCAGACCTAGTGACGAGCATATCGACAGACACTACGGCGCCATGGCCTCCATGCAATTCGGTTTTATCGTCGGGGCGGAGTAATCATTTCAATCTTCGACCTAACGCTCAGCTGGCTTGAGCGCGACAAGGGCAGGTTCCAGCCATCCATGGCTCCTCGGTGAATTGTTGAAGGACAGTCCCGCGGGCTGTCACTGCGGAACAACGTTCGCAGTGCGTTACTTGTTGTGCAGGCGATAGGCCGAGCTCCATTCACTTGAGCAAGTCCATGTCGACATGTCGATTGAAAACGGACAGCAGAGGGCCCTGTATATGGAAAGTCTCCCAGAGAGATGTATGATAGAGTTGCAATACCCGCACAAAGCAATGAGAGATACGTGAATCAAACCACAAGCTCGCCCTCGACACTCTCGGGCTCTACACCGATACGCTCGAGACAGCGCTCATACCGGTCTATGCTGACCCGCTTCAGGTATTTCAAGATCTTGGCTCGCTTGTGTACCAGTTCTCGCAGCCTCTGGCGGCTGATGACATCCTTCTTTTGGCGATTGAGGTGGTCCCAGACGTTGCGTATCCGCACTGTCAGAATGGCAGCTGATCCGGCCGGTCATGAACAATGTAGTTCAGCAATGCAAGAAAGGGACCGACGCATCACCCGACGCACCTTGCACCTCAGGCCGGCCCGTGTCCACCACCGTGTCCGACTCCGAGAACGCAGCCACGATCCGCTGCTTGTTCTCAAACAGGATCCCGCTCGCGTTCGCGTTCCGCAGGTCCACGAGCCGCGCAAACTGCACCGTCTTCTGCGCCTCCAGCGCGTCCGCGCGCCGCTCCTCCCGGGCAAGCATCGTCGGGTTCTGCTTCACGACCTCGTCGATCACGCCCTCGATCGTCAGGTTCGGCAGCACCTGGAACAGCATCTCCTGCTCGCCCGCGCCGATGCCGAAGTTGAGCAGCTCCGGCGCGCGCGCGTCGTCGACGGAGCGCGCCTCCGAGGGCGGCGCCGGCAGGGCGTCGACGGCCTCCTCCGTGACGATGGTGCGCGCGAGGTCGCAGTTCGTCCACTTCGCCTCATCCCCCGGTCGATGGCCCAGCACGACGTGCGGCCGGCTCGCAGCGGCCTCGCGTGCGTGCTGTTCTGCTACTTTCTTGGCTTTGGTCAGGCGTGGTGCCCGCAGAGCCGCGGTGGTGTGCAGGGGTGCGCTATGAGCCGAGCTGGTTGATGCTACGGCGCGTGAACCTACAGTGCAAGTGTCAGCAGCCTTATAACACAAGAAGCGTCTGATACGCACATTGTGCCAATCGCGCACTGAACATCGTCCACGTCGAGCTCGGTGTTACAGACGAAGTCGCAGCAAAAGTCGCTGGCAGGCGCCGGGCAGCTGCCGTGAGAATGCGCTGGTTAGACGCCTGCCCGCGTATATAAGGCTGCCCGCGGCGGCGTAACTCTCCTTCAGAGAGATATGCCACGCTGCTCGATGTCGACCGCGCGACCGTCGTGACAGTGCCAGTGACTCTCTCCGAGTCCTGTCCTCTCGAGATCTGGCTATGGCTAAGCAGGTTAGGAAGTGTCGCGATCCATATTTTCTCCATGTCGCGGCATGTCGACATACTCCTGTGACATTCGTTCGTACCCTACGCTCTTGTGTTCTACAGCTTCGCAATGTTATTTGCTTTTGAAGGGACTTGCTCTTGTCTGTTTGCTCTTCGACCGCAAGGTCTCGCGACGGTTCTTCGCAGTGGCAAATTGGTGGCAAGCATTTTTAGCATCCTTCGTAGCGGCGCCTGATAACACCTGCGACTTGCCTGCGATGCAACGGCGAAGAATCTGACACTGCTGGATCCCTTAACATGCGTGACAATCGAGGGCTCGTCGAGTTTCCCAGTCGACGACCATCTGGTGTGGGCGAAGTTTGCTGGGACGATGCACGTTTGAGACCGAAAACAAGACCGATGCGAACGTGTGGGACCAGGCAGGGTCCGCTGGGAACAGGGTATGTCGTCGCTTCGCTTGAGGATCCCCGAATTACGAACGTGTGCCGTTCTGCAGGCGTCGAGGGCTCCCAGCTGGGGCAGCTCAGAAGCGCGAGTACGGCACAACGCCTACGCTGCCTGTGGTCCCTGGCACTCTGCTCAGCTGTTTACGCTACGAGGCGATAACACGGTCGTTCCATATGCTGTCGCTGCCTCCTTGTCGCTCGCGCCGGCTGCCTTCCTGATGGATTGTGTTGCGGCCTTTGTCTCGCCGAGCACTATTATCGGCTCGCAGGTCTGATAGTATGCTTCTCTCGTCCCTCGCCCGCTATATCAAGCGCGTCGCACCCACCGCCCGGCCAGCGGGACTCCAGGATCCCTCGAGATGCGCCTCTCCCTCGTGCTGCTCGCGTCCGGCGTGCTTCTGGCGCATGCTGCTACGACGAGCCTCGACGGGATTTATGCGCTAGTCCAGCGGCAGATCCCCCAGCATGTGGATTCGTTCTCCTTCTCGCTGATCGTCGGGGACGGCGACTCCTTCGTGATTAGCGACTCGTATTCCGGCGGCATCTCCGTGCAATGCACGACGGTCAGCGCGTGCGCGAGGGGCCTTTACACGTGAGTGGGTCCGTGTTTCGTTGCCGTGGAAGCTCCCGGCGAACTCGACTACTGTAGCTATGTGACGCAGTATGGCGGTGTGGACATCTGGTGGACCGGGTCGCGTCTGGGCCAATTGTCGTCCACACTCCCAGAGGTGGGCACTCCGGTCAACGGAACAGCCATCGTGCCTTATAGGTCCGTCCATCTCTTGATCCCGATCTTCATATTTCGCTCATGACATGCGTACCTTGTTCGTAGATATCACTTCAACACTGTCACATTCGACTACACGGCTGCTTTCTGGGACTGGGATCAGTGGCAGGCCGAGCTTGACTGGCTCGCCCTCCGCGGCGTGAACCTCCCCCTCGCCTGGGTTGGCTATGAGTACACCCTCATCCAGGTCTTCCAAGAGGTTGGGCTCACAGATCAGGACATCTCATCTTTCCTCTCCGGGCCTGCCTTTCAGGCATGGAACCGCTTCGGTAACATTCAGGGTAGCTGGGGCGGCCCACTGCCCACCCAGTGGGTCGACAACCAATACGCGCTCCAGCAGCAGATCGTCGCGCGCATGTACGAGCTCGGGATGACACCCGTCCTGCCTGCCTTCACCGGGTTCGTCCCCCGCGCGCTCACTCAGCTCTACCCGAACTCGTCCATCGTGAATGGGAGCCAGTGGAGCGGCTTCCCGGCGGCCCTCACGGACGTGACCTTCCTGGAGCCGTGGGACGGCCTCTTCACGACGATGCAGAAGTCGTTCATCGACAAGCAGCAGGCGGCCTTCGGCGAGAACGTCACGCACATCTACACGCTCGACCAGTACAACGAGAACGACCCGTACAGCGGCGACACGGGCTACCTCGCGAGCATCTCGAACAGCACGTTCGCGGCCCTCCGCGCGGCGGACCCGGAGGCGGTGTGGATGATGCAGGGCTGGCTGTTCTTCTCGAGCGAGTCGTTCTGGACGGATGACCGCGTCTCTGCGTACCTTGGCGGCGTGTCCGGCGACGATAGCTTGATTGTGCTGGATCTGTATTCGGAGGCGCAGCCGCAGTGGCAGCGGACGAGCTCGTATTATGGGAAGGAGTGGGTCTGGTGCGAGCTCCACGACTATGGAGGAAACATGGGTATGGAGGGCAACCTACCCGTACTCGTCTCTGATCCGATCTCTGCTCTTGCTGCCTCGCCGAACATGAAGGGCATTGGTCTGACAATGGAAGGTCAAGAGGGAAACGAGATTGTCTACGACATTCTCCTTGACCAAGCTTGGTCGTCCACGTCAATCAACATCACTGCATACACTGAGGCTTGGGTTGCCCGTCGGTACACTGTCAACCCGTTACCTGCCGCCGCCCAAACTGCATGGTCGATCCTCAGCACGACCGTGTATAGCAACAGCGACTCCAACACCCAGGCGACCATCAAGAGCATCCTCGAGCTGGAGCCCGCGACGTCGGGGCTGACAGGCCGCACGGGGCACCACCCCACCGCGATCCCGTACGACACCAACACGACGATCGTGCCCGCGCTGCAGAGCCTCGCCCAGGCCGCCACGGAGAACCCCGCGCTGCTCGACGTCCCCGAGTTCGTCTACGACCTCGTCGACACCGCGCGGCAGCTCCTCGCGAACCGCTTCATCGACGCCTACAACGCGCTCGTGTCCGCCTACTCCGCCGGCGGCGCGTCCGCGGCGTCCGTCACCGCCGCGGGCGCGCCGCTCCTCGCGATCCTGCACGACCTCGACACGCTCCTCTGGACGGACGCCAACTTCCTCCTGCCGACGTGGCTCGCGTCCGCGCGGAGCATCGCGGGGGGCAACACGACGTACGCGGACTACCTCGAGTACAACGCGCGGAACCAGATCACGCTCTGGGGCCCGGACGGCGAGATCAGCGACTACGCGTCGAAGCAGTGGGCGGGCCTCGTCGGGACGTACTACTACCAGCGCTGGGAGACGTTCGTCGGCTACCTCGCGAACATCACGGCGAGCGGCGCGGCGTACGACAGTGGGGCGCTGGGCAGCCAGATGCTGGCGATTGGCCAGGCGTGGGACGCGCAGACGTTGAGCATGAGTACGGGGGTGAACGGAGACGCGATGAGTGTCGTGGAGGGGATCATGCAGGACTACATCTAACACTCATACGTACGTTTGGCATTTATTGCGCTCCTTAGAGTAGATAGACAGCATAATGTAATCGCTCATCTGGAAAATCATGACACTAGGACCACGATTTAAACTTTATTTAAGGTGTACTAATACCTGCTCTGAAGTGCCAGTGCAGGGAGCGTTGTTCTGACCACGGAATTCCGTGAACGGTGAAGGTATTGCGCAGCGAGGAAGTGAGATCTTCAACGAAACGATGGCTTGTGGAGCGTTGCAGCCCCCGACGACTCTCGCAAGAGGCCCAGTTCAGTTGCATCCTTTGGAACGCAATCCAAGACAGCTTGTGTTATCCAAGAAGTGCTATATCGTACAACAAACCCCAAGGCAACGTCCATCTGCGTCGCTCCAAGTGCCCATGTAACAAACCCACACTGCACCATCACACCACCGACGCAGCAGCGCACGTTCCTGCATGAGCAAGTTCACATCGCCTCAGGCCCACGCCTTGACGTCCTCGGGAGTCGGCCCAACGGGGTCGTCGGACGCGGCGAGGTTGCACTGGTGGAACGCGCGCACCTGGTCCGGCTTGAACGCGCCGACGACGGTGTGGAGCACGCCGCGGTTGTGGAAGAGGACGAGATCCTGCTCCCGCCTGCATTAGGGAAGACGCCCATCAATCACCCTACGAGCGTGGCTATCGTGAGAGTGGGACGTACCAGTCGTGCGGGTAGATGAGCTAGATGGGATGCAAGATGTTAGCGGAGGAGGGCAGGGCGAGATAGGGGGGTGGTGGCGTACCTCAGGAGCGATGGCGGGTCGCTGCATTTTGTAGAGCAGCGCACGGACGGTGCCGAGGTCGGTGATGTGTGCGCCGTCGGGGTAGAGCGCGCCTTCGCGCTTGGCACCCTCGGGAAGCGGGTCGACCAGCAGCTCGGCCGCGCCGCATGGGTGGACCTGGAAGTGCAGGTCGCCCGTGACGGGGTTCTTCCAGAGCTGTGGGTGTAGAGGTCAATGAAACGTCAGGATATGTACGTTGGCGGTGGGTATACTCACGATTGGCAGCGTCTTCCGCTTCGACTCCTCCCAGGACGGAAGCTCCTCGAGAGGCAGCTCGAGACCCTCCGTCTCGATGCCAAGACCTGTCGAGCTGGCGCGGGCGGGGGCCATCCATACGTACGGGTGCGGCGCGTACTTGACCTTGCTCCGCACAGCAAGGCTCTTCAGTTCCGACGGGAGGATCTCAAACATCGTCTTGCCCGACACGAACGCCGTCGTCCCCAGAGGGACCTCAAGCACGTCGCCCGTCCCGTCATCATACTGCACGACCTGACGCTTGCCCTGCGGCACCTGGATCCCGTAGAGCGTCGTCACCCTCGGCGGGGAGAGGTCGTACAGCGCGGCGTCGATGTGCCAGCGGTAGAAGCGGGTGATGCCCTTCTCCGTGTCCTCCTCGGAGACGCGCGTCTTGTGGAAGGTCGTGTGCGAGGGGTGCTTGAGCATCGCCTCGGCGAGCCCCTCGTGGTTGTAGACCGTCCCGTTACCGATGAGCTGCACCTGCGGCACGCGCGGGATGGTCTTGAGGTCGGGGTGGAGGATCGACTTCTTGGTGCTCTGGGTCTTGTTGTTTCCGTGGCCGTAGCTCTCCGAGGAGGGGTCAAAGGCCTTGGTGTCATGCGTCAGTATGAGTTATTCGATTGAACGTCCTGCGAGCCGCTTCTCCGTGTGCACAGTGTCTCACATTGGTGACGGGCCATGTATGATAGCCAGAATTGCCTCACGGCAGCCTGTGCCATGGGTTAATATATGCAATGGAGACGCATCTTTGTTCTATGCATGGCCTCCAAAGGATCCTACATAGTTGAACTTGCAGGTATGGGCTTGGGTCGTAGATATGCCTCCGGTCATTGCATGCAGGGCCATCGGGCAGCTCCTCCCCGCGTTGACATCGTACAGGTGTCATGTTCAGGAAGTACGCACGGGGATGCGGCTCACCCGATAAACGGACCGAAGGGTGGTCAGAGGATAAGCTCACCTTCGTCAGAGCATACTGCTGCTCGGGCGTTACATGCGCATCTCGGAAGAGCAGGGCACCATGCTATCCGTACCACACCGTCAGCCTTCCTTCTAGCCACCATCTCAGAGCACCTCGCGATCGCACCTTGTACAGAAGCTGCTCGATCTCCTTGAACTCCTCCGGGGTGAGCGTCCCGGGGTTCACACCCTTGACCTCCCTGCCAAAGTCGGCGAACTTGGACGGGTCTGCGGAGGGCGGGAGCGGGAGCTGGGCGACTGCGATGGCCATGTTTCGACGATGAGGGGGTGGCGAGCGAGAGGAAACGGTGGACGGGGAGCGGAACGGAGGGCTGTTCTCAGCATGGGACCAAGTTATCGCGCGGGCGTTCCTTCCTCCCCGCAGCACGGGCGTCCAATCACGTTTCTTCAGTTGGTTCGAACTATACTGAAATACAGAATGCATTTGAAGCGGTCGGTTCCTGGAGCTAGGTGAAGCTTAGAAGCCATCAGACCCAGAGCGAGTTGCTTAGTTATTGAATCTCGTCTAAGTGACGGTGCGTCGTGCGTCGTGCAAGCTTGTCTCCTCCCACCGTCATGCCGTCTCTCACGCAGATTCCACTTCCCCTGACGAACCAACTACCCCTGGGATTCGAATGGGATCAACGCCCCATATCAGAACTGTCGACGACCACCGCATTTGACACAGGCATAGACCGCCGCGACACCTTTTTGGGAGAAAGGCGCTGTGTCGTCTGTGGGATCCAGGCACAGGCCGCCCTTCAGCACTGTCATATTGTCTGGCAATCGGAACCCGAAGTCGTCAGTCATTCTTACATGTCAATGATCTTTGGGCTGACACCAGACAGTGGAGGGATCTCCAAAGTCGTCGGTGGATCCCGCCGCAGGCCAAAGATCATCCGGAACATGAACCTCGCAACGGCCTGCTAATGTGCCCTAATCATTGCGCGTTTTTCGATAAATATCTCTTCTTCATACGCTACTTCCCTAATGTGAGTTCGATGCTTCTCTTGTTTGCGCGAACACGTCATGCAACTGGCACCAGATTCGAAAGTTCATTCTCGTCAACTACTCTGACAGTCCATTTCTCCGGGCATTCCACGGTAAAGCTCTCGGGCTCGACATTCAAGACAGGCACGCGCCTTTTGCCTGTCTGTTCATCCTCCAGGAGATGCGCGTCCGTGGCTACCACCCCTTCGCGCCCGTCGATCCCGACATGCCTGCCAACATCACCTGGCAGGATTGGATCCTGGAACAAGATATATTGCGCTCACCGTCGGGCCCAGGCCTCTTCCGTCGTGACCCCCGGAGTCTCCGGACAGCGACAGTCACGACGGCGACCCTCCACAGCTTCCACCTCAGCCTCTGACGCTCGACACAGGAGCACCGTCTCGTACTGGACGCTCATTGGCATTTAACCAAGATGTATTCGCTGACATTTTGGCTGCGACGCGTGCCTCGCCGTCCTGGCGGGCCTGTGTCATGGAAGGTACGAGCTGGAATGGCACGGCGGAGGACAACATACAGAAGTACATTGCGTCTGTTGTCGTACAAGAGCACGGCAATGCCTGAAGGCCTGACGGTGCGCATCGCTGCTGTACCCCACGGTGTAGACGGTTGTATTGGTACCTCATTTTGCATGTTGTCGAGTGATATATCGGTCGACTACGCATTTTCTTGTCGTCGAGTGACTGTTCTGTATAATCCGTGTTTTAATGTCGCCGAGTGACTATTCTGTATACTATGTGTTTGCCTGTTGTCGAGTTCCTATACTGTATACTACGCGTTCTGCGACAAGTCATGTGCATGAACAATGGTGGCATTCCCCGTTGAAATTGCCCGACTGTTGAAGGAACGGTAGTCTCATAGGTCCCAACTGAGGTGGCGCGTCCATGTTCAGCTTGTTCCGTGATGTCTTGTGGATGGTAGCCGGCCGGGGGATGAGTGACTCGGACATCAACCGTTGATCTTTAAGCTTCAGCAGAGCGTAACTTACCGGCCATGGTGGTGGCAGGGGCGAGCAACACAAACAATGAGAGCACTGAACAGATAATGGCGGAGGGGACATGGCAAGATAGTCAAAAGGATAGACTAGATTGAATTTAGTGACCATCATGCATGTAGTACCTAAATAGGAAGGAGGCCACAAAGCGCTTACACGAAGCTGGAGACGCGTCGCGTTCTGTTCAACGCCACCAGCGCATCCACCGCGTCCCTCCCGCATAGTACGCGTCCATCATTCCCTACAACATGTACTCGTCATCAGCAGCGACAAAAGCGAAGCGGAGGACGCACCAGCGGCCCGAACTCACGGACGAGCAGAAGCAGGAGATCAAGGAGGCGTTCGAGCTGTTCGACACAGACAAGGACGGGTGCGTCGACTACCACGAGCTCAAGGTCGCGATGCGCGCTCTCGGGTTCGACCTCAAGAAGGCGGAGGTGTTGAAGATTCTGCGGGACCACGACAAAACGGGACACGGGCTGATGGACTTCGAGGATTTCGCGAAAATTAGTGAGTGGGACGCGTTTTCCGCCTGATGCTGTTCTCATCGCGAATTGGTGGCCCTCTGTGTATGCACGCGTGTCTTTGTACGCGTTTATCAGTGAGCGAGCGGATACTGGCGAGAGATCCGATGGAAGAGATCCGGAGGGCGTTCCAGCTCTTCGACGACGACAATACAGGCAAAATCAGCCTGCGGAACTTGCGCAGAGTAGCGAAGGAGATTGGTGACCGGCTAGAGGACGATGAGCTGTGAGTCCTTCGCGTTCCGCGCGGTCACGATGCTGCGAGAGGTTGAACGACCCATTCTAGGCAAGCCATGATTGACGAGTTTGACCTCGACCAAGACGGTGAAATAAACGAACAAGAATTCTTCGCCATAATGACCGATGACGCGTGAAGCCCGCGGCCACTCCTGTTCATGTCCCGATCTCCCTGTGCATATCTCGCTCTCTTGCATATCCCTGTCTAGCTGTGTCAGATACATTATTATTTGGTGAGTCCAGGCCTTCCAGGGTGCGCGCGGCTCCTGAACAGCCCGTTTCGTTCGCAGGTCTTGGTGTATGTGGACAGTGTACCTCTTGTAATTCTAGAATCCCTCGCCCGATCAACCTGACGGACTCCGAGATCCGCTGTGCTCCTCAACGTAGGACGGCGATAAGAAACAAGGTATACGCTATTCATTCGTCGAATATGGATACATGAGGGACCAGTATTGCACCCTGTCAGCTAACGAGCAGTGGTGCCACTAGTGCGAGACGAGCTAGTGGGTGAGTGAGCCACATTCTGTTCTAGGCGGACAATGCAGGGACCGAGTCGTCGAGACCACCGGAGGGGATGCCAGTCCGCGGCCGTCGCAGAAGGAGCCGGTGACGGCGCCGAGAGGAGGAGAAGGTTCATTGTGCGGACAAAAACAGGGCGGCGCCACCGGCACAACCACATGCAGCTGACCGTAGCACGTGGGTCCGGCCGTGCCGCAGGACGTGCAACTGCGCGGCGGCGTCGAAAAACGAGGCACGCGGGCGGCTGGCTCCGAGGCCGCATGCTCCCTATGCGGCTTAGCCTATTGTCCTCCATCGATGGTCCGTGCCGTATCTGGGGTGTCCTCCGCACCAGGGGACACAGCGCCTGCACAGCGCCGTGGACGCGTCCAGTGGAAGAGCGGGCCTGGGGATGCTGACAGCTGTTAGCTGCCGCTAGCTGTGCGGGGTGCTCTCTGCGACAAGTGGGCGTTTCGAGGACTGTCGCCAGCGCGATTGGGATGCACCGCCGCATCACAGCACTTTGAGCTCCGGAGCATCAGACAACTGTGGACGAGACGGGCAGCTGGCAGTGACAGAATGTGTCAAGCGGCGACACGTCTACATGAGGCTAAACGACCCGAAGGCGTGTATAATGGAAGCGCGGTTAATCATACAGTGGGGACAGACAGTCTGGAGGATTCGTATCGTTACAGAGGGAGGCGAGTCCGAGTACAACACAGTGAGTTCCAAGTAAGCCCTTGAATCCCAAGAAGAGAGAAATAACTGGGTAATAATGATCGTGCAACGCAGACATGGGCCTACCAGCCGTCGAACCGATTTCGTGACATGTTAAATGGGCGTCATCTGTAAGCATCACCCGCTTATGCGGGTCCTGCCAAGCGGCGCTGCTTGGAAGGCCAGTTCTTGTGGACGCGCATGTGCTGCCCGAGATTGTCGTGCCGGCTGAAATCCTTGCCGCAGCCAGGGTAGGGACACTTGTGAGCTGCATGCGGGGTCGATCGTAAGTCTGCCTGAATTTACCGGCTCGGATTTTCCACTCACGCTTCTCGTTCGTGTGTATGCTCCGGACGTGCCGCTTGAGGTGCTCTCCGCGAGCGAAGCACTTCCCGCAACCGTCCACCTCACACATGTAATTCCTGCGTGCCTAATAAATGAGAGACTCGTTGGTCAGGCATGTTTTGCTGCGGCAATTGAGATAACGGACGCACCTTTTCCGCATGCTCGTCGGTGAGGACGTCGATGGCCGTAGGGACCCGGCGGCCTCGGCTCTTCTTTGTCAGGTTGGGCACCGGCACCGGAAGGGTCGCGCGATGGCCAGAGAGGTCCGTGTGGGACGACGACGAGGCCGACGAGACGGTGCGTCGGCGAGTGCGCAGGCGAGACGACGCACCGCTCTGGACGTACTCATCGTCCTCGTCATCCATGCCGTCGTCGGTGTCCCTCTCCGACTCCCCATCCTGGTACTCCTCAGACGACGACGAACTGGTGAAACTCACAGTGCGCCTCCGCTTCTGCGGACGGCCGGCTTCGCGGAGGGTCGCCGCCTGCTCAATCTCCGACGATGCGCGGGGATAAGCCAGCTCGCCCTGGAAGCTGCCCTGCGAGTTCAGCGAGCTGGAGCTCGTGCTGGCGGGATGGGCGGCGAGCGGGGTGCCAACGGTGTAGCGGGGGTCCAGGCCCGCCGTTTCGTTGTCGTCCATGGTGAGCAGCTGCGCGTTGGGCGACATGTCGGAGGAGATCTGCGCGGGGCTGACGAAGCGGGGCACCGCCTCGGACGGCGGCGGGTAATGCAGGCTGGGGTCCGAGGCGACCGTGAAGGACGGCGACCCGCCGCCGTCGTAGCTCTGCGTCTGGACGGGGTGGTCAAAGCCGTATCCGAAGTCCGCAGCCATCGAAGCAGGGTTCTGGCCGTGCAGCGTGGGGTAGGAGCCCAACGCCGCGCCTGCGGGGTCTGCGGGGAAGTAGCTGGCCGACAGATCGTCGAGGTTGATGACAGGGGGCTCCTCCTGCTTGAGATAGCGGTTGATGAGGCTGGTGGTGTCATCGCCGACGGCGAAGGGCTCCTGCGGGTGGTAGGACCCGCCGTTGTAGAAGTCGGTGTGTGTCGGACGCTCCTGGTACGTCCAGAGCGGCTCGTGGCCGTGATCACCGCCGTATAGATTCCCGTTCGCCGAGTCATACTCTCCCTCCATGGGATAGCCGAGCGTCGTGTCCGTCGACGGGCTGCCGGAGGGGAAGCCAGACGAGGAGTAGGACGAGACGGGGGAGTCCTTCGGATATGACTGCGCATGGGGTATCGGGTGGGGGAGCGAATGCATCGCGGAGGATCGAAGGTAAGACTGTGAGGACATTACCGGCTGATATTGAATAGTAGGGGAGTAGTCGTAATGTGGTATCTGGGAGGAGCGGTGGTGGGCGAGCTGGAAGCGGATGAAATGTTCCATTTGCGACTGCCCGGTGCCGTTGTTGGAGTCGCGGCTGCCAAAGAGACGGGTGAGTGGGTGGGACGGTGATATCGACTCAGACCGACCAAAAGGAACAGCGGCGGATATAATATAATGGGCTGGGGGGGACACACTTGCGATTGAATCGTGATCCAGCCACCGAGAGTCGGGAACACGGACAGAAAAGGCAGGGATAGGTACGGACCTTCGAGCTGGGCCAGGCTTAAACTGATCACGAATTTGAGGCACCCCGGGCGCGGGTGTGATCGACTCGGAGCACGCGCCATTCGCTGGCGGGTTGTAGAAACTCCGCTGCGAAACAAAAGGCGCAATAAATGGAAGCGACCCAGACATTCGGGCAATATTTCCTAAAGTTTGTGATGGAGCGGGGGCGCGGTCGGGGCCGGGCTGTGCAACAGTGTTGGGTATAGGGAGAGCCAGTTGATGGAAGGTACGACTAGAAGGTCGGATCGAGTGGCTGAGTAGATTATGCTTGAGATCGTGGCCGAGGATAGAGTCTTGTCGTGAGGGTCGTGAGGAGGAAAATATGGGAAGACGAAGGACAGTAGAAGGAAAGCTGAGTTATTATAGGTCGCGCAGAACAAAATGGGCCACAAGTGTGCCTCAGGAACGGCGAAAGTCAAAGCGCTGCACCAGCCACACTGAGCGATCGCTGCACAGCGCCGCACAGTGACCTTGGCCTCGGCGATGCAGGCTCCGAGTGACGAAATTGGCCGTGGCTCCACAGAGCGAAGTGGCAGAACAAGCCAGTGTCGCTTTGATGCGACGCATAGGCCACATCCTCTGTCTCTTTATCGTCTTCGCATTCCCCTCCAGCGCGCCCTTCCGAAGACCTGGCGGTCCCTTCCAATTCAGTGCACCTTGGGCGGACTGCCGTGTTTGCCTTCCCACAGCCGAAGCTCCCCGAGAACCTTCGTGGCACGGTCACCCAGAGGACCTTCTGTCTATTCCAATTCGTCAACGGATGTGGTGTCCGGGTCAAGCCTGCCTGTTACTCTCGTGGTCGCTCCAGCTGAGCTCCAAGGCGGCCCTGCATCTCAGCCTAGATCTCGACAAGAACACCCCGATCCCTGGCATTGATATGGGAGCTAAACCCTTTCGGGAAGCAATCAGTGCTCGATCGCCGACCAAATGTTATCTATCTGGGTTCACCATCAAGCGTTATAGCCACCGTGGTTAGAAACATATGATACTTGTATCAATCTCCGCCTACGTTGGAAGCATCCTTGCAGGTCATGTTTTCGGCCAATGTGATGTAAGGCGTACGTCCTCCTGTTGACGTGTACACATTGGAAACGACATCAATCACCCTTGCCACGAAGCGAACAGGAAAGTGGATACTGTACCACACAGTCGTCCAGCATCATCGTACGCTTGTGATGAGTTCGGTTTGAGCGGTCGGTCTAGCAGGGGTCCAGACTGCCTTTCTGAGCCCGCTGAACTCAACAGCTCTATTGGCTGACTCGGAATCCTCTGCGTCTCATCATCAACCATCGTATCGATTACACGACAACACGTATGGTGAACGCCAGTGTCGATAATCATTGTCACTAGAAGCAACTGCGGGAGGTCACGGCGCGCCCAGACCCTCAGTGCCAGAGGCGCAATGCACGTCCTGCGCCTGTAGTTGCGGCCCTCGGTACCTTTCGATGCGTCCGGACTCCGCACAGTGAAAGGCACCGTCCGACGGTGCCAAAGTCTCCCTGGGAGGCGTAGCAGCTCAGCGGATTCTGTAGCGGCATAGATATGATGTGGACGGCAAACTCACGGAAGACATTTCGTGAAGAGACTGCGGATCAGATAGCAACTCCCGGGGAGTCACAGCGCCCGTGGGAGGTATGCCAGTCCCAGCGGGCCAAGCGGTTATCGGAAGAAGTCCGTTACATACCTGATGGATGCGAAGTGAAGAGCTTGACTATGACGACATCACAGTCTGTAGGAGCCATGTGACGGTGGCGTCAGGGCAAGCGAGAACGTCCCGAGTCGAGAAGGCAACGTTTCATATACCACGACAGATACTGACGGACCCGAGACCGCGACGGCAGTAGAACGTTTGCCAAAGAAACCTACTGTGCTTTCGCAACATGCCGATGGATTTCCCCGACGAAAGAGAACCTTGAATGTCGTACTCCAACCGATATGCTCGACTTCTCTGGGACGGGAGTAAGCGTACCACAGAGGCCCGGAACAGCGACGGGAGTTGTCGGCGTCCTTCAATTCCGAGTGGAGTAGAACAAGCTGTGGGAAAGATGCAATCGAGCGGGATAGGTTTGTTTGGCTGGTGTTAAGGTTCAGGACGCCTCGACAACCCTGGGAGCATCCTAATAAAAGCTGCACAGTCGTGTCCCCTGGATGAGAAGACATAACAACACGATGGTACGCCGCTGAGTCCCAATGGCCACATACTACCTCGGATCTAGCAGGAACTAGCAATTGCCGCGCCAAATAGCTCGACAATAATCGTCTGTGAGATGGAAAATAAGCAAAGCTCGAACAGACGACATTGACTTCACTCACACACTGCGCATATCGTATGACAAGTTCCTCCTCTCGTCGGACTTTCCCACCACAAGTATACTCATAGGGCGCTCCAGTTCCGCCGGCTGATAGACAATAGATCTCAAACTCAAGATCCTACTCGGTCGAAGTACATGGAGTGGGAACGTCTTTGTAACCCGCGTGGTCGGTGTCGTGTCGTTCATCATCGGAGGCCTATCGAGGTGATCCGTGCGCGGACCGGATGCTGGGCGCGATGCGCTTCATTGTCCTTCGGTAGATATAGGTAGCTCTCGCCCTGTATTATCGGCGTCGGGCAGCTCCCATGGCGCGGTGTTCCTGCCGGGCCTCAGCGATACAAGTGTATTGAATGACGGTACGAACCTGCCGGTATCCCAGGTGTGAAATACGATAAGAAGCGGGCTGCGGCGGGTCGCTCAGTTTAGTCGTGACTGCGAAGAGCGGGACTGACGGGCGCCGGGTGTCTAGCGTTCTGCTCGTCGGTCATGAGTACACTCGAGAACTGACATGCAAAATAGAACCTATCTTACCAAGCAGATTTGCCCTGTAAGGCATGTGAAAGCAGCTGCCATTTGGATGAAGCACGGCCGATCTACGATTCGAGCGTACAAGCTGCGGCTGGGCTCGGTCGCGATCTCTTCTTTGCTCGATGCCACGCTGGTGACTCGAACCGGCTAGACGGCAATAGCCGCGCACGTTCAAGGAGATTGCAGGCGGATCTACGCCGCTCACACCGGGAATAGTCGGGCTGCCGAAGTCATTGCGTTAATGTAAGTGGAGTAACGCAGCACAGAGAACGCACATGATGGGTCTAAGAAGACGGCACTATACGAAATACCGCCAAGAGCGTGGCCCTCAGCTTGCCACATAAACAGCAGTACTGCCAACGGAGATGAGCAGCAACCCGTCAAGTCTGTCGAAGGTCTTAGGCTGATACCATACCTGGTTGGCGGTGCCCTGTTTTGTACACCCAGGCTGGATACCGCCGCCATTCAAGACGTGGACGGAACATCAGTAAACCGTGCTTCGATGAGGACGGATGCCTCTCGAGGCTGACTAGACGAGCGTGCCGCCTCATTCCAACAGTGCGGCTGACATGTTCCGACTGGCCGTGCTGTGCGTTCACTCAGCTGAAGTGGCCACAATAGGTGGCTGAGAGCCAAACGTAGGCTGCTACCATACTAAACAATGCAACGGTTAACGACGATTCTGTGATGACGGAATAATCGTCACCAAACCCTGCCTGTAGAGTTAAATTGATAGCTTGTTCAACCCCGTTCAAAGAGCTTGAACCAGCCCAGGGCCTGGTCAGACAAACTTTGGGAAATGAACACACATGTAAGTGAGAAAGGTCTATTAACTGCCAAGTTATCATTGGCTCACCGTAGCCCACTCGGATCATCCTTAGGTCTCGTCAGACCTGGGTGACGCGGCGGGGTGACGAAGGGGAAATTTATATCCAACACGGAGATGTAGTCCCATCATGCGAAGTGAATCTGAGCTCGAGCGAGCTCACGTAGCCACAGAAAATGCGGGCATGTTTGCAGCTGAAATGGAGGGGGCCTCTGTAATGGCTAGTAAGAGACCGAGAATCGCTCGCTGACAGGTCCGAGCGATCTCACCAGTTCAACGCCCGGTTCGGTAGGAGCATCCCAAGATAGGCTCACGTGGTTGAGCGTTGATTCAGAGATTGATCCCATCAGGACCCGATCCCATGTGGGCGCGATGTGGCGGATCCTCCTCCCTCCCGCCAGGCAAACCTCATCGCATTGCGACAGCCAGTGAGGACAAGCCTTTCAGACCTCATACCACTTCTATTTTTCTTGCGTTCCAAAGTCTGTGATCACAGATTAATCTCACCCGCGAGCCAGTACAACAGGTAGTGCCCTTTGAATACGCGACGCCACAATGCTTTCGCTGACAACACCTGATTCCTCAGTTTCGAGTCTGCTCGACGGACATCCGGGACATCGATCAGCTGGAGAGTGTTGTTTACGACAATGGTCATCTACTACGCGGACGAGAAGGATCCAAACGCATGGAAGACGGACATAACATGGGTAAGCGCACTCACGGTTGGATGTCCATGTTGCCGTGTTCGCTGAATATACACGCCCGGCCACAGGATGAGACGCCTATCATGCCCCCGTCATACAAGCCCGTCTCTTTTATTTTGAATCGCCCCTTGAAGCGTCCCGAGCCCCCTAACCCTCCAGACCCGGAGGCACAGATCACGCCGATGTCGTTGCCTCCGGTCAAATACCTTCCTCCGCCAATCAAGAAGAACAGGAAGAAGGAAAAAGACGTGTATGATTCCCTCATCATACGGATAGATGGTGTGCCCCATCTCGAAATGGACGGAGACTTCGTGTCTCTCGTGTACGAGAGGCGCTCCGGTCCGCAGTCGAGGTACCCGAGGGATATCCCGGAGCCTGGGGTCAACAAGAAGCCCAGAGGCCGTCCAGTACCTACAAAAGAATCAGGGGAACGGGAGGGTACAACATATACCTGTAGGATCTGCCACAAAGCCTTCAAACGGTCGCAACACATGAAGCGCCACATCCGCTCATTGCACATGCACATGGAACACAGTGAGCACCTATGGTCCGAGTGGGCGAACCATTCTCATCGTTGTATCGCGACAGCCTTCGTGTGTTCCTTGCCGTTCTGCACAAAGTCGTTTGCGAGGCGCGACAACCTCATCCAGCATGAGCGCAAGCATAAGCTCTTCGGGGCATTCCATGACTGCACGAAGAACTTCGAAGGCGAACTCTTCCCGAAGTTTCTTCCTCATAACGCCTCTCCCGAGAACCTCGAGCGCCTGCGCGAGTATATACGTCAGATGGATGCAGCGATCGAAGAAGAGGATTCAAGACCAGTTCACTTCCCGGGGCCTTCGAAATATTCCCGCGACTCCCCGCTGATTGACGACGACTGTATTCCCAAGGAGAGCACTACCGCATCATGCGAGAGGAGAAGGTAGTGGCGGAGGTACTCGCTGCAGAGAAGGCAGAGGCAGAGGCTCGCAAGGCAGATCTCGAGAAGCTCCTCTCCGGGCACCCGCCTGCGATTGGGACATCCCGCAACATGCCTCTCTGCTCGCAGCCTGTCTTTCCTGCAGACTTCCATTATGGCGGTGTGGATCGTTCCTGATGTCTGATGAAAGGATACGTTAGCGATGACCTGCTATGCATATCGACATGCTCACCTGCTCTCACTACACAAATGCTCTCGCCCTGTTTCGTCGCTCTGCTATCGTCGAACCTGTGTTGTGACTATTCTTCGTGATTGTATTGTACACCGTGCGTCTCGGCAGTTTTGTTAGCTATGCTCCCAGAATGCTCTGAAAAGACTCTGTACCTACAACTAACAGCATCTCGCACCTCCTTGTATCATTTGTGCTTACGCTACACCCGGCTTGTTTGTTAAACAAGTATTGGCGCCATGACGGGGTAGATGTCTCAATCAGCGCTTCTGGTGTTGTGCTACAGTCCGAGAAATTGGAATGCTGGACGAAGTGGAAGCAGGATGGAAGGATGGTTGTTTGCAGCCGTCCGAGCCTAACCAAATCTGGTAAGTTACGAGGTGGCAGCGCCCGATAGTCCCGTCGCCACAACACCGTCTGCCCGAGGTTCGAGCTCGACGCATCTGAGTGCGAGTCTCTTGCCCCTCGACAACACGCCTACCTTAATCTGTTGGTGTCTCGTATAACCATCGTCAACCGTCACTTGCACCGCGTAGCAATCATCTAATATTTATAGGCGATAAGTCTGCGACGCTGGGATTCTCACTGCTGCGGGAGCGATTGAATATTCGAGGGTGCTGCGCCGTCTCGGCTGCTTCCCCATCATACTCTTCCGTCCTCTGTCGCCTCCTCATTGTGACCAAATTGCTGCGAGGTCCCTCACTGTCGCTTGAACCGTCACTCGTTCGTACACTCTTCGACACGGCTGGCCCGACTTCGGTCGCGCGACCATCTGGACACGTAGACGCGTCTACTTTGAGCCTTACATAGTCCAACCATACACCTGTGTCTTGTCCCGGATCCCGACCAACATGGCTGAGTCCAGCGTCCGCAAAAGGAAGACCGGTAAGGGCTCGAAGGGTCAAGCGAGCAGGCATGGTCGCACACCGGTGAGTATTGCGAAGCGTCAATGTACGGAGCAGACAGCTGAGCGCTGTCTCACTTGGCAGGGTCATTCGTCCGGGTCGCGCGGTGATTACGGGATGTTGAAGATGGTGGCCTTGGCAGTGCTAGTGTCTCTTGTGTTCTTCGTATATCAAGTGCGTAGAAGTCCTCTTGCTCACAATCCGCAACCCCGCTGACGCATGTGGTCCTGCAGAATTATGGCTACATCCATACGCTCGTCAAAGCGTGGACGCAGAGGAAGCGTCTGATATATGACTTCAATGCAGCGAGTAAACGAGAGATAGACTTCTCGGCGGACATTCCGAAGCGAGACGCGGTAGTGGCTGCGTTCAAGGTGAGTACCATCTCGGATGCTTCATGATATCTGCGACTGACAACAGCGCGCGCACAGCATGCATGGCTAGCGTATGGTAAGATTATTCAAACATCGCAAGCGAAGACTGTCTGACACGACCAGAGAGGGACGCTATGGGTGACGATGAATATCACCCAATGGGCCATAGCGGAAGCAACCTCACGAGCGCAGGAGGTATCGGATACACAGTCGTGGATTCCATCGATACGATGCTTCTCATGGGGTTGGATGAAGAGTACGAGCGTGCGAGAAAGTGGGTGGCAGAAGAGCTCTCGTTTGAGCGAGACGGCAACTTCAGTACATTCGAGGTTCGCATTGGGCGAGTTCGTCTGCTTGCTTGTATACTGATTAATGTGACATCCAGACAACCATTCGCGTTCTCGGTGGCCTGCTATCCGCCTTCCATGTGACAAAGGACGCGATCTACATAGAGCGCGCCAAAGATTTGGCAGACCGCATGATGCCGGCCTTCGACACCCCGACAGGGCTCCCGCTTTCTATGATCAACCTCGCGGAACGTGTAGGCGTGCCCGACCCGGACAACCGAGGGCTTGTCAGCACTGCGGAAGTGTCCACTCTGCAGCTCGAACTGAAGTACCTTACTATGCTCACTGACGACAAGACCTACTGGGAAAAGGCGGAAACTGTAACCATTATCTGATGATTTGCCATACTTCGACCTACTGATCGTCATTCCAGGTGATGAAAGTTATCAACAACGCCAAAATAGCTAGCGGCCTGTCATCTATCTTCCTCAAGTGAGTGGGAGTTTGATGAGATAATTCTGTCTGTTGACCGTTGATAGTGCCAATGACGGCAAATATTCCATCTCGCCCATCCGTCTCGGTTCGCGAGGCGATTCCTACTACGAGTACCTATTGTAAGTCAGGCTATACCATTTTTGTACCATCCATTAACGACGTTCAGGAAGCAATACATACAAACAGTGAGTTGTGATTCGAGTGCCCTGTTGAAGCGTTGCTGACTTCCTTCAGAACCACACGGAGTCTGTCTATCGTACAGTGAGTATCCTGGTCAGAGCTGCACAGAATGAGGTAGTGATTTATGCCATCCCAGATGTACAAGGATGCCATGGCGGCAGTGACGACACACTTGATAAGAAGGAGCGAAAATGAAGGGTTGATCTACACGCAAGAGATCGTTCCCGAGCGTAATCGTGAAGGCAAAATGTTCGTATCCATAATTAATACCGCCTATATACTAATGCCGTCATGTCGCATAGCACCTGGCGGATGGTACCAAAGCAGGACCATCTCGTCTGCTTCTTCGGCGGCTCCCTAATGCTCGGAGCAGTGAGAACGGGCGCCACTGGGCAGCCTGTCTCCATCCCGCCTCGTGTAGAAGAGCTGACAAGCGATGGCAAACGCGACTGGATCAACGGCGTCGGTCTCGTGAAGACTTGTATGGAGACGCACAAGACTGCCACGTATGTCTCCACTTCACTTCCCGCGTATATGACGCGTATGGGCTTACGCACTTTTCGCAGAGGCCTTTCTCCGGAGATTGCACACTTCAGGATGCCAGATGACGAAGTGCAGACGCAGAGTCAGCACGATTGGTTCATCAAGGGCGCCGGGTGAGCAAATCTCTTCCACAAACAAATCACGCCTGACTCACGGCCAACCCCGCAGCCCAGGGAACACCCCGTACGACGCACGCTACATCCTTCGGTGCGTCGAGATCTCACCTCGCTCTTCCCTCACAAGTCGCTCATCTTCCATGCGCCGCTTCTCCCGTGTCCTGCCTCTGACTCTGCTCTGCTGCCCCCCGCCAGACCCGAGACCGTGGAGTCTCTATTCATCGCCTGGCGCCTGACCGGTGACCCGCAGTACCGCGAATGGGGATGGGGCATCTTCGAAGCGATCGAGAAGCACTGCCGGATTGAGTCCGGTGGGTACGCGAGCATCATGAACGTCGACGCGTTGCCCGTCGAGCTCGAGGACAAGATGGAGACTTTCCTCATGGTACGTGCTCACCGATCGCACCTCCCCACGCTTTCTGGACGACGCGTATTCATATCATCTCGTCGTACAGAGTGAGACCCTGAAATACCTGTACCTGCTATTCTCGGACGACACCGTCCTCCCACTATCAAGTACGTCTCTCCTTGCCTCCCATCCGGCGTAGCCAGTCCTGAAAACGCTCTTCTTCCCTTCCCTACCAGAATACGTATTCAACACCGAGGTACGCCCGTGTCCGTCGCCGGCCCGCCCGGTGTCTAACGTCCTCCCGCTTGCCAGGCCCACCCCTTCCCGATCTTCACGCCGGCCCTGCAGACGGGCTTCTCGTGATAGCGCGGCTCTTGCGCGGGCGCGCTTTTCCGCATCTGCGCGGTGTATTGTACGACTGACATTCTTGCATATGCTGCATTCACTTCTGCATCTGGACCTGCGTCCGTGCGCCCTTTGGCGTGATATCGGAAGCCTTTGACACGGTAACCCCACCACCAGCTCCAGGAAGCACACCGTAGTGTGAAGTTGGCAGGGTAGACTGACACTGCATTCACTTTAGTGATGATGCCCGAAACTCTACAAGTCATTGAAGCACACATCTATACACCATACTTCACCAATCACCTTCAACGGAACGGAAGGATCTGTCTTCGCCAACACATTGCTACTCAGGCTGATTTGACAGCCATGTCTGGCCAGCTCCCCAACCCGGCAATATTGGCATATGCATAGCGATGAACTACATGTTACAAGGTATCGGTATTTGGATTCGTCGGCTTTACGATAGGGTGTGTGGAGATTAGTTGGGATGTCCGTAAGTACAATTAGTCGTCAGGTCGTTACTGCTTGGTATACTGTTATGCTGATGTCCGTTCTGCAGTCCATTCTCGGTTATAAATGTACTGGTGTCCGTCGTTCCAATGTTCTGGTGTCGACCGGATGCACTGGACTGGATGACGCGCTTCACGCGGCGGTGGCGACGACTTGGGCGTAGGATGGCGCGAGATCGTGCTCATCCTCAAGGGTGACGTGTTCCCAAGGCTCGTCGACCTCCGGCAGGGGAGGTGCATGGTCGTCGAGAGCGATGACGGAGCGGACCTTGGGGACGACTTCAAAGTCCTCCGCTACAACACCCACGAAGGTCATCAGCACAGGCACCGCGCACACCAGCAAGCTTATCTGACCTTTGCGCTTGTGGAGTTTGGCAGGCTTGATGAAGGCCTCCAGGCTTATCTGCTGCGACGCGCTGACGTCCAGATCCGCAGTGCCAGCGGGGTCCTCGCCGAGCTCTGCCTGCGAGGCAGCCAGCGGGTAGCTCTCGCCGTCGCCGTCGCGCTCCTCCACGTCCTCCGCGCCCGTCACGTCGACCTTCCGAGCATGACCGGAGTGTGTCGGCCTCACAGCGCGCGGTGCAGCGCCGCCGCGCCTCTTGCGCTCCTTCCGCTCCCGCATGCGCTCCGTGTCCGCCGCCCGCCTTGTGCGCTGCCGGCCGTGCTCGAACTCGCGGACGGCCTTGAGGACCGCGGGTGACGATGTGTCGGTCTCGGGTCCTCCTGGGGCGGGTGGCTGCTCGCCGTTGCGCTGGGCCTTGAGCGCGCTGACGGGTGTGACGTGGGCGGGCCCGACACCCCTGAGCTTGGTGCGGGTCGCGCTGTTGTTGTTGGTGAGGGCAGGCATCGTGTGTGAGGTGCGAGGGGGATGTAAGTAAGGGTACGAGAGAGGCTTCACTGAGGGCGAGGTGCTAAGTAGTGAGAGTGGCGATGGTGGTGGTGCGAGTCAGGACTGGGACGGTGCGAGCCGAGCAAGTCATGGCGCGGACGCGGTACCACTCGCGGTGGCGCTGGGGACTGGTGCTGGAGTGCCTGGGAAGGGCGATAACGACTGACACGGTATCGTCTGTCCCCGTGCCAGTGCCAGCTGCAGAGGCGGCGAGTCGGCCTTCTCCTTTCGGGTCCCTCGCCCCCGCCCCTGCAGCGCTTGCCACAAACAACGCGTCAACAACGCGCTGTGCATACGCGTTACGCAGCAGACGCTCGACTCGCGTGTTACGCAGTTCTAGCTCTAGTTCATGTCCCTCTACATAGTGCGTACCGCGGCGGCGAGCTCTCGCAGGGATGTCGTGCACGTTCCTGTGCTAGCATCACAATTATGCGCAGCCTCCGAAGGTGGCCCGGGATCGAGTCAGGGGCGAGTCGCTCGGCTGATTAGACAATGTGCATGTCAACCAATAGGAGTATGTGAGTATATGACTCGTAGGCACCGACATCTCTGGAGTATATGGTCTACAGGTCATGTCGGGCCCGTTTCTTTGTCACAACTACTTACAGACCCCTCCTCATGTCAGCGCAAGTGGAACAGAGAGCGGCGGAGACCACGCAAAACACTCTTTCTCGCGCCATCCCTACACATTACTTGCAAGCTGAATAACGTACATCGCTGGTGGCTACACTATGATACTGAAGTCCTTACAGAGAGCGAGACTACTAGAGGTATTCGTACAGTACATACACTACAATGCAGATGAGACAATGTTCGAGACGAGAAACCGTCATCGAGAGGGGAGGCGATTGGGTGATGGTATGCAAACGTACGATAACTCGCTCTGGTATCGAGCATGATGTGCATAGCGAACTCAGGCGACAGAGGCACTTGGCCCTTCGCCAGAGTTGTGGACGAGAATGCTCGCTCGCTCATCATGCTCACCTTAATCGGAATCGTCACCTCGCTTGCGCTTTGCGAGTAGACTTTTCTGTAGCAATGCGAAGCGCTCCTCCAATTCCGAGTCCTCCAGCTCCACCTTATGCTCGAGGCCTTGCGCCTCGCTTCTATCGACTGACTGGTCATATGCGTCCTGGAGCCGTATGGTAATTGCACCGATAAGCCGGTCGGCTGCCGTTCCACGAACCCTCCTGGATTGCTTGAAGAAGCGAGGAATGAAGTCCTTGAAGCCGTTCTCGCCGGGTTTCGCAGCAAAGCCACATAGTTTTGAGCTCTTGCATCCACTCGAGAATCTTGTCTGCAGAGTTGTCATGAAGTGTGTTGATCACGCTCTCCGGATCCCACGTCTCGGGGCGCGACCAGACGTCCGCTAGCATTGCTAGCATTCTCTTGTAATCATCCACACCATCTCCAAGAACTCGCGCCGCTTGTGCTCGCCGTCCTCGTCGTACTTCTGGTTGATCTCCTGAATAGAGATTTGAGAGTTGTCAGTGTGTAGCAACAAAGTAAGAGGACTTACAATCGCATACTCCGTCTCGATCCACTGTTTCATGGTCCAGCATTCCGCGACTGCGGTCCTCAGCGTTTCCACTGCATGTGGCTTGTGTATAGGGACATGAATCCAACACGCGCGAACAGGGCCGAAGAAGGCCACCTCATCCTGGCTGTCACAGCTTTAGGAGCCACCCATGGACCACTCCCGGAGATCAGCCGCGCGGTCTGATTCGTGCTTCATGCGTTGGAACGCCTCCTCGTCGACTTTGAGCTCCTCGACGAGATACGGGTGACAACCCGGGCTCTTCCATTCTGAAGTGTTGTGCTTCCCTTCGAACAGTTCCTCGACGTTGAAGCATTGACCATCGGTCAGTACGAGTCTCTGGTGGACGTCATGCGGCTGCCGTCCATCTTCATGCCGTAGGATTTGTCGACAATATCCAACAGCTGATGCTGCATGAGTTTATTGATGGCGCCAACGATGCTGTGACTTTACCTTGCTGATCGCACCCTCCTTTCCCAGAGTCTCCTTGCCCACGGTTTTATAGGGTCCCTGCGACTTTGCCGTTCGCTCACTGACGTCATGATCATCTTGCCATCGACTGAAACCCCCGCAGAAGGTCCGGAATCTTCTTGTCCTTGCCGCCGCCAGGTCTGAGCGTCACAAAATCTAAGGCCTTTACTCTGATGTGCAAGATGCTCCGGAGTGACTCTGGTGCGCAAACCGCGTGCACCACAGTTCATGATCCACTTCCTTGAGGAGCGCAGTGATTTGATCGTGTACGTTGGTGGTTGTCGTCGTCGTCAGAGTGTGCTTCTCCTGGTCATACTCGACCTGTACGGGACGTGTTCAGTGAGATCCGTGGGCGGTTAGCAATGTCATGCACACTCACTGAAACCTATTCAGGTCGTTGTTCTCCTCGTACCACTCTATAAGTTGTTCCCACTCGACCTGAGTATAGTCCGTAACCGTCTGTGCGGACTGGATGTGAGACACTGCAGTTGGGACGACACAAAACTTTCAATGTCGCCTTTGATGCAGGGGAAATCGGAAAAGCGATCACCAAAAGCCTTACAGACGAATTTGGGGTATTCCTCTTCTTCGTCTTTGGGGGTAGATTTCGTCGGTCAAGGGATGGCCTCCGAGTAAGTATTGTTCCCGGTGTGGTAGCCTTCCCCCCGGGCCCCTAGCGCTTGCAACAAACAACGCGTAAACAACGCGCTGTGCATGCGCGTTGCGTACTAGACGCTCGGCTTGTTCTGCAGTTCGAGACCACTGGCCAGCTACTTACTGAACATGGTTGTTGAGCCTCTACAAACCATCGACGCAGGGGGCTCTCGCGGAATGACCCACTCCCTCTGTGTATGTTCTTGTGCTAGCATCAAGTTCTGTGCTGCCTCAGGTATTAGGAGGTATGATACATAGTAACCCACCGGGGACCGAGTCAGCGTCGAGTCACGGCGCGGATTCGAGCAGTCTGCATGTCGACCAATAGGAATGTTATACGAGTAGCACTGACATTCAACGAGTCTTTCTTGCAACGCACGGTCTAGATCATGTCGGGCCCGTTTCTTTGTCAAAGCTACTCACAGATCCCTCATTATGTCAGCGTAAGTCGTAATAGCATGGGACCAGCACGAAGAGCAGCGGAATACCTCATTCTTGCACCATCCCTGCCTAGGCTTGCAAATGCAACCTCAACGTACAGGTCGCAACGAAGGCGCCATCTGAATCTACGTTCCACTGCCAGAACAGCTGGCCGGAAGGCAGAGAGGAGTAGCAGTGAGCAGACAAAGTACAATCTATATATTCGCAGCACTTCTCATCCTACACTCGAAAAATACACGTCAGCTTCGTCACGATGCATTCAATGCTTTTCCTTCGTCACTGCAGCGTTCACTTAAGGAGCGCCGGCGCGGTGCGGCCCTGCGACAGGCCCTTCTCGCCCGCGAACACGCCGTTGCCGATTTCCTCCTCAATGCGGAGCAGCTGGTTGTACTTCGCGACACGCTCGCTGCGCGCGGGCGCACCCGTCTTGATCTGGCCGACGCCGAGCGCGACGACGAGGTCCGCGATGAGCGTGTTCTCCGTCTCGCCGCTCCGATGCGAGACCATGACGCCCCACCCGTCCGACTGCGCGAGCTGCGCGGCCTGGATCGACTCGGAGATCGTGCCGATTTGGTTCACCTGCGCGAGGCGGCGTCAGGCACGTTCGTCTGTGTCACCGAAATGGAGGTAACGGAGGACGCTTACCTTGAGCAGGAGACCGTTGCAGGCCTTCTTCTCGATGGCCGTCTTGATGCGGAGCGGGTTCGTGACGGTCAAGTCGTCGCCGACGATCTGGATACCGCTGTTCGCGGTGAAGTGGGTCCACGCCTCCCAGTCGTCCTGGTCGAAGGGGTCCTCGATCGAGACGATCGGGTACTTCTTCACGTAGCCGAGATAGAGGTCCGCGAGCTCCTTGCCCGAGATCCACTTCGTCGGGTCCGAGTTGGGGTTCTTGAAGTCGAGGTCGTACTTGCCCTCCTTGTAGAACTCGGACGAGGCCACGTCGAGCGCGATCTTGATCTTGCCCTCGTAGCCCGCCTTCTTGATCGCCTCGGAGAGCAGCTCGAGCGACTCCTCCGCGCCAGAGACGTTGGGTGCGAAGCCTCCCTCGTCACCGACGTTGACGGCTGTGCGAGAGCCGTGAGACGCGAAAAGAGACGCTCAATGCGCGATGCGTACCGTCAATGCCGTACTTCGCGCTGATGACCTTCTTGAGGGTGTGGTACGTCTCCGAACCAATCTTCAACGCCTCAGTGAAGCTGGTTGCGCCAGTGGGGAGCAGCATGAACTCCTGGAAAGCGAGCTTGTTGCCCGCGTGCGAACCACCGTTGATGACGTTGAATGCCGGGACAGGGAGGACGAACGGCGGCTTGACGCCTGCGAGGTCAGCGAGGTGCTGGTAGAGGGGGACGCCCTTCTCGGAGGCGCCAGCCATGGAGACGGCGATAGAGACACCTAGGATGGCGTTCGCGCCGAGCTTGCCCTTGTTGGGGGTGCCGTCGAGCTTGATGAGGAAGTCGTCAATCTCCTTCTGGGAGGTGACCTTCAGGCCGGCCTTGATCAGCTCGGGGGCGATAATGTCGTTGACGTTGGCAACGGCCTTTGCGACACCTGTGGGTGCATCAGAGAGGGGAACACAACGGGACAGAATGAACTCACCCTTGCCGACGTAGTTCGCCTTGTCGCCATCCCGAAGCTCAACAGCCTCGTGAACACCAGTGGAGGCACCAGACGGCACCGATGCACGGAAGAGGCCTACATAAGTGAGGCACACACGTTATGATAACAGCCTGACAGAACTGAGTGGCACTGTACGCGTACCCTTCGCGGTGAAGAGGTCGACCTCGACGGTAGGGTTACCGCGGGAGTCGAAGATCTACGCGATGATAAGGTCTGAACGTCCGCAAGCAGGCACGCGGGGGCGAGCTCGGAAGCGTACCTGGCGGGCGTGGATTTTGGAGATGGACATGGTTGTGTGGTGGGTGGGAGGAGGATGGGCGCGTTGGGGAGGGCGAGGAGAGGGATTTATGGGTTTGTGTGGGCGCCCACGTGCTACCCAGGTCCTCCTGCTAGGATCCACGGCCGGCGGGCGACTCTGTCCATACACTCATCGATGCGCACATCGATCTCGCCCCGACTCGCCGTCCAAGTCGCCCCAGCGGGACTCGCCTTTGCACCAGCCCACGACTCTACCCCAGATCCAGGCGTGCCTCGTACCATCTCCTCCTCGCCATAATACCACGCGCGCGCAACCAATTACAGGCGCGTTCTACCAACTTCTAGTGACCCGCGTACGTCCTTCTCTTATGTGTTCATCGCCTCATAGCCTGGTTCCAGCCACCATGGCATTAAGGCGCGTCGCTGCTCTCGCCCGGTCAACTCAGGTTCTTCTGCGCGGTAGCCAATCCATGCGTGTCCCGCGCTCCGCCCGCTTGAACACTTCGTCGGCCGTCCACTCAAAGTCCACGCACTCTTTGACCCGCGCTCCGGCGTGCGGACATACTGCAAGAAGCTTTTTGGAAGAACGTTTCTCGTACCCATTTGACATCAGCCCACTTCGAAATCTCCATGCAGTTAATGGGCGCCGGACACCACCATCACCGTACGGCAGGTCTTAGGCACGGACACCACGGAGTAGCTGTGCGTATCGTTCACGTTGAATGTTCTACAGCCAAGTACTTAATGATAAAGGGGGACGAACGCTGTGCGTTCTCAGGTCGTGACTGTATGACACACCTGGTGAGAGCGGTGAGCAATCGCACCTGGTTGTATTTCTCAACGTCGGCCGCAACTGTGCGACGCTTTCGTATTGGCAGCTGCACTGAACGCCGAGGCATGTTTCGGCAAGTGTCTCTTCCGGACTCGGATTCGTCATTGAAATTCCATGCGAGACCGACGGTAACGGTTCTCACTCACCTGGTCCTGATAGCATAGGTCTCCATTGCTCTTGGTTGAGCAGGAGGCACTGTATGCAGATGAAACGACATTCATCACGAAGGGAGGGTCCGCCCGTTTATGAACCTACGTGTGGCCTGAATCCATACGCTACCTCTCTATACACTAGCACGAGCTGACCGGGTTACCACATCTATCGAGCGAGTAGCAAGAACTCACAGACCGTAGATCTGGAAGTGTGTATAGCTGTGGTCGAAACAATGGCATGGCACGTACGCATGCCCCAAGCATGCCCTCAGTGTCATGTCAAATGCAAGAGCTTGTGCAAGAGCAAGCTGATCTTGAGCGCTTGAGCAGTTGTCGACGCCCGGTGCGCGCCTAAGCGGAGCGCCCGCCATCGAATCTCGGAGCGCTCATTCCGCCCTAATCCGGCAAGCCGCGATCGAGCACGCTTTTTCACCGGCCGCGGGGCAAGCAAGGTCGACCTCAACGCACACCCTATCCACCACCGCCGTCACATCGCCCGCCATGGCACCCTCTAAAAAGGCACCTGCATCCTCCAAGGCGCGGTCATCCTCCTCGGCCGAGCCCCACCTCAAGAAAGTCAAGGGCGAGAACTTCTACCGCAATGCGAAGGCGTCTCGCGCTCAAGATGCTCAACGGCGGCAAGGCCGTGCGCGACAAGGACGGCAAGATCATCCAGGCCGCGGCCTTCCAGAAGGGGAGGACGAGACGTTGCCGGGCAGGGTGCAGCCTGACAGACGGTGGTTCGGTGCGTGGTCTTCATTTGTGCGGGTGGATAGACGAGGCTGAGGGACAGTGGGATGTAGGCAACACGAGGGTCATCTCGCAGACCGCGCTGGACCACTTCAGGACGAGTTTGTCGGGGAGGCAGAGTGACCCGTACTCGGTCCTTCTGCGAAGGAACAAGCTGCCTATGGCACTCCTAGACGACGCGCAAAATCGAATGTCCGCAAGGTATGTCATTTTGAGGAATTGTACCGTGTCTCTTACTGAGCAACATATTCATTGCTTAACAGCGATCACACATCGTGGAGACCGAGCCCTTCAAAGAGACGTTCGGACCGAAGGCTCAGCGCAAAAAGCCAAGACTCGATGTCGGCACGTTCGAAGAGCTCGTTAAGCAGGGCGACGTGGCGGCTAACGAGGCTGAGGCTGCAAAAAGCGAAGGTCAAGAGGGAGGTTCAGGTTGGTCGTTTGGTTTCTCAATCGATTGTTTGCTGAGCCCTTCATACAGAGCCCGTTGCATCGACTTCCTCGGACTTCCACACACATGCAGATATCATTGAGCCCATTTACGCCAAGGGCACCTCTCGCCGGATATACGGCGAGCTTTACAAAGTCATCGACTCCTCCGACGTCATCCTCCACATCCTCGACGCCCGCGACCCTATGGGCACCCTCTGCGAGTCCGTGCTCGAGTTCATCCGCAAGGAGAAGGCACACAAGCAGGTCGTGCTCATCATCAACAAATGTGACCTCGTGCCCAACTGGGTGACCGCGCGGTACATCCAGCACCTCACCCCGCGCTACCCCACGCTCGCCTTCCACGCGTCGCCGAACCACTCCTTCGGGAAGGGCTCGCTGATCCAGCTCCTCCGCCAGTTCTCGCAGCTCCACTCCGACAAGAAGCAGATCTCCGTCGGCTTCGTCGGCTATCCGAACGTCGGCAAGAGCAGCGTCATCAACACGCTCAAGAGCGGCAAGGTCTGCACCGTCGCGCCCGTCCCCGGCGAGACGAAGGTGTGGCAGTACATCACGCTCACCAAGCGCATCTACCTCATCGACTGCCCCGGCATCGTTCCCACGTCCGCAAGGACTCGCAGACGTCCACCGTCCTCAAGGGCGTCGTCCGCGTCGAGGCACTCGCCACGCCCTCGGAGCACATCCCCGCGCTCATGGCGCGCGTCAAGCCCGTGTACCTGTCGCGCACGTACAATGTGCCCCTCCCGGACCCTGACGATCCGTCGAAAGGGTGGGAGCCGGAGGCGCTCCTTGACAAGCTCGGGCGGATGAAGGGGCGCCTGCTGAAGGGCGGCGAACCCGATCACGAGGCGGTCGCGAAGATCCTGCTGAGCGACTGGGTCCGCGGCCGGATACCGTTCTTTGTGTCCCCGCCGGAAGGCCGGACAGCTTGAACGAGGCGGAGGCGAAGAAGGCGAAGAGGATGGCCGCGGAGAGCAAGGGGAAGCAGAAGGCGGAGAGGCAGGTAGGTGTGAAGCAGAACTTGGGGAGCATCATGCAGAAGAATACATTTGTGGGAGAGGACGTGCGGCCGCTGGAGGTGGAAGATGAGGCTGGTGTGGACGGTGGTGCCGAGGATGATGAGGGAGAGGCCGAGGATGATGTGGAGGACGGAGTGGCTGGAGACGAGGATGGAAAGGAGCTCGGTTGGAATGATGTCTTCAAAGGGGACTCGACGGCGAGCATAGAAGAAACGGCGACACCCTCTTCAGAGGTAGAGGACGAGGAAGAGGAATGGGGTCAGTGTCCCTCACCCCCGCTTCTTTCCTCGTACGTTCTGACGCCCTCCCCCCATCTAGGTGGTATACAAGATGGAGACGAGGACGAGGAGAGGGAGAGGGAGAAGAGAAGCCAAAGAAGGATGGTCGTATGACGACGAACAAGGTATGTGATCCTCCCGTGTTGCAAGAGGCTACTTGCTTACGTTCGCAAACAGCGCAAAGCAACGAACTTCTACTCGTCCTCCAATGTCAAGAATAAGAACAGACACAAGGCCGCGCTCATGAAGTCGCTGCCGACTGGCAAGCGTGCCGGTGGGACTCGCGGCCGTAGATCATGATATGTTGGTAAACTGTCAGTCTCTTGGAATGGCACTGCATGCTATGGCCGTCTCAGTCGCGGCTACTCATTACCTGAACCAGTCAAAACTAGCAAGATCTCCGTGACCTGTTCATCTAAAGACATCCTACTTCTCTCGCAGCGTTCCGTCCGAATACTTCGATCACCATGTTCCTGATCCTACGCTCAGGGTCATGGCATTGCTCTAGTCATCATCGACGCTATCGACACGATGACCAGTACATACTGCTCGGCCGCGCAATGCAGGCGCGTACATAGATGTGATATGCACGTCTCACATGCACATCTCACATGCCCTGTCTTGACTCTTCTGGCAGCCCACGTTTTCGAGTATAACCAGAGATACGATGGCATGGCTGTCAAGAAGCATCAGACATGGTCCGAGATAAGTGACGCTTGCTGGACGGTGCAGAGATACATAAAGTACCGGGTTCCACCTGGTAGTGCCTCATCACTTCTCACAAACCACTATCCGATATGTCCGTCGAGACTGTTCCTCTGCCTCTACCGCCCACACTTGATGCGTCGAGTTTGAGTGGTTCGGGAGAGAAGTCAAGGGTGTAGATCCGAGTAGTATTGACCCCAACTCGGAGCAGTTCAAGGAGATTGAGCAGCTGCTGTACAAGGTGTCCAGACTGAGTGCTCATGCACACTGCGTGGTGGCTTCACTCTAACATACCGTATCTAGCACAGCATCCTTGTGTTCAGGAATGCAATCATCAGTCCAGAAAGACAATTTGCCTTAGCGAAGGTGAGCACGCATCAATCTCTGCTCGGCATGCGGGCCAACATGAACTTGATCGCACGCACCATGACAATGTCAGGCATTTGACCCGACGGCCGAGAACTTCGGACACGGCAACAACAAGATCGAGAAAGACAAACAGAACATCCTCAACCGCACGCTTCGAGGCATCCCCCGCGTTCCGCAGGTGCAGCTCATCGGTAACGGGATCGTCCACGACTATGAGGGCTTCCCCGGAGAAATGCGCCTCGAGCACCCCTCTCATCACACATGGCACAAGACGCACCTTTCCCCTGAAGATGAAGCCGCGGGCTACACGCGCTTCGTGCGATGGCATATGGATGCTGCGTTGTATGACCTCCAACCGCCGAGGGTGACCACCCTCTATGGACGCGTCGTTCCGAAGGGACCGAAGCAGATCGTGCGGTATGACGATGGGACGGGCGACGAGCTGGAGGTGCCGCTCGCTGCGACTGCATATGCGAGTGGCAAGATTATGTTTGAGCTGCTGCCGAGGGAGCTGAAGAGCGTCGCTGTGAGGGGGAGAGTCCAGTACGCGCCGCATCCGTATGTCTGGGTGTCCACTGCGAAGGCGAGGTCAACGGCGTTGGCGATGGAGGCGGAGGGAAAGGAGGTGCCGCTTGACAACTTGCCGCCTTGGGAAGAGTCGAAAATACAGATAACGCCTATGGTGCGTGATGTTTGGGAGATGCTGGGTGGCAGTCGCCAACTTCATATTGGATTCGCAGCTGTGGAAGAACCCGGTGACCGGCGATCTGCATTTCCAAGTGCACCCGTATTGCGTGGCGGAAGTCTTCATAGATGCACTACCGGAAGGCACCAGTAGAGATGACGCTCTGTACCCAGACGGGGCGCACCTCACTGACTTGCAGGAAGTACGAGACTTGCTGTACAAGATGCAAAGGCCAGCCATCTCGCCGCAGGTGCGCGTCATGTCATGACATCGCAGTATTCTGGACGTGGCTGATGATCTTGTTTGCAGTTTGTGTACCCACATGACTGGTGAGTTGCTATAGTAGAAATCACGGCTTCCTGTGACATCCAACTCACCTTGACCCAGGCATGAGAACGACTTGATTGTCTTCCACAACCGCGGGGTTATGCACTCAGTGACCGGGACACTGCAGCCTGATCAAGTGCGCGCATACCACCAATGTAATCTTGCCGCGTCGGACAGTCCTGTTGGCCCAGATGAAGAAGACATGCAAAAGTGGGTGTAGGTGTTTGCGTTGAGGTCACTTAAACAAAAAGCGCTGCAATGTATAATGAGAGTGGTATTTACTCAGAAGCACAGAGAGTGCATGGCCTGTTCAGCAGTGATCACCTCGGTAACAGGGTTCAACGTTCAACGGGCAGCTGGCACCAGGCGCTCAATTCGGGAGGCTGGTAGCACGTGTTGTGCCCCCCTGCCAAAACGGGAAAGCCGACAGGTCGAATTTGAACAGCCATGCCTCGCGAGTCGCAAACACAGCTTCAACTCGCCCAACGTCTGAGCCGTCTCTTAGCTTGTCCTCGCATTGCAGTTTGCCGACCACGACCTCTGACGCACGGCAAAGATTTGTGCCCGCGACGGCGCACCTGCTCATCGATGAACGCGTCTAGCAGTACCGTGTCGTTTCCACTAGCAGGGTGGCCACTCAATGTTGCGACGCCCAGAGCTGGCGCGACTGCAATTAGTGATACCGTTGGGATTCCTGCTAAGAAAAGAGGAAGCCCAGGCCTGTTGTGACGGGGATGACTGAGGGTACTTCGTGGCCGTGGACCGCGTCGCTCGGGATGACGGAGTACGAGAGCAAGGAGCAGAGGCACGTCGGTTCTCTTCTATTGCAGCCGTGTTCGGGAATAACCCCGCCTAGACTGCACGACGAGATTGTAGCGTACGCCGCGTACATCAGTTCTACGGTGCAAGAATCTATGCGCGCTCGCAGTCGCGCACGCATTGGGGATGTGTCAGGGACGTTCCCGTTGCACACTCGAGACCTTCGGGAGTACAGCGCACAACCTCTACTTCCCGACGGGTACGCCTGTCTCACGTCCGCACTACACACGAAACTAACACGCATGCATAGCGACATTGATATGGTCATGACCTGCCTTATAAAACGGACCGTGACGCCCGGATCCGAATGCTCTCGCGCTTTCTGGGGCGTTGAAGGACTCACAATAACCCAACGCACGGTCGCACGCAAGGCACGCGTGCCCGTTGTGTCTTTCGAGACGGCACCCGAACTCGGTAAGCTACGCTGCTGCACCTGTCACCGTGCCCACGTACGAAGCTTGACGGAAAGACAGGGTCGTTCAAGTGTGACATCAACATCAGTTCCGTGAGCGGCACTAAGAGTGTTCTGTTCATCGCCGAGTACATGTCTAGCATGCCTGCGCTACGACCCATCATTTTGGTCGTCAAAGCATACCTTCACCGCATACAGCTTGGTTCGGCAGCCTTTGCGGGATTGAACAGCTATGGCGTCATACTCTTGGTGATCAGCTTCCTTCAGGTATCTTCTACGTTGAATATCTTTGTGACTCGATATCTAACTGCCATTAGCGCAACCCAAAGAACTTGCCTTCAGATGATATCACCAAGCCTCTCGAGCGCGAATCCTTAGGACGTCTATTATTGGGCTTCCTCGAGCATTACGGCTTCGACTTCGATTACGCCGATTCCGTCGTGTCCGTAGCAAAAAGTGGCTTGGTCACAAAGGCGAGCAAAGGCTGGGTAGATGAGACCCAGCCAGCTGACCTACTCTCAATCGAAGACCCCGTGAACCCAGGTATGTCGTAGTGCCCGTCGTGTTTGTGGCTACTGTCTAAAAGTGCCTTACTACAGATAATGATGTTGGGAGAGCGGCCTCGAGGATAGAGCAGGTCAGGACAGCCTTCTGCGAGGCGTACAAGGAGCTTCAACTCTATCCTCTTTCTATGGTCCACACGAACGCCCTCGGAACCATTCTTGGTATGTCGCCAGAGGCAAGCATCCGTCCCCGCACAGCCCGAACAGCCACACATACTAAGATACACGGTATTTGACAGGTCGTAGCACGTAGAGAGAAGATCCGCGAGATGGTCGACACCGGCTCTCTCAATCGTGCTTTGCAAGACGTCTGGATCCCCCCGGAGGGCTATGTCCCGCGACGGTCTCGCGATCCGACGCCGCTTAATGGCCACACACCATATCCGCCGCCCCAGTATCAACAACGTCCGTACAGCGGTTTTGGGCATGCCACGGAGCAGTACACCACAGAGCAGTACACCACGGAGCCGTATCCTGATCCATCCTATGGCGCACTACCCCCGCAGCAGAGCCCGTATGAATATGATGCATACGGGCACGGGTATGGTGGAGGAGGACGAGCGAGCGACGGGCACTCTGCCAGCTACGGGGCTGGACAAAGAAAGGGGCGTGCAGGGAAGAGGAGGCCTCCGTAGGTCATTGCTGCTGCTGACCAGTCTACACGTTCGTGACGGACCCTGTACTCTAATCTGGTATCTCTCGTGCAGTATCTCTATGCTCACCTTCGGACCATGTACTGTTCGATAGGCCTTGGAATGACAGTCGACGCCCAGATGTTGTTTATCACCAAGAGGCGTGTCTGGAGGCGGTTCGTCGGGACTTCTATCGTACCCCATTCAACCGTGACAGCGCGTTAACTTGGAGTGCAACGCTGGAGATCCCTAGCAAACTGACTTCGCTCTCATGTGTATGTGAGCCGCAACTTTAATACGGCTGAAGTGTTCTGAGGCATGAAGGGCACCGGTGTGTGGTTCTGGCCAGCATGCTTCGACCACATACATCGCCCCAGCGTCGTGCAAGGATCTTCTCCCTGCAAACCTTAACCCACACACAGCTTATGTTCCCACGCATCTGGGTATGGGCGCCTGCTCGCGTCCATTCCTTCGAGTATTTGGACCTCGTCCCGAACATCTTGCTCTGCCCCTTCGTGCTGCCTCCTCATGCCTGCCTCAACCACAATCCCCGACGACCAGCCCCCCAAGCCGGAGTCCCCACCACCAATGGACACTCCCCCGACGCCCGTCTCCAACTCCTCGGGCTCCATTAGCCCCGAGCCCGCTCTGGATGACCCTGGCTCACAGCAGCAGAAGAAGAAGAAAAAGAAGAAGAGCAAGAAGCCGAAGACGAAGGAGACAGATACTGCTCCCACCGCTAACGCAACAGCGAAAGCCAGAGCAGCGGACGAGGAGCGTCCGCCCGTGCTCTGCATCAGCAGGAACAAGCATTGGCGTTATATCAGTTCATACCACGTCCGTGTTCACTCCATGTTCATCGTATTCGCGACCACCTCACATCGTGCATTGTTCTCAGGGACCGTGGCTGCAATTACCACTCGAGCTACTCGAGTCTCTACTCGTGCTCAACCTCGACCCAGCCACTCTATCAGCAGCGGAGAATCGCCTGCCGCCCCTCCCTCGCCCACGTCCCTCTTCCCCAACCCCCGGCCGCGCGATCGCGGCTTCGCCAGCCTGGGCGACCACTCGCCCCCCGACTCCCCGCAGAGCACCTTCGCGTCTCTGCCCCCGCCCCCGCCCTTCCCCCCGCCCAAGCCAGGCAAGGCCACTCCGCCGCCTATCGACCCGGGTGTCTTCCGCTCCGTGGCGAACATACGTCGCCTCATCGACGAGGCGTCCGAACTATCCGTGCGCGCGAGCTCCGGGCTGTCTGCCGCCGCGCTCGGCTCGCTCAGGGGCGGCGCGAACAACAGCCCGTGGGCGAGCGCGCACGGACTCGGGATCAATCCCCTCGGCGATAGCGGGGGCGGGCGCAATGTCGCCATGTCGGCTATGCGCATCCACAGATTGAGGGCGCTCGCCGTGCAGAAGCTCGCAGCGGCGTACAGGACTGATGAGATAGCCTCCAGCGTGATGGTCATGCAGGGCGGCAGCGTATTTGACGACATCGCAGAGCGCGTTCTCAGAGTCGGTGCGTAATCGAACGCCTGAGTTGCGGAGCGGTTTATCGAACGGCGCGTACAGATCCCTACGATGTTGATGCGCGATACGTGCACTTTTTCACGAAAAGATACCCTCCGGTCAGTGGCATACCACCGATCAATTGGAGCACTCCCTGACGTCTCTGAAGGCAACTAGCCGAGTCAACGACAACACACTTGTTGGATGACCTATAGCTGCCCACCCACAGCGTTTAGATTCTTCAGGACGCGCGGCATCGTACACTGTTTCCGGACGAGTATCTCTCGCCGTCAAGGACTTCACTCATGTCATCAAGGAAGCGCGCGCCAGTCGCAAGGCGAAGATGGCACATCGCAACAACCTGCCGAGCGAGAAGCTGCGCGGTAAGGGGCACAAGAAGAAAGGCAAAGCGGCGGGACGAAGACAACGGACAAGCCCACCCAATGGACGAGTGCCAGCGCAGGGTTTGGGGATCTCCACTATCGAGGGCCCGACGGGAGCCACTGCTCCTGCACCCGTCTGTTCTGCCGGACGCGCCTGAGCCATTGAACCCCAATGTCTGTTCCTACGAGCTTCAGCCTATCTCCAACATGCAGTTTTCCTCATCGAAGAGGCGATTCTCAAACTCGAGAATATACGCAAGGCACCCACCGTCGACGGCGCGGAGCTGCGCCTGTGCTACGTAGAGAATGGGCGTTACGGCGGGGTCGAGATCGGGCACCCCGACGGGCCGCTCGGCAAGCGGGATGGTGCGAAGGCGGCCGCGTACAGGGCGGTGCTCGCGGAGGAGTGCTTTCGCGAGCAGATCACGACGCTCGTCCGGAAGAGCATGCGCGACCACGAGAAGTTTCTCTCGCACTTCGACTCGCTCGAGGGCGTGCCGGGCCACGCGATGGGCGGCGACCTCGCCGCGCGCATCGAGTACGCGTTCCGCATCACCGAGTCGCTCCGCCCCGGCAACCACGCACCCCCGCCGCCCGTGTCCGAGGCACCCTCGACGTTCACGACGTACCACCCGCTCCTCGTCGAGTCCCACTTCAGCATCCTCATCGGCTATCTGTTCCTCGGCGACTTCCCTGCGCTCCTCCCCGCGTTCACGCGCACCGCCGCGGTCGTCGACGGGCTCGAGGGCTACCCCGTCTTCCTCCCGCCGCGCTCCATGGCACAGGCAGAATACGTCGAGGTGCTCGAGCGCCTCGGGGGCGGCTGGCGGAACGGCGTCCAGTCGCACTCGCTCAGCCGCGCGAACCAGAAGCAGCTCGCGATCGAGTGCGCGCCGTCCGCGAAGGCGAAGACGGTCGAGCGCGTGCCGACGCCGCCCTCGCCCGATGCCTCCTCGTCTGAGCGGCTCGCGTCGTCGACGTCGACGCTCGCGCTCGGCGTGAACGGATCGAGCTCGAGCTCGGCGGTGCACATGCCGCCGTCGCCGTCGCCCTCGGGCAGGAACACGCCGTCGGGCGGCGCGGAGCGGGTGGATCTGCTCGAGGTGCTGGACGCAGCGAGGATCCTGCTCTCGCCGGTGGTGAAGCGCCAGCGGGAGAGGGCGGAGAAGGCTGCTGCAGACAAGGCGGCGGGTGGGAAGGGCAAGAATAAACCGCTGAATATCAACATCCCGTTGCATGGGCCGAGAGTGGAGATCGTGCTTGCGTGGCTAGGAGCTGTGCATCTGCCTGAATTGGATGCAGTTGCTTGAGGTCCGTTACTTGAGGGCCCGATGCTTGCTGACTATGATATATGAACAGTGGTACGGGCCGCCATTGGTGTCAGATATGACGTGACTACAATAATGTTGCGTGCATGTGTGCGTGCGCTATGTGAAGTGTGTGTTACAACGGACGTGCTCTGTGATCGTGTAGCATACAGCTGGTCTACTGAATTCTTTGCGGTAATGAGACAGACAGCGGACTCACCCCGCTTCAGTCTGACTTGGATCGGGTAGATGTGGTCTCTTCTCTGGCCTCGTCTGCTACTGCGCACAGGTAGCGTTGTACCGGCGGGACGATGCCTAATGCAGCGACGATGATGACGAGGATGAGAAATGCAACGGTTGGCACCACCGAAGCGGGGAGCACGCCGAAATAGAGTGGTTCCAGCAACACCATGAGTGTAATGGGATCTGGCGGGACGCGTTCGTGGGACCCGTCAGCAGTGGGGGTACGGACGCCTGTGTCCACGACGCGGATGCGCGCATACATCCGCCGGCCTGTGGGAAGGGAGTGGACGTCACGCCCGGGCACGCTCGTCCGGAGTTCGCTGAATAGCGCTGCGGCAGACTTCACCTGAACATCGAAGTCGGCCGGAGACTTGGCTGGCGGTGAGGTAGTGGCGCTTCTGAGAAGTCATCGACGTACCGACGCGGACCAGGATATGCGGAGCGTGAACCGAGAGTATGCAGACCAGGCGGGATCGTCGAGGCGCAGAGTGAGCCCGAGCTCGTGTGCACAGGATGCCCCGGGCGAATCCTGACAGACGTCTGCGAGCGGGGTCCCAAGCAGTGCTGGCGGGACACGGAGGAGCTTCTCTGGAGCTTTCGCAGAGAGTTCGGTCCTGCGCGAAGCGATGACTGCATTAGCTTGCCTTGCCGAGTGCACAGCTGACCTCGCGCACCAGTTCGCCGTGAGCACCGAAGGCGCGAGCGTGCCCTCCACGGCCGCGAAGTTCACAATCTCGGTGTTCGCGTGTACACGGGGGAGGTAGAAGAGCGTGGAGAGGACCAGGAGGGTGCATCTCGCTGCGAAGAACGGCATTGCGGGCACACGCGCATGGACGTCAGACGGTCAGAGGCAGGCATCGGGCGCCTACGCGTCGGTGGCTCATACAATGCACTTATAAGGCAAGTCTAGAGTTGCAGAACTCGATTGCGCCCAGCGGGAGCTAGGCGGCAGGGTCAGACGACCCCAAGGTTCGCCACTGCATATATACCCCTGTAGCTCTACGTATATCGCCTCAATCCTCTCTTACAACACTCATCTGAAACCACCATGGCTACTGCAGTACTCCCCCAGCATCCTCCGGCAAGTGAGTCTGCCCCCCTTTATGCTGCCGGATGGTGCACTCACTTGCCATGACGTCGTGCAGTGAAGGTCGGAGGACGACGACTCTCGATCAGCTCACGACCCAGGCCACACCTCACTGCGTGAGTAGGCTGTAGCATGTCAAGACACACCCTGACATCTACTCTCAGCGAGGGCAAGCTGCCCAGCCCAAGCGGCGAAGAGCCCGCCGACTACCCGCGGCCCGCCGCACCAGGCGAAGAGGCACCCCACGACCACGACGGCCACGACGAGGTGCCCAAGAAAGAGAAGAAGCGCGGCAGCGGCGGCGACGAGCACGAGCGGCGGCTCCAGGAGAGCCTCTCCAGGAAGGCCGAGCAGAACAGGCCGCGGAGGGACCTCCACGGCGCGAGGAACCTCAACGCCGTCGGCGGCGGTGGCAGGATTGCCCAGCCGATAGGACGGCAGATGTCCTTGTGATCTTCTGTCACCTGGGACACTGTGGTGTATGAATAGCAAGGTTGGGCAGCAGTCGGAACTCCTGTATCATAGTAGCATCGCATCGTCATAACAGCAGCAATTGTATCAATCCTCGCTTGATGTCTTCGCCGCAGTGCGATGGGTGATCTCGGTGTGCGTAGCGTGGTCGCATGGATTGCATGGTACATACACATGGCTTGCAGTATGCGGTAATCGAAAGCGAAAGTAGAGGAGAAAGCATGACAGCCCGGCACACGCCTATGCCTCGGTTCTCCTCTTGCCCCGCGTCTTCTTCGGCGGGTAGGGCTTCTTCTCCTGCTGCGTGGCGAGGATAGCCGATACGCGGGCGACGGTAGCCTGTCCAACGAAAGGCAAGGTCAGCATCCACTCTTGCGAATACGAGAGCAGAAGGAAGGAAGGAATGTGAGCCCCAAAGAGTCGGGCGACCGCGTCGCGCGTCGGACGGGACCCGATAGCGACATGGCGCGTATCCGAGCAGAGTTTGATCGACTCCGCCCGGACCAGGTAATCTTGCACAGCATGTCCACACCCAACTTTCATAATGTCCAGCGGGCTCTAGATGGTGCATCCTCTCTCTTCGATCAATACGTCTCCATTTGCCCAGTTTGACGACCACACCGGTTCGTCCCATGCAGAACCCCCCCCCCCCCCCAGGAAACGGCAATGAGCGGGTTAGACGGACACTCACCTCCCGGAGGTCAGGGCGGTAGCTGCGCTTCGCGAGCCCGGCAGCGACACCGACGGCGCGGCGGCCGCCAGAGCGGTTGCGGACGGTAGAGGTCGCGTAGGCGGGGCGCACACCGTTGGGCGAGGCCTTCGTCTTGCGGGTCGTGATCTTGATGCCCGACTCGCTGTCCGTCACAGCGATCGTCTGCGGGCGGAGAGATGAGTTTTCCGGCGCTGGTGTGGGAGGGAGAGAAGTTGGGTACAGACCTTGGAGTTAGCAAGACCGGAGTACTTCCATGAGTGGATGTTCGTGAGGTTGGCCTGCGTTCAGCATGCATGTCAGCGAGAGTTGATACGCCCGTGGTTTGTGAGACGAGGATGTACCGGCTCCTTGGAGAAAATCGGGCCCTCCGCAACCCTCTTCACAATGAAGGAGTTGTTTTTCTGCACGTACAGTCGAGATTCAGTCCACAACATGTGTCCTGCACGAAGAACGGGTGCGACGCACGCGGAGGAGGAGCCACTCGAGGTCGTTGGACATTTTGACGATCTTGCTGTGTTGCGGTTCGTAGGCGCCCAAGACTCGGTTTGAGTGGCTGGGAGGTACTGTAAAGTGGCAAGCATGCACAAACAGCGAGGGGCCGGCCCAGGTGGCTCGTCCCGAACGCCCAAGTCTCAAATCCGAGACTCCTCGCTTCCTGTTCTCAAGGGATCCTGCTCGCAGCCACACAGTCAGGCAGCAGCATATGATTGGTATTACTACAGTGGATGAAGTACAGGGTATATGCGGTGTACAGTCCATGCAGCGGAACGTGAAACTTCTGCCCCGACAGCGAAACGCTCCTTCCAGACAACGACGCCACTCAGTGCTCGCTGCGAGTCGTCTGCTCGCGGTACTCGGCCATCAGGTTCGCCTCGTACTCCATCTTCGTGATGCGCTCGTTCCACCTCTCCGCGACGCTGTCGAAGCGGTGGTTCACCAGCCGCGCGAAGCGCACGTCCGTCCACGGCTTCCCGTCCGTGAGCGCGATGCAGCGCATGTCAACCGTCCGGCCGTCGACCGCGCGCGGGACGAGCTCCTGCGGCTTCCGGAACGGGTGCGGCTCGCGCTTCTGCTTCGCCGCGCGTATGGCGATGTCGCGCCGGAACTGGAACCATGCATTCACTTTGGTGGCGGGCCTGCGGGTGGGGGTGGTGTTGGTGAGTGCGACTGAGAGGGACGCGGGAGTGGCGCAAGGGAGCGAGGGGATGGGGGGACGCACCAGACTACGCAGGCGGCGACGACCTTCGTCCAGAAATCGTCTGGGAAGGGCGTGACCCAGAGGAAGACGTACTCCATGACGCTGAGCTGGATGGTGTCCGGGCCAGCGGGGACAAGACTTCGAGCTCTAGCGCGGTCTCTTCTATGCCTTCCTGCCACGTCATCTCGTGTTTCTTTGCGCCGTCCGGGCTGTTGCCTGCTGCGGGTGTGTCCGACGCCTCTGGCGTTGGCGGCGAAGACGGGATCATGATCTGCTCCAGCTCTTGAGCCAGGGTGGCAGGCGACAGTGAGAGCCTGAGTGGCGACGGGTCGTGACAGAGGTGCGGGACCAAGAGTGAGTTCGCTCGCTTTATAATGGAGGGCCTTTGTTGTAATCGGAGTGGCGGCGCATTGCTGCTTGTGCGGTGAGCGAGGCAACAGCAAGGGCCGGTCACACAATGCGACGCACTTCAAGCATGGATCGAGATCGGGCGCGTCGCCGTGACGTCGCCATCAATCGGGCGCGTGACCGAGTGGCCCTCGCCGCTTCGCGGGATCCCGACGCGGACTAGGCCGTGCTCCTGCCCCTCTCTTCAGCTCTATCTCACAGTTGCTACTTGAACAAATGTCCTCGTTTGTCTGGGGGATATTCTAACATGCTCTCATGGTACCATCGGGAACCTTGAACCGACTCGGCAGTGGCGATCCGTCTGCCTTGATGTACATGAACTCGGACCGCTTGCGTTTCTAAGCTGACTTTGCCCTGACTGGTGCACATTCAGAATGTGGACTTTGCGTCTCTATTGCTCGTCATCCACTTTACATATATGAACGTGGTCATGCTTTTCAACGGTGCAGCATGTCGTACTTCAGCGCGCGGCATCCCTGGTTAGCGTGGATTGTCACGCGCGATCGCGACCCGACCTCGGGCTCGGGCATGTACAGTAACTTACACACATCTGTATAAGGTCCAGCTACCATCCCATCGCTCTCATCCACTCAGGCTGCAGTCCTGACCTACCCTGCTTGTGCACGCTATGCAACCAGCAATGCCGCCTGGAAATATCAGCGATGCACAACGCGAGAAGATGGACCGTGTCCGGGAGCTGATCAGGGAAGATCCCTCGGCAGGCTGGGACAAGGCTTGGTGCGTTCGCTTTCTCATATCATCAGTCGATCGAGCCTGAGAGTGACATCCCCCCAACTTCAAGGCAACAGAACGTAACACCCTGGGACGCGGGCCAGTCGCAACCACCGCTCCGAGACCTCCTCGAGTCCGACGAGGTTGATCTTCCTAGGTCGGGACGCGCCTTAGTACCGGGCTGCGGTCGTGTATGCACTCAGCCTCATCTCGCAGAGGGTAGATGCTCTGACGATTGCCGACCCACAGGGATACGATGTGATTCTCATCGCGACCGCGCTTGGACTAGAGACGACGGGGCTGGACATCTCTCCGGTCGCCCTGGAGGCTGCTCGTGCGTGAGTGATGAGATAACATCCACTTTCTCAGGGGATGGAAGTTCAGACGATGTGGCTGTCCAGTCACGCAGCTTCGTCCGGTCTGCCTGCAGGCACGAAGGTCAACTTCGAGGGCTGGGACTTCTTCACGCTCGCGCCTTCTCCCGGGGAACAATACGATCTGATCTATGACTATACGTGAGTCTCCTGTACCACCCATGCGTTCCCTGTACCGTCCATGCGTCTCGTGGCTTCTCACGTATGGAACACAGGTTCTTCGTCGCCATCCAGCCCTCGCGCCGTCCCGAATGGGGCCGTCAGATGTCCGCACTAGTCAAGTCGGGCGGGTACCTCATCACGCTCGCGTGGCCCCTCGCGCCCGAGCCATATGAGAGCGGGCCACCTCACTACAGTAAGCCCGAGCACTATGCGGAGGTGCTCGGCGATGGATGGGAGAAGGTCCTGGACAAGGAGCCAGAGCACAGCTTGGAACGGCATGTTGGGTGCGAGAGGCTGATCGTGTACAGGAGTTTGTGAGATAGTGGTCACGCATACCGCTCTCAACCGTGTTCAGAGTGCTCTCGGCTGGTCAATGCGTGATGCCCAAACGCGACATCGCCGAACTAAAAGTACAGTGCCTCGTAGTCTTCTTTCGACTTTCACCCGCGCTCCCGCTCCCGCTCACTCGACGTCGTTCACTTTCGGACCCCACTGCCCCTTCTCCGTCCTCTTCTTCTGCAACAGCGCCTCGTCCTCCGCCTGAAGCTCCGCGTCGACCTGCGCGCCCCGGCTCGGCTCGTGGCCCTGCCGCGTCGCGGGCTCGAGCGGGTCCCGGACGGTCTGCGACGCGGCCGCGCGCTCAGCCTCGCGCGCCTTCTTCTCGTCGTGCTTTTGCCGGTTCTGCATCGTCAGCTCGCTCCTGGTGTATCGGGGATGCGGAGATCAGCTTGTGCATGAGCGGGGGAAGGGGGAGGGGGATGCGTACCGCACGTCCTCGGGGTCTTGGGCGCGAAGCTTGCCCCCGGGAGCGGGTCCCCCTGCGTGGCCGTGCGGTCTTTACCACGGTTAGAAGTTGAGCAAACCAATAGATAACGAGCCGGGAGAAAACACACCGTTGGTCACCGTCCTCATAGAGCTGGCGGTTGCCGACGTTCGATTGCATTGCGCCAGACGACATGGTGTTTGGGATTAGGTACGTGGATTCTGGATTGGTGGTTTAAACGTTTCTGTGTCACACTCGTGTCGAGAGTTCGGGATGAAGCTGAGGACCGAGTAGGCCGCCTGCACGCATCTTATATGCAGCGAGTTCGGGTGGCTGATGCGGAGGTGACGAAGGAGGACCCTCAAGACGCAGTGCGCGTGACGTCATACGGGGGTGGTACTCAGCCAGTGGCTTGGTTAGGACTGTTGCAGTGACAGACTGGAACGTGCAGGTCCCAAAGCAGCCTGAGGTCAGTGGACTCGGTTTTGTCCAACCCTGACGCGAATACAACCAGATTGAATGAAGTCTCGATGAGCACTTTTTATCAGGAATCCCACACTAGGTGAATATTCCTCAGCAATCTGTCAGATGATGTCTGCTCACTAGTGCTACAATCATTCTCAAATCATTCTACGTACACAATACAGGCTACAGTCCGCGCGCCAGTGCTTGAGTTCTCTATACGTTGGGTCCGAATGATCCCTTCTCGTGTTTCTTCTTCGACAGACTCGCCTCGTCCTCTGCCTGCAGTTCAGCGTCGACTTGCGCCCCCCGTGACGGCTCGTGGCCTTGACGCGACGCAGGCGCAAGTGGGTCGGTGACCGTCTTAGCCTCTGCTTTACGGTCTGCCTCGCGCTCCAGCGCTTCCTCTCGGTCCCTCCGGTTGTTGAGAGTCAGGTTATCTCTGCGGGAGTTTGGGTCAGAACACGACTGTCTCGGGGCGCCGCCGAGACGGCTTACTTGGGGTCGTGGATGTCGTGTGAGTTTTGTGCGGCCTTGCCTCCTGGGGCGGTCTCGGACTGGTGACCGTGTGGCCTGACGAAATCTTTAGCTCAGTTCTTCAAGAATGATTGCCACTACAACATACCTCTGGTCGCCGTCCTCGTAGACCTGAGGGTTGCCAACGTTGGATTGCATCGCTCCGGACGACATGATGGCGGGTTACAGGTGATGCGGGAAGTGATAATTGCAGGGGGTATACAACCTGAAGTGGATGATGGTGATGCTGAGCGGTGCCCTCGGTTTGCGATCCTTTATATATGCTTGGAGGGCGAGCGCGGTGCCATCCATGACGCGAACGACGCGTGACGTCATTTGGAGAATGACATTGGTGGAGTGATCGCGCGATGGAGAGGAGGGGTTAGGGTTTCGTGCAGACGCGTGGTTATGGACTGACCTGAGTCGGTCACCTGACAGCGACCTGTAGAACAGCTCGTGTCCCTACCTCCTCCTAGGACCGTCGTCCGCTATCAACCAGCCCAGTCCTCGGATGCCGTCTGCTACGCGATCTCATGCGGTCCCCGTCCTTCCCGTCGAGGTATGGGAGCGAGTCATAGACCACCTCTGGGAGGACCATCCAGAGCTGCTCGCATGCTCAGCGGTCTGCAAGGTCTGGCGCCCCCGGAGCACCTTCCATCTCCTCAGCAGAGTCTTCTTCCACTCCCGGGCCGACGTCTACAGATTCACCAAGAACTTGAGGTCGCAGGCCGCCCACAGGGAGCAGGTACACACGCTGATCGTGCGCGGAGACCCGAAGGAGGCGACGCGCAAGCCGATCCCTCAGCTAGGCACGCTCGCAGCGGTGTTCGCAGCGAACCCACTGCATGCCGACGAAATGGGGATATGGCATGCGACCTGGCAGACCAGGTCGATACACGAGGACGTGTTCTTGCATCTCACGACATTTGTCTCCATATCGAGACTCACCCTCGCGCACGTCACCTTCCCGACGGTGCTCACGTTTGGCCGCCTCATCTTCGCCCTGCCTCACCTGCAGACTCTGGCGTGCCGCGACATCGCGTTCGAGAAGAACAGTCCCCCGGTCACGTTCCTGACCAGACCCACTAACATCGTAGACTTTGAGATGCTGTGCGGCACCCCGATGGACGAGGTGGTCGACTTCCTGGTAGGAACGGCTGATGTAGCGCAAGGACTGGAGCAGCTACAGGTCGCATTCTGGGACCCTGCTCCCCTTTTGAAGGACCTGAAGGCCCTTCGTGTCAAGCCGCTCTTACAATCTGCTGATGACTCGCTGCTGGTGTTTGATATACGCTTCGGAGGGATAGACCTGGATTCTACAGCAGCCATGGAAGCAATAGGTACGCGTATCGGCTGGAGAACGCAGCTCATTGATAGCTGACTGAATGCTTTCTACGCAGACGAGCTCGATCTCAGCTGCAACTCAAGACTCACAGAACTCCGTCTCACGCTCCAGGTGCCCAAGGTCCCTCCGGAAAGTACGGCCATCCAGCCATGCACCTGGCTCACCACCCTCCTCTCACGAGTCACATCGAAATACCTCGCGTACTTCTCTCTCGAGTTCGACATCCGCGATCTCGCCCCCGACACGGATCCCCTCGCGACGCTCGGCATGCTCTCCTCGTTTCTCACTTCGGAGGTCACGTCTGCGATAGATGCCTTCCTCACCGGAAAGGACACGGACGACCAGCCCAGGTTCCAGAACCTGCAGAGCGTGTACGTCGCGGTGTTCTCCGCCTCCCGAGGGGTCCGTGCAGACGAGGAGTACTGGTCCTCGATCGTCCAACCTTGCTTCCCCAAATTGAGGGACCGCGGTATTCTGCAGTGAGTCTGCCCACTCACGACTGCGACTACCGTCACCGACTCCGGAGTAGCACAGCGGTGGACATCGACCTCGAACGCTGATCGGTAAGTTATGTCAGTCACGACATCACATTTGATTTCAGCCGCACCTGAGCGTTCAGATAGTGATCAGTGTCCGACCCACGAGTCTGATTGGCCGCCACAGCACCGCCCTCAATCAATTCAATCCGCTGGGCCCTGCATACGTATACGGGAGATCCCTCGTGGCTCCGTAGAGGATGCCCTGATGTGACTCGATCTCCTTGACATTGTTGACCAGTTCTACGTTATCGTCCTCCCTTTGTGAGCCCCCATACAAGAGGACCCAGAACACAAGGATAGAGCATCCTCACTGTAGTGCCCACCAGTGACTGGCACGATCGAGTGGCACCCCCGTGTTGGAGGACTGTTCACATCATGGGAAGAGTGAGTGTCCGAACCTCATGCTTCTGCTCATGTTAGCGCAACTGACCGTCTCCCTGCGCGGATTAGCTCGCGAAATCAGCCCAAAAGAAGCAGCGAACCGCGACGAGCGTTGTGAGGGATTTCAAACCTGCGAAGCCGCTGCCGCCTCCGCCGCCCAAAGAGCTGCCGCAGTCGAATTTGACGGCGCAACCGCACCCGACTTCTTCCATTGCCACGACGGTGAGTCGGATTTGGATCTGACTAGGATGTCATGTTGACCGCTTGTTTCTGGCCGCTATGCGATGCATCATGGATGTTCGTTGTGTACAGAACACGATTTTGAGGTATAGTCAGATCTCATTGCCTTCGTCATGTTGGCCGCGTTGCTGAACGGTCACGTTCATCCAGGTCACATACGAAGGCATCGGAAGCGGATGCGAAGCCTCCGGAGCCAATCCAGGTCTACGTCATGAACGTGAACGACTCGGAGAAGCAGTAGAACATCTTAATTAACACAAGCTTCTGTGGGAGGCCGGCGGCCGGTGCATTCAAATTCATTGTAGTCCGTTTGGCATCCTCCCTGTCGGTATATGCATCTCGACGTCGTCCCGTCTATTCGCGGCCGCTGGTGTGTTCGTGACGGCGATCAAACTGTATCAAGGTGAGCCTTTTTGACATCTTGGAGCCTGGTGTATAAGGGACCCGACTAGCGTGTTTAAGAGGACCTGCGGCCGGGTTCGGTGACCAGGAAGGCGGCCATACGAATTTGCGATGCATCTTGAGCTGCGAGGCCCAGTCCGAAATCATTGTTGCAACGCGAATAAGAGGACGTTAGCGGAGTTTGTGAGAACACACTCCGGACCGACATCGTTCTCGTTCTCACCACTTGCGTGCAGCCTTCGATCGGTCGTGGTAGAGGAGCGGTCTTCCTAACACGATTACAAGTGGACTCCTGGCCTAATACGTAGCTAATCGAACATACACTAAATTCAACAAGAATACACTGTACTGCAATAGATCGGTCCCTCGTTACATCTCGGACTCAGAAATGACTCGTCGGGGACTCCTTGGAGGAAGAGCCGTCCTCCCGTTCCGTTTCCGGTTCGTCCAGTATATCAAAATCCCTGCTGATCTGCACATTCCGCTGGATGTTGATCTCCACCTGCTAATGTCCGGTCGCTGTCAGCACTCATGCTCCCATCAAAGCTTGTTGAGGGGAGAAACTAACCTTAGAGGACAGGGGGATGTTGTCGGTCAAGCCCGTGTGCTTTGAGATGGCCAGGGACGACGTCAGGAGTGGTACTCAGAAGTGAATCTCGGATCATGTTCGTACCATTCGTCCAGTGTGCAAGCGTTGGGAGCGGCGGTCTGCACCGAGCATCACTGGGACCGAGGGATCATTGTCGACTGATGACTGTTGGAGCCGGAGTGTCTTTCTCGCGTTGAGCCTGAATAAACACAAACAGTGAGGCCTTGGTAGTGGTGAAGTGAAGAGGGGTTACTGACGTCGACAAAAACGCATTGGCATACACTGCGGTATTCACAGTGAGCATTCGGAAATGATGCGCGAGGAGTGAACGGCAAACTAAACGTACGCTTGGTTATAGCAAAGTGGAGGCCGAGGAAAATCAGGTTGTCGACGGTCACCCACTAGACGGATCATTCATATTCAGCAACGAAGTGCACAGCAAATGGAAACCGCTTACCAGGATGAGAGAAATGAAAGTCGTGACGCTGTGTGTGATTCAATTCCAGCCCACAGTGCATCACGCGGCATGCACTCACAAGGTCAAAGAACCATTCTGGATGGTGTAGAATGTCAACGTGTTGATGATAGCGTCCATCCTGTACACATCAAGCAGTCAGCCGAGGAGAAGGGGCAGGATTCCCTGAGAGGATACCCACGAGGAGAAGGCGCTACGGCTCTTCCGAAGGTAATAGCAAAGTGAGGAAGCCACGAGGATGTCGAGGAGTGCCGAGAGCGAAAGGCCCAACGTGAATACCCACTGCACGATGGTCAGTCAGCAGGTCATCCGAGTCAGAACCATCGGTCAAGATAGGCTTACGCCGACCTCCCGCCTGAACGCCTCGTAACTCTGAAGCCGTATCCTGCCGGTGAGCACGCTTCGTAAGAACGCTGAAGAAAATATCAAATGGGGCCACTGACATGTACGCGGTCGACACCAAGGCGGCGACTACAAATTGTCAGTGTTAAGGCCTACTACCGCTGCATGAAACTCACTCAGCCGTCCCGAAGCAACTGAAGTCTGAGAGACGCCTGATATCAGCAGCGTGGTAGGTGTGCAGTCTTATCGACTCACGAGTATTATGGTTATCCACCATTTCCTGTGGCTAACTGCAGTATGCCGAGCTCACTTAATACCGTCTCACGTGCGGAATAAACGACGCGTTCAACCCGTACCTGTGTGTACTCTCCAGGCGAAGAAGCTGTGTATGGTCCTGTCAGTAAGCCATGCGGGTTTGACAGCTGCAGACGAACCATTGTACTATGAAAGTCATGAGTGCCTTGACCGCCATCAGTAAGACCAGCGAACATCGTCAACACTGAGAGACACACCGTTAGCATCACTGAACCCTGAAGGCGAATCAGCGTGACTGAAAGATCAATTTATGGCGAAACTGCCCCGTACCCCAATAGACCTGGAGTCCGGTAGAGTCAGTGGATGGTTCACGTACTGACTCGGACAGGTGTACGGCTGGACTTACCACGGTATCCAATCCTGAACCGTACCGTCTGCCCAGCTCGCTATCAGGTATTCCCAGTCCGCAATGCAAATGAATATGGTGTGCAGGATGTCAAGCAGCCTGGTGAAGCATAAGCAACTGGCCATGAAGTTGGACCACTTCTGACGTACCATATCACATAGACCTAATATCCCGATCATCACGCTCAGACGAGACAGCAGCAATGAGGCAGAAACTCACCATTGTGCGCAGCCAGGTGATATCAGTGTGGTACACGGATGTGTACAGGGCGGTCTGCATTGATACCACCCCCGACAGGCTGGCTCATCGGGGATGAGCGCAACATACTGCAGATGAACATCCACTACTCACAACGTTGACACCAGTCCTCCTAGCAGGAGAGGCCCGAGGGTGCGGAAGATATCCATGGCAGGCAGACCTTGGGGGAAGCACCTGCGAAGGAGGCGGCGAGGGACGCCTAATAAAGGTCCGGGGTATGATGGCGCCCAAGAACGACATTGTGGTGACGGTACCATGCCCACTTGGGCGCCAGACGAAGACTGGAAGACGGGTCAGGGGGCGTTGAAATATGGCCTCCCGGATTTGGCGTAGCTTGACATGGTCGAGGACCAATGTACAGTTTCGAGTGCCATATACCCGATATCGGCACCGTGTTGTCCATCGGTGTACTAAATACTTGGCATCTGCGTTATCAAGCGGCAACGGCTATAGAAAGGATGGCACCGACGCCGGGCGCCACAATTGCGCAAGATCTACGCTGCCACCTGCGGGTACTGGAATGAGATCGAGCGCACAAAAGACCTCCTCAGTTAAATTTTGAAAGCCAGGACACCGGTGCGAATAGATGCGTCAGATACCTCGCTGGCGGATCCGTGATTGACTCACTGCCATATGTCGGAAGCTGATAGCTAACCACAGGTTGTTCACATGCAGAACAATGCACGGAGGTTGATACGAAAAATGTGGAAGTCAGTCTCCCTTACAAGGGAGATCCGCGAGGTGTTTGCCAGACATTGCATTCAAAGTGACGGACACGTAGTGCCTGCCTCGTTGTTCAGGGAGCGAACAGAAGATTTGCGAACGCCAGTCCCCGTCAACAATTTTTGCGCCACCAGGACAGCGTCAGCCACGACCGGTTTGACGGACTGGCATTAGGTGTCAATAGAGATCTGGTAGTTCCAGCGAGCCTCAGTCCTGATCCTATTGTGAATCATGACCAGGCCGCACAAACGCCATTTAAAATCATCGTGCAGGTGAGGTATTGGCGTCAGATGGTGGCAGCACCTCCACGTTTTTAACGGCCAACAGTCGAGGGTCACTATCTGTTCACGGGTAGGCCAGAGCTGTGAGGCAGAGGACGTACCTGCAATGCACGAGGGGGGGACCGTATCGTTGCAGATAGGTACGATCATTCCCAACACGTCGGTCGGTGACCAACGTGATAAATACTGTGCTAGCCCAAGTGCACTACACCATGCCGAACGTTAGACAGCGGCGCAGTCTGCCGCATTGTCATTCTTCATTGCTGGTTCATACGCATGCTGAGCATTGCTTTTTGAGTCAATCTGACTGCCAGATACACCACAGCGAGCGAATGTTTGAAGAGGGTGGGTGCTACATACCTCCGCGACTTTTACCCGGCTCTCGATCAGTCGTGGCGCATCAGTCAATTTGTTGCGTCGGGGTTCGAGGCGATGGTATCGTGCTCACTCGGAGGTCGCGCTTTCTGACGGAGAATATCCATGTTCATCCATGGCAGGGGCACCACGTCGGTCTGGATGCATCTTGAACTTTGTACCATATTGGGGTTTGATGGCGCGCGCTGGATCGTTCTCCGGCCTGCAACAATTCAGGTAAGTTAGGAGGCTGAGACAGTGACAGCCTCGCTGCCCGGGCGGCTCGGAATTCACAGTCGCGCTGAATAGAGCTCTGTTCTTCATCATGACGCGCTCACTCGCAGTCATGACATGTCCGATAAATTTTGCATATCCCCGAAAGGTTGAAGTCCGATCATTAGCGGGCGAAGTTTGAGTCAGATGTCGACCAACTCACCACACGGAAGATCTTTAGGCAGAACAGTGTTATGCGGCTGAAAAGCGGCCTGGTAAGGAACCAAGAAGTGAACGCAGGGTGCTTGCCCACGTCATGCACAGAGTTTCTGCGGGCCAAGGGGCACGAACTTCCACGCACCTGTAGTCCGGGAGCGCATGATCAAAACCGTCGGCGAAAGCTGTTGCACAAAATTGCAGCTTCGCAACAAACGCCGTGGATCTGGAGTAGAGAACCATGTGGTGAGGAGCCCTAACAATAGCTCGAGGCCTCAAAATAGTCAAAACTACCTTTCCCACAGGTGACTCGGGGCCGACAGGCTTATACCCAAGGCGACATCCGACTTTCACGGATAGCACGCGCGTGTGATGCAACGACACCATACGGAGAGCAAGCCAAAAGGAGCACGTACTTCTGAGGACCTAGTACACATTAATCATTTACTACGCCAGGATACTTATTCTCCCATCATCTCCTCCTGGGGCGCGCCTCCGCCACCACTTTCTCTCTCTTTCCGCGTTGCTTGCACGACATCGTCGACGCGCAGAAGCACACGCGAAGCCTCCACGGCCGTTTTGAGGATTTGAATCTGCGATACGCTAATGCATCAGCCACGGTGATCGGCGTAGACATACGTTAACGGACCTTGACGCTGGCAGATTCGTAAAGACCGTAGGATTTCATGTCCACGATCTTCCCTGTCTCGCCATCAATACCCCACGAGTGTTCTCCATTGGCATGCTTCGCCTGGAGTAGATGATCACGTCAGTTCGAAATGCAACTCACGGACACGAGCGAAACTCAAAGAGACTGATGTACGAACCCGAAGCTCAGTGAGTACCCGGATCGCGTTACCTCCGCTGTTCTGCACCAGCGTCCGCGGAATTACCTCCATCGCATCAGCGACGGCACGGAAGGGCCCATTCTCCACGCCCGTGATGCTCCTCGCCTTGGCATGCAGACCAACACTGATCGCCATCTCCGTCGCGCCTCCCCCGGGGGCGAGGATGGGGTTGAAGACCACGTTACGCGCGACGGACATTGCGTCCGCGAGGTTGCGGTCGATCTCGTTGAGTATGTCTTTTGATGGGCCGCGGAGGAGGATCGTGCACGCCTTCGGGGTCGTGCACTCGGTGAGGAACGTGAAGTACTCGTCGCCAATCTTCTCGATGTTGAACAGGCCGCACTTGGTGCCGACGTCGGCCTCGCGAAGGTCCTCCACGCGGTTGACGATAGTGGCGCCGACAGCACGCGCGATGCGGTTGTTGTCGGACTTCCGTACTCGTCGGATGGCGGAGACGTTCGCCTTGGAGAAGAAGTGTTGCGCATAGTCTATGGAAGCGATCAAAGCATGTTGACAATGCCGAGGGCGATTGACGTACCAGAGACACCCTTCTCGGTGATGACTAGGTCAGGCTTGAACTCCAGGATCTTGTCCACCATCGCCTTGACCTGCTCCTCCTCAATCTCCTGTATCCTGCTCCAATCCGCCTCCTTCGAAATCTCAATGTTCGTCTGCGACTCGCCCTTCTTGTACTCCAACGGGCAGTCCAGCAGGACGATCCGCGGCTTCTCGATCCGCCTGCGCATTTTGGGGTGCGTGATGTCCTTGTTGACCATGACCCCGCTGAGCACCTTGCTGTCCTCGATCTCACCACCCGGGATCTTTTCGACGCGTGCATACCGCTTGATGTCGACGGTCTTGGTGACCCCCTCCTCCATTGCGACAGTGCGAACCGCCTGGAGCGCGAGCTTGCACATGAGGTCGGACCAGCGCATCACAAACTTCGTGCCGATGGACGTCTTTATGAGGGAGAGCATCTGCGCGTCGTCATTGGTTTCGATGGGGATGGAGATCTTCTTGATGATCTCGAGGGCCTCCTTGAGAGCCTTGTTGTACGCGGAGATGATGACCACCGGGTGGATGTCGCGCTCGAGCTGAGATAGAGACTGGGCGAGAATCTCGCCAGCTAGCCAAAGTCAAGCCATCATCTCAGAAACAACTTCGGTCTGGACATACCAAGGATGATGACACTCGTGGTTCCGTCACCGCACTCCTCGTCCTGTGTCCGACTGAGCTCGATCATGTTCTTTGCTGCGGGATGTGCGACGTCGATTTCCCGCAAGATGGCGTTTCCGTCGTTTGTCAACCTGAGCTTCGCGGTAAGACGACGGATATGATAGATTTTGTAGAGACGTACAGAATACCACCCATAGGATCCAAAATCATCTTGAGCATGGCTTTCGGACCCAGACATGTTCGGATGACATCCGCAACGGTCTGCCCGAGCATATCTTGAGCACCGTACTTGTAAACAAATAATAATATGCGTACCTTCGCAGCGGTGATGTTGGAAATCTGTGCTTTCCGTCCCGACTGCCTCTCGGGCGCGGTGTCTACAAAGGTCTCTGAGGGATGCCCTTCCCAAGCAGACAATAACGAACGTACTCATCACAAAGATTGGTGTTTGTCCGCCGGCCTGCATCATGACTGAACGTAGAGAGACGTAGGAGCAAAGAACGTGAAAGGAAGAGGCAAGAGGAGGCTCGCGTTCTGCAGACGCGTCTCGCCGATTTCGAAAACGTGAAGTCGGAAGCGCCGGTAAACCCTTTTGGGGCCGCATGCGCGTGACGGGCGCCTGTGCGATCCCCTCCAGTGCCACACCATCAGACTTCAGTCCTGTCTTATAGCGAGCCTGGCCCGCGTCGCCTGCTTGCGTCCCCACAATCTCTAGGCGAGCTATCTCTCAAGGATGAACACACATCCAACTGTAACAATAGAGCTGGTGAGACTTATAGCCTCCGAGCGACTGCGTGGTCCGCCGATACATATCCAGCCAGGTCCTTGACCGGCACACGACGCAGGAGGTCCTGCGCGCCGTCCTCCACTCCGTGCTCTTCCACCGCCTCTTCGGCACCGTCAAACCACAAACGTTCGAGGTGCTCGATGTCACGATGGTCAGTTGCACACTTCCCCTCACGCCACCGCGGCGCGCCGGTGGCGAATCTGAATCTGACGGACGGTCAGCCAGGCGTGGACGATCCTGAGATGAAACAGCTGGTGAACGACAAGGTCGATGCGTTCTGGAAAAGCATTGAGGGAGGCTTTAGCAAGCGTGGTCAGGTGTGTCTCATCGCTCTGTGATAATTCCCCGGGGAGGGCGCTCGAAGGGTGGCGGATGGAGTCCCCACTGCTCTTTGCTGTCGGGCAGTGCGTTCAGAGCACGTACCCTCAAGCACACTGCCAAACCAGGGTGCGGCGCAGTGGCCGCTCTCTGCGCGGAGGCGCTGCGCACGTCGTTCAATGCTGTACAAGATTCCTAGTATCGCCCAGCTGCATCCGCCCTGATCAGACTGAACTGGGGAAGTTCCTTGATCATGTTTGCTGTGTTCGCCGTGTTGTCTGGGCCTTGATACGCCACTGCCTGAGGCTACTCGGGCCCCTCGGACTCAGTTTCTGAGTGTTCACACGAGCTAGCATACCAGTGCTCTTATGAACGAGCGGATGAAGTTGGCCAGTCTCCCAGACCCCGCCAATAGCACGAAGCAGCGGTACGATCCACTATTGGCGTATTGAGTGCGAGTCGACTTCGATCGAACTTTGAAGCTTGATTCGGGACATGTCTCTTCGGTTGTTCCACTTTGTTGCCTATTCTATCGACTGCCTCATGCATCTCCAAACACGACTGATATCAGGCGTGTCTCGTCGCGCTCTACCATGGGAGGCGAGTACTCTGTGGGAGGACGTGCAACTCTGCTTCCGTTTTCTGATTGGTGTCTGGGCAGTGTGCTTCGGGCATCCACCTCACGCAAAGGCGTCGCCAATATTGGAGGCGCAGTGCATTATATCGCGGCGCAGTGACTGCTATCTGCGCAGGAGCGCTGTGCACGCCATGGGACGCTGTACCAGGAGGGCAGGCATTACCCAGCCACGTCCGCATCGAACAGGCTTGTCTGACAAGGAAGCTCGCGGATCATGCTGATTGCGCTGTCGTGTCCTGTCAACCTCTTAAGGCTGCCTCGGGTTTCACGGACTGTGTCTCTGGGCATTGATACTTCAATAAAGGGGCAGGTGAAGCAGACCGATCACTCAGACCCCGACATCAGCACGAAGCGGTACCATGGTTCGTTATCAATGCTTATAATTCGAGTCGACCGTGACCGAATATCGGAGCTGATAAAGTACCGTCCCTCTGGTTACTCTCCATTTACTGCACATTCCATGATTGCTTCCTTGCTTGTTGTGGTATTTGAAGTACAATGACTAGCGCACTTACACGGCATCCAGATCATCGTAACGTTCTCAGAAAAGCGTCCCAGGAAGACATGGTTCATGATGGGAGAGGTGAGTCCCGATATAGCGCCGCGAGCCACAGCACCTAAACTAAGTCCAGGAAGAAATTCCCTGGGAGCAGTGGTACGCACTATGCGGGCGGAGGGGGTGTCCTGCAACTGACCCACGTTTCAGGATCATAAACGCAGAGATCCGGCAGCCCACACCCGAGAGAGGTATGCCGCCTTTTCTTCACCGTATGCGCAAGCTCTAATATTACGCAATGTTATTTTTACCCTGTGTCTCGTTCGTTTTCTCTGCAGATCAGCGCAAATTCCAAGCGGACCTCGCCGCCACGCTCACCAAGAGCCTGAAGACGATGCTCACGCACGCGTCTTCCGAACGTGGCCGGTCTGCGGTCCCCCTCATCACGAACGCCAACGGTATATCGCCGTTCCCAATCAAGATTACCGTGAAGGTTGGTGGCGTGGAAGTGGGTTAACCTAATGCCCCGCCAGAGTCGGTGACTGGTGCCTTTGAGAGTTTGCCCTGTGACGGACTGTGGACCTGTCTGGCTGCCTTCACAGACTGCTCGCCTTACGTGTAGCAGAACCTTAACAGCCAGATGTGTACATAGCCTCCCGTGAAGCTGCTAGAGACGCAGCCTCTACATTTTCGGACTGCTTACATCCAGCATGCGTTTGGTACGCACCGAAGACCATTTCGACCGGTACGTGTAGCCAACGAGGTTAACCAGGTCTACAGGTAATTGGAGGGTGGCACTGAACTCAACTCGGTGTTCCGTAGGTTCATGCAGGCACGGTGACTGGATCGCGATTCGCCGCTGCAGCGCTTCTGTTCAGGGCGCGCCGAAGAGGCCACAGAAATGGACGACGGATGCATTTGGGAAGAACGTGCGTCGGTCGTGGCCCGACATTCGCTGCGCTCGTCCTCCCCATCACGGGCGCCTGACGCGCTTGCCTGTTGCGGGACGAACGTGCATGGGAAGACGCTCTGGGCGGTCGCGCGGGAAGGCGACTCTGTTCCTTCCCCCCGGCAGACGGCTTCTGGGCAGACGAGTGCCCGAGGGCGGCTGCGAACTGCGATGGCTATATGTCGCGTTCTTCTATCTCTCGCCGTTATGTTCCCCTTGACACGCTGACCAAGGTGTCCTCCATGCTGATCCCGCCGCAGCTCCTGTGCTATAACTTGCATTGACTCGTGCGCAGTCTCTACACCCGGCCTCGAGCCTGCTACTACTATGGCTACAGCACGCACACGCCACATCCCACCCAGAAGCCTCAGCCTGCCCGTAGGACCCCTGCCCATGTCGCCACCCTCCGCGTCGTCGTCCATGTCGGGCTCTTCGCTCTCACCCACCTCACCCAGCTCCATAGCGAAGAAGAGTTCGTTGCTGCACCTGAGTTACCACAGTCACGCGCCATCAAGTTCGGCCGCCTCGACCTCCAGCGGGTCGACGTCGAAGAGCTTCGGCACGAGCCTGCTCGAGGCGTACCACGAATGGAAGGAAGCGGACGACGCCCTCCAACGCCTACAACTCGAAGAACGCGATCGGGACGAGTGCAGTGCCGAGCTTGCCGCCGCGAAGAAGCTGGTCGAGGGCCTGAAGACGGAGCAGTACGTCAATCACTCGTCGATCACCCGCTTCGCACAGTTCATTGATCGTGACCCTTGCGTCCTTGTGATCGACGACAGGGATGCCGCGCGGTCGCCGGGGAAGCGGAAGGTGACGCGGAAGTCGTCGACGATCGCGTTCTGGAAGCACAAGAACGCGCCGCATGTGCCCTTCCAGGACGTCCCCGCGCCGGACAGCAACTTGGAAGACCTCGCGGAGGCGAGTGTGCGCGAGGCGGGGCTCGAGCGGGAGAGCCACCGGCGCACGACGAAGGTACGCCCGGCGGTTGGTAGTTTGCGGCTGGTGCGGCGTCTTCTCCGGCTCATGTGTTGTGCAACTGGCAGGTCGAGGCGACGAAGGCGTTGGCGGCGACCCTCGATGGCTGCTATGATAAGCTGAGGAGGATGCTTGACGGAGGCCCCCTCCCGTCGTGGCGGTTCACTGAGTACGCCCGTTCGTCGAATATTTACAATCAAACTCACCTGCCGAAGGGGGAATGAACAGGCCATCATACGAGCAGAGAAGACCGTCACCGCTCGTGAACAGTCATATGAGGATGTGAGTTCTCGACGCTGAGGCCGTTGCCCCTGCGTGGCTGACCGTGATCCAGTGCGTTGCCACCACGGAAGTGCTCAAACGGGCGCGTCTTGCCGTCCAGTCCGCTCACCACCACTACACCGAAGCGATGAACCTCCTCGACAGCGTCTGCAGCCCGAGCCGGAACGGCTTCATGGCTGCCCTAGGCGACGAGCAAAGCAAAGCACAGACATACCGAGGTGCGCCCCCTCTCCCGCAGACACGTAGTCTTGACTCACGCGGCTGCATGGCACGCTGCAGAAGCGGCAGTGTGGTCTCAGAAGGCACATCTCTGCCTGCAATCGTGTCTGGAAGCGCTCAAGCCCCACATGGAGCTGCTGGACCACGAGCAGATCGTCGCGGCGGAGCAGCTGAAGGAGGTGGGGCTCCTCCAAGGCGTCAGGCTCTACGACCTCATGTACGGCGGGAAGGCACTCGCCTTCGGCATCACACGTACGTCCCCTCCCCTATTCCCGTCCCGCCACCTGACATTGTGATTTCTAGAGCAAGTGGGCATCATGGTCGGCAAGCTCGACGCGATCTACCGACTCCTCACGAATTTCGCTGTCGCGGTGCAGAACTTCACGGAGAACTGCCAGAGCGTGCAGGAGGCCGCGCGGCATAGCCGGGACGTCGCCCGGCGGGAGCTCGTCGCGCTCTGGATGAGCGACAGCTCGCATGCATACAGTGCGGGTCGCCATAGGAATGGCACCGTGTAACTTCTCCCTATTATCCTTCCCTTCCTCTCTGGCCTTCTTTGACGTGCTCTCTCGTTCTCTTCTTAGTCTCGTGCGGGTTGTTTTGATGATCTAGATTATTGCTTCAGCTTACTTGGTTGGGTCTCTACTGTTCTGCTGTTTTCTTGCTTATTACCACACTCGTTAAGTCTCTGTTGTGTACTGATCCCTCTGCAGAAGTTCCAAAAATTGTTGTACTGTCCCGTAACTAGTCGACATCCTTACAGATGTGACCTTAGTCAATAGAATAGAATCCTGTATACCATTCGAGCTGCATCGCGTGCTACGCAGTGCACTCCAGACTTATGGAGTTCTACCGTCTCCGATGGATGCACGCGTAAATCGCCGCTTGCGTTCTCTCCGATTCGACCCAACTTCCAATCCAAGATGCCATGCTTCTGCATACATGGTTTGATGTTCATCTCACGCGTTCAAAACCAGAGTCACATCCGTCCGTACCTTCACAAATAAGAGCAGAAGCTCCACGCGCTCACGCTTACATAATAGTATGAATCTGCCAGGACCGCACGGAGAACGCCAATCTCATCCCTCTCAGACTACGGAACTTACGTTCGACATGTCGATTGCTACCAGGAACATAACGGACATAAACTTAAGACAGCTAGTCCCGCCATTCCAGGTGGCCGCTGAGTGCTGAGCTGTTGGCATCCGGGGACATCAACCATAACACTTGAATATGCTGAGTTCAACAACAGGAATAGTCGTGTACATTCCGTGATTGGTACCGGCACCGCCTCGTTCTTACATCTCGAAGTTGGTTTCTAAAAGAGCGTCGAATATCAGGAGGCTAATACCATTGTGAGCGAGCGGCAGCTCACCATCGAAGTCCTTCGTGTAATCGTAACTCGGCGAGGACATGTAGGCAGCGATACGCTCCCCGACGGCTACATCAAGTGGTTCTGCAACACGATCGTCGCCAGCGCCGCGCAACCTCCACCAGTACGTGAGTGCACGCTGGTGATCGTCTTCTGGCTCCTTGCTCTCTTCACGCAGCTGCGGTGCGGGTGAGTCGCAGTGGGTAGAAGGGGTGACTTCTCTGGAACGTGGAGGCCCAGGTAACGCAGAGACGCCACGGCTTCGCTAGAGTGGGGACAGCAGTGATGATGGCGCCGAATGTTTCCACACAGGATGGTGCGGCGGAAGAGATCCACTGTCGGGTCCCAAATGGATTCACCTGGCCTCGGGTCACATCGGACTTGCAGGCATATGATGCCTGTATCGGCAAATACTGGGGAAACTCCCTCCTGGTCTACGTCGTGAGCCCCTCCCGCATGTCTCTGAGTTTCGTCTGTGCTTACCCACCATCCATACAACTGAGTGCCCCAATCCGCGGTATTGCGGATATCGTGCAGACTGACGGAAAGGTATCGCAACCGCGATGATGCCTTGACGAAGTCCACGCCGAGCCTTGACGATACGCTGACCACAAGGCTATGGGCTGGGCATTTGCTATGGCCTCGGAGGCGTTTGATCGCTGCTGTGCGTGGATCCAGCTGTTATCGCTGCAATTTCCTGATGGACGGGAATGCCATAACGGGGTGGTGACCTCCATGAGATGCACGGGCACCGCGTTGACCCAACTGCTGAGAGCTTCTGCCGTACCCTTGACGTGCTGCAAGTAAGGCCAGTTTAGTGTCACCACATCAGTATCCCATCGCTTGCTCGAACTTCCGAGATCAGCATAGCGGACATTGGGGAAGGTCCTTGTGTAGATTGGTGCTGGAATGAGATCAGATATATGGCCCTTCAAGACCAGTTGTGTGACGCTCGGCAGAGTGAAGTCATGTCGAACGCGGAGGTCTAAAGCTGACTCCCCATCCGGTCGAACCCACACCTCGGCCAAGAAATCTTGGAGGGTGCTGACAGTAAGTCACGAATCATGTTCAGGGTGCAGCGACCAAGACCTTCGAACGAGATCTCAGACAGGAATCGCATCGAGGACACCGCGTCGGTAATGCGGCGGTTGTCGAGTATCCACGCCTCTGTACCAGTCAATGCGAGCCTCCGCAGGTTGTTCGCCCTTTCTAGCACGTTCGCGAGGAGGGATGCCACAGCGAGACGCTCTTCTTCGGTGACCGGACCATCCATTATCCATCGCGTGTCGACCTCCAAGGCATGCAAGGCTGGTAGACGGTGCGGCATGTCGGTGAGGATATATATGCAGAACCTCGTCGTGTTGGCAATGGAGTGCACCGCGACCGATGTTAGGGCCTGATGCTTGGCCACGACGTGGACCGCGCCATGCGCGGTCAGGGAGAGCTGACGTGCGTCCGACGCGTCCAGATACGACACGATGCTCACGAGCGCGTCTTCGTTCAGCGACTGGAGTGGCATGTCTGTGGTAGAAGTGGGACCTAGTGGCATTAGCTGGACTGCGCGTGTGCCATTTGGTATTGACGACTCACTGTCTACTAGTATTGGGGACGCATGAGCGAGTGATGCTAAGCTCACATACTATATCCAAGACATCGCAGCCAGCTTTAAGGTCAGCTGGTCGGCTCCAGGGGCGCACTAACGACGATGGCAGAAGGTTATCAGGTTCTCTATTGCAGAAGCAGACTGAATTTCAAGTCACCTAACACTGATATGTATTTGCCCGCTCGCTTTCACGGTCCTCGGTGGACGCCGCCTCCATGCTCCTCCGCACTCCGCACGCAGCGCCGCCATGTCGCAATGAATGACGGTCGTCTCCGCTGGAGCGATGGCAAGCGACTTGAGTGGGTGTGACAAACACTGCCTGGGCCGGTAGCAGCACCACTTCAATTCTATATCCCGATATCAGCTTCGAAAGGGCGTCGCAGCTCAGCAACTGTATTCCACTGTGAGCAGCCAGGAACAGTACTCACCCTCGAACTCCATCGTGTGATCATAACGCGGTGAGGACATGTAGGCGGCAACACGTTCTCCGACAGCCACATCAAGTGGTTCTGCAACGCGGTCGTCGCCAGCGCCGCGCAACCTCCACCAGTACGTAAGTGCGCGCCCATTGTGGACTTCTCGCGATGACGAGTAGTGGGTCGCAACGGCTGAAAGGGGTATTGAGTCCCTTGGAACTTGGAGGCATAGATATTTAACGTAGAGGCGACGCGGATTTCGCCATGATGGGGAACGTAGTTATGATGGCGCCGAATGTCTCCACACAGGATGGTGGAGCGGAAGAGCTTCCGACTCTCGAGTCCCAGATGGAACCACCTGGCCTCGAATAACATCGGACTTGCAGGTATATGATGCCTGTACCGGAAATTATTGGGGAATTCTTCCCTGGTCTACGTTGTGAGCCGCTCCCCTGTCTCTGATCATTGTCTGCACTTACTTACCATTCATACAACCGGGTGCCCCAATGCACGGTACCTATAATGTCAGGTAGGCTAACACAAAGGTATCGCAAGCGCAGTGACACATCGGCGCGACGGCCCAGGCAGGCCTATTAGCATGCCCTGGCACACTGCACATCCAGCCGCAGTACTGCGGCAGCAGACTAAGTACAGCTCGGCGTCCTTAGCAAAACATGTGTCAGGTCAAGAGGCAAAACAGCCTCGCAGACAAGCCAAGCCGTGAGGCCGCATACGTGCAGATTGGAAGGAGGTAACTGCAGAAGACACTGCACGACGCACAGGCGCTGAGATGTTCACGAACCCGCATATAGGTATTGCGCCAGAGAGACAGCCAATGCCGCTCACAAGACGGAAGCGGCTGTAAGGCACAAACTGACCGCTGGATCGAAAATCATGTAAGTTACGAGGACCGCGTACAGGATGGCGGAGAGACTCACCACTAGTCTGGCTAGAGGTTATCTTGATCGCGCCTTGTGGCTTCAACGGAGACCGACCGTCGCTGTGCTACTACAGAAGCAATATATGGTTCTACAGTCTACCGGCGTGCTGTTGAAAGATCCTGCGGGGGTTGGGATGGTTCCAGGTCGCCTGTAGAAGTCGATATGCATTTACCCCTTGGAGCGACGGTATGACAGTCAAAGATGATGCATATAAGTGCCTGAGACACAGAATTCCGTACAACAAGAATGAAACATGACTTTCACTGTCCAGCGGCGAAGGGTGTCAACGTATGGATGGCCATGCTATACAAGCGGTACCGGACCGGTATGCCCACAGTGATCTGTTTACTTGCCTCGTCCCTAGCCCGTTTCAATGTAGAGTCATCAGTTAGGCTGTGGAAGCACAGAGACGCATGCCGCAGACGGTGAGCGGGTAAGCTTGTAGTGAGCTTGAGGCCTTGAGGGCGGCGCCGGTTGGTCCTTTCGGGGAGGTCGCCTCGGTTCGAAGCGGATCGGGCGAGGATCGGGATTATGCGCAGGTGACCGCGGCGAGTGCACAGGCGCCGCGGCCGGGCGTCACCACGATCTAGCTCTGGTCCGGCTCTGGTCCGCCTACTTACACAGGTTGAGACGGTAAACTCGAGCTTATACCCTTCTTATTCTCACCTCACACCCCTCGCAACCCGAGTCACCTTCCTTAACCCTCTCAACTCCCCATGTCGACCCTTTCGCATTATGGCAAGGGTGCCCTCCGTGTGGCCAAGAACTACACCAAGGGCTACTCGCACACACAGGCCAAGGTCCGCGATGCAACGTCAAACGACCCATGGCCACCGTCGGGCAGGCAGATGCATGAAATTGCCCAGTTGACGTACAACCAGTGAGTTGGGCGGACCTGCTAGCTATGAGGCGACAATGCAAGCTGATGTGGCTATGACCAGACAAGACTTCATCGACATCATGGAGGTTTTGGACAAACGACTCAATGACAAGGGAAAGAATTGGCGGCATGTGTTTAAGGTGTGCTATTCGTGCTTGGGATGCCCCTACAGCCAAGACTCACATGCTGTCCGAACTAGTGCTTAACATTAATTGATTACCTCCTCCACGCTGGATCAGAAAACGTCATTCTTTACTTCAAGGAAAACATGTACATTATCAAGACTCTCAGGGAGTTCCAATACATCGACGACGAGGCCAAAGACCAGGGCGCCAACGTCCGCCAAAAGGCCAAGGGCATCGTCGCCCTCCTGCAGGACGAGGCCCGACTCCGGCACGAGCGCCGCACCCGTGCGCAGATGTACGAACGCATGGCTCGCGGACGCCGCTCGGACGATTCGGACGTGACCGATGACGAGAACGCCCGCAGACGCAGCCGGCTCCCTGCTAACCGCCCTCGCTGGGCCAGGATGATGAGCATTTGCGGAGAGCGATTGAGGAGAGTAAGCGCGAGGCGGAGAGGCAGCGCCAGACGGCAGAGGATCTGGACCTGCAGCGGGCGCTCGAGCTGAGTAAGGAGGATGAGGAGAGGAGGAGGAAGTCTCTCCAGGGCGCGAACCTCATATTGTTCGATGACCAAGGGCAGGCGTGAGTGCACGTCCATTACTCCCGTATTATTTCTCACTCCTCTACAGTGTTCAGCAGCCGCAGACGGCTCCGTTGATCGATGCTACCTTGCCACTGCAGTATGCGACGACCGGAATCCAGCCTCAGTACACAGCCATGCCTATGCAGCCACAGTTCACCTCCTTCAACCCCTTCCAGCAGCAAGCCCAACAGGAGATGTTGGCAGTACGTTACTGTTGACTGATCCTATATCACAGGCTGACAGTTGCCCGACAGGCGCAATATGCACAACAGCAGGCAGAATGGCTCGCAATGCAACAAGCGCAAGAAATGCAGGTCATGCAGCAGGCACAGCTGCAAGCTCAGCAAGAAGAGTGGATGCGACAACAAGCGGCACTCCAAGCTCAAGCTCAAGCGCAGCAGCTGATCATGCCCCAACCCACTTCCACCCGCATCGGGTCGAATAACCCTTTCGCTGCCCCTCAGTCCGCGCCGCCCTTGCAGCAAACCTTCTCGTCCAGCCCGTCGCCCACAGGGCCCGCCTCGTTCAACCTCACGGGCACGTATGCTAACCGCGACAGCCTCTTCCACCGCGACCCCGCGCGTTCACCACCAACCCACGAACGGCGCGCCGCATCCGAAGCGGGGACGTCCGCAGCAGGTCCAGGTCGGCGCCCTGTACGCACGGGCGTCGACGAGCAGCACGCGAGGCTCGCAAGCCTCTTTGCGACCCGCGAGGAGGACGGCGTGGATACGTTCGGGAATGTGGGCAATCTGCGGTTCGCGGCGACGGAGGCTGGCCGGATCGTCGTGCAGAAGACGGGCCATGGGAGTCACAATCCATTCTTGCAGCAACAGCAGCAGGAGCAGCCCCAGCGGAATGGACGTGCGCAGGACGGCTCGTTGATCGATTTGTGAGGTGCGGGTGTGCGACTGCCTCGTATTCTCGTCGTTTCTTCGTCTGCATCTAATTTTGTAGTTTACTGTCCTCACCCTTTGCCCTCGAGTTGCTGTTCCTGTCATTGAGGATCCTTCGGACAGCACGGATACGGAATACTCACACATCTTGTACCCTAGTGTATTATCTGTAATGTCTATACGATACCAGTGTCTAGCGGACCTCCGATTGCGTAGATATAATTGTACATTAATGCGCCTGGCTTTCGTAGCCAGGTTGACTTACTTATTGGAAATATTTTTGTTGTCACCCAAAGCTTGTGCCGGCCGTCCGTCACCGTTGCTCCCAAGGTACGCTTCCCGTCCCACGAAGTCAGCCGTGGTATCTCCTATTCCGGCGGTGAGAGATAATGGCGTGCGCTGGCAGTAGCTCCCCAAGATACAGCAGCTGACCTTTGAGTGCGCGTTATATACACATTGGGGTCCACCTGATCGTGTGTTGCTCTGAGCAGGGGCTATAGGATGCGATTGCGTGTCTGAAGAACCCTGAGCAGGACCACCAAGCTTGGGCTATCTCTCGTTGACCTCCAGCACCGTAAGCAGACATGGCGACGATAGCACGCGCACCGGGGGACTGCTGCATCAAGACCGTCGAACACTCGGGAACCGCGCGGGGGACAGTCGAGAAGTTTGCGGGCGTTGACACGTATGTTTCGCGTCCGGCTGAATTGGGGGAGAAGCGGAAGATCATCTTGTTCTTCGCGGACGTGTATGGGCCGTTCTTCCTGAACTCGCAGTTGATCATGGATTATTGGGCGTCCAATGGTGAGTGCCCATCCGTCATGCTGGAGGTTCATGAGCGGGTAGAGCGATTGATGATTGATTATATGGATAGGGTACCTGGTGTTGGCGTTGGATTACTTCGAGGGTGATCCGGTGCAGAATCACCTGAGCAAATTGGGGAAGAACTACCGCATCGAGTTTGACTTCGTCCCTGGGAAGCTGATCCGCGCCAGGCAGATCACGCCGGACTGGCTGGACGCGGTGAAGGAGCAATTTGGTGAGTCCTGTTGTAACACCAGTGTCATTTTGGTATGAATCCTTCGGCGTGGCAGGGACATCGCAGACGCAATGGTTGACTGTAGGTAAGCCGTATCAGTGGATGTTGAGGGAGGAGCCACTCAATGGTATGGACTGCAGGATATTGCTTCGGCGCACCTTTCGTGATGGAATGTATGGCGAAGGACTGGATCACCGCAGGTGGGCCGAGTTGTACAGCCTTGACCGGACGGCGATTGATAATGAACACGAAGGTGCATTCGGGCACCCCGCCGTTTTAAAGGATCAGCACTTCCGGGACATGAAGAGTAAGTGGAGAAGAATTGCTACGTGAAAAAGCACTAACCAATCGTCAAACATAGAGCCGTTGCTACTCTCGTGTGCAGGTAATATCCTGATGAGCTGAGGAAAGCTACCTCCGGTCGGCTGATGTCCATGCACCACAGAGGTCGACCATACTTTCCCCTTGGAGTTCCGCCGCCGGGCTGAAGACATCATGATTGAGATCAAGGCCACGTACCATATTCAGGTCTTCTCCGGGGTGACCCACGGCTTCGCGCTCAGGGGGAACGTGAACGATCCTGTCGCAAGTGAGTGACCCACGCAAATGATGTCGAGTGAGTGCGAGATTATTGACCATCTTGGACAGGATGGGCGAAAGAGCAGAGCGCGTCGACGATTTTGAGCTGGTTCGACAACTTCTGTGCTGCAGAGCAGCGGCCTGAGGTCAAGCTGTAGAAATGGATGCGAGCGATCTGCCGTAGGAGGATGGATGACCGCGTGCTACTCCGGCCTGTTGTACATTCATGTCGTACTAAGTACTAGCACCTGAAGTCGCTGGCTTCAAGATTATAGATCCAGTATTGATAAGTACTGCTTCAACGTGGTCTCCATCTGTAGAGATCGAGAGAATCATACTTATGCAGCGTAGGCGATTTACAGAAGTCGGACGTCGACCATTGAGTTGAACCAGGGCTAGTTGAGCGTGCACGCCAATGTGATACAATCAGATATTGTTCCTAGTGTCTGTCATCTGTCACAGCAACAATTGTCTGAGCAGACATGAGGAACTGGAACAGAGTCGAAATTGCCAGTGACCAAGAAGGAAAGCGTGGCCCAGGCTTACATAATTCATTCCCGCCTGTGGCGCACGCCTTTGCGCGCGTCGAACTCCAGTCGCGCTTTCATCTCTTCTGCCACCTTCCTCGTCGCGTTCTGCGAAATCATCAACGATGAGTGTAAGCTCGCGCGTCACTCAGGCATGCCCATCAGCTCACCATTATATCTACCAGACCCTCGACGTGCCAATGGAAGAAGACGTCCTCAGCGACGTGGTACCCAGTAATATAGTCTCACGTCAGGTTGGTGTCCATGTGTCGTTTCAAGAACAAAAGGCTCAGACACTGTCACAATTTTAGCAAAGTGAGGGCGGAGAGAGTGAGTATGACGACGAGGCCCAAGAGGAGGTGCCGGATGTGGATGAAATTCAGAGCGAAGATGAGGACAGGGTAAGTGCCGGAGCTCAAATCGCAGTCTAACGCGTTCAGTGTAGTCTGACGCGTTTCCTTTGCTGCAGGGCGAGGGAAGCAGCGCGCAGTCACCATCCAAGTCAGCTCGCGCACAAGCGGCTGTCGAGCGAAAGCAGAAGCGGAGGGTTGAAGAGGACAAGTTGCACGTGAAACGACAAGCAATGGACAAGGCTAAGGTAGGCATTTCATTCTCCATCTAAGACCGTTCTGCTCATGGTGCACAGATCTCCGATGCTGTCAAGCGATACTCGTATCTACTCGGGCAGACCGAGCTATTCAAGCATTTCGTAGACATCAAGGTAAGATTGCTTGTAGTGGCTAAGTGATGTATACATACTCAATCCCTACCCAGAAAGCACGCGACCCCGAGTATGCTGCAATGCTGGATGCTCAACCTAAGCCGAAAGGCAGGGGTCGTAAGAAAGCGGTGTACGTGGTTCACGTTCTTCACATGCACTGAAGTCATGAATTCATATGTTACATCACAGAGACAATAATGCTCGCCACCGGAAATCAGAGAAGGAGGAGGATGAGGAATTGCTCAAGGGAGGCGAGATGGCTGCGGACGGCGATGACCAGCCCTTTGTATTCGAGGAATCCCCGAGTTGTGAGTGTACTGTTACGAGCCTTACGCACCCGTGCTGACTCCTTCACCAGATGTCAAAGGAAAAATGCGGCCATACCAGCTGCAGGGACTCAACTGGATGGTCTCTCTGCATCACAATGGCCTGAATGGTATCCTTGCAGACGAGATGGGTTTGGGAAAGACGTTGCAGACCATCTCTTTCCTGGGCTATCTGAAGCACTATCGCAATACCGTTGGCCCACACTTGGTGGTCGTCCCGAAATCAACGCTGCAGAATTGGTCGCGCGAATTCGAAAGATGGACGCCTGATGTCAATACCGTGCTATTGACGGGTTCCAAGGAAGAGCGGGCGGCGCTCATTACAAACAGGCTTATTCCGCAGGACTTCCATGTGCTCATCACGTCGTACGAAGTCTGTCTCATTGAGAAGTCTGCGCTGAAGAAGTTCTCATTCGAGTACATCATCATCGACGAGGCGCACCGTATCAAGAACGTGGACTCCATCCTGTCGCAGATAGTCCGCTCCTTCCTCTCGCGAGGGCGTCTGCTCATACAGGAACACCTCTGCAAAACAACATGAAGGAACTCTTCGCGTTGTTGAACTTCATTTGCCCAGAAATCTTTTCCGACTACGCCGATCTCGAGAGCTTCCTGCATAAGGACGACACGGAAGCAGATGAAGACGATGCGAAGAGCAAGAAGGTCGTGGAGGCGTTGCACAAGATTCTGCGGCCCTTCCTACTGCGTCGCGTCAAGAGTGATGTCGAGAAAAGCCTGCTGCCTAGTAAGTGAATCAGCAATATCATCCCGTGTCTTGTAGGTGACTGACCCATATGATGTAGAAAAGGAAATCAACATCTATGTCGGTCTCACGGAGATGCAGCGGAAATGGTATCGTTCCGTCTTGGAGAAGGATATCGATGCTGTGAATGGTAGGCACCACTCGGGTTTTCGGCCATTTAGTTTTTTATTTATTTAACTCACGAGCTCTTAGGTCTGACGGGCAAGAAGGAAGGCAAGACGCGGCTGATGAACATGGTCATGCAACTGCGCAAAGTCACTTGTCATCCTTACCTATTCGACGGAGCAGAACCTGGTCCACCATATACAACCGACGAGCACCTTGTCGAGAACTGCGGGAAAATGGTCATTCTGGACAAGCTGCTGAAGTCCATGAGGGCCAAGGGTTCGCGCGTCCTCATCTTTAGTCAGATGAGCCGGATGCTCGATATTCTCGAGGACTATTGTCTATTTCGCGGATACAGTACGTCCCTTGTGATGATCCGTTCTGTTGATTTTCCTGATGGGATCTACAGAGTATTGTCGTATCGACGGTGGCACTGCTCATGAGGATCGTATTGTCGCGATTGACGAGTACAACAAACCTGACAGCGAGAAGTTCATCTTCCTTCTGACCACCCGTGCTGGAGGTCTTGGTATCAACCTGACGACTGCCGACGTCGTTGTACTCTACGATAGCGACTGGAACCCTCAAGCTGATCTCCAGGCCATGGACCGCGCTCACCGTATTGGCCAGACGAAGCAAGTCTACGTCTTCCGTTTCATCACTGAAGGCAGTGTTGAGGAACGTATGCTCGAGCGTGCAGCTCAGAAGCTGCGCTTGGATCAGCTCGTCATCCAGCAAGGTCGGACGCAGTCCACCAAAGGTATGTCGTGATACAGTGCTGCTGAGCACCCGTCCTCACCCATACACAGCCGCCAACAAGGAAGAACTGCTGGATATGATCGCACACGGCGCCGAGCAGATAGTGAACTCTTCGGATGAGTGAGTGGATTGTCGCTGTAGTACGATACGTCACTTACGTTGTGTGCTAGTCTCATGATTAACGACGACATCGACGCCATCATCCAGCGTGGAGAAGCACGCACGACCGAGTTGAATAGCAAGTACGAGGTTCTCACTTTCGACGATCTGAGTAACTTCAAGTCGGAGGCTTCCGTACAACAGTGGGAGGGCGAAGACTTCCGGGCAGGAGTGAGTATCCCTCGTTTGATCAGCGATTCTCCGTGGCTGACTCTCATTGTAGCAGAGGAAGACGCTGCAGTTCAACCCTCTGTCGCTGTCGAAGCGTGAACGCAAGCTCAACTACTCGGTCGACGGCTACTTTAAGGATGCCATGCGTGCAGGTCCGTCGAAAACGGAGAAGGCACCAAAGATCCCGCGTGCCCCGAAGCAGATTCAACTGTATGTTTCGTTTGAAGTCGTCCTTCAGGGGACCCGTCTAATATGGCTTGCTCGTCTTAGTCAGGACTTCCAGTTCTTCCCCCCTCGGTTAGCTGAGCTTCAAGAGCAGGAGTTGGCGGCACACAAGGTTAGTATCTCATCAATGTCGAGTGAACCCGTCCTGATGTATTGGGTTGTAGAGAGCAAATGAGATCCCAGCCACTCTTCGTGAGCCCGCTGGTCCAGAGGATACTCCTGAGAAGCTTGAAGCCGAGCGACAAGCAGCTCAGGAGTACATTGATAACGGTAAGCTTTCATTGTGCCGTAGACTGTACTGACACTGATGAGACGCTTTGTTCAGCGGAGCCTCTGACTGAGGAACAGCTCGCTGAGAAGGAAGAGTTAATTGCGAAAGGCTTTGAGGACTGGAGCAGACGTGACTTCCAGCAGTTCATTCGTGCGCTGGAGACATACGGGTGGTGAGTTGCCATAGCCAGACCTTCTCGCGCAGGCTGGCCAACATTCTTTGTAGGACCGATAACTACGAACTACTGGCATCCGAGATCCAGGACAAGACTCCTGACGATGTGGCTAGATACTATCCTATCTTCAAGAAGAAGTGGAAAGAGCTCGCCGGTACGCATCATCCTTGAGTTGATCAGACTTGTTGAATTCACAAATGATACAGAGTATCCACGCGTCAAAGCTCGCCTCGAGGAGGGTGAGGCCAAGCGGAACAAGCGATCAAACTTGGAGGCTCTTCTTTCCAAGAAGATTGCTTCTGTCCGGTATCCTATGCAGGAACTAGAGCTCAACTACCCACCACGAAGGGCAAAGTCTACTCTGAGGAGGAAGACCGATACCTGCTCTGTCGCCTCAATCACTACGGCATGCGTGCAGACGATGTCTATGAGATGATCAAGAAGGACATCACCGAGTTCCCTGTCTTCCGGTTCGACTGGTTCTTTAAGAGCCGTAGTCCGCAAGAGCTGCAGCGGAGATGTAACACTTTGCTGGGCATGATCGAGAAGGAGGCAGAGGTGAAACAGGCCGAGGAGGTCAAGACGAAGAGCCTCAAGAGCAAGGTTTGTCCAGCCGCCACCTACATGTTGGGCATGACTGACTGATGCTATGTATAGAAGCGGGGCATTGAGGACGTACAGAAGGCAGAGGGAGACACTAGGTCGTCGACGCCTGCTAGTACCGCTAATGCTGCACCAGCGAAGCGTGCGTACAAGAAGCGGAAGACATGAAGTTTCACTCTTTGCGACCGCGTCCTTGGATTCCCTTTTTGTCTAGCCATAACATAGAATACTGTACATGACACTGTTATTATGAGTTGTATGAGATGCATGCTCGGGGGCTGCGTTTGGTCGTGTGGGCGGTATCCATCTGTTCCGCGCCCGATGTGGCGGTTCGCGTCAAAAGTAACTCGTCCATAACCATGTCGGCTCAAGTTGCCTTGCCAGGTGACTTCGGCGCAGACACGCCTCCGCCATATAGTGAGAACGTCCCCCACAACCTGCGTCGAGCCACCGCCCGTCTTCAATTCCCGCCCTCATATGTCGTCGTCGGCATATATAGACTCTTCACGGATAGGAATCTGTTTGTCCCAGCATGGAAGAAGTGCCAGCATGGAGTCGTGAGAGGTCTGGGAGTTGGGTTGGTGTGGGTGCGTCGTCCAACCTCCTCACATCATGTTCGGATTGTTGACAGGTATGGTCACGGTCATTGTAGGCAGTATCGACCTTCAAGCTTCAGCGTTGGATCATAGAACGTTTCTACATGAAGTTCGTGGGTGGTTCGCACCGTTAGCAACTCGGAGTCGCATTCCTTACAACCTTGTTCGCAACAGTTCTCCTCGAGTTCTGGGTCTCTCGACTACGGGACGACGTTGGGGTCGTACGTGCCCTTTGATCTACGTACATGTGCGTATGCTACCTCGCGTGCTTGACTGCCGCTCATGAGCATCATATTCCAGTCGCCACGTTCTTCTTCGTGGCCACGCAAGTTTCTGGCATCGTCACATATTTCGTCTCTCATGGTCTCCGCGTTGCACGAGAGCGAGCATACAACCAAACCATCGAGTCCAGGAATAAGGGGCCGGACTTCTGGCATCCGTACGTGGAGGAGTGGGACAATCCTCCTACAGTAAGCAAGAGCGTTGGGGTCACCATATCCTGAGTGGTACTTTGGGAAGGTTTGCCATCAGACGTGAGTGTCATCTAATACATTGCCCGTGTTCAGCGAGGCTGATCGTTCTGCGTGACTGTCTGTAGTACTCTTCTTGCATTTGAAATTGTCCCACTTGTGGGCATGGCCATTCTGCCTGGTTCCGTGCTCTTGGCACGGCTCGTTACCTCCACAAGCCAGTAAGTGAGGAGCACTATGTGATGAGAAGCTTGTTTAGATTGACCCTTGCACCACTAGTACTTCCAAGCGAAGGGTATGACCACGGAACAGGTGTCCATCTTCATGGAGGAGCGCAAGTGGGACTACAGAGGTGCGAGAATCAAGCTCGTGGGCTTCCTTGCTATGCTCACACCATGATGGCGCCCGGCAGCGTTCGGCTTCGTCGCAGCTCTTCTTGAGCGCATTCCGCTCCTCGGACTGGTATTCTCGGTATCGAATCGCATTGGCGCTGCTATGTGGGCTGTCGGTACGTTCCTTTACTGGTTGTCTCACATTTGTCAAGGAACGTGTTGGTTCTTACGCCGGTGCCGTATCGTTAGATCTTGAGAAACGACAGCATTATGTGGCTGAGATGAGAATACCTCCGGGAAGCAAATCGAACCAAGTGAAGCTCATTGAACGCTCACTATTGTACTTGTAAAGCGACTGGCGATGCAAATGCGATGTCACTCAGATCGGACGTTGTGAAGCTGTTGCGGCGTTTGACACACAGTCGTTTGCAGCCCAGCTGCGCTAACTCGCTTCGTGCTTATCATGCCATCATCCTGCCGCGGTACAGTACTGAAACGCCCAATCGTCTTTCTAGAGAGTCGTCACAGGCCTGATGGAAACCATGCACTGCGCTCGTGCCCTCTGGCGTACCCTCGGATATGGCTTAGTATCAGATATACTGTTGTGGTAACCCCATTGAAACCGGTCGCTTTCGCGTCCCGCCTTACTCAAACACGGCGGCTTGGCACTTCAAGGCTACAGGTGAGCTGGCTGAGCTGCCATCTCATGTTATGTACCGTTCACTTCACCATAAGGGCTCAACCGTCCGTATGCATCCGTCGTGAAATGCATATGAAGTTGGCCCTGTGATTGGAATGATGCGGCTCGTTCTGCTGCATGGTACAGAGTGTACCACCCGGGGAGGTCCTACAGCCGCTGAAGAACATCGCTTGTGTCCTGTGCTTCTAGCGTCCTCCTGAGGTATATGAGGTTCCAGTCAGACGAACAGGAGGTCTCACACATACTGCCCTGCGCATACGTTATGTCGCTGGCTGGAAGATCGAGAACTCCGCGCCCTGGTCCACCTGATAACGACGCCTCCGAGGTGGTCATCCAGGAGTGGCAAGCAGGAGCAAAGAACTCACCATCGATCCATCGACTTCGCTTCTCCCCTCTCCCGAGCTGTTCGATGCAAGGAGGAGCCTATTGGGTGCCTGCGGCATGGTCTCGGACATCGTCGCTGAGCCACAACACCGTCTTATGGAGATAGCCTCTGAATACTACATATCACGGGCTCTGCATGTGGCAGCGGAAGGTCGCATTGCCGATTACTGTCGGATGCAGACCAGCGGAAGGCATGCATGTCAAGGACATCGCTGAAAAGGCTGGCGTTGACCAGCGGAAACTGGGTACGTGCCCTCTGACGTGTTCGATCGCCTCACGCTGACTACTGGATAGCGAGAGTGCTTCGCGCTCTTTCCTCCGTGCATGTGTTCAAGGAGGTCAAGGAGCTTCAATTCGCCAACAGCTGGACGTCACAGGCGTTGCTGGTAACGATGCACTGAGATGCTGGCTCTTGACTAAGTATGCCGCCCGTTTCCATCAGACTATGGACACTCACAGCGCCCGAACATATTTGCAGCGGATTAGAAGTTTACACCGCATCAGAAGGTTTACTTAGAGTCCTCTTCGATCCAGCGCGCAAGGCGTCCCATTCACTCCATGATACGGCCTTCAACGAGGCACATCACACGAAGTTGACCTTCTGGGAATTCCTCGAACAAGGAGAGGAACAGCAAGATGGGACTGTGAAACCTCGACGTGGGCTGGAGATATTCAGTCTTGCCATGTTAGGCGGTGGACGTGTTCACGCGCCTCCATTGTACGCGGGTACGTGTGTCACCACTTTCTTGGTCGACAACCCCCGGGCGCTCACAATTCGACTGCGCAGACTATCCTTGGGGTGCACTCGGTTCTGCGACTGTAGTGGACGTGGGAGGAGGCGTAGGTAGGTTCAAGCTTTCCTCGCCCCAAGAGTAAGACATGACCTATCTCTGTAGGCGGGATGTGCCTAGAGCTGGCGAAGAGATATCCGGAACTCAAATTCGTTCTCCAAGACAGGCCGCCCGTGATAGAGAAGGCCAAGGCTGTATGGCAACGCGAACTACCAGAAGCCATAGAGTCGCAGCGTATATCGTTCATCGAGCACGACTTCTTCACAAAACAGCCTGTCAAAGGCGCCGAAGTTTACTTTATGCGCAATGTCCTGTGAGTCCCGCGGAAAGCGCCGCTGTTCTGATGTTTATAAACACCTTGCGCGCAGTCACGACTGGCCAGATGATGAGTCTTGCACGATCTTCAAGCACCTTCACGACGCCATGGGCCCCAACTCTCGCATCCTGACTGCCGACCAAGTCATCCATACTACGATAGGCTCGAAGTACCTCAAGTCCGCCCCGTCACCATTGCCAGCCAACTACGGATACGCACATCAACTGGCTCATATCCGGGACATGAACATGATGACGCTATTCAATGCCAAGGAACGCACGCCGGAGGATCTGGACGAGTTGGCACAGCGGGTGTCGTTGAAGGTGGCGAAGGTATGGGAATGCCGCGGCATGTTGTCGATCACGGAGATGAGGAGGCAGGAGGACGTCGCGGTTGTGGCTACGGCCCTGCCGTCAATGGACAAATGACTGCATGAGATAGGAAATTGAACTCTAAGCAGGTATGACGAAGTCAGTAAACATGGTCTACTTAGGCGTACCGCAAGCCGCGAGTTGTACAGTATAACGTACCAACTTGGCCATGTGCCCGTACGCTCTTCGACGTTGTCATATGCCGTCTGCCGCCCATGATGCGCCCTTGGTGAACCGGACCATGTGTCTCAGATGATCCATATGGATCGTTTTCTACTGCCCAGGGCATTATCCAGAGAGGGAAACTCATGCTATATTCGGCATCGGACATTACAGACGACCGTGCCTGGACCCCCTTGCGGGATCTTACGACAGCGCGCTACTTGGGCTTGTTGTACAAGAACACAACAGCGCGCAGGTGTAGGAACGGACTTCCCCCAGCAGTGTTTGTTCCCTGCGGACGCTTCAAAGTAAGGGTTTTGTTAAACGCACAGGACATTTCGTCTGACTTGCTTTCTGTTGAACTTCAGATTATCAAGAGCCATGGGCGTCGAGACTCTCAACGAGGACACACTTACTCTCGTTGTCTCATACCTGGGGTCCGTGGATGCGCATAGGCTGTCCTCCACTGCACGACTGTTCCACGGTGTCGCCAGAGTGCATGCGCTGAAAGATGTGACGATCCACTCTTTCCCGAAAGTCATCAAGTTCTGCGACTACATGCTCCAAGACGGGCGTGACCGCTTGTCTTCGCTGCGCGCACTTAGGATCCAATGCTTCGTAGAAAACGAGCACCGGTTAGCTCAACAGGAGCCTCGCTTTCATCAACACTCGGAAGGCGAGTACAGAGCCGGAGCGGGCCTCCTTGCGGACCTGTTGCAGGAAATCCCCGACCTTCGAGTCCTGGTCCTGCACCAGGCGGAAGTGTGGATGATGTACGAACGGCGCATCGTCACGGTCGTCTCCGCTATGCGCCGTTTGGACGAACTCGGGCTCACGGACATCGGCCCACAGGTCTCGGACACACTGCACAGTCTTCAGAGTGCGCCGCGCAAGCTCGCCCTCGCCGACGCCGTCCAATGGTCGCTCCCACACAACTCAGTCCCACATATGTGGCGGCTCGATGGCGCGAATCTGTCCTTCCCGAGCGTACGATCCCTGTTGATCCGGGCCCCGCACCACCTGCCCGCTGCGCCCGACCTCGCGCGCATCTTCCCAAACACGCGCGAGCTGGACTTCGGGGAGCTGCACACGACGCACTTTCCGGTCCTCTTTGGGCCCCAGCCGCCACACGCGAGGTTAGTCGATTGGCCGTCACTAGAAGTCGTCCGCGCCACCGGATTCGCGCTCAAGTGGTGGAAGAACGCGCATCCGGTTCATTGTCTCGAGCTGCTCAGCCCGTTAAGGAAGATGGACAATAGCTCAGTCGGCGTCAGGCAGCTGAACCCAGCCGCGGAGCGCGACGACGCCCTGATGGCTGTGGCAAACGTCCAGCCGGTCGCGCTGATAGCGATTTTGAGTACCAGACTGGGTGACAGATACCTCAGGCAGCTCTTCACGAAGACGCGGCGCCTGCGATACGTCTCCGCGGAGATCTGGGATGTCCATAGGTTCGAGACCTGGCTACCTGACCTAAACAAGTGGTGGGTGAGTGTGCGATGCGGTAACTGCGGTGTGGGCATTGATCACTGACCCTGCAAGCCAGAGTCTCGTCCGTGGCACTTTCTCTCGATATCCGCCCATCGTGTGCCTGAAAGTGCGCTGCTCCGTGTTGAGAGAGCCACTCCCTCGAAGCGACACCGAGCAGACGGGATCGGACCCCACTGGTGCGCCAGCGACCTACGCAGAAGCTCTCGAGGCCATCCTCGCCGCGTTGCCTGAATGGGCGACTTCCGTCCCGACGCTTCGCTACGTGTCGCTCGATCTGCGGTCAACATCGCCAGCCTTGAAGGATCATCGTAGAATGACCGCCATTGGAAATGGCATACCGCGACCTGAGGTATGGACCGCTGGTATTTACTCAAGTGTTATGGAGACTGAGCCTGTGTCAGGACGACAAATCGGCGAAAGACGAGAATCTACACTGGTGGCAGATTGAGGGTGATGGGGACGGCCGAGTGGCACAATTGCTCGCACCTGCACAGGGAGAACGAATCGCTGCATTCCTCTGTTCATCGCGGTATGATTGGCAGACTGACCTTGATGCGCAGCCGATCGTTTGAATTCTGACAGTCAGTCTGCGATTGACATAGCTGGTCTAGGAGGGCGAAGGGCGGAGGGACACATTGAATGGCCGTTGCTTGCACCGCGACTGGTGGTGCATGCGGCCCATTGGCAGGGTGCGTTACCAATATGCGACCTCACATGGATTGCTGCAGGTTCCTTGTGCATATCTTACAGTAACGACGCCAAATCCGCTGATACGTGGTCCAATGCCTTCGGTTAGGACATGTTCCCGAGTCTCTTCGCCATTTCTTGGTCTGCACGCGGGTCCTCTCCGGCATGATTCTCGACCCAGCGGTCATCCTGTAGCTTGGCTGCCTCCATCTTGTGGGCAGCGTCGGCGGTCTTCTCTGCCGCAATGCCTGTGCGGGTCCGTCAGCATATTGGCACATGCGTGTGATGCAGCGTCCTCAACTCACCTCCTTCCCTCTGCACATATGCAGCCTCACGGTTCAGCTTGTCCACAAGCCTGTCTTCGTCGACAGCTCCCGCCGGCGCAGGGTGGACGGCGTCATGCACCTCTTGGCCGGACAGAGGGTCCCCTGAGATCGCTGAGGCATAGTTTGCTGCGGCTGTATGCGCCGTGCATTAGCGTCTGAACATCATCGATCTAAGGTACACGGAGTACTGACCACTCTGTGTCTTCGCTGCTGCAGAATACTTGTGCACTGTCCCCGGGAGGAGATTGGGATTGTTGACGTCGTCGCGGGCGTGTTTATCCGACTCTACAGCCTTTATTTCTGAGAGCGTCTGGAGGCGTTCGTCGGACATGTCGAGGTGTAAAAAAGCAATTGAATCGTAGCGAGAGAGATGCGGGAGCAAGGAGAGTGCTTGTCAGTGTCACGCTCGTCCAAGTCGTCCGCCATAGCCCCAGCGGAAACGAACGTCATCAATGGCGACGTGACGACGGTGCGTTGAGGAGGAGCTTGCAGACGCCCGCTGAAGGCTGTGACAGCTATTCGCCACAAAGCACATGCCTGTGACATGTCGCGTTCGACCAACGGATCGAATCCGGCTTATTACTTAGATTTTGTGTCTGTCATGCCACGGTGTCCTTTAGGTGCCTCAGTCTAACACGTCGCGACTTTGTCGCGACTCGCGTTTGATTATCTCGAGTTGTTCGCGCAGTCATATCGAGGCAACAGCGGAGGCGCTGGGGTGTGGGCAAATGGCGCGGTACGATCAAGCGACAGGGATAGCCTGAGAGTGCGTACAGTCTCGACCGCGTCACTTGTACCGTACCGTGACGCTCACATCTCCGAGTCAGAGGGAGGCTACTCTCATACTTAGCATCTACGCGTTCCGAGTGGTGAGTAGATAAGCTTACCTGTCTATTCACATTCTAACTTAAGTACAGAAGATTGATAGCGAATCGGCGGCCAGTACCAGTGTGGAATGATGTCTCTTCGATGATCAGCTGATCTTGGCCGCGCATGTGCGTCTCGCGAATCGTTTGGGTCCGAGTGTGTCCATTGTCCGCCGGCCAGTTTCCGACACTAGCTACCTCGATTGACCATTCGACGGTGAGTCTTGATCCAAGTCTACAGCGAAACACCCGGACTGACGGTACTACTAGGCCCTACATCGTCGTTGACAGCGAGGATGAGCTTCCAATCGCTCAACGAGGACGCGCTCGCAGCTATCGTATCTCATCTGGACGCGTCAGACGCACGCAGGCTCTCGTTGACCACCCGCGCGGTCTACATTCTCGCCAAATATCAGTCGCTGACGTCGGTCGCGGTGCACTCGTTCGAAAACACTGTCATATTCTGCCGATATTTTCTCGCCGATATGCGACATCGTTTCTCTGCCTTGCGCACTCTGGAGATCCACAGACAGGCCCCATGGCTCAACATACCACCTTCTGGAGAAGAAAAATCAGCCGCGGCGCGCCTCCTTGCTGATGTGTTAGCAGGGGCGACGAACCTACAGAGGCTCGTGCTAACCAATGCAGAAGCATGGATCACTCACGATCACCATATCGCCGACGCAATCTCCTCGATGACTCACCTGGCCGAGATTGAATTGGAGGGCCTCGGTCACCTCACCTCTGACATGATCTCCAAGTTGCGGTCCCAACCACGCAAACTTTCATTGACGGAAACCACCCGTTTATCATACTTGACATCTTCCGGGTTCTATCTCAGCAAAGACGTGTGTCTCCCGAGCGTGCAACGTTTGATGGTTACCGAGTATGCAGTCTACCTCATCACGCTGGCTGACTGTGCGCGGGTCTTCCCAAATGTCCGCTGGGCTGACCTGGGAAGCCTCGAGAGCCGATCACGCCCCTTTGGCATCCTCACTTGGAACGATGCAGTCGGCCATCAAACTGTCGTCGAGTGGCCACTACTCGAGCACCTCAGGGGACCAACAGCTGACATCCGTAACTCAGCCTTCGTAGTACCCATTCATTCGGTGGAAATCACCACTAAGTTGGACCCGGATCTGGGCCTGGTTTGGTTTGCTGATGAAGACTCAGAAAGAGATGAACGGCTTCAAGCGGTCATGATTGTACGCAGTTCGCAGCCTGTCGCCCTCTTGGCCAGCGCACATTCGGATATCGCAGACGACTTCTGGCTGATGTTCGTGACGTCGTCGGGACGTTTACGATACCTCTCTGTCACGCTCTATGACATCCGTGTTTCCTCGCACTCGGCTAATAAGATATATGCGTGGTGGGTGAGTGCAGATATCTTTGATATACTGGCCGGTAGAAAGAGAGGCTTACAATCTGGAACAGGAGAAATTTGTCCCAGTGGCCGCCCGTACGAACATCATATGTCTGAAGGTGCAATGCGACTCGAGGCTAGATACAAACCCAAGTTGGGACCCGACGACTGGGCGCCCGTGCGCTGGACCTTCCGATATGGTCGGCGCGATCATGACTATGACTATGTTCCCCACTTTAGCGAAGTCGGTGCCATCTCTGCGTTACCTGTGCGTCCACGTCCCGGCGCATCCAAACTGTTCCTCCCCCTTGGAGAGCTTAGTATCAGTATCAGAGGACGACGAGATGCGTGCGTCTACGTATTGGTGGAAGTTACGCGGCCCTGGCGACGACCGGGTTGCAGAGCGACTTGATGCAGCCATCGGAGAACGTGTTGCGGCCTACATGTCTTCGGCGCGTTATGACTACACGAAGGATCTTGACGGTGAGTTCCCGGTGACTCTCGGTGTACTCGAGACGCTCAATCGTGGCGCTCTTCCAGAGACTAGTGATGCGATATGATGATTCGATACCACTCGTAAGTGCTTTCCTGCCACTCGCGCAGACGGCATTCGTCAACCAGTCATATTTTATCCAGGCATGTCGAGGGCTTAGCAGGTGCATCGAACGACTGGGCTAATGCAATTGCTGCTGTACTACATAACAATCAGAAGCGACATCGTGCTTGGTTGTCTAGAGTTATTCACGCAATCATATCGAGGCAACATAGGGCAACACAAACACAGGGTCACGGTGCACGGTGGCAGGCGCGATCAGCCTGAGGTGAGAGAGCGCGCACAGTTTTACGGTCTCGACCGCGTCATGTACCGTACCGTGACGCTCACATCTCCGTCGTCCGAGCCGGAGGAGAGCTACTCCCGTAGCCTCTACCCTCCGGCCGGTGAGTAATGAATACTTATCCATCGCTTGATAGTCTACAGAAGATTGATAGCGAACCAGCGGCCAGTGTGGAATGATGTCTCTTCATTGTCATTGAATCTGACCTCAATGATCAGCTGATCTTGACCGCGAGGCTCTGCATGTGCGTTTCGCGAGTTATTTGGGTCCGGACATGTCTACTGTCCGCCGACCGTTTTCCGCCACTAACTACTACCTTGGTCGACACTTCGACGGTGAGTCTTGATTCAAGTCTACAGCGAAACACCCGGACTGACGGTACTACTAGGCCCTACATCGTCGTTGACAGCGAGGATGAGCTTCCAATCGCTCAACGAGGACGCGCTCACGGCTGTTGTGTCTCATCTGGACGCGTCGGACGCACACAACCTGTCGTTGACCACCCGCGCAGTCTACATCCTCGCCAGATACCAGTCCCTAACATCGGTCACCGTACACTCGTTCGCAAACACCGTTAAATTCTGCCAATACTTTCTCGCCGATATGCGACATCGTTCTTTCGCCTTGCGCACTCTCGAGATCTACAGACCCGCTCCAGGGCTCAACATGGATGTGCCACCCTCTGGAGAAGAACAATCAGCCGCGGCGCGCCTCCTTGCTGATGTGTTAGTAGGGGCGACGAACCTCCAGAGGCTCGCGCTAATCAATGCAGAAGCATGGATCACTCATGATCACCATATCGCCGACGCAATCTCCTCGATGACTCGCCTGATCGAGATCGAATTGGAGGGCCTCGGTCAACTCACCTCGGACATGATCTCCAAGTTGCAGTCCCAACCACGCAAACTTTCGTTGACGGAATGCGAACGTTCATCAACCTATGCACCTTCCATCTTTCACCTCGAGGAAGACTTGTGTCTCCAGAGCGTGCAACACTTGGTGGTTACCGAGTATGCAGTCTGCCTCATCACGCTCGCAGCCTGTGCGCGGGCCTTCCCTAATGTCCGCTGGGCTGACTTGGGAAGCCTCCAGAGCCAGTTTCGCCCCAACCTCACATGGTACCACTGGCCTGCAGCCGACTCTCAAGCTGACGTCGAGTGGCCACTACTCGAGCATCTCAAGGGCCCAACAGCTGAAATCAGTGGTCCAGCCTTCGTAGTACCCGTCCACTTGGTGGAAATCACCACTCAGTTGAGTCCGGATCTGGACCCGGGTTGGTGCGACACCGATGAAGACTGGGAAAGTGATGAACGGCTTGCAGCGGTCATGACCGTACGCAATGCTCAGCCTATCGACCTCTTGGCCAGCGCATACTCGGATATCGAAGACGACTTCTGGTTGAGCTTCGTGACGTCGTCGGGGCGTTTACGATACCTCTCTGTCACGCTCAACGATATCCATGTTGCCTCGCAGTGCGTCAATCAGATATATGCATGGTGGGTGAGTGCAAACATCCTGGATACACTGGCCGATAGAAAGAGATGGCTTACAACTTAAACAGGAGAGATTTGCCCCGGTGGTTGCCCATACGAACGTCGTATGCTTGAAGGTTCAATGTGCCTCGAATCCGGAGACATACCCTTGGGACCCGACGATCGAGCGCCAGTCCATTGGATCTTCTCGTGTGGAAGCGTTCGGCGCGATGGCAATTATGCTCCCCACTTTAGGGAAGTCAGTGCCATCTCTGCGTTATCTATGCCTCCACGGTCCGGCGTGTTCGGTACCAGAGGACGACGAGATGCGTGCGTTCACGTTCTGGTGGAGGTTCCGCGGCACCGGCGGCGACCGGTTTGCAGAGCCACTTGACGTGGCCATCGGAGAACGTGTCGCTGCCTATATGGCTTCGACGCGTTATGACTACACAATGGAAACGTTTGACGGCGGTGAGTTCCCGGCTGCTCACGGTGTACTCGAGCTGCCTAACTGTGACGCAATTCCAGACGCAGGATTCGAGATATGATGACGAAGCGGTGTTGAATCTACTTGTATGTACGTACTTCCCACCGACTCGCGCACACGGCGTTCGCCAACCTATCATAGTCTATCCAGGTGCTTCGAACGATAGTCTCCGTTGCAGCACTGCTCGAATGACTACCAGTACGCCAATAGAATTGCTACTGTACTCCATAGTGATGAGAATCAACGCCATTTTTTTTTCGAAAGCGTGGAGGATACTGACAGTCATAAAATTATATCAGCACGGCAAAATCATGCATTCTGAGCAGCGGAAATGTTCACGTCAAGAGCGCTGATTCGAAATGACTGCGAATTGTCGGATCGAACGGCCACGCGGTGCACCCAGCCCTGGGAGGTAAGTAGTCGAATTTCAAGGACGTTCAACTATACCAATCATGCGCAAAGAACCTTGCATGCAGTCAGGCTGCTTCACTTGTTCTGTTATGATGGAATATACCTTGGAACCGGGGAGCCTCACAGTGCAGCGCAGCCTGAGCTGCAGCCTGCCATCGCCACAATCGCCGCAGACGTAACATGGTTTTATGGCTTATACAGCTGCAAGTAATGCTTGGATTGAGCGGGAGCAGAGTACTCCTCGAGCTCGGCATCAGCGGCATTCCGGGCGAGGCCGGGGCGTTCGAGCATTCGCTTCCGATTTGATCACACCCGCCGGAGATGGAGTCGAAAAGCTAGCGTCGAGTCATGAAGATGCACGAGTCCGAGTCCTCTTATTAGATCAGTAGCACTCAGCTCGCACCGCTTGGCCAGTGTGATTGACGATCCGGAGGAGGAGCAGGCTCTTATCGGTGAGCAAAATCAAGACGGATCCGGAATTTGAACACTATTGTCATTGACTGTCCCTTTTAGAAAAGCGATGAATCTTCTGACACTAGACGAAGACAGTCTTTCTGCCATTGTTGCACATTTGAGCTGCGATGACGCGCTCAGACTCTCACTCGTGGCCCGTTCTATCCACACCATCGCAAAGCACCACGCGCTGAAGCATGTCACCATTTACACTTACGACGGCCTGGTCAAATTCTGCTGGTATATGCTCAACGACATGCGTCACCGTCTGTCGTGCATCGTTTCATTCATAGGGGAATTATGGATCTTGAATGACGCAGAGATGGACGAGAGCAGCTTCTTGGGTCCGCCACTAGTCACGATAGAGGAGTATGAAGCAGCGGGCGCGCTCCTTGCAGGTGTGCTCGAGAGAGCGTGCAACCTCAGAACATTCGTTCTCAACCGAGCGGAGGTCTGGATGGAGTACGAACCTCGTATAGCCGACGCGGTCATCGTCATGCGCCGCCTGAACGAACTGGTGTTGCGGGACATCGGGCCTATGGTTTCACGCGTTATCCACAACATGCAGTCCAAGCCCTGGAAGCTGGCAATACCAGAAATAGATGTCAGCTCGTACTACGTGCACAACATATTCCCGCTGGACGACGGCCTTCGCCTACCTTTCGTCCGTCATCTCACAGCGTACGGCAACATGGCCTTGCCATCCGTCGCCGGTCTAGTGCGCGTGTTTCCCAATATACGCTCGCTGGATCTAGGAAACACCTACCAGGTCAAGGAACCCCCGATCGAAGGCATACTAGAGATCAACTGGCCGCACCTCGAGCATCTCGAGGGCATGCCCGAGACACTGGCAAAATGGCGAAACATGACCCCGATACACTCGGTGCGCCTGTGGAGAGACTTCGACGCTCGCTACCACAGAAACCCCAGGCTGCTTGAAGGAGTGCGCTCTGCACAACCTGTGGCACTGGCGATCTCGTTTGGCTCCGCAGCCGATGCAGGGTACTGGAACGATATCGTGTCGGTATCTTCTAAGCTGCGATACCTCCGCGTGGATGTATGCAGCACCCGATATTCGAGGAGTTGGCAACAGGATCTAGAGACGTCGTTTGTGAGTACATTTGAAACAACGAACTGCAATGCGAAGTCTCACATCATACCCTCTTGAGGCTAAAATCATACCTACTCTTGCAAAGTCGACAATCATCTGCTTGGAGATCTTGTGCTGCCTTCCCGAGCGCACGGAGAAGAATGAGAATGACAACATGTCGGACCGCGCATGCAACGACGTTGCAGAACACGAGAGCTGCGAATCCATCTGTTCCACCTTGCCGGCTGCAGTGGCCTCGATTCCTACACTGAAGTACCTGTCGCTCCACACATATACCTATTACGGGCAGCCGATAGACGGGTTATCCGAGCATCCACTGACGGGAGGGCCTATTGGTGGAGTTACGATGGTTCGGGCGTCGAGAGAATCGCAATGCCCATGGATGCGACGAGGGGGAGGCGCATCGCTGCGTATCTGCGTTCTCCAGCATATGATCACACGAAGGAATTTTCTGGTGAGTATTGGAAAACTCATACATTGCATTACAAGATCCTGACTTGGACGGTGTTGATCGACAGATACCACGGTGTTGTGACACCAGATGTGTTGAGATCTGGCATCGCGGTCAGGACGGATGGTACGCTCAATGGGATAAAGGCAAGTTAAGACATATGGGCGCACCTCACTCGCAGTATGTTAGGTTGTGTGTTTGCACGCATGTGGTGATAGAACTCGGATGTAGTAGATATACACCTGTCACGAAGGCATTCTAATGCGTGTCCGAAAGATAGACTGCGACATATATTAAATGGCACACAACAGGACGCTCGAAAGATCATGACGTATCAATATCACGGTGAGGAGAAGCGAAAGCGGGTCGGACGGGATCGTTGACTTCTGATGCCGGTGCCCCACTGATACTAAGAGTCGAAGCAGAACTTGAACCAAGAGACATGCGGGGTCCATTCGAGGTAGAGAATGTTCGTCTCGAACAGCGTCCGTCTGTCGCAGGCATACCTGTCCGCCGCTTACCGAAGGCTACACTATGTGCCTGGATGAAGTTTGGGATGATGTCCCAAGTAGGTCCAGCGCCTAAGCTGTGACCGCAAGTACATGAGCATACCGTACACAACGGCAAGACGTGGTCAGGATGAGGAGCAGGACCAGCGGCGATACCAATTATCACTATACACAAGTCCAGCGAGGAAATCTGACTAGTCGACGAGCCTGTATACGGCGAGTAGACTAGCGAGACGAGTTGCGAGAAGCAGGTCGAAGAAAGGAGTGATGCAGTCATAAGCGCCCACCGAGGTAGGCCATGTCGAGACGACCTCAGCAAACTTCCCCTACCCACCGCATTCGGCTCGCTTTCTTGCACAAATATGTGTCGTCGAGGATGCAGTATAGCTTGAGGATATTTTTGAGAGCCATAATCAAGAGTTCTGACCACCAAAAGGCGGACGAACAAGAATAAATGCCAAAAGTGCGAATATTCGGGCAATCTTCCGCGCGCAAGTCGCGTCAAATCGTCAGGCGGCTGCACCGGTTGTGCGACGGAACCTTCAACCGTGGGAACTGGGCACTGCGGACCTTCAACGGCGACGAACAGTCAGCACAAGGCCCCACCAACTCTCCCTCCTCTCTTCGTCGTCTACCACCACCGCCCCGAGCCCGCCCTCAAGCCCGCCCCACTCCCGCCCGTCTTCTATCTCGTCCAACACCTCGTTGAATAGCCATGGCCCGCACCAAGGTCAGTAGAGCTCGAATATCGTCGCTGTCGGGGGTATGTTGCTGATCGTCGCGCTCGACGTCGTGCAGCAAACCGCTCGCAAGTCCACCGGTGGTGAGCACCATTCGTCAAGCACAACGTAGAGGCATTTTAATAACGCATACACCCTTTCAGGTAAGGCACCCCGTAAGCAGCTGGCCACCAAGGCCGCCAGAAAGACCGCTCCCACTGCCGTACGTCGTTTTCTCCCTGCCCTCCGTTGAGGGCCACAGCTAACGTGGGTTGTGGGCTCCCCTTTCTTCCCCTCCTCGGTCGCTCTGCCATGCTGTTGTGTCCTGCTTGTGTAACTTTCCCAGGCTGCCACCGGTGGTGTGAAGAAGCCCCATCGCTTCCGGCCCGGAACGGTCGCCCTCCGTGAGATCCGGAGGTACCAGAAGTCCACCGAGCTCCTTATTAGGAAGCTCCCCTTCCAGCGTCTCGTCCGTGAGATTGCTCAGGACTTCAAGGTGAGTTGTGGTAGTTGTTGGCTGTGGAGAGCATGGCTGACGTTGCCTGTGTACAGACGGACCTTCGTTTCCAGTCCTCTGCTGTGATGGCTCTTCAGGAGGCTGCTGAGGCCTACCTCGTCTCGCTCTTTGAGGACACCAACTTGGCTGCCATCCATGCCAAGCGTGTCACCATCCAGCCTAAGGACCTGGTATGTCTACTAGCTCCCTTGATTGCATTGGCATGCTGACAACATCACATAGGCCCTGGCTCGTCGCCTCCGCGGCGAGAGGTCTTAAACAATCTCACACCTCACCACACACTTCCTTGCTCGTCCGTTCTCTCCTCTCGCCGTGTCGATTATTGATCTGTGAGCCTTCGTGTACTATTGTACTATGACTTGTGGCTAGGCCAGTGATTATGTATGCCGGGTGTTAACGAACTGTATACATGTTTCATGTCATGTTGTACATCCCGATGTGCACAACAATGGAGGGCTAGTCCGTAATAATGAATGATCCCATGACATCAGACCCCATCTGCATCTGTCCACTCCGTGACCGAGATGGTGTCGCCCATCTTGATTACACCACTATCGTTGAACACGCCGTATGTTCCGAAGCACGGCTTGTTCTTCCCTTCGTGATACATCCCAGTCCGGAACTTCATGAGGATCTTGAAGGGTACCGCTGCATCGCGGTCGCCCACGTTTGGGTCGACATTGGGCAGCTTAAGAAGCAAATGATGAAACCTCTTGCAGATATGCTTCAGAGGAGCATACGTACGAGGCACCGGGTACATTTCTGTACGAAGGTAACCGCGGTAGATTGGCGTCCCCTGTCGGACTCATTTGGAGGCGGATTGATGACAACTTCGCGCCAGAAGTCCTCCGCAAACGGGACGCCAGCACCCTTGACGATCACGTTCGCTCTGAACCTGATGCACCGTGTACGTCGGGGTCAATCGACTCGCACATTGTCTGCATTGAACAAGGCACGGACCGATCAATGAGGACAGACCCCTTCGTCCAGCGCTCGCGGTTCAACCCGCCGATAGCAGTCCCACTGTCCGTCGCCAGCTTGCGCACGACGCGCTCGAACTCTGCGATGCTCTCCTCGCTCGCGACGTGCAGCGGGAAGCGTCCTGGTAGAGGTCGAAGCTTCGAGTGTTGGGAACGCGGACGTCGTTGGGCAGGCGCGTGGCGCGGGGCCTTTCATCATGAGGTGCACGGGGCGCTCAAAGTACTCAGAGAGGATAGAGGAGGGGGACGGGTCTGAAGAGACGGATTGGCAGATGTAGCCGTCGACGCGGGCATCGCCGTTTACGGAGCCGTCGTCGATGCTGTTGGTTGCCGATGAGTACATGGCCATTTTGTGTGTTGCGAGGAACAGAGGAGGACGTACGTTTCCCATGTGTTCAAGATGTCTTGTGTAGGGTTCAGAGGGACAGCGAAGGTTTCGCATCCAGACTCTTCCGGGAATGAGACTTCGAGGATCCCGCCAGAAGCAGACGCGGGGTCGGGTACGATGCGAGGCGTGATCAGCACCATCTAGACATTTGGTGACCTTCTCTTCGCATAAAGAGTGGTATAGCCAACCTTTGGTACCTGCCTTGCAGTCAGATCCTATGCGTACTAGCATCGATGATGCCCCATGCGCGATCGTACTGTCCGGGATCAAGCTATGTAACAGAACGGCCGTAGATACAGGCGGCCCGAGTCCGATTAGCAGGTCCATGCCATACGGCGATGGCATGGACTTGCTAAACAGTTCGGGAACGGTACAAGCAACTCGAACTCGCCTACCTCTAGACATTCAGGGGTGTAGCGGACTTCCGTTACTGACGTACCTCTGCAGCTCTGGTACGTTGTAATTTGGCATCAGAAACGCTCAACATACAGACGGATGGCATATACATGCCTTGATGGGGTAGATGCAAATCCTAGAGACATGTACTTCGCCGATCTCAAACGGTGCCGAAGTAGGATACTCCGACAGCTGGGCCTGCATGGAGGTTGAGATTGCATCAAAATCGATTGCAAGGATATGGGTAGACATTGATGTACATACGGTGGATGGGACTGAAGCGTCTTGGCTGTCTTCCTCGGCAGGCTGCCCTAGAAGATTGCGGGCAAGGGAGACGAGAGCTGACATGGTATAACAGATTTCTGCCGGCGTTCTCCCTCAAGAAGATGTAACTAGCTTTAGATCCAGTCAGTCAAGGCAGGAATCAAGGAGAGACGGTGACTCGGAGAAAGCAGCTGCGGAAGCTCGATATGGACTGTGTCTTTCAAACTTCACGTCCGCGACAAACGCAATCAGAGCTTAGTATCGTCACATGTAGACACTGAAGCCGGCGGTGTGAGAGGAGTGGATTGTTTGCGCGCCTAAGTATAGATACACGCAGACAGTTGCAACTGATGTCGAGATAGACTGGTAGTACCAAGGTAGTACAGTAAGTAGAGGCTTGCGTAGAGTCCACTGCCGCGTGGATTGTAGGAAGTGGACGCACGATCGGATCTTGCTCCGAGATCTGTTGGCGCCGGCGTCCCGACACTGTAGCCTTCATACTTGCCAAATGCTTGCTACATCGTCCGTCGACGCGTCCACGGCCTCTTCCCGACCGAAAGCCCACTGCCATATGCTTCGTCTACGAGCACAACGAAGACGAATTTCCGACATAGCTATGCTCAGAGCATTGTCTGGAAACATGAGCTACTCGATCTGGGGTTCCACTCCATCTCCGTGATCGTCATGGGTGACACAGTAGCGAGCCCAAAAGCCTTCTCCATTGTACCTGGTATCACCAGCTCCGTGCCGCGTGCGCTACTCTGGGAGCTGCGGCACTGCAGCCAGCACACCACTGTCCTTGTCCCAAATCCTCGCCTAGCTGGTTCGTGGAATTCGAGTGGCTATGACGTCGCCTGAACGCAGGGGCAGCCCCACTGAGTATATAACACTGCAAGTCAACTTCAGGGCGATTCCAGCAACAACATCTCCTTCCTGTCTATACCAAGTCTCAGTCAAGCCAAGCAAGAATACCTTTGACAAAAATGACGACTCCAACAAGCTTTAAGCCCGACATGCCCAGCAAGCTCAGGAAGTTGATGAATGAGAGTGCGTAGCTCGACACGAAATTCTTCTGCTTGCCGAAACTCATGGTCGTGTTCTCCGACAGAGGACTGTATAATCTGCCCTGGTGTCTTCGACGGCATCTCCGCACACGTCGCGAACAGCGCAGGCTTCGACTGCCTCTACCTCGCAGGCAGCGGCGCCTCCGGGTCCGTCATCGGCGAACCCGACCTCTCCGTCATCACCGGCACCGAGCTCGCCAACACCGCCCGCATGATCACCCAGGTCAGCGATGTCCCTGTCATCGCCGACGCGGACACTGGTTTCGGCGGGCCGCTGAACGTTGCGCGGACAATGCGATGTATGAGAGCGCAGGGGTCGCGGGGTGCACATCGAAGACCAGACTTCCCAAGCGGTGTGGGCAGTTGAACGGCAAAGACGTCGTGGATATGGAGACGTACCTCGAGCGGATTGTGGCTGCGGTGAGAGCGCGCAGGAACCCAGACTTCCTCATCATTGCACGAACGGACGCGCGGAACGCGGTACAATTCGGTGGTGGAGATGCTGGTGAGGAGGCATTCGAGGAAGGCGTCAAACGGTGTGTGGAGTCAGCGTAACATATCCTTGCGCATACTCATGCGCGTTCATATAGATTGAAGGCAGCTCTGGAAGCTGGCGCTGACGTTGCATTCATGGAGAGCCCACGGACGATGGAGGAGAGCGGGCGGCTCGTGAAAGCCCTCGCACCGCACCCTGTCATGATCAACGTCCTCCCGAACGGCCTCACGGGCAACTACAAGGTGGAAGACTGCAAGCGCCTCGGGTTCAAGCTCGCAATTTACCCGTGCACGGGCTTCATCCCGGCTACGATTGCCATGGAGAAGTCATACGCAGCGCTGCGGGACCAGGGCACGGACTTGGACAATTGCGAGGGCTGGCAGATCAAGGACTTCTTCGAGGTGCGTCTGCGTGCCGCATGTTGCAATAAAAGAGGCTCATGCTTATTCGTTGCATTCTTAGCGTGTTGGGTTGAAGCCATCCTTCGACTTCGATCGTAGCGTCGCTGAGAATGTAAGGCAAGACGTGAAACCGAGCAGATACGAAGAGATGTCTGGGCATGACCTGTTCTGAGGGCTATCAGCTGTTTCAGTGTGGTGTACTACTAGTAGGACATAGGAAGGTGTGATCTTAGTGTACAACAGTACTCAGCCTACGATGCTCTAGCTATGGAGTACATACTTCATGACAAATGTGGACTCTGGAGAATAAATTCCATAAATACTTAGACTAGTGGTGGACCAACAGTGTCGGTGGACTGCGACTGACGAATGTCGCGACGCACGTGTGTGTGACGTAACGCGACTTACTCCCGTCGCGTTCCTCCGAAGCGGCGGAAGATTCTCGAGGTCTTCCTCAGAGTCCGCGTATGCGCTGGCGGCCTGCCCCCCTCCTCCTGTTCCCCTCTTCTCCCCTCTCTGTGAATACCCTTCCACCCATCGCGCCTCTATAGACTCCGTAGAGGGCAAAGGACCAGAACGATGGGCTACATCCCGCAGCATGCGCTGGAAAATCTACGAAAATACTCGTATAAGGGAGTAGACAAGTGAGTGACATGGTCGAGTGGGTAGGTGGAAACCGGATTGAGGTGGCTCGTGTGATAGATCTCTGGTCTCGCGATACCTCCTCCAGCCGTTCTGGAACTGGTTCGTGACGCTCTGGCCGACGTCCGTCGCCCCAAATACAGTGCGTATACCGTATCCTCCGGTTCCGTTGAGCTAATATTCATCCTTGACATTGAACGTAGATTACATTATCTGGCTTGTGCCTCGTACTAATCAACTTCGCGACGCTGTTGTACTACGATCCGGCGTATCTGACAGACCAGGAGGGAGCAGGACCACCGAGATGGGTGTACTTCACGTATGTATCATGCGTTCTCTTTTCGTGGAGTAACATTGACCTCGACTGATCAGGTGGGCTTTGGGTCTGTTCTTCTACCAAACATTCGATGCGATAGATGGGTAGGCGGAACAACCAGCTGTTGGCGTGAACATGCTAAGCGAGGGCGGCAGAAAGCAAGCACGACGGACTGGCATGGCTGGCCCTCTGGGCGAGATGTTTGACCATGGTGTGTGCCCTATCCTCTTATCGAGAGCCCCACTCATGGGCACCTCAGGATGCGACGCACTAAACACCACTGTATGCCCACCACCCCTATTCGTATGACCCCCATCCAACTTTCCCCCGCTTCCTTTCTAGCTCGAAGCGATTCTGACATGTCGCGCACTCAACCTCGGGCGGTCATGGTGGACGATCGCCTCGCAATGCGCGACGCTCGCGAACTTCTACCTCTCTACGTGGGAGGAGTACCACACGAGCCAGCTCTTCCTGGGGTACTTCTCGGGACCCGTAGAGGGTATCCTGATGGTTGTGGGGATTTACTTCATCTCGGGCGTGTTTGGTGAGTGGTGGCGTGTCCTGGTTTGGGGTGTGAGGTTGAACGTGAGGCTGTAGGGGCCACGTTCTGGGACCAGCGCTTCCTTGACGTCACTCGGCTGAGGAACGTACCCGCGATTGAGCAGAGGATACCGGACATTGCATTGAACGAGGCGTTCATGGCTTTTGGTGCACTTGCACTTGCATTCAACATCGTTGTCAGGTAGCTAACTTGTCCACCTCTCTCCTATCGCCTTGGCTGACGCTGTCCCGCACAACCAAATAGTTACATCAATGTCTTCAAGCACCGCTTATCTATCAAGCAAAATCCATTCTCGCCGCTCATCTTCCTGCTGCCCTTCCCCATTTCTGTCTTGACGGAGATCGCTTGGCTGTCCGCCCCCTCCTTCAAGGACTCGGCGATCCTGCACTCGCCGCTCGTTATTCCGTTCATGAGCTCGTGGGGATTGCAGTTCGCCCACCAAGTGAGCAGGATGATCCTTGCCCATGTCACGAAGCAGCCATTCCCGTGGTGGGACTCGATGTGGATCTGGAGCATCGTGGGTGCGGTGGACGCTAATCTGCCTATCCTGCTCGACCGGTGAGCGCCCGGTTGTCTACGCTCACTTGTTGGACCGTTGCTCATGACTCGTGCGACAGAGAGCCACTCATACAGAACTCGCGACGCAACACGGCGATCTTTGTCTATCTGACGCTCGTAGTGTCTTTCCTATCATACGCGAGGTTCTGCACGTTGGTCATCAAGGACATCACGAACTACCTCGGCATCGCGTGCTTCACGGTGCGTAAGAAGGACAGGAGCGGCGAGTGGGTCGAGGCGTCCGCGGTGGACGCGAAGAAGCACTGAGTGCCGCTGGCGCTTTGGGGATCGTCGTCCGCGAGAGTAACTTCTCTCGGAGACTCGGACGCCTCCCTGCACACGGTGATGATAATGGTGGGTCATGACTGCATGCCTCGGACGAAAGTCATGTCTGCGACGATCTACATCTGCAATCACGAAAGTATCTGTAGGTAATGCCTATCATCTAGTACGTTACAGCGAAACAGAACAATTGAAACAAGCATGTACATTCACAACATCCATCAGCGGCAGTTTCGTCGCCGAAGTGTTGCGAGCAGCGATTTTCTCCGAAGACGCAAATAATTGCCAGCGTTGATGCAAGCAGTGCGAAGTCCTGGAGGAGGCTCACCATTGAAGATGCTCTGGAGGGCGTTGCTGAGGAGGCATTGTACAGGGCGCGCGACGCATTGGTATACATCTCCCCTTTGAATCTTGCGGAACTTCCAGTCATACAAGTACGCTTGCCGGCTCTTCTGGTCTGCAACGGAGGCTAGCCAACGCCGTATGGCACTGATCAGTTGTGTTGGAGGAGGAGGCAGGTAAGATTGGCCTCCTCCAGAGCACCCTGAGGACTTATCGCGTTACTCCTGTGGCTGAGCTGCGTATAGTCTTATACCAAGACCCTCCACACGGTGCTAGTGTGGGGGTTGTGTCGAACCTAGCGCTGCGTACTGTAAGGTCGATCACACATCTCAATCTCGCTGATCACCAAGCTGATTACGGATTTACAGTCGTTTTGCCTAATGGTTGTCGCGTGCGCGCGACGAGAAACTTGGCCCTCTTTGGCTGACCCCGACACCACCGAAGCTGGTCAGTCCCGTTGTTTGCGCAGAGCCCACAGAGTAGCCCATGATATTCTCTTCACCTCGGTCACGAAATCCATGACACATAGCCTGCATCCTCGCCACGGAATATGGAGTGTAACCAGCAAGATACCAGGCATCCCGAACATTCCGGACGATGGGCCCAGGTGCTGTGGTCGTTCTGCCGATGTGTGCCGTGGTAGAAGTGGGCGGGGAGCCACGGCCCCACCTATGCTAGTCAACGCGGGCGACACCCATCATGCAAACGACTGTAGCTCGTAGGATAGGCCCCTTATCCTACGAGCTAATCAGCATGGTGATAAGTGAGATTGATGTGCTGCCACACCTCCGTCCAGACTTAAAGGGCAAGCAGCACGTAGACCGTAGCCCATCATCCCAACCGTTGAAGTATTTGTCGGTCTCATATTAACAGGTCAGCGTCGAAGTCTCAGCTGCGAGCACCGGGAGTCACAAAGACTATAACAGCTTGCAGTCATGCCGGGATCAACCCTCGACACTGGTAGTGCCATCCCGCAGAAGGTACAGATGTTGCCCATCGTATGAGGTCGTTCAGAAGCACTGACCTTGCTGCCCAGGACTCCATCGTAGACGTGGCCAAAGTCGCAATCCGAGAGTTCCTGCACAGAATGAATGTCGCACTCCCCAAATTCTCGCGCGACGCGGAGCTCGAGGCCAGAGTGGAGGCGATTACCCGCACCTGGCCTTTCGAGCAAAGTATCCGGCGGCACATTGTGACGGGCCTCGTTATCACCGAGGCGAGCTATCCACACGTGTCGGACATCGAAGCCAGGGTAGCCATAGTGATCTACACAGCGCTCCTGATCGCGGTAGATAACCCAGAGCTATTCGACGCTGTGGGTGCGCAAGACTTCCACCGGCGGATATGCGACGGGTCCCTGCGAGACGACCGGGGGCTACTCGGCGAAGCCGCGAAAGTCATCATCGACATGGACAAGTTCTACTCCAGCTTCTGCGCGAGTAGTATTCTTTCGGCCACGCTGCGCTACTTGAATGGGGAACTGATCGGTAATCCGGAGAGCAAGATGTTTGTGGAGCCAATCTCGAAGGCATTTGTGGATTTCTCTCGTAGCATGACCGGCACTGCGGAGGCGTACGCGGCATTCATATGGAGCAAGGGAGACTTTCCGAACGATAACTCGTACATCCAAGTCTTCCCGTAAGTTATAATGACTGTTTCCAGGAAATGAACACCCGCTGAATTATTTGTCATCTACCAAGGGACGTATGCTTGTACATCAACCACGGAAAGTGAGTCACGTACCGCGGAACCGGACACTTGGATCTAACTGACACACCACCGTAGTGATGTTTTATCCTTCTACAAGGAGGAGCAGGACGGCGAGGTCACGTCTTACATTCACGCACGGGCGCACGTAACGGGAAAATCCACCCCTGCCACGCTGCGCGAAGTCATCGACGAGGTCGTAGCTGCTGCGGAGCGCATCCGTCGCACGCTCGGTGAAGGACCAGCGAGGGAGGCTTGGGACAGTTTTGAGCGGGGATACATCGGGTTCCATGTAGGCGATCCTCGATACCGGCTGCAGGACATAATCGGCGCGCATTGGGAGTACATGATAGATGCGACAACATTCTAGACTGGTGTTATTTGGGTCTGCGTTGGACATAGGAGTACTCACAAATATGCAACATACTCACTGAATCAGCGCACACAATGTCCTGTTTCTGTCTTGACGGAGGTCGCTTGGCTGCACGTCCGCACCCTCTCTTAAGGACTCGGCCGACATATGTGCAGTGGGGTTACACATAATCTAGGATACGGTGGTAGACTCACAACACTTGCAGCTTCCCGGAATCGTTCGTGGTCCGGTTGCTGCAACGCCCGCGGAGATACTGAAGGAGATATTCTGCCAGCATCCCAGGCGCACCGACCGAAGGACAATATAAGTACCCCCCCTTCACGTCGGATCTCACAGATGCAGCTACGACAAACGAGGCGTTTGTACGCGCCATTGCTGGATCGTGAATACGCATGTCTGTCGGCAATGGCGCGTGATAGCCCTCCGCTGTCCTCGCCAATGGAGGAGGCTCGACATGTCTCTGAAAGCGGAGTTGATGCCCGAGCTCGTTGCGAGGTCTGGAGAGGGGCCGCTCGAGGTGACAGCATATCTCAAACCGCCGGTCTACAAATTTGGTCGTGATTGGAGGAAGTCAGAGGAGTATGAAGACTCACAGGCTAGGGCCCTCGCAGTGCTGCTCGGGTGATTTCCGAATGAAGCCGCGCTCAACGCGGTTCTCAATGCGTGCCAGTGTACGCAGCCTGAGGACCCCCCGGATGCCGTGCTAGTACGTAGTTGCCGCTGTCGCCATCCACCCAAGATCTCCACAACTCGCATATGCGGAACTAGTACGGCCCTCGCTCAAGACGTTGGCTTACTCAGGGTCGCAAATTCGAGGTGTCTGACGTGCAGTGGTGGGCCTGCGACCCTGAGTGACTTGCTATCATCGTATCTTGGACTAGAGTGTCCATTGAGTGTCTGAACTGAGGATTGGTCTGCTCGCGAATTCGTGGTGCTGAGCAAGCAAAGGTCAGGCTCACCCGATAAGCGAGCTCTTTCGAAGGCGATATCAGAACGGTTTGCAAAGGGCAAAAGAAGACTTCAGCAGATACGCCTGGCATATGTCACTCAGTGGTCGGTGTGCGGCCATCCTGCCAACGCCGGGACACAAGCGGGACATTCTTTGAATACGTCGGAATCATGTGCTCAGGCTTGAACGTTTGAACGTTTGAACGTTTGAACCTTGTATCTAGCTGTCAAGGGGGAGTGCTTGATTGAACGACAGTTGCGGAGGAGGAGGCACACGTCAAGGGAGTGAGCCAGTGTGACACTAGGCTTCTATCTTTCATGGCGAGCGTATTACGAGCGTGGGTAGCTGCGTAGGCAGCATGCTCATTCTAGTACCAAGTGTTCCTACATCTCAACACGCCGTAGTCATAACTGGCAGTGCTCCACTATGCTTCGAGCATGATGGATGCTACTGCATCTGGTTTCATCGCGGACGTGTTGCTAGAGTTATGAAATGTCCACGACGCGCCTAGGCTCAGGCTGCAGGTACATAAGGGAACAGTAGTGCGCAGATCGTGGCCCTCATCCCAACCGTCAAAGCATTAGTGAATCTCATATCAACAGGTCAGCGTTGAAACATTGAGGTCTCATCTGTGAGCAGCGGAACTCACAAGGATTATCACAGCTTGCAGTCATGCCGGGATCAACCCTCGACACTGGTAGTGCCATCCCGCAGAAGGTACAGATGTTGCCCATCGTATGAGGTCGTTCAGAAGCACTGACCTTGCTGCCCAGGACTCCATCGTAGACGTGGCCAAAGTTGCAATCCGAGAGTTCCTGCACAGAATGGATGTCGCACTCCCCAAATTCTCGCGCGACGTGGAGCTCGAGGCCAGAGTGAAGGCGATTACCCGCACCTGGCCTTTCGAGCAAAGTATCCGGCGGCACATTGTGACGGGCCTCGTCATCACCGAGGCGAGCTATCCACACGTGTCGGACATCGAAGCCAGGGTAGCCATAGTGATCTACACAGCGCTCTTCATCGCGCTAGATACCCCAGAGCTATTCGACGCTGTGGGTGCGCAAGACTTCCACCGGCGGATATGCGACGGGTCCCTGCGAGACGACCGGGGGCTACTCGGCGAAGCCGCGAAAGTCATCATCGACATGGACAAGTTCTACTCCAGCTTCTGCGCGAGTAGTATTCTTTCGGCCACGCTGCGCTACTTGAATGGGGAACTGATCGGTAATCCGGAGAGCAAGATGTTTGTGGAGCCAATCTCGAAGGCATTTGTGGATTTCTCTCGTAGCATGACCGGCACTTCGGAGGCGTACGCGGCATTCATATGGAGCAAGGGAGACTTTCCGAACGATAACTCGTACATCCAAGTCTTCCCGTAAGTCATAATGACTATTTCTAGCAAATGAACGCCCGCTGAATTATTTGCCATCTACCAAGGGACGTATGCTTGTACATCATCCACGGAAAGTGAGTCAGGTACCGCGGAACCGGACACATGGATCTAACTGACACACCACCGTAGTGACATCTTATCCTTCTACAAGGAGGAGCAGGACGGCGAGGTCACGTCTTACATTCACGCTCGGGCGCACGTAACGGGCAAATCCACCCCTGCCACGCTGCGCGAAGTCATCGACGAGGTCGTAGCTGCTGCGGAGCGCATCCGTCGCACGCTCGGTGAAGGACCAGCGAGGGAGGCTTGGGACAGTTTTGAGCGGGGATACATCGGGTTCCATGCAGGCGATCCTCGATACCGGATGCAGGACATAATCGGCGCGCATTGGGAGTACATGATAGATGCGACGACATTCTAGACTGGTGTTACTTGGGTCTGCGTTGGGCATAGGAGTACTTACAAAGATTCAATATACTCACTGATTCAGCGCACACAATGTCCTGTTTCTGTCTTGACGGAGGTCGCTTGGCTGTCCGCACCCTCCTTCAAGGACTCGGCCGCGATCTTGTGGCACTCGCCGCTCGTCATCCCGTTCGTGAGCTCGTGGGGATTGCAGTTCGCCCACCACGTGAGCAGGATGCTCTTTTCCTATGTCACGAAGCAGCCGTTTCCGTGGTGGGGCTCAATGCGGATTTGCAGCATCGTGGGTGCGGTGAACGCCATTCGGTCAAACTCCATGCCTCGGACGAAGGTCATGTCCGCGACGATCTACATCTGCAATCACGAAAGTGTCTGTGGGTGATACCTACCTTCTAGTACGTTAGAACGAAACAGAACAATTGAAACAAGTATGCACACTCACAACACACATCAGCGGCTGTTTAGTCGCCGAGTGTTACGAGCAGTGATGCTGTGTTCCTATCCAGTGCGCGACGATGATGGCGCCCCGACGAGCTCTCGGAAATGTAGCAGCAAACCGCGGTGAGGTCGCTTGTGTATCCACGACTTCATACGATGTTATGACTGCCTCAAGTTGCGAAGTCATTTGTTGAGTATTGCGCCGTGCGTCGTCCGTTCCGAGTTGGTTGAAGGAAAGATCTCGGGGTAGATGGGCGGAACGCGTTCGATAAGATCATTGATGCTTGTGATCGAGTCAGTGCAGAGAGAAACGCCACGCACCGAAATTATTAGACTGCCTATTTATGCTCGCTCAGGCAGTGCGAGCCTACACAGCGCGCCCGCATCGATTCATCCCAGCAGCCCCACGAATACCTCACACATCCTTGATCCACTTTACCAGAAAGATGGCGAGCGTCAGCGCAGCGCAGTCACTGCAGGACGAGGTCGCGCAGCAAAAGGCCTTGTTGAAAGACCTCCAGAACCGGCAGGCGGACCCGGCGCTGCTTGAGGAGGCGAAGAAGAAGCTGGGTGACCTGCAGAGATCGTTCGCGCTCCTGCAGAATGCGATAGGAGGAGGGAGCAAGAAGAAGGAGCGTCTCCTACTGAAAACACCAAAGGTACGCACGATCGCCTCTGGTCCTCGCAATGCACTCAAGCTCATCCAGATGCTGCGTTCATAGGGCACGCGGGACTATGGCCCGAACGAAATGCACTGCCGCGAGCACATCGAGCGCATTGTCAAGGATTGCTTCACGACGTACGGCGGCGGCTGCCTCGACACACCCGTGTTCGAGCGGAAAGACATCCTCGCGGGCAAGTACGGCGAGGACGCGAAGCTCATCTTTGACTTGATGGACCAGGGAGGAGAGCAGCTCGCGTTGAGATACGACCACACCGTCCCGTTGGCACGGTATCTTGCGATGAACGGCGCGCAGGCGACACAAGCGAAGCTGTGGCAGGTGGGGAAGGTGTACCGGAGAGACAGCCCGGTCATGTCCAAGGGTCGCATGCGGGAGTTCTCACAAGCTGTACGTCAGCAGCATCATTCGAGTCTGCGTTGAGTTGCTCATGCTTATGCAGGACTTCGACATCGCCGGTGTCTGGGATGTCATGATCCCAGATGCGGAACTCATCAGCCTGCTGTGCACGATTCTCTCAAAACTTGACGTTGGCGAGTTCACTGTCAAGATCAACCATCGAAAAATTCTGGACGGTATCTTCGAGGTGTGCGGTGTACCAGCAGACAAGATCCGGTCAATCTCGTCTGCTGTCGACAAGCTTGACAAGGTCTGTGGCAGCGCTTCACTACTAACGAAACCATGTCCTCACTTATGTTTTTCAGTTACCGTGGTCAGAAGTGAAGCACGAAATGACTGAAGTCAAAGGCCTCGACCCCGCCGTCGCCGACAAGATCGGCGAGTACGTCAAGCACAAGGGCGGGCCTGAGCTGCTCGAGCAGCTCATGGCCGACACCGCGCTCATGGCGAACGCGACCGCCAAGACCGGCATCAATGAGATGGCCATCCTCTTCGGGTACCTCCGGTCGTACAAGGTGCTCGACCGGCTCTCGTTCGACATGTCCCTCGCGCGCGGGCTCGACTACTACACCGGCATCATCTACGAGGCCATCGTCGAGGCGTCCGCGCCGCCGGGCTTCAACGCCGCCAACGCGTTCGCGGACGCGCCTGCGGCCCCCGCGCCCGCTGCAACGCCGGAAGAAGAAGGCGAAGAAGGCGCAGACGGGGCAGGACGAGGAGGAGGAGATCGACGAGTCGACGGTGGGCGTGGGCTCGATCGCCGCGGGCGGGCGGTACGATAACCTCGTGGGCATGTTCACCGCCGCGGCCGCGGGCGAGGGCAAGAAGCCACCGACCCTTCCATGCATCGGCGTCAGCATCGGGCTGGACCGCGTATTCGCGATCGTGTGGCCGCGCTGGGTGAGCACGGGTATGCGGAGCAAGGAGACGATGGTGTATGTCATGGCTGCGGGCGATGGGCTGTTGAACGAGCGGGTGGAGCTCGTGCAGGAGCTGCGGGCAGCGGGGATCAAGGTGAGCTCAACAAGACTGTCCGTGTATGTCTCTTCGGCTGACAGACTTTGCCAGAGCGACTTCCTCTTCAAAGCGAAGCCGAAGCTGTCAGCACAGTTCGCAGCAGGCGAGCGCGATGAAGTGCCATTTGCGATCATCCTCGGAGAGACTGAGCTCAAGGAGGGCCTCGTCACCGTCAAGGAGCAGCGCTGGGAGCTCGTTGACGGGAAGAAGCAGAAGATCGAGAGCGCGGACAAGGGCGTGAAGGTAAAACGCGCGGAGCTCGTGCAGTGGCTTAAGGACACGCCGACGATGAAGGAGTGGGACAGCGGGAAGTTCTTGTAGAACTAAGTGCTGCTTGTAAGGGGTTCGCGGTAGTATTTATTCGTCCTCATGCTGTTAGATGATCATCGCGTTTTCCCGAATACAACTGGTACATATATATCTACTGCTCTGTTCAGCCCGCTATTAGTTCGCTGTTAGCTTCGTTCCTTCCACTGCAGTGCACACACAACACGACGACTGGACCCTAAATTCGAGAACTCAGTCTTCGTCCTCAGAGCCAGAGCCAGATCCCGAGCCAGGCTCGTCGTCGTCGTCTGCAAGGGCATGAGTAAGAACCCACGAACGGACTAATTGGGTTCTGCGCACCATTCGCGATATCAGCATTCGAGATGCTGTTCTGCGCCCGAGCTTTCCGCATCAGCTGGCGGATCTCCATATCGACGTGATTGTCCTCGCGCAGCAAGTCAAACGCGGTCTCCCCAAACTTGTCCTTGATCCTACACACCGCAAATCCCCCTCAACGTCAGCGTTTCCGCTCGCGATGGCACAGGACGATAGGGTAGGAGACGCACGTCGTGTCCGCACCCGCTTCCAACAAGCTCTCGACTACGCTCCCCCGGGTGTCCTCGTCGTCTATGCGCATCGCGAGGTGCAGCGGGGTCGCCTTCTCGAGGCGGTTGACCGGGTCGACGTCGCATTCGTCGTGCGAGAGGATGTGCTCGAGCACGGTCAGGGAGACGTGAGACGCGCTGAAGCCGATCGCGGTCAAATGATTCCATGATCGAGGTGAAGGGCGAAACCACGCAGGGTGGGGGGAAGGAAGCACGGATGTGAGCGCCCGCAAGGGGGATCCGAGCAGAGAATGCGGTACATACTTACGCGTAGTGTAAGGCTTGGGGGAGGGCTCCCGTCAGCTACGCGATTCTGAGGGGGTAGGGGAGCGGCAAGTACCTGTGTTCCTAGTCTGCAGGCTACGCGTTAGCTGGTGGGCACGATGCGGGTAGGTGCTCGCGACGTACCCGTCTTGGTAGTTGATGTCGAATTTCCCTTCCTCGAAGACCTCGAGAAGGAGGTCCTCATTGTCGGTGCGCGCTGCAGCGAGCAGCCGTTCATCTGTATACCCCGAACCGGTCGTTGAACAGGAGTGTACTGAGACACCCATGCGCACGTACTGTTGGACGCTCCGTCTGCCATGATAGATGCGTGTAGACTGCTGTACGTTCGTTGACCTTCAAGCTTAGGCCCGGGGGAGACAGGGTATAGTGGCTGTAATCAAGCAAAGTCGACAGACGCGGTGTAGCATTCACAATAGCACCTCAGATAGGATTAATGTCATATTTGGCACGTGGAAAGGCGCGTCCGTTCCGGATCAGCTTCTGGATGTTCAGTGGACGGTCGTGACTGTGTGTAGATACTGAGACAGCGACCACAGATCTCAGGATGCGACATAGCCCTAGTGGTTGCATACGTATTGAAATGTGTGCAGAGCACTCTGCCAAATGGACAAGCGTTGTACCGTCTACGCTTCCCTGACGTTGTCCGCCAGTCTGACGGCCGACAGCGAAAGATTCAACCTCTCATGCAGATACAGAGGTCCGAGACACGAGACATGGGAGAGCGGCGGCGACTAGCAATGTACGGATTACAGAGCTCGAGGACTTGCGCCCATGTATCATAACAATATGCTGCCGGAAGGATTGTCTTTGCATGTGAGCAGGACTGGCTGTGTTGGTGTCAGTCGCGAGCGTTCTCTGAAGGAAGCTCAACCAGACGCACACACAATCTAAAGACGTTGCTCCTTTCATGAGTGGTATAGCTCTTCCCTGACGTTGATACCTGTACCGTAACAGGTTAGTGCGGTCATGACGACAGACAGCAGAGCGTTGACTGACCAAGTTCCTCCCTTACGGGCTTAAGCTCCTCCAGGTACGCCTGGTACTGCTGCTTGTTCTCCACCTTCTCCTGGATGCCCTCGAAGATGCGGACCGCAGTCGCGTAGTCATTCACGCGGCGGGTCGCGCGGAGCGCGGCCTCAATGACGGAGGGCGCGGGGACGAGATCGTGCGCGAAGCAGTTGTTGAGCCCGCGCTGGACCTCAAAGAGATCCTGAGCCTGCTGGAAGAAGGTGACGTAGCGCTCCGTAAAGGACTCGAAAGTCTCCTCGTGGTGGGTGCTGCTGTAGCGGACAAAGGTGGGCGCAACGCGGCGGACGACCGGTGCGGGGCGGGCACGGAGGAGAGAGGCGACCAGCTGAGCACGCATGGCGACGAGGACGCGGAGACGGTGGTGGTAGGACGAGGAGCAACGCTGGCGGGGATGGTCGGACGAAAATGCGCCAGCTTGAGGTCGCGACAGCTCGCGCCCCGGCTCGGTGCGTGAGCCTGGATCCGCCCAGCCGAACCGGTTCACTCCGGTCCCCGCCTCCGCTGCCTCTCCTCTCCGCCAGGTGCATTGTCCGCAGCCTACATTCGCACACGACGCACTACAGAACGCTTGTTTACATGCCCACAGCGCACCCCGCACCGGCTACCAGGTAAATATAGACGGCGGGGCAGGTGGCGGGGAGTGTGGTTGTGTTTGGGCCGAGGGCGACATAAGGGCGTCTACGCGAGCGGCTTCGCTCTCACCGCCACTTTCTTCGCACCACCCACCGCAAAAGCCCCAGCAACGCTCGCAGCAATGGATGACGGTACGTTTTCAACATCAACCAAGGCCGCCTCGAGGACGACGAGCAACGTCCCCCACTGTCCCCGCATCGTCCACCCCAGCATGTCTTTCGCCTCCGCTGTACCTACCTGTAAATACCCGTGACGCCACGTCGCCCCCGCCTGTCTCGCAGCAGCCTTCAGCCCACAGAGGTCGTCCTTCGACGGCGCCCACACCTTTGACTCACATGGTCCTCTGTGGGCTGAAGGCTGGCATGGTCCATAGGCCGCTTTTCTTCCGCGCCACCGACGCGTCAGGCCGTCCCCGACACGCTGAGTGTTCTTTGCTCCCGTCTCTGTGCGCGCATCAGTCCCCTTTGTCACCATATGGTCCCGTCCTCGTCATGTCGCTCGCTCGCCGGCCGCCCGGATTCGCTTCCTTCACCAACCGACCGACCCTGACTTTTCCACCCACCTCCCTCTCTCAGCCTGGCAGTCTCAAGACATGGCACCTCCGAGCAACGTCGGCGGTATCAGCATCCCCACGCAGGATGTCACTATGGGCAACGGCACTGGACTCAGCGCCGCCGACGACCAGCACTGGGCCAACGGAAGCGGCCGCTCTCCTTCCCGCGGAGGCATGGACCCGCCCAGGAGGTCCAGTCGGAGCAGAAGCCCGGGCGCCCGCGGCGATGACCGGAAGTGAGTTGACAGTTATTTGAGCAGTCCGTTCCCTAGATGCTGATTGACGCAGTGGGCGCGCCGAACCCGGCCAGAACCCAGGCAACAACTTGCACATTTCGGGTCTGAGCCACAAGGTCGACACCCGCGATCTCGAGGCGGCCTTTACGAAGGTTGGTCGGGTAAGTGGTTAACAAATTTCCTGTGACGTAGTTCTGTGCCAACTGTGCTATGCAGGTCAAAAAGGCCCAGGTCATGTATGATCCTCATACGCGTGAGTCGCGCGGATTTGGGTTCGTGACCATGGAGTCGGTCGAAGAGGCGGATGCCGCCATTACTGCGCTTAATGCTACTGATCTTATGGGCAAGAATATGACAGTGGAGAGGGTAGCGTATTGTCTATGCAAAGGCTCTCGCAATGCCTTCTAAAGTTATTCTTTCCCCGCAGGCTCGCAGAGCACGTGCTAGGACCCCGACGCCCGGGAGGTACTATGGACCGCCGAAGCGTCATGAGAGTACGTTCAATTTGTCGACCGTGGCGTCCAACTATCTAATAGTCTAGCTGACAACGCTGCAGATGAAAGGCCGTACGATCCCCGCCCGTATGACAGCCGCTACTCCCGTCCGGACGACCGCTACCCCCGCCGCCGCCACGAGGACGATTACCGCGGTGGCGGCGGCGGCATGCGTGACGAGTACCGCGGCGGAGGAGGCGGCGGCGGTGGCGGCGGCGGCGGCGGCGGAGGATACCGCGACTACGACCGAGGAGGCTACGGCGGAGGCCGCGACTACGACCGCCGCTACGACGATAGGCGCTACTGAGCAACGACGTCGACTTCCTGGCGTTCCTTTGGCCGCGGTCGTCACACCCCGGTCCCCAAGGCCTCAAAATCAAGTCGGTCCCCTTCTGTGTTTATCGCGTTCTTATTGCGCTGTCGTTGTCGCTGTTCATGCATGTAGTAGTATATTGCTAGTGTCGGGCATCTTGTGCTGAGCTTCTTGGTGATTCCATGGACCGTTCGGTCGTGGACGTAAGGGAATGTTGTGCGCGAGGTAAGAACTCATCATGTATTCACTTCGCGCCTATGTTTGTACGGCACTGCCTATGCCCATCTCTACGACGTACTTCTCCCTTCCAAGCCTCCGCATCTCTTCCACCACCCCACCTACCTTCTCAAACTCCATCCATCGTCTCCCCTGAGCGTCCGGGCTCTGCGCACCCACAAACTCCTCCGATAAGGGCTCGATGAAACGCAGCCGTAATGCGAGCCACTGCATCGCCTTGACGTTTGTGACGAACTCTTCGACCTGTGCTTGCTCGCCCTCGCAGTAAATCACGCCCGGATGGCCGACCTTCGCGAAGCCGGTGAGCGAGAGGGAGGCGGACCATTGCTGGAGTGATCGCCGCTTTGTCGGCGAGACGAGGTGGTGGGAGGTGAAGAGCGCGTGATAGCGGGACTGCGAGGGTACCTGGGACGGGGGCTGGTCCTCGTCGTCTCCCGGAGATGGAGAGTTGGTATCTTCGTGTAAGCGGGGGAGAAGGTGCGCCGAGACTAGCTCGTACACGGGATATCTAACGTCGTGGTCAGGGATGTCAGCTCTTTGCGCCAGTCGTGCAGAAATGAGGAACGCACTCACTGTCCTGCACCTCCTCTATTTTCTCCTTCACGAGCGTCTGCCAGGCTTCATGCTCCTTTCGAGCGAGTGTCTCGCCCTTGACCGACACGGTGAATCGCGCATGGTCCGGATCCCCACGGCCTTCGTAATCCTCACCCAATCTTATTTCGAACCAAACGTCGGTACCGCTCGCGCGGATCTGGAGGTGGGCAAGCGGCAGGACGTGCGCGATCTCTATTGAATCGGCATTCTCTGGGTAGACTTTTAGGAGCTCGGCCCAGCGGTCGGGGCCTTCTGAGGAGGTACAGAGACGAGCTCTTCGCCTGGGAGGAGGGAGTGTTTGAGGAGGTTGAGTTCTTCGAGTTGGCGGGAGAGGATGTCGGCGGTGAGAGGCATGGAATGCTTGATAAGGAAAGAGTGTACACAACCGACTACAGGAAAGTCGAGGTGGACTCCAAGTCGACGCTCCCAGAGGCGCTCCCCCATAGTCCCCTATTCAGCGACTTCAGCCCGCCGCCTCTACTTGGCTGCGGCCTTCGACTACCTTATACGTAAGTGATATTTGTTGGGATCCTCGACCTTGCCGTAATGTTTGATGCGGCGATATAGGCAGGCCTGTGATTTGGCGGCAATGCCTGCGAGCCTCCTCACGTTGAACGACGATGTCCTCACCATCCTCGTATCCTACCTTGACCCCCCGGATGCACGTCGGCTCTCGCTGGTAGCCCGAAGGATACACCTCATCGCCACCAACCGCGCTCTGCAGTCCGTCACTTTGGCCTGTTTCGGGAATGTCGTCAAGTTCTGCACGTACATGCTCAATCGGAAACGGCATCGTCTGGTTGCTCTCCGCGAATTCAGGATGCATTGTTTGGTCCCTCCGCTTGAAGATGCGGGCAAGAGAAGCTGGGCCAGAGAAGTCGTGGTGAAAGGTCCGCGCTGCTTGTCAACCTGTTGCAAGAGGCCACCCGTCTACGCGTGTTTGTTATGCACTCTGCCGAGCACCTGATGGAATACAACCCTCGCCTAGTCGATGTCGTTTCCTCTTTGAGACATCTGACGGAGATAGAGCTGCAGGTTGTCGGTCCGTTTGCATCGAAATGCTTCAACGAGTTGCAATCGACGCCTCGCAAGCTTGTGTTCACCTTACCCCGACGGCGAGAGTACCAACAGGCCCTCCACGATGGCGACAAGCTTCAACTAGACCCAAAACTACGCCTGTCGACCGTGAAATACCTCGTGGCGACGGATACACCAAATGTACCCGAACTAGCGGCGCTCGCGCGGGCCTTCCCTGGTACTCGCAGCCTCGATATCAGTCTGAAGGATCAGAATTTAGCGCGTGGACAACCTATCCCAACGGTCGAGTGGCCAACACTCGAGCGCGTTCGCGGCCCCGGCTCCTCCTTCGCCCACTGGAGGAATTCAACCCGCATACATCTGTTCGAGATGGTCTGCGAGTCTCGGGCCCTTGCAGCGGGAGGCCGCCGATCATACGTTACCTCCTACTCTCTCCAGATGTTCTCGACTCGAACATCGATTCTCGCAGCAATCGCCAATGTTCACCCGGTCGCACTCGCAATGCCCCTCGACTCAAGGTCAACACTCGGCTCCAATTCCTTTTGGACTCGTTTGCTCGAAAGTTCGGGTCGTCTCCGTTATTTGGCAGTTGCACTCTCCGATATACGCTCCTATGAGACATGTGGCGATGACCTCGCCAAGTGGTGGGTGAGTACATATATGCACCCTTTCGCAGGCCCCATGCGCTGGATTACTGAGGCGGTTGTCTATTAGGCCAACGTCCACTTGGCCATCGCTACTAGCGGTGTCATTTGTTTGGAGATCCGCTGTTCCCTACGGCAAGCCGAAGCGGACACCGAAGAGGATGTGGAGGCAGGCAACAGCAAGACATCCGTGAACGAAGATGCCCCTTCCTTCGACAAATCGATCTACGACACATTCTCAGCATCCGTACGAGATGCGGCTCCTGCGCTGCAATACCTTTCTCTGGACATGAGCCCGCGCGACGACCTGCCCTCGAGATGTGACTTCCTCGATCCACAAGAGAGCCGAGATGTCGGGATATCTTCGGACCTGCGCTGGTGGTGTTTTAAGGCTCACCTCGATCAGTGAAACCACTCGATGCGGCGAGGGGAGAACAGATCGCCGCGTATCTCCGCTCGACCCGTTATGACTATGAGAAACCTTCCGAGGTTAGTTGGCTCCATAACAAGGCAGCTGTCTCACTAACAAATCTCAGCAGAGTGCGACGTTCCATTCTGAAGGAAGACTAGTATGCCGTGGACCCTTCCGATCGCAAGAATCCGGAGCGGGCCTGCAAACTCTGTGGCCCGATTGTATTCCCGTAGGGCAGCTCGCTCTCCGCACCTCATGCCACCTCGTCTGCCGCGTATACGACCCTCTGGATACCGAGATAGACTGACATCAACGAGGCACTTCTGAGTAGGAACGCCACTCACTGCTTAACTTCGAACCCCCGTATGTGGACCGCGATGAGGACGACTCGACTCGACTCTTGATTGGAGTAGCCCATGGAGCTACCAGGAACCTGTCCCGTGCATTGTGGTGATTACGATGTAGTGGCTTCGGCCTCGAAGCGATACGCCTTGGACGCTCGATACTCAGGTTGGATGAAATGAATGGCAGATTCATACTACAGGTTCTTATTTCGCATTCGAGACAGCCTTGCCGGCACGGAAAGCCCGCAGATATCGAATGCGAGCACGGCACGCCTCAAGGGCCCGGGTACAGCTGTGGTTTGCCGAAGGTGGTACTTGAAGCTTGAAGCGCTGTGCTGTGACTGGCAGTCCTCGCAGTTTGAATGACATACCCCAGATGAGAGCTGGCTTAAATAATGCGAGCCGTACCTACAGTCGTGTGGTACTTTTCATGTCTGAGAGCACCGCGCAACAACCTCATGTGGTATTTTGCATCCCTTCCGACTCGTCGGGGCGCCGTGTTATAAGGTTTCGTTGCCGCTCTTACGGTTTACCTCACACTTAAGCTGCGGTGTTCGTGCTTTCCAGGTCAGACCCCGGCTTCATAAATCCTTCATACTAACCCTAGCGGGTCGCAGGTACGTTGCGAACGGAAGGCCTCGCAAGTGAGTTTCTGCTTGTAAACACGTATCGTACACCTCACCTAAGCTATCCCATTACCAGGTATCACAATACAGAGCCCGCATCGCATCCACGAGTAGCCTGGTAGCCATGCCGACGAACCTCCTCGCACTCAATGACGATGTCCTCGCCATCCTCGTCTCCTTCCTGAGCTGCGCAGACGCACATCAACTCTCGTATACGACCCGCGCAATTCACGACGTTGCCACCCATCGCGCGCTACACTCCGTCACCCTGCGCTCGTTTCCCCGAGTCGTCAAGTTCTGCACCTACATGCTGGATAACATGCGACATCGCCGGACCGCTATCCATGAACTGAGGATTCATTGCTACATCGTACCAGCACCAGAGGCCATCAACACCAGTCGTACTGCGGAGACCTATGCGGAAGGAGGTGGTCTGCTAACCAGGCTACTGCAAGGCGCTACATGCCTTCGCATATTCGCTCTGGACTGTGCCGAGTACTGGATGGAGTACCAGACTCGGCTGGTCGACGTCTTATCTTCCATGACCCACCTGACGGAGTTAGAGCTGCAGGTCGTTGGACCAAACGCTTCGAGATTGATCAACGGAATGCAATCCACGCCTCGCAAGCTCGTTTTCAAGGCACCTCGGCGGCGGGGGCCAGCGAACCGACAGGCCTTACCAGTTGGCGCAAAACTTGAACTGGGTTCGCAGCTCCGTATCACGAGTGTGGTACACCTTGCAGCAATGGATCCAGCGAATCAATCCGAGCTAGCTGATCTAGCGCGGATATTCCCTGGTACTCGCAGCCTCGACATCAGGCTCGAGTATTCTCCCCCTGTCCGTCGTGGACAACCTATACCGACGATTCAGTGGGCAGCACTGGAATACATTCGCGGTCCGGGCTTTTCATTGGCAAAATGGCGCAATGTGACTGGTGTACATCTGTTGGAGTTGGTGGTCGAGCACTCGCGCCAATTCAATGATTATTCAATTGGCCTAGCCGCCATCGCAGCAGTGACGAACTTTCAGCCCGTCGCACTGGTAGTGCGGATGGACTCAACCCTCAACCACGATTTCTGGAAACAACTCATCCGGAGCTCGGAGCGTCTCCGATATCTGGCCGTCACTGCGGACAAACCGCGTTGTGCGAAGCGCTCACATGGTACTTACATTGAAAGGCGTGTATATTTTTACGGCTCTAAGTCGGAGCTCCTAACATAGGGAATGGGATTCCTTTGTTCGGCCTAACATTTTGAATGTTCCTAGAATCGGGAATGTAAGTGTTATGTTCTTCCTATGTTCCGAAATCGTGCCATGTTCTAGAATGTACTTCCCATGTTAGGGAAGTTCACTTGATGGCTTACTAATATACACGCCCTTGCAATGTTAGGCCTATGTAAGCGCCTCGCACAATCCGGGTTGTCCGCAGTGCGTGTACCTTTTCGACATATGTTCGTATGACACGTGCGGAGCAAAACTACATAGCTAAGTGGTGGGTGAGTGCGCGTTGCTGAAAAGAAATAGGCATCTGGACTTACTGCAGCGCACTATCATAGGGGAAATTCAGTCAGATCACCAAGTCCTGGCAGATCGCCGAGCTAAGCCGCATCGTATGCCTGGAAATCCGCTGTCCTCTACGGCGCGAGTCGCAGTGGGAATACAAAGCCGGCGCAACTGGCGCGTTTGACTTGGATGTTCCTTCCTTTGAGGACCCGATATACCGTGCGTTCCCCGTCTCCGTGCGAGACACAGCACCTACGCTCTCCTACCTCTCTCTCGACCTGAGCCCCGAAGGCGAGTCGCCTTGGAGATACAACTTCCTGGAACCGGAACACAGCCTGGAGGGCATACTACCTCTGGACCTGCGCTGGTGGCGTTTCGAAGGCACGTCGAACTCAAGATCCGTGAAGGTGCTCGATGCAGCCAAGGGGGAACGAATTGCTGCGCATCTACGGTCTACCCGTTGCGATTCTAGTCGACCATTCAGCGGTTCGTGTGTTCCACATACGTATGGCTTCTGCGTGCACTGATGATCTTGCACAGAATACGACGTTCAATACTGATCCAACCTCTATGTGTGCATGCATAAAAGGTGGGTGTGATTCTGTACGCACAAGTTAACCTCCACTTGTACACTGCTTAGTATTGTGGAACTGGACATGCGATTTCACGAACGGACTTCCTTGTTACGTTAAGTCCATTCCATGGTGTTTACTCCTTTGTCAATGATCGTGCTGCGAGTGGTATGACAGCAAATAGAAAAACGATAGACACCCTTGCGCCGCGCGCACACATGAGTCTGGTGGTGCTCAGGTGGCGCGGCCGGCGCTAAGTAGAACACCGTGACGACCTCCTGCTGCCTGAGTTGCATTTCCTCTCATTTCCTCCTCTCGCGCGAGTACCATGGGCAACCGACGCTACATCCATCCATCTCAGAAAGAAATGATTCTGCAGCTTTCTGATTCTCTCTCCCCTAAGGACATTGCAGACCTCACCGGCATCGCAAAGTGAACTGTACAGACGAACTGTTGAGTAGGTCGCGGGTGCATGATGTTCGTCGACTTGTACTTATGTATGCGATGTTCTAGTCAGTCGGCATGTAGCAGCACTCACCCGTCATCGCTACGAGCAACAATGTCTGACAGTATTTATACATTGTTGCAGATATTGTCCTCACTGTTGATGGCAACGGCGGCGAGCTAGAATCATCGGCAGCGGGCATGTTGCTGTTAGGGAAAGCGTGTGGAGGGAGCTCTCTTCTCGTGCTTGTCCTCCATTTCGGACCATGCCAGCCGGTTGGCGCGTTGGAACTTGTCGGAGCGGGGAGCCACCGGACTCATGTGTGCGCGCGGCGCAAGGGTGTACATAGCGCTGTGTCAATTTGCGAAACAGTGCTCGTTCACTCACATTCAAGTCGCGGCCGAGGAAGCGCGGCCTTCCTGCGACAAAGGTGATGTCTCGTGTTGATTTGATTGACCGTGGGATCGTTGCTGAAGGCAGCGAGCCGAGGTGAGACGAGGTGCCAGCTGCAGAGTGCATAATCGTCCTGCGACGAATGAACCTAGGACCACTAGGAGATACGCAATTTTGGGGCTGAGGATGTAGTAGGAGGGTGGTCTCCAGCCCGAGCTCAATTTGCCTTACCAGGTGAACAGTAAACATGCCGACCAGTCTTGACGTGTCCGCGTCCATCGTGCCAACATCGTGGTAGAAAACCTTGTTGTCTGCAGGGACTGCGCTCCTTGCAGGTGATACGTTCTAGTAGACTGGTTGAGTTAGTAGACTGACCGAGTATAGTCAGAGGATATGATCTGCGACGCACCATATAACGCCAAAGCTTCGAGATTTCCCGGCGCGGAGACCTCTATATGTCATGGCGAATTTGTCGATCTGGCGATTTGAATAGGGCCAAGGCTTCACCGGTCACCTACAGCGACTTCGTCCACGAACGAAAGAAGAGACAATACCACATCCAAAGTTGGTCACTAGTGCCGGGCGAACGACTGCAATCTTGTCAATCAAGGCTAGCGCTCATTTCCAACTTACCATATCGTGTCAGACCGTCGATAATATCCGCTCGGCCGCAGACCTGGTAGACACGATCAAGTACCTCGTCGGGGTATGCAGTTGACAATGAAGCATCAAGCTGCATCAAGCCTGAGAACGGATAGCCACCTCTCCTTCGCCATCGCAAGAGATAACTTTCGCAATATTTGAAGATCCACGTCAATGAACTGGTGAATGTCGCTCAATTTCGATTTCGATAGGTAGACAAGCACAATGAAAGGAAATACGTGGTGACCTTGGAACAGTAGTCAACAGTGAAGATCAAATACTACGTACCAAGATAATGTATGTCCCAAAACTACGAGCACAGCAACGAAAAATGCCACGAAGGCAGGAGCTGAGCTCAACTCTACTGAGACGAGGCGAATCCGAACCTCTGTGATCCACTCAACTTCATGACGAAGCCGAACGGCAGACGGTTCGAACCGCGTCCATCTTCCACGACCGTAACAGACACATCACATAGGAACGTGCGAAGGGCCTTGACTTGGTACGTGGGTCTTGAGCGGCGCGAAGCTGCTCTTCTAGCATGCGGCGGGCGGTGAGAGTGGCAGACACAGCCGGGTACCTGGACAACGGAAGGCTATAATGAGCAGGCGGGGGTCTTAGGTAGGGCGACCACCAAAAGCTGGAGTCACCGGTAGAGTTCCGGGAATCGAAGGTTCAAACGCTCAACGACGATATTCTATTGCTCACAGGGCTGCCGTAATGATGGGGAAGACTTCAGCGTGCAACAGACAAGCCTCAGAGCAGGCGGTGAACGCGTCGCGGCGCCGAGAGACGGGATGACTGAATGCTGGACGAGGTGGTGGTCAGGAGAGAGCAAACCAAAAAATCTGGGCGCCCGCGAAGATATTGTCAGGGTGAGACGCTGAGTCAGCCTCTCTCACGATAGGTCTGCCCTTACGCGGGCTCCTCGGAGTCCTTTGACGACCTCTTGCCATGGCCCAGCAGCTTGGTGGCCAGTGTCGCGCAGCACCCTTTCTCACTCTGCTCTTCGAGCTTGCTCCTGGTCAACCCATATCCTTGAACCTTGAGCAGCCACCAACCGCTGACTGGTCTCATGCTCCGTAAAACCCAACTCGAATGGAAGCTGAGCTTCCTCGAACGCTTTGCGGTCTACGCTCATCGTGTCCAATTGGGTAACGACCCGGAGACATACTATGCGCCTTCTGGCGGTGTCTTCGATTCCCCATTAGGTTTGATACAGTGAGTAGGTCGCCGTCGTGGCCATCGTGTCCCCCGAAAGGTGCAGCCCACAGGTACACCCGCGATGCATTCTGCCACTGCGGCTTCGTCATGCTTCGCACTAATATTAAAGCACGGGAAGTCCCCAAGCGTATGTATTAGTCGGAATTCTCTGGGAGAAGCTCATGTCCGCAGAAGTTCTGCGCCTCCACTCCGACCGCTCGCGGACTTTTATGGCTGCGTGGGCACCTAAGCCCGGTAAAGACCCTTCCTAAGTACGTGACACGTTCATCCCGTCAGCGGTGCAAAGCAGACTCGTACGCGTTTACACGCTGGTCCGGAAGACCGCCTCGCCGACAATACTGGGGCAGACAATGCAGCTTTGGTACATTGAACCGGAGTTGAAGACTACGATGTCACAAGCGAGCATCGTGAGTACCGCATTTCTGATAGGGAAGACCGTGTCATTGTTCCTGACTGATTCGTTGGGGTCGGTTGTCGGCTGCCGCGAGGCAAGAGACACATTCAAGTTGTGCCGTGTCCATGTCCAGTATGTTTGTGCTACCAGTTCCCCTCGCTGTCTGGCGAAGATCGACTTCTGACTTTCTGAGCTACATTGAAACGGCGACTACACCACTTCTTTCCCTTCTCGCTTGTACACCCTCCCACCCTTCATCACGAAGACAATATTGCTGCTATCCACGGCATTCTCGAAGTCCTTCTCCAGGTCCCCGCTCGTCGCAATGACATCTGCTGCGAATCCTCTCCTAACCGCGCCGAACGGGACTTCATTGTCGCCAACCAGCCGCACGTCTTCCGAAGTAACTCGACCTGTGCCAGACGGTCGGTGCCGTCCTCGCCCTCCCACGCCATGCTCCGAATGCACTGCCAACCATTCAACGTTCCCCACCGAAGAACTTTACGCCAGTCCGCACCCAGCCGGACCATCAACTTCATCTCCAGCGCGTTCTCTCCATGGTTAAACACGCCCGTGTCTCCGCCGCAGGCGATATCCTCAACTCCGCGGTCCAATGCACGCCGAAAGACATGCTTGCAATTCTCCCACTTTGCCGGAGACGCCTTCGACATCGAGTAGTACGCCGCCAGGGTCGGCACCCAGTACGTCTTGATGCCTGCATATCTCCGCTGTAGACACGCAGGTGTCTCGCGTCCGGCTTGTCGAATAACATGTCGTAGCCGTGTTCCACTGTGTGAAAGCCTGGCCCGCTTGCGACAACCATGCCGTTAATGTTCCAGTGGGCCGAATGTGCGGCAACCTTGACGCCGAGCTGGTGTGCGGTTGCGACGATCGCATCGAGCTCCTTCCTACTGAAGGTGGCAATGTCCGTCTGGCCCGCGGCCGTAGAAACATCTACCATCCTTGACCGCGGACGGTAGTCTGATCGCCGTCGCGAGGCAGTGTATCAACGGTCATTACCGACGAAATAGGACAAAATCCGATATTCACCGGCATATACCTGCGACAAGCGATATCCGGTGAGGAGACGAGATGCCGGCATGCACAGCGAGAACACCGCACCTTGATCCAGTCGGCACCTCCGCCGACTTGTCTCCTTACTGCCTTGACGCATTCCACCTCGCCGTCGACCACCTCGGCCCCCGTGACGCCCTCGACGCCGTCTTGATTGAGGTGTGTCTGCTCTTCGGCCCTGCGCGGCGGTCTCGGTCAACCGTTGCCATGTTCCGGAAGCGCGTACCGTAAGTGTTCGTCGTCGTCAACGCCCGGTTTGAGCAGAGTAGCGGGTCCCGGGATCATCGGTTGGGCCAGACATGAGTTTCCGCAGGTGGATGTCCGCGTCGTCCATCCCTTCCGTCCCGAGGTCTCTGTGCGAGCGGTGACGAGGCGCTCCGCGGGATGCAAGAGAGTGCGACATACCGCACGGCGGTGTAGCCGGCCATAAGCGTTCGACGGGCGTGCAGCGTCGCACGGACGATCCGCTCTGGGGCGCTCTGCCTCGTCACCTGGTCCTCCCAAGACACCTCCGCGTACGCGTGCAGGAAGACTGGACCCGCACGCAGCGTCACCTATCTAGCCCGCGGATGAGGGAGCGCTGGCACGTACGGTGGATGTGCGCGTCGACGAACCCGGGCAGCACGGTCGCCTCCCTGAGGTCGACCATCGCAGGATCTGCAAAGTCGACGCCCGCCTCGCCCGCGGCATCGTACGGCTGGACGTCGAGCACGAGGCCCGAGTCCGCCGACGTAGTTATCACCCTCCGTGGCAGCAGTTCGAGGGTGTACGGGTCGAAGAGCTTCCCGGCGTAGATCCTCATAGTGCGTAGTCCTCCGAGCTGGTTCGGTCTAAGCTGTTTGGTCTGCTGGACCGCAGATGAGCGAATGTGCGTCGCTCGAGCGTGGGTGGAAGCAGGATAGCGTTCATCCTGATAAGACCAGAGTTCGTGTGCACGCCCTCGATGAGCCTGAGACTCAGGAGACCTCGATGCTCGCCGAGGCAGATACGGGCGACGTCGCGGCAGACAGCGGCAAGACGCGGTCACGTGGGCACAGTACCGCGTCGCACTCAAACCCAATGTCAACCACGTCCAGCACGCGACGATGGGGTCGATGTACTCAGGGAAGGCACTTGGGCACGTTCGTGCAAGAACGTTCGTCCATTATATTACGCGCAAGAGATCCGGGAGAGACTAGTGATACACGATAGCAAATACAAAGGGCCAGAGGCCCTAGACGGCGTGCAGCAGCCCGACCATACCACATACGATGAAGTACAGCTGGACCAACACAGCACCACCGCCGAAATCAAATAGCACGCATCAAAAGCGGGTGATGTATGAAGCGCCGCCTGCGCGTCATGAACGCGGTATGAAAGGTATCGATGGGCAGCGATATGAAGCGGAAATGGAAATGGAAATGGAAGGTATGCGAGGTGGGACGTGCTGTGCTAGCACAATGTCCGTCCGTCCGTCTTGTATGTCTAGAGTGGATGCATATATATGTAAGGTGTCATATATGCCATACGTCGAGATGGGATGAGGGGGGGATATATGGGGCTGCGAATACATAAGCGGGACTGAGAACGCGAACTCGACAATATCGTTAACGTACACACATCCGCGGTACGCACATCCGGGATGGTCAAACACATTCCAAGCCTGTATGGTACATTTTTTCGGCGGCGGCACGCCGTCACTCACCGACGACTCATGCATCGTTCGCGCCCTCACGCGTCCGCACGCTTGCTCGCGATGAACGGGCCCTCGAGCGGAATCGCATGCGGGTTCTGCGCGTACGCGCGCCAGCTGCCCACGAAGTTCACCCCGCCGACGATGTACCCCTGAAGATATACGTCCCAAGGCCACGGTCCTCGACAGGGACGCGCACAGAGCGACTAGCCCGTCCCACTTGCGCACACGGCCGTAGAAGCGGTAGTGGTTCCACGCTGGCCGTGCGCAGCAGAGTCTGCTTCCGCAAGTCAGTACATCGGTTCGCCACAGCTAGCACTGGAGTGGAAGGTGAAGTGGAAGGAGAGACGTACCTCGCCGGTGATGATGATGTCGCACACGCCGTTGCACGTGTTGTGGATGTACTCCTCGACCTCGTCTTCGCTCTCGTCTTCCGCGTACTCGTCGTCCGCGTATTCAACTCCGAATCGTCCATGACCTCGTCGATGATCGCGTCGGGGTTCTGGCCAAGCGCTTCTGCGCGTCCGCACGGTTCTGTGCGAGCTCGCGCACCGCGTCCATGTCGACGTCGGACGCCTCGGGGTCGTCATCGTCGTGGGGGACGTAGTGGTGTGATGATGATGATGGTGGTGGTGGTGGTGATGGTGGTGCCCGTCGTCGACAGGCTCGCCGCTCGCCGCACGCGCATTGATCCGTACCCTCGCCGCCATCTCAGCCTCCTCGTCCTCCCTCCGCAGGATGCACTGCGTGCACGTCGCCTCGTCATGTCCGTTCGGGCGCCCCTGCACGAACGTCTCGTAAATGTGACCTACACCCGCAACTCAGCACCCTCGACACGAACATACGCGCACACACGCCGCGATCACTAACCTGCCTCCTACGCTCGTCCTCGATGCGCACGCGCCCGCCGTGCTCCGTGATGCTCACCTTCGGGAACCACGCGTTGCAGATGCCCTCGTCGATGTCGCCGTCGAACTGGGGCAGCCCAGCCTCCGCCGGCTGCATCGGGTTGATGCAGTGATGTTCCCTCAGCCGCATGTACAAAGGCGAGGTCATCAGGCGCGGGTTCATGATCGAGAAGTTCGCGGAAACTCAGTCGACGTCACGAGCGCCTCGTACTGGTTCACGTCCGGGACCTGTTCGCGGGGCATGAGAAAAGAATGCGGTGTCAGTCGCGCTGGACATAGAGGAAGGATAACTGACACGCACAAGGAGCCGACCCTGCCAGAGGCCGTTGAGCGAGCCGAGCGTGTACACGACGCCCTTGAGCGGGTCAGGACCCACGGGTCAATGCACCCGCACCAGCGGTGCCAGTCGTTGTCCCACGCAGCGCTCGCTGCTGTCAGTGTCGTCCGCCATACTCCGTCGTCCTCCAGCTCGCCCTGCTCGGCATCGAGCTGCTCGCGCCAGTCCCACGAACCGTGCGGAGCGAGCGTGACGGCACGGTGCGCGTTCGCCTCGTCATGTCCGCGATCGTAGGTGCGATGAACGTGCGCCCAGCGCGACTGCGTGGTCCCGGTTGAGCGGGAGCTCTGGGTGGTGCGGCAGGCGCGTCTCGTAAGGGTGAGGTAGAGCAGCTTCGCACCTGCGCGATGAGCGGCGCGCTGATCACGATATTAATGCCGAACTGTGGGAGGTACTCGCGTAGATGGTCCGGATGCCGATATTGCGGGTAGAATCCGTGGGGTGTCATGAGCGTGTACGGGTAGTCGCCCTCAAGGTTATCGGGGAGCGGGAAGGAGAAGTGCTTGTCGGGAGCGTGGAACGAGGGATAGCGCAGCGCGGTGACGACGTACGGACGAATACGCTCGATGATAACATTCCTGCGGTCTTGGGAAAGGGCCGCGAGCTTGTCTGGAGCGCGTAGCAATTATTCAGTAAAAACCAGTACGTCGAAGGATCGTCTCGCACGCACCTGTGTCCAACATCACGAACAACGACCAGATGGCCAGCGAGTTGACGGTGCTCTCGGCCGGCCAGCCGTGATGCATATGGCGATTCTCCCATGAGCGGTTCACGATGACTGCCTCCGCGAACCTGTCCAGCCCGGCCCACTCGAGCTGAGAGTAGTTCTTGCCGTCGTTCTCTGTCATCATCATGAAAGCAGTCCAGAGATCGCCTCGAGTGTTGGTGCGTAGATGTCGCCACTCCGGACACGCGTCAGCATGCGGCAGACCTTCTTGAGCTGGGCGGTACAGAAGCGCGAGCGGGTCGCACGGGTGCCGAGGCGGCGAGACGCAGCGCGGTGGTCAAAGTTGGTGCAGAAGATGTCGTTGTAGAGAGTGGGTGCATTTTGGGAGCAGAGGGCGTTGTAGACGTGCTTGCTTGTCGCGAGGAGAGCGGGAGGTGGTGGGAGGCCCGAGGCGGTCGATGGTGCCGAGGCGGTGTGCGACGAGAGAGGACGTCGTCGGGGACGGGGAGGGAGAGGGCGGCGGGCGGGCATGGCGGGGGAGGGGGTGTCGGTGGTGCATGGTGGGTGGCGGATTTATGGAGGCGGGAAGAGGGCGCCTGTTGGGGAGTCGGAGAGGCGGGGAGGGAGCGAAAGAGAGCGAAGCGGAGAATGAGATGCGCAGACGGAGATTGGCCGCATCGTGCGTCCGATCTCGCGTCCCAGCCTTCTGCGATCGCCGTCCATCCGCCTTCCTCCCATATCGGGAAGCTGCCCGCTCCTCCTCCGTCGCCATTCATTCGCGGGAGAATCCGTGCCGCTCGCCGATCTGTCGCCGCGTCGCCGATCCTCGCCAGCCACGCCCGGCCCGCGCACTGGCCCAGCTCTCCGCCGTCGTCTGGTGCCGCTCTGCACGCATCGCCGTTCGGGCTGCGCACTTCCTCCTCTCCTCGTCCCAACCACATGTCTCCCGCGCGACCCACGCTGTCATCTCCGCATTACTCGCTCGCCACCGACGCGTCGTCCACGGCTCACAGCGAGCCCCACGCCTCCTCCTGGCCGTCCGGCTCCCGGCACCGCACCGTGGTCTCTGCTCGCATCACCTCCATTCCCCGCCCCGAACAAACTCTACTCGCCTTCGCATCCGCACGCGTGGCAACTTCGTCATACATTGGTCTCTTGTACGTACGTACTTCGTCTCCCACCCCTGTGCGCGACCGACGTCTCTGTAACTATCCCGTCGCCGTCCACCGCCCGTCACGTCCGCATCATCCTCGCTCTGCGCCAGTCCGCCGTTGTCGCCTACCACAAATGGCTACCTCTCTCGCCGCCACGCATCCATCACAGTTATTTGTACGACCTTCCTTCCCTGTTCTCCGCGCGCTCGGCTATGCTTCTGCTCCTGCCCGAATTAGCTCTCCCGTCGATACCATCTTCTCCATGCCGTTATGCCTCTGATGCATGCACGGCCCGCGGCACATCTCATCTTCGTCACTATCGCCCTCGCCTCGCTCCCCGACATGAGCATCAGCTCGCACACTCCGCCGATGCGTCAGCACACCAGCGCGGATCGCGTCGCGTAGCGGACTCCGAGCACGATCCACTCCGAGCCCAACTCCGCCTAGCAGCCATCCAGGCGCGCTGTGACCCTGGCAGCGCTGCTCACAATGCCTTTTCCGTCATCTTCCTGCTGCACAGCGCAGCACGGCGCGTGCCGTTATTCAAATCGCCCACCGTGTCGCAACTGCGCGGGGAGCATCCCAGCGTCCCGTCTCTGTCCGCCAGGCTGTCACGCAGACTGTCTCCGAGCGCACGTCCCAATACATACATATCGTACTACACAGCCTAGGCTAGGAGAGCTATGGAGCGCAGGGCGTCCTGCGCATCTCGATTGTGCGTTTGCACAGAAGTAATTACGCGCCACACAGAATAACTCAAAACACAGGGTCTCGAATCGCGATCGCGTGAAGCCGGTGTTCCCTTACGTCTCGCACCTCTGCGTCCCCACAAACTCTGCTTCTTATTCACCAGGCCATCAGGCCTTCAATTTCTCCAGGAGCCGCACTCGACGCCGGACGTGCTGGTTCTCAATTCATGCGCGGGCAGCCCTGAGGAGCATCAAGAGGTTCGATCGGCACATTACGTGTAATGGGCTGCACTAGTGAGTCTTCCGTGAACCTGCTTACGCCTCCGTTAGTTGCCCGGCAGGCAGGCGAACCACGAAGGGCTGCTGGCTGGGTCCGCCTGAGGCGCGTCGATTTATGTCACCGCCGAAGGCGGTGCGACACTTTGGCCGTAATGGGGCAGACAACCTCGGCAACGGTCTGGGATGCTCTCAAAGAACCGGATGTGGTAGAACGAGTTCAACGGTTCAACGTTTCATCCGGCGCAGCGCCGGGCGGTAGCGGCCTTTCTTTCTACGTTCATGTTCTCCGCAACGGGCCGCCCCGATCTCGACGCTGCCGTGAAGTTGGATGCCGTTACATGAGCTAGCGGACGCGGCGGGCGCTGTACGAACGTGCGTGCTCACATCGCTATGTAGCAGACCGAATCACACTCGGTACCGGTGCTCGTGTAAGTATAATACGTGGTATCATTGCTCCGAAACTTTACCTGCGGCAGCTCGAGCACGGTCGCTTTAACGGCGTTATCAGACATGCCGTCCGAGTCTCTCGTGAGGTATGGTAGGCGGGCCTGGAACGGGTTTTGGGACCCGTGACTGCCTCCGCCCGGAGGGCTTCACTGCCTTCGGAAATGGCAAGACACGGCCGGCTTGACTGTGGGATGAGCACATCTTTCATTGGTCTGTTATTCTCGGCAGTGCTGTTCTCTCTCGATGCCAGCGGAATGCACAGGTAAGCGGCACTTCCGCGATACTCGTCCTTCTACCCTGGGTGCTCTCATCGGACTTACTTCGTAATAGGCGGCCCTGGTGCCCCAGAGGTGGTGTGATGCGCAGATCGGGCACGACGTCGTGCGGGGAAACACGATCTGGTGGCACCGTACGCGGACAAGCCGCAATACAGTCGCTTGCGATGACATCGGCATATTGGCCTCGCCGCGGCTCGGCGCATCACAACGTTGTTCGTGATGGTAAGTTGTCAGCCATCTCCTCTCGCGGCTTCCAGTTAGGCAAGCCACACTACGGTATCGCGTGTGCGCGCATGGCGAGCGAGGTACGAAGTCTATTCCCGATCTCAAGTCGTTCGGTAGCTGTCCACACATCAGTCTCTAACGTCAAGTGCACCACTCTGACGCAGACTAGCACGTCTAGACCAGGGACGGCGGCCCGCTGCTTGTAGTTTCGCTACACCGACCCGCCACTAGTGGCTGCTAGCACCCAACCGGCACCTCCGAGGCATCCCCGACCTGCCAGTCTGGGATGCAAATATGCACAACTACGCGCCCACAAACTATCCTCAACGGTCCCGCAGCCGCGCGAACCTCCGGGTCGAGGTAGGCCCGCACGGACGCTTTCTCCCCAGCTCGCCTCTCCTCTCCTTGCCCCACGCGAGTGCCACGAGCCGAAGCGACAGTACCACCCGTCTCCTGCTAGGCTGCCCCATTTGGTTCTTTACACGGCAGCAAACGTTCATCAGAAGTTCAGGCCGCGTTGGGGAGACCAGTACGTACGTGTCTCTCTACTCGCGCGCCGTGAGCAGTCCGCAGGGCTGACGTTTGCAAGCACGCGCAGCCGAACGACGTCGTCAAAGTCCGCGGTCGTGGAGAACGGAGCGCGGGCTGTGATGCGTGACGCACCGCCGCTGCGGCGAGTACCTCAGTACGTACTCCCTTAGTGCAAACGACTTGGCCTTACAGAATGTATGCCTCAGGATTGGCTCCACGCCTCGCTCGTACCCCGACGCGAATAGACTGTGGCTGGGTGGGAGGCGCATCGCGACCCGCGCCACAGCGGGGTGGCCAGACGTGAACTGCACGCGCGATGCTGGTGTTTGCCTCCTTGGTGCGGACCCTGAGGGTTCGCAAGCTCCGACGATTCGTGTGCGCTTCCCTCTCCCATGCGAAGTACTTGCGGCGGCAGGCGTCTCGGTCAATATCAAGCAAGCACGGGCGCACCGAGGTCGTTCAGAGATGGTCGTCTCTCACCCGCCCCGGGCCTGTTTAGGCGCCGAACATCGCACTTGGACAGTCCAGCAGCGAGACGGCCTCGCGTCCCCCTCCTGCTGTTTGTCTTTCACTAGAAGATATCGCCGCGCTTCTCTCCGATCTCTGCGGCAAGGATGATCCGGAGCCCGTGCGATGGGGAGAAGAGGGGATACGGCGAGGTGCATCTTTGAGGGTCGCTCGCGGAGTGCGATTGAGGAAAGGGTGCGGCGCAGGTGGTCCTGCGCCACACTCTAGGGCCCCTCATTGGGTTGGTGCGGATGGGGACGCCCTGGTGTGAGCGCGAAGTCAGTACGTACTGCGACAGATTGACCGACGCGTGCGGCAGTGATATCACATCGTGTTGCGAATTGCAACTTGTTGAATTTGTCTATTGTTGACGCGCTGACGTCCCGGTGTTAATCGTCGGCCGGCGATGACACCGGGTGCAATCTTGTTGGGACGCCTGGGCGTGCGGTTACATCCGTTTCTTCGGTAAGTGGTATGTTCTTCGTCCAAGAGCCAAGGTCTGCTGAAGCTGACAAGTATGATTTGCAGTTGTCATATCGATGGTCAGGCAACCTCTAGGATTTGGTCGCTCCGGTGCAGGGCTGAATTGAAGCCCAAACAAATTCTACTTGACAGTTCGTATGAAATGCACGATCGCATCCAGTAAGGGCAGTCGTCATCAACCTCTCACTTACCCACGTTAGTAACTCTGGGCTATGTGCCTTACCTGAGGATCTTATTCGCAGAGCATCTGATCACACGACTGACTGTCGCGATGCTGCAGTGACCCTGGTGGCATCTTCTTTCGCATCCGATCTTCACGGCTCACGCTCAGCAAAACAAGACCCACGGGAATTCGGTCGAGAAAGTTTGGAGGCACTGTTGGCGCAACTGGCACGTTCGTCGCCCTCCGTCAGGTGGACCGCCCTTCTCAGTCAACGCCCGGATATGTCATTCATCCTCTCATGTAAGACGTAAAATGTCGCAGCGAACATATCTCACCAGACTTCTGTCCAGCTGTCCATCACCGCTGTGGAGCGGATTCCTCAGCAGAAGGCGTACACGCTGAGGAGTCAATCGACCCATCGACCAATCGGCCCGATGTGTTTATCGTGCGAACTCTGCGTGAGTGCACCAAACCCTGCCAGCCAGTCATCCGACATGTTCTCAATTATAGCCAGTACCTGTTGGGGCGTCCCCTCAATCGCCCGCTCTGGCAGACTGACGTTCGGCACAGTTTGGGTGGCCGTGAAATGTATCGCTCCGATGTTGCAACCGCACCAAAGGACATCTGCTGCCGCTACTGCCCATCGGTGAATTCTCGCTTTCCCAGCGCCAACTCGTGGCGTCTGCGACTGCACTGCTCAGGAGAGGTCGAGCCTGAGGCGAAGGCGCTCTGCACGAAGTATATCAAAACTCTATTTGCCTCTGACGTGCTTGGTAACGCCCGTTGTCTCTCGTACCCGTCCAGAAGACTGACTATGTGCGCGTCAGACGGGATTGTCGCACCTAATACGGTGCGTTGAATGGCTGCTTGAGCGCCTGGACGTATGCATGTCTGGCGGAGCGCCACAACTCCCCCTCAATCCGAAGTAGGACATCGCCGCTGTTGCACACGTCGGTCCTTTGTTCCATTTGGCACGGGACGCTCAGAAGACTCTAGACTCTTCGGATGGCGTATCAAGGGCCAGCAAGACTCGATGCAATCTTGTGCCGACCAAGGGATCGTGTGAGCGACGAGCGAATATTGTGTGTCTCATCACAACGGTTTACGTGTAAGACTTATAGTTCAGCGCTAGTGTTCGTCCCGCCTATTTTTATCTGTTCGGACAGGCACGCATGATTACGATCTGTGCAAGTATGTTGGCGCGTGAAACCTTCCGCGTAATCGTTCTCGGGTATGTGAGCGGGCCCGACGCGCCACAGGATTCGGCAGGGTTGCGCAAGGTAGAAGCATTTTCCGCAAAGTGAGTACCGCTTCATTGAACCAGGTGGACATCTATGTCATGGGTATCTAGATGCCTTGAGCAATTTTCAAGCGGCGTTCCTAAAGACATTCCATTTCCTCAGATACCGGTGGCCCACAGACTTCTCAGTGCAAGTCATGCAAGGTTAATCCCGCAATGTACCCCATTACGCGGCGTGCGAGTCAGGACCATCCGCACGCATTCCAAGGATTGAATTATTTTTGTGAGTGGAATTCCATTGGAATGCAGTTGTCATCTTCTCTAGGACACCGCCGTGCCAGCATGCGCGGCGCATCCGTCACATCAGGACCGTGCACGGTTGTGCGCTACCCAGGACGTAACGTTTGTTCCCATGCTGTACCATTACAGGCTTCTCCACGGCTGTAGCCGCTGCATGCTTCAATGGTCTTCTCATTAGACAGCGCATGCTACAGACCGTTTTCAAGCTTCTTTGACCACATGCGCCGAGACACTGAAGCTTCCTACGGTAGGTATGTGGCGTGTCTGGCAGTTTAGTGCATGAGGCTGAGAACATATTGCATCCAAGGTTCAAGGGGAATTCCTAGGCATGGGCGTTCCGCTGCGCATACAATGGTTCGATGATGCGGCTAGCATGGCATTGCCTTGGCCCCAATGCCGCCGTAAGCCCTTGTTCCGTGTCCCTTTCAGGCGACCTCCGTTGAATGTGAATAGCGACGCAGACTTGATAGATCCTTGACCAAGATGACGGGGGCCCGTCTGTCGTGATTGCAGCGAAGATAACAACTCATTGTTCTGGGTCATTTTCAGACTGTATTCTCCGCGGAGTACTACTCTCGTTAACGATTTCAGCTCCGAGGACCGTATTCTAGATCTTGGGTTCATGGAGAATGTTCTATTAGAACGCCCACGAACGCACCGCCGCACCGTACGGACGTCAAATTCCTCCGGCGGTCTTGCGTTCCGCTCGTGAATAAACGGTACGAATCTCCTTGTGCAGCCTCTCACGACTGCTTTCTCTTTCAAGTGGACTCACCTCATACTTTGATAGTACCAGTTAATGGCGTATACCGACAACTTGGCCTCCACACGCGTGCTTGCGATACTGTACAGGGCAGTGACGAGAATGTACGGGAATGTACGGGAATATGACATCACGGCTACAGACAGGGTGGTTCCTCACACTCTGATTACTCAGGCATCTGTCAAGCAGCCGTGGCTACCGCAGCGTCACGGTGCGCCGGCTGGCATTGCGATGCTTTGTTCTGCCAGTCAGGTCTGTGTCCGGAGTTGCGTCTGCTCCCAGTTGATCCATGTCGTGATCTCATTTGAAAGCAGAGGGTACGTGTTATGTTAAGACAGCTCTCAGCATCGAAGCCATGATCGTACTGATACATGACATCGCGGGTATATGTGTAATTTTATCGTCGAGTCAAGATGCAAGCTGACGCTGAGGATGGCGACAGGGTCTGCATCATCCTCAATTCTCGCGACTAAAATCTACCACCACCGCCCTCACGTGCCACGTACCCGGGCCCTATGCTCCCACTAATTTCTCTCCGAACCAGATGTGACTGGGTCAGTCAACCTTCTTACCGCAATTCTCATGCCTGAGTTTAATTTCGCGACCTCGAGGAAGGCTGATAACAATCAAGCTGTCAGGGCTACAAGAATGCAGGGGTTACCGCCAGCCCTTGCCTTCCGGAAGCCCACGAGATTTGGTTATCGTGGCAAGTGAGTAAAACTGGATCTCAAAATTGACCCCCGACTGAGACGACTCAGCTCTACCGCTGTCGCCGGTCTCCCTCCCACTCTCCATCACGCCGGCTATCCCTTGCCCATAATTGACGTCGGGATCGCTTAAGCAAAGGCAAGCGCTGCGTTCCATACCGCGGTCAAAGCCGGCGAAGATACGGTCGGCATGAATTATGGTTCATCGAAGCCAATATCGCTGGTGCGTTCAGTGTAGCCACATTATCAATTCCGCGAATCACGCGTAGCCCTTCTCTGAGTAGTCTCCGCCAGCAGACCAACTTGCCACTTGATCCAGCATATAGACACCGTAAGTGTGGTAGGTGTGGACCACGCCCATTGAAAGCAGGGTCTCTATTGATCACTGCCATCGGCTTTACGTGACCATTGATTCTGGGTCCGCCCACTCTAACCTCCACTCCATGCGGTCAATGCCGACACCTTCACCACCATTGGTTGGCCCAAGCTAAATATCCCGGCCAAGGAGATAATGAGCGTGTGCACACACCAAGGCACACCACTAGCATCCGGCTAAGTAGCCATGCCCAAGCGAACGTACGCGCTGGACTCGGAGCGCTCGCACGGAACATCAACAGTCTCTCAGTTAGATGCGCTCGAGGAGCTCTCGCAGGCGAGTCTTGGAAGTCATCACGGGCTGACCTTGTAACAACTTAGCTGCGTTCACGACATTGAGTCGAGCTCGAGGCAAACTGATCTATGGATCAGTTATGGTAGTGTGACAACTGACCATCCGCATTGACGGTGAGGTATAGATAGCGTGGGGTATGATATATACATACAACAGATAGCGAAACTGTCCGACATGACCATTCCTTTGAATATGTACCCGTTCACTGTACCGGGGGGAGTGCGGGGAAATAACGATGTTCCAGACGGTGCTCAGCAGGTCGCGGAGAGCACTTGTTACTATGTTCGAATCGAGCACCTTCGGTTTCCGCACGCTCGATGGTCTTCATCAATTTATCCTCCCGGGACTGCAGCCGTTGCTCCATTCCGAGGATGAGCATCCGGACTTGCTCGATGTGAGCCAGAGTGGTCTGCGCCGTAGCGTTCACTGCCCGGGAGTCTGTCGGCGCGCTCGGACCGCGAACACCTCAGACCGTGAGGGCATGACTGAAGGCGTAGTCGAAGGAACGATATTGAGATTCGCCTACAAACGATTATATCATCTAGTTGAGGCTATGTCGAACAACGTCTCGTACCTGCCAGTTCACCCCTGCCAGCTTCTCCAACTCGCGCTCCAACATCTTCTCTCGTACCTTCCCTCTACACATTGGAGACTCAGTGGCGGATAGCCATAAGAGCATAGATACTATACCTCTCTAGCTCAGTCATGCATCGCTCGTTCTCCCGTTGAGTTCCTTGCAAGAGGATATCAAGATTCGTGTATTCCTTCTGCAACTCTTGAACGGCGTTTAGTGGTGGTCGCTGCGCCAGCTGGGCCTGCAGCGATTGGATCTGGGTCTGTAGCTATAATCGGATAGCGCAGTTTGGTCATTCGAGTCTAGATGACTTGTGCAGTGACGATAGCGTACTCTGTCGCACTCTCTGTCTTCTCAATGAGCTGTCGTCGCAGAACGTCTTCCGTGGATTCCTCTGGCGTTTCCTTCAGCATCCCAGATCATCAGCGCCCAAGGCCAACGATGGGCGCCATAGTGTCTAGTACTTTGTGCACGTCGCATATTGTGTTGCGAGTCCTGGATGAAGAGAGGATGCAGGAACGACTCCAGGATGGGTGGTCACTCAGAGTCGGCAACGCGATTGAACGGCGCGGTTGAGTTGAGGCAGGCACGTGCGCGCGTCGCCAAGTGGCTGAGGCCGCGTTCCACTTTTGGTTCCGCTGAACGTTGTTCTCTTACTCGGAAACCGCTCTGACGATGATAGGCACCCCTTGAAGTCGACAAGCTGTCAGGAAATGCATGTATGTCCTGAATTGGGCTCAAATATTGTCTGGCGTGGCCACCTCGCGCCTACTGGCAGGCGGCCACTTGCAGAAGTCAATAGAAGGGACGTGGCACGCGTGTGGGGTTTGGAGGGTATGATGTGTACGCCTTTGAATGATATCTGTTACTACCGCTCACCTTTCGTAACGCGAGTCGTCCGTCACTGGCATGTCGACAGGTGAATAACTCCGGAACGAGTGAGCTGCGCGGGTGCATAGTCGAAGAGCAGCATCACCAGCTAGCTTTCACACTTGTCAAAGATGTTATCAAAAAGGCATAGGGTGGGACGACCAGCGTTGCAGCCCATATCGAGATGAGGTCTAGGTCAAACGCCAAGATCGCCCCCTGGTCGCTACTCGGACATCGTACAGACAAGATGTTCTTCTACCACGAGGTCGTCATATTGACTGCGGACGCCCTAGGGCTAATCAACATGCTGCTCTGGCACCTGTACTTTTGCAAGACCCCATGCCGGACGCTTGCTACTGCGTGCTCCCCCTAAACAATAGGCATGCCTGCGGGTCGTCTCTGGTTCCCTCGCACAGGATGACTACGCAGTTCATCCCCGGACGCCGCCGTTCGCACACCAAAGTTGGTACTTTCACCAATGGTCTGATGGTGATCATATGCCGCGACATACCGCGAGGGTAGCGGCACATACGTCACGGTCGCGAGAGCCTAGACGGGCAGTCGTTCATGTGAAGCTGAGGCTGGCCGTGCATTTTCAGGGAGAAGAGCGAGAGTAGGATGTTAGGGATGGAAGGGCAAATGCTATCATCATCGGATGGTATTCTAAGTATGTTTCGTGATCTCGTGATACATGGTCGTGTAACAGGTTGACCTTTGGAGACAGTCATGCGTAGGTACGCACTATTGTCATCTCTCAAAAGTGACATCGCATTCTGCGCAAAGAACATTGAGTATTCATCTTGCACGCAGCACATAACGTACGAACCGTCAAAGGGTCGGCTGCAGTCATAACGGACCGATCGCATATGTGCAGCGATTTGCTCTCCCCTAGCCGCATCGAGCTGCCTCATCGATCGTGCGTGTGACGCGCCTTCGAAACACCACCAGCGTAGGTCCGGGGATACTTTGACTTGCTGACTGTTTTCTTGGTCCACGAAGGTATGTCTCCAAGGTGAGCCACCCTCCGCCAGGTCGGGGCTCGTGTTGAGAGAGAGGTAGCGAAGATGGGGAGCCGTGTCTGGTACAGATGCGGGGAATGCACGGAAGACTATATCTTCGGACGAAGGGACGTCGTCAAATGTGTTGCCTGTGCCTACAGTAGCAAGTTGCTCATGTGTGTCGCGCCGAAGGGGACAACGGATTTCCAAGCATACGATGGCACTCGTTGCGATAGCCCCATTCACTTTGGCCTGGATAACTGCAATAAGTATGTGTTGAGTTGCTTTGCAACGTAGCATCAATGTGCACTCACCCACCAAAGGGCTAGATCTATCCCACATGTGCGATATGAACATATGTCGGACAGTTCGACGGCCAGGTATCGGAGACGTGCCGAGCGGACGAAGAATTGTGACCAGAAGTTGGCGTCGAGTTGCGAGTCTGTTCGTGCTACAAGTGCAACAGGCTGCACGTTCGACACCGCTGTGAGGGTCGTTGCAGGAAATGTAGGCAATAGGAATCCGCCAACGAAGGTCGGTCGTTGGCCCCGCACTATCCGAGACGCAATCAGGCAGTCCAACTCCAAGAGATGTATGCCAGTGACATTCCGCCATTCGGCGAATGACAAGCCGGGGCCGCGAACATACTGCAATGCTGGCCACTCAACCACCGGAGCGGGATGCCCGCGGGAATCCCAGCCGTTTCGGAGCCTGATGTCAAGGTTGCGGACCCCAGGGAATGCCCGCGCGAGATCCGCTAGCTTTGGTGCAAAGTGAATCCGTGGATTTAGGATTACGAGGTACTGCACGCTGGGCAAACGAAGCTGTGGGTCCAGCTGAAGTAGTGGCGGATCGGTGGGGCGGGCCACCCGTTGCGGAGGTAAGCTGAAGGTCAACTTGCGAGGCATGGATTGCATATTGTTGATACATCTCGAGGTGTTTGGCCCTATAACATCCAAGTCTATCTCCGCCAAATGTCTCATAGCAGACAGGACATCGACCAGTCGTGGTTCGTATGCTGCCCAGCATTCGGCGGACTTCAGAGACAAAAGGCGGAGGTGGACAGTTCCCTCCAATAGGTCGGCGAGCAGAGTAGCCACGTAGGTCCCCCGAATCCCGTCGTAGTGGCGCTGATATGCCCCGCTTTCGCGACGCATTGAGACATTGATCCTCAACTCACGGAGAGCGGATAGGCGATGTTGCATTGTACCCAGCATGTAGATGCAGAAATCGATGACCTTCGACTCAGAGCGGAGAGTGACGGACTGTAGGGCATGATGACAGGCAATGAGGTAAACTCCGCGTGCCGTGTAGAGAGTGACCGTGCATCATCGGAACCAAGGTAGGAGACGATAATGCCGAGGCGTCGTCATTAATGTGAGAAGGGTCGCTGACATTCGAGTCAGACAGTCGCTTGTGGACGCAGCGCTCATCCGTCCTGATCCACTGATTCGTAGTTACTGGTCGCTGGTCGCAAAGTCAGCGGTGAGATATAGCACCACACCTGAACATTTACCTGTGGAGTGTGCTGTTGTTCACCAGACCAGCGATTCGGCGTGGTTTCCTCACTGAAGCTCTATCGGGGCAAAGGGCAGCTGTCGAGTTTAAGTAGTGTCAGGTAGACAGAACCTTGTAACACGGCGGGACTGATGTGGCTCCGGTATGCCACATGGGGATGCCGTTAAACATGTGCGTATGGAAGTGCGTACTGAGTGATCTTCAGAATTCTGAGCGACACCGAAGGGAATCAATCATAGACCAAGCACTAAGTACTTACAGCCAGACAACAGACCGTTGTTTCCACAAGTTAGGATCGTCCTCATATACATACATGATTTCCACTGCATAGCCTTGACATATTAGCTACAACTCAAGCCCCCGAGCCGCACGCACGTCGATGTGAACAAGTTGACACCCTCGCTGAGTAGTATTTTAACTGGACATTGCGATCTGTTAGTAGAACGTCAGTCAGAACCGCCAGCAAGGGAAAGGACAGACAAACCGTCGAAGTCTACGGTGTAGTCGTATCGGACCGAACGGAGATACGCAGCGATCCGTTCTCCCTTGGCCGGGTCGAGCACTCTCGCGACCCGTGCAGCCTCTACACCTTCCAAGCTCCACCAATGCAAGTCAGAATATGTCGTAAGCACTTGGCTATGGTCTGGAGCGAGGAAGTCGTATCTCCAAAGCGACTCTCCCTCAGGACGTACGTCGAGAGAGAGGTAGCGAAGTGTAATGGGTGTCTTGCGAGCAGAGGCCCCAAGGACGTCCACGAGCTCCTGCTTGAAAGAGCACACGCTGGAGTCGTTGGATGCAGAAGTGGCGCCGTTAACGGACTGCGAATCCCCCGCATCACACAGGAACCGAAGCTCAAAGCAGATGACGTTGCTATCTGCAAGGGCCGAGCACAACGTAGTCTGAAAATCTCGCAGTCAGTGAGTTGACTTCATGGCAAGAAAGCATACGTGTACTCACCCACCAGTTCGCAATGTCTAGTTGACGACAATCACCATAGATCGCAACAGCCAGATAACGCAAGCGTGTAGCACTTGCAATAAGCCATGCTACATTCGACGATGCCAGGTTCCATCTAATTCCACAATCACTGCAACAGGGTCGATGTTGCTCATTGCAGAGGTGGTATTTGCGCGTGCGCCCGGATCTATCGCCACACTGGCGGGAGACCCACTCCATGATATGCCTCCATATGTGTACGAAGGCTGGCGGATCAATTGACATAGATGGACGGGGACAACGTTCTTCCATACCTGAACGAGGATAGTGGGCCTCGGATGCGCTCCAGGTTCTGCCAGGTGGCGCGGGTGAGTAACCGTCTACAAAACTCCAGGCCTGATACGGGAACTGCTGTACATGGTGTCAAGATTTCTGACACGGGGAAATCCCGCGCAAGCTCGATTGGTTCGGGTAGGTTATGGGGATCCTGTGCTGAGAGATACTCGACACTTGGAAGACGAAGCTGAGGATGTAGTAGAAGACGCTTTCGAGTTCGCTGTCGAGGCTCGTTGAAGGCCATGCGGACGGGGGCTGATTGCATCTTGTTGATCAACTTCGCAGTATTCGCTCCAACGAACTGCACCTCTATCTCCTGTAGGGTTTGCATCGAGGCTAGGACCTCGATCAATTGAGGCTCGTAGGACATCCACACCTCGGCTGAGTCCATGACCAGCGTGCGCAGATTGGCCGTTCCTCGAAGCATTTTGGCGAGTAGCGTAGCTCCCGCAGCGTAGAGCTCCTCGGTCTCGTTGGTGACGTGCACGCGCAATTCGGGGGGAGATAGGACTACGCAGTGCAATCGCAGTTCGTGTAGAGCGAAGAGACGATGTGGCATATCATTGAGCATGTAGGTGAAGAACTTCAGGGCTTTGACGAAAGAGCGGAGCGTGACATATTGTAGTGCGTGATGGTTAGCGACGCGTAGAATGCGCGTGTCGTGTGGGAGAGTCGATGGGCACTTGTGGAATCGAGGTAAGAGACGAGGGTGGCGAAGACGTCGTCATTCAAAGTGATCAGACTCGTTGGCATGCCGGCCATACCGCTACTCTCGTGTATCAATCAGCAGTACCCACGATAGAATAAGAGTTTCGAAGACTCCTGTGACATAACAATTACACACCACGGAGAAGGGCGAGTGGCTTTCGGAAAGTGGCCGGTAGGAAGTGAAAGACAGTACAGCCACAGCGGCGAAGGGGTCGTATAAACCCTTTAGCTCGCCGACGTAATCGGCGTTCGCGATGGGAGCGCTTCAGGTGTTGTGTGGCTCAGTGCGCGATAAACAGAATTACCCTAATAGGAGGACAATTGGCAGATTGAGTACAATCCAGGACAAATTTGCAGAGAATAAGGTGTATGAATTGCGGACCGGAGACCGGAATGACATACTTGGGTCAGTTCAAGCAAAACAAACGTCATTGTATGCAAGACATCACCAAGTAGACGCAGACTGGACAGTAAACACTTCAGGCAAGTTCAAGTAACTGATGCTGCCACCAATCGGCCTCCAGTAGAGCATAGAATGTCAACCCGCCAATTGTCTCAATCTGATGAGTTAGAAGCACGATGATACAGCGTGTCAGCGTGGATGCGCAGAGCAGGGTGAGAGTAAGAGGGAGGAGGGAGACGGTTGGACCTTTAAGCCGGCGTTGAGTAGCACGCGGCCGACGACTTCCCGATTAGGATATCCCGTCCGGGGTATGATGACCAATACGACGCCTCTGAAGTGATCCCGCCACCTCCTGCTGCTTAAGCTTACCCCGCATTCGTGTCTCCCTACTTGATTGGCCACCGACGCACTCGCCAACCCTGCTGCTGTGTCGCCATGGCGGAGTACATCTCGGAGACGTTCCCAGCCTCGAAGCTGGGTGAGTACACGGTGATCGAGGAGATTGCGGAAGGGACGTTCGGGAAGGTCAAGAGTGAGTACCGCTCGAGTGTCATCGCGGTGGACTGGACTGAATGGGTGGTCCCAGTGGCGCTGCATACGATCACTGGACACAAGGTTGCTATGAAGTTCATCTCGAAACAGGTCATCGCGGCGACCAAGACGAAGAATCGCGTCCAGCGCGAAGTCGAGTACATGAGGATGCTTCGGCATCCGCACATCATCAAACTGTAAGTCAGCTGCCTATTCAGAGATGACAGGGACAATGGATGCATTGCGATGTCTCGCGCAAGGGTGCTGGGCGGCAAAGATGTCGGGTTTTGAGCGTATGGAACGGAGGGGCTGGAAGTCGGAATGTTCATCGGTCACGGTGCCGCCGTTCGTTGGTATGCTCCTTAGCTCTTTTTTTTCTGTGCACACGTAGCGAAACATGCAGTCATGACAGCGAAGTATTGCCCTGCTGTGTTTCCTCGCCCGACACGCAAACCTCGCGTCAGTGTCCGCGACACTTGTGTAACCTCCGCATGAATGCCTCACCGCTTCCATCCATACACATAATACCTTGATGTCACTCTATGCATACCCTCTGCATGACTGTCTTGCTTACCTACCACTCTGTTCCAGTTACGAGGTCATCTCAACACCCACCGACATCATCATCGTCCTCGAGTATGCAGGCGGCGAGCTCTTCAACTACATCGTCGAGCACGGCCGGATGCCCGAGCATAAAGCGCGACGGTTCTTCCAGCAGATCATCTCCGGCATCGACTACTCCCACCACCTCAAGATCGTCCACCGTGACCTCAAACCCGAGAACGTCCTCCTCGACGCCGACCAGAACGTGAAGATCGCCGACTTCGGGCTGTCGAACGAGATCAAGGACGGCGACTTCCTCAAGACGAGCTGCGGGAGCCCGAACTACGCCGCGCCGGAGGTCATCCGCGGCGGCTTGTACACAGGCCCAGAGATCGACGTTTGGAGCTGCGGTGTGATCTTATATGTCATGCTCTGCGGACGGCTACCGTTTGAGGATGAGGACGTGACATCCTTGTTCACTAAAATCAGCCGTGAGTTGTCCTAGTAAACTGAAGGTCGATGCGCCTTGCTGACGCCGCTCATTGCAGAGGGCGTCTACACTATGCCCATTCACCTATCTCCCGACGCGCAGAGCCTCATCTCACGGATGCTCGCGGTCGACCCCGTCAAGCGGATAACCGTCCCTGAGATCCTCCAGCACCCCTTCTATAAAACCGAGCTACCGCGTTACCTCCAACCCCTACCGCCGAAACCGGCTGTCCTACCAACGCTGGCGTCCCTCGTCACGCCGCCGGTGAAGGCACTCGACTTTGAGATCATCGATGGTCTGGGGAGGGTCGAAGAGGATGTTGTAGATGAACTCACGGCCAGGATGGAGGGCGTAGACAAGGAGGACGTCTGGGAGTCGCTGAGGAGAGATGACGGTCCGCAGGGCAATGCGGTGAAGGTTGCGTACATGCTGTTGAGGGACAAGAGGAGACTGGGAAGAGATCGTAAGGAACGTCTACATTCAACGGACGATGGCTGACTGGCTACGATGCAGTAGCCGAATTCGAAGAGCAAGAAAGGGACGCGCAGCTGGCTGCCATGGACGTAAGTATATGATACTCGGCCGAACTAATCTTACGACAAGCTAACGATGTGCACAGCCACGAAACTTGCTGTCACCTAGTGCGCTCTCTCCGGGGCCTCCCGATCTCGAAGAAAATCCGTTCGACAACGAATTCGGCGGGTACGACGAAGACGATATGGATGACGGACTCGACTTCTCTACACCGCAAGAAGCGGAGGTCAACAACTTCGCTGTGCTCAACTCTTCCCTGCCCGATCAGCTTCCCGAACAGCACCATCTCGCGTCCTACGCTTCCGCCAAACGGCTGCCTTTCAAAGAGAAGAAGCAGCACCGGACGAAGTGGCATTTTGGCATACGAAGCAGGAGTCCGCCGATGGAGGTGATGCTCGAGATCTACCGGACGCTGAAGACCATCGGGATGGAGTGGAAGGCGAAGAAGGACCTGGGCGGGCTCGGTGGCGTGCGGCGGAGCGGGAGAAGGCGCATATCGAGCGGAATAGAGAGCTGGACTCGCCGCACTACGTTGATCTGCGTGCGGCGTCGTCGATATATTTCATCGAATCACGGGCAAGAGTCCAGGACGTCGTGGTGCGTGTCGTGTTCCGTCGCCGCGCATCCAGGGCGCTATTCGGCCCGCGCGTGGCGTGTGTACAGGGAGCGCTGACGTTGAGCTTTGTGGCGTTTTTTGACTGCAGGTTCTGATGAACCTCCAGCTGTATATGGTCGACTCCATCAATTACCTCGTCGACTTCCACCACAAGAAGACGTATACAGCGTCCACAGAGCCGGGCGCGGGCTGTTCGACATGGCGCATCCGGACCTGACGCTGAGCGAGACGGCGTCGCTCGAGTCCAGTCGGTCCCTGAAGGAGATCAACATCAAGGAGGACGAGGTCGTCTCGCCGTTCGTATTCATGGACGTCGCATGTAGATTGATTCTGGAGCTCGCGGGCGGCGGGGAGTAGGCTGTCTCTTGGGATCTTTAGTGCGCGTATTTGCTTTCGATGTCGTCTGTGCTATGCCTGCGCTGCTTATTTTTGGTTACCCCCGCATTTGTAGCTCTGTTCTGGTGGTTGGGATGTAAGAGTACGGCAAAGAAGTCATCACTAGCTATGTACGATGCCACTAATGCGATGGCGTTGATCGCGAGCAACCGATGCACGGTGCGATGTGAGAAGACCATCGGATAAATCTAGCTTCACTTGTATCTTTTCCTTCGATGCAGCGCATGAATGAAGTTGACAATCACTGACAATCTACACCGAAACGCCCTAGGCCAGTTCCACGCAATAAAGTGCGACGAGCGCAGGTGAGTAGCGTGATGTTTTGTGAATTGGTCCCGTTATGGATGTAGGCTGCACTAATGCGAGCTACGTAGTGATCCCTTCACGTCCTTAACCGGCTACGAACGACAAACGTGACAGCCATCACAATAAACTGGGTTCCTGACCTTCCTGTGAAACCGTTCACGCTGCTGGATGTCCTAGGAAGGAAGTCGTACGAGCTCGTCCTTCAGAGGTAGGTGTAGATCAATCCTCTGCGAAGCTTCCCTGTGCTAACGTTATGCGCATCTGTGTCTCGAGTGTTCGTTCGCATGGAAGCACTCGTGCACACAGGCGACGACGGGACTTCTCGCTGAGGAGCAGTCGACGGGGTGCGCGCGCTCGCCGCCACGAAGCCTTCGCCCTCGTCAACGCGGCTCCGTGGGGACGGCCCGCCACTCCACGTGAGCCGGGAGTGCACAATTTGGCTGGATGTGGACAGCTGTCACTCCCCGTCGCTCAGAGCGTGGCAGCTGTCCAGTCCGCCACACACCCCGCCTCCGTCTGCACGCACTCGCGACACGCCGCGCACGCCTGGAATGTATCTGAGGCGTATACGGCATCGGTGCGAACAAGCGTGCGGGACGCGAGCAGCCCGCCGCAGCCCGCCGCGGGGGCCTGCGCCACCAGCGAGCGTCGGTGGCATGTGCATGGAAGGGATCCGCGTGCCTTCGTCGTTCGTTGGGTGACAAGGAAGTGGGCTTCTGTGATAGACGCACGGCGGTCCAGGGTGGCGCTCACCGCTCCGTCACGCTGTGGAGAGCGTGCACGTCCGTCTTTGGCAAACTGGCTGCCATACACGGCCCGTCGTTGCTCGATGCCATGTCGTGACTTGTCAACCCGCCACCCGCCCGTTATAAACCCTCGCCATGTTCGAGTCCATTTCACCCCGCCCTCTCCCTTCTGCCTCCTCTCCGCCATCTTCCATCACCTGCTACGCCGCCATGGACCAGCCCGCCGCCGCCAGGCCTTTCGATCCTTTCTTCGACATGCCGCTCCCCAACCCGAGCCGCAGCATCCACGCCTCCATCTGGGCGCCCCAGCCGCAGCCCTCGGAGACCGCCTGGACGAAGGCCATCGACTCGTTCACCCGTGTCGACAGCAACGGCCACCCGATTCGTCCGGATCCCCGTCGCACGAGCTCATTCCCTAGCACCTGCGAGGACCTGTTCGGGCCTCCTGGTGCGGATAGTCGTATGCGCAGACACGTCGGGGCCATCGGCGACGGCCGCAAGAAAGGGTCTCCGACCTTGGAACAAGTCGTAGGTGTCCAAATCAACGCATATATGCGCGCATGTAGTCAGTTCTGACGAGGTTACCAGCATGTCGAACAGCTGTTCCGCACTCTGAACCTCAACTCTCCCGCTCCGGCCCTCAGCTGGTCACTACCTTCGGGCAGCCGCAGCAATCGTCGCAGGCGTCCCCTGATCTATCTCCCATTTCGAACACTGCTCTTCTTACTCCTTCCGATTCTCCTTCCACGAAAACGTTCGACGTCAAGCCGGACGGCAGCCACTACGGCCTTGGTGTCTTCAATGGCTATCAGGGCGATCGTCTCTTCGAGACTGGGCCGCCGCCGAGGCACAGCGACCCTTATAGGGATCCTCACGTCGTCTCGAGGAGTGGCTTTCCGTCCGCGCATCAGCGGGACGCGAGCACTTTTCCTTTCCTTGAGCCTCTGTCTGAAGTCTCCTCGCCGATTCAGAGTTCCCAGCCCTTCCTACAGGCCGCCTATCCCCAGCCCACGCATCGTCGCCTCGAGTCCGCTCACGGTCAACAGCAGTCGTGGACCCAGCAGCCTCGCATGCGGGCCCCCTCCGGGTGGGTCCAAGCAGACGAGAGGTCGATGGCCGACTTCGTGGCAGGTAGTTTTGCACCTGAATCGACTCTTCGATCGTCCCAGTCGAGCCACAGCAGTGGCAAGTCGCATGCTCACGAGGTAAGCCCTTATTCCCGTACGTAATGGTTCTCTTCTTCACGCTGACGACGTCCTCTCATAGCCGATCAACTTCTTGTCCTTGCTTCATCCGTCCTCTTCGCCGCCGTACACTCTCTTCGTCGACCGCATTATCAGGTCGTCGGACCAGCAGGCGTCCATCTTCCTTCAGCAGAAGCTGAAGGTTGCTGACGGTGCCGAGCGGGCAAAGATCGTGGACGCCATATGCTCCAAGGGCTTTGAGATGATGGCTCATCGGTAAGGCATCGAGCAGACCTGTCCTGAGGTGGAGCTGACAAGGCTGCGACATCAGGTTCGGAAACTGGGCTGTCCAGCGGTGCCTCGAGGCGACTGCTTCGCCTGAGGAGCGTCGGAAGATTGTCGCTTGCATGAGGTACATAACCATCCATCTATACGCTCCGAGTGGAACATCCTTCTGATGTCTGAATAGGGGTCGCGTTGTCGACCTAGCGACCAATTGCTACGGGTGTCATGTCCTGCAAAAAGCTCTGGACTGTGAAGAGGACGTCAGGCTGTTGATCGTTTCCGAGCTTCTCCTCGGCGATCCTGCTCAGACCCTCGTGAACAAGCATGCGTCTCACGTCTGGAGCAAGGTAGTATCAGCCGTTGTATATGTGACGACATAAGGCTGATGTCCGTATGCAGGTCATGGAGCTGACCTGGACGTCCCCGCACCTCCTATTTCGCATAGTATGTCGGCCTTGTGTGTATGATGTCTACATGCTCGCTAACATACTCCTGTTCGCAGTGTCAACAGATCTCTCAAGGGCAAGTGGGCCGCCTAGCTTGTCACGAGACTGGTTCCCTCGTTGTCAGGTATGCTCATACCCACCTTGCTGATACTCAAACGAATCGTCTCGCAGCATGCCTTTGAAACCTCGAAGAGTCGGCGAAGGATGGCATCATCGACGAGTTGCTGAACCAGGGTCAGCAGTCTTGCCGAGTCGCAAAAGTCAGTGGGGATCGTACTGCGTCCAACACAGTGAGTGTCCAGCGATGACTTTTGCTCGCGCTAAGCGCGCAATTAAGTTCTCGAGCACGGATCTAAAAAGCACCGGGACATGGCCCTAGACCATCTCTTGGCTGGCCTTCTTGAATACGCAACGAACGAACAAGGTGTGAAGTCTGTTACGAAGGCCCTGAAAGAGGGTGGCAAGGAGACGTTGGACAAGATCATCAAGCGCATGTGCGAGCCTGCCAAGGGGTAAGTGTTACAGGCATGTAGTCTGATGTGTACTTGAACTTCTTCTTCACAGGGGGCGCAGAGTCACGATTGTTGACTGGCGCTGTCCGTCACCGGAAGCCAGCTCATCGCGAGCGTGTTGCCCAATGTATGTGAATCTGGTATCCGGCTGAAACATGTAGCTGACGAAGACGGCACAGGCGGACAAAGATCAGCGTGCCTCCTGTATGACTCTATCCGCGGGCACATCGTCACGCTCCGTGGCTGCAAGACTGGCTCCAAGGTCATCTGGCTCTTCGATCGCATGGCGAGTCCGGCTCATGAATATGTGATGCGTCTTTGACCATTTGTTACAGCGCGCATACTACGGCTACTGAGGCCGACTAGAGAGCGGTGACACGTTCCATTCGCCTCGATCGCATCTGCAGCAATCTTCTCGTCTCGGCATGCTTAAAAGCCTTGAAAATCCGGAAAACATCATCGATCTCAACACAGCATCATACGAATCAAGTGCAATCATAAGTATATCTCGCATCATCAAGCAAGCATCGTATCGTATTCGACTGGTCATTCAAGTTCAATGCAGGACAACGCCTCATGTTACATGATCATCTCACCACCGTCTCCGTAGCTAGCATCAACAAAAACGTCTACGCCCGCATATCGCTTCACGAATGGACTTTACGGCACTCGCATCATCTCTCTTCGTCGCATTTACCAAGCAGCGTTTCTTTATTGCTCGTTTTATTAGCTCAGGCAGCAAGCGTTTCTCGCATCATGCGGTATTTATACCTTCGAAAATCAACTATACCGTCGCACCACCTTCGTCTTAGTCTCTGATACGGCTGTCCTCTTGTACAATAGTACCTATCCTGTCGTCGTCATTTGACATCCTGTCTTTACGAGTCGAACTGTACATACGTGTAGAATACAATGAGAAGTATTATGTGTACGCTACTCGTCGTGCGACGCATGCCTTACGTGTTTCGTTGAATGCAACGAAGAATCGCAACGTCCTCGTATACCTCCAGAGAGGCCTTGAGATCTGAGAGCAGAAGCCTCTGTCGACGTCGCCCAGCAGATACTACAGAGCGTAGGTTACACTTTGTACACTGGCAGCGCACGGGTACAGGCTGCAGGCTGCCTGCTTCGGCTTGCTCGAGAAAGTGTCAGGTACGATACCTAGTGCTTGGAGCAGTGACAAGGCGGACAGGCTTGAACATCACGCAGCGCAGCCTTGAGACTGCCCTCGCGCGCGTTCAATGGGACAACGCGTGCCACGCCGGTGATTGCCCCCCCCCCCCCCCCCCACACACATTTTGAAGCTACTTTCCATTGTAACGACTGTCCCGTTGACAGGCCCCAAGCAATCATGCGTCTTGTCTTGAGCATCGAAGTCATAGAGTTTGAGGTACAGTGTAGACGAGCGGCGTACTGGTATTCTGATCGTCCCGTCTTCAGTTCCAATGTGTCAATGTTGCTGTAAAAGTCCAGGTTGAGAAAGAGTTACTTACCGGTCTGCGTGTCCTGATAGCAAAGATTAATTCCACTATCAGCCTGAGAAGGAGGCCACGCGAGTCTCCAGTCCACCGGAATTGCCACCGCCCACGACGCATGGAGACGCGCAGATCCCATCCTGCAATGCTACTTATCTCGGACGGTATCGTCTCTGCGTTCGGAATCTCCGAGTCCACGAGATCTATGAGATTGGGAGGGCTTCGCGTGCAGGCTCTAAACGCAGGCGATCTGCGAAGTGTGCCCGAGGGAATAGACGTGATGTGTTTATCTGCGTCCGGGAAGAAGTGATCGAGCATGCGTAATGAATACATCATCACGGACCGGTATCCTTGGGGAAGGTGCAAACATGAGGCATGGATCGTCTCTTCCTTGCTTAGATACGTGTTTCTCACCTTTATGGGCACTGATCCGAACCTCTTGCATTGCCGACGAGCGGCGCAACGGCATACCATTGTATCGGAAGCTGATGTCTTCGACGCTATATGCCATCTTTTGAGACAGTATCCGTTGCGGATCATACGCATTGGTGGGAAGCGAATGAGCGTACAGCGATTGGTGTTGACCAAAGGAAAAGCTGTACGCTTGGCTGTCATTATTGGCACGTCAATAAAACACGTATTTCTGAATGAAATTGCGTAAATGTCTGTCGGCACATCAAGGCGTATACCGTTGCATGTGTTGAGTAAATGATAAGCGAGGAGCTAAGGCTTTGCCATAATGAGGGCCCCCGGCTCAACGAGCCGGTCAGCGAGCAGACGCATTTTGATCCTCCGGTATATTACGCTATTTTAGAAGCAGACACATAGAAAGAAATTCGGCAGTGACGCACATGGTGTCCTGTCTTGACGATGAGCGAGGAACATGGATGAGTCAGCTGCAGGCGTTCAGTAGGATATCCAAATACGGGTTCTTCGGATACTGCCGGTGCCACGTGCTCACTGCGTCAAAGTCGCGCACAGCGCGCGTCCTCCTCTTCTCCAACGCACCTTCAGTCAAATTGCAGACCTCGCCTCTGAACCTACGGCTGGTCTGTGCCATTACAGGGCGGATAGCGACTGGATGTCTTAGTGCTCGACTTTGTCACGCCTCTTCTTGGGTTTCATTTGCTATGTCGGAGAGGCAGAGCCGGTAGTTCAGACAATTCTGCAAATGCAGGAACGAGCTGCTTGTTTCAATGGGCTGGAATGTTTGTATTGTACGTGCTTGTTCGAGTAATCGAAGGTCTATATTTGTTGAATCGCATGCATTAGCTGTGTGGACTACCATTGCGCCGACGCGCGTCGTACAGTAGGACCGGGTAGTTGTCGTACGCGATTTGACTTGCCCAGTCAAGCCTATCCCCGTCCTGTTTCTAACATTGGTAGAGCTATTGATGCGGCTCGAATGGAGTACCCCTTTGACAAGGACCTCTAACCAGAAGGGACTTATGTGAAGGAGGTAGGATACCTCGTTTGGCGACATCATTTCCTTCCCGAGGCCAACCCTTGCTGCAATTGTCATTTGTTAACGAGACCTTGGTGCGACTAGTACTGCAATCACTTGATCTGCATTGACACCCACCGAGAACGCCAGCACCTCAAGTGACTGGCGATAACCCCCATCCTCTTGGCTGTAACCTCCAGCTAAGTCGTTCGCATTCGCGCAGCTCACAATCAGATCCCTCTTCGTGCCCCCGCAATCTACCATTGATACTCCTCCCATTGTTCCACACCGGCTAAGCGACGACAGGCTCTGATGGTCTTGCAGGAACCACGCACAACCTGGTACAACCCCCGAGAACGAGCGGACGACGGAGCACTCTTGAACCGCCTGGACATCGATGTTGTGCCTTCTGTCGATCTGCTTCCGGTATGTTTGATGCTCCCTGATGCTGGGCACCGATACACAATGGTTGTCCATCTGAAGGCATTTCAGCCTGAAGCCTATCGCGCCGTGACACTCGTTGACTGTTCTGAGGTTATGTGTAAGTCGTGTCTAATTCAGGGCGACGTGGGATTCGGTGTTGGTGAGTCTTGTTCGCTGGACAAGTCTTCGGAACAAAGCTGACCATCGTCTCAGATCACACTCCACTCCCGTACAGCAAAAGTGAGTAGCTCGCCTGGCTATCTTCACGCAGACGTTTCGCGAGCTTCACCCGATTCGACGCTGTCCACAATACGGGGTGCGATTGCGGGGCCCCACTCTCGCCAGAGAACTGGTAAGCCTCGCGCGCTCACCCCGGTCGAGGAATGGGGTTACGCCCTCGCCACACCCCAGATCGGAATGCCCCCTGACGAAGCTATCATACTTACATGACTTTCGTCCGCTGACCGGGCTTATCTGATCATCGAACGACTCGACGAAAGAAAAAGGGCCCATCCGCCCTCCCGACGCGCTGGCGCATGCCGGGCGCATCAGCGCTCGGCGAAGGGCCCTCGGTGCGTCTTTCGCGGATTCTGGCGTGACCTGGATGTTCACCGTAGCGTCCCGCCCCGCCGATACCGCCTCGACCCATTGGGCATTTGTATTGGACTGTCGTCTGCACAATCGCACTGCCCGTGTCAAGCCGGTTCTGCTGAACAAGCTCGCCTTTTGTCGCCGTCCCAGATGCCGAATTACAAATGCGAGTCCGCGCTGGTACTCAATGCTATATCGAACTCTCTGTCACTGTCAGCGCCTCTCGCATTGACCACACGGGCGCACGTACCTATCACCCTCCCGGCCCCAAGAACACGCAAAGGCCTCATTTTACGGTCACTGGCCACGATTGGGATAGGTCGCATCCCCGCAGCCATACCCTACGCTCTCGTGCTGCGGTGTGTTCTGATTTCGGATACAATACAACTGCAATACAAAGCCCAAAAGCCTCTTTGTCCTGACTACGTCCGGCTAGCTTTATCTGCCCAGTTCGGCGCGCCGCAGCCCGGATGTAATGCGGCCATTGTAGACGTGATCTTTTACTGCGGTCTTCTGCATTCAGTCTGGTTCTCTGGGCAGACGTCTGTCGGAGTAGACAACAGCCTCTACGTAGACCTACGTCCCGCTTGCCATCACGCGGTGCAGCGAACGAGGGAATCAACCCAGGCATGGACATGGACACCTCGTGATCATGTCCAGACAACTGCGCAGGGAATAAGCTCGACGAGACCGTGGACGCGATGCAATTTCATCTGGACTCTTCGTATCTCCTTGGCCGCGCGGGCGCGCCGACGCCAGCTTCCCGGACGCAGTGAAGGAACAGCACGACTGTATTGCGATTCGTGACTGGACGTAATGTATACGTAGATAACGCTGGTATCAGTCCGTGGGAGAGTGCGACGATGGGTACGGGAAGGGACAACGGATGGGAATGGAAACGGGAGCGGGAGCCTGGACGTCGTGTCTAGTGTGAGTGGGCGGGTGTATACGGGACGGACCAAATGACAAGACCGGTTGAGAGGTATGTACAATTGCGGCAGTCCATCCAGATGCAGACAGTAAAACCAATGGAACGAGCCGAACAGACCAAAGCGTGGATGAGTGCGGGGGCATATACGTGCAGAGACGGGTGAGATCAGAGGGGCGGGAAGTGAAGAACAGATCGACGAGAATCTCATGTATGCGCGAGAAAACACGAACCAAGCGCCACGAACGAGGTGGTGATACAGATATCGTACAGACCTTCAGATCAGGCCTTCGGAGAGCGCAAACGAGTGTGGGTGGGCGACGGGAGACGGGACGAGAAAGGGGTGGTAAGGGCGACGCCGTTCGGCCGTGTGTCCCTCGCCAGGCGTCGTCAATAGATAAGTCGTAATGGTGGTGGAAGCGACGGCGAAGCGGGTCTGCACGCATCGACAGCGTCGGGATCCTTTTGGACTGGTGTGGTCGGAATGAACCGCGAGATTTGCAAGACAAGGGAGACGTTTGTTGTACAGAGACGACCTATGTCGAAGCAGATAATAATAGATAGTGCATCCCGAGAGGCCTACGCGAGTCGGGATGGTGGGGGGTATGTCGCCTCTGGATCCTGGGGAGTGAGTGCGCGCTCGAGCAATCAAGCCCAGCGCGAACAGGCCGCACGCATATGTACATTTTGCGCCGTCCACGCGCAGGCGCGCCGACGGACCACAGCTGGTCGTCGGTTACCCGTTCGGGACATCACATGCAGATGGGAGGTCCGGCCGCGTTACGTCTTCGTCCTCTGCATCAGCGAGAGAGCGTCCGAGCAACGTAACACCCCAGCGGGGAGAGAGGGAGGAAGCCAGGCGCGCGGCGTCAGCTGACGGTGTCTGGCAGCGGATCTTGCGGGATCATGGCGGTTACGGGTCGAAATGGGTAAGATAGGTGAGGGCGATGTCGTACGAGTTGGTCGAGAAAGGCAGGAGCGGGCGGAGGGGAGGGTATGCTGAGGAACGGAAGGGCTGTCGGGAGACGACGTACGTGAACTGGCTGTCACGCAGGCGCGTTCACCGCATATGAGCTGCAGGGAGACGATGGCGTGTATCAGCACTCCTTCCTTGCGCGTACGAGCACGATAGAAAACCAAGAGCACGAAGCTAAAAGGATCGATGACCGCACGGGCAGACGACAACGGCAAACCACCCGACCATGCGTCATAACCAGCAAACGCGCGCTCTGCAAGATGACGTCTGCACGAAGACTTCGCACAACGTAGTCCTCGTATAACGACGGCGGCGAACGTACGCATATCCTTTCTCTCTTCCTCCGCCTGATCGCACACATGCGCAGGCCTTCTCCCCCGTTCAAGATCAGAGTCACAACATCCATTGTCCACTATCCAAGACTCGAGACTCACGAACACAGGATCCCAATTCAAGAGACACAGCCAACAATCAGTAACTCACCTCCGACCATCCCCGCATCCGTCATCCCTCCAACCGCAAACCCGGGGAACCCCGCCCCGTAGCCCCGCCCAAACCCTACCGCGCCCACCGGCCCCGGAGTAGGCGCGGGCGTCGCCGTCGCGCTCGGGGTCCCGCTGGGCGAGCCCGTGAAGCACCACTGCCGGATCAGCGCCGCGTACGACGAGTCGAGCGGCGAGGCCGACGCGGGGCTCGCGAAGCCTGCCGGGCGGGACGCGTTGTAGCTGTTCATAGGCGTCGACGAGCCAGAGCTGGAGTTCGAAGCACCGGCGCCGAGCCCGCTCAGGCTGAGCGCGAGCGGAGACATGCTGCTCGCGGGCGACGACGGCGGGCTGAGCAGCTGCGAGCGCGTGCCCTCAACGCCCATCTCTGCGCCGAGCTCGCTGCTCCCTATCCTCAAGTCTAGCGGCGCGAGCGAAGACGGCAATTTCGACGGGGCGGAGGGTGTCGCCATCGACGGTTGCGCGGGGGCAGGCGAGACGGTCGTAGCAGACTGCTCTAACCGCCTTCCTTCGCTTCAGCCTCCTCCTCGCCCTGCGACGGCTCCGTCACATCAGCGTGCATCCCCGCGTCTGCGGGCAAACTCGCACTCCTCATCCTCCCACTCTGAGGCGGGTCATCGGCGGGGTCACCATACTCGCTGTCCCAGGCGCGACGTAGTTGCTCAGGCTCAGCTTCCGGGCGATGAACCCTGCACGGGGCTCGTCGGACTCTCCCTGTCCTTCTCCATCGTCGCGGGTGCCGACGCAGGCGGGTCGAAGCTCGGGCTCGGCGGCGGGAACGGGCTGGACGAGCTGCGCGCCATCGGGGGCGCATACATCCGTGCCTTCGCCCGCGGCAGGCTCTCCGCGTCCGCCGCGCGCTGCGGCTCGCCCGTTATCGGCGTCGACCTGAGCGTGCTCGGCGCGCTGAACGTCCGTTGCTGCGCGATCGCCTGGCCAAAGCTCCCTGAGCCAATCGCACCGAAGCCCATGCTGCTGAAGTTCAGCGAGTGCGAGGCGGACGCGCGCCGGAAGCCGATCTTGTAGTTCTGCCCGCTGTTGTTGTCCCACCACTCGCCGCCAATGCCGGGGGAGTAGCGCACGACAAGGTACAGCGTGCGCTCGGTGAGCTTGTGCTCGTAGTCCTCTAACCGGATTGTAAAGCTATAGCCTCTGATCAGCCTACATAAGGACGAAGGCGTAGGTATAGAGACGTACCTGAAGCGATCCCAACCCTGTCTCAGCTCATCCGCCTTCACCTGCCCACTCGCAATGCCCGCCGCCAGATCGCCCACGGTCCGATGTTCCTGCGGGAACGGCGGCGGCAGGCTCGGGAGGCTCACGACGTGCCTACACGTTACCTCGCTCGTGGTCTGCCAGTCGTCGAGCGTGAAGCGCACGGCGACGCGCTTCTCGAAGTGCAAGTTCCGGACGAGGACCGTGCCGCGGAGCGCCGGCGAGTGCGTGCGGGGCAGCGTGAGGGTCTCGAGATGCACGTTCGCGTACGGGTCCGGGTCTGGGGCGGGTATGGTGCTCGTCCTCGAGGGACCGTGTCGATCTCGTGGAGCGGGGATTCGCTGGAGAGGGAGGGGAAGGGGAACGAGTTCTGGCTCATGCTGGAGTTCTCCGCCTCGGTTTCTGTCTCGGTCTCATCGCCGGGGGGCTTGGAGAGGCTGGCGGGCTTGCCGGAGCGCGAGAAGACGCGTACGGTCTCGAGCCCGGAGTCCTTGTCGGCAAAGTGGACGTTCTTGGGGCCTGCGGGCGTGCTCGGCGCCGACTGAGCACGCAAGTGCTTTGAGGCAGCGCGCGGGAGATCGGCGATATTCGGAGACGATGATGAAGACTTGAGAGACGGTTCAAGGTTTGCCGTTGGAGAGGATGATGGGAGTGCTTGGCGTGCGCGGCAGCGAAGACGTGCAGGAAGAACTCTGGGAGCGGGCAAAGGTAGGTGTAGGGATGAACGGGGAAGCCTGGTCTGTGGGACTCAGCGGTGAAGAGGTGGGGAACGGTACAGAGTCGGGGGCAAGTGAGTCGCGTGCGGAGGGTATGTCGATGCGCATTGGCGGCTCGACGCTGGGGCTGAACTTGCCGGTGTTCATGGAGAGGCGAAGAGAATTGGTCGGGGAGAGAGGAGAGGCATAAGAGCGCGTGGCGGGCAGAGACGAAGGCCTGCCCACGTCGTCATCGTCGTCGTCGTTGTTGTCGATGTCAATGTGGAAGACGGCGCGCTTGTGGGAGCGCGGGAGGTGACCGAGGGAGACGAACGCGCCTGGGCCGCGCTCGTCTGAGAAATTGCCCGAGGAGCGAGTGCGACGGTGCGCACCGAGGCGCGGGCTGGCTGGGCTGGCCGTGGCGGTCGTCGTCGTCGTTGCGGAAGACGTGCTCGCGGAGGGGGTGCGGCCAGAGGGGAGGGAGTAGGGCATGGTGTTGGCAGAGCCCTATGCGCACGCGGGGGGATAAGTACGGCGGAGGGAGGAGAGGGGAGGGGAGAGGCGCGGAGGAAAAGGGAGGAGAGCGCTGGCTCCTCTTTTGATATTCTAGTCCATATCTGCCCCGACGCGACGGCGACGTCATGTAGATAGCCCGTCCCTCGGGCCACGTGTGCCCCTTCTAGGCCATCCCGCCCTCCACCGGGCGCTCCCCGCCCCGCCCTGCCACGCACGCCACGGTCGCTCGTCGCCACGCCGCTCCCTGCGCTCGCTGCCCCAGCCAGCGAGCCGCCCCTGCGCCCCGCGAGTGCCCTGCTGTACGTTTGTTCGTTTCCGATTGCACTGCTCCACTCGCACAGGCCAATAGACGACGGCAGCCCACGTTCTGGCCTTCCCATCAGTTTCCTATCGCGCCATCCCATTCACTTCGCCCCCCTCTCCCGCCCTGCCAATACCGCCGGCCCTCCGCCCGCGCGCCCTCTCTGGCCTAGCACTGCCAAATATTCCGCGACGCACCCGTAGTCGATCCAACATCTCTCAGCCATTCACTACGGTGGCTCCCCCTAGACTCGTACGTACGCCTCCCACCTAACCAAGAACGTGCCATTTCCCACAGCTGCCCCCGCCCACGGCCCAGTCAGCTCTATCTACACGCCCCCTTCCTGAAGCTCAGCCCTTGATGTCCGATTCCCCCATCCAACAGCCCACGCTATGGCGCACCCTCGCGACTATCGCACCGCCCTGTCCCACCCGACATCTGCATTCTCTTCGCTGTCCTCAGCGCCTTCCCTTACGTCTTACTCCTCTATCTGCCCACCTCGACCTTCGCCGCGTCCCGCCTCTTGTTCCCGCTGTATTGCTCCATCGATACTGCACCCTGTCCCATCTCGCTCGCGACTGCCTCCGATCTTATCGACTCCGCACTCCGGCCCTTACGGAGCCTGATGCGGCGACTCTCCTAATGTGCACGGTAAGTAACGCAATCCGCTACTCAGCTTAGCTATAGCCTCCCCGGCCCATCCACGAAGGATTACGCCAAACTAGCCTCATCGCCTCGCCCCAACCTTTGCCCCCTAGACTCCCTCGGCCCACCCTTCGAATCTGCTGCTCATGCCACTCGGTCTGGTTCTAAAGCCCTCCAGGCGCTGGCGAAGTCGAAGTCGAGATGAGGCGAGATGGGCGATCTTCTGCGTCTGTTTGTTTGAAATCCTGTTTTGGGCCCAACCCTATCTTGATCTCCGTTCTAGCGTGCGCATGGCACGCCGTCCATTCCTCTCTCAGCCTGGCGTCCATGCATCGAGGCCCGTTCTGCTGTCAATCGGCTGTCATGATCACGGTCTGGGGCCAGGCACGTCTCTTGCCGTCTGCTCCTGCCGCGGCTCGCGCTCGAGGGCGCAGAACCCATCCCGGTCGCGCGTAGCTCGCGTATTCGTCGTGCTTCTCAATACTATACTCGTCGGCCATTGGACACCACCCTCTTCTCTGTAGCAGTCTTCTCCACTACTCCCTTGCCTCGCATCGCATCGACCCACCCCCACCCATAAGGACCACAGCCCTCTGCCCATAATAAGGGCTCACGCTGGTACGTACGTGGAGCACCGAGAGGACAATGACAGCGTCTCTTCGCTCTGCTTGTGCTTCATTTTCCTGACGAGATCCACACGTCCACTGCCAGCGGTACGGGCTCCTCTTCACACTCCCGCATTTGTATGTACGTGCGCAGTACGCGGCGGCGTACCACCGATGGCACTCCTTTGTAATGCAGGCGCCCGCCCGTCCGTCGTCCGACGGTTCAATTCTACTTCGGACGTTTCGATCGGTGTGCTGTGTAAGTGACGGTTCGACCGAATCTCCTTTTATCGCGTTTTTTTCTCTGCGCCTCAGTGCCCGTGTGCGATCCGCGCGTCGGTGCTTCGTAAGTCGGCTTGTAAGCCTGACGGTGGGCGTCGGACGCGCCGTATCTTTACGTCGCGCAGATTTCGTGGTCCTCGCCGATGCGGTGTGTCCCCGCCCACAAACGTCCGCATCTCCTTGCATCCCGGAGTCCCGCGCAGACGCTGGAAAGCAAATTTGTGGTACGTGCGCACGTTCGGTCTCGACATGGACGTATCCTATCTAACCTACCCGCGATCGATCCATCGCTCCATCCCTCTCGGACCTCCAACGGGACGCACGCACGCGCTCGACGCCGCTTTCCGAAGGGTCGGTTTCGCAATTAACAGGCGTCGTTGTCGATGGTCGCATATGGACCCTGGGGCCAGACCCCCAGGTAAACGCCAAACGCTGAAGGTTGAGCAAGTCTGACTGGAAAGGCCGGGCCCCACACCACGCGCTCACCACGTCGCGAGAACCAGTACTTCCCCTAAGCACACCGGGAGTGCCAAGCAGTGACCGCAACAGCCCCCGCGAGAATCGCACGCATGCCATTGCGCAGGCCCGCGAAGACGAGTCACTTCAGTCGGGCGGATCGTCGTCATTTCCGACTCATCGTTCCCGCTGGAAAGCTTGTTTTTGCGTTCCGTACAGAACGATGGAGAAAACGCGAGGCCAGTTTTTCTGTCAGGCCCGACGTGGACGGACAGAGAGGGGCATTCCAGAACCTATGCGTCTGCGTTTGGTCCGCGTGCACAACTTCGAGGAGCCTCCGCCACCCCCATACCCGATGGTGATCTCGCGCTCGAAGGCGAGGAGCGCGGGGCGGGGCCTAGCCATATCGGGCTAGCGCGCATTGGCTCCATCGAGATCTTCCGAGATCTTCCCCGGCCGACTGAATTGATTAGGTGAGCGTGTCCAATTGGAGTCGCCACTGCGGGCGCTTGCAGGACCTGGAAAGGGAATGGCGCGCGCGTTCTTGGCGGTTACAGGCGGGGCCGAGGCGGGGTCGTCTGGGTCACGGTCGGCCCCGTGGGGCCGCGGTCACTATGGTCGTCCCTCTTGTCACTTGTGGTCTCCCCGTTGTTTGACTCCACGAGCTGCGCGTTTCTCGATTTTGTGAAGTTTTGTGAGGTCGAAGCTGCGGCTTTGTTACCGTGTGAGTGAGGTTGTCACGTCGCACGCTCCGTTTCCATCCGCTATGACTGCAGGTTTGAATGCGACTTCGGACTCGGAGGCTCGACGACGTTCGCGCCGGGGCCAGCTCTCCTCGAGTACAGTATAACGTACGCCCGACTCCATCGCGCGGCGCCGTGCTGTGCACCGAAGCGGCTCGGCTCAAACCTAACGTCAGCCTTGTCTCCCACTTAGTTTCGACTGCGCAGTTAGCACGCCGACGACTGGTTCTAGGACGGAGTGGTAAGCCATGGATAGCGTCGACTAGGGGGACGTCAGCTGGGACTAGCGGCGGACGCGACGTGCTGGTGCGCCCTAGAGCCCCCTATTGCGCTGGCCGAGGCGCACACAGAGTCGAGGAAGCGTCGCCGCCACAACTGCTGACCGCCATATTTGTCTTACTGCAGACCTTGTGAAATGTGAAAGACAGGTGTGGTATGCGATGATAGGCAAGGCCTCCACCGTTTTGACGTGGTCTGGCACTGCTCTTAGACTTGCGCCGTCATACACTAGGTGTGTCACCAGGGCTGGTCAACTCCAGGTGCGTCCGTTTGTTCGTTCCTTGTGCCAGTGACCCATAGAGTTGATGTTCCTATGCCCAAAGGCTGGTAGCGCGAGCAGGAAGTGTCAAACGGGACCTTGGTACGCCGAGAACACGCACACCCATTTTCATAATACCCTATCAAGAGTTCGTCGGTCTTCTTACATACATAACCGCCCAAAGACACGGACAAGCCGCGTGGAAGCGTCAGATTGCCCTCTGATTTTGTAATAGACTATCAGTCCCTCGATCCTCCACAATATGCAGTCGGTACGATTGGACGCCTCTCCCGCTGGCGCGCGTCTCCGGTTCCTACGGTTCAAAACTGGCTGGGAGCTCGAGGGTTGTCTTCTCCCGGCGTCGCCTTCCGACGTCCCGTATCGCCGCACACCAAAGCGCGACCTGCCTCTCTTCGACGGAACACCTGTGCCTCTGCACCATAAACGGTGCTCGCCGAACTCGTCCCTCCCATCGCTGCGCGCCCCACGTCCGACGCCACCGCATTGTGCGGCACCAACCTCACCTCTCCGCTATGCCGCCATGTGGGTCGCACTGGCGTGTTATGCGCTCCGCGGTGAAGTGATTGTCAATCTGGGGTAGGCACCCGGGTTAGGTGTACGCGCTAAACGGCGATTAGCCAATGGCTAGGCTCCGTGACGGCAGTTTCGGCAGGATCTTGACTGGCAAGCATCGTGGCAGCATGGATCGGCGCGTTTATCACTCGAGGCATGGACAACTCGGACCGAACGCGAGGCCGTGATGACAGTCGGGCGGCTTGAGAGTTGGGACGGTGCGTATGCATGCACAACATTCAGTCAAATTCACTCGATTGCGTTCTAAACAGGCTCCGTCATCGCGCACGTTGCTCCCAGGGCGTGCAGGAACGCTCTACTTACCAGCACGACGCGCTGCTCCGAGTCGTCGGCGGGCGCAACGGCGCAATATGGTGTCGTCTCGACCTCATCTCCGTACACCGGCCAACTGCTACTCGGTCTCCGTGCGTTCTCGCCACAGCCCTGGCAGAACCTCAGGCTCCCTAGATATCAGGCCCGAGGCTCCGACCGCGAGTCGCGACTCCGTCCAATCCCAAATTCCCAGCCTCGCAACCGACGTCCATCTACGAGCGAACTCCATCCAGCCAGGCAACCTGGGTCCCACCGAACGTCACCGAACCTCTGCCTCGCACTGTCCGGTCCGCACGTGGGGCTTCGCGTCACGCATCCGCACCGCTGGGCCTCCCGGAAGGGCTACGTCTCGGACCCGCTTGCTCTGCGAGGGCAACCTGGGTCCGGTACGCGGGCGCACGCACAGGAACGGTAAACTCCCTGGGAGATTCCTCTGGATCTGCGCCTCCCTGGGGGGAATTGGCATTCGGGACTCGGGACTCGGGGGTTGTTGCTGCTGGCTCTGGCGGGCGAATCGATCAACGGCTATCAGAGTTTGGACGCCCGGGAGGTGTAGTCTCTTATTGCGCCCACTGGTGGAGGAAGATGGGGATCCTCGTCAGGATGCTCGCTCTCAGGCTTCATATTGACGTGTCCTTGGTCGTTGGGCTCTGCGAGGCTTCTTGGCCCACTCGGGGCCGCTGCAGATTGACCTGCTCTGGCGAGAGTGCGATTTCTCTTTGATCATGCAAATTTGTTGATGGAGTAGCGTGGTCATTTCAGCACCGGTCATTGTTGCGATATTGGAGAGGTATTCCTTCCGGGACATGACCACTTGCAACACCATGGTGTGGACTTGCACCCACCAGTCGGGCACCGTCCAGTATATCTTTGAAGATGATGGCACTCCGGGGGACGATGTCACGATGGAGGGTGGCGGACGGTCCGCAAATCAAGACTTGCGGGCCTCCTTCCGAGCCTTATGAGGACGGTTCATAGATCGCTGAGTACTTATCTATACCTTACGTCCGGCCTTGATTGAATGCCATGGATTTAGCCCTTTCACTGCCACACATTCAGCAGATGTTGAGTGAGTTTGAGGTTCGTCCGTGTGCGCACTTCGTCAAGTTCTCTGATAAAGTGCACCGCTGTACGTTGCGGCTGTTACGTCTCATCATTTGGGAATCCGAGCTACTACTTATGCTCGCAAAGTCACACAGATCGTCCATGAACCGTGCCACCCTCGCAAGCCTCAGTCACGGCGAACTGCTCGCGAATGCGTTTGAACGTTCAAGCTCAAGTTCGAGGCGACCGCGGTCGGCAGCGGGGCGCTCCGAGACTGGATGCAGCGCCCGGCAAGGGATCCCGCTCAATGACAGTCACTCAGATCTTGCTCACATCGTTTTCAGGACCCTGCACTGTCGGCCTGGGGGCGCACTTAGGCCACGTTCGCAAGTCAAATTGTCAAAAACCGGTTGACACCTGGGCGCGCGCACGGTGCTCTGGATTGTACATGAGTCTTCTTGAGTGCTCTTGCCAGTCCATTTTCGTAAGCCATGTGCTTGATGCAGTGGTCGTCGAGGAGGTCGTATCTGCTATCTGTCTAATCATAGTGCTGCATGACAGCAATTGACAGGCACTGGCAGGCGGACGAAGCACGGCGAGGCCTTCCTCCGAATAGACTTGCCGTCGGGCAAGTCGTGCCATGATTGACTTACGGCATGGCCTGGAGGCCGACCACGAGAGGTACGTAGCCGCGCAACGTCGGTGTTTAGCTCAGCGGGTTTACGACTGGCTTACCCCCGCTGACTGGGGCAGCGCGGGCAGTGGCGCGCTCATTCCACTTGCGGTGTAACGGCGACTGTCGTACGTTGTCAAGAACGAACCTTGCATCCCGTCGGGTGCCCGGTGAATCAATGGTCGTCCTATCGTGCGCGCGCGGGTACTGCGCAGACCGGTGAATGGGCAATGCATAGGTTTGAAAAGGGAAGGCGCGCTCTGCGATGTCAATTGTTCGACAAGGCCATCGCGGCGGTATCTCAGCACGAACGGAGAGGCGGATTGCTAATTGGAGCGTAAGCCTGCAGTATAATGGCGCTCTCAGCGACTACGCTTGAACAGTAAGCAGATCCCTCCTGACCTTGACCTCATAGGTTACCGTGCGTTACCACCTCAAAGACTATCACGCAGCGTCGGCGAGACCGCACATCCGCGCTCACTAACCGACATGGCATATTGCCGGAGACGTCTAGGTTCCCAGGAACAAACTGAATGGCGAAGCGTCCTGGCCAGGCTCTCCTTCTCTCGTCTGGCGGGCTGTCAAGATTGACTCAAGAATCAGCGAGCAGCGCCTTGCGGATATCAATCACGTCGGGTAGGGAGGAGAGGCTCTAGACGCACTATACAGTTGGATGCGCTGCCCGTATCAGCAGCATCTTGAAGACGCAGACATACTGCGATGGTCTTATCGAGGTCGCTTCGAGTGTCAGGAGAGTGATGAACAATGCTTGGTTTACGTACAGTCTGGCGCGGTGCAGCGTCTGCCATAGTGGACTCCACAGAGTGGGGCCATCCTCGTCGAAGCATCTCTATGGTAGAAGGGACAATACATTCGGCTAGAGAGCGCCGTTCGTGGATCTCTTAGGCAGTGTCCACAGAGCATGTGCACGCTTCCACCCCTCTCACCACTTTCCATGAGGTGCATCGTTTGACTTTGACCCCACATCTGTCAGGCTCGAGTGTGCTCTGTTCAGAACGGGATTATATCATTTGAGTGCACGCAAAATGTAGACCGTGGACGCACCCATGCTGCTAAGGACGGCGTGACGCGTAGGATTCGGGATAGGCCCTGCCTGAGTCCTAGGACCACAGTGGCGCCCCCAGCTGAGCGTAGAATTCTAGTAAATGGACGTCTCACAGAATCAGGAAACATCTGCGTGCGCATGATGCGGCGTCCCAGTGAATCTTGGGGTAATGATTGTCACTTTCGGCCAGGAATATGCCCAGGCCAAGTTGATGGACATACTGCGATTTGTATCATATCACGGTCGGAAAAAGCCGCCAAGAGCAATGTTCGTCAACTCGTTGTAGAAGGGCATAAGTGGCTTGCAGTGAAAGTTGGTTACAATACGTACTACGAGAACTTGGAGGTATGTATGGACTACCGGCTCTGCTTCTCTAGCCATGAGTATGATAGCCAAGGGAAGCGTGACAGTGAGTCGAGCACTTAGACATCCAGTCCGTATCCGCCCTGTAATGGCACAGACGAGCCGTAGATCAGAGGGCAACGTCTGCAATTTGACTGAAGGTGCGTTGAGGGAGAAGGCCAGCTCGTCCAGCGCGTTTGTGGGTCTGTCACGTGGACGTCGGGGTGCCACGATACACGACCAAATTTGGATTTTATACTCAACGCTTTCCGTCTCGCACAGTGATCATGCGGTACTACATGCAGTGGCATTGACCCGCTAAAGCCTGCTAACGACTACTTTTCTGGCACTCCGCATGCCTCAATAGTGATTCTGGACGTGCCTCCATCCGTGCCTCTACCATGCGTCTGGCTGTCCTCGTCATATGGCGATCCATGCAATTTGTAGGATTCTATCAGCTGGCAAGCACGTTGTGTTCTGTTTCAATGTCTCGGAATAAGAGCTGACTAACAGGGTTCTACAGACAATCAACGTGGCATTTTTGTGGAGACTCAAAAAAACCTGCAGTGTGCGTCTCCAGTGCTTGCCCCAATAGTACTCATTGTCGTAATCGCGACAGGTATCTGTGCTTATGAAGCCACAGAACAACGATCTCAACTGCCTCTTTTGAACCTGAAAGTCATTAGTGGGATTCCGTGATAATCCGAGTGGGCTCATCAAGACAGCAGTTCAGAGAATGACGTATGGTGTGGGTGTGTAACCTTGCACAACTACCTGCGGGACACGTCATCCCAGGACATGAACACAATGCCACTGTATTTGATCTACGACGCATCCGTCAGGGCAATGCCAGATATCGGCAGAACTTCGCGACTCAATTGGCTGCAAGTGCCTCGTGTTGCTCGTAGGACCGGCGAAGTGGAGCCTTTCGTCCTAGCAGCGAACTGACCGGTGAGAGACTTCTATCGTGCTCTCATGCAGTGACGTGCACACGTCTAACTTGATGTTTGTCGAAGAGCTTGCAATACAGAATGATCTCAGTGGCACTAGGCAGTGAGTAACATGCTGCCAGTGGCCCCACCTGCAACCCCACTGATAGTGCCATTCGTAGCCCTTGTCGTCCTGCAGTGGATGTAGATATGTACTACAGTCAGTTCCCCTGGGCGGTATGCACAACCTTGATGGATGGTAAGTACACCGACACAACAGTGGTAATAAACCAATGCTCCGAGTCGATCTCGTTGACGAGTCCGAGTTACACCGGGAACAATACTTCTGAATTGGTTGTCGAACATGCAATGAACAACGCTCCTGGTTGGAGAACCGTTTCGGAGCATGTTTGAAGTCCGAAGGTATGCCGAAGATACGAAGGATATTCGACGAACATCGCCACAATTACCAAAAAAGGAAATTCGTCGACCGAAAATATAACATCTTCGTCAATCTTTTGGATCCCAAATGTGCTCCGAAACGGTTCTCCACAAGGAGCGATTTCCGTTGCATGTTCGACAGTCGACTCGGAAGTGCTGTTCCCGGTGTTAGGTTATATGTTGCCAAGGAGTATCAGGGGTCTTGTCCTTGAATGTGTGCGACTGCGCGAAGCATGACAACTGGCACTCTCGATCATCCTGGGCCTGAGGCCTGAACCCGACGACGAAGAATCGCCGGCACTCACCATTCACCACGACCGCGCTCTCTTCAAACCTAGCTCAGTGCCCACTTTCGTCTCATCTTCTCTATCAGTCAGTCAGTAGGTATCCTCTTCAGTTGCTTTTTGACTCGGTTCGCGTCCCTCTGACCGAGTCGCATAGGAAGCCATGCATATCCTGGATTTGAATGAAGACACGCTTTCAATGATCATCTCGTATCTGTCCTCCCGGGATGCACGTCAACTATCCCTTGTATCGCGAGGTCTCCATCTCTTGGCGAAGCACCAAGCATTGACCTCCGTATCGCTTTATTCTGTTGAGAAAGCTCTCAAGTTCAGCATTTACATGCTGAAGGACATGCGACACCGCTTACCTATGCTGCGAGAGCTGCAGCTCAAGTTCGTGATCCTCTCGGAAGAAGAACTACTGCATGCAGAATACAGCGGTAGGTATCTGTCTGACTCTGCCATAACTGCCGATGCAGTTGCACGTCTTGCAGACCTTCTCGAGCAAGCTTCCTGGTTGAAATCTCTCGCCTTGGATGGCGCAGAGGTGTGGCTAACATACGCCCCTCGCATTTCCGAAGCACTCTGCCGCATGCTTCATTTGTCAGTGATAGACATGGACATGTTGTACACTGCTGTCCCCAAATTCCTGCGTGGTCTACAATCCGCTCCTCGCACCATGATATTGCATCAAACAGCACCCTCCACGCTTCCTCTAAACCCCTACCTGGATCAGTGCACGGACCTCTGTTCGCCCAGCGTGGATTGCCTGGTTGTGGAGAATATTGCGACCTTCCCATCGCCCGACGATCTGGCGTGCATGTTTCCGAATGCACGCCGACTTCATCTGTGCACCCCTCCGACGAGCGCTATAACACGACTATCGCTCGTTCCAGGATGGCCGTTGCTGGAGCACGTCCGAGGATCTGCTGTACTGTTCGCTCAATGGAAACTCAGCAATCCCGTCCATCTGTTCGAAGTAACTTGCGCTGTCGTGACACCTTCGAAGAGGATACCAACTACCAGCAAGCACAGGGCCCAAGTACGCAAGGCTGCTATCCTAGCACTGCAGAATGTGCAACCTGTTGCGCTCCAGGCCGAAGTGGACTACAAGCTGGATGGAATGTATTGGTCAGACTTCCTGACTGCCTCGCACCGACTCCGTTACCTGTCCCTCAGGCTTCATCATGTCACACGCCTTGCGACGTTGGAACGACGTATGCTCCGCTGGTGGGTGAGTGCCATACTAGTAATTCGCTAGAGGACTTCGAAGACGCTCATGGTTATCTGTAGAAAATCGTCAAACCCTTACTCGCGCGTAGGACGGGCGTTATTTGCCTTAAGATCTTTTGCCACCTTCATGGTGATCGCAAGACAGCAGACGACGCGCCAAATGATCCTTCCGTCGCTATTCCCCAAAATATCGTTGATGAGTTGCAAGCCTCAGCAGTATCTATACCGAGCCTCTTGTATCTCTCGCTCGTCATCCGCACGTCGCAGGAACGTCAACCGCGTATTTCGGATCGCGGTGAGTTCCAGGCGTGGCACGATACACACATAACCGGCGACCTCCGGTGCTGGTGGCAGATCGTCCACGAAGAGGGGAGAGAACGTGTCGTGAAGACTCTTGATGTGGAGAAAGGAGAGCGCATCGCGGCGTATATGCGCTCGACAGCGTACGATTATACCAAGGACTTCGATGGTACGCACTCCTTTACTTTGGGTTCTTAATGCAACTGACAGCCGGATCCCAGAGCGCGACGTTCCCTAATCAGTGAGCGTTGATGGAGGAAGTGTTAGGGTGCCAGGATTGGAGTCGGCTGGATCAGTAGTAGTGGTTGTGATCTTCATCTCAGCCTGAGTTGGCCGCTATAATGGCCGCAGCTAGTCTCACTTGAATGATGTACAATGCCGCACTTTTCGATCAACCCGAATCGCGTTGAATTGCCGAGAGGTCTACCATGTATGCAGCAGGCTCGCAAGATCAGGCTGTACCCAGGCCATATCCAATCTCTAGATGTCTGGACGGACGAAAGCTCAGCTCAGCCAGTAAATGAAAATCGACGAAAATTACAGAGTCGTACAGAACGTGCCGTCCATGCATCGTTAAATGCTTTCAGAACATCCCGTCCCGTCGTGGCACAGCGACCGGCGGGGGCCTATGTCCAGCGGCACTTCCAGGCCTATCTCGCGACTTCGGGGGCGGCGCAGGGCTCGGCTGGTTCCGCCTCGTCTCGCCCAGGATCCCCTCCGGACGTGTCCTCGACGGCGCCGGTGCGCGTGGCGAGCCCGCAGACGGTGACCGCGGCGACGGTGTAGCGATGCGAGCCGATGATGGAGTGCGTGGCGCGGGAGATACTGGCGACATACGTGTGTATGCTGAGGTAGACGTGCCAGGAGAGGTGGTGGTGATCTGCGGTAGCGGGGGTACAGGGGGCACATCTGGGGCTGCAGTCTGAGGAGGGGGTATTGCAGGAGAGCGTGATCGGATCGACGCAGAGGATAGTGTGTGCATCAGTTCATGTGAGATCTCCCTCTGAGGCTTGGATGGCGGCAGACGCGGGATAGAGTTGTCTGGTGGTTCTGCCAACAGAAGCCTGTCTAGGAGGAAGCGGAAGTCGATGCCGTACTCTTCCAGTGACTAGGACGTCCAGCTGTAAGACAATGTACACAACCAAAAAGACTGCGCCTCGACTCACCCTACGACTCTGCGACTGGGTGATCTTTATGGCTTCTTCGATGGTTTGCTGGTCGGCATCCGAGCTGTATACCTGCTTCCTGAACATCTCCGCATAGAATTCGACTTGCTTCTTCGTCCATCCAATGAAGACTAGGGCAAAGGTATGGTCAAAATCATCAGCGCAAGCTCACGGGCAGCAACAGAGCAGTGACTCACAGCTCGCTACCTCGTTCTCCCGGAAACTTGATAGGAACCAGTCCGCCGTATGCTTGATGCCCGTGAAGACCACAACAGCGAGGTCACCGACATACGTGCCCACATGCCCCTCGAAGCGGATCAACCGCACCCGCTTGCGTATCATGTCCGCTCGTGCCTGTAGGAAGGTATTGCGAGCAGCCGGCCCAGCCTTTAGGCGCACCAATAAAGCGATCAGCCGGGTCACCGCGGACTTGCGATTCGTCGGCTGGGCAAGGGACTGCAGGAGTGCGGCAGTAAGTTGACCTCGCAGCGGCGTGAGCTTCGTGGCCAGACTCGGTATCTCTTGAAGATGCGCGTCCCCTGCGGCAGTGCGCTCAGTATTCGAGCGGCCATCAGAAGGAGTGAGCATACCCTTATCCACGAGTTCGACGGCTTTGTCCCACTCCCTGAGCGCAATCGAGACGGTGAGCTCGTCACAATAATCGCCCATCCAGCGTGCGTCACGCTCGGCTTTCTCCTTCGCCGTGGCACCCATCTCTGTTTGACCCACCAAGTCGGCCATCCACGTCGGTATTGGTGGCATGCTCTCAACGTTGAACGCCATTGAGGAGCGCTATACAGTTGGATTTGAGTTATCACGTACGTGCAAAGCGAAAGGTGGTCAAACGTACGTCGGCCACGTAGAGACTCTTCCTGCGACCATGCTCTGCTTCGCGTTCTTTACGGCGCTTAGCAGAGAGCTCTTCTGCGACTTGACGGAACTGAGAAAGCAGCTGTTTCTTGTCTCCTCCGGCTTCAGTACGATACACATGGGTCTCCTTCCCATGTCTGATCTTGAAGACGTTGGACATCGCTATTTGAAACGTTCGTCACACGGACATGGCTGCGCATATTTACGCCTAGACTCACTAGCAGTGTCCTTGGTGTCCAAGACGAGCATCTCATTCAGAGGCCAGCACCGCTCTGCCACGAGCCTGTCGTTCTCGACATTGTTCCTTCTCCTTCGGATCCGCGCGACGAGCACTGCGTCGTCGAGAATGACGAACCGGACGGGATGGTCAACCTTATACGTTGCGGCGTTCAGAGCGAGTATGTTATCCATCTCGGAGACAACATGTCGTCCCGGTGTCGTCGGCACGAACTTGCTCGAACCTTCAATTTGCTGATGGAGCGTCTGCATCTGGTTGGCGTAGAGCACGCGCAGGTCGGCAATGGAGGATCGGACATTGCGGCGTCGCTCTGTGAGGTTGTGTCAGAGGGTTCAAAAGCGCGCAAGGGACGTGTCGGCTACCTGCTGCTGATGCAGACTCTTCGACGTGAAGGAGAGATGGCATGCTCTTCCACTCCGAGAGGCAGTCCTTGAACTCCAGCATCTCGTTCTCAATGACACCGACCTCCTTCGAGATTTGGACGAACTGTGTATAGCTGCGCAAGTCAGCGACCGAATGCAACACGCGCCCACAGAGACACTTACTTCTGGAAGACGTCCTGTTGTAGGTCCTTGCGAACGCCATCCTGCTGTGTTCGCAGTGATGATTGTAGAGTCTTCAGCTCGGCCTCCGTTGAGTTCGCCATCTTTGTCTTAAGGTCTGTTGTCCATACAGGTCAAAAATATCCGGTGTAAGCTCAGGCTGCACACACATCTATCCGGGTCAAACTCATCGACGTCCAGCAGCCTAAGGTCCGCTGTCCAAGGATCCTCCCGCTGTGCTACCGCCGGTGCCGCACCCCCTTTCTTGGAGAGCGCGGTTTGAGAGGCTGTAGGTCCGATTGGGAGGCTAGGGACGTCGGGAACCAAGGCATCTGTAGGGGAAGAGATCTCTGCGAACCGCGCAGACATTCGCCGCTTCATCTTCTCGTCAACCCGCGTTGCTCTGCGTCCAGCATCTCGGAGGCCCTGCCCTACCCTCTTGCTGGGTGCCTTTGCCAGCTTCTGCGCCTCCGATGGCCTGCGCTGCCGAAGAGAAGATTGCTGCATGGTGGTTCACTCTCGCCGAGACAAGGACAGCCTGAGTCAGTATCGGACGCTGTAGCTCTGAGATGTTTAGGACACAAAGCCTGCGAGTCGCTTGTGTCTGTAAGTCGTCGGTGTATCAAGTCGTAGAGACTGGAACCAGCATATACTTGAGACGATTGAGTGTGCTGTCGACGCGTATGGCAGTGAGCGTGTGGGGAACCGTACTATGGGCGCCTATCAGGTCGGTAGGCTGTAGCATAGCTTCGGTCATGCTTCGGGCCTGACGGCGTCGACCCTCTCCCGGGCCCGAACCTGTCCCGAACACTCAGTCTGAGTCTCAGTCGTGTACTCACACATTATACTGTATTCAGCACATTCTTTGCGTCGAAATGGCGGATCACGCTCCGCAAAGTTCAACTCATACATTGATACCATCGACAGAGGCCATCACCAGCACTGCAAAGCTTCCTGTTTTCGACTCGCAAGGCAACTCGACCGATTTCGGGAGCCTCTTTCGCGACCAGAAGACGATTGTCGTCTTTATCCGTTCCGTATCATCCATTCGCTCATACATAGACAGATTATACTGAAAGTATGGTCGTACTACAGGCCACTTCTTTTGCGGCGTATGTGTGGACTCACTCACGTCGTCGGCCTATACTCACGTACAGGACTACCGTTTTATCTAGAGCTGCCAGGTTAATCGCTTCATTCAGTGCACGTCGATTACTTATGAATTTGGGTAGCAATATGTAATGCAACTCGCGGAAGTTCCGCAAGAGTCGCTTCAACAAGCTGGGGTGCGTCTAGTTGTGATAGGATGCGGAGACTGGCAACCGATCCAAAACTATTGTGGTACGTCTTATGCCTCTCAGCACGGCTAGCAATTTGTTGTGCGCTGTGATCCTGCATCCGAATATCACAGTTCGACTCAGGGCGACCCGCAACCTTGTACCGCATTTGACGCGCTCCCACAGACACGACCGGCTTCAAAGGTGAGATGTATGCCGACCCGTCGCGCGCCCTGTACACGGCCTTGGGACTAGTGGAGAGCCTGGATGTTACTCCTTCTGGACAGGAGAAGCGTAGCTACATTACCAGAAGCCTCCTCCGCAACGCCCTCCGGAGCATCTTGGTCAGCCTCCCCCAGTCCGTCGCATTATTCGCATAAACGCTGACAATTATTTGTGATCTTGAAGCAAGGGCCACTGAAAACCCCGCAACATATAGGGAAGCAGGGCAAAATCTCGCAGCTAGGCGGAGATTTCGTCTTTGGTCCGGGCGAGACCTGTTCATTCGCATCGAGGATGCGCCACACGGAGGATCGTGAGTGCTCAGCGTCACTTCTTCAGTGAACCAATCGATTTATCATGTCATGACCGTCGTCAAAATCCGCCTTCGAGCCAGACATCGAAGTTGCTGACCTGATGCGCACCGCTGGAGTGGCAGAATCGTGAAGTTGTACTACAGTGCAAACACTATCGACAATCATCGTTGCGCTATGGACATACGGAAGGACGAGCGAATGCTGTCCTCGCGTCTTTCTATTTTTGTGCGTCTTCGAGCCCAGTATCATAGTAAATTGCATGGTGCTTCACGTGATCTCAGGACGCTGAAGTCGAGCTTGCTGGGTGCAGTAATCGGTATCCCTCTCAATTGTCTTGGATTATACCTGCCCGCCTGCAGTGCTCAGTCGTAGTCCCGTGTGCGCTGAATGCTAGTGAATGTACGCTGTATGAGCAGTACTTCTATGTCCAACACAGACCCAAGTAACACCAGTCTAGAGTCTACAGAGGGCCTCGCCCTCAAATGACGATGAACGGGACTTAACAACAACCACACCAGTTTAGAATGTCGTCGCATCTATCATGTACTCCCAATGCGCGCCGATTATGTCCTGCAGCCGGTATCGAGGATCGCCCACATGGAACCTAATATATCCCCGCTCAAAACTGTCCCAAGCCTCCCTCGCTGGTCCTTCACCGAGCGTGCGACGGATGCGCTCCGAAGCGGCTACGACCTCGTCGATGACTTCGCGCAGCGTGGCAATAGTGGACCTGCCCGTGATGCGCGCCCGAGCGTGGATGTACGATGCGACCTCGCCGTCCTGCTCCTCCTTATAGAAGGATAAAATGTCACTGCAATGGTGTGTCAGATCTGCGTGATCCATTTCACGGCACTTCACTCACTTTGCGTGGTTGATATACAGGCAAGCATCCCTTAACAGAGATGTCAGCTTCCAATCTTTCAGCAGTAGCGAGGACAAGACTTACGGGAAGACTTGGATATAAGTGTTCTCGCCTGGCAAGTCGCCCTTGCTCCATATGAACGCTGCGTACGCTTCCGCGTCGCCGTTCATGCCACGGGAGAAATCCACAAACGCCTTCGAGTTCGGCTCTACGAACGACTTGCTCTCCGGGTTCCCGATCAGCTCGCCATTCAAGAAGCGCAGCGTGGACGAGAAGATGCTGCTCGCGCAGAAGCTGGAATAGAACTGGCCCATGTTCATGATCACTCTGACGAACTCGCCTAGCATCCCCCTGTCGTCTCGAAGGGACCCGTCGCATATCCGCTGGTAGAAGTCTTGCGCACCCACAGCGTCGAATAGCTCTGGGGTATCTACCGCGGTCAGGAGCGCTGTGTAGATCGCTATGGCTACCCTGGCTTCGATGTCCGACACGTGTGGATAGCTCGCCTCAGTGATGACGAGGCCCGTCACAATGTGCCGCCGGATACGTTGCTCAAAGGGCCAGGTGCGGGTAATCGCCTTCACTCTGGCCTCGAGCTCCGCGTCGCGCGAGAATCTGGGAAGTGCGACATTCATTCTGTGCAGGAATTCCCGGATAGACACTTTGGCCACATCTGCGATGGAGCCCTGGGTAGCAAGGTCAGTGCTTGTGAACGACCTCGTACGATGGACAGCATCCCTACCTTTTGCGGGATGGCACTACCAGTCTTGTGGAGAGTTGATCCTGGCATGACTGCAAGCTGTAACAGTCCTTGTGAGTCCCGCTGCTCAGATTTCAACACTGAGAGTTCCGACGCTGACCTGTTGATATGATATCGACAACTTGAAATACTTCGACGGTTGGGATGATGGGCTACCAATGCGCGCTGCTGCCCTTTATGTAAGTACCTGCCACCTGAGCATGCCGCGGACGCTTCCACTGCTCGAGCCTTCCGTCGACGATGCGCTATGATGCAGTAGCATCCATGATAGGAACACAGTGGAAGCGCGTTCAGAAGCCAGACACGGACACTCATCGCTCCCGAAAAAGATACGTGTGTCCAGACTCCGCGGTGGTTGATCAAAGCTACGAGATAATTTGCGTTATGCATCGTTGAACTGTCCACAATGACCACCGCCGCGCGGATCCAAATGCTTGCGCTCAGTTCGTGGCTTGTAAAGGAACATGAAACTGTTTGCTTCAAAAAAGGAATGCCTCACGCCACTAGCGCCGCGGCCTCCCGTCTATAGACGTTGGAACACAGCCGCTAGACACCATCGCCAACGGAACAGCGTCATGTAGTTCATTTGATCTGCGCACCGGAAGGTCACCGAGGGGGCGTCAGCTAGTAGCCTGAGCTTTGCAGCCTACCACACACCTTCCGCGGAGCAGGGACGGCGCCGTTCAAATCCCGCCGAATGGCTCATGTTACTTATGTAGAGCTTAGAATTTTCTGTTTGACAGAACTACGAATGTAACACAATCAAGGCATCTGGTCATGTAGTGCTTACATCTCTTCTATTGAATACAGACACGGTGCGAAGTTCTAACGGCATGACATGACACATATCAGAGGCCGGTAGCTAAGTATTCTCCGCCAAGTAGCTCCTGGAGTCGATAGCGAGGCAGCACCAGATGCAGACTGACAAAGCCAGTTTCGAAGCTGTCCCAGGCCTCCCTCGCGGGCCCTGGAGGAACCATTTCGCGGATTCTGTCTCGAGCAACGAACCATTCGTCGATGACGTCGTGGAGTGTCTCGGACACGTTCTTTCCTGTAACTGTCGCGCGCGCATAGATGTAGTTGTCCGTGTCTCCGTCCAATTCCTCCTTGTAGCACGAAAGTATGTCACTGATGAAGGCATGAGTCAGCCGTACAGACAGAAGGAACGATTTGAGACGAGCTTTTACTTCAGATAATTGATGTATATGCGCGCATCCCTGGGAGCCACATCTCAATAAGGTTCGTTGCGGATTCCTTTGAAGAAACTCACGGGATCACTTCCACATATATCTTCTCCTCCGGGAAGACCGACTTCTCCCAAATGAAGCATGTGAATGGGTCCGGGAGCCCCCCGAGATCCCTCCTCATCACCACAAATGGCAACGTGCGTGGGTGTATGGCACCGCCCTGGTCAGGTGCGGTCTCTAGCATAGCACCATTGAAGTACCCTAAAGCACCGATGAAGACGGCGTTGGCTCCAAACTCGGGATAATAAGTCCACATGCTGTGCAGCACCTCTCGTAAAGCGACGACGAAGGTGGAGTCCTTTGGCGACGGGCAACACAGCTGCCGAGGGAAGTCCCGTGCGGACAGGGAGTTGAACAGGTTGATGTCGTCGAGGTAGGCAATGAGCGCACAATACAGCGCGATGGCAGCCCTCGCGTCGACGTTGGTGATATGGGTATAGCTGGTCTCGGAAAGCGTAACTCCTAGGAGAATTTGCGGACGCATTTTTTCCGCAAAATCCCAGTTGCTGGCGATTGCCTTCACTCGAGACCTGAGTTCATGATCTTGTACGTATGTCGGCTTGGAGATGCTCAGTGCATTCAAGAACCCTTGGATGACTTCTCTGGTAGACGGTACTGTCGGCTGGTAGCAGTCTCTTTAGGAACCGGTCATTCGGCTAAGGCAAGAGAGACCTCACCGTCTGATACGGCGACGATGTCGCGGTGACACTACAATGGACAACGCATCATTGACACGTCAGTTTCAGATTCAATGCGCCGGCTCGAGTACTCTCACCTCACGGTTCCAGAGAGAGGCATAGCGATCAGCCGTGAAGGGGACGATGAGCAGTGAGGTTGAGTCTTTGACCTGGAGTGTCAGTAATGCATCGCACCTCACCTTTATAGTGGCAGACGAAAATCGCATAACACAATGACGCTGGCGATGCCAGAGAACGTCAAAGTAGGCATGCTGCGTAGGCCACACAAAACAATACCACAGATGGGTGGGGCGTTCGACTTCACGGCAACGCGCCCAACCAGCTAGTCATGCACGCGCAGTAGACGACTTCCGTTTTTATGAAGCACCTTTTACGTGATCATTCCGATGGAAATCGTCTGATATCTGGACTCATACTCAGTGATAGCGAGTTCCCTACAGAGTTGGTGAAGCATACCTGCACCCGGGCAAGGCCAGTTGCAACAAACGCGACCACGGTTTGCGTTTACAACTTCGGAGCGGCGTACCTCCGGTATGACCGACAAGCAGGAAGATTGCTAGTGCATGGATGATGCGTTCGTAGTTGGCAGCTACATACTGCGATGTTTCCGACAGTTCACCGGGTGTCTCTGCAAGATCCTCCGAGTCGTTCGATCATCACCACATCCAGCCTCACTGAACAGGAGTGGGCGATAACCCACTTGCCAAGCTCCATCGTTTTCCGTGGACTCCTTGGCAGATAATTTGTCAATGCAAGCCACCTGTGCCTGCCAGTGATTAACTTGAACGGGCCGCCACCGAGCCGCTAGCACGGAGTCGCCAGAGTCGCCGAAGGAACTGCCATGGCAGCGCAAAGGCTCTGTCATATTTCCTTAGCTATCTTGTACAGTCGGCCAGTGAGTTACCTGTACGGACTTAGTAGCCCTTGCTTCATAACGCAGTCGTCACAACAACTGTAGTTCGTATGGTCATTGCCAGCTTGAGTGGTCACGGTCGACCATTCGGACCGCTGTCCTATCGGACCGGGAGCTCGTGTCCGATGGTTGCGCTGGTATGACCACATTGGATGTTAGCATGCACACGTATCCGTGAACGAGTTCACAAAAGCAGTATACTTCCCCAGAGATGGTTTGGTAGCTCTTTGACGGTAACTTGTAAGTACTGACAGCGGCGGCCGCTTGCCAGTGGGTGCGTCAGTCGATGTCGGAGCGCTCAGCCACATGTGCATGAAGCGGGCGCTAGATCTACGTACTACTACTAACTTAGTATTCGTTCGGAAGCGTTCCAACTCCCCGGACCTTGTCTCGCGGTGGATGAATAGCATTCTGACAGAAAATATGATGTTCTCCGGTTTCTCGAAGTGACGAGATAGGCTGTGGGATCCCAGGTAAGTAGTGCTACAGTAGATCTCTGGTACGTCACGGTCGATGCTGCCAGAGTCAGCTATATGAATGAACCTTGTTCACTGTTGACCATGATGCAGGGCTACACCGACCCAGAAGAGGCACACCAGTACTCGCACTGCTGTTGACGGATGCAGGCGACTGTCGCGGAGGTGCTTCAATCACGACTCATCCCTATTGACGCGGATGTCTCAGTTGCACTGGCGATTGATGTCGAGCACACATACCGGACACCACGTGTATTCACAGAATGTCCCGGCATGACCATAATCAGATAGCAAGTGGCACACCGACCGTAGCATGATGCATATGCACCCCACATCCGCTGAAGCCCTCTTGTATCGTGTGCATATCTCTCTACATCGTCTTGAGGGGTTGTTTAATATCCCGGAATTTTAGGTCTTTGTTTGGATAGCACCACAAATTCCTGTCATGAGCAGACGCTGCACTCCTCAATTCAGATACTCGATGGACACTCTAGTCCTTTGTTGATAAGGAATTTACGACTGGTGACAGGTCCTCCATTGCACGTCAGACACCTCAGATTTCGACACTGAGTACTGAGTAACGCACCGCAGTTCCACATGTGCGAGTCGTGGAAGATTTAGGTGGACCGATACAGCGGCAACTGGCACGGCACTGCGACTGGGAAGGGCTTCCTCTGCATACGCGCATCGAGAATCACAGCTCGTGCGGAGTCATTCGGAAGTACGCTAAGCCTTGCATAATAGGGACCCGTCCATGCGAAAGTAGGAGTCTGCACTTAGACGACGTACGAGCTCAGGTAGTCTGGCTCACTGAAGTACACTCAATCACTCGTAGAAGTAAGCCTAGCGCCCCGCAACCAGATCAATAGCTCGACGTACTGACGAATCATGCATAGTATTGTACAGCAATCTGTTCAGAATATGGGCAAAGACGAGTTGAGCAATCTGATCCTCGGGTCACCCGGAGTGGTTCCCATGAGAATACATAAGAAGAGGCACATCGATCTCGCGGGCGTCATCGCGAGCACTGCAGAAATAGATATGCGACTCACTGAGAAGAGTTCTAGCAAAGGAGAACAATTGATTAGACTCACCACCGAGCAAGACAGGATTCCACCAGAGCGCGGCATGGAATCATGTTCCGTGATCCTTGCTCACTCATCCAATGGCCGGAAAAGCGAGCGACGATAGACATCTTTGTCGAAGCACGATTATGACCATCCCATTTCCTCCGAGGCGTCGATTTTGCGAATGGCATAGAAGCGATTCCCCGTCTGAGTGACCTTGGCGTATCCTGTAAGAATGCTCTCGTCGATTATGTTGCAGTTCATGAAGTGCACTGCTGATAGCTTTCCGCGACCTGCTCCGTGCGCCTGCCCATTCCAGAGATGCTTTTGAAGCTTCAACAATGCCCGGTTGGTATCAGAACTGACGGGCCCGAAATTCACGTTACGGAAGGTCAAAATCTCCAGACGCGGTAAGCGCGGGGGCAGGTCAAAATCTAGGGTGTCCTCTTCAAAGTCTATGTTGTGAGTGAGCCCTTCCGAGAGGCTTTCCACGGCATATGGACCCTCGATCGTGAGGCTCGTGACGTTGTGCGTGGCCGCGAGAACCTTGTATAAGGCGAACGGCGGGATGAGTTCGTCGCCATACAGCAAGAGCGTCTCGAGTGATTGCGCTGGAAGGTAGCGGCATATGTGTGAGGTGACCCGCGAGACGGCAAACTTGCTGGAAACAACCCCGGACAGGTCTACGGTGACTTGTTCGGGCTCCGGAGTGGTCGTTTTGATATAGAAGCAAGGATCCCCGTAGTAGTCAGAGAGGCCGATGCATAGGCCTCGAACATCGTTCAGGCCAGGCAGCAACTCGACAATTACTGGAAGCAATTGGGACAGCTGAGCGGCGTCTCTTGTGACATGGATAGTGAGGGAAGAGAGCCGAGGAGCACCAAGATGCGTTAGCAGCTCAGCACACTCGGATTCAGTTGTGGAAAGATGAAGCGAGCGGAGATGCTGCAGTACGACGCGACCATAGAACTCGGGATGAAGTTCTGGGAATTCCATGGGTGCACAACCATCACAGAATATGTTGGCGGACTCGAGGGAAGGCGTGTTCTGGAGTATGCGAAGCACTTCCCATACGTCTGGGCACATGAAGGCATCACCCCCGCTGATACCGATGGAGAGGTGCTTCAACGTCGAGGAGATCAGGCCGTCTAGACGGACGGGACAGTTCATAACGAGTAGGCGCTGAAGTAAGGGTGTGTGTGTGTACCGTAGCAAGGTAGCAAACACCGCTCGACCATCGGGTGAAGTATTAGGACGTGCCGTCGTCACCCAGGGCCCTTGCACACTGAGTATCTCCAACGCTCGGGCTGGCATCTCCTGAAGCAGCGTTTGCATCTCTTGACGGAGGCGGGGTTTTTCCGTGAATAGATGGAGCGCACGGATGCGGGGAAGCGCTCCGAGCAGCACTGCGAGAGCCCTAGCCTGTGAGTCTTCATACTCCTCTATCTTCCGCCTATCGCAACCGGATTTTACGATCAGCGGGTCCTCGAGATATGCCGTGACCTCGAGCGGAACCGTCCCGGATCTCGCAACGAGCTCGGACATCCACTCCGCGTTGAGAGACATGTCGAGCCGACTCCATAGGCGAGGGCAGCGGAGAGCTATCGCGCGCCATCGCCGACAGACGTGCGACACCACGATCCAGCAATGGCGCGTACAAACGCGTCCTTCGTCGTCGCCGCATCTGTGAGAGCCGTGAAGGGGAAAATATTGTCCTGCGGTGCGCCTGGGATGCTGGCAGAATATCTCCTCCAGTATCTCCACGGGCATTGCAGCAATCGGACCACGGACAGCCTCGAGAAACTAGGCATTTTGTGAGTCTTCCACCGTATCCTAGAACATGTGTAACCTTACTGGGACATTTGGTGGGCACCCTTGGGTGTCCATTTGGATACGCGCGGCGTTGCAGGGCCCGTCCGCCTGCCATTGACACTTATGAAGTACCGCAGAGAAACGGTCCCAAACATAGACCTCACCTAAGGCAATATTCGTTACGGCTGCGCTGAAGGTTTCCAGCCACTTGCTGCGACGTGCAGTGCCGAGAGGACAAGACAAGCGTACATGTTTACGGACAGGCTCGAGCCTGCCAGTGAGAGCGATTCGGCTTCGAACGAGTTTATGATCCGTGATCGACTGATCGATTAGTAAGCGCCAGCGTCCAGGTACTTAACAAGGCCCAACACAAATTCGTTACAGTTGCGTTGAAACCGCAAATCATGATTAGACTATGCGGAGTCATATGCAATACAGTTGGTCTAGTACACGCATTTCTAGATTCGTTCTATCCTTGATACTCCTACAGCAGCGCCTTAGTACTTCCTCTTGACGCACTCTATATTCACTCGTGAGCAAGGAGGGAGCGGCCGCTCATTTCTACAGAGAACAGTCAACAAAAGGCCAAGCACAAAACATGGACGACGTGACCGACCTTCCGGTTTGCCAAGACCCAGGATATCCAGCACGGTCGGGGCAACATCGCATAGCGCGCCCTCCTCTTCCTCGCCGTCCTTCTTGTCCACCGTGAACTTGAGCTTCTTCGGGTCGCCAGTCATGATGAACGGTACAGGGTTCGTCGTGTGCGCGGTGTGTGGCGCGCCCGTCTGCGGGTTGACCATCTGCTCCGCGTTACCGTGGTCGGCCGTGATCAGAAGGATGTAGCCTGCCTCCTGGCACGCCTTGTATACGGTGCCGACAGCCGCGTCGGTATGCGAGATGGCTTCAACAGCGGCATCGTAAATGCCAGTGTGCCCGACCTAGAGGGAAGGTCATTGGCCGAATAGAACAACAGAGGGAGAAGCAGACCGACCATATCCGGTGGTGCGAAGTTGCACATGACGAATTCATGGTCGCCCTTCTTGACGATCTCCGCGACCTTGTCCGCGACACTTTGCACGCTCATCTTGGGCTCCTTGTCGTAGGTCGCGACCTTCGGCGAGGGGATCATATGCCGCTCCTCGGCTGCGAACTGCTTCTCGACACCACCATTGAAGAAGAACGTGACGTGCGCATACTTCTCCGTCTCTGGTGTCTGACGTAAGGAGAGGCGAGCTAAGTGTATGAAGAGACATACCGGCCACATGTGCCTGCTTGACACCCTCCTTCGCAAGCCACTCGGCAAGAACGTTGGTCATTGGCAGGGGAGGGAACGCAACAGGGAAGGGGAACTCTGCATTGTACCGCGACATCGTGCTGATGTGCTACCAATTCAGCATTGCTCGTTAACGAGGCTACTCCTGCTTAATAGCAACTTCAATTACTCACGAGGTTCTTGGGGACATCGACCTCCATCGGCTTGTCCGGAAGGCCCAGCACAGTCGCGATCTCACGCACGCGGTCAGAGCGGTAGTTGAATAGGAACAATGTGTCCCCCTCTGTGCAAACATCTGTCAGATTCTCAGCGATGCGCATACATCGAGTGGACGCACCCTTGATACGACCCTCGTCACCGTTCACGATGATGGGCTTCAAGAACTCATCCGTCTCATCCTTCTTGTACCTCTCCTCGATCGCCTTGACGACGTCCTCGCCCTTCTCTCCCTCGCCCTTGACGAGACCATCACGGCGATCTTGACTCGCTCCCAACGCTTGTCACGGTCCATCGCGTAGTAGCGGCCAACGACGGTCGCGATCTGGCCGTACTTTTCCTTCTCAATGAAGGCGAGCAGGTCCTTTGCGTAGCCAGCAGCGGACCGAGGTGCGGTGTCGCGCCCGTCACCGAAGAAATGGATGTAGACATGCGGGACGCCCTGCTCCTTGGCGGTCTCGAGCAGAGCGTAGAGGTGGTTGATATGTGAGTGAACACCACCATCGGAAATCTAGCAATTAGGGCGTCAAGGCGAGTTAACATATTGTAACGGGTGTAGCGCAGAAAGCACCAGGATCTGAGAGGCCTAGGTCATGAGGATGATAAGGGCCGTAGAGAGGCAGGAACGGGAAGACTGAGCAGGTCTTCATAGCATACATCCACCCTTTGGCTGGAACTAGCTTCAGTCTTCATGCCCTTCCATAACATCATGCAACCCTTCGTTTGTCAATCTAGAGTACTCTGTACGAGACGTCGTGCCTCGGCTCAGAACTCAACACCTTGTGCAGATTGCAATCCACCCGCTGACCAAGTACCTCCGCAGTCCCGGTACAGATTATTACACTCACCAAGCCGAGAAAATGGAGCCGGCCGTTGCCCTCCTTTGCGTGCTTGCAGCTCTCGAGGATGACCTCATTCTTGTGGAACTGCTTCTTTTTGATAGACACGTCGATCTTGACGATGTCTTGCCAGACGATACGTCCAGCACCGATGTTCAGGTGGCTTTGCCAATACTGAGATATGTGTCTTTTGATGACCAAATGCACTCACCCGACTTCCGAGTTACCCATGAGCCATCGCTGAGACCGACAGCTATACCATGCGCTTGGAGAGTCCGTACGCTGTGATCCTTGGCAATGGTGTCCATGTTCGTCGTGTCTCCAGCCGAGATGGCATCCCCCTTCATGTTCTTCTCCGGTGCAATGCCCCATCCATCGTGAACGCTGTGACCACCGTAGAGACTCTGAGCCTCTCCCTGAGAAGACGACCGACGATGAGCACTCACATGAGGCAGACTTTGTTCTTCACCTCAACCATGTTAGTATGTGCTGGTGAGTGGGTGTATGCGTGTATACCGACAGCGTGCGGCCTTAAGAGCGGCCAAGATGTTCAGCGTAGCGTCTGGACTGTGACGCAGGTCCTCCGAGGCTTCGCCCACTCCTCCCCATTTCAACCCCATTGGTCGCGAATCTTATCGATCTGCCGCGCTCGCCCGCAATTAACGCGTTCGGCCCGTCTCGAGTCGAACCAGATGCATGCTGGGCATTGCGGCAGCGTCGCCGCCATGGCCAGATATTGCTCACTACTGACGCTGAACCGTAATGCATTTGGTACAGTAGTGCAACTGTCCGATCGTTGCACGTGGATACGCACAGAAAAACATGTATGCCAATGCCTATGCCCGATGCATAAGTAGCTCTGCACTCAGGCATCGTAGGATTAGGGCATTGCCGCGTTGGCGGCGAAGCAGTCGTCGGCAGGTGACAGCAGGTTGTCTGGCTTATTTGTGTGCAGATAAGGATGTAGCGGCCGACCTGAATCTGTGCGGGGCAGGACAATGCAGCGTGACGGTCAGCGTAGCAGTGGTACGGCCATGGTGGCATAAGTAGGCTGTGTAACGGGGAGCGGGACTGAAACAGGCGTAGCAGTCCGGTTGTCAGACAGTAGTCCGTACGTCGATTTCAGAATAAGCGCCGAAGCTGGCGCCGCCGCCAGAGACAGGCTGCAGTCAGTTGGCAGACAGCAACTACGACGTACACACACAGAGTTGCCACCATGCCACGAACAGTACTACCAATTGGCACAATACCAACAGGGGGATGCCTCTAGATCTAAGGCCTTGTCCTGTAGGTGCATAGCAGGACCGTTACTGGCTGTGTTCAACGCTCCAAACCGAGGGCGTACGAACATCGATCCTGGCTGGATGATATAGGTGTCATTTCGACGGCAATGCACTCTGGTACAATCTCCCTTCTAGTAGGCCTCACACGCCTCACACGCCATGCTATCCATCATATAGTCCGTGCCAATGACCTCCTGCAGCCGGTACCGAGGGTCGCCGATGTGGAACCAGATGTAGCCTGCCTCGAAGCTGTCCCATGCGTCCCTTGCGGGACCTGTACCAAGATGTTCTCGAATGCGTTCGACCGCGGCCACGACCTCGTCGATCACCTCGCGAAGGGTGTCGTACGTGGCTTGTCCCGTCACACGAGAGCGAGCACGTAGGTAGGTATCGTCTCCCCTTCAAGTTCCTCCTTGTAGAACGATAGGATGTCGCTGCTGCTCGTGTAAGTACTCTGACCGTACTCCTGGTAGACAGTATGTCCGCACTGACTTGACATGATTCACGTATATACAGGCTTCCCTGTCAATCCACGGTTAACCAGTGCGTCGTAAAAAGTGAATACCTGACTCACGGGAATATATGGATATATGAGGTTTCATCGGAAAAATCTGCCTTGTCCCAGATAAAGGCCGCATACGCCTCTGGATCCCCTGATAAACTCCGTTGTAAGTCGACAAAACTCTTCGACCGTGGCTCCAGGAAGGACGGGGTGGACGGATTGCTAATCATCTCGCCGGCGAACCATCGCATGGTAGAAGATATGATGCAATTTATGCCGAAGGCAGGGAACAAGCGACCCATGTCTACGAGGAGTCTTGCCAGCTCCCCGAGGAGTCCTCGATCCTGGTGGGCAGACCCGTCGCACAACATCTGAGGGAACTTGTGCGCAGATACGACACCGAAGACCTCTGGATCGTCAAGGGCCACCATGAGAGCGGTGTAAAGTGCTATTGCCACCTGGGCGTCGATGGACGTGAGGTGCGAATAACTCGCCTCGGTCATAACGACACCAGTGACGATATGGTGGTTAGTATGATCGTGACTTGGACTCGGAGATGGCCACGTCTGGGTGATTTCCTTTACCCGAGATTCCAGGGCCGGGTTGCGGGTGGACTTGGGGGTGGCAGGAACGTTCATCTTCTGTAAGAAATCGACTATTGCGTTTTTGGCGACGTCCTTGAGCATCTAGTACGAGCGCGCAGGTGATTGACAGCATATCCGTGAGGTTAGTGTTGAGCATACCTCATCTTTGGGCGTACTCTCCATAGCAGCGGTGATCGCGAGGTAGAATTATCTGTCTTGCTAATCAGCCGAGCCCCATAATGTGATTGGGTGAATACACACCTCCTAGTCAAGCCAGGTATATCGTTGATGCTCAGCGCTGCGTGCACAAGCGTTGACCTTGCATCGCGGTCAGCCGTAGACCTTTTATACTAGCGATGAGTTGATGGAAGCTATATGATGACTCGCAGAGACCTCACCATCCCTGTATCGCCAAGGTGAGTACCAAAGGAGGTTGTTGATCGAAATTCCTTGCAACGTACAGTGTCTCCACAGGTCCAAGGACATGCTCACCAACATTTACTACGTGGCTCAACCATGTGTAATGCACTTCCCTAAGGCGCACCACGCCGATGCGTGATTGAATAACTCAGTGTACTGCACCTTCCATATGCATGCTGGTGGCTGATAAACTTGTGCATAGGACCACCAGAGCCCGAAGTGAGGTGGGCGATGCGCGTGAAGCATCCGCCGCTAGAAATTAGGCCGCGGAGCGTGCTAGCTTCCCCAAACCGTAAGGCTTCTGGGAACACATTTCCCGACTACGGTCAGCATCTTTCATACTAGCTCGAACCTAGAACACCACTCACCCCCTATCAAGACAACTTGTTGTACATTGTAGGTCAGGTACTGGGACAAAATGACAGAGCTATCAGCCGAAGGACACGATACCTGACTGTGGACATAATGATACAGGGGCATTGACGTACAATTTTCAAGAATCACGTGTCTAAGCGAAACATCGACACCCGTCGTGTTTCGAATTGGAAGTGTCCTCCACTAGCTGAGCGCGACCATTTGACGCGTCCCTATGCCTTCAGAAAGTACACCGTATGCTTCTAGACAGTCCGCTCAGCATCGGTCAATGCGACGCGCTTAGAATGAGACAAACTAAAATTACAGCCATGGAACATCACCCACAACCTTTTCCGTGATTGCAAGGGGCCTCGGTGGTGGAAGAAGATATGGACAACGATTAGCCATGCTTCGCTTCGCCTTCGAACGTGGATGTTTCGTCGTCCCTGGCAAGAGCTCTCAGCATACGAAATTGGAGGAATTCCGAAGAAGAGTCGGACAAAGCGATCCTCAATTCAGCCCATGGCGGCAGGCTGCATTGTTCTAGACACCGAAGTCGGCTGGTAAAAGACCCCGGGACACTTACAATGATTCATGAAGAATTGCATACCTCGCCCGTTCCGCTATGCAGCGATGGTTCGACCAGCCTCCAGGGTAACTTCTTGTCAGAGGACAAATGCGATAGGGACCCAGACATAGCGCCGACTCGGAGTCTCGGATACGACGGACTGTTTCAGACACCTCCAAGGTATGACACGATGTACTTCCTGCGAATCACGTCGAAGACGAAAGCAAGTTAGTCTCGGGAGTAGTTTGATAGAGGTAAAATCGGTCCTTAGTCGTTCCTTGGATGACGGTCTTTGCATTCATCGTCAGAACGTTGACGGCAACAGTTATCTCGTGGTATGAGGGTAGACTCTGAACACATAATTGAGTGATCAGTAACAGCAGATCAATGAGTATCGAACGGCAACGATACCTCGACACCAAGCTGTTCTTATTCTTTAAGTTCCTGGGCCGCACATGTAGTACCAGTTGTAGACTCGACGCTGCGGGCCCGGCGGAACGCGATGAGAGATGAGATCGATGAGACTTGACATGTTACATATGGTCGAGGGCTGGGCAGTTTGCGTGACGCGCGTCAGCCAATGCCTATGCCATACACTGGTTGAATGAACAGTAGTGTCATCGCATACCATAACTTAAGTACTAGCGCCTGACTAGCGCGCAGCGTAGCGGCAGCGGCGCACGCCACATTGTCCCGTTATGGAAGTCCATCACAAGAATTAGAATTTGCCCGGTTGGCAGAAGCCTCAAAATGCAGAAGCACTGGGCAATGATTAATGAGGCTCAACGTTGAAACATTCAACCACAAGGCAGTTCCCAGTATTAGTGTGACGTGTACCTTCGGCGCGCTCACTAACATTCAGTTCACTTCGACGTCGCTCCACCTGCGGATTTGAGAAGGTCACGGGCCGTCCATTCTTCGACAATGCATAATGTTGACTCACTCGAACTTGCTAGTTTCCAGGTTCTGATGTCCTCATCGGCAGCTCGATGGTCAGACAGGAATATCCGGAGCGCGCGGAGGTAGAAAGAATTACCTACTCTGCCCAAGTAGACTAGCTCGGTGATGATTCAGTCTGTCTGCTAAATCATGGTCACATCTCTGTGAGTGATTCAATGCTCAAGGGTCGGACCGGAGTTCTGGCTGACGCGAATCCAATCCAACATAGTACGACAAGGAATTACTGGAGTAGCACTGCAATCCGCATGGTATAAAGAGCCAGTGGTTCGTCCGAAATTCAAGCTCAATCCTTGATATCCACGGCCTTTGCACATGGAAGGCTACTGCACGAACACTTCATTCACCCTCCCTGAAACTATGGCCAATTGGCATATCAATCCTCATTACGATGCAATGAAGGCTGAATCGAATGCCTGGTTAAAGAGCTTCAAGCCCTTCAACGAGAGATCTCAGCTAGCATTCGAGAAGTGCGATTTCCGTGAGTGTCATTCGTGCGTACCGACGGGTACATCAATATTCAGACAGCTTGGTCTTATAGCACGCCTTGCGGCCCTTGCATATCCATGGGCATCACAGGGTGCGCTTCCCTCATTCTTTTTCTCCATTTTACATCGCATACGAGGCAAAACCAGAGCATCTGCGAATAGGCTGCGACCTAATGAACGTATTCTTCGTGTTGGATGAATACACCGATGTCGAGAGTGCGGAAGAGGTCCGCGAGGTGGTTGACATCGCGATCAATGCCATGATGAATCCCGACAAACCGAGGCCAGAGGGCGAGGTGCTAGTCGGAGAACTCGTACGCCAGTAAGTGCAGTGACATACGGACGTTGCGAGATGTCTAATCAGCAAGTAGGTTCTGGGCACGGGGAATTCAAGCATGCACAGTGACGGCCCGGAAACACTTCGAAGAAGCATTTACCGACTATCTCAACTCTATCGTTGACCAAGCAGTTGACCGGGATAACGACACTTTCCGGACTGTCGAAACCTACTTTGAAACCCAAGAGAGAATATTGGTGCCCGGCCGGCCTATATACCAGCCATTTTCGGCATTGACATACCTGACGAAGCCTTCTATCACCCTGCAGTGGTCGGATTATCGTATCTTATAGCTGACATACTCATCCTTGATAATGTAAGCTCGGCCACTGTCGCTGTATCTGCATGCATTGACTGCGTCACTATAGGATCTTGCGTCGTACAACAAAGAACAAGCCACCGGAGATGATCGGCAGAACATCCTAACTGTCGTCATGCACCAGTTTGGATACACCCTCGACGAAGCGTTGGAATGGGTTGCAAACTATCACGAAAGCATCGAAGCACGTTTCTTGGATGGTCTGCAAAGACTGCCATCCTTTGGTCGAACATCGATCCTCAGCTTCAGGATATATCCGCGCTATCGCGATATGGCCTCGAAGCAGTGATTGTTGGAATTTTGAAAGCGGCAGTACTTTGGTGATAGAGGACTAGAGATACAGAAAACTCGTCGTGTCCCACTGCTCCCCAAGGCCGTCGACGATCATCGTAGCCTTCGCAGACAAGATGTCGTGATTCCTTGGTTGTTCTCTATTAGTATAGATGTTCACCACTCGATAGAATGCCCCTTTGTCCCGAAATCTAATAGAGGCTACAGTTCCGCTGAGAAGCCCACGAAGTCGAAGATATATCCGCGGCTAGTGACCTTGAGCTAGAAATGAACTTGTTCGCTGCAAGTTGCTGCAAGTACTGGCTCCCGGCCCTTTGGCGCTTGTCAAGGCGCCACTCTGGCGAAGGCCACCATGTCCGAGTCGGCCGCTAATAACGGTCTCTCAGTCTGTCTCATCGGCTCCAACGCTCGAGGCCAGCTAGCTACAGGCGACACAATGATGCCACATATTCACGCCCTGTCTTTTCACGGATTCTCCCGGACAGCTACCAGACGGCACCACCACAATCACGGACGTCGCCTGCGGCGCGAACCATACCCTTGCTCTCCTCCGCGTATGACTCACAGGAATTGTGGGGATGCGGCGACGGGCGCAGGGGACAGCTAGGTCCTCGTACTTGGATGGTGCAGAGTCTGGGTCCGGCGCGGTAATTCAGGCCACTTGAGATTCGCCTCGAAGGACTGTCGCTGGAGGTGTACGCGCCGCGTTGGTGGCGGCCGCCTGGGAGACATCGTACGTCGTTTGTCATGTCCGGAAAGGAGCGACGTGCTCATCTCCATGGGCGCGGACGACTTCGGGAACCTCGGCGCTGGTGGCGTCAAGGGCAAGACAACGGTGGGGCGGTCTCTGTACTTCGTACCGCTGCTCGACGCGTTTTCCGACGTTCCTGCGGGGGAAAGTCATGCTGTCTGTACAAGCGTTAGATTCGGGTCCACATCATGTCGTCGCGGTGGTCAAGCTCACGTCGGAGACGGCTATACACGGAAGCATTGTGGGCTGGGGCCTCTAGGCATGGTCAGCTCAGCTCAGCGGTGCCCAGTGCAAGTCCGCTTCCTCCGTTCATGCCGCGCCGCACGTTATTTGCCCGGATGAAGCCATCGAAGTCTCGGTCCCGTTACTCAGGTTGCTCTCGGAAACCAGCACACTGGTTCCTGCATTCGTCAGGCCAACTGTCGGGCATAGGCTCGAATCGAAGTCTCAGCGGGAGCTGCTGGAGACCGTGAGGGATGCGCACGGTATCGCTTGCACTTGGAACGGGACGTATGTCCTCATCCGGACGGCGCCGTTGACAAGTGGTGGCGACGGGGAGCAACAACCACGGTCAACTTGGGCGAGGGATGATCGAGCCGAGTGGCAAGCTCGATCGTGTCGAATTTCCCTCCCTCTGCGTCGACCAGGGTCATGAAGATGCGTGTGGAGCGAACATGTCTTGTGCCTACTTGAGGTGGACCGGGACGGCGCTACGCGAGGGAGGTATGGGGCTGGGGGTGGAACGAACATGGCAATCTCGGAATCGTTCGACGGAGGACGCCAGTGCTCCTATACGGATGTGGCCGCCGCATGGGCCGACTGGCAAACCGGGCGGTGGGCATCTGGGGAGGCAACGGAACGAGCTGGATTCTCGTCAAGCGATGAAACATCGGACCTCGGCGACGCGCTCAAATTGCAGGATGCTGGTATGGCCCTTGCAGCGTGTATCGCTCACTGAACGAAGACCCGAGGACACATTCCGACAACTGCCAATCGTATGTAGTGTGCCGCGTGGAGAGCCGTAATACTAAAATGGGTGGCTTTCGTGGCGTTTGCAATCACTTTGAAGTGTGAACTGTCAATCAATCCGCCACCGTGCGCACAGATTCTCCGGGCCACCTATGCAATGTATGCGTAGATGGTCCGATGTGTCGGTTGTGCAAAACATATGCAGGGGACACATTACGCGCCCAACGGACTGCGTCTGCGATGAAAGGTATGACTTTTACTTGTTCCCCGCTATGTTATGGAATTGAATCATCTCCGTAGCTTTGCCATATGATCCCATGCTCTTGGTGTGCCGCCCACAAGACGTACAAATAGCCATCAGTTGCTGGCCTTCCCTCAAGCTCAAGCGCACCGAGTCACTATATCTATTGTCCGCCTGAGAGGTATGTACAATGTACAGAGCCGTGTCACTTTACCTCTGACTGCATCAACAGGACCACAGAATGACGCACACTTTGCCCGCTATGAACGAGATTATCTCAGTAAGTGACGAGGTATGGTACGCGTCGCGAGGCCACCTATTGTAGTACTGACGCGATTGCCCGCTAGAATCCTCTGCAAGTCTCGGCGAGCACGATACCGGCATTGCTTCAAAGATTAGGCATGACTGTGCCCATCATATACTCTCGCAGTCCGTCGTTGGAGGCCCGAGTAGAGGCAGCCACCAAGTCATGGCCCTTTGCAGACCGGATCCGTCCGTATGTTGCCAGCGGCATCATCATCGCTGAGACGTGCTATTCGCACCTCACGGGAACCGACGCACAGGTCGCGATAGCGCTCTATACCGCCCTGATGGTGACACTTGATGACAGGGCGATCTTCGACGAGTTGGGAGCGCAGGAATTTCCCCGAATGCTGTGTGACGGATCTGCCCATCGTGATCAAGGGCTGCTCGGAGCGTTGACTAGGGTCCTCGTGGACCTCGGCCAACTGTTTCCTCCCTTCGGCGTGGGCTGTATCGTCTCCTCCACACTGCGCTGGTTCACTGGCGAAATGTCAGATGACCCGGGCAAGCGTTTCTTCCTGGAAGCACAATCAAAGAGCTTCGCTGATTACCAGCGATTCATGACGGGTGTCGCAGAGCCTTATGCTTCGTTCATATGGAGTAAAGAGGATTTTCCGCATGAAACTTCATACATACACATACTTCCGTGAGTACCATACCTCATCCATATACACTCCGTTCGTTACTCAGGTTGCATATTGACAGGGAAGCTTGCGTCTACATGATCCACATCAAGTAAGTGCGATCATGAGGTGTACCACTGGTGGTACTAACGTTGGCTACAGCGACATCTTATCGTTCTACAAGGAAGAACTTGCAGGGGAGACGAACAATTACATACATGCTCGCTCTCGCGCTACGAGCAAACTCCCACGCGATGTGCTTTGCCAGTTGATCGACGAGGTCGTAGCCGCAGCCGAACGAGTCCGCGACCACCTTGGTGAAGGCCCTGTCCGAGACGCATGGGACAACTTCGAGGCAGGCTACATCCACTATCACATCGGAAACCCTCGATACCGGCTGCAGGAGGTTCTTGGTGCGGGGTTTATGATAGGTAACAGGACGGATTGAGTGAAGCCTTACGACACGTTCACTAGTACAATTCCACGGCGCACTACCAAGGTCAAATACATGGCATCGGTACGTACACTCTCGAGAAGGACGGTCGGAGAGTCACGTCAATCATCCCGAGTCAGTCCGTAGTCGTCGGACTGAGTCGTAGTCTGCCGATTAGCAATCTGAGCCAGCTATGCAGACAAGTATGAGCATTCATCCAACACACGGATCTGAGAGTCAACGTACTCTGTCCATCAATATCTGTGGATTTGAGATGTTAGAGTGGATATATGCGCCATTGCGAGACGGTCGTCTCACCTGAGCGTCGTCTTTTGCCACATGGTGCCAAAGCTCAATTATTTTCCGCCAGACTGCATTTAAAGCATCTTCGCGCTCCCTATGACCGACGTCGCTCCTCAGTGAGTGTCGGATGTTGTGAGGAGGACTACGTGCGCATACCGTAACTTGCGTTTGAGTTCGTCCACCTTCGCTTGCAGCGCGGCTGTGCGTTCTTGTTGTTCCTGGTACGTGTAAGCCAGTCTAATGGTCAGCTAGGGCACTGATGCTCGTCTGGATAGCTCGGCTGCTGGAATGGACCATACCTTCGTGCACGTTGCGCTATGCATTGAGGGCGATGATCACGGTAGTGCAGGTGGTGGTAAGGTGCAGTGAAGTACGATCGCGGTGCTTAGGCCCTGTAGAATACAAGGATGCTACGCTGCCGTGCACGTGGACGTACTTACGAGAAATTGACAGGCTGGGGACGGATCTGGACGGGTGCTATGATAGGGCCTTCTTCGCCTTGACTGATTTGATTGGTTTCGTTCGAACGCTCATTCCTGTCGTGTCATTCTTGACACCCGTTGAGCTATAGCTAAGAATGTCCGAGGCGTTCCTGCCAAAAGGTACACACGATGGCAATCTGCTCGAAACCCAACTCGCAAACGGGATCGGCAGATGTGACAGCGAACGTTGAATGCGTACTGTGTGAGGACTTCAAGTTCGATAACGAGTACTATTGACCTGCCATAACAGGCAACGGAATTTCCTTTTCTATAGGCGACGTTCGATCGACGCTGCTCATACAGACTTCTTTCGATCTGGAATGATCATATCCGTTTGCCCGTCGCGCAATATGTTGTGCCTAGCTTTGTAGCTGGTTCCAGCTGGTTCCTCGCCTCGAGCCCAACTCGAGCCTGGGTTTTCTGTGAGCGAGAAGACAGGATGATGGGACAATCGGTCCGACACGTGCGCTGTGTTGCAGGCGCTCCGAACTGAGGCGCTTAGCGCGATGACGAACAGCCGGCGCGGGATCCGGGAGGGCAGCGACTGGGAGGAAGGTGCCCGGGGTGCGGCGGGCTATAATGTCGGCAACATGCTTTCACAGACACGACAGCTTGTGTGATTGACCGCACCGCCCTTTCCTGGCAGGTTGCATCGTGGGTACGCTACGACGAACGCAACAACTGCGACGGTTGGCGGCGGACTCCTGGCCAGATACGACGGGTCTCCTCGTAGTGCACTCTACTCTCGTGCAAAGGATACCCCCTCACTCACGCTTCTCTCCTCCCGCTCGCGTTTCCGAACCGACTCGTTGCTGTTCTCTCGCGGGCGTTCTCACCACGGGCGGCACGAGTATCTCCCGGCGCTGCGGTACAGAATTAGATTCGCCACAGGTGCGTTCGTTTTCCATGCCTACCGTGACCGGCGAGGAGCTAAGGCTTGCTACGGCTGACTCACAGGCTATAAGGTCCTTCGCCGCGAAGACATCTGTGCCAACCTAGCTCAGGACGGTCCCCTTCTCCATCCGTACCTAAGCCTCGGTCTCGTGGCGAAGCATGGCCGGACGCTGGAGGCTATTCTGGGGGCAGTTCGCCGCCCTCGTGTGGAAGAACTGGATCGTGCTGTCGAAGCACCCTTGGGTACGTCTTGTTCAGTCATCAGAAGGACCTGCACTCTAGACTCACCCCTCTACAAGCTAAACGTGTTGCGATGCGTGCTGCTTCCTATCGGTTATGGCGTCTTTCTTGCGGTCGCTCAACTGTTCTTGACCAAGCCCAACAATGTACGTCTCTGCAATGTTTCCTCATCGTTCTTGACCTGAATTGTCTCGCTAGTATGGACTAGGCACTGCCGTAGCCGTTCCACGCTTGATCGACCAGTATGATGGTTCCATCGCTCTTGTCTGGGCGGACAGCACCGATGGTACGGGGTCACCGTCTGCCCAGGACATAATGTCGCACATCATGAGTGGATTCAGCTCAAAGCAGTTGAAAAATGTCCGAAAGGTAACCGCCGCAAGCAACATCCCTGCGACGTGCCCAGAGAACTTCAACGGATTCTCGGAGTGTTACGCTGCAGTCGTATTCAACATCCTACCGGGCAATACTAGCAATGTGGGAGCTTCTACGAATGCGAGCGCGTTGCAGGCGTTCAACTATACCATCCGGGCGGACAGCGGTCTGTACTACGTCAATGTAGCCAAGCACACGAGCAGCTACGAGGAGCGCGTCCTCCCCTTGCAATGGGCGATCGACAGCGCCATTGTTGAGCTGACAACAGGCAGAACACCGGAGACACCGATGGAGTGGCCGTTCACACAGGAGTCCAACACCGAGCAATACACGGACATCCGGCTGAGCTACATCCGCGGCCTGCGGACCCTGCTCGTGCTCGCCCTGTTCATCTGCTACATCGGCATCGCGTACCAGCTCCCGGGCGCCTTCATGGGCGAGCGCGCGAACCTGCTCACGAGCCACCTGCAGGCGATGGGGCTCATGGACTCTGCGCGCATCCTCTCCTGGCACGTCAGCACGTCCCTCGTGTACCTCCCCGCGTGGATCGTGGTCGCGCTGATCTGGCACTACCGCATCTTCACCGCGACGAACGCGGGGCTCGTGCTCGTCGTGCACCTCCTCCTCGGCTTCACCCTCGCGAGCTGGTCCTTCTTTGTGTCCGCGCCGTTTGGGAAGAGCCCCCAACTTGCGGCGATCGCGTCGACCGTGCTGGCGATCGTGTTTGCGATATTGGCTCTGGTGGACGGGCACGCGACTACGGGCGCGGCGTTCTTCTATACGCTGTTCTTCCCGCCTGGGTTCTATATCTTCGCAATTCGGTGCATGTGCGGGTTCGAGCTTCATCTAATAGGGACGAATGTGGTCAAGCCGGACCCTGACAACCAACTTGTCTTGTTACCTCTGATCTTTGCGGCCATCGTGAGTCAATGTCACTAGTCCATCCTGGGCGTCCGTCTCACGCACACATAGATCGACATATTCCTATGGCCATGGCTCGCCATCCTGCTCGAACGTCAGCTATACGATGCACGCAATCCCTCTTCGTTCTCCTGGCGCTTCTGGAGGAAGAAGACAGTGGAGCCGGACGAGGGTGTCCAGCAGATGCCTCCGGGCATTGCCATTTCCATCAAGAACCTAGGCAAAGACTTCAGGACGTCGATGTTCAAGAAAGGAGGAGGACTGGTTACGGCCGTCGCGGATCTCAGCCTGGAGATACCCAAGACAGGGATCTTCGTGTTGCTCGGGTCGAACGGGTATGTGTCAAGGCGCACCAAGCGGGACGATGGCTGACGTTCGTTGATTCCCAGTGCTGGAAAGTCGACAACGATGTCAGTCCTCGCAGGACTAATCGGTCGCACGCGCGGCTCTGTGACCTTCGAAGGCGGAACGAAGCGCCCTCCACTGGGACGATCGGTCTCGTTCCGCAGAAGAACGTGCTGTTCCCTGAGTTGACGTGCTACCAGACCTTGAAAGTGTGGAAGGCCATCAAGCCGCCGATGCGCGACGACGGCGTTGACGACGAGGACATTGAGCAACTCCTACGGGATTGCGACCTGGGCAAGAAGGTCCATTACAATGCGAATGCGCTGAGCGGTGGTCAGAAGAGGAAGCTGCAGCTGGCGATTGGGTTGGTTGGAGGGTCTAAGAGTGAGTTGTTTCCGATTCTGGGGCTCAGGTCGTGCTGACTTGTGCATCCTGCAGTCTTGCTGGTCGATGAGGTGTGTCACGAAGTTCTGCGCGTCTGGCTGAGGTCTCATCAGATCTGCAGTGCACATCCGGAGTCGACCCTCTGTCGCGTCGCGCTCTCTGGAGGACGCTCACATCTGTCCGGCACGAGAGGACGGTCGTGTTTACCACGCATGTGTGTACCGCCTATTCACTATCGCCCGCCACCTCGCTAAACAACGCCGTCTCAGTTCCTGGATGAAGCGGACCTACTTGCAGATACTATCGCCGTCCTCGCTGCTCCTGGGAAGCTTGTTGCCCAGGGTACTCCGGTAGCCTTGAAGTCGCATTATGGCCAAGGCTATACAGTGCAAGTCACCTTCAATGCTTCTGCAGACACGCAGGAGAAGCCGTCCGCAGATCCATCGGAGCTACTCGAACGCATACGGCCTCTCGTCCCAGATGCTTATGTTACGTCTGCAGCTCCTGGAGAAGCCGCGTATCATCTCAACGCAAAGGACCCTGGCACGGTGCACAAGGTGCTCGAGGTGATGGAGGTAGGACGTGAGGCCGGGAAGCTGAGCTCTTACTCAGTGCTCAGCACGTCCATAGAGGATATCTTCCTGGGGCTCATGCATGCCAACAACGACGGAAAGCCAGAGACGTCGGACCGTTCGTCGTCGGTTTCGCCCTCGCCAGTTCTGGGAGAGAACGACAAGGTCGAGAAGACGACGGGGTCAGCTTTGCTGCCCGTGCTCTCGCACGGGTCCGCTCCTGTGCTGGAGCTGACTACTGGCAGGAAGAGAATGCCTCTTAGTCAGGCCCTCACTATCTTCCATAAGCGCGTTATGATCGCCCGTCGAAGCTGGCTAACACCTTTCCTCGCGGTCTTGGTCGCCATCGGAGGCTCCTGCGTCCCACTGTTCTTCATCGCTGGTCGGGCGCCTCCGAGCTGTGTACAGACATACCATAATGCCATCCCCATCCCGTTATATGCACCGGAGTCTCCCATCATCCTGGCGGGTGCGAACTACACCATCTCTGGAGAACAGATCCTCCAGTCACCTCCCGGTTGCTATCGTCGCTTGGCTCTGCGATGCAGTTGGTGCCCGTCCAGAACATTACCGATAACTCAACGTTTGTCAACACCATCAACCAGAACTACCAGAATCTCTCCTTGGGTGGCGTGTCTATGGACCTCGACTCCGGCTCGACGCTCATCGCATGGGAAGCAACGCCTCCGGGCTATACTGGCCTCGTGATGCTCAATCTGGCCTCGAATCTGGTGTACAACCATGCGCTCAACAGCTCGGGAGCGGGTCTTGGCGTTCCGAGGGTGATCGCGACGAACTTCGAGAATCTGGTTGGCTTCGATGCGGGGACGTTGGTGGCTCTGAAGTGGCTTGCGTTTTACGGCGCTGCGATGGTACGTCGTCCGGATTGGATGTTTCACGCCATCTATGTGCTGATGTCGGCGTAGTCTGTGTTCCCTGCGTTCTTCTCGCTCTACGTATCGAAGGAGCGGCGGTCGGCAGTTCAGGCCATGCAACTCTCGAACGGATTGTCCAACCCAGTCGGTCTCTGGTTGGGCCATCTCATGTTGATACATGCTTCTCCGTCATTATGCGAGCGTCATCATCATCGTTTTCGCCACCGCGTCTAATCAATTCGCCGGTCTTGGGTTCTTCGTGAGTGGTGCAAGCACTTCTAGACAGCACTGCTCTGACTTGAAGTGATTATGCCTAGTGGATTGTCCTTGTGCTCTACGGCATTGTTGGGGCGTTGTTCTCGTACTGTGTTTCTTTGGCAGTCACGTCGCCCCTGGCTGCTTTTGCCGCTTCGGCAGGCTACCAAGTGATCATGTTCATTGTCAGTCCAAACACTCCGTAATAAGGTGAATCGCGCTCACCTTGTCAAACAGCTCTACTTCGCAGCGTTCCTTCTGACACTCACCTACGCGAAGACGTCAGCGGATGACCATGATTTGACACTTATTCGTGAGTATGACATGTCGGGTGCATGGCTTGTTCACTGACAGTGGTTCGCAGACTTCACGATGGCCATCGCGTCACCCGTTGCAAATGCCGTACGTATATGTCATTCCTGACATTCTCTGCATTTTTCGCTGACTGTTAGCGCAGCTTCAAGCAGCATTCGTATCTGTCAATCTGTTTTCCCTCCTGTGCGACAACGACCAGCCTGCCACTACGGCTTCCATGGGGATGATGTCACGATACGGCGGACCAATCGTCTACTTGATCGTCTACGCATTCGTGCTCTTCGGAATACTAGTGTGGGTTGACTCTGGCTCGGTCCTGCCGCGGCGCTTCAGTTCCCCAAAGAAGGGACCACGTACCTTGCATCCAGACGCATCAGCTGCGAGCGCTGCTGGGCGCAAAGACGTGGACGATGAAGCAACAACGGTAGCAGCTTCCAAAGATTCCCTAAGGGTCCTCAGCGTGGTCAAGGCTTCGGCTCGAGTGACAACAGGGTCGTGGACAATGTGAGCTTCGGTGTATCCCAGGACACAGTGTTCGCCCTCCTCGGCCCAAATGGCGCCGGGAAGACAACGACGTTCAACATGATCCGTACGTCAATTTTAATCTACTTTAAGGTTGACATCCGGCGCCGCTCACGACGCACCGGTGTTTCAGGTGGCGACGTCATTCCGGACGAGGGCGATGTTCTCATCAACGGTGTGTCCGTGGTCAGCCACCCGCGCTCCGCCCGCCTATCGCTCGGAGTCTGTCCGCAGTTCACTGCCATCGACACCGAGCTCACCGTGGAGGAGCACCTCATCGTGTACGGCCGCCTGAAGGGGCTGTACCGTGGTGAGGAGCTCAATCGGAACGTCCAAGCGCTCATGCGCGCGACGTCGTTGGATATTATGCTGACCGCCTGGCGGTCCGACTCTCTGGCGGAATCAACGGAAGTTGGCGTTGGCCATCGCGCTCATCGGTACGCACACTATGAATAGCGCATCCGTACGTCCCTCAAAGTGACTCTGCCGCGTTTGTCTCAGGGAATCCCTCTGTCGTGCTCATTGATGAGTTCTCCACGGGTATTGACGCGAAGATGAAGCGGGAGATGTGGGGCACGCTCAGGACGGTGGCGGTGGGCAAGGCTATTGTCATCACGACGCGTGAGTGTCGATGCGGAGTCGTGCGTAGGTTTGTCGCTGAGTGTGTTGCTGCAGACTCCATGGAGGAAGCGTCTGCGCTAGCCAATAAAGTGGGCATACTGGCTAAGAAACTGCTAGGTGAGCCTTAACCTGGAACTCTGGAAGCGAAGCTTGAGCTTATGTTCCTGCCTCAGCTGTTGGCACGACGGACGCGCTCGCAGAACGGTATGCCACGTATGAGGTACATTTCTCTTGCCGCACGCGCGAGGAGGTTGTCCGCGCGCAGGAGCTCATGACTCAGATACCCGGAGCGCGCATGGCAGACGATGTCGCAACGCGCTTCGAGGTGCCGTTGGGGACGGATATGTCCCTCGCACGGCTGTTCGGATTGCTCTCGTCACAGAGGACTTCGCCGAGTTCACTGTCGACAGAGCAGGACTCGAAAGCATATTCTTGAAGGTCATTCGCGAGAATGATGTGCTTGAGGAAGACCACTCGACATCCCGGCGAAGGTGGTGGAGGACATGCTGATGGTGCTAAGTTGCTGAACCGAGTGGTGCGCTGGACTCTGCTCATATATAGCCGGATTGGAAGGAAATCATTACCGTACACATGCATTACTTAGTCCGGACACTCATACATGGTAGGCAATCGGACAGCAGTAGATCATCCGTTTTTCTTCGAGCACATCTCTCGCCTCGCACGTATATCAATAGCGTATTTTATGTGTAGCTACTGTTCGTGCTCTGACACAGAGCACCGCACGCATGCTAGTGTCTTGATACGTATACAGCGAGCGTCGGGACGATCGTCCGGATCTGTACAGTCGCGAAGACATGCCATTCTGCCTCGTTGACCGGGGGTCCGTGACGCGTCGCGACGCGTTCACATTGAAGCACGTGATGGTGTTTGGACTCCGCCACAATTTCAGTGGCACTGGAGAGCGCGCTGCACGACGTGAAACTGACGTGCGCCGACGTCGGTTGCAGTCTTCCATGCTCACAGCTTTCCAATGACCTCGTACTTGCTTACGACAGAACTAAACACGGTCGTACTATGTACACTGCTGAACGTGGATTATCGCAATACAGCGTGTCGATTGCCTGGAGCTGGCTGTGGATGTGTTGCTGGAGTTCCAAGTCCAGATGCGGCGGTGCAGGCCAGCGGTGCGCAGCCTTTGTCTCATTCCTGGCACGCCCTTGTGACACTTCTGTATGTAGTGACGTCGTCTGAAGCGAGCAGCATACTAGCATTGCAACTTCCGAATCGGAACTGCTGCATGGCAGCGTAACGGAGGCTTCGAAGCATTCGCAGCGCCTTGAGCGGAAGCCATCTCATTCGAATCCTACCCCGCATTCTATAAGTATGTGCATCTGGCCTCTGGCGCAGTCTTCCGTTCTGCTGCGATCTGATAACAACAGGCTCAGATACACATGCGTGAAGGCTTTGCGCGCAAGAACTTGTGAATCACTCGACCTATGTGCGACCGGGATGCGCGAACCGCCGACGCGCGAACCGCAGTTGACTCTCACGTTGCGGGATGTGATGCGGTCGACACCCATTACTCGCATGCGGGCACTGCGGGCCTCCATTCAATCGGACAGACACGACACAGACCGCAGACAGTACGCGCGCGCGCAGTGCAGCACCACCTAGCACCACTGGCACACAGTAACAAGCATTCCGACGAACGTCCGAGCGCATCGGGTCCTTGACTGAATACTGAAGTGAGACCAAGAAACCTGAATAAAGAGTTGCCCATATGTGCTGACACCATAACTCATCGCTGCCAGCAGGCGACCTGGACTCAGATATTCCTTGGCACCGAAGTTGCCATTTCAATGCATGATTGGCCGTTGCATCGACATCGATACACGAGTGTCGACAAGCTGAGATGGTACAGCTTATTGCTGTCCAAGTACGTAATACCTCACCCTGACTTCAGCATCAGTGATCTGTCGCGCCGGGCGTCTTCCTCGTTTATCCAGCGTCCGCGCTTGGCATTGCACAGAGAAATAAACGGCCCAGGAACGGCCGCCCTCTGATTTTGTACAGCCTTGCCGTGTTTGACGGTGTACTGCTTGTGTACTGCTTAGCCAAAGGGCCTGCCTGCCACTGGCCGACACACGCCTCCAACACGCCTCCTGTCTCGAAAGCTTGGTTCTGCAGACAGGCAAACCCCCAGTCCGCACGGACCGGACTTGCAAGTACGTTGTGCACAGCGAATTGACAGACGCGTGAGAGTCGATGCAGCGGCAGCAGCGCCCAAGATGGACTGCGCCAACTTGTGCTTCCGCCCGGATCCGCCGCCTCCAGGAGATGTCAGATCTGTCTGGTGGTTGCTCGGCTGAAAATGGCCGTCACGTCTGCGCACGGCCTATAGGGGATGGCTGTCCTCTTAGTGTCCAACCTTTCTCTTCGTGCGCGCGTGTCCGCCCCCTTCTTACTGTCCTCCTGCCGTCGTTTTATCTGTTTCTTCCGTGCAGCGGACGTTGGAACTTTACATTATTGCATTTCATAGGGGCCGCAGGGGTTTAACATTTTAGGGTGCGTCTTAGCATAGGGGTTCGAGACAGCGGACTGCACACGAACGACACGTAGGTGCGTCCTCAACCCCGTGCGTGTCTGCAATGAAGAGACTGCGTGCCAAGCTGATCATTCCTTAGCCACATTACTGTGCAAGGCCGCAGGCTTGCTCGGGGCACATCTCCCCTCCTCCTTAGTCCCATAGCAGCATGGGCACACTCTTTTGGAGACAATTCTCGTTCTAGTGTGGAAGAACTTCATCGTACTCTCTAAGCACCCTTGGGTATGGTTTCTCCCTGTAGCATGTATATGCACGTATGACTGACCATACTTGCTTCTAGCTCAATCTTGTCCGATGTCTTTATTGCCCATCGGTTACGCTGTTTTTCTCTCCAGGCCCATTCTTCTGCATAAGCCTAACAATGTGAGTCTGTCTCTCCGCTGAATGGTGTCACCAGTTTCATCTGACTATGGACCAAGTTTGGTTTAGGTACCGCAGTACCCGTCCCTCGGCTGTTGAGCAGTATGACGGATCCCTACCTCTTGTATGGGTTGACGGCACCAACGCCACCGGTACACCGTCTGCGGAAACGATCATGAAGAACGTCATGCTCCCGTTCAACTCCAAGCAACGTGCCAATGTGAAACGGGTAGCAAGCCCCGACCTAGTCTCGTCGATGTGCCCGGAAAACTTCATTGGTCTCTCACAATGCTACGCGGTCGTTGTGTTCAACAACCTTCCCACTGTAGGCGACCCTCAAAGCGTACAGCAGCAGTTCAACTACACCCTCCGTGCCGACAGCGGGCTCGTCTTCATTGACGTAGCTAAGCACACGAGCAGCTTCGAGGAGCGCGTGATGCCACTTCAGTGGGCGGTTGATAGCGCATATATCGAGCTCGTAACGTCCGCAACTCCATACAGGCCCTCGAATGGCCCTTCACACGTGAGGACAACACCGAGCAGTACACCGCCATTCGCCTGAGCTACCTTCGCGGAACGCGCATGATTCTTGTCGTCGCCCACTTCATTGCATTCGTCGGGATCGCGTACCAACTACCCGGGGCATTCGCCGGAGAGCGGGCGAACCTCCTGACGAGCCACATGAAGGCGATGGGGCTCATGGATTCTGCTCGCATCACTTCCTGGCATTTCAGCATGTCGCTCGTGAACCTCCCCGGATGGATAGCTGTCGCGGTCATATGGCGCTTCCGCATCTTCACAGCGACGAACGTCGGCATCACAATCCTCATCCACGTCCTCCTAGGTCTCGTGCTTGCGAGCTGGTCCTTCTTCATTGCGGCACCGTTTGGGAAGAGCCCGCAGCTCGCTGCGATCGTGTCTGCCGTCGTCGCGTGCATCCTTGCCATCGTCACACTTGTCATCGGGAACGTGAGCAACGTCGTCGCGGTCGTCCTCACCCTGGTCTTTCCTCCTGGGTTCTATATCTTCGCCATTCGCGCCGTGGTCGGCTTCGAGCTGCACCAGGTCGGTGCGAACTTGGTGAAAGGTGATCCGGACAACAATGTGATGCTGCTTCCGGTCATCATCGCCGCGATTGTAAGTCCCTCTCCGATATCCACCTGAGGCTGTGCTGAAGGACGATGCAGGCCGACATTCTCATCTGGCCATGCCTTGCAGTGATGCTGGAGCGCTGGATGTACGACGCGAAGAACCCAACGAAGCCATGCTGGGGAAAGCTCACCTCGGCCGAGGAGAGAGCACCGTTGATGCCGCCGGATGTAGCCATCTCCATTAAGCATCTGGGCAAGGACTTCAAGACGTCTAGTTTCATGAGGCGCAAGAACGTCGTCACTGCTGTGGAGGACCTCAGTCTGGACATTCCCAAGACGGGAATCTTTGTGCTGCTCGGATCCAACGGGTAAGTACGGGTAGGCTCTGTCCGCCCACTTTAACGTACACTAATTCGTGCATATATTCTATAGAGCGGGCAAGTCCACAACGATGTCAATTCTTGCGGGCCTCCTCGGCCGTACCCGTGGAAGTATCACTTTCGAGGGCGGCGTCGAACGACCGCCCCTTGGCACCATCGGACTTGTACCGCAGAAGAACGTGTTGTTCCCGGAATTGACGTGCTACCAGACGCTACGAGTGTGGAAGGCCATCAAACCGCCCAGAGATGGCGCGCTAGACGAGGATATCGAGCAGCTACTGCGCGACTGTGACCTTGACAAGAAGATCCACTACAATGCCAGTGCGTTGAGTGGCGGGCAGAAGCGCAAATTGCAGTTGGCGATTGGAATGGTCGGGGGTTCTCAGAGTACGTTCATTATGCCGTTTATGGCGATTGATGCTGACACAACATCACTGTCTAGTCCTGTTGGTCGATGAGGTAAGGATGTGTGCACTCGGAAGAGATGGCGATACTCATCTTGTCATAGTGTACTTCTGGGGTGGACCCGCTCTCTCGACGCGCTCTGTGGAAGATCTTGTCTTCTGTCCGACACGAAAGGACAGTCGTCTTCACGACTCATGTACGTCCGAGACCATTACCTACGCGCCGGGGAACTGATGACCGTGCCGTAGTTTCTCGACGAAGCGGATCTGCTCGGTGACACTATTGCGGTACTTGCCGCCCCAGGGAAATTAGTCGCCCAAGGTACACCAGTTGCGCTGAAGTCGCGCCATGGCGACGGCTACAGTGTGCAGGTGTCCTTCGACACGGAGCAGCCGCTAGAGAAGCCTTCTTCTGACGCATCACAGCTGCTGGATGTCATCAGGCCCTTCGCCCCTACCTGTTACGCTATATCGTCGGGACTTACGGAAGTCAGTTACGTCCTCCAGACCAAGGATCCTTGGGTCGTCCACAAGATTCTGGAAGTCATCCAGCAGGAGCATGACGACGGAAGACTGCAGTCATACTCCGTGACGAACACGTCTATGGAAGATGTCTTTTTAACGCTGATGAACGCTGATCAAAGACTCTCATCGGACATGCATCCCAAATCGCTGGATGGGTCAATGTTCTCGACGCCGGACAGCACTCTGAAATCAAGCAGAGGCCTCTCAGAGAACGCGTATCTTCGCTCGTCCACGTCCAGCAGCGTAACCTTGCCGGTCCTCTCGTATGAGAAAGCTCCCGAACTCGATCTGACGAATGGTCGGCGGAAGTCAGTATTCGGCCAGGCGTTGACGGTCTTCTACAAGCGTTGCCTCATCGCGCGGCGCAGCTGGCTGTCCCCGGTGCTCATGATCTGATCACGGCAGCAGGGGCGTCGATCCCGCTGTGGTTCCTATCGGTCTCGTTGCTCCGACTTGCATACTGTCGTTCAAGGCTTCATATTCTTCTCCGCTCTACCTTCCGCAGTACCAACCTGTCTTCCCCTTGTCGCCTGCGATCCCAGGAGCTCAAATCCTCCAGTATCCCCCCGGCCTCATCGAGACGCTCGGACCTTCCTTCTCGAACATCCCGGTGCATCCCTTCAATGACAATGCGAGCTTCGTCGACTACGTCAATCAGAACTCTCGCAATCTCTCCATGGGCGGCGTGTCCATCGACTATGACACGGGCGCCACACTTGTCGCCTGGGAGGCTACACCCCCAGGATCGACAGGACTGAGCCTGCTGAATTTGGCGTCGAACCTGCTGTACAATCACGCGCTCAACGAGACGAACCATGTCGCGACGCGCGTGATCAATGCTAATTCGAGAAGCTGGTGGGGCTTAACTCCGGGATCCTGGTGATGCTCAAGTTCATGGCTTTCTTCGGGGCAGCGCTTGTGAGTAATGCCTCTCATTTGCTAGTTTGGTGGTTTCTCACAATTGTTTTAGTCGGTGTTCCCAGCATTCTTCGGACTGTATGTTTCGAAGGAGCGACGCTCTGCGGTACAGGCTATGCAGTTCTCCAACGGCTTGTCAAATCCCGCTGGTCTCTGGCTTGGACATCTTCTATTTGATTCAATATTCGCCCTATTTATCGCGACCCTTATCATTGTTATATATGCTGGCGCTTCCAAGGAGTTCGCCGCCCTACCCTTCCTCGTAAGTCATCATTCGGCGTTGGTACATGGTTGTCTAACGTCGCATCATGTCATCCAGTGGCTCGTCTTGGTGCTGTACGGCGTCGCCGGTGCATTATTCTCGTACTGCATCTCATTGGCTGTCCCTTCACCTCTCGCGGCTTTCGCAGCCTCTGCCGGCTACCAAGCTGTCATGTTTTTGGTATGCTGACCATGATTACCGGTCGGTCCCAGTACTGACTAAATCTCGTCTTAGCTCTACCTCGCCGGTTTCCTTCTTACTGCAACCTATGCTGACGTGACCTCCGAGAGTCGTGATTTGACATACATTCGTCAGTGCCATTCTGCCATGCAATAGAACGCTACCTCATACTAAATCCATGCCTACAGACTTCTTCGTGGCCATCTTATCTCCCATTGCCAACGCAGTGCACGCTGCATTTGTTTCCCTAAACCTGTTCTCCCTGCTCTGCACAGACTCCCCAGCCACCGCGGCCTCCGAAGCCATGCCCTCCCGATTCGGCGGCCCAATCATCTATCTAGTCGTCTACATCTTCGTGCTGTTTGGTATCCTTGTCTGGGTTGACTCCGGGGCAGTTCTTCCCCGCAAGAAGACAGCCAAGGCGGCGACGTCCGCGATCGTGCGGCGGCTCAGTCGGAAATCGTGGCAGGCGGGCAACAAGCGCGACGTGTACGAGGAGGCGATGAAAGTCGCGACGTCCGACGACACGCTCCGGGTGCTTAATGTCGTCAAGGCATATGGAAGTCCGGACAACCGGGTCGTGGACAATGCGAGCTTCGGGGTGTCGCAAAATACGGTGTTGGCCCTCCTCGGTCCCAATGGCGCTGGGAAGACGACGACGTTCAATATGATCCGTACGTCTTCTTCTCTCTGCAGTACTTTAACTGCTCACAGTTGAGTGCGTTATAGGTGGCGATGTAGCCCCCGACTCCGGCGACGTGCTCATCAACGGCATCTCCATAGTCAAGAACCCGCGAACGGCCCGCCTCGCTCTCGGCGTCTGCCCCCAGTTCACCGCGATCGACTCCGAACTCACAGTCCGAGAACACCTGGTCGTCTATGGTCGTCTGAAGGGGCTCAAGCCCGGCTGGGAGCTCGAGCGCAACGTCGAAGCGCTATTGCACGGGACATCGCTGCATCAGTACGCGGACAGGTTGGCTGCGAGCCTATCGGGCGGAAACCAGCGCAAATTGGCTCTGGCCATTGCGCTGATGGGTAACCCGGCGGTGGTGCTCATTGATGAGTTCTCGTCTGGCGTGGACGCGAAGATGAAGCGGGATATGTGGGAAACCCTCAGGAGTGTTGCAGGCGGGAAGGCGATCGTGATCACCACACGTACGTCGTATACGTCTGTTGCTCTACATTGAAATACTAATGTTGGTAAATTGTAGACTCTATGGAGGAAGCATCTGCGTTAGCGACCAAAGTCGGCATCATGGCGAAGAAGATATTGGGTATGTCGTCCTGTATTGGCATATTGCTCTCAATCTGATTATTCTGCAGCTGTTGGGACCACAGAGACTCTGGCCGAGCGCTATGCTACGTACGAAGTCCACTTCTCATGTCGGACACGAGAAGAGATCGTCAAAGCACGAATGCTCATGTCACAACTACCTGGCGCGCGTATGGCCGACGATGTGGCGACGCGCTTCGAGGTGCCAGTAGGCGAAGAGATGTCGCTCGCGCGACTGTTTGGTGTGCTCTCCTCACAAGATGAGCTCACTGAGTTCTCCATCGAGAAGGCGGGCTTGGAGAGCGTCTTCTTGAAGGTCATTCGGGAAAATGCTGTACAGGAAGAGGACTCACGGACAAGCAAGAGACAATGGTGGAGAATATGCTAGCATCTGTTTATACTCATGAACTTGCTTTGTTATCGCTGTTTTGGACTCTCACCCACGCACGCTCTCTACGTTGGATGTGGATGCTGTCTTAGCTTTACTTGTAGAATAATCTCTGTGCATACTTTTTCCATGGTAATTAGAGCTCTTGTACGTATTACAATCATTCATTGCATCCACGATCCGCCAAAGCTGACAGAGGGGCGCAGTAGCAGGTGGACGACGAGTGCGAGTGCGCGGTGAGTATTCGGCGCTCAGGCTGGCGTGTGCCAGGGCCATCCTCAGGTGCCATTTCGATCCACATTCTCAGCACCAATCACACCCACGAACGTTGGAGCGTATCTCCCACCGGCTGCCCGACGCCCTCTCTCTTCGCCTCATCCGTCTCATACTACCTGTGAGCCCACCAGCGACCCATATCCCCCGGTGGAACTTATTCACCCGTGTTCGCGTCACCACCATGTCGAAGAAAGCAGTTGATGTCGTGGAAGAGGTAGAAGATGGTGTGTGCGGAAAGTCACGGTCTGTTCGATGTAGGTTGACGAATGCTATCGCGCAGAGGGTGAGGAGAGCGACGAGTACGAGGTCGACGAGGTACTTCTATCCCACTCCTTCTCTCGCGTGGCAGACACGCGGCCCAATCGAATTGGATCTAACTCCTCGCCCTGATCTTTCTGAACTAGGACGACGACGACGACGAGTACGCCGAGGAGGAGGTCGAAGAGGAGGAGGGGGCGGAAGCTGGACCTGTGCGTACACCGCAACACATATGGGACTAGACCTCATACACCCATCCTTTATCGCAGAGCGGCAAGGACGGCCTGACAGCATTACTGCTTGGTGTATGTCTCATGATAACTTGGAGACGAATACATGTTCATCTAACTACGCTCGCAGGGCAACGGAGCGGCAGCCGAAGATGCTGAAGAGGACGAAGATGAGGAGTACAGCGAGGAAGTCGAGGAAGTGGGTGCAAACGGTGCAGCCTCCGACCCTCCTTCAGTATCCGGCGTAAAACGCGGTCGCGACGAGGACGATGTCGAACCCGAGATCAGGGCGGGTACTACGCCGGGTGGCGAGCTGGAGGGAGACTACGGGGAAGCGGATGAGCTGGGCGGCGTAGTCGCCGCTTCCGCGACGAAGAAGGCCAGGACTGCTGCCACTGAGGACGAGCTGTGAGCGCAGATGGATGATATGTTGTAAGATATGTTGTGCCTTGACTTTATTGCTAAACTTGCAGACAGTAATGACGTCGCCCCACCTCATAACGGACTGAAACGTATCCTGTACTTTACACACCTGTACGAACTTCGAGTGTTTGTGTCGCGAGAATGATAAATATCCAAGCGAGCCGGACATGCAGATGCAGGATCAGATATGCATAACGACTGACATGAGGGTATATAACAATGTGCAAACTACTGCGTAGGATATAATCTACCTGAGAGTGTGAGGCATCGGAAGGGGGAAGTGCATAAGTTATCCAGTGAACTGCCGTCGGCATCACCTCACCGCATACGCACTAGTCCGCTCCAGCAAGCCCTGCAACCGCCGCCCGAGCCTCTCACCCTCCATCTTGCGCTTCATCACCTGGTACGCTGGTGTCTTCTCCTTGGGCATCCAGTGCTTGCTCGCTTTCTCGCCCTCGCGTTTCGCACGCATGACGGAAAGGTCAACCACGCGCGGGGACGAGGTGTAGTTGATGACCTCGCGGTAGAGAAGCTTGGACTCTGCCGTGAGCGTGCGGAGGGTCGGCGGGGGCGGCTCGTCCGAGTCGGAGTCCTCGGAATCAGAGAGCGTCGAGGGTACGAGCGGTGGCGTTGGCTCGCGGCTGACGGGCTCGCGTAACGGTGGTAACGACTCGATCTCCCGGAGCAGATCCTGGCCCTTGAGGTAGGAGTTCTCCGTACGGAAGTAGCGGACAGTGCCGCGGAGAGCGTCGATCTGCTCGAGCAGATATGAAGTTTCGAGGCTTCCTTCGACAGCAACCGTCTCTTGCTCTGCCGGCTGAGGTCCAGTGGCTATTGAAGAGGTCAGCACCATACCCTTGTCATCTGACTTCCTCAGAGAACTCACGTTTACTCTCTGTGGTAGTCACCGCGGCCTTGAGCTTGGCATTATCCTGCTCAAGGGCGTCTAGATCGGCCTGAAGCTGCTCCATCGCCTCCTCATACGCCCGCTCCTGCTTGCGGGCCTTCATCAACTCGTTTCGAGGTCAACGATCGTGTCGCCTGCTTCTTGCTTGCCTCGCTGCGGCGTTCCATGAGCTCGATCTTGATACCCGACTCCTGGATCTGCTGGTCGCGCGTCCGGAGCGTGCGCGCGAGAGCCTGCAATTCGTCGTTGAGCTGCGCGACCTTGCGCTCGGCTTCGACGTTGATGGCGGTGGCAGCCTTGATATCCGCGACGCGGACAACCCAAGGGGAAGTGCCAGAGACTACGCGCACGGTGAGTGGGGAACCAACAAATGTCTGCTGTCGACTTACTCTTGAGCACATTCTCGTTCTCCACCGCCGCAGGAAGCAACTTGTTCGCCTCCTGGCTGACCTGGGTGATAAAGTCCGCGACCGACTCCCAAGAAGAAACGTCGTCTTTCCGACCTTGCCCAACAGAGGCTCTTGCAGTCTGCTGCACGAACGCCAGTACGCTCGATAGCTTGAACGGTGTCTTATCCCCACGAACTTCGCCGAGATATGGCATAACTAGTTGCGCAAGCTATAGCGCATCGACCACAGTTAGTAGAGTGGGGCCAACCGATGTGCACACGACTCACAGAGAAACCGAAGTTGACGAGTTCAGGAGTGAGGTTCGCTAGACCTTGAAGCTGGGAGACAAACTGCGCTTTCAACGCCGATGAATCTTGCGTGAGGTCCTCCAGCCTCTTTGTGAGTTTCCTGAAGACACATCAGTAATTGCACCGCGAGCGACTGGTGGTCTTACTTGGACAGAACCGGGCGCTTCTTGATTGGTCGAGCAGCCGTTGCAATGGCTCGAAGAACACAGCGTTCGGTTCCAGTTCACCAAGATCAACCTCGACATCTGCGCGATGCGTCAGAAGCCAGTATTACGTGATATGACACTGCGTTACCTTCGTCCTTCAAGATAGCCGCAACTGACGTCTTGACAAGACCCACCGCGGCGGCAAACATTCGAAGTCATGATCGCAAGCGAGGGCCATGCCATGTTCACGCTCGCCCAGGTCGAACTCGTAGCCGTTGAAATACGTCTCCGCCAAATGATCAAACTGGGCCTGCATCCTGCACTCTAGTATCAGCACTGGCTGAAGCCTTGAATGAACGACAGAAACCGTACTTCGCTGCATCGTTCACACATTCCACGTCCCGGAACTCTTCGCGACGAAGCAGATCGATATGCATGTCTATGCGCTTCTCCATAGGTGCGATGTCTGATACATGCGGCCGATGTTCAGGAAGGACTCGACGTCGCATCGGCGCAGGACCGAGGCAAATCGTTTGCAAATCGTGGACAAGCTGGACAGGCGTCCTCGCATCTTTCGCACACATCAGCTCGGCGGAGCATCGATAGATGAGCGGAAGGTACGCACCTCACAGACACCACAAGCACGCTAGACACAGCTCCGTTAAGAGACTCGGGCAGGTTATGGTTCTGAGCAGCCACAGTGTTGATGAGGTCCAACTTCAGCGCCAGCCGCTGGAAGAACAGGTAACAGCTTGTCGCATCCGTGTCCGACTCGACATAGACCTGCGGTAGGTACGGTTGTATGATGCTGAGCAGCTCGTGAGCCTCCTTGGCTCGATGCGCTTGATCTCGAGGTCGATGTGGCGGCCTGATTCTTGGAGGCGCTGGACTGCAGTTAAGGTTGAGCGACATCATTGCGGCTGTCTGTGAGGCTGCCGTGACGGATTCTTGTGGGCATTTTGCGTTTCTGCCCGGAGCGTGTCCAGCTCCCTGTCATCTAATCAGCAAGCATGCCATAGAGCAATAGATAGAACACGAACGTCTGGAGCTGCATTACCAGTTCCCTGAACCGGACGATAGTACCCTCGAGGTCCTGGCACGCTTCCTCGAGGGAGGCGATCTTGGCTGCCTGCTCCCGAATCAGCGTCTCTTTTGCCTCTGTTGACAAACAGTGAGCAGACGGTCAAAGAGACTTCATAACGAGCAACAGACCGATCTCTCCTGCATCGACTTCTCCGTCTCGACGTGATTCTCCTCGAGCTCATCGTTAAGTTCCCTGAGCGCCTCTAGGTCCTCGATGGTAATGCGCATTTCTTCGATTTTCTACGCCGCGGGACCCTTAACTGTGTACGCAGCCACGCTAAGTACAATCTTACTTACCTCGCCGAGCATGAGGTTGCGCTCCGTGAGTGTACGAGCATCTCTTCCGCACCCAGGGCATCGTCAAGTTGCATCTTCAGTTCTCGACCTGCACCTCGGCGTTGGTCAACTTATAGAGTGCCTCCTCGTGTTGCGCTGTGGCAGTCGTCAGGGTCATACTGCAGGAGGAGAGCATTTGCGCCCACCTTGCAATTCGTCAAGAGTACCGACGTCCTTCTCCATCTCAGCGATCCGCTTGCGGTTCTCGATCTCACTCTCTGACGTGATATCGCGTAGACTGCATGAAAACAGTCAGAAAACGGGCATGCAATAGTAGACATTGACATACCGGACGAGTGCTTCCTTGAGACGTTCATTCTGCCTCTCCAGCTGCACGTAAGCCAGAGACTGCTTGATGTTGTTCTCTCCACCGTTGCCTTCGCCTTCGCCTGTCCGTAGGTATTCGTGGTGAGCAATAACACAAAGCAAGACCAAACAACGAGCGCACCTCCGCCCTCCCTCACCACCTGCAGCTCAACCTCCACCACCGCGAGCTTCTCCTTCACCTCCTCCAGCTCCGCCTCGGCCAGCTCCGCCCTCTCCTCGGCCATCTCCTTGTCCAACATCGCCATCTCCAGCTGCTCCTGCGCGTCCACGATGCGGTTGTCCGCGAGCGACGCGAGCTGCTGGGAGTCTGCGAGCTCACGGCGCGTCGCGATAAGCTCTGTCTGCTGCTGCTGGAGCTTCGCCTGCAGTTTCGGGCGGAGCGCGACGAAGGACTCGGCCTCTGCCAGGCGCGTCTCGAGCTCGCGGACGTGCCGCGCGTCGTCGGCGCGCTTCGCCTCCAGGACACGGATCTTGGCGCGGAGCTCTTGTGACTCGTCGTCTGGTGGTGGTGGCGCTGAAGGTTTCTAAGAAGTGGATGCTATAGCGGAAGACGGTCTCACGAGAGCGGAGAAGACTCACGACTGGTGTACTTGGTCGCTCTGGCTCTTGAATTACGACGGGAGACAGTGGCTCTGGAGAGTCCCCGGAGACACGGCGTAGGGACGATGGAGGCTGGACTGAGTGCCCGGACACCGACATGGGCGACGGTGCGAGACCTTTCGGGAAGAGCTTGGCCGGAGCATCTCCAGCAGCAGACTCGAAGCTGCCCTGGCGGTGGAGGGTCGGGCTAGCTCCCGGGTTGATAGAGGACCTCCGCGACAGCGGGGCGCGAGAATTAAGGGAGAGTGTACTAGTGCGCTTCGTTGGTGAGCCGAGGCGCTGGGCTAGGGGAGAGGTAGGGAGTCCGGCGGGTTTGCAGGGCTTGTGGCTCGTGGCGAGGAGGACGCGGTACGTCCTGGCGATGAGGGAGCGGTCCGACCGGGAGATGCAGGAGTCAGGCGTGCTCGTGCAGAACCTGTACTCCCTGTTCTTGCATGTCCGAGCCCTGGTCTCGCCGCTATAGGCTAAATGGGCCGTGTGTGAGCATGCCACAGGTTTCTGGAAGAACTCACTCGTCACAGCAGACGTACAGCAGCTACAGGCGGCGGCTCGACCGCGACGACCTTGACCTGGCTCGGCCTCACGAAGACACCATAATTCGGCTTGCACGTGAAGTACTTGATACCCTGGATGATCCCGTCGTTCTTGCCATTCCGCTCGAAAAGCTCGATACCTATCCACTTGCCCTGGGAGAAGGAGGTCGTTCCACAGAACCGCACGATCCCGCGGCCGGACGGGACCTCGACCTGCGCGCCGAGAGGCGGATCCTTCGCTGTTGCAGCCATGCTGATTGATGACCACAGCTACCCCGCCCCAGGTCAGACGGTGATAGTGCGCAGTGAGAAGCCTGAAGGACGTGAATGAACGGAAGTATTGAAGTAAGTATGTAGACCAGCGCGTTCGCCGTCCGACGACTCAGGCGAGCGCCAAGGCGTGTCGCGCGGTAGGCGCCTGGTTACCATTTACGGCAACTCTTCAAAGTCCAAAGCTTCATCAAGTTCATGATCAGCGTTGCTTCAGTCACGCTGCAGTTAGGACGTAGGAGCCTTGAGCGTGAGCTTGAGGCCCTGCGGACCTAGTTCTTTTGAACCAGTAGCAATTCAAGCCTCACTCTCCTCGATTAAGCATTTAACAGCAGGCATCATGAATGAATTGACCACCGCGAGGAACAATCGATTGGAATTCGATTTGTGCTGCCAGACTTTCAGGCTCCTTAATATGCTTACACAAGTAGCGAGGATCCTGGATTCGGGACACCTGAAGTTAATTTATCCTCAGTCTATGTAGTAATGTGTGAGCCCCTTATAATAACGGTAAGCTTCAAGTTGCTGGAGGTCTTTGATCTGAATATCACACACGGGTGCGAGTAAATGCCAAGTAGTAGTAGGGCCAGCGCGCGGCAGCGAGATTCATTTGGATTAGTGGGCAGGTTGCAATGATCCGCGTAGCCTTCAGCAGCCAGTTGCGGAGCGGGAATATGAAAATGAGTGAAGTTTGCGCAGCGAACTTTACCAGTAGATCCCGAGTGAAGCCCTGACAAGTAAGTACGTACTGTACTGGCGGCCGTAGCATGCATACCGGGCTTTCTCGCGCAGACCCTCTATAGTGTCACGATGCGCCATGTACACCATTCCGTATGTCCTGCAGATTTCGAGCGTTAAGTTGTCTGTGCATATCCTGCTTTCGGAGGCGGATCATCAATATCAACGTCACCTTTACGTTGAACCCAATGGTATGTCGGATCGCCGGCGTGATCTGAACCAACGTAGAGGCGGTTCGGAAATCTTACGTGCAGTCCTGCATGCCTCCCGTTACCCCCTGTTGTACTTGCTGTACTTGACAGGGGCCTTCTGATCAAGGCTCCTAACTCCATTCGCACCCGTCGCACGGAGGTAACGATTTGAGCGGGAGTCCCTGAGGCCAGCGACGGCGTGACAGCGGAAGCTAACCTATTCGACCTTTGGGTAGGGCAATTGAAAATATTACGTTGCATTAAAGGGGAATGAGTGTGACTGACTTGCACTGTGAAGCATCGTCACATTACGTACCGCAGTTGTTCCAGCCTGAGCGAATTTGAAGTGGGCACCGGCATGCGCAGGACGTTACGTATACGATCCTCCGACTCGACTCTCGGTGCGTTACACAAGGTTCCACAAGTGGTTGGATCTTGATCCGTCGCGTGGGAAGCCTAGACCGGTCTTTGCCGGGACAGGCCGATGACGTCGTGGTTGACTGGGACGCTCAGCTCAGCGCCATTTGGACGGCAGTCACGGCATGGACGTTGTATCTTACCTGAGAGTAAAAATGGTACTAAGGTACACGGCGACCAGCACAAGGAACTGGTGTACGGAAAATATATGACAAGACAGCCCGCAGCTGAGCGCTGAGGCCTCGCTGAGGCACGGCGCGGAAGCGGTGGCGGATCCGGGAAAGAGAATTTGGGATGAAAGGGGGACGCTGACATAAGCAAAGGACATTCCGTCATGGTTCTCAGCCGTGGACGCAATAGCCATGCCGCGTTGGCCATCTGTGTTACCCAGGTACCCTCACTAGCGCAGCACTGAGGCCGACTGGCCGTTTCTCTCACCCTTATGCCTCCAGATCCCGAGAGGCAGCTCGTCCCCCAGTGGACCCCCGAGGCATGTCTCCCCTCGCCATCCCCCATGTGTTCACCTGCTCATTCGATACTCAGCTCGTCGTCCTCTCCTATGCCATTTCGTGGCTCGGCGCGTACACCAGCACCCAAATCGTCATCCACGCCAAATATACCCGCAGCAAATGGGCGAAATGGTTCTGGACGTTACTGGCGAGCCTTGCGTTCGGGTTCTGCGCAATATGGTCAATGCACTTTGGTACGTGCTACATCTTGGTTGACTCGTTGAACTGCCTATCTCCGTCGGATTCGTTGTCTCTGCAACTTTCTTGCCTCTCTTTTCCATCTCTGGCTTGTCCAGTTGTCCGTGCCCTTGGCATGCATGCGTTCCCCTCCGCCATGCGACCGCTCGAAGGACCTCTCGGGGGACAGTCGCTCGCAGGTGCACGACTCTGCGCGCATGCACTTCTGGGGCATTGTCTACGACTTCGTACTCGCTTGCCTCGCAATAAGCGCCCGTACCACTCGTATCCGCCGAGCTGGTGATGCTGGCGGCATGACAGTAGAATGCGAGTGATAGCCGTTCATGACACCCTTCATTTCCGCTAGTTCGCCGTAGGATTTGAACTGCAGCGAGCCTGTCGCATTTGCTCGAAGTTTGAGCCTCATGCACCGCAGATCGACTGGCTATGGCACGGAAGTGGAATGGCTTCATAATTACCCGCCTTGTCGTCGCTTCACGCCAAGTCCCGTTCAGACACTTCTATGTTCTCCCCGCCTTGTCCCCGAGCGGGGGAAAGCTTTGTGGCCCTTGATCTGCAGTGAAGGCCCAGTTCACGTCCATCCCAACCACCTTCAGCTCGAGACAGGCTACGTATGGGAGACTCTGCTCAACTCTGAATCCTTTGCTCGCAGAGGAAATGGCAATGTCTTCTCAATCTGTCCGTCGTATCATGTTCTGAGGAGCTGTAGGCCCGCGATAGGTCCTTCCTCAGCGGATCTGCAGCGAATCTGCGCTGCATTGCTATCAAAGCCGTCGTGTCTGTTGCACAACTCGTAGGCGTCATATCGGAGGTGCAATGATCCGTTGGGATCATGACGGCTGCACAGAGTGTTTGACCCGTCTTTCATATGCTTGCTTGTGAGTGCGTACCCGGCTCCACTCTCTGCAATTGATTCATTGTTTGTCTCTCATCGTTCATTTTTCAACACCTCTTCCTCCGTTTTTGGCTCTCACTACATGACGCATACATTGTACTCACACCATTCCACAGTGGGGATGCTTGCCTGTCGAATGGATATCGCAATCGGATTCGACCCTTCTCTGACAGCCCTCTCCGCGATTGTCGCAGTCGCATTCACCTTCGCAGCTCTATCTAGTGCCTACGTCACGGACGCCATTGAAAAGTCGCATTTTGCCCGTACAGTTGTCATCGCTGTCCGTACCTTGCGCAGATGGATGTTCTCGTGTTGTCCCAAGTGGGATATCGAGGCAGGCTACGAGCAGCTGAGCAGCGAGGAGGACGAACGGCCTCCGCGCACATCACAAGACGTCCTGTCCCAGCAACTGAACGAGGACGCCGACATGGACTTGTACAGTGACGACCCCCTCGACTTCGCAATGCAGCACGACGGCGGCAGCAGCGCCTTCTACGAGCCGGAGACGGCGCCGCCGCACGCGCCGATCTTCTTTGAGCCGCCGTTCCGAGCTGGGGCCGCCCCAGACGTTGTTCAGCGCGAGCTCATTGCACAACGCGGACGACCAAGAGGACCAACGGCGATGACCCGAGCGAGCACCCATCCGGTCGCGAGGAGCACGACGCTTCAGTCACCCACGCTAGTCCGGCAACGGTCCCTGCCCCGGCCGACGGGGGCAAGCCAGGACTCGTCGAGCACGTCGAGTACGCTTTCGTCGGAGCTCTCGTCGGATTCGACCTCTCATCATCGCCCGCGCGCGAACTCGGGTACGGGTAGCGCACTAAGCGGGACGGCGACACTGCAAAGCAACGCGAGCGGAGCCACGAGTGGCAGCTCGGGGAGCTCGGGGAGTTGGGGCGACGTGCACGTCGGGCTTAGTAGGGAGGCGAGGATGCGGATCAAGGCGAGGGCGAGGGATCGGCCTGCGCCGGTGTTTGGATGGAAATACTGGATTGGTGTACAATGGAGGACGATCACGGCGTTGCTGGTTGCTAGAGCGGCGGTATGGGGGCTCGCGCTGGTGATGATGCATTACTGCGGTAAGCTGGTCGTTCTTACGTTTTTGGAGTGAGCATTGGTGGCTGATTATGCACGGCGTGAAGGGATGTGGGCAATGATCATACCTGGCGGCCGGATCTCCTGGCATATGGGTATTGTGGCCCTGTCGTATGTCGTTGCGTTTGCGGTGTGCCTCATCGCATGCACTACTATGGAGCATATGGAGGTGCATTTCGCTCGGCAGGTTGCGTTCAGCACCATTGCTGCACTCGGGGTGTGCTCAATGCATTATACCGGTGCGCATACAACCACATATGTCTTTCCCTAGCATGCTGATTTCTCCCGCAGGCATGGCCGCCGCAACCTTCTACACCTACAACCCTCCCGCGCCTCCAGGCCAAGCAGGGTACCCCAGCTACCTGCCCATGACCATTGTTGGCGTGGCCGTCTCCGTGTGTGTCGTTTCCAATCTGATCCTTGCGCACAATGCCATCATCGCGCGAAACAAGATGGCGGAGATGATCCTGACGAAGCGGCGGCTGTGGCGGATCATGGCGGAGAAGGAGGCGGCAGAGCAAGCGACCGAGCTGAAGCAGCAATTCATCAGCGTTGCGAGTCATGAGGTGCGTATGAAGGGTGTAGATGACGTTTTATGCTCACGTCGAGGAATGCTTGGTAGATACGGACTCCGCTGCATACAGTCAACGGGTACTGCGAGTTGATGGCACGGACGCCGCTGGACGAAGAGCAAGAACTATACGTCTCAAGCATCCAGCAAGCGTGTCACGCCCTCAATGTCATCGCAGGGAACGTCCTTGGTAAGCATTCTCGCACGGCCCATCCATGCCGTTCCACATACTGATAGGACAATGCAGATTTCAGCAAGGTTCGTAGGCGGGCGAGGTAGCGTGGCTCACCTGCTTATTTTTGCCTCCGTATAGCTTGATCGCAACAACGCAGAGTTGTCTGCCAAGCCCGTGCTCATGAAGCTGCGCAAGGTCGTCGAGGACGCCGCACGGATACAGCCCAACCAGCCAAATGTAGAGATTGTGGTGTCGGTTGCCGACGATGTGCCAGATACAGTGTTCTTGGATGATACGTACACATTTCGGGTAGGTTGCTCATCTAGTAGCCGTTTGTGGCGCGCCATGCTGACAGCCGATATCTTATTTGTAGGTCCTCATGAACGTGAGCTCTAACCATGACAAGGGCCACAGTCTTTCGACTGAACTTGACTTCCCTCAGCTCCTCTCCAATGCGCAGAAGTTCTGTGAGAAGGGCTACATATGCGTGGTCGTGCGATTGCGTAAGCCAGGCCAAGTTGTCTTTCAAGTACGCGACACGGGCGTCGGCATTCCTGCAAGCTTTCGCGGCGCGCTCTTTCAGCCTTTTCGGCAGGCGGACCAGTCTCTTACGCGTCAAAAGCAAGGCACGGGACTTGGACTGAGCATTGTCAAGCACCTGGTGTCCCGCATGAACGGGTCTGTCGATGTGGAATCCGTTGAGGGAGAGGGAAGCACGTTCAGCGTCAGGTTACCCATCGGTCTCCCCGGCCAAGATCAAGGGACTACGGAGGAGCCGCTCTTGGACATTGTAAGCGAGCCACCGCAAGCATCGAGCCGCAAGCGGATACGGGTCGTGCACAGCGACAAGCGCGTCGAAGCTCTGTTCGTCAAGCTCTTCGCCGACCATGGTTACGCGTCGGTATATGGACTCCAGGAGGCGTCTGTACAAGAGATTGTACGAAATGCCGATGCAGTATGGGCGGATATCGAGAGCATCTCCTCGTCGGCTCTCCTACGTGCGCTTCTCTGCGCTCAGACGTCTCGTCCATTTCCTGTATACGTCTTGCATACCGACTCGCACGATATGTCCGTTTTGGAGCCCGAGCTGAGCGCGGCGGAGAATGCGGTATTTCTCAAGCGGCCACTTATCCTGCATTCACTGAGGGAGGTCCTCGAGGCTCCCGAGGCCCACATGGGTGGGCATCTCCAGAAGGAGGCGCCGAAGGTGCGGTTCGCGATCCCGGTGGATGCGGAGGCGGTCACTGCGTTGCGAAAGGAGAAGTTCGTAGAGAGGTCTCCGGGTTCTGAGAAGGCGGAGGAGGGCTTGGAGGTGATCGAGATGGAGCCGAAGAGGAAGGATGTCGTGTTGCTTGTGGAAGACAATATGGTGCGTGGTATAGTCGTGTCCGGTCCGTCAGGATCACTCAGAAGGGCATGTAGGTCAACCAGCGGCTAGGATGCAGGCTGCTGGAGAAGCTCGGATACGAGGTCGTCGCCGTGAACGATGGCCAGCAAGCTGTCGATGCGGTTAAGCAACAAGCGTTCCATAGCTGTCTAATGGACTGTCAGGTAAGCGGTCACCGAGTCCTCGGTAGACGGTATGTGCTGATAGTAGACTTGAGATGCCTGTCATGGATGGGTTCTCTGCCTGTCGGAGAATCCGAGACATGGAACGTGAAGGCGCAATCTCAGGGCACCTGCCCGTCATTGCGCTGACGGCAAATGTCACGAGCGAGAGCGAGCAACGATGTCGAGAAGCAGGGATGGACCACTTTTTGCCTAAGCCGCTTGTCATGGCAGGTGCGTTCTCTCGACTTCCATATTCATGGTGCGCTGCGGAGGTGCTAACGACAATATATATGGTAGACCTCGACGCTGTACTTAAAGCCCAAGGAAGGACTTCTCCGTACCGATCTACACTTTGATATCCCTCAGTATATGTATCCCGCACCAGTTCGTGTTGCTGTCATCTCGCCTCCCACTGTTACTACACATTGTCGCTGCTGTCCATCGCATTAACTTAAATCCTATTATCAGAAAACAACCTATCACGCATACACGGACTCGACATTTACTCATTTACTGTCTCAACCAATCAGTATATATGCACCATATCTGTATCCCTTACTAGCTTCCGCTGAGAATGCATTCCCATGTATCGATCACTATCAGGGGTGTCTCCTCGCGTGTGTAGTACAGAACAGTGACAAATCACAGTCGTGATGTTATAATCGAACGGTACCGAAGAGCTGCGACGGGACTTGCTAGTTCCGAGCCAGGGGATTTTGTCTGGACGAAGTAGCGCATCATAGGAGACTCATTGACCGTGATGATGGTGAGGAGGCGGAGGAGGAGGCAATATGTTAAGTCTTTCGGCCTGCAGTCATGCTATGGTATTCACCATCTACTCTTCGCAAATGATCTCGCGAACTGAATATTTTTACATGCTCGAACTGGCAAATTTGCGTGAGAGTGAGCCCCAGCCTCTCGCACATCGGTACTGCCTGGTCCTCTCCACTGGCAGCAGCGAAGACGAGACTGATGAAAAGGGAAACCCCATTGCCTGATATGGTAGATAAGGAGTCGTTGACACTCAAAGTCCTGTCACGTTCACCAGTCAGTCAACCTTTCGAAGTCGGGGCAATTTGCGGCAGAAACGACTCGGACATGTCTTGGCTATGTATAGCTCAGTGGGTGTCAAGGATGACATGACAGCAGTGCAGTGAGGGATATCGCGAACCCGATCGAATGGGATCAGCTTGGCCCGGGCGTAATTATGGCGAAGAAGGCCGCTGCTCCGTGGCTGCTCCCGTTCAGATCAGTCGCCAGCCTGTCGCCTTCTCGTACGTCCACTGCAACATATAGTATCCTGTTTCTACAAGGCTTAAGCCCCGCAATCGCACAGTCTGACATCACTGTACTTTACCACCACCTAGCTTACCGTGACCATCGCCCTCAATGCACGTCGCAACGTCCGCGAAGGTAGGGTCTGTTCTATCAGCCGGGTTATATAGACGAGCCTCGGACCTCTTAGCTGATCTTTTGACTGGCTTGCGTGGATCAGCAACAACAGGAACGCATAGCCGCGCTACAAGCGGAGGTGGACGAACTCCAACAGAAGTTAGGGTATGTGCACGCGGCCCTACTCACTATATCCGATAGTCACTGAGGAGCAACGTCGGTCACAGCGAGAGCGAGGATGCTGGAAAGTTAGTCTCAAGGCACATCAAGCTCTTGCATCGGTACAATGAGGCAAAAGATGCCGCCCAGGTGAGATGGCCGTCTCGCAATGGCGCATATATTCACTCCAACGGCTCATAATCCACAGATATTGATGGGTAGAGTACGTTGGCTCTCACATCCGTGGCTAGGATGATTGCTAATTCCTGCATAGTTGGCTGCCAATCGGCAGACTACAATCCGACAGATTCACAAGGACTACGGACTCACTCAAGATGACTAACGTACCTCTACGTACCGACCAGTGCCATGTATCCATAAATTGCAGTTTACCGTGCAATTGGACGAGTGAGTGTGTCGTAGCACTTCACCTGCTTTTGATACTTTATGGTCCTTGTTCCGGAGCTCGAGCGCATGGCTCATCCGTGTTCAGACGTTCAAGTATAATCGTCATCGCATGTGCCAAGGCGGTAGGCGCAGCCCAGATCGAACGATGACTTCGACGCATCAACAGCCCTAGCTCAGTCCAACTCTTCGAGTTTCATTGACCTGTGGGTTATAGTCAATGATAACGTCCTGGACACCAAGGAAGAATTGCATACAGTCCTACGGTAAGTGCCAAAACCGCAACAGTGGCAAACAGGACCGGTCGGAGAGCACAGTTGAACCGCGCATGATGCATGGTGAGCAGCGGTCGTGATGTGGGCGACACCGAATGGATACGGTCATTAAAAATAGCGGGGCTCCCACCGGAGGTCAATCTTTGAAGAGGGGCGCTCCAAAAGTATGGTAGCCGTACCGTGACCAGCGAGCTCAAATTTTGTGCCGAAGCCGAAAGTTCATCGTTCCACGAGGATCCAGCTCGTTCCGTTGCCTCCCCATACGTTGACCGCTCGCGTTCCCGAATCGACCCCACGCGGCGGCCAGACCCGTAGGGGGACGCTGGCGTCCTCCGTCGACCCGGTCCCGAGATTGCCGTGCTCGTTCCACCCCCACCCCCATACCTCCCTCCGTAAGGCCCCTTCAAAGTCCACGTCAAGCAGGCACAAGACATGTTCGCTCCCACACGCCAGTTTCGCGATCCTGGATGACGCAGCTGGGAGGGGAAATTCGACATGTCCGAGCTTGCCAGTCGGCTCGTTCATCCCTCGCCCGAGTTGACCGTGGTTATTGCTCCCCGTCGCCACCACCTTGTCGACGGCGCCATCCCGGATGACAGCATACGTCCCATTCCAAGTGCATGCGATATCGTGCGCATCCCTGACGCCCCACAACAGCTCCCGCTGAGACTTTCGATTTGAGCCCATGCCCGTCAGTCGGCCTGACGAATGCAGGAAAACAGTATGTTGGTTTCCGAGAGCAACATGAGCAACGTGGCCGAGAGCCTTGGTAGTGTCGTCCAGGCAAACAAAGTGCGGTGCGGCATGGAACAGAGGAAGCAGACTTGCGCTAGGGCCCGCTGAGCTGAGCTGACCATGCCTAGAGGTGCCCCAGCCCACGATGCCTTCCGTGGTAGAGCCGTCTGCCGACGTGAGCTTGACCACCGCGACAACATGATGTGGACCCGAGTCTAACGCTTGTACAGACAGCATGACGTTCTCCCCCGTAGGAACGTCGGAAAAGGCGTCGAGCAGTGGTACGAAGTGTAGAGACCGCACCGCCGTTTGCGTGCCCTTGCCGCCGCCAGCGCCAAGATTCCCGAAGTCGTCCGCACCCATGGAGATGAGCACGTCGCTCCTGTCTGTACATGAGAATACGACGTACGATGTCTCCCAGCTGGCCGCTACCAAGCGCGGCGCGTACATCTCCAGCGACAGTCCTTCGAGACGAAGGTCAAGCGGCCTGAATACCGCGCCGGACCCGGAGTCTGCATCACCATGCGCGTATGAAGGACCTAGCTGTCCCCTGCGCCCATCGCCGCATCCCCACAATTCCTGTGAGTCATAACGCGTGAGGAGAGCAAGGGTATGGTTCGCGCCGCAGGCGACGTTCGTGATCGCGGTGGTGCCGTCTGGCAGCTGCCCAGGGAGACATCCGTGAAAAAGACATGGCGTGAATACGTGGGCATCGTTGATGTCGCCTGTAGCTAGCTGGCCTCGAGCGTTGGAGCCGGATGAGAACAGACTGAGAGTACCGTTATTGGCGGCCGACATGGTGGCATTCGCCAGGGTGGCGCATTGACAAGCGCCAAAGGCTCGAGTGAACAACTTGGAGTTTCATTTCAAGACTGCACATCCCAAGCACATCCGTCTCTCTGTCGACGTCGTGCTACTGCTGCACACATATACGCCTTGACCCATATGCCAACTTTCCTCTGTCATTTCTAGCTCCCGGTAGATCGTGAGTCTCATCTCGTCCCCGCAGCGTCTCCGAGTCTACTACTACATGTGCGGCCGGGGGGAACTTTCGAATTAGCATTAGCTTGATGTCGAGGTATCGTTGCTGTTCGATACTGTACTCATTGATCTGCTGTTACTGATAACCCAATCATCGTGTTCATAGTTTACCCCAGACGAGATATATCGCCGTCAACGTTAATGACGACGAGTGCGAAGACCGTCGTCCGAGGAATGACCAAGGACTGTGTCATATTTTGCAAGAGGTTACGAGCACTCAGGCCCAGGAAATGGCTCGCCGCACAACATCACATCGCTCCTCGACGTTGATGACAATTGAACAATAATCCACGCAGATACAAAACCATGAAGCAGCAGTGTCAAAGACGACAAACTGATTTCCTATATGCCAAACACTCAGGTAACATGCCAGTGAACGACATCTCATTCGGCTGAAACTGAATACATATCACATCAGCACGATCCCTGTATCCTTCATAGCGTGAATACGCAAGAATACGCACTGCTCTTAGCAAATGCCATCTGCTGGTTGCTGATGTCCCACACGCTGTAGTACTGCTTAAGCAGGCTCCCGCCGACCAAGTTCAGGCCGTCAAGAGCGTTGATCATCGTCTGGCAGAGGGTCGGCTCCGCCTCGAACGGCCCAACGTTGAATTCGTTGCTCGAGATCGTCAGGTTGAACGGCGTGCCAGAGGTGTCCGTGAACGTGAAGTCGATCCGGGCAGGAAGCTGGTCGATCTTGTCGCATGAGATTCCGTAAGTTCCCGGTTCGGGCTCGTAGGGCTGAATGTCGGGTGAGATCAACGCGTAAATCGACTGCATGACACAATCAGTCATTCGTCATGGTGGTATGAAGAGTTGCGACGGACCTCAACGACCTCAGCGCTGTCGAAGTAGACGTTGGGAGTTCCGCTGTCGAAGGTAAAGGTACGAGTCTGGTTGATGGCCGAGATCGTCTGGCCATTGACATAGACGGTAGGAGAATCGAGTGCCCATTTTTCTTGCTTTTCAGAAGACAGCGGAGCATACGTCAAGTCTCCCGTGTACTTTGTTGGGTCGATGCCTCCAATTGTCAGCTCCGCATTGCCGACAGATTTCGGTGTCAGGTACAGGCCAAATTGGGCTGTAGGATACGGCGTGTGAAGCAGAGGATAGACGGATGTCATATGGAGTAATTACTAACCTTCGTAGCCTTGGTCCACAAGACCTTGCCAGAATCCCGTCACGATAGGCCCCATACCTGTCGTGGCCGAAGTTCAAAATGTGCAAATGTTGAAGGCAAAGGTCGTACCTTGTATGCCAGAGTTCGGGTCGGCGTCGAAGGCTTGGGTCTGATTGATGATTGTGTACAACGGAACATTAGGAGTGCTGATGCCCCCGACTGTCACGGTATCACGGCCCACGCGAAGCCACAACACATATTCATCCTCATATTGCAACGTGTCCACGCCGATACCGGTAATGAAAGTGATGTTGGATATGTCGTCGCTTCCCACGTATGTGGAACTCAGAGACGTGTTGACCTTCGGCTGGTTAGCACAAGGGGCACCACATTCGGTACCTGGGACGGGGTCAAAAATCGCGAAACCTCGATACAAAGGAATCCTACTAGTAAACTCAAGGGTGAAGCTTCCGGTGTCGAAAATCACGCTGACGTTTTGCGGTGGTGTACCAACTATAGGCAAGTCAGCACACATCATCTTGAACGTCTACTGAACGGACCTTGGATGTCACCGTACCACCTACAAGGACACTCAGTTTTCGATGAGCAAGTTGGTATAGAACTGAACTCACTGAAGGTCGGTTCCGTTGTAGTAATCGTCGAGAGCAATGTTAGTTGACACGCCGGCCCTCTTTCGGAAAGACGAGATATGACCCTTGGCCACTTTCCGAGCAGATAGGGAAATCGGATGCACGTCCCTCGCAAGCTGCGGTATTGCCCTAGTAGACACGGCTATGAGACCGAGAATCAATATCGGGGAGGCAAACATCTTCGCTCGCAGTTACCGAGTACCCTCCATCAATGCTCACCATCCATCCATTATAAGTACCTCGGTTTTTGAGCACCAGCGCTGATGCGGCATCGGAAGAGAGCTAGCCCTATGAGTGAAACACCAGAGGGATATCCAGTCTTGACAGAAATAGCAACACATTCAAGATGCATCTCTCCATATGGCCTATGGAGACTCTGCGCAGAGACGCTTCGGGCAGAAGCGGCCTTCGTACAAAGGCCGAGGACAGTACCACATGCTTGATACTTCCACTGCGAACTCGTGCCGAGTCCCGATCCTGATGTGAGCAAGCACGTACGGTTGCAAGCTCATGCGTTCACAAGAGAGGTCTTGCGAACCGGCGCAGGGCTCTACGCATTACAATAAGCCTCAGGCAGTCACCCATGTCCAGACGCAAGAGAGACCGATCAAGTCAACAACGTGCGAAACTCGCACTGATGCCATGCAAGCCGTGGTGAGACCAGACATGCAAGCGCGGCATTGCTGCAGTCTTGAGGGCGTCCGGGACGGCCACTCATGTCATTGAGTAGTTGATATGGGCCGCGCCATGACTCACGGTCGCAGGATGCATCATGGATGTAGTAAAGCAGCTGACTGTCAAGAAACTATGGACTCACGGGACACTTTAACTCAGGCAGTTTGCCTCGAAGGCCAGGTTTGATTGAAAATCCACCAGAATGGCCCGCGACCGGCCATTGTTGGAGGGTGAGGACGAGCAATGCAGAGTGCTTCCTACCGGATGTCATCCTAGCGTGACCACCCCGTGAGCACAAGTTGAGAAGCAAAAGTTGAGAAGATATGAGCACCCTGGGTTGTGGTGTATGGTGCGTTCCGAGGTCGTAGACTATGAGCCAATAAAAGGAAGACCTGCATCGCATAGCTCGCCGTTCAGAACGCCCTCAAACATGCGTCCCTCAAACATGCGTCCCTCAACGTGCAAACTCACCAGAATGCCTCAAGGATTGTTTCGCGCCACGAGCGTATTCTTCACCAAGTAAGTAGACAGGTGGGCTCATACTGGCCATGATGCATATGGATGTTGGAAACGGATACGATTCGGCCATGTTACTGGCCTCGCATTCGCTCAATGTATCTATCTGGATTACCACGCGCACAGTGTTCATCAGCCCAAAATGATGTTGCTGCAGACATACCATGTGGCATTGCGTCGTCTCAGCGTGCGAGTACTAACACGCAACACAGCTCAGCAAGATTGTCGAGTTGGCACGTATTCCGGAGGTGCGCACATCTCTTGCTGTTCGTGATTTAGACAAATAGCCAGCAGTTGTGCCAACAGTGCTAGAACGGAACGCGGATGCAGACGGTAGAGGAAGAGAATGTCGCGCCGGCCAAGAGTCGCGGCTGCGCCGACTTCGACGCGACCGGTCACAGATATGCGTGACCGAGCGCGTCAGTGGCGGGTGACACTGTGACAGCACGCGTCGACCATCGCGGAAGCCACACCAGAGTCTACCTGCGTATTACGTCCGCACTCTTTCCCTTTCTCTGCTCCCTTGCTCATGGCGAACGATAAACCACGCGCATCAAAGAGACGCAAGGTAGAGCTAAAGCCCTCCGCTGAAGCTCAGAGCGCAGAAGCATCGGCCACATTTCTCAGGCCGCTCCCTCCCGCCGTGCTTCTCATATCTCTCCCCGCGCTATTGGCTCACCCTCCAAATCACAAATACTATATTCCGTCTCTAGTGCTCTCTCTTACCGCTCTGAGGAAGTGCTTGACTTTGTCTGGGCTGTCACCGGAGATCGAGTGCCGTGCTTGGACTGGCCTGGCGGAGATTGGCATGAAGGTTATCAGCGGTGGACTAAGCCAGAGTGAAGACTGCCCGTGGGCTCTAGGGATTGAAACTGAGGTGCGGTTGTGGCGATATATAGGCTTGAGCGACTGACTGATGGTATCACAGGTAGAGAAGGCTATAAGCAAAGGCGTGAGTACTTGCTTTCCCAGTCGCTTTCAAGCTGCAGAGGTGGACTGTATGCACTTTTGGTCCTCCCTATGCGTTATGAATGTGCATATATGCGAGATATTGATTCTGATTCTAACTTTTCAATCAGTCTATCATCGCACAGAAGGTACGCTGTTCATATATGTTGTGGCCCTGGTGTCGCTCACGCATCGAGTAGCATCCATCTCTCCGTCCATACAAACTGCATCTTTCCCTACTCCAGGTGCAGCTCTCGCAATGGCAACACAAATCTAAATTTGCCCGCACTCAGCTTCGGAAGCTCTTCACCTCCTTCCTGCCCAGCGATCCACCTCATGCTATCTATTCCGTCCATCTCGCATACATCAATCTCCTCCTTACTCCTTCATCGACCAGCACACCCAGTTCGTCATCCGCGCCGCCATCCACACCAGTCGATAGTCCGCAGGACATACACGCGGCGTTGAGTGCAGTTGAGGCTCTCGCGGGCGTGGCCCATGGCAAAGGTCACAAAGGCATGGTTCTCCTCTCGCGCGTACTCCGCCTCCGCATCCTCGTCGCTGCGAACATGTGGGCCGACGTGCCGGAAGCACTCCAGGCAGCGGAGAAGGCACTGGGACTGTCCTATCAAGCTGCAGCCACGCCGAAGCCTCGTAAGCCTGGAGAACAAGACGAGTTCATCACATTCGAAGACACCTTCGAATCGGCCATGGTGGTGCACTTGCTCATGATGGCCGTGATTTTCTACACGCACGTAGGGAATGCAGCGGAAGCGTCGCCGAGGCTGTCTCATCTACATGCGCTGATGGATTCGGGCGTCCTGGATAAATTCCCCGATGGCATGGTCGAGGTGCGTGCAGAAATGCCACTCGGCAACGATGCTTACGATTGGCGGTCGCATATACACGCGTCTCACTGCCGCATTGTCGCATCTATCTATCTAACATGAACGTTGTTCTAACGTTTCGCTCACAGATTCCCCTGCCGAAGTCTGCCCCCGTCGTCCTACAAGTGACACACCCACGCATTCTGTTCCTCCTCACCTTCCTCGTGAGCGCGACTTCTAAGCGCGACGCAGTCGGGCGGAAGCCGAAGCGCAAGGTCTTTGCCCAAGCAGGTTTAGACGCATGGGACAATCATCACAATAGTGAGATTTCTTGTGAGTAACTCGTTTCTGAGTCAGGACCTGTGTCTTACTCCGTATCACAGTTGCTCTATGGGCAGGAATCGGCGATGTAGAGGAGGTTGAGCAGCGCTTGGCCAGAATCCGAGCAGACCTTTTGTGCGAGGTAATTGCTGTATGTATGGTGTTGTTACATAAAGCCAGGGAAGCTCTACTGATCACCAATCAGCTCTCAATCATGCGTAGTGAATTTGATTCCGCAAAAGAGGTTTGTTTCATTCTTTAAATGTCGAATGTGGTCTTAACATTACGTGCAGAACCTCAACATCCTTATCGCACACGCCCGCACCTATGACATCTTCCCTCTCTTCGCCGCTCGCATCGCGCTCCATCATGGCCACCTCGCACATGCCCTTGGTCAGTTCGCACGCGCCTCCCAATGCTATCAGGCCGCCGCCAGCCACTCCGAGCCCGATAGTTTCGTGCACGTAGCCGCTCGCGCGAGCGGTTTCGCGCTCCGGCTCGGACTGAAGCAACGTGAGCGTGGCGCGCTGAACGAGGGTGAAGATGAGGACGCGCTTCCGTACGACCGAGATATGGTGGACGAGGGTATGCACATCGCGCAGGCCTGTAAAGGCATGGGCGGCACGCTCGATGCGGTTGGACAAGTGCTGCTGGCATGCCTGACGCCAGAAATCCTCGCGGCGAAGTGAGCATTTCATCTGTGTGATACATGTGCTGTACGGTCACTGACGGATTGCGTAGGCAACATCTGAAGAAAGCCCTGAATCTGGCGACGGTGGCGCGGGACAACCACTTGCGAGCACTGATTCTCGCGTTGATCGCTTCGCATTACTTCCACACCGCGGGTGATCATGCCCTCGAGATGCTGCAGACATGCGAACAGCTTGCCGCGGGGCTGGGCGCGCCTGCCGATAGGTCGAAACCTGATCCAAGCTCCAAGGATGCGGTTGTGCCAGTAGGGAACGCACCGTTGGGTTTGTGGGTGGGGGAGCGCTTCCTAGGTGCGCCGTTCTGCGGTCTTTGAGGCTGCCTAGCGGTCAAACTATATTGATGATCTCGCAGAGCTGTTTAGGAGAGCAGGGAAGGAAGCGCGTGTACAGAAGCAGCTGGCACACAACAATCAACTTTCCAAAGCAGTAGAAGACCTTGCCCGTCGTGGAGCGGAAGGGCGACCCCCCTCAAAGAACACGTCTTAGCCTAATAGCTTTGTCGCGGAATCTGCTGTCTGTCGTATCATATCCCGCATTGTAATCACCAGCACGCACAACTCTCCATGGATCTTTCGCCGTAGTCATCGTCAACCCCTGCTCTCGCGCTGTGTATATTGCTACTATGCTAGTTATGTTATCGTTATTCGCATTCATACCTGTATCTGTATCCCGCAGTCGTCTGGAATTTTGATGCACTGACAAGACCTGTTCAGTCGGTTGAGTGACGAGCTGCAACTTAACGACCCTTGTAAGTACCAACGTTATACACTGGCAGTTAAGTAGATCGATCACGTGGCTGACTGCGAAGACGTGCTGTCGCCACAACTTTCAGCGTCTCGACTCTCCATGCACTCTTCTACTTGTCTTTCTTGTCTGCGGGTGGTCCAACGCACTAGTGCTGACTGTGTATGCAACTCATGTTTGAAGCCTTGATGTTCTCGCGGAGGCTGGCATCTCTACGCAAGCCACATGTCCGCCGCCGACGCCTGCAGAACAGCGCCTTCAGTTTGGAACAAAACACACGGGCACGACGGTCTTCTCAGCCTGGACAAACGCCTTTTAGTCCCGTGAATCAGGCTTTATCTACCTAGTTGCAGACAGACTGGTCCCTCGCTCTCGTTATTCGCCCGCCTGTACTCTCCCGCTCCGAGTCGACTCCGCTATGTACAACGAATCTCAAGGAGGCGTTCACCTGGAGCCGCCGAAGTTTCCGCTCCCCTCGCGCTCAACTTCGTCTATACTCTCCCAGGATGGGTTGACTTCCAGCACGGATACGCACGATAAGCGTGTGTCGCTCACCGTGAACTACCTACCAGCGAAGTTTTCAACAACCCTCCTTTCTGAGGGCCCGAAACGACGAAAGGTGTGGAGAAACAGCGACAGTCCGTTGCCAAAGCAGGGCGGTGGACGCGAAGCATTTAGGCGAAACGAAGCGCGTATGCCAGGGGAGGACGACGAAGACCTTGACGGCGTCGAGTTCGACCACCATACCAGAGGGCACCTTAAACCTAAGCAACGGTGGAATCGATTCAAATGGACGCTCTTTGTTTCGAATGTCATTGTGAGTGCTGATTGTCACATTGAGCTTCACTCGTTGACTCCCCGCAGTTCACAATCTATTGCGTTGCTACCCTGGTCGTCTGCCTCTTGATCTGGTTCGACGTCTGGGAGCACGCGGATATTATCCGCGTAGGCAACCAGCCAGAATTGATCGTATCGACATGTGCCGCAGCCCTGGGCATACTCACAGCCCTCGTCGGGTGGTCTGGCATCCTGCTGAACAACCGCGCGTTCCTATCAGTATACTGCACCCTGCTTTGGGCTATCTTCGCACTCCTCGTGACGCCGGGTTATATCGCATACAAGCGACGCGCATTCAACCTCGAGGGCAAGATCAACCAGCAGTGGTCGCAACAGCTCGGGCTCGACGGACGAGTGCGCATCCAGAATCAGCTCCACTGCTGCGGCTACTTCAGTCCCTTCGTGGAGGCTACCGCTAGCGCGACGTGCTATGCACGTAGCGTTCTCCCCGGGTGCAAGGCGCCGTACATCAAATTCGAGCGGAAGATCCTCGAGTGGTGGTACACCGTCGTGTTCGCACTCGCGCCCGCGCAGATTGCGGTCATGACTGCTGGCCTCTTGTGCTCGAATCACATTACGTACCGATTTGGGAAAGGCATGATGCCCAAGGCGTATCGCCTCGATTCGCGGAGTCTCGCTGTGATTATGGACAACTATGCAAGGTGAGCCGAATGCGCGAGTGTACGCAGGATGCTCATGTTGTCTCCTCCCATAGTCACTTGGCCGAGGAATATGGCACGGAAGTCGCGTCGGACATCGTGTCGAAGTCCCGTTCTAGCCTCAAGCTGGATGCGATGCCTACTGCCTCCTACACCCGTAGTAGGTCATCCTCGCTCTTCAATAGGGTTGACAGCTTCCTCGGGAGGGCAGCCCGCAAGTAGAATCATGGACTCCCACTTATCCATGCTCATTTCGCTCCGACCCTCGTGTATTGTCGCCAGTAGTCACCACACGACAGACTTGCGTATTTCCGTTTGTTCCATATTGTCTTCAGCAAGGTGACGTCTAACGGTTTGATAGACAAGGTACGAACCCATTATGCTTGCTTCTCCACATCCTGTGGCATCCGTTCTAGGGCACTTCCGGAACGGCCGCAACCCCGCGCTTGCCGCTTGCACTGCTGTGCCCCGCCTTCGGGATACGTGGCATCATTGCAATATGGGTTCGGCATGTTGTAGCTTTTAGCGGTCTTTGACAGGTATTTGATGCGGCTAGACATGAGCAACTCCTCACGAGGCTCCCTACGCCGCTTTGTACTATGGATTGCAACCGTACGTGCAAGGTCCGCACTCTCATGGTGGAGAATCGTTGTGCATACTGCACCATCCCCGACCACGTGTGTAGGCCCCTTCTTGCCCGAAGCGTCCTGCGAAGTCGCTGCGAAGTTGCGCATACCATATGGACAGAAGCTGCTCAACGCGCTGATATGCTTGGACCGTACAGCCTCCATTGATATGCATGTTTCAGCCATGAGGAAAACTCGCTTTCGCGCTGCGGTGTGTCAGCCGCGGTGTTCAACGACATGGGTACTTATAAAGAACGGGCGACGAGTGTTGATGGAGCTCGAGGGTACCCGGCACCTGCGAGTGAACATGTTCACCTCTGCGATACTGACTCTCAGTCTTGTGGCCGTATCTGCTAGGGCAGTGCCGCAGCCTGTGACTCCGGACGTGCAGCCGATCTCACTGTCTGCTCGCAAAGTGCCCAAGGGACATGTTTCGTCGCTCCGCAAGAGGGCTGGCGTCTCGGCCAATGTTGCTCTGGACGACTACTTCAACGGGACCGATCTCCAGTGAGTTCCCTGGTAGAGCATTGTGCGCGATACTCAGTGTTCTTCCAGGTGGTACGGTGATATCCAGGGTTCGTCAAGTAGATGTCTATGACGAGTCACGACCAATGCAACTGACGGCTGCTGATTAGTAGGAACGCCACCACAAAACATCAGCGTGATATTCGACACCGGAAGCTTTACCCTCGAGGTGACTGGTAAGACTCCCTCTCTGTCTCATATCCGCAATCATTGACCTTGCACAGGTACGGAATGCGGCGAACCTTGTGCCAACCAGCCGAAGTTCGATACCTCCCAGAGCTCGACGTACGTAGGTAGCGATGACGTGACAACGCTTTCCTTTAGCACTGGTATCGGTGTGGACACTTTGCAATCCGAGGACGAATATGTTCTGTGGCTCCGCGCAGGCCACGACACGGTGTCAGTTGGAGGGTTCAGCACACCCGACGTTGCATTGAACACTATCATCAATCAAACGGAAGCCTTCGACGCCGACCCGATGGGCGGCATCCAAGGTGCGCTTCTCCCTCCATACGTTTACAGATTTCATGTGACATCGTCTGCGTTTGCAACAGGTATGGGGCCTGCGGCGATCGGCTTCTGGAAAGGACTTCAGGATCAGGGTATAAACGGTCAGTATTCTAAGACATAGCACATGTATGTTCCTGACTCTATAATGGACTCGGCAGCGCTCTTTGGACTGTACCTATCCCCGAAGTCGGTCGGGAACGCGGAACTTACGATCGGAGGAATTGACTCATCGAAGTACACCGGAGATCTGACTTACGTTCCGATATCTCCCACCAGTGATGGGTCCTGGGAACTCGACTCTCCCGCCGTCTATGTCAATGGCCAGACGGTATCTGCCATCAACACGGAACGCACCTTCATCTTTGATAGCGGTACTCCAAACGTTTACTTCGATGACGCTGACGTCGTTGAGGTTGGTGACAGAGCTTCACATCCGAATGCCACGATGGCTGACGCATCGAGTCGTGCAGGCCATCTATGCGTTGATCTCACCCGACATCAAGCCCTACGACACCGAGCCTGGTACTTACGGGATCGCATGCGACAAGATTGACCAGCTTCCTGCACAGATCGACTTCACGTTCATGGACACCTCTGGCACGCCGTTCAACCTGACGATCCCGAGCAGCGAATTCAACGTTGGGCCGTTCGAAGCTGAGCCGACGCTCTGCCAGACGATGATCAACGCTCTTGACGGCCTGGACTTGATCGGCGGGAGCCTGCTCAAGCAGTACTACAGCGTGTGGGACATCAGCAACCAGCAGATGGCGTTTGCTAAGAGCAGTGAGTTTCCCTGACCCTATGGATGCACGAAGTTGTATTGATGGGGCATGGGTTCAGCTTCAGCCGAGTGACATGGGGCTTTACCATCTCGCGTCATAGCTCAGTATTTGACGTATATTTAATCAATTGGACTTCGTATTGAAGCCTCCCCATATCATCCCCAGTGATGCTATCCAAGGCTGGCCTGATTTTTCTCGTCAACCATAGTAGCATAAGTGGGGAGTTCCGTAAAGGGGGAAACCTGCAGAGCTGTTGAGTGAAGCAGGCCAAAATAACCGATGACCACTGCTGTTCCTGGCAGTGTGACTTGGATGTACATACACATGAAAGCATCCTTCTCTGTCGCGCTGCATCCTCTGATTCGGGGAGCACCGCAGACGTCTTTACTGGTACTTACGCCGATGGATTGACTTTTCGCCTGAGTGCGGTAGTGCCCATTTTCGACGGCTTCGAGAGCGTAAGTTTGTTGTTTGTATCTGTTGTCCAAAGGCTTCGACGCCCATTTCCATATTTGTGATCTCCTCTTGGCGCTTATGCACTCTCGCCGAACCAAGCATCGATGTAGTCTTGCCAGAGTCTCGCTTTGATCCAGAAACACTGACCAGTGCGTAACTTTCACGCCGTATGGCCACGAAGAGGTAATCGCAGTTCAGCCTATCGATGACCTACCGTGATGTCCGGCGTCACCTAGAATCGCTGTTGGCTGGCACTAGGACGTACTAGTCGTGTACAGTGTCCAGGGCCAATGGGCTGCAAGTTTTGTCAAGTGCTTGAGACGAGATGAATCTCAGGCTTTGAATCAAATTCTGTGCAGCATTGACCATTGGCCACGGAGTCGCTCTGTAGCCTGGGCGCAAATTACGAGGTGCGTATATCATACTGGTATTCGAATACACCTGCGCCATGATGCCACTCACCCTCGAGACGCTATAAATCGGTCTTTTCTGCCCACCATGATATGATGCTGACTTCGTTGCTTGCGAGATGAGTGACGCTTTTGCGTTTATAGCCGGTATTCGGCATGCTTTGTCGCGGCCAAAGAGTAACGTTCCGGCAGGTCCTGGCTATGAGTTGGACTGACCCCTATTTCAGCGCCATCGGTGCAGGTTGCTTAGCGACAGTTCTAAGCTCGATACCAAGCGCAGCAATTCCCAAATCTGCTCGGACTTGGTGGCACGCCGCGGCGACGCTTCGGTGGCCACTGCCACTCGTGCCACTTGCTTTGTACCATTCATCCACCGATCGGACTATGAAATCCAATCCATTGTGCGTCGCGTTTAGCACATGAAACAAAGGGCCACACGTTCATGGTACGGTATAAATTGACTTGGTTCGATGTGGTGCCCGTCTACCGCCCGCGCCCGATCCGCGTACCTGCCACACTACCCACTCCCTGTCCACTCACACCTATCTTCAACGCCCTCATTATCTCCAACATGCTCTCAGCTGTCTCTTCCTGGGGGCCCCATCCTGCACTCCGGCCCCCTCAACAGGACGCACAATCATCACACTACGCCAGCCCGCCGCCCGCCGCACTCTTTCGGCCACTCGCGGAACAAGATGCAATCGAGGCTTTGCTGTCGATGGCAAGCTCTTCTGCACCTCCGAGACCGGCCATCGCGGCTCTTGAACATGCCGGCCCGTCTCAGGCGTTGAACACCGCTCGACAAGCGCAAGAACCGGCGGCTGATCTAGAGCTCGACAACGCCGCGGGACCTATCGCTGGACCGTCCTGTGAGCGCGCCCCCGCAGGATCGACGGTGCGCCCAACTACCGGCACCCAGACCACAGACGCAGCAGAACGGCCCCCCAGTTCGCCCGCTGCACGCACGGATACCGGCACGCGGTGCGATTCCCCTTCAGCAGGTGGACCGGTGCGGCGTTCTCGGAAGGGGAAGGAAAGGGCGGCAGCTTCTCCCTTGCGGCGACCCGCCCCGGACACGGACGAGTTCTCTGAGGAGGTGAAGGGTAGTGGTCTTACGGGCCGCGCGATGCGCAAGTACTACATCGAGGAGGCAAAGTGGATCGGGAAGGACAAAGAGACGGGCGAATATTTGCCCGAGACCTCAGGCCACAAGTGTCCCGCGACTGCATACCAGAACCACATCTTGACTTGGATATTCGACAACGTCACCCCCTATCCCGAGGACTTTTGGAGAGCGCTATTGGCCGTCAAGTTGAGATAGTAAGTTTGTAATGCATTTTGCCGACGCCGGCTTTCACACTGATGAATTCGTAGCAACTACGGCAAGGTCTACAACTGGTTCACTAACCAGCGGCAAAAAGTGAACAAACAACGAAAGGAAAACGGAACGCCAGCTCCTTACGACCTCGAAGTAGTCTGGCTTACCGGTAGACGGAAGCAGCGAATACGAAGCTGTGCCATTAAAGAGGGCGAGCAGTGGACAGATGGGAAGTTCCTCGCCACCATCAAAACGTTGATCGCCGACCGACAGCGTCAGTTCGAGGAGGAAGTGGCGAATCACCTTGCCAGGTTTGCTGCCGGGAGCAATGTTGACGACTCCACCGCAGACGATGAGCAGAGCTCCGGTGAGGGCGACGATGACATGGAGGTGGAGTGACCGCCTGTCCGTGGGGACGGTGACGAGGGCGACCTTCGACGGATATCTGCACGCGTGTGATACCCCTTGTAGACAGCACAATGCATGTCGTCTACAGTATGTCGCCATCACTTTCAGGCAGCGAAAACCCTGAGTGTAAGGCAGGGCTTGCAACGCACATTGAGTATGACTCGGAGACGAAGCCGATGCTTCATGCATCATGTGAAATGGTACGTGGGCGGACGGGTAGTAGGTTACTATACAGTTCAACCGCCCTAATTCACAGTACAGAATACAAATGCGCCATATTCATCCATATCCGAAGGGGCCTGGCTAGAGATACACTTTCCAAGTAATGAAACCGAGACGCAGGTGCTGGGCGTCGGGTTCCATCACGGCACTATGATTTCTTCCTTCCACTCCTCTCCACTCCTCGTAAACCGCGTCCTCTGGTTCGGCTTCTCAGCCAGCTGCACCCAATCGACCTCGAGCGCCTCAATGAGAACAAGAGCGAAGTTGCGCAGGGCTTGCTGTTGGTTGCGCTTATCTTCCTCTGTCTCCGCCTCTCTGAGCTTCGGCACGGTCTGCGGCCACTTCTTCGCTTCGTCGTAAGACTGCATGGTGCTTCCGGGCGGTGGACGGCACCAGCTGGCCTTCATATGCGCGCTCATGCTGTCGAACACGTCGAGACGGCTCTTCTCCCAGTCGAAGTCCTGCTCGTCCATGCGATCGAATGCCAGAGATGGCTCCCGGGAGCCACTCCCAGAATCTAGCTTCGCATCTGGAGATGGCACGACGCGGACGGGACCATAGATGCGGAATTGGTCCTGAGAACCTCCCATCCACCACGTAATCTCGACGCGTGGGTGGCCGCGAAGTTGCGATACTTTTGGCGTCCGCACGTCCGTAGTGGTCAAGAGAACTGGGAGATGAGGGCATCCTTCCGGATGCAGGATGTCGCGATGTACGACCGTCCGCGAGCGAGGATCTTGGTTCGCATCAACAGTTGCGAGCTGATAAACTGGGATAGATTGACGTGATTGGTACTTGTACTCCGATACCTGAAGGCGAGGGCCGTACCGTTCTGTTGTTTATTCTCTGGGAGGCTGAGTGCCTTCGTGAGAGCTGCCTTCCAGCGAGGAGTTGTAGCCATCGGGGTGCGTCTTGTAGGCGGGTGGGGGATGAAGATAAGTTCAAAGTAGTGTCGACGATGATCGAACGAACTACGAACCTACGTCGCTCTTCCTAATTTGGTTGGCAGCGGCAGCGGCAGCGGCGAAAGCCGAACGTACCACACCAGCGCTTGAGGCTCCTCTACCTCTCACTTCGCCAGGTTCGCAAACCCATTCCTTACCTACTATTCCTCCGCCGAGTCTATATATTGGGCTCAATATTCCGACATGTTTGACCCAGCGCGCTGCATGGTACCCTCTGACCACTTGACTTTTGACAGTGTATTACTCGCATACCTCTGGCGATATGATGAGGTGGCCCTGGCTCTCAGGATCTCGGGCTGCAGCATTCCTTGAGATTCACGGTACGTCTCGTTGTCAGATGCACCAATTTCTTCCCTGATGGATACATACAGCCCGCTTACTGTTACAGGCCCAGTAGCTGTGTGCGCTGCTACGACGTGCCGGCTCTGGCATCAGGTGGTCCTTCGACACGAACTCACGTCACATCTGTCATGAGTCGTCTTCGAATGATTGGATGCTTGAAGACTTTGACTTCAGCTATCTCACGATATGTTTCAATTTTGCTCTCACGATTACAACTGATATACGTGTGCCTCTGAGTGACTCCAGTGTGCTTCCCAAGCTTCTTGCTTCTGCCTTCGCAAACTCGGGATCACATTTCATGTTGTCGGCGAGCCTGTCCATAGTTTTTATTCCTGCTGCTGCACTCCCGGACTATGAGGGCGGTTTTCGGGCTCGTTGCCTTGCGCTTTCAGGATTCGTCTGGCTTGTATACGACCACTGCCTCACATTCGAACAAGAGGCTAGTACCGTTCAGCAAGCCGTTACCGCTTTTGATTGATGGTGCGGGCAACAGGTAAAGTATTTCTGGGCAGGACCCTTCTCGACGTCAAAACTACTATTTTTATGGGTGAGTATGCTACTGCTCTGGCATTTGACCCCACTATTGACCACTAGATAGAACCGATATTTCTCGCCAGTAGTGCTTATGTGAGTAATGCTATTTGTGCTGTGCACGTTCTCTCCTTGACTGAACGCGCATTGAACAGACTGGGCCTGGCATGTGAGTCACGTCGCAGAGGTATCTCCTCACGTTCTGAGACTTTGTCCAGGTCTTTTCGGAACGGACTTATCGGATGAGGTGCGTCAACAAGTCCAGCTAATGAGATTTACCTGCTTCTGACACTGTGGATGATCAGTTGTAAGCATTTCAACGGAATCCCCACTGTGAGGCGTGACGTGGTCTCATTAACACCCTCCAGTTGCTCCCGTGCACTTCGAACAGTGTTTGTGACTGACTACATTGGCATTACTGTCGTACAAGGTTCATCTCTCTTACTGTCATCGTAGTTGTATTCATTGACAATTGTCGCAGCAATAATTGTCATGAGGGTGTGGTATATACTGTCTGGGAGGCTCGTTGCTCGAATAGTCGTCCTGGGCATATTCGTGGCTTCTATCGTGATTTCCGCTAGGAACTTCGCCACCATCTTTCATTCTGTCGGCTACGTGTACCCTGTTCCTCTACCACTCGGAGGATGTCCTGCACCGCCTATCGTCGAAGTCTGGACCATATTTCTTCCTTATCTGGTCACGCAATCCATCCTCTTCGTCGCTACTATGTTGCCGGCCTTTCACCTCCACAGACAAGGGAGACACTCGCAAGTAATGAGCCGACTAGTCAGAGAGTACGTCACATTCTTACGGGTTTTTTCTGAACAATCTTACATTGCTTTGCAGTGGCGGTGTATTCTATTTCGCATTTTTCGGTACATCTGAATCCACCTTAGTCATTTGTCTCACTTCCATGACTGATATCGTGCGTTTTGAAGTTGCTGCCGTATTTACTACTATTGGGTCCATCCAGAAGGGGAACATGTCGGTGCGTGATTTGGCTCCTTTTCCCAACGTCTCTGACCCGCCTCAGCTCCTATACACTGCCGTATTCTCAAAGTGAGCCCATGTCTCCTTCCGGCTTTGTATGAACGCGCTGATGCATACGCGCCAAAGCTTTCTGCTCGCCGTCTCCTCAGTCTCCGTATCTCGACTCATCTTAAGCATTCGCTCGCTCGCATCGCAACTATCCATCGACCCAGATACTCTTCTCAGCACAGCAGAGCTCAGTCGCATCTCGTGGAAGAGGGGCGCCCGTGATGGCGAGATCATCGTCGACATCAATACCGTTGAGGACTCGTACGACATGGGCGACATCGAAAATGTAGTCAGGCCGAACACGCCTGGGTTCTACACGACCCAGGTAGGTGTGTACGACGACATCCCGATACCTGGCAGCGCTGCCAGGGCAAGATCATTCAGGGTCACTCATTTCGGTGAGTGTTGCGTTGTTAACGTTCCGGAGCTTACCGTTGACGTGCTGTCTGTGCGACTTTCGAACAGTCAAAACGGTGTGATCAACGTTGTGTCCCCGATGGTCGGAGACACTCTGGTGTATGACGATGTCAATCTGGCAGATGTACGCTGTTCCGTATGTCCGCCGAATGTATGCAAGACTGCCAGCAACTACGAGACTATGCATTGGTGTTTCACTGCATCTGATGCGGCCTAACCTCCGTTGTTTAGATTTGTTCGGTCCAAAGTCACACGTTTCTTTGATGATGGCGGTGATGGCAAACTTGGATCATTCTGATTTTGCCACCCCGGGGCAAGGGCTGTGCCGGTACTGCGCTCAGTGCGGGGTCAGTACCAAGGCATTAGTAATAGCCGCAAGTCAACAAGGGCCCTGACAGAATAGAGCCTCGTTTCCTCCGAGATTGCACCACCTCTGCACTGAGTACATACACACGGCAGGAGACTCCGAACGGCTCCGAACTCATTGTCGAGATCCTTGCATCGCAAGGTACTCACGGCCGGTCACACACAGGGCGGCGCAACCTGGAGTCTGGACAGCATTTGGCCTTCCCGCCCCAGTGGCGACAGAGAGGTGTATGCGTAACCCCGACGCCCTTCTGCCGATGGTTTTCTGCGTTGCGGGAATCTCTGACCCTGTTTCTCCGTGTGTCCGCTGTGAAATGGAACTCGGAGACGTTTGCTGAATGATAATTGCTAGGTCCATCGCTTGTACACCACACAAGGTGCATACATACACCATGCTACTGCATCGATGCGACAGAAATCATCTCGCACTAGTTATACTTGAGTTACATGTATCAACGGCGACTGACCTTCGCAGAGCAAGCGGTCACAGGTGCGTAGTCTTGGCAGTGAGGTCCAATAGATTGGACCGTACGTCCGCTCTCATGGAGGTAGGTTTACATCACAATTTTCCCCACTGTGCAACTCTGACGTCTCAGAGTACAGTCTAGTACAGTTGTCCCTTCGTACGTATAGCGTCTATCAACCAGCTTACAAGTTACGGTACAACCGGCCATTCCTCCCATGCGTCGCCGTGTCGCCTGAACTTCGTCCTCTGATGAGGCTTTAGCGCAAGCTCGCACCAGTCGACTTCGAATGCTTCGACAAGGAGCAGAGCGTAATTCCGCAGTCCTTCCTCCTGATTACGCCGGTCCACATCGTCTTTCGCCTGCCCCAGCTTTGGCACGGCCTGAACCCAATCCTTGGCCGTCTCGTACGACGGGATGCGCGTTCCGGGCGGGGGACGATTGAAGCTCGCCCGGGACCCATCGTCATCGCCCTCGCTGTAGAGCTCCCGAATCTTCTTCTGCCAGTCATACCCCTGCTTGTCTAGCGTATCCAATGCTAGGGTTTCTTCTTGGATGGGTCCAGCAGGCCCCAGGTCGACGTCGGGCGAAGTGATAACGCGCGCGACACCAGTGAATCGGTACTGCTCGCTCGAGCCGCGGAACCACCAGACGAACTCCACGCGAGGGTGCTTCCGCAACTGGGGAGCCTTCTCCATTCGCACGTCCGTAGAAAACACGAACACGGGCAAGTTGGGGAAGCCCTCGGGGTGCAGGATTCCTTTGGATCCGACTGTGCGGACGCGCGGGACATCGCCGTCATCCAGAGTAGCCATCTGGACCCCTAGGACGGCCGATCAGCGAGGTTTACTTGCGCGAGGAGAGTTTGATCTCACCACCGTTATACTCCTTGTTGTTCTCTGGCAGGCTCAGAGAGCGCGTAAGGGCAGTCTGCCATCGTGGGGATCCTGGCGCCATAGTGATATCGAGTGACTTTCTGCGAGTGGGATGTCGTCTTCGTAGGAGGGCGCGGACTCGGAGGTGGTAGTTCATGCCGATGGGCGCGATGGCTTTTAAACCAGTCTCGCGTACAACTGAGGATTACCCGACGTGCTAACAGGGTACAGGAAATGGCCGAAACAAGTTCGGCCCGGATCTTGAGAAGCGGATTCTATGCTGCCAGTCAACTGTAATTGGAACGTCTCGTAGGCCCATCAAAACATAGGAAGCCGGCGGCCTACGTAGCCTCAGGCATGTAAGTAAGTACTGGTGCTACTGCGCACTCGGCCGGTTGCTGGACTTGGATATGGATTCTTTTCTGGCTTCCTTACGTGAACCTCTACTTCCGTGGCTGCGACCGTTTGACCGACACTACTCACCTTTTGACCAACGAATTAGTGCCAGCACCGAATCACAGTCCATTTGCGCCCTACAGTAATCAGCGATATTGTGCTACACTCGTCAGTGCCTTGGACGTGCCATTAAATCAACCGGACTGTAAGACAGGCCGAGACTTACAATCATTCTGCAAGTCCCCACAGAACGCCTCGCAGACATGATGAACCATAAGTATGAGATGAAGCTCACATCGACTTCATGATCATCCAAATGGCCACGCTCGTTGTCTGGGTCACTCGTTCTGCCGTCAAGCATCAAATCTGCTTAACTTATTGGTAGCATATGCGTAGAGCTCAGCATTTCAGAATCTTCAACGGTACAGCTTGACCTATCCGATGAGTGCCCTGTTGACTACACTCAACCAAGGTGTTGGCACATACCGCATTCCATACAAGACCTCAATCAGGGTACAGCAACGTACTCTGACCACTCCTCTCCCTTCCTGATGAACTTCGTCCTCCGATTGGGCTTCTCCTTCAGCTGCAGCCAGTCCACCTCCACGGGCTCGATGAACATGAGCGCGAAGTTGCGCAAACCCCTCTCATAGGCGTGTTTCTCCTCCTCGTTCTGCGCGTCGGTGAGTTTGGGAACTACTCCAGCCCAGCTCTTCCCCACGTCGTAGTTCTCGATGATGCTCCCTGGCGGCGGACGAGCAAAGCCCGCCCTCAAGAATGGCGGCTGCCCGTCGTACGCTTCCTGACGCTTCTTCTCCCAATCGAATCCCTGCCCGTCTAACTTGTCAAAGGTAGATGATGACAACTTCGTGGGTTGCACGGGTAGTTGAGCGTCAGGAGGAGGGACTAGTCGCACGAGGCCAGAGAGGCGGAACTGCTCCATCGATCCCGATAACCACCAGATGAGCTCGACGTGCGGGTTTGCGAGGATCTGTGCGACCTTGGCGGTCCTGATGTCCGTCGCACTCATTAGGAGGGGTAGGTGAGGAGAGTCCTCGGGCTCAATGAATCCGCGGTGTCCGATGGTGCGGACGTGTGGGCTGCCGTTCGCATCCACCGATGCGAGCTGATACACTGTGCAATCATCAGCGACCCATGGCACATACGCAGCGCATGTCAATTTGTACGCACTTATCTGGCCTTTGTTCTCGGGAAGCCCGAGGGCCGTCGTGAGTGCGGCGAACCAGCGAGGAGCTGACACCATGGGGCCGAGCGGTAGAGGTGGTTCAATAGGACGTACGACTGAAGGGACCAGCATCGCAGTTCGCCTTTTATCCTCCCATCGACGGACATATGACATGCGTCAAGCACGCAAGAGCAGTCTAGATAGTGCTGAGCCCAGTCTCGTGTCCACCGAGGCCATCCGCGATTCGAGCGGTCGGCGCTCGACGCCGAGTCGACGGAAAGTACAACGCCTTTGATATCCCAAGCTGAACACTCCAGGACCCGGGTGTAGCTGCAGTACAAGCAAGTACGAGTGTCGGTCGGACACTGTGTCCTGAACCAGTAGGCTGCATTGCAGTCGTGCGCGTGAGCACTGAGCAGAGGCTGCGGTCGTACTACCCACAGCGCTAGGAATGAGCACTCACGATATCCATCGGCCATTCACGCACTGCTGACCGTCAATCTGAATTCTCCTTACAAGAGGCTCAGCCGCTGTGTGCCCCGTCGCCTAGTCGAGTTGCTGCGGTGGTCGCGATCGTGCATGTCAGAAGCTGAAGCAAATCGTGCGCAAGCGCCTGGCTGCGTCCTTCCTCTCCACGCACTCTCGATGCATTCGGTCGCCAGCAACCCGATTTGCCAAAAAGTGCTCAATATCATCGCTGCAGTAAATATTTCGCAGTCGCTAAGGCCGGAAGAAAGACATCGCCATTGAAACTCGAGAAAGAGGAGCAAGCACACCAAAATTGACTCGATCGACGACCCGCCCTGCACAAGTTGGACCGGGTCATGCTCTTGCTTGCTCTTTTCAGTCGACGCAACCACTTTCCTCCCTTCCTCCTAACCATGTCACGACGCTCCCACTCGCCGTCGTCGCCGCGCCTCGCAAAGCGACCAAGACTAGACTTTGAACCGTTGACCCCGGAGGACTACAAGGATGGTCTCATGCTCGCCCCGATGGTCAGATCAGGCGCATGTGCGTACGTTCGTACAGCTCTAACCGTTCGCATCTTCTGATTAGTGAAAAGTGCCTACCCGTCTGTATTCCCTGAAGCATGGGGCGTCGCTGGTGTGGGGTCCAGAGACAATAGACAAGGCGATTTTGCACGCCGAGCGGGTCGTCGATCGTGAGTTACATGGTTTTACTTTGCGCGATCCGTTCTCAATGCGTTTGTAGCTGCCACCGGTGTCGTCTCATACAACGGAAAGTCAAAGGCGATCTTCATGACACACCCCATCGAGAAGCCCTACCTCATCTACCAGATAGGCTCCGCCGACCCCGAGACCGCCGTCCAAGCAGCGAAGGCCGTTATGAACGACGTCGCCGGCTTTGACCTCAACTGCGGGTGTCCGAAGCCCTTCTCCACGCACTCCGGAATGGGCGCAGCTCTCCTGACGAACCCCGACCTCCTCTGCTCCATCCTCAGCGCCCTCCGAGAAGCCATGCCCCCCGAGCTCTCGATATCTGCGAAAATCCGTTTGCTACCTACGCAAGAGGAAACGCTCAAGCTCGTCGAACGCATCATCGGCACCGGCGTGAGCGCGTTGACGGTGCACTGTCGGACGCGGAACCAGCGCAAGCGGGAGCCTGCGCACGTCGACCGGCTGCGTGAGATAGTGGAGTTTGTCGAGGGAATGGGCCGGGGCGTGGCTGTCATCGAGAACGGCGACTGCGAGGGTTATGAGGATGCAGTCCGGATACGAGAAATCACAAGTGCGTGTCGATTCTTTCAGAACAAAGCGTCGGTGCTCATGCCAAGGCCTGGCCATGTGGCGGTTATCGCCACTCAGGAGCGCATTCATGTATGATTGCCACCGCGGCTGAGTCCAACCCAAGTTGCTTCTCCCCAACACCTCTGGTCGACCTCGAGCACACTCTCATCCCTTCATATCTGCGACTGGTAGGTTGAGCATACTCCCACTCGCGCCGTCGATCCCTTTCTAATCTGGGCAACGCCTTCTCAGAGCAAATACCTCGGCAACAACTGGGGCGTGACCAAGTTTTGCACCTCGCAGTTCCAAGGCACACGCGTCAACGCGTCTCGCTCTGATCTCAAGAACCTTCGGGCTGCAATCCAGAAAGCTAAGGATTTCGAAGGCATGGAGGACGTCATAGGGACAGGGTCGGGGGAGGCAGAGTTTCGCGAGATAGTGGAGGCGATCGAGAAGCGGGGAGGGCGCCGCGTCAAGGTGCAAGTGCTCAACCGCGGTGCAGATGCTACACGAGACAGCGCTGCGTCCGCCCCCGCAGAGACAGAAAATGTTGCCACTGAGGGTCCTACGTCTGGGATCTCGGAGAAGGCGCCACAAACCGAGCACGTCCCGAGGTCGACTGCGGATGCGAACGACTCGAGGGACGACCTGCACACGCCCCCGACTGGCACTGCTGATCCCTCCGTAATGAACGCGCCTCTCGCGCCTGCAAACGAGATGAGGATGCCACTGCCAGCGATGATCACCGGCGAACTTCCTACTCCTACGCCCACCCCTCGAATTGGTTGTTAGAGTCGCAGGGACGGGCCCTGTATACTGGTTTGCGCACTCTATGTATCATTTGGTCTTGCATCCACTGTACCGTCGTCTTCGATACATTATCATACTTATGCCGACCGCAGCGTAGCTGCCACTCCGCTCAGAAATTCATGAAAGTATAAATAAAGCCACCCAGTCACTACTACTAGGACGGCCAAGTTATGCAGACATGTAAATAAGTCGTGTATAGCGAACCTCAAGTCGTTACATCTTCGTAAGGATCATGCTGTCAACAGCGTATGTCGGAGGCAGACGTTCGACGTTCACCGGCTAGGATCAGAGCACGATGAAGGCGCCGCCGAGGAGGCTGGTGAGCACCGTGACGGCGCCCATCATCATCGGCTTTGACATGCTCAGAGCCTGCATGCTCAGCGCACCGTTGCTCGTCGGGAACGCGCTCGTCCAAGTACTTGACGCCGTGCTCGACGAGGACGACGCGGTGGACGAGCCACTGTGGGACGAGCTTGATGATGCGGTGGACGAGATGTGATGCCGGTGGGACGAGGCACTGCCCGTGTGAGAGTGAGAGTGCGACACACTAGAGGACCGTCAGAGAGCCGTCGGTGCGTGAGTGCGGCGGGACTTACCTCGACGGGATGAGGAAGGTGTGGCCGGCGAACGTCGTCGTCGCCACCGGGCGCGAGTGTGACTGGCCAGGGAGCGAGGTGGTAGCCAGGGTGATCGCAGGACCTCCGACGGACGTGACCTCAACGACGGGAGCACCGTGGATGGCTATACGGACCTCCTGTGAGACAGAGGTCAGGAATAGAGAGAAGGTACATACTGGTCACAGTTGCATGGACGCGAGCAGTCGAAGTTCCGAGCTCGGAGGTCGCAGACCGGTAGATCGAGGAAGCTGCGAGGATGATAGTTAACATTGGAAAGGAAGAAGTCGATGTTCGCGTAGAACCTACCTTCCGCATTCAAAATACCAGCCGCCACTTCTCCGCGTGTTAGTATGCAGTGAGTGAACAATGGTGAAGTCAGAACATACCGCCATGGGTTGCTTGTCCCCAGACAGAGCCAACTATACATATCATACTTTAGTGTCGCGTCGCGTCGACTTCACAGTACGGACACTCACCGACAGATGTTGCATGTCCGAACAACGAGCTCGCCTCACTCACAACTACAACATAACGTCAGCTCATCTCTTCGCGCCAAACTGCGGAACACTCACGGTCGCGCTGCGCAATGGGAGCCGCGTTGACAACAGCGAAGGAGAGGAGGGCGTACACGAAAACTTTGGCCAGCATGTCGTAAATAAAAGGCTACAAGGGCAGCACCAGGCTGAATACGAAGGAAAACGACGGAGGTGGATTAGACCCGTGAAAGTGAAAAGGGAGTAATCGGGTTGTTCGAGTGCCGCACTCGCGCTTTTATCGTCGGGCGCAGCCTTCGGATCCATCTAGTCTCGAACCCGCCTCTCACGGACACCCTAAAAGGGAACCCGTCCGTGAGAGTCTGGACGAGAACGAGCGCCCTAGGGGACCTTTGCGTCTCGCGACTCGCGGCGGGCGCTTCACTCACTCGCGCGTCGCGTCGCCTGTACCATCGCGCTCTCCTGCGTGTGCGGCGCGATGTATAATACCCTTCTTTAACTGCAATCCATTCGTTTGTCTCCGGAAACCCGCGTGGCTGTCTTTCTACGCGTTTAGAGCTCTTCGGAGCTGTAAAATGCAAGCTGCAGTATGGCCTCCACCTCGCAAGCGTCGTCGTGCTGAGCAGGACTCGCAATCCACACATGCCCCACGTACACCATTGACAGGCTCGTCGACCAATGTCCAGCTCCTTACACCTCACTCGCCAACCCGCCATGTTCAGGCCAGTGGCCAGTCTCTTGCTCGTGAGCAGTCGAGGGGCAGTCCTTCCGACTCGCCGGGTCGCATATCACCACTCGCCTCGAAGGCCAAGAATCACCACGCTCTCTACCGCAATGGCTACGTTCTCAAAGAGAAACCCCCTCCCTACAAACCATACTCTCTCAACGCTCCAGGACGGCGTCGGCGCCAGGCCTTCGCATTCGAGTGCGATCTTCCGCCCAAGATCAATCCGACCACACCACTCCTGAGAACACAGTGGAGCATGCTTGCTCGCGGTGCAAAAGCTATCCCGCTCGAGGGAGAGGTCAAAGAGCTTCAAATGGAGTGCTCCAATGCAATTCTCGCTCGCAGTGGGGACATCTGCGTGATTGCACCGACCGGCTTCGGCAAGTCTCTCCTATGGACTCTCCCGCTCCTTACTCTGGATCGCGGTGTAGTCCTCGTTATCACACCTTTTACGAGCCTCGGAGAGGAAGGTCAGAATCAGTGAGTCCGCACACATCTGCTTATGTTATAACCGTTTGTTCATGTCACTGCGATCACAGGACGAACACACTGGGTATCCCGTCGGTGTTCATACATGCAGGCCGCAAGGACTCAGCAACCCTTGAACAGGTTGCGAGTGGATTTTATCGCGTGACCTACGTCTGCGTCGAGATGCTGGAGTCGCCCGTGTTTGCGCAGATCCTGTACTCCGAGTGGTACAAGCGCCAGCTCGTCGCGATCTTCATCGACGAAGCGCATTGCGTTCACGAGTCGGACACTTGGCGTCCTGCGTATGGCCGGATGCATCAGCTGCGAACGACTGTGGGTAGTATGACCCCATTGATCGCCATGTCGGCTACTCTGCCTGCGCTGTATCGGGCGTCACTCACTGCGCATGTGGGAATGAAGGATGATTACATCCTCTTCAACATCGGAAACTTCCGTCCGGAGCTCTCGACAGTTGTCATACACATGGAGCACGATGTGAAGAGCTTCAAGGACCTCCGATTTGTGTTGCCGCGTGGGGGACAGTCACTCGCAGACCTGGACAAGTCAATTGTCTATTGTGATGACACAACACTGCTCACCGAAATGCTCTATTGGTTCCGACAGAAGCTCGAGGACCTCTCCCTTCCCGGAAGTGCGGTCGACATCCTGCACGCCGGCCTATCTCCGGACCATCAGAGTCGAGCACTAGCAGACTTCAAAACAGGACGGACGCGGATACTCTTGTCGACCGAAAAGCTTGGCGCAGGCATGAATTTTCCGTTGGTAAAGCGAGTCATCCAGTACCTCTGCAGTGGTCTCACTATGGCAAAAGCGGACCAGCGCCGTGGGCGTGGTGCGAGAAGCCCCGGCATGACTGCAGTAGGCTATTTCATTGCAGAGAAGAAGTTCGAGCGCGGAGGCAAATTGAGTCCGCAGAAGCCTGGCCATGAGGACCCTGGGATAATCGAGTTGGTCCAGACAGAGCGCTGCTGCGACTCCGTCTTTGATCATTACCTCGAGAACCCCCCACGCCCATCTGATAGTGCCCATCTAGTACCACGTCGTCTCTGCTGCTCCAATTGCTACCCCCAGCTCATCCCTCCGCGCGAGTTCGAGTTCGTGATGGTCAATCCCGCAGAAGACGAGTCGCGGCGCGCGGAGCGCCAAATGTCCACAAATGCGAAGCAGACGGTGCTCGCACGTCTGCAGGATTGGCGGGACAACGAGTGGCGCGAGCGATGGCGCTCCCGCTGGCCATTGTACGGCCCAAAATCGCTCATCTCGGACAAGGATCTCGAGGCCGTCGCCGACCATGCAGGTGCTATTCGGCGAGTTGACGACCTGTACCCGTTGACACATATCATCCACTGGGATGATTTGGCGGAGCCGCTCTTCGACGCTATCCAGGCAGCTCTTCGTGCAGTGGGTGATACTGGGACAGGCCCATGACGAAACATGATGGTGAGCATGACCTTTTTATTGATGATACATTCAGGACTAAGTCGAAATTCGCAGGACACTAGAGTGACGGACAATCAGCCGGTGCTACGAAAGCTCGAGCTAGTGTAGTCACCCGCAGACCGTGACGGTCTGCCGTTCCCTACGCTTCATAATCATTGTATGGACTACCTGACCTCAATCCATTCTCTCCTGCTCTTATCAGATCCACGAGTTCGTTCTCCTGCGCGTGTTCGAAGCCGTTAATCGGACCATTGTCGCTGTGAGTGTGCAACATGACTTCGGCTCCGTCCAATGTATCTTCGGCATTTGCCAGTTCATTTTCCGCCTCTGTGATGTCTTCGACAGAGTTCTCCGGGTGCGTGTCCCCATGTGATTCATCTGCATGACGAGAACGGAGTCGAAGACGGTGTCGGAGAAGGTGCTTCGCATGGCCGCCATGTGGGCCGGCCAGTTGATGAAGGCCAGTTCGAAAGAGATCGGTGATGGCATGCTCAGACACCTGGTCGAGAGCGAATGACAGTGCGTGCGACGTGACAAGGTGATTCGCAAGGAGCCGGATGTCGGTATGTTGCTGCACCTTGGCATGGTGTTCATTCACGTCGCGCACACCTGTCTCCTTGTACACACGATCTGTCAAGTCCCTTACGTGACCAAGTGATGGTGTGACTTTGCAGAGCATCTCGGGTGTGGCATTCGTGCCATGCGCGCGGTTCTTGATGCGTAAATTGAGGTGTTCGACGTCCAGATCTGCCTCGAGAAAGCCATCAGGCTCACCAGTTGTATTGACGAGCATGCTGGCTAAGAGGACTTTGGCGGTATCCTCTGGCCAGTCATGTATCAGGTTGTGCAGTAATTCCATGCATTCGTGGGCATAATTGTAGCTTCGCCCTGCATAGAACATGGGTGTCCAGAATTTGAGGATCCGTAGGATCCGAGTCGGATGTCCGTGCTTGATAGCATGACGCATCTCTCGTAGTGTCATGAGATCAAACATTGTGAGTGCAGCATGGCCCGAGGTCGTGTTTCCCTTGACCGACTTGATTCCGTCGGCCTCAAGACGATCTGGTGAAGACATGACATATGTATCGACGATCGTCTCGCACATGGTCCGGAATTCGGCTGCTGTTGGTCTCTGCGAGGAGAGCTCTGTCGTGTCCTTGAGCGCGAGGGTTGAGACTGCAGCGGAAATCACGAGTGCTCGTAGGACACAATCCAAGAAACGCAGCCATGCATAGAAGTCGAATTTCTGGATATTGATCTCGCTCCGGTTTCGGAGCAAATCACGGAGTGTCTGAAGGCTCGTTGTGTCCCTGTTTGCTCCGCCCCAAAGGTTTTTGGCACATGCCTGGATGAAGTTGAAGCATACATGCATAAGCCCACTCGTCATAGCGAGGCTTGAGAGGTGGTCCGCCCTGAAATCGGAGCGATCGACTCCTCTTTGGTCCTGCGCTGCCCGATCGCGTGCAGTTGTGAGCCGGTCCCCAAGAACGAAGAACATTGTATCTTCGAAGACTGCTTTAGGGATCTGCAGTACATCGATGAAATAGTGTTTCAACACGGCCATGTTGCCGCGTGTCGACCCTTGCTCTTGGTCGAACGTCGGTAGGTAATGGCGATCGGTCTTGCGTACGGGAATCGCATCGGGGTCAACAAGCCCTGGAACACTTGCACGGAAACCCGCAAATCCCGCAACCTCGTCCACCAGAATCATCATGACATGGCTGATAGCTGCGTCACGGAAGGCAGTATGGTCTGCTTCACTCGGCACAATGTCCTGCAAGGCTGTCTGTGCAGGCAGCCGGTGACGAGTCCCACGGCATGCTTCGAAACGCTCAACACTTGCGAGGCGATGTGCGGTCCCACTTTCAGGAAGGGTGAGGCTGATGACCATCGCGGATACCTGGTCATGCTGTACAGCACCGTGGAGAACTGATGTCTCCCACACACCGGAGACCCAGTTGAAATTGTCGTATGGCAGCATGATCATATTTCGGGGGTCGTTGGCGATCTTGCGTGCGATGCGAAGTGCGTTCGCCGAGAGCACCAGGATAGAGGTACATAGGTGATCATAAGACACAGAGACACCGAAGCGATTCAGCATCTGGACGAGGCGCTTCGGTGCACGGTTATCCCATAGGATCATGCTATTGATGACCTGATGTACGTTGGACTTCTGGCTACGCAGATTCAACAGTATCGATGTCGCCAATGTGCACCCCTATATGCAATACTCTGTAAGCACAGGTCTAAACAGCTAGGCCCGAAACACACGCACATCGTCTGGATTCCGGCTTTCGCTATCCCTCGCTGTGTTCTCCTTGTTGATGATTGCCTTCATGATCATCCGAGTCCGAGGCATAGTCTTGGAATACGCTGCCGTGAGGTCCTCGATTCGGAAGGACTTCAGCTGTGCGACAGACACGGTTGTCGCTGGCGAGCGAAGTCGTTCAGCATACACAGTATGCGGTCCTTCCGCAGCTCTGTCTGTGAGCCAGCCTGCCTCCCGTGCACATATCTTCGCTGCTCTCTCTGCGACCCAGCTGCATACGTCCTCGTCCCGCAGTCCAGACATCGACCAGAGCACTTCCAGCAGCTCCGGGATTCCACCATTGCCCTTCCATGTATTCACATAGTTCTTGATACCTCCGGAGTTCGAGGAGAACAGCGTCATGAGGAATGTACGAAGTGAAAAGCGGGAGAGGTTCTCCCGCATGAATTTCAGTACTGCGAACGCCTTCTCCTCGTCACTGCGGCGCCGCGCAGGAAGACCATGGCTTGGTACATAGCTCAGGTCTCCTTCGTCATCCTCTGGGAAGTCCGGCAGTGTACCGAAAGGCTCCGGCGGCAGGTCATCGACCTCAATCGCCTCCACTGGTGGTGACGAACTCGGTGCAATAGAGCTCAATGCTTCGGGCTCATCCGAGTCGTCAACGAGTGTCAGATAGCCGGTATTTCGCACAGATCGAGTAAGATAGGATAACGGCATGATTTATTGCAGTCTAGTGGAAGATATGTAGCCAAGGTCGAGATTGTACGCTCGCGCGAGCCTCAAAGGCGAGAGACGCGACGCGCGAGTGAGTGAAGCGCCCGCCGCGAGTCGCGAGACGCAAAGGTCCCCCTAGGGCGCTCGTTCTCGTCCAGACTCTCACGGACGGGTTCCCTTTTAGGGTGTCCGTGAGAGGCGGGTTCGAGACTAGGATCCATCCTGCGGGGACACGCTCGGGGCTGCTCGGGGGCGCGGCTGAATTCTGATATCATGCACCGCCCTGATGGGAACTTGAGATGCGGCATCCTACGCTAACTGCGGTTGTAGTCATCAAAGTACATGTTTGATCGATGTGGCGGTTGTAATACTGTGTCGTTCAGAATCAGCGTCTCGCGAGAGGATTGTCCTACCGAGTCGTCTGGGTCAGACGCGACTGAACTCTGGTGCCATGTAATCCTGAGGCCCCAAAGAAGACGACGTATATGGCTGCATCTGAGGGTGGAAGGCACGTTGAGGCACGATGGTCATTACCAAATGACTTGATGTGATTTAGATCAATGCCAGATGCCCTTTCCGCAGCACCTGCCGATGTGCAGTGATCCACATTTTGTCAAGTCGAGTACAACTACCGCTGAACAAACACTGCACTTACCGCACATCTCGCGGCCGGTAGACACCTGTTTGGATCGAAGAACCGCCGTCTCACTCCCATCAAGTCGATACAGGACAGTGTCAGTCTGGAACGAGGGTGAGGCGTGGCCGAGGCAGTCACTCATGATCTAACCAAGTTGCGGGTCATTTGATGCTACCCTCCTATATGCTCTATTGAATGCCATGCTAGTTGCATGAGCACGTCGGTACTCTCAAAAAATCACTGGCAGACGCAACAATCACCTTGATCTGGGACAGTAGGAGACTCGACGCTGTACTGCCAGTGCCGTGGTTCAGTGAACGCTGAACTTGAACGGCAAACGTTGTGCCAGTGCGTTATACGTAGAAACCGTAGAAGGGCCAGCAGATGTGAGAAAGAACGCGCAACAAACAGCTAGAGAGGTTGTTGTGCGCCATCGTGAGGTTTCGACTGCTAAGTTGTACTATCGCGTAAGTACCGAGGCCTGTGCATATCGTTAGCGCCCGAGGAGGACGGATGAGATCTGAGATCTGAGATCTGACGGTAGACCATCCTACTACTCATCCGTCGCTACCTCTCTCGCAAAGTAACGCACATCCAACACTTGCATTGACCGAGCGTGTACTTCGATGGATATCCTGTCCAGAACGACTGCTGAGCAAACTGCACCTCATCACGCGCAGAACCATCCATATTCAAACCGCGGATCCGATGCCCCTAGCCCGCCTCTTAGTCGGCGATGCATGTATTGCTCGAAACCCGCGGGAGAGGGTGTGGTGTTGAGAAGATGTGCTGCGTGTAAGATGGAGAAGTATTGTGTGCGTTTCGTCTCATGTCTACATGCCTCTAGTGGTGCTTGTCGTGCTTATAGCTGATACGTTGCCCGTGGACTCTGCAGGACAAGCAGTGCCAAAAGGCTGCCTGGCCACTGCACAAGATGATCTGCAAGCTGAACCAAGAGTCGCGTGCTCTTTTCAAGACGATCTCGAATTCCGACGAACGATACAAAGATCTACACGGCTTCCTAACCAAACACGAGCTCACCATCTCCGATGCTGCCGTGGAATGCGTTCGCGCCCATTATCTGCCTCCTGCGCAAACTTTCCCTGCCACCCATGCCACTACCGATACTGGTGCCAAGCTCGGACGGGTGCATATGCTCATAGAGCTCGTATGGGTCAGTGGCGCCGGACATGTTGAGGGTGTCGGCAGCAGCAACGAGAGTCCAGTAGTGCGGTCAGTCTGAGCGCTTGTATACCGGTCCGGCGTCCCAACCGAGCTTCTGGTTGAAAGACTGCTGCTTGGGGTCGTAGCCGCGGAAACGAGAAACGAGAAATATCAGCAGACTACGCTATTACAGCTCAGGTCACGTGTGACCTCGTCTACCGTTAAGTACAAGACAAGGGCGAGCATACTTATAGGTCAAATGTAAGGCGAAGAGGCATATAGGTAAGGGCGGAGAGGCGGGCATATGGACAGCAAGGTGACGAACCATAGGGAAGAGGAGAATGAGTAGGATATTAGACAAAGTGGCGAAGTCACGTGTACGGACGGTACACAGTGGGGCTGCTGTGGATGCGGAGTTCGGGGCCATGCATGCAATCACGAAGCCGAGATGTCGACGCAGTGGAGACACCGCGTCCTCTCTTAAGATAAGGATGGTTACATGGGGCTTCGTCCTCAGCGACAATGAAGGGAAGAAACAAATCAAACAAACAAACGAGACTGTTGCCAGCTAGTCGACGATATGAAGTCCGTGTAAAACATCCCTTATGGTGGACCAATCGATCTGCGGTATCTCAGCCCACGAAAATACATCTTCCTCCACGAACCATGAGCAATAGAGGTGACGGCCCTTGGCGTCATCAACCTCACGCCGAACCATGCGCGTGGAACAGGCGGTGATAGTCCCGGGGGTCTGTGCGAGGTCAATAGGGCCATTCGGAAGGTTGAAGCGGCCGCCACTGTACCGGCCCAATGTCGCCACGACGTCGTAAGAGCCGTAAGGGCTGCCGTTGTCAAAGTGCTCTGGACATACCCGATTGCGGACAACCGCCAACCCGGTGAAGCACGACGCCCAGTGGGAGATGACCTCTTGAAGGCCCTCCTCCTCCCCAGCGCGAGAACGACAGGCCATCCCGAGCTGGTACTGTTCCGGGTGAATGACAGAGATGATCGCCGCGATGAGCGCATTAGTCTCTGCCATGTTGTCAAGAAATCGCTGGCCAGAGTTCCAGTTCCTTCCCGTGAGAGTGGTCGATGGTCTCGGGGGCACGTCACCGATCTGCGCCAAAGTCAGTAGCCAAGCCAGCGCTGAGAGGCGGCGCACACGCGCACCGGGTTCGGCGAGTAATACCAGGCGGGCGCGAAAGTGGGCGTTCCCGGGGGATCCCTCGGGCGACTGGCGGAAGAGTCCTTCCTGTGTGGGCCAACTGCGGGGCGTCTCGCTGGATTTCTGTTCGTTCTCCTGGAGCTGACGAGGCACGCCGTCTAATGCGTCCACGATTTTCCTCTGCATCGAATATCAGTGGTGGGAAAGAGGAGGGCGTCACTTCGCAGACCTGGCGAGAAGGCAGCAGAATGCCGGGCAGGTACCAGAGGATGATTTTCCCGAATTTGTCGGAAAACGTGCAAGGAAGGCTCGCTGCCTCATTCTTGCGGCCATTCGATCCTCCATATCGAAGCAAAATCTTGTCGTCTCCTTCTGGGTGGTCGTGAACCGCCTTGAGCCGATCGCAATACCTGACAGCATCTATTTCGGTGCACACATCTGCGTCTACTGCGTGAGCATCTCCAAAACAGCTAGGTTCAGTTGATCGCGTACAGCCGTCGCACATAGCATGCGCCAGTAACCTCGCAGCGAAGGCAAGTTCAGCCGTCAAAGATGCAGACAAGCGATCTGGCTTGTTGTTCTCGATTTCGGACGGCATCTCAAGGCCGTAGCCATTGCGCGCCTTATGGATTTTCCGTATAGCCAACATCGTCTGTGCGTGAAGAACGCCAGACGCTGTCTGTACAAGTTCGAACGCTGAAGGCGTGCGGTGTTAGCCCGTGACATTCACCGAGACGGAGACTTACCTGTGAGGTTCTTCATTCTGGGCCGCGGCAGCGTCAGGGAAGAGGAAGTAGGAGTGAATCGAAAACAGAAGTCGAACAACGCCAACGGCCCAACTTTAGCGCCGGGTAGTGGCCGCTGATCAGATCAGCACGATTCCGCCCGTGATCGGCGCCGAAGCGCGGCAGCCTGGGCGGCCCATGCCGGCGCCTATGCCTAGATGGTTGTCGAACCCACTTGGAACCCACCGCGGGATACTGTCCCGTTTCGACCAAGGGTTCAGTCACGTCTCACAAGCCTTCTGAAATAGACATTTAGTTCTCTTGTCACATGTCACAGATGGGTACTCCGGGACGTACCGACCTAAAATGGTGGGGGCGACCCGCCACTGGTCACAGAGGGTTCTGAATTCGGGCCCCTAGTTCATCTGTCACATGTCACACCCACTGAACCTGTGGTCGAAACGGAACAGTAGGCAGCGTCGGCGATATTGGACACCCGGCGTCACTGTCTTGCGGCAATTCGCGAGTTACGCAATGGGCGCCGGCGGGGGTGTGTATAGTCGAGTGGGGTGAGATGAGAATGGGAGTGTTGTGGTGTCTGTTCTCGGCGCCGCTTCAAGCCAGGATCTTGGCCATACAGCTCATGAGAGCTATAGGCCTGTAGGATTTCGCAACCGAGTAGTCGCTTTTCCCAGGTTTGCGTAGCACGACTGTTGTGGATATTTTCCACTCCTCTGGTTAGTAGTGCAGGTCGAACGTAGCGCGAAAGAGGCAGCCGAGAAAGGGGACTAATAGATCTGCGCACCGTTTGTAAACCTCGTTGGGTGTCTTGAACTCCTTGAGGCGGTGGCAGGCAGCGTGGATCTGATGGTCCGAGACATGTGCGAATTTGAAGGCCGGGGGAGGGTAGTGTTCAGCGTCCGGGTCTGGGAGCTCGAGGTCTGGTGGGGGTTGTGGGAAGAACGTCTCGTAGAGGACGCGGCTTTTCGCCTCGTTCTCGCGCTCCAGTCGAGCACTGCCCTGGCGGTGCAGCGGTGGCACTCTGCTTTTGCTGCCATCGTTCGAGCCTGAGCGTATGTACTTCCCCACGGTCCAGATCGACTTCGCGTCGGCCTCTTCGAGCCACGCATCCCAGTGCGCCTTCTTGGCAGCGCGTACGTGTTCTTGACATATATAACCATGAGTTCATCCAGATCGTGCGATAAGCAATCTCAGTGCTAGCGTAAGTTAAAAATACATGATATAGATGCTGCTGAAAAGGCTGGGCATTATTCCCCCTGGTCCATCAATTCCTCCCCAGCCTGATTATCGGGCGCCGTCTTGCTCTCGGACTCGGAGGCCAGCTGGTCGCTCTCTTCGTCGATCTCGCCGGTTCGGGGGCGCTTCCTTCCTGAGCCCTGAGCGTTATACGTCGGACCACCGAGTAGAGGGGCGATTGGATGACCTCGCGGCTTTCCGCGCCTCCACAACGCGTCGAGCTCCGTTTGTTCCTGAGCGGTGGCCCGCGCTGCTGAGGAGGTAGATGCCGTGCGCGTACGGCCGTTTGCAACGTCGGGTTGCTCAACACTCAGAGATACGGGGGAAAGTGTGCGCGGTCTCTCTGGGAGAGACGCCGAACCCGACAAATAGGCGACGGCGGCGGGGGATCTCATGGCCCAGCCCGTGGGCCTATTCCAGCCAGGCGCTGCGCCTGCTGAGATCCGGCTTGCCGGCAGCGCCCTCTTATATGTGGGGGCTGCGTCTTCGACTGGCTCGTCAACTTCTGGCAACGGCGGAAGTAGCGAGCCCGGTGCGGGAGGGAGAGCGTGTCGTGGGCTTTGTTCTCGTCAGCTGGACGGGGGATCGAGTCTGGAAGAGGGGCGAAAATAACGGATTCCGCGCCCTCGGAAGCGGTGGGGGACGGTGGTGATGTTAGGAGGCGCACTGGAGTCAGAGGGCTCAGCGGAGCCGAGGGCACTCTGACCACGCGATTAATGTCGTCGCGAATTTTGATTTCGATCTCTCGAACGCGTTCCAGAGTCAAATCCATCGCCTGGAGTGTCCCCCCTTGACAAGGTCTATGTCGCTGCGCAGTGTGCACGCCTGCTCGACTCCACTCCTCATCGTCGCAATGTCGGCTGAAATGTCAGCAATGACGCCCTCCAGCTGCGCCTTCTCCGCGTGAAGCTGGTTGACTTCCTCGCGAAGCTGGTTGACTTGCTGCCCCATATCCCCCGTTGTGAGAGCCAACTCGTCGCGTATCTTGTCCACCTCAGACCACGTGGGACCAGTGCTCGGCGCTGGGCCATTGGCCACCTCTTCGACCCTCGCCTGCAGCACTGCGTGCCTCTCGCTCTCATACTTGAGGAAGAGGATGATACTCGCCCACGCGTCGGCAGGATTGAATGAGGCCTGCGGCGTAGCTACACCCTGCGTCGCCAGGAACCGGATGTAACCCTCCGCCTCCTGCCTTGCCTGTAAACTCAATGGTGCGGGAACCGACGGCGTGGCCGATCTGGGGCACAGACAGGGAGGGAACCGACGGCGTGGCCGACGTCTGGGGCACAGACAGGGAGGGAACCGACGGCGTAGCCGACGTCTGGGGCACAGACAGGGAGGGAACCGACGGCGTGGCCGACGTCTGGGGCACAGACAGGGAGGGCCCGCGTGGGCTGCGCTTGGAGATGATGGCACGGGCGACATTCTAATCAGCCCGGCGAACGCGTCAGTCTGCTCGTCACCATCTGAGATCGAGATGACGTCGTCCTCTTGGTGCGCCTGAGCTGCTTCCGGAGAAGACGCCGGTCTCTTCCCAGCGGCGTGGGATGGTGGGCGCTTCGGCTACGGAGAGGCATGAGGACTGGTTCAAAAAGATGTTGGGGCAAACTCACCGCCTCGGGAACAGGCACGACGCCTTCGCCACCCGTTTCGTCCGCGGGCGTTTCGATCAAATTGATCACATCGGCGTCCTCGTCGAGATCAATTGGCTTGTCGGGCGAAATCCCTCGGCCGACTAGTTTCGCCTTCTTCCGGGCACTCCGCTTCTTCGAAGTTGGCTCGGCCTTGTGACCCTCCTCGTCGCTCTCTGGCTCGCTCTCCGTGTCGCCTTTCCTGTCCAGCTTGGGAGGCTCTATAAGTTGGCCCCGTGCTAAGGCGGACCGACGCACGGCGACCCAGTCCATCAGCTTGTCGCTGACCCGTTTATCCGTATTGTCCCAGGTATCCAGGTCGACGACCCAAGAACCGGGTTTCCCCTGTATCCCATTCCAAACCGGCAGGTCCGGGTATGGTAGGCGCTGGGCCTTCCGGTCGGCCACCCACATTCGCCATTCGGCGGCGGCCGTCCCTGCGATGCTGTTCTTGAAGACACGCCCGTCGTGCATGTGGCGCGGGACGAGCGAACAGGCCGATTTAGCTGTCTGACAGCCCGTGCAGCGAGCCATCACGACCTTGTGGGTCGGCTTCCTCTTGTGCGCCCCAACAACGTAGAGGCACGTTTTGCCCAAGTGGAGGCAGCGGTCGCATTCCACGGGCTAAATCATCAGGGTCCGCTGGTGAACCGAAAGCGGCGCAACTCACCGGATGAATCAAGTCCCCAACCCTCGCCTTTGATTCGGCCAGTTCGTAAGCGTTGACTTGCACCGACACAGGCGCCTTTACAGGAGGCGCCGTACCCCCGTTGCCGTCGGCGCGCGCCACCTCTTCCTCTCGGTCGACCTCCATTAGCGCTGTGGAGGGCCCGGCCTCCTTGCGATCCGCGGCCCCCTTCCCCGCATTTGTCTGGCGGCCGTGAATCCCCTCGGCCATTGCCAATGGCTCTTCTTCATCCGAGCCGACGCGGGCCCTCGACTTGAGCCCAGCCTTGCCGCCTTTCCCCAACCCCTGCCCCCTCTTGACGACATCGGGTGGCTTCACAACATTAATGCGCTTCCGCTTCTTCTCCTGCACGCCCTCGGCCGCCTCGCCAACCGGCGCTGAGTCCATCGGCCGAGTCCGCTTCTTACTGGTGGCGGTGCCGACCTCTGCGGAGTCAGCCCCTTGTAAGTTTCTAGCAAGACTGAGTAATGAATACCAAATCCTTACCATCCGAGGGTCCCGCAGTGGGCCTTTCTCCCTCCGCGCTGGTTGAGACGGGTCGACGGCCGTCTCTGAAGCGCTTGTAAGCGAGTGAATCAAGACGCTAAGGGATGGCGTACTTGGCTTCCACCATTCGTGCGCACGCGCCGCATAGCGTTCAATGTCCATAGCCACAATATACTTTTCAGGTATCTGCGTCGGAGGGGGCAGAAATCCGCCCTAATGTCAAGATTAAATTCTGTTTTCAATAGTAAAAGGTACAGAGCGGAAGCCAACAAAGGGGGCATCTTCAAACTGCCTGCATTAGCCGCCTGCACGATGCCATACCAATGTTTCTTCTGCGAAGAATGAGTAACCTACTCGAGGATGAGTCTCGTGGGATTCACCATAAGAGTGCACAACGCTTGCTGCGCGGCCGGACGCTCTGCCTCCGGTGCCTCAATCGCTGCATGTACGTAGGCGGAAAGGAGGAGTACTTGTTCCTCCGTTATCGGCGGAAAGCCGGTGCTGTCCTTCACGACCTTAGCCGTGTCTTCCGAGATGGCGGGCTTCGACATGCCGTCAACTGTGAGACGCCGTCGAGCGTTGTGTGGCGTGTAGAGGCGGAGGGGCGCAATTGAGTCAACGGCTATGTAAGCCGCGGAATCTTCAGGCATGTTTGACAGCGCATCAAATTCACGTGATTGCTTCCCACGCGTGTTTCACCCGCATCAGCGCCCGCGCGTCGCGAATCTGTGTGGCTTCCGACCTGACCGTCGCCAATTCCCGCTTGCCCCGCGGCGGTCGCCATTCGCCCATTCCATACCACAGGTATGTGTAAGCTCCGTGGATGCCATAATTGAGCGACTCATCGCTAACCGGCGTCAGTCTTGCGCAGCCCATAGGCAATATGGGTCCTGATCGAACTCCCCACAAGAGGCGCCGTGGCAGCTACGGTGAGTAACTCGGCTCGGTGGGACACTCACTCGGTGACAATTGCCCTCATAGAGGTGATGGTTGGAGGAGCTCGACGGCCGGCGAGGCATCTCGGCGGCAACGAAGACACAGGCATTCCTCCTCTCCGCGGTCCACCCGCTCCAGTTCTGGCACCTCCCCCCTTCCCACGTCACTCGGCTGGCATGGCCATTCCGCCCCCCCCTATTGCGACCTGCTGGTGCCTCCCCTGGGGCCTCCCGCACCCATTCTTTCCCCCCTCCCGGCAAGGCCTCCTCCACCTGTTTCTAGGGCTCTCCCGGCTTCACCGGCGCGTGTTCCTGGCCGGCCGGCTTATCCTCCTTCGCCGGTCTTTGCCCCGCCTTCCCCGCACCCGCACCCCCGCTCGCCGATCTTTGCCCCGCTCCCCCTCAGTCGCCGCTTTTTGCCCCGCTTCCCCCCTCGTCGCCGCTTTTTGCCCGCTTCCCCCCCCGCTCGCCGCTTTTTGCTCCGCTTCCCCTCCTCGCTCGCCGCTTTTTGCCCCGCTTCCCCCCCCAGTCGCCGCTTTTTGCCCGCTTCCCCCCCCCAGTCACCTCTCCCCCCTCGTCACCTCTTTTTGCCCGCTTCCCCTCCTCGCTCGCCGCTTTATGCTCCGCTTCCCCCTCGCTCGCCGATCTTTGCCCGCTTCCCCCTCCCCGCTCGCCGGTCTTTGACTCGCTTCCCTCCCGTCCGGCATCGCCACCTTTTCCTTCGGCGCACGCACCTATACAGATACCTGCGATGCTCGATCGAGCTCTGTTGAGTCCGCGAGCCCGGCAAGCGGCGGCTGCTCGCACTGGATCTTCGGTGCTCGCAAACCCGCTTCGGGTGCCGCAAAGGCCGCGATTGGCATTTGATCCCGACGCAGCTCAGCGCGCTTCTGAACGGCGCGCATCGCTTCGCCCTCGAAAGCCGAAGCAGGTACTGGTAAGTCGCGCGCAGTCGACTTATCACCGCCTCTCACCCGCCTCGTATCCAGGGCAAGCTCCGCAGCGGTGGGTATTTCGAAGGGCTCTGTTTCAATGAGAATCTTGAAGCCGGTAAGTACCCTCAGCACTTCAGCCTGGCCTGTGCTGATTCTGGCAGGTCCGTACCTTTGTCAGTCTGACGATTTTGACGATGGCCCGCCAGTTCCGAACCAGGGTCCCCTGATGGACGCCGGCCGATCGTCCTTCTATGACGTTGAGCGCATAATCGGCCACCGGATGGTCAGGCGGGGCTCTGAATTCATTTATACTTATGAGGTGAAGTGGGATGAGACGACTTGGGAGCCTAGGGACAACGTCGCCGGCATGCCCGCCTATTACGAGTATTGGGAGAGCATGGGCCCATGCTGATCGTCTTCGTATACTGTGTTCAACTAGTCAATGTTGTATAATATTGAGATCCCAGTGTACGCTGTGCTTGGTCTGGGCTCCATCGAACGACAGCAATCAGTTCGCCCGCGGTGGGCTCCGCCGCGACGCCCGCAGCCGCCTTATGAGGCGGCGCCCCTTCCGATCGGACACTTCGCACCGCCTTTCCAATAACCTTCCCGCCTCGCTGAATGCGCCTCTCGACAGACTCTACCGTTGCGCTTGCGACGAACGAAAAGGCTGCCAAGCGGACCCAAACGTAGGACGAGACGAGCGCCGCAACGATGAGTGCCGTGCCTGTTGGGGCTCAGGGTTAGCAAATAGCACCGCGCGAGAGCTGCCAACTTCGTACCGAGACGAGGGTTCGTCGTTCAAGGCTGGAAGGGGAATCAACGGCTTTCCGTCGCCTTGCAGGTTACACATATACAGTCATCGACGGCTCCTTGAGACGCCCAAATCGCGTTTGGCGTCTTGCATCGGAACACCGCGTACTCTTCGAGATCGGACAGTGTACGCACAATCAGGCATGTCCAAGGCATCCTACAAAAAAATTGTATCCTTATCCATAGAGCGAGCGTTGCACACTAAGGAGATCAGTCGCGATTTTTCTTATCAAGACCTTGCCCGGTCCTTGAGACACCTGCCTAAAATGGTAACTATCCCAAGTGCTCATCAGTGCAGATGGCTCTTCCAGACTCTTTCCTCAAGTGAAATATCCTTACAAACCATTGGAATGATCACTGACAGTACAAAGGAAACTTCCTTTGTGTTTAACCCCCACTTTCGCGCCGTTCCGCATAGTAGGGATTATGGGCCGGTATGATTATGTAATGGTACTTGCTAAATCGGGTAATGAAATTCATGAAATGTGGTTTTCCATGTTCTTCGACATACCGTGCAGCGACCAGCGCTCGCACCATCGCAAACACGGTCTCAGTAGGTACATGACAACGGTAAGCAAATTGTTGTCATTTTTCTAGGCTAGCAGGCTTCACTGAGCACGCACTGAAGCCCGCTGTCTCAAGGACCGGGGTGTCTCAAGGAGCCGTCGATGACTGTAGTACACGCAGATGGGCCACTCCGTAACGGACGGCACGCGCATTGGAACACTGTCGCGACGCGCTTGAGGCACTCGTACCGTTCCACAGCTCGAACACGACGGGATCAAGCGCAAAACGAGTCCAGACGGAGAAGTCACAAGAATGAGGAGCAAGAGCGATGGGCGAGGGCTAAGCAGAGAGACGAAAACCAAATGTGAGTCCTCTGTTCTGTACCAACTATATAACGACTTCTGTTGCTACGCGCATTGACGAGCTTAAAGCTCCGAGTCGTGGTGCCTACTTGTCCACCAGCTCGCGCATCCAGCCCATCCTCTCACTCATTCGCTTGCCCACCCGCGCGCCGCTCTCACCCCCAAGTTCTGCCCTCTCGCGCTCGCTCACTCATTCACCACATACCAAGTCACGCTTGCCTCATCTCCTGCTCACCCGCGCATCCGTGGGTTGCGGCCGCAGGGTCAGCATGTCAGGTGAGTGCACCGCTGTCCATCCCGACCCCATTGCCAACCCCGGCAAGTGATTGTCCACCAGGACGACTGGACAGAGACGAGCCCGACGAAGACGGCCCTACCGGTTCGCTCGGTTCCAGCACCTCGCGCGGCGTATCCTCTCCACCAACTGCCTTAACCGCTCGCTCGTCACCTACCTCGTTTGGCGTGCACTCTCTGCGGCGAACCGCGGCAAGCCGCTCCTCCCCCGCCTTTGCCGCACGGTCTCTGACTCGGTGTTCTACGTGGAATTCCTGCTCCTCATCCCACGGACGCCGCGCCACATCGACTTGCAGCACTGGGACGAGGTGTACGGCCCGAAGTACGAGATATCGACGAAGACGGAGTGTGAGTGCATGCGAAATCTGACGGCGCGCGACCAGCCGACGACACAAGCCCGTTGGTGCAAACCCATACCGCGCACGGACCCACTGGCATCGAAGAATTGGCCGCCTAACAGATACGGATCACGAACCGACGCGCACGGGTACGACGCGGGCCAGTTCGCCGTACATAATGCTCGGTACAGCGCAGCTCAACGAGCAGCACTGCGACAAGCAACAGTCCACCAGGCATCCGGCGCGGCGTGCAATGGCCTGCCGAGCAACAGCCGGGCATACCCCAGCTCGACGCGCATACGCCCGTGAAGGATGAGTGTGCCGCATCCTAGCCCGAGGAGGAGCCAGGCCACCGAGTACGAACAGGACGAGCGGGAGAGAGCCTGCTGCGCGCACCCACTGGGCAGACGGTAGCTCGCACTTTTCTACGGTACATTATGAGTAGCTAGCGCTGTTCTGTACAGTAGTAGTGATCAATAAAATAATATTGAGTTGACTTCTATGCCCTGGCTGATCTTGGCTGACGAGCTTGGATGGTTAACGTTGATCGACCGCCCAACGTCGGCTATGCCAATGGTCCTCGGGGAGCGGGCGTCGGCTAGTTGCGATGTCATTCGCTAGCCGACATTGGCTGCGCCAGTGCGAAATGGCGCAGCCAATGTCACGTTGGTGGCCGGCGCTTTCTCACTGCCCGTTTTGAACGGGCTTCGTCGTGCTGCGAACAGAGCGTGTGACCGATTGCGATGGGGACGTAACCGAGACAGGGCCCGCGTTGCCGCAGGCGGTGACGGCGGGCGGCGGGCGATCCACAGCGCAGCGAGGGAGCGCCCATTTGGCGCCCCAGCCATCCCGCGAGCGATCCGCCACCCCGCCGGCGTTTTACTGCCTGTGGGCCGATGTTTGCCCACCAATGGCATTCCAGTTTGCGTGATCCCGCGCAAAGAATGGCGGGTTCGACTCCCCCGCGAGCACCGCGCGGCCGCGCAGTGCAATGCGCCGCAACCGCGCGCAATTTGAAACCCTGATTTTCCCGTGGATCCATCATACCTGTCGATCGGGAAACACGTGATCGCGAGTACCCTGGGGCTGCGCGCCTCCTCATTCTACCACTTAAACTTGCAGGGCGACCGCCGCTTCTCCCACGTCCCCAACGCAACATCTCGCCCATGACCGACTCCTCGAGCTCAGCCCCCGTCTCGCCCCACGCGGCGCTCGTATCCGTCCATCGCTCCACCCCGTCTCGCATACCGCCCCGCTTGCTCTGGCCGCCGCCACTTTAGCTCCTGCGGCCGGCCACGCCGACACCCCAGGGACTCCCGCCACTGACGTCGCTCACTCCGCGCTTGGAGTCGCACCGGCTGCGGGCGCTGAGCTCCGCCGAAACCCCGCAATCCGTCGGTCCACGCGGCGCGCACCCCCGCAATACCCGCCGCCGCCCGCATACGAGACGGCGGCTCTCCCGTGGATGCACTCGCGCCGCCTTCCTACGTCCGGCCCAGCGAGGATGCGCCTGCCATGCCCCGCTCGCTCGCGCCTCACGACGCATTGGCTAGCATACGGTGGATCGTCGAGGACATGAAGCCTCACCCATGGTACGTTGCCTTTTTTTTCATTCTAGGTTCCATTACTGAATCTTTCAGGGTGCACTACGAGGCGTACGTGAAGCGCACCGGCCTGTTAGTGACGGCGTCGAAGGTGTCGAGCGCGCCGCAGGGCGCTCCTTTAGTATGGTACATGGCAGTTTGGGCGTCGACGGAGCAGCAGGCGATGGACTTAGAGCGGTACGTGGAGGATCTGTTCGAGGAAGACGGGCGGGATGTTATTTGAGGTGGGCGCCGCCCACATTACTATCCGTAGTACTACTACACACGTTCTGGCTACAC